CCAAGCCCGCGACGGCGACGACAACGTCATCGGCAAATGCAAGTGATGTAATGGCGCGGCTCTGTGGGTACGGATGAAGTGCAGGTATGGAGAGATTCAGCGCGATGTTTCGACGGTGTAGAGCATCCAGGAACGGCTGAAACACGATGTCCCAGACCGACGATGACGCCGGGTCCCCTTGGCCGAGCCCACACGTCAGTCGCACCGGCGCCGTCAGGAACCCATTGATGATGTAGCGCGCCGAGGTCGAGTCACCCGAGTAGAGCATCCTCAGCACGCGAAGAAAGGTGGTAGGAACGCCCAGAGCGTCGAAAATGGCAAAGATCCAGTCATGCTCGACGAGGTCGTAGGCGGATGATTGGTCAAGAGACAAGAGCGCGGCCGCGGGGAACTCGGTCCTGCGCGCGCCAAGTTCCTCGATCAGGAGACGAAGGTGTAGTGCAGCGTCGGCCGATCGGCGGTCCTTGACGAAGCCGTGCTGCTGCGGCGGGAGGAGATCGGGCAGAATTTGGTTCAATCGGGCGACGTAGACCTTGGTAAAAATCTTGTAATCGCACTCGCGCAGGGTGATGGGGCGATACGACGAGAGTTCGGCGCGATCGGCATTCTTCTTGTGGCGCTTGAAGATGAGGCGCACGAGTCCCTGGCCCTGCTTGGGAGAGAGTGAACCGCGCTCGATCATCGCGTTGTAGGCCTTGGTCAGCACCTTGGACCACGCCTCCGGTGCGGTCTGATAGAGTTCGTAAGGCACGCCCGACGGGCCCGGCGATCGCCCCGGGTGCGTCGTCCCGATCGCGGCCACGACCTCGTCCTCGGTGATGGGTTGCTGGAGGAGATCAATCTGCGCTTCCGAGAGTCTGCGCAGAAAGAGCGGATCTGAGCGCGGGTCGTCGCAAGTCCGTGCCGCCCTGATCGGCACGAGGAGTTCGTCCCGAAGTCGGTCGACGCGTTCCGGATCACGAGGCTCGATGTGGTAGAGGCGCTGGAAATGCGCCTGCGTGTGGTCAAGAGCGACATCAATGTCATGCGTTAGCTCTCCGTTGCCCAAGCGCAGTGCTGTGATCTTGGAGTCCGAGTTCCGCGCCGCGAGCTTGGCGTGGACCGGCCGCGACAGTCGTTCCTCGGAAGCGATCTCGGGGACGTGGGCTCGGATCCGGAGTAGGCGCGCGCGCTCCTCGACCGCCCGCTTGAGTTCCTCGGACGTCCTTGTCCATTCTGCCGTTTCCGCCTCCCCCCATACCGGTAACGCCTCCAGATCCTGCACCCTCCCCACCAAATACTCCATCCGTTCCGTCCGCTCCCGATGCAGCCTCCTCGCCATCTCCCCACCCCTGTCCCTGCACGCCTCCAGAACCTCCTCAAGCTCTCGCACCGGATCCTCCCCGCTTGCCCCTTCCAACCATCCTTCCATCATCCGCTGAAATTCCACCGTCTTGAAGGTTGTGGTATTGATTCGATGTAGTTGGTTGGATGTGGTAGGTAGGCTGAGCTGTGGGAGAGCCGCATCAAGATCGTCTGAGAGAGCCAGTACGATCAAGACCGGTCGGTGATCGGAAAGATCCTTGGGATAGTCGTAGATCGTCGAGGCCTGGTCGAGCCTTTTTTGGTGAGCTCTTTGTAGGAGAAAGTAGTCAAGCCGGGAGAAGGAGTTGGGTCGCTTGCGATTGGGATTAGGTCGAGTGAAAGATGGGGTGATGGGGTGCTTGTAGCGGATGCAGTCCGTGTAGGCCGAGTCGAGCTTGCCCATCAGAATCGGCCAGTGGTGGCCGCGCCGACTTTGGTTCCGCCGATCGACTTCTGGGCGCGGGCAGTCGTTGAGATCGCCGCCAAGGAGTCGGAGGTGGGATTTCTGTGTTTTGTGGAGGATCAGTTTGTCGAAGAATTTTGCTCGTTGTTTTGGGTCAACGGGCGCGTAGAGGTTATTGATTTCTAGAATTTTGATGTCGCCCCGCAGACGAAAGGAGGTGACGAGGAGCCGGCCGTCGAGTGCCGAGTGGGTGCGCAAGAGCTCGGCGTCGATCAGGGGCGAGTCGGCCGGGATCAGGGTCAGGCAGTGCTGGTTGATGAAGAGCTTGCCCTCGTACTCGTCCTTGATGAGCTGCCAGAATTGTGGTCTGATGAAATGCTCTTGTAAGAGAATCGCGGAAGGTTTGAATGTGGAAAGGTAGGTGTAGATATTACGTCGTTTTTCCGGGACCCCCATGCCCCTTCTTACGTTCCAGGTGATGATGGTGTGCTTGATCATTAATGGGTAGTCGAGGTCGAGGCGCTCTTGGCGGTGGTGACGTCCTCAAAGAGGGGAAGGGCGGGCAGGACATCGTCCTCGGGCTCGTGGTCGGACCATCGTTTTTCCTCAGCTACCCCTCTTCCTTTCCCTCTGTCCACCTTCGTCACCTCGACCTGCATCGCCGCTGCCGCCGACATCGACCTCGTCACCCTCCGCCCCTCTATTCCATCCTTCACCACGACGCGGCTCTTCCCTTTGATGATGACTCGCTTGGCGTCGGTCGGTTCGTCACTTGGGTCACTGAGGTCCGCCGCAGTCTGCGACCTCTTCATCACCTGCTTCTTGAACTTCGCAGCGGTCCCCCTGATGTTGATGGAGCGTATCTCACCGTCCTCGTCCCACGTGGCAAAGTTGTGACGCACCAAAGGGGTTTCAGCGTTGAGCCTCCTCTCGATGCTTTGGTCCCGCTCAAGTCGTGCCTGCTCAACCCAGTTAGCTCTGATCCTGTCCCACTCCTCCCCCTCGCGTAGCGACTTGGCGAGAGTTTCGGGTGACAGAGGTGGGGTTGGTTCGTGCGGCGTCGATTCGCGGGAAGCGGTGGCGGCGGTTGCTGTGGCGTCGCTGTCGTCGTCATTGTCCAGCCTGTTCGTTTCCCCTAAGTCCGTCGCTTCCGCATTCTCCGCTTTCGTCGATCCCCTCGCTTCGTCCACATCGCCCACCTCCGTCGCCACCTCTTCCTCCATCTCCGTAGCCACCTCTCCTTCCGTTTCACCTCTTTCATCCGCCATCACCTCATTCTCATCAATCACCTCTCCATCGGATCCGCTGCAGTCCTCCAAGACCGACTCGTCCTCGCTTTCAATTTTGATGACCTCCGTTTTCGCGGCCGCCTCCGAGTCCTCCGAGTCCTCGTCATCCGCCTTATCACCAGCGTCTTCCTCCCCCGATTCCTCCGGTCCCTGTTCGCCCTGGCCAGTTACCTCTTCCTCCTGTCCCTCCTCGACCTCGAGCCCGGCGAAGTGATTCTGTGATGCGATCCTGTTAACAACCAGCACAGGAATGGGGGCCTCGGCCTCCGCGATGTTGGTGTTGTGGGTGATGGTGTTTTTGTTGCTGTTGATGATGCCGTTGTGAGCCTCCTTCCGCTTCCTCTCCTGATCCAGTCCGCAGGTTCCCACGTGACCCACAAAGTGGCACCTACCGCAAGCCGCCTCCTTCTCATAGTCATGGCGAAGGGCGGTAACCGGGATGCCTCGAGTGGGAAGGTCGATCCTCGAAGGTAGAATCTCCTTCAAGGTCGTGTTGGGGCGTTGGAATAGGGAGTCGTCATCGAAGTGTAGGAAAGCCGAGTAGTCTCCGGCAACGTGGGCGAAGGCCGAGGCGTTGTCCACGCTGATAACGCGCAGAACCTGCACAAGTTGGCATGAATGTCCCTTGGCTGACAGGTCTTGCACAAGTGATTGGAACGATTTGATGATGGCATCCATGGAGGGCACTCCTTGAACACCGACGTTGATTCGAAGCTCGACCATGTTATGGTGGAACCTGTGAGACTTCGCGAAGCGGGCCTTCGCCGATCGCCAAGTGAGAGCGGGGGGCGTCGTGAGCGCCGCGTCACGTGCCTCGCCGGTGACGAACCCAACCGTAACGCGATGGTGAGCCGCCCCATTACGCAGGATTGATGAATGTTGTACGCCTAAGATCTGTGGTTGATAAGCCGCAAGATGGTCCGGCAGAGGAACTCCAGGCTCAAAGCAGATAGGAGAGATGGGCGATAGCAGCCTCGTGACGCAGGCCACGAGATCGATCTTGTCGGCATGAGTCGCTCGCGAGGCGCTCTGGTGAGACAGAGTCACTTCAAGGGCGTAATCGAAGATGTTCTCGACGGACCGGTTCGCGTTCAAGGCCGAAAATTTCAGCGATGTGGCGGTGGCGACGGGGTAGAGTTCGGCGAAGTAGATGGCCTGGACCCAGCGATCCATGCGGTTTCCGGGTACAGCACCCATGGCTTGTAGGAGGCTGCCCAGAGCCTTGGCACGCTGTTGTTGTTGTTTCTGTTGTTCAGGTGTTTGAGTCGCCATCTGACTCGCAGCGGCAGCATAGTTGGGTGCGGCGGTGGCGGGGCCCGTGACTTGCGTCTTCTTCGAGCTTATCGGGATCCGGTCGCGGGGGGGCTGGACGCTGGTGGCGGATACCGGTGGTGGCGGTGCCGGCAGTGGGGACCCAGGGTCTCCGGTAGACATCTTGTCGGTGTATCACTTGTTAACTCGAGTATCGAAGGCTGCAGTAGGGCGATTGTGAAGTGAAGTGAAGTGAAGTGAAGTGGAGTGAAGTGAGTGATTTTTTTTTTTTTTTTACTGGGGCTCATAAATTGCAATCCTTCGGGTTGGCTGGGACCGCTAGAAAAAGAGCTAAAAGAGGTTATAAAGCAACGACGGCAAGCAATTGGGTGAAAGTCAAACCCCTGCGCGCAAAGAGCGCTGCGCAGATCAAAACCCGCCGAGCACCTAACGCGGACTCCAACGGGCGGTGAGTACTGCTGCCGCTTCACGTCCCAAGAGCGGGAGCGAAGATACTCGAAAACCAGGCAAGAGCGCCTAGAGAAAGAAAAGGGGAGAATATACAAAAATTCACGACTGGAAACACGGAGAACCAGGAATACTAAGACAGAGAGGAGGGGAGGAGGAGGGGAACACACCCGAGGGGCCAAGGGAGGGGGTCGAAGCCAGAGCTAGAGGTCCCCAGGGACTGACAGGCCGCAGCCAAGCCCCAGCTACTCGTCACCCTGACAGCGCCTGATGTCCTCCCTTGGCTGAGTCTCGAGTGCTGGCTGTTGAGCCGTCGGGGCCGAGCGAAAACGATCCAATACAACGAAACAAGCCTCGCCTTGACGCGAGGATATTGACCAAAAAAACGAGCGACCTTTCTTCCCGATCCATGCCGTAGATCTTGACCAACGCGAACGAACGATGTATTCGACGGAATCCAACACACGGCTTAGGAATAAAAGGAGAAGTGGCTGAAGCGTAGTCAACAACCGAGCAACAGGAAAGAGAAGAGGAAGGGAAGGGAAAAAAAAGGGGGGGGGAAAGAGGGGGGAGAACTTCACAAAGCCTCCAACGCAACGACGATCGACCCGGCTTGCCGATCCATCCAAGAACGAAAATCGCTACTGCACAAAGTAGAGAGAGGGAGAGGTGCGCAGCCTTCCACTGCGCAACAAGTTTCAAGACAGTCAGCTTCTGACCGAAAAGGAAGGGAGGAAAGGAGGGGAGGAAAATGGGAAGGAAGGACTTAACTCGGTCATCACACCTCCCAATCTCGAACCCCAGGCACAAAACCCGCTCGAGAGAGAAAATCTCGCTCGAACGCTCTGAGCGCACTGGGAAGCGAGGGAGGGGCCACGACGCTGTCCAGCTCGAACCGCTGATGAACGCGCCAGCGGAGCAGGTGCAGCCGCTGGAAACCGATCGCGCAGGCCAGCCGAACCCACATCCATTTCGAGGTCGTTCTCCCACGACCCCGCAAAAGGGGGAGCCCCATAGTCAGCTGCTCCGGAGTGAACGTCGACGGATCGACGTCGGTATCCTCGATGCCGAGCTTGTCAAGCAGAATGCGTAGCACCCCACCCCAGAAGCTGGTCGAGTACGCGCACTCGAAAAAGTAGTGGGACACCGTCTCGATGACCGCTGCATCGTTGCCACAGAACAGACACGTCGGCGAAGAGGCATGACCCTGAGTATGCTGCCTCTTGCGCGTCGGCGTCACGTCGTACATGAGCCGCCAGTGGGTGTCCTGCTCGACAGCAGACGCGAACCGGTCATGAAGCCATCTCCAGAAGCGCTTCCTATCGCTCTGAGAAGTCCCATCAGGGAAACGCTTGACACGGTCCTCCCTCCCTGGGAACCGCACCTTGTTCACAAGCCGACGAAGCTTGCGAATCGTAAAAGGTCGGGAGAGCCCAAAGAAGTTGAAGCACCGAGGACGGGGAGCCTCCTTGAGAGGTATCCGAGCAGGTCGCAACGCGGTCTTGGGCAGCAACGCTTTCGCCTTGAGCAACTGACCCACGCGCGACCACACGTGCTCGTGCTGTAGGGCGGGTTCCTTAGAGTGCTGCCAGAACCCGCGTCGATGACCAACCAGAGCCCATCCCTTCCCTTCGTCCCTCCAGTACAGGTCCGCGATCTGCGCAAACTTCGCCACCGCGTCCGCATCGTCATATGCGTGCTGGGCACCTTCAGCATAGAGTGAAGGGAGGCGAGGCGGAAGCGAGAGCAATTCGGGAAGCGTAAGGAGTTCGGACTTGATGGTTGGAACTGTGACCCTGGCCGCTGCAACGACTGCCCCCCAGCGCGTCGAGTCGCGATACAGCTTCTCGACCCGAGCCGTGCTGCTGAAGAACCCCCACGGACTGAAATCGCGGGTCGCAGCGACGAGGGACCTCCAGCTCTCGCGAGCTAGGGGCGCCCAGATCGCCTCGTCCGAGCCCGCCACAGCATCCCAAAATCGAAGCGCCACCGAATGAACGATGTCGCCAATCGAAATCAAACCCAAGCCACCGTCCTCCCGAGCCTGGAACACGAAATCGCGAGCGACGGTATTTCGCCCTGCTCCTCCCCAGACAAAGTCCGTAAGTGCCGTCTCCGCCGCCTTAATGAACCATTGAGGCGGTATGTCGAAGGACAGCACGTGGAGGACCGTCGAGATGATGTGAGCGTTGGCATAGAAAACCTTCCCACTCGGCGAAAGTGTCCGGTCTCGAGCGGTGCGGGCCTTGGCCTTGATCCTGTCAAGAACATGGGTCCAAAACAGTTTCGAGTCACCGTGGCGAAAGAAGGCATAGCCGCACCACTTGAAGCTCTCCCCCTCCTGCACCGTTGGCAGCGCCTGCGCAGTCTCGTCCCGAAGCCAGTTCGGTCCGAGTGGTAGCACCAGCGTCTTGTCCGTGTTGGTCTTCCCGTTGGTAGCCTCGTACCACGTCTGCGACAGCGTTTGCAGCTTCGACAATGCCGCCGGTGACTCCACCACCACCACAGCATCGTCGGCAAACGCCAGATGCGTAAGCTGCGCACGCGGCCCCCCTGGCCACACCTTCTGCAGGTCGAGCGCGATCCCGCGCCGAACGAGGGCGTCGAGGAAGGGCTGGAACGTGATGTTCCAAACCGGGCACGAGAGGGGATCCCCCTGACCGAGACCACACAGCAACCGCACCAAGTCCGTGGGGAACCCATTGACAAGGTAGCGCACCCCCAGAGTCTCGGGATCGTAGAGAGCGCGCAGCAGCGAGATGAAACGCTCACCGAACCCAAAGGCCTCAAAGACCTCGAAGATCCAGGCGTGATCGACCCGATCGTACGCGCTCTGCTGATCCAAAGACAAGAGGGCGCCCTCGGGGAAAACATCAGTGCCTAGCGACTTGAGTTTTTCGAGAAGGAGAGTGAGATGACTTCCCGCGTCCGCTGAACGTCTTGATGGCATGAAACCGTGTTGCGCCGGCGGCAAAAGCTCGCCGAGCACCCCATTGAGTCGCGCCACCAAGACCTTGCTGAGGACCTTGTAGGTCGTCTCGCGCAATGTGATCGGTCGGTATGCCCCCAGTGATTTCAGATTGGCCCCCGGTTTATTCTTGGGCAAGAGCCGCACCAGCCCCTCTGCCAAGGACGCCGTCATTTTGCCGCCCTCCCAAATCGAGTTGAACAAGTCCAACAGCTTGGGAGCAAAGTAGGTTGGCAGCGCCTTGAAGAGCTCGTACGGAATGCCCGAGGGCCCCGGTGATCGCCCCGAATCCGTCTTCTTCAACGCCGCTTCAACCTCGAGGAGGGTGAAGGGCTCGTCAAGCGCCACTCTCGCTTGACGAGGCAGCCGACGACCGAACGTAGGGTCCGAGCGGTCGTCATCGTAGCATTTCGCTGCGCGAATAGGGTCGAGCAGGGACCGGCGTGCGTTCGTCGGGTCGCCACGAGCTGGGTCCGGCGTGAAGAGCGACTGCGCGTGCCGTGAAGCAATACCCAGCGCCTCCTGCATGTCAACGGTCTCGGTGCCATCCACATCCTCCAGCGAGACGATGCTCGTCTGGCGACTCCGGCGGTTGAGGCGCGTGCGAATGCTTGCCGATTGACCTTCCCTCGAGTCGACTGACGGCACATGCGCACGAATGCGCAGCCACTGAGCCTCCTTTACCGCCAACTGGTCCAACCGCGACTTGGCAAGAGCATACACATCGCGCTCGGCCTCATTCATGTGCTCACCGCGTGCCTCCAAAGCCTCCATGACGGATTGGCTCTCGGCCCGCAGTCGGCGCATGTCGGCACGAGTCGAGCGGTATCGTGCATGGCCAGCGACTGCAACCGCCCGCAGAGCGGCGTCATAGACGTCGCCGAGCGGAGCGGTCCCCTCGAGCCTTCGATAGACCTCGTCGACGACCCCGGGAATCGATGCGACAAAGTCTTGATCGTCAAAGACCATTGGGTTGAGCCTCGAAATGAAATCGCTCGTGGAGGGAAGAGAAAGGGGGGGTTCGGCATCAGTGTTCGATGTAGGCAAAGCGAAAGTCGCAACTACAGGTCTGTGGTCCGAACAGGGCGCATCGAAGAGCGTAGAAGCGCTCAACAACCGGTTCGCCCAACTGCATTGGACAAGAATATAGTCGATCCGCGACCACGAGCAAATCTTTCGCTCTTCCCCTCTACCACGGTAGTGAGGACGAGTGAATGCAGGGGTGCAAGGATGGACATATCGGACCGTGTCGAGTGCCTTGAACGCGATCTTTGACAGCAAGGTCTGCCAGTGCGATACAGGAGTCCAAGCGCGATCGGTGATGGACACTCGGTCGACCGATACATCCGGACAATCGTTGAGATCGCCGGCCAAGATCCGAAGAATCTTGGGTCTCGGGGCGTTGAAGTGCAGAAGCCCGAAAAAGTCGCGACGATCGTCCTCCTGCACCGGCGCGTACATGTTGATGATCTCGACATCGAGCTCCTCAAGACGAAACACCGAGCGCAGAATCCGACCGTCGAAACGAGGAGCTCCTGCAAAGACGACCGGGGTAGAGGAAAGGAGATGGCCCGCCAAAGGTGAGCCATCGGGTATGAGGGTAAGGACATGAGGAGTGAAACGAATACAAGCCCCCGGCCAAGCACTCTCGAAGCCTTCGCGCGACGCGTTGTAGCTGAGGTGGTGCTCTTGCAGGAGGATGGCCGCAGGGGCCGGCCGAAGGGTTTTGAGATAACGGATAATTTTGACTTGGTTGACTGCGTTCTTCATCGATCGGACGTTGAACGTCAACACGGTGAGTGACTCAATCATGATTAAATCAGTTCAGCGCCGCCCCCCTCGAATTCGGTCACCTCGGACCTGTGACCCCCTGAACTGTTGCCCCCTGAGCCATCTCCCCCTGATGCACCGAGGATCATGGCGGATCCCGCCCGGGTGACACGTCGGTTGCCGGGTGCCGAGCTCGAACGAAGGCGTCGAGGACTCGTCGAGGCTATCGAGGTTGTCGAGGTTGCCGATGATCCCGACGTGCCACCGGACAAAGGCGAAGGAGAGGTCGGGGTCGAAACGGGCGCCGCCGTCGTCGTCTGCGTCTCCTTTGTTGAGCCCAGGGTCGCACGCGTCGACGTCTCTTCCCCAGTGTCGCCGCCCTCCGGTTCGGTCGAAACGACCGGCTCGTCGTCGCCGTCGTTCGCGTCGTCCTTGTTGGCGGTTACTGCACCTGCGGGGTTAGCACGAGGTCCCAGCTGGATCATGTTCGCGCCAGAGACACGAGAGTTCAATGCGGCAGGCCCACCGTGCTTCCCATTCTTTCCAGCAACTCGGAAGCCGGTGGTCGAAGTCGAAGTCGAGGTCGAGGCCCCCGGAACAGGGGCGGCGGTGGCCGGAGTCGAAACCGGCTTCCTGCAAGCGCCCCACTGGTGTCCGGCGCGATCGCACACCGCGCAGTAGTGCGTCTCGAATTCGTGTCGCAAGCCGTACTTGGCGCCCAGGATCTCGATCTCTTGTGGCAAAGCGGCGTTGAGCGCGGCCTTCTGCGTCTCGATGGAGCCTTGGAAAAGATCAGCATGTAAGCGAAGGTACGCGCAGTGGAACCCGTCTTCGGTCATGGCCATCGGATCGCCATTCGGATCGACCGCGAGGCCCCGCTGTAATTGCATCAGGGTATAACCTTGCGTGCGACCTGCGCGGCCGAACGAAAGGGTGATAGCATCATCGAGAGATTTTCGGAGCACGGAAGCGGGGATCGCGCTGGAGGAGGAGGGCAAGGTGAATCGCACCTGCACGACGTGGTTAAGGGGAGAGGCGCTGGGGAGCTCGGTAACCATCTCCTTGCCGTGGTAGGGGAATGGGCCCGCTGAAGCGGCTTCAAGACAAGCTTGCTCGGATTCGAATACAAGCTCGTACATGTGACGAGCGATCGGGAACCTCTTCGTGGCTTTCGTCACAATCGGGTTCAGCTTCACGCATTTCGAGAAAAGCTTCTCGACCTCGGGGTCAAGCACGACGCCCTCGGGCCGCGCGAACATGAACGGCGTCTCGGCCAATCCAAAGTGCTTGCGCAGCGCGGTCTGTACAGGACCTCTGGGTGATCCAGGACCATCCATAATGACTCGAATCACATTGGAGGCCGGGGCTGCGTCGTTTCGCACCGCTCTTTGGGCGGCTCGTGCGAGCGCTGGCGCCTGCGAAGGCGGGGTCGAGGCGTCGTGCATCAGGACCATCAGTCGGCGGGTCGACTTGCTGGAGGGAACAATCCCGAGCACTTGGAAGGTCTTCTTCATCAGCTTCTCATGGTCCAACCGGACCTGAGTTGCCTTGGGCGACCAAGCTGGAGGATTCGCGGTTCCTCCAGTGACCGCTTCACGCGTTTGCGTGTTGAGTGATGAATCACTCGCGCCATTACCACCCAATAGGTCCTCGGGCGGGGGCCCATCGGCGCCGGGCGGATCCGGCATCGCGTGTTTGTGTTGACCTGTAAAGCTTAACGGGCTTGGAGGTCAACTACTCACTCTACACCACAGAAACTCACTTGTGTGTGTGTGTGTGTGTGTGTGTGTGTGTATTTTTTTTTATTTTTACTGGGGCTCATAAATTGCAATCCTTCGGGTTGGCTGGGACCGCTAGAAAAAGAGCTAAAAGAGGTTATAAAGCAACGACGGCAAGCAATTGGGTGAAAGTCAAACCCCTGCGCGCAAAGAGCGCTGCGCAGATCAAAACCCGCCGAGCACCTAACGCGGACTCCAACGGGCGGTGAGTACTGCTGCCGCTTCACGTCCCAAGAGCGGGAGCGAAGATACTCGAAAACCAGGCAAGAGCGCCTAGAGAAAGAAAAGGGGAGAATATACAAAAATTCACGACTGGAAACACGGAGAACCAGGAATACTAAGACAGAGAGGAGGGGAGGAGGAGGGGAACACACCCGAGGGGCCAAGGGAGGGGGTCGAAGCCAGAGCTAGAGGTCCCCAGGGACTGACAGGCCGCAGCCAAGCCCCAGCTACTCGTCACCCTGACAGCGCCTGATGTCCTCCCTTGGCTGAGTCTCGAGTGCTGGCTGTTGAGCCGTCGGGGCCGAGCGAAAACGATCCAATACAACGAAACAAGCCTCGCCTTGACGCGAGGATATTGACCAAAAAAACGAGCGACCTTTCTTCCCGATCCATGCCGTAGATCTTGACCAACGCGAACGAACGATGTATTCGACGGAATCCAACACACGGCTTAGGAATAAAAGGAGAAGTGGCTGAAGCGTAGTCAACAACCGAGCAACAGGAAAGAGAAGAGGAAGGGAAGGGAAAAAAAAAGGGGGGGGGAAAGAGGGGGGAGAACTTCACAAAGCCTCCAACGCAACGACGATCGACCCGGCTTGCCGATCCATCCAAGAACGAAAATCGCTACTGCGCAAAGTAGAGAGAGGGAGAGGTGCGCAGCCTTCCACTGCGCATTTTTTTTTTTTTTTGTAGAAACCGTTCATCATATTGCCCCCAATTCCTGTTCCCCTGATTGGCCTACGGAAAAACTAGATGGAAGTCGACGATGATAACACAAACCGCCCGCAAGATGCGAGAAACGGGCCAAGTCCACCAATCCGATACTTCGGATTCAAGTGCCCCAGCCAAGCGGTTGCTCCCCCCCAGGAGACGAATGAGAGAGAGAAGGAGAGAGAGAGAAAATGAAAAAGAACTGGCGTACTAACGACAAGAGGCCCACCCCGCACCCACTTCCCAACTCGGTCGAGACAAAGACAGGAGAGCGACTGCGCAGCTACCCTGACCCGCGAAATCCCAAGTCTATGCTCGGATAAAAAAAAATTTTTTTTTTTTTTGTAGAAACCGTTCATCATATTGCCCCCAATTCCTGTTCCCCCTGATTGGCCTACGGAAAAACTAGATGGAAGTCGACGATGATAACACAAACCGCCCGCAAGATGCGAGAAACGGGCCAAGTCCACCAATCCGATACTTCGGATTCAAGTGCCCCAGCCAAGCGGTTGCTCCCCCCCAGGAGACGAATGAGAGAGAGAAGAGAAAGAGAGAAAATGAAAAAGAACTGGCGTACTAACGACAAGAGGCCCACCCCGCACCCACTTCCCAACTCGGTCGAGACAAAGACAGGAGAGCGACTGCGCAGCTACCCTGACCCGCGAAGTCCCCAAGTCTATGCTCGGTCACAACAAGACGCGGTGGAGGCCCCTCAAAACCTCCACCTCAGCAGTCCCTGGCCCCTCAAAGCCGACTTTCTGCCTGTGTCTGCTGATCCCTCCCTTGACTCAGAACCCCGAAGCCAAAGAGCGCGAGCCACCGTCGAGTCAATCCCAAATCGCGAGCCGGTCCATGAGCAACGGAGGCAGACCTGTAATAAAAGAAAGAAAGATGAAGAAAATATATTTAGTATACAGTTTTTGTAAGAGGATGTGTGATGTGGGGTGTGTGAGTGTGGGATCGGGTGGGGGGAAATCGAACCCAGCCTCTACTGCCCTCGCCCGCCCCTTGCTCCCCCCGCCCTCAACTTCATCCTCTCCTCCAGTACCACCCTCCTCCGCTCCAGGCTTTCCATCCTCGTCCCGTGCTTCTGCATCCTCCATCTCCCACTGCTGATCATCTCCAAGACCATCCCCGTGAAGATCTCGATCGTCCTGCCTGCGCCTTCCTGTTCGCTGAGCTTGGCCTTGAGCTTGGGGAGGCCAAAGAGTCGTTGTAGTGTCGTGTACTCGGCGTCCTCGATCGTGTATTTTTTTTATTTTACTGGGGCTCATAAATTGCAATCCTTCGGGTTGGCTGGGACCGCTACAAAAAGAGCTAAAAGAGGTTATAAAGCAACGACGGCAAGCAATTGGGTGAAAGTCAAACCCCTGCGCGCAAAGAGCGCTGCGCAGATCAAAACCCGCCGAGCACCTAACGCGGACTCCAACGGGCGGTGAGTACTGCTGCCGCTTCACGTCCCAAGAGCGGGAGCGAAGATACTCGAAAACCAGGCAAGAGCGCCTAGAGAAAGAAAGGGGGAGAATATACAAAAATTCACGACCGGAAACACGGAGAACCAGGAATACTAAGACAGAGAGGAGGGGAGGAGGAGGGGAACACACCCGAGGGGCCAAGGGAGGGGGTCGAAGCCAGAGCTAGAGGTCCCCAGGGACTGACAGGCCGCAGCCAAGCCCCAGCTACTCGTCACCCCGACAGCGCCTGATGTCCTCCCTTGGCTGAGTCTCGAGTGCTGGCTGTTGAGCCGTCGGGGCCGAGCGAAAACGATCCAATAATACCACGAAACGAGCCTCGCCTTGACGCGAGGATATTGACCAAGAAACGAGCGACCTTTCTTCCCGATCCATGCCGTAGAACTTGACCAACGCGAACGAACGATCCATTCGACGGAATCCAACACACGGCTTAGGAATAAAAGGAGAAGTGGCTGAAGCGTAGTCAACAACCGAGCAACAGGGAGGAGAAGAGGAAGGGAAGGGAGAAAGGGGAAAGAGAGGGGAGAACTTCACAAAGCCTCCAACGCAACGACGATCGACCCGGCTTGCCGATCCATCCAAGAACGAAAATCGCTACTGCACAAAGTAGAGAGAGGGAGAGGTGCGCAGCCTTCCACTGCGCAACAAGTTTCAAGACAGTCAGCTTCTGACCGAAAAGGAAGGGAGGAAAGGAGGGGAGGAAAATGGGAAGGAAGGACTTAACTCGGTCATCACACCTCCCAATCTCGAACCCCAGGCACAAAACCCGCTCGAGAGAGAAAATCTCGCTCGAACGCTCTGAGCGCACTGGGAAGCGAGGGAGGGGCCACGACGCTGTCCAGCTCGAACCGCTGATGAACGCGCCAGCGGAGCAGGTGCAGCCGCTGGAAGCCGATCGCGCAGGCCAGCCGAACCCACATCCATTTCGAGGTCGTTCTCCCACGACCCCGCAAAAGGGGGAGCCCCATAGTCAGCTGCTCCGGAGTGAACGTCGACGGATCGACGTCGGTATCCTCGATGCCGAGCTTGTCAAGCAGAATGCGTAGCACCCCACCCCAGAAGCTGGTCGAATACGCGCACTCGAAAAAGTAGTGGGACACCGTCTCGATGACCGCTGCATCGTTGCCGCAGAACAGACACGTCGGCGAAGAGGCATGACCCTGAGTATGCTGCCTCTTGCGCGTCGGCGTCACGTCGTACATGAGCCGCCAGTGGGTGTCCTGCTCGACAGCAGACGCGAACCGGTCATGAAGCCATCTCCAGAAGCGCTTCCTATCGCTCTGAGAAGTCCCATCAGGGAAACGCTTGACACGGTCCTCCCTCCCTGGGAACCGCACCTTGTTCACAAGCCGACGAAGCTTGCGAATCGTAAAAGGTCGGGAGAGCCCAAAGAAGTTGAAGCACCGAGGACGGGGAGCCTCCTTGAGAGGTATCCGAGCAGGTCGCAACGCGGTCTTGGGCAGCAACGCTTTCGCCTTGAGCAACTGACCCACGCGCGACCACACGTGCTCGTGCTGTAGGGCGGGTTCCTTAGAGTGCTGCCAGAACCCGCGTCGATGACCAACCAGAGCCCATCCCTTCCCTTCGTCCCTCCAGTACAGGTCCGCGATCTGCGCAAACTTCGCCACCGCGTCCGCATCGTCATATGCGTGCTGGGCACCTTCAGCATAGAGTGAAGGGAGGCGAGGCGGAAGCGAGAGCAATTCGGGAAGCGTAAGGAGTTCGGACTTGATGGTTGGAACTGTGACCCTGGCCGCTGCAACGACTGCCCCCCAGCGCGTCGAGTCGCGATACAGCTTCTCGACCCGAGCCGTGCTGCTGAAGAACCCCCACGGACTGAAATCGCGGGTCGCAGCGACGAGGGACCTCCAGCTCTCGCGAGCTAGGGGCGCCCAGATCGCCTCGTCCGAGCCCGCCACAGCATCCCAAAATCGAAGCGCCACCGAATGAACGATGTCGCCAATCGAAATCAAACCCAAGCCACCGTCCTCCCGAGCCTGGAACACGAAATCGCGAGCGACGGTATTTCGCCCTGCTCCTCCCCAGACAAAGTCCGTAAGTGCCGTCTCCGCCGCCTTAATGAACCATTGAGGCGGTATGTCGAAGGACAGCACGTGGAGGACCGTCGAGATGATGTGAGCGTTGGCATAGAAAACCTTCCCACTCGGCGAAAGTGTCCGGTCTCGAGCGGCGCGGGCCTTGGCCTTGATCCTGTCAAGAACATGGGTCCAGAACAGTTTCGAGTCACCGTGGCGAAAGAAGGCATAGCCGCACCACTTGAAGCTCTCCCCCTCCTGCACCGTTGGCAGCGCCTGCGCAGTCTCGTCCCGAAGCCAGTTCGGTCCGAGTGGTAGCACCAGCGTCTTGTCCGTGTTGGTCTTCCCGTTGGTAGCCTCGTACCACGTCTGCGACAGCGTTTGCAGCTTCGACAATGCCGCCGGTGACTCCACCACCACCACAGCATCGTCGGCAAACGCCAGATGCGTAAGCTGCGCACGCGGCCCCCCTGGCCACACCTTCTGCAGGTCGAGCGCGATCCCGCGCCGAACGAGGGCGTCGAGGAAGGGCTGGAACGTGATGTTCCAAACCGGGCACGAGAGGGGATCCCCCTGACCGAGACCACACAGCAACCGCACCAAGTCCGTGGGGAACCCATTGACAAGGTAGCGCACCCCCAGAGTCTCGGGATCGTAGAGAGCGCGCAGCAGCGAGATGAAACGCTCACCGAACCCAAAGGCCTCAAAGACCTCGAAGATCCAGGCGTGATCGACCCGATCGTACGCGCTCTGCTGATCCAAAGACAAGAGGGCGCCCTCGGGGAAAACATCAGTGCCTAGCGACTTGAGTTTTTCGAGAAGGAGAGTGAGATGACTATGGTTTTTTTTTTTTTGTAGAAACTGTTCATCATATTGCCCCCAAGTCCTGTTCCCCCTGATTGGCCTACGGAAAAACTAGATGGAAGTCGACGATGATAACACAAACCGCCCGCAAGATGCGAGAAACGGGCCAAGTCCACCAATCCGATACTTCGGATTCAAGTGCCCCAGCCAAGCGGTTGCTCCCCCCCAGGAGACGAATGAGAGAGAGAAGAGAAAGAGAGAAAATGAAAAAGAACTGGCGTACTAACGACAAGAGGCCCACCCCGCACCCACTTCCCAACTCGGTCGAGACAAAGACAGGAGAGCGACTGCGCAGCTACCCTGACCCGCGAAGTCCCCAAGTCTATGCTCGGTCACAACAAGACGCGGTGGAGGCCCCTCAAAACCTCCACCTCAGCAGTCCCTGGCCCCTCAAAGCCGACTTTCTGCCTGTGTCTGCTGATCCCTCCCTTGACTCAGAACCCCGAAGCCAAAGAGCGCGAGCCACCGTCGAGTCAATCCCAAATCGCGAGCCGGTCCATGAGCAACGGAGGCAGACCTGTAATAAAAGAAAGAAAGATGAAGAAAATATATTTAGTATACAGTTTTTGTAAGAGGATGTGTGATGTGGGGTGTGTGAGTGTGGGATCGGGTGGGGGGAAATCGAACCCAGCCTCTACTGCCCTCGCCCGCCCCTTGCTCCCCCCGCCCTCAACTTCATCCTCTCCTCCAGTACCACCCTCCTCCGCTCCAGGCTTTCCATCCTCGTCCCGTGCTTCTGCATCCTCCATCTCCCACTGCTGATCATCTCCAAGACCATCCCCGTGAAGATCTCGATCGTCCTGCCTGCGCCTTCCTGTTCGCTGAGCTTGGCCTTGAGCTTGGGGAGGCCAAAGAGTCGTTGTAGTGTCGTGTACTCGGCGTCCTCGATCGTGTCGCATCCGAGCGCGTCGCAGAGCACGCCCCTTGCCGCGGTCCAGATGTTCCGCGAGTCGACGCAGCCGAAGAAGTAGTGATCGGTGTCGTCCACCGGCGCTTCGCACACGAGGCACGCGGGAGAAGTGTCGTGCTTTTGCTCGTGCTGGAGTTTGCGCGTCGGGGTGAAGCGGAGGATCAGCTTGAACCAAACTTCCCTCTCCCTCGCCGTCAGTGCCTTCGAGTTGACTGCCTTCCAGAAGCTCCTGAGGTCGTCCGGCTGCGGTGGTCCCTTGAGCCCGAGCATGTTGGTAAATGCCTTCGCGTTCAGGACCCGGCGGATGCGACGGACTGTGTAGGGGCGAGCCATGTTCAGCAGCGTATACTGGCTCGCCTGTTGTGGAAGCACCGGGTCCGGAAGGCGCTGCTCCATTGCGAAGCGGGCCACGGGCTTGGGGATGATCGCCTCGAGTGGTGCGCTGGTGCCGATCCGGGGAGGCACGTTGAGTCGTCCCGCCGCCACCGCCGCCGCCAAGGGGGTGTTCTTGTGTCGATCGACAGTGAACCGGTACCAGGCCGCGATTGCCAGTCGCTGCGGGAGCCCGCGTCGATCGTACTCGCTGTTGTCGCCGAGCACATCCGCCGGCGGCGTCCAGAGGTGAAACCCCCCACCCGCATACAACTCGCGTCGATAGAGATCCGCCACCTTCGGGTAGCCCTGGAGACGAAGGTAGTCAGGTACATGAACCGCGTCGATGGTCTGTCTCCCTCTGATGGGGGTGTGGAGGCTGCCGAGCAGGGTGGGCAGCGCGAGCAAGTTCGCGGTGGTCAAGGCCCTCGGGTTGACCTGCGCGTCGTGAAGTTTCGGAACGCCCAGTGCGGCGTGCCATCGGGGATGAAGGTCGTTGGGGATGGGAGTGGATGGATGTGGCCAGAGATCGGTGGCCAGGTCGAGGTCGGGCTGAGCTCGCTGGAGTGATGCGCGCGCAAGTCCTTGCCAAATCGCGCCGGAACCGCCGAGAAGAACGTCCCAGAGCCGTGCCGCAACCGCGTCCACAACGTCCCGCATCCTTATCACCCCGAGTCCCCCCTTGTTCTTGGCGGTGAACACAATGTCTCTGCCGTAGCTGGTCCTGCCCTTGCCCCCACGGACGAAATCGACGAGCATGTCATCGAGCTTCTTGACGACTTCGGGCGGCGGGATGTCGGCTGCAAGGAAATGCAGGATCTTGGGAATGGCGTACCGATTGACGTAAAAGGCACGGGTGTGGTGCGTGAGCCAGCGATGCTGAACCGCTTCCAGCGTCGCCTCGAGCCGTTCGATGAGATTCGCGTAGGCGAGTTCGGTGTCGCCGCTGGGGTCGAAGGGGAGGCCGATCCACTCGAGCGACTCGCCTGCGGCCTTGACGACGATTGGCCGTTCCCCAGGGTCCCAGCGACGTCCAATCGGTAGGACGACCGTCTTGTCCGTGTTGAGCCGGCCATTCGTTGCATGCCTCCAGTCGAGCGCCAGGTCGTCGAGCAAGTTGAGTGACTCCGAGCCCGCGACGGCGACGACGACGTCATCGGCAAACGCAAGGGATGTAATGGCGCGGCTCTGTGGGTAGGGGTGAATGGTAGGAAGCGAGAGGTTCAGCGCGATGCCTCGACGGTGCAGAGCATCCAGGAACGGCTGGAACACGACATCCCAGACCGACGACGACGCCGGGTCCCCTTGGCCGAGCCCACACGTCAGCCGCACCGGCGGAGTCAAGAAGCCGTTGATGATATATCGCGCCGTGGTTGAGTCACCCGAGTAGAGCATCCTCAGAACGCGTTGGAAGGCGGCAGGAGCGCCGAGAGCGTCGAAGATGGCGAAGATCCATTCGTGCTCGACGAGGTCGTAAGCCGACGATTGGTCAAGAGACAAGAGCGCCGCGTCAGGGAACTCGGTGCCGCGCGCGCCCAGCTCCTCGATCAAGAGTCGCAGGTGGAATGACGCGTCCGCCGATCGGCGGCCCTTGACGAAGCCGTGCTGTTGCGGTGGGAGCAGGTCCGGCAGCACGTGGTTGAGTCGCGCAACGTAGACCTTGGTGAAGAGCTTGTAGTCGCACTCGCGCAAGGTGATGGGCCGGTACGACGAGAGCTCGGCGCGATCGGCCCCGATCTTGTGGTGCTTGAAGAGCAGGCGAGCGAGTCCTTGCCCCTGCTTCGGTGAAAGCGAGCCGCGCTCGGTCATCGCGTTGAAGGCCCTGCTCAGCGCCTTGGCCCACGCCCGCGGCGCTGTGTGATAGAGCTCGTAGGGCACGCCAGATGGACCCGGCGATCGACCGGGGTGTGTTGTTGCGATTGCGGCTACGACCTCGTCCTCGGTGATGGGTTGCTGCAGCAGCTCGATGTGCGCTTCCGAGAGTCGTCGCAGAAAGAGCGGGTCCGAGCTCGGGTCATCGCAAGTGCGCGCCGACCTGATCGGCGCCAAGAAATCGTCCCTAAGTCGCTCGACGTGGTCCCGATCGCGCGGCTCGAGATCGTAGAGGCGCTGAAAGTGCGCCTGTGTGTGGTCAAGCGCGACGTCAATGTCATGTGTCAGCTCTCCGTTGGGCAATCGCAGTGCTGTGATCTTGGAATCCGAACTCCGTGCCGCGAGCTTGGCGTGGACCGGCCGCGACAGTCGTTCCTCGGTAGCGATTTCGGGTACGTGGGCTCGGATCCGAAGTTGGCGCGCGCGCTCGTTGACCGCTCGCCTAAGTTCCTCCGTCGTCCGCGTCCATTCGGCCGTCTCCTCGTCCCCCATCACCGGCAACGCCTCCAGATCCTGCACCCTTCCCACCAAGACCGCCATCCGCTCCACCCGCTCCCGATGCTCCCTCCTCGCCAGCTCCCGACCCTCCTTCGCGCAGTTCCCCAGCACCACCTCGAGCTCCCCCACCGGTTCCTCCCCACTCGCTCCTTCCAACCATCCTTCCAACATCCCCTGGAACTCCGCCGTCTTGAAGGTCGCCGCGTTGATACGATGTAATTGGTTTGATGTCGTTGGTAAACTGTTGTTGGGTTGAGCCGCGTCTCCTCGCTCGTCCGAGAGAACTAGGACGATCGAGACCGGTCGGTGATCCGAAAGGTCCTTGGGGTGGTCGTAGATCGTCGAGGCTTGGACGAGTCGCTTTTGGTGGGTGCGCTGCAGAAGGAAGTAGTCAAGTCGTGAAAAGGACTTTGGTCGCTTGCGGACGATATTGGGTCGAGTGAAAGATGGTGTGAGCGGGTGTTTGAATCGTATGCAGTCGGTGTAGGGCGAGTCGAGCTTGCCGATCAGGATCGGCCAGTGATGGCCGTGCCGACCTTGGTTCCGCCGATCGATCGCCGGCAGCGGGCAGTCGTTGAGATCGCCGCCGAGGAGTCGAAGGTGGGTGCTCTGCGTCCTGTGGAAATGTAGTTTGTCAAAGAATGTGAGTCGTTGTTTTGTATCGACTGGTGCGTAAATGTTGTTGATCTCGAGTATCCGGATGTCGCCTCGAAGTCGAAAGGAGGTGACCAGGATTCGTCCGTCGAGTGCCGAGTGGGTGCGCAAAATCTCGGCGTCGATCAGGGGCGAGTCGGCGGGGATCAGAGTCAGACAGTGTTTGCTGATGAAGACCTTGCCCTCGTACTCGTCCTTGATACATTGCCAGAGTTCCGGTTTGATGAAGTGTTCTTGTAGTAGAATGGCGGATGCTTTGAATGTTGATAAATAGGTGTAAATGTTGCGTCGCTTTTCCGGGATCCCCATGCACCTCCTCACGTTCCAGCTGGTGATGGTGTGCTTGATCATTATTGGATAGACGATGTAGACGTGCTCTTGGCGGTAGTGTCGTCCTCAAAGAGTGGGAATTCGGGGAGAATGAAGCGGGGCATATATTTTGTGAGTGTCCTGTATCTTAGATCTTGCGCAAGAAGCCAAGAAATGCCCGGTTAGCTCAGTCGGTAGAGCACCTGACTCTTAATCAGGTTGTCGCGGGTTCGAGCCCCGCATTGGGCTTTGGATGAAGTGTCCTTTTCGCGGCCCGAAAAGCGGCCCGACGACGGCCACAGGGGCCTAATACGACGCGTGCGGTGGGTAGCTGCTGGGGTCGATATGTGGTTCACGTTCACTCTTTTTACAAAAAGTGTGATTGGAGCGAGTTCGGACAGATTCAAAGCCATGTCACGCTTGCTTCATGTCTCGTCAAAGGGCGACGCATTTGCTGGGGACATAGTTACTTCACGCTGCCTCTTGAACGTTCTCGACCTGGTTTTTGCATTGCGCGCAGATAAAAGTTGTCCCGCGAGCGCATCAAAACTGTGGAGCAGCGAATTCCCAGGTCTCATAGTCAGAGGACTGGCTACAATTCCTTTTTGCGGCCTGAAAAGCGGCTTGGCGACGGCGACAGGGGCCTAAGACCACTTCTCCGCCACCGCCGCGTTGGTATGATGCACTACCGAATTCGCTCAAGCGTTGGGGAAGCACCCTTTTTGAGCTGAGCACCCGCGGCGCGCTCTGCTGTTGATATTCACGCTTTTGGTAAAATTTGTGTAAGGCGCCGCTCCGCATACGCCTCACGACGACCTCGAGCCAACCTCTGCGGCCTCACGCTTGCCCTCGCGCGCGGCGCCGCCGCGTCTCTTGACCTTAGTCCTTTTAGTAGTCTTTCTTCGCCTGCGAATTACACCGTTTGATCCTTTCTGTTTGGACTCGGAATCAGTGAGGCTCGAGAGCAATCTCGTGCCTTTCAATTTGAGCGGATGTCATCATCCATAAAATGGACCGGCACCCGGATGCTGAGCAAACATTTGGGAACCCGCATCCTTTTTGCACAGCATGATGCAGCTTCTTGAATGCTTGCAGAGTGGGTACTCGGTGGGCGACTGCCTGCAAGTGTTGAGGCTGATCCCCACTGTGATGGGGACTGCGGCGCGAAAGAGCTCGCAAATACGGGGTTCTACGATCACAAAACGTGTACAAAGCGATGAGCCCCAATCTAGCTTGTGGAGGTCTTGGCGAAGCAACTTCATCAGATGCTGCGTGATTCCGCGTTTTCGCGTATTGCTAGGCGAGGCAAGAAAGCCCTTTTCAGAATACACAAGGCTCGGTTTGATATTGAAGTGAGCTTCTGGTATGTATGTTCAGTAACAAAAAATTGATCTACGTCACAGAGCCTAGCAGCACGAGTTCCTGGAACAACAGAATGTCCTTGATGTGCCATTGTGGTGCAGTGCTCGAATAATCAAGGCTAGACAGCCCTTGCTTGTACGATATTTTACTGAATCTCAAAGTGTATCTTTTGGGCATGTATCTTGTACTCCAAGGAGCGATTGACCGCTGCTCTCGCAAATTGCTTCACATCTTTGCATCGATTGTTTGTGGAGGATAAGCATGGACGCCGCGATGTACCTACATCGTGTTATCGACAAAGTGTGGAAAAATGTGGACCCTGTTCATGGAGTCGAAGAGATTGAATTTGGATTACATACTCGCCGCAAGCCAGAGACTACTCACTACTGTGCTTCATGGCTGGCAACACTCTTGCTCTCGCGGCATTAGCCACCGGATCATCTTGGCCCTCAGGCATGCGCTACGCCTTTTTCAGGTCGAACACAATATAAGAAAACGATGACCACAAAACGTAGCCCTCGCAGCTGACAGGAATCGTATGACTTGGTGGTCAGCGGATCAACTCATTATTTCAGACAGCTCGAAACTCCGAGCTCTAAGCTCCTAATAGGGCAAACTCCAAGATAAGCTTCCACCCCTACTTCCCAAGATGTGACTCGGTCTTCTCCACGGTAATTGCCCTGCGCGAATCCAATTCGTCCGGCCATGCGATATTCACGTAAAAACACGCGCTACCGAAAGTACGAAAGACAAAGACGCCGATCATCGTCCGAGTGGCCCGTCGGCGCCGCCCCTGTCGAGGCTGCCACAGCCTAACAACTTCTTCACGCGCTCTCACCCGCGCAGACTACCAAACGAGATACTCGACGAAATAACACACCACATCTAGCCCCGAGTATTGGACGGTCTCAACAGCGATGAGGATGCAGATCCTCGTGACTGCGGGTTCAGGGGCTTTCACCGTACTTACGGTTGCCAGGACCTGGTGAAAGCCGCTCTCGGATGCCGGGCGTGGAGCAGGGCCTGCCGGCAACACCTTTTGACTCTGTCTAGTTCACGAGTAATGCTACAGCTACCTGTGACACACCCCTTTCAGACCGGCAGGCACTGTTACTGAGTCCCGAGTGCTACGACACGAACGCCAAGTTTGAAGACCTCTTTGCCCGTATCACACCCCGAATCTCTGCCCTTCGATATCTGGACGTCTCGATGGACACCATGATGGTGTTTCTCAGTCAGACAGTATGTCGAGCTTCCAAGGTTTTGGGGTAGATGGGAGAGACGCTATGAACATCGCAAATAATACACCGGAGCGAAACTCCAGTCAGTCATCATGCGAGGGCGAATGAAGAAGGAGAAACGAGCGGAAGTATAACTCAGACGCAAGCTAATAAACAAGCAGCCAGGCTCTTGAAAGGCGCGAGATGGCTCTCAAACCTCACTGAATCTGAGTCCCAACTGAAAGGATCAAACGGTGTAAGTCGCAGACGAAGAGAAACTACTGAAAGGACTAAGGGCAAGAGGCGCTGCGGCGTCGCGAGCGAGATCAAGCTTGAGGCCGCTGAGGCCGGCTCGATGTCGTTGTGATGCGCTGACGGAGCGGCGCCTTACAGGAGTGAGCCGTGTCAAATTTCCCCAAGCAATCGTTCGTGCTGTCCCTGTGGTTCATCGGATGACGGTGCATTCGCCGCTTCCACATGTCACAGACTCTTCATCAACGTCGCAAATGGTTGCTCGAGCACGTCCGTCTGGCGACACGGCTTCGTGTGTCCATGGCATCGACCGCGAGGGATTCCAGATGCCTCGAGAAGCGTGCAGGCCGTCAAACTGTTGTTCTGCACTTCTGATTCCGGAAGCTCGATCGGTTCAGGAGGCTGTCCCTTGTTGGGGTGGGATCAGGTGGGATCGATCTGGGAGGCTGCTGCTGGAGTGAGGATCGTTGAGAGTGCGCCAGGAAGGACTGGCATCTACAGATGGATAGGAATTTAGGTCACTCTTTTAGGGTGCGCCGAGCCGCAAAGGCGAGCTTAGACTCTGTAACTCACGCTCGTCGCAACGGAGCAGGACACACTTGGACGGCATTCAACAGGCCATAGCATTTCTTGAAGAAGTCCAAGCACTCGTCGTCAACCAGCAAAGCCAATGCAGGACTGGGATGATAATCGAGCGAGAGAGGCGAGCCGAACTATTGAGAGGTGAACGGGTGGGTTGGCTTGCATGAGCGCATCCTCTTCCGGGATGACTTGTCGCACGAACATCAATTTGAACGCTTTGATCGATGTTTCGGGAGGTGAGAATAATCAAACGACTCGTCTGCTGTGAAAGGGTCGAACTCTCGATTGAGGAACTCACAATACTTGCTCTCGACCTCGACCTGGCCGAAGTGAGCGACGAAACGTTCAGTCGCGTGTGCCCGATCGTCCCTGCAGTGCGCATCAGGCGCGCTCGAAACGTTGAGAGCTCGGGGAGGAGGTTCGAGCCAAAGGATCCGCAGCCGAGGAGGTAGATCGAGGAGAGGGGCTCCATCTGAATGTAAATAGCCTGTGGCGGTAGGTGCAATGTGGGGAAAAGCGCCCGAAGGATGATTGCGGTGGGGCTGGCCGCTCGAGAGTCAGGAGTCGGGGATCAGACAAGACAACGCCTCGGGCACTCACCTTCTTCCTCCCTTCCCTCGACGCAGAATAAGCGGAAGCATGGTCCAGCATTGATCGAATATACATGGGCTACTTCATCAGAGTCTATTCGTCCACAGTTAGGTATTGTTGGATTTGGGCGTTTGGCGCATCAAGGCATTCTAGGCAGGGTTTATTATCAGTGGGGTATTAGGGAATTAGGGAGTGCGGTCGGCGCGCGCGCGAGTCTTTTCCGTAGCTTTTCTTCTCTTTTCCGCCCACTGGTAACTCACTGTTTCGGACTTTACGACCGTGCACCGTATCGACACAATCTCATCGTTTGGCCGACCAACGAAAGTTACCAGAACTGTGCGGAAATCTAACAGGTATGACCCCTCTGCACGGGACACCGCCAAATCCCACACGAGTCGCGGACGGCGCTCCTGGTGCCCCAACCTCCATGATAAGTCCGCTAATCATTCCAGCTCGGCGACAGAAAGAACACATGACGTCGGGGTGGCTCTAGCTTCCGTTCAGCTAGTCTGCACTTCATGGAATGCATCACCAGTCAATCAGTACACAATGTGGCTTCTCCTTCACTCCTCGGCGGGCGAGAAAAGCGGCACAGCCATTGTCATGGCGAAGCTGGCGTGTATCTTGGCTTTCGTATCGCAGAAATATTCTCAAGTGGAACCTGACGATGATCACGACTCAGTCCAATGAACAGGGACGAGACCAGAGTGGCCAGAGACTAAGGATTAGACTTTCGGAAGTTTAGAGAGAAAAGCGTAAAGCGCCCAAGAAGCGAGAGTAGAGACTAGCAAAGTAGGGAGATTGACTTACCAGAGGAACGAATAACACCACATTGGGCTCAGTTCCAAGTATCATATAAGGAGCTCACAATACTCAGGTGAATAAACGTACAACCAGATATTCCTGACACTATGCACGCCGCGAGACGAGACGGAGAATAAGGTACAAAGGAAGTATGAACTTTCGTATATAGGCTACAGATTATGGCGGAACGAGAATGCGGTGTATGGTATACACGGCAGTAGAAGCGGAGAAGAGTTAGAGGACCGAAACGAGGACGCTGAGAGATGAATCGAAGACAGAAAAAGAGCCGGCGGCCGAATCGGTGAAGGGGGGTGTAACGTTAAACACTCCGAGACGTGAAAACGAGGCGACGCAGCACGCATAGAATGAGAATCATTCAAAATCCTGAATTACATCATTGCAAAAGTGGGCCACTCAAAGAATACGAATACATCTCTCCCGGGACCTCCAAATCGTTCGAATTGATCTCCGTTTCGCCTCTCGATCCGCCTACTAATTGTTCGTGCACTTCGTCATCATCATCCGCGGTGCTGTCCCTCTTCGTGTCGTCCGCTTGCGAGACCAGACACGCTAACGAGAGTGAGGGCCGGGGCCGACCCAGCTCTGGCTTGATACAAAAAAACTTCAGGCTTGATACAAAAACAAAAAAAAATAAAAAAAAAAAAAGCTCTGACACGTGCGAGCATGTCCCTGCGGTCCACACGTGACATCGTGTGAGTCTCAGGCTGCAAGACGATACGATGTCACATGACGAAACGATCCACTCGAGGTTTGCCTTCAAGTTGATTGCGTTTCCTGCGACGCACATGTCGACCATCCCATCTCGAACGTGAGCCGCCGAAAAAGAATGCTTTGGAACAGCACACCCGAAGACCTGGCGTGACTCGATCGGCTGGAAGCCGTACTTGTCGAACCCTGGATGTACCTCCGCGAAGCACGGTATCCGAGGCCTGAGGACGGTTCGACGTCCCTCCGACTCCCGCCTATACCAGTGAGGGCCCTGGCGAATCTAGTCCCAGTACCTAGTGAATTCTGAGAGCCAGTTGGAATTCACAATTAATTACGACATGAATCACTGCTGACGCCGGACTCTCCCGGCCCAAGTTCGGGGCTGGCGGCCTGGAGCCGTGCCAACGAATAGAACTGACCTGACCACTCAGGGCGAGCTGAGGTGCACCAAGAATGACAGAATGCCAAGCCAAACAGTGTAAAATCAAATATAGAATTCTCGCCGCCGATCGCGCGAATCAGATGACGCGCGCGCTTTCGCCCCGCGCCTCGACCTCCCCTCCCCTGTCACCACTGCCGCAACGCCACGCCCAGACCGACTCGACCAAGGGCACGACCATGTCGACCACACAGCAAGCCGCTCCGACCAGTGCCCACCATGTCGCGATCCCGACTGTGACAACCACTGAGCCGTCGGACAGCGAGCGAACGGCCGCGTCCGAAGCCCAGTCCGCTGCCACTCACCACGATTCGGCTGCGGGCACGGAGCGCACGAGCGCGCTCCATGGCTACGGTTCGACGAGCAAGATGGTGACGTTGCCGTCCGATTCGACCCCGACGGACCGATCCGATACCAACGACGATACCACGCCGCCGTCGGACCAGCCCTTCTCGCGTCGCAGCACGCGAGCGTCGGCCGGCGCAACCGCTGCCGCGGGCGAGGGGGCCTTTGAGAAGTTGCCGCTCAAGAAGCGACTGACCGATTTGCTGATCGCCGAGCGAAAGATCTCGCGAGAACCGACCTTGAAGGAATCGTTGTGGGCCATCATCACCGCGACCTGGCTCAATGTCTTGCTCGTATTCATTCCCGTCAGTGCCATCTCCTTTCTTTGATTCTTTGAGTCACTCGGAGGTGCTGCCACTACTAGCTCGTGGTGCCGCGATACTGGGGGTGGGGCTTCTGTCGAGAGCCCGACGCAGGTACATTGGCGGCACCAAGGGCAGTCAGGACCGCCGACCGGTTGTCAATGCGGGTTGGGACGACTGCCCGAAGCTGACGGCGAGCGTCAACAATCCTCTGTATTCTTCAGGTCGGATGGGCGCTTCATTTCGCCAAGGTCAACGACACGATCATCTTCATCTTCACCTTCTTGTCGATCATCCCTCTGGCCAAGATGCTGGGCACCGGCACCGAAGAGCTCGCTCTGCGGGTCGGCCAGACGCTGGGTGGGTTGCTCAACGCCACGCTTGGTAACGCGGTGGAAGTGAGTCTCAGTATCTCGGCTGCATACCTGCGCCTGCGATCCTGCAGTGATGGCTCGGGGCGGAATCTGACTACCCCGCCGTGCCCCATGCCCATCCGCAGTTGATCATCGCCATCATTGCGCTCGTCAAATGCGAGATCCGCGTAGTACAATCGTCTCTGCTGGGTTCGATCCTGTCCAACCTCCTCCTGGTGATGGGGATGTAAGTTCGAGGTTGCCTTGTGAGCTTCGAATCCGAGCTGATGCAGCGCCGCCTCGAGCACCCTCGGCTTCACATCGATCGGGCAGGTGCTTCTTCCTCGGTGGCCTGCGCTACAGCGAACAGGCGTTTGGGGGTGCCGCGGCCCAGCTCAACAGCTCGTTACTCGTCATTTCCGTCATCGCCATTCTGGTTCCAGTCAGTTTTCTGTCGTCGTGCTGCGACACTCGCTGAGGGCAAAAGCTGGTCAATAACCTGACGCGTCTTTCTTGTCGGACCCTTTCGACGAACAGGCCGGATATTCCGCGGCCTTCCGCGACACCAACTCGGATTCGTTCGAAAAGAGTTCCATCCTGTCTATGTCACGAGGAACCTCAATCTTGCTCTTACTCACTTGTAAGCACTGACACCAGAGAATCGCAATTGAGCAGTCGACTGACTAAGAACCTGTACTTGGGGACAACAGACGGCGCCTACCTCAGCTTCCAACTCTTCACACATCCGCACCTGTACGTTGAGGCCGCACAACAAGACAACGGTGAGGATTTCACCAAAAAGCTCAAGCTGGGGAGAAAGGAAAAGACGGCGTTCAAGCCCGCCAAGTCGGTCCGCAAGCCTCGCCAGGCCCTCGTCGACCCCGAGGAAGGCGCAGTGCAAGACGACGACGACGAGGAAGTGCCCACGCTGACGCTCTGGGCGGCCGTCGGTCTACTTGTCGTCGCCACGGTGCTCATTGCGATCACGGCCGAGTTCTTGGTCAGGTGAGGGAGAGCGCCTCCGTCGTAGCGACGCGGCACCCAAACTTATGCGCGGTGACTGCTGCGCAGCTCGATCAACGGTTTGACAGAGCAGCACCCCGAGATCAGTGTGGAATGGGTGGGATTGATCCTGCTCCCCATCGTCGGGTAAGTCGATCGTGCCCTGACTTGCCGTACGATTCAGCTATACGAAACTAACATTACGTGCGCTTGACTTGCAGCAACGCTGCCGAGCATCTGACGGCTGTCGCAAGTGGTCTCCACGACAAGCTCGATCTCGCGTTGGGCGTCGCCGTGGGCTCCTCAATCCAGATCGCCCTTTTTGTCATACCCTTCATGGTCACGCTCGGCTGGATACTCAACAAGCCGCTCTCGCTCTTGTTCGACCCGTTCGAGTCGATCGTCCTCTTCCTCTCGGTCCTCATCGCGAACTACACCCTGCAAGACGGTCGATCCAACTGGATGGAAGGATGGTTGGTGCGTCGGGACATGTCTCGGGCTCGTACGATGCATGCATCTGACCCGTTTCTCCCTTGACCCGTTTCCCCCTTTGTACTGCCGACTTTACCCTCTAGCTCATGATGGTATATGTCATCATCGCGGTCAGCTTGTAAGTAAATGGCCTAACGAGTGTCGATGTCTGGACTGCAATGGCTGACTGCTCTCCCAACTCTTGTCCGCACAGGTGTAAGCCCTCGAACGAGAGCGCTAGACCTGGAGGGCTGACCACGAGAGCTCAAAGCTGACAGACAATTTGTTCGTTTGCTGCTCGTTCAGGGTACTATCCCTCTGGCACTACGCCCGAAGCGGCGCTCTTCACCTGCTGAGTCGTGCACGACGACAGTTTCGATATCCTTCCTCTTCGTTCCTTCCAACCCCATTTTTGATCTGGGCCGTGATCATTCCACACTCATCGAGCACATCTATCACTCGTTGGTCAACACTGTACCACTATATTGTAAACGCGATCGCCTTTGGCTTGGCATTTTTCATTCTCGGTGGTGTTCTCTACTTTATTCGACACGGCTTGCAGTGCTTCGCCGATGAATCTGCCCACAATCGGGCATGTACTTGTCGTGCCGGGGTGCTGTGCTGATAATATACTTAAACACGCAACGGCTCGATGAAGGCCTCGAGAGACAGTGATCAAGGCGAGTAAATGTTCTTGGACTCCAGACCTCAGCCGGCGACTTTGTTCGAGAAAATGAGCTCGGTCTCAGAACTGCGGGTTGGCTCGAGAGTAATAGCAGTGGCCGTACTGTGGCCGTCCGAGAGGACCCCCGAAAGCCCAGCCAGAGGCGGCCCGCAAATTTGGACATTCTGGCGACCGGAAAATCCGCTAGGCATCCCACAAATTTGGACATTTTTGGCTCAAAATGGGTCGAGGCTCACCTCATTTTTGGACATTTTCCTCCCTCCGGTCGAACTTTGAAGCGCAGACCAGGGTAGCGGGAGGCTGGAGGCGCAGGGCATACACTGAGGGGCTTTTTGGCCTGGTTTTTCCAGGCGCGCGGGTGGAAATACCAGGCGCCTGGAAATACCGGCGGCTATCAATTGGTAATTGCACCATTTGCTCGCGGCATTAACCCATTTTCCCCTGGAAATACCCAGGCGCGTGGTAAAACCAGGCGCCCTGGAAATACCAGGCTGTCGGGTACTACCCAGGCGCGCTTTTGTAAATACCAGACGAGACCTCGGGTATTCCCCTCTGAGGTGGAATTCCCCGCTCTCAACGGCCCTCAGTGATAGCCGGCCCAGCGGCGCGCTGTTTGCGTTTGGAGCGCGTTAGTGTCTGCATTTGCTGTAAGGTATGCGCCTCTGATGTGCATAAAATACAGTCTGTCGTTCTTGACCGCTAGGCTAAAAGCAAGTTGTAACTAGAACTCGATAGTTCTAGCTACTCAGAGGCTACTTATGGGGCTGTTCCTATGAGGCATTCCCTTACATTTGCGATCGTTTATCGTTTTTTGATCGTCTCTCGCGATCGCTCGGAACGGCGACTTGTCGAGCTACGTCTCCTCTTCTTCCTTTCGATCTGGAAGCTCTCTCGCCGAGAAATATCTTTCTTTTCCTAGTCGGTCGATAGATTCACAGGGTTCGCCGGCGCTGATTCTCGTCGAATTCTTTGGAACCGATCACCGAAATGGCACTCGAAGAGCTCCGGGCGTCAATTCAGGCGTCCAAGGCTCGCCTTGTCTCTGTAAATCACCCAAGGGGGATTTGGTGGGCATGATTGATTCTGATTCACGGTCAATGAACACTACTGGCCTAGCCAGTGTGCTCAACTGCATCTCCTCCGGATCCGACTTCCCCAGAGATTTCTAGATATTAGGATATAGCGCCCGGCTGTGAACCTTATTTTGTCGTGCATTCTTTTTAAGTAGATGTAGATTACAGTGTCATTTAAATACATCAAGTGACAAATGAATAAACAAAGATGAGATCCTATTCGAGTCCTTTTCATTTCGAAAAAGGCTCGTTCGCGGTCGCGCTGGCGGCGTTCTGGGCTCTGGGTGCTTGGTGCGCGCGCGCAACCTTTCCCGCCCGCGCGTGGCGGGAATGCAGTCTGCGCGTAGCGCAGAAAATATTCTGAGCATTGTACAGCTTGTAGAGTAGTTTTGAGAAATTATTCAACACCCGGGTTTCATATTTGGACATTTTCAGTCAGAATCCGGGAAAAAATTTGGACATTTTGCCTTGAAAAAGGCCGTTTTTAGAGGGCCGCCTATGGCTGGGCTTTCGGGGGTCCTCGTCCGAGTGAGTCGGAGCGCACCAAGGGTCTGTGATCTTACACCCAGCGCGCCATTCTACCTACTACCGCCAAACATCGACCATGTCGCAGGACTCCAAACCCCAAGACGCTGCCCTCCACACGCCGACTGTCTCCTTCCCTTCCGTCAAACGAAACGATCCGGACGCGCTCGCGCGCAGTTACACTTTCCACAGCGTCGATCTCATCGAGGTCGCGTCGAGCGCAAAAGACAAGGGCAAGGCCCGCAAACCTGCCATCGAGGGTAAATGGATGCTAGGTGTTGACGAAGCAGGCCGTGGACCGGTTCTAGGTACGAGCAATCGGCTGTGACGCCGGACCGAGTCAGGCATAGCCGCTTGTCGGAGCGCGTCGCGACGCGTCAGAGCGGACGAGATGGCTGACCCTTCGCTCGCCGGCTCCGCAGGTCCTCAAGTGTACGGCATCGCCTTTTGTCGGGTAGAGTACTCGGAAGAGCTTCGATCCCACGGCTTTGCGGGTGCGTTGTGCTGATGTTGCAACGTGGTCGACCTCGATACTGACGTGTTCGCGTTGGGTTCATCTACGCTCTCCTCCGGCAGATTCTAAAACGCTCAAAGATTTCGAGCGCGAACAATTGCTCGAGGTCATCATCAATGACGCCAAGAATGTGCACTACGCTTGCACGGTTATGTCTGCGCACGATATCTCGCGAGGCATGCTCAGGAGGACCCCTTATAATCTGTCAGTAGCTGGTGCCTGCCCGAAAGCTGTGCGCAGCTTACATTGAAGTGAACCCCGATGCTGACTAACCGTCACAATCACCTTCTTCAGCAATGCACAATCGCATGACGTTACAATCAAGCTCATCAAAGACGTCATTGACCGAGGTTACAACATTACCCAGGTACGTCCACGCGTGCTCGAGTGTTGATCATCAACTAACGACAAACTCTACCATTCAGGCTTTCATCGACACGGTCGGTATCGCAGCCGATTACCAGCGAAAGCTCGAGCACCTCTTCCCCGCCGTCACTTTTGTCGTCACGTCGAAAGCCGACGCCATCTACCCCATCGTCTCAGCCGCTTCGATCGTCGCCAAGGTCACACGAGATCATTTCCTCGAAGCCTGGCCCATCTTGTCTTCAGCGAGCGTGCAGGTCCATGACGACGGCGAGGTTGAAGAGGCCAGAAATGTGTTTGGGAGTGGATACCCTTCAGGTGGGTCATCGGTGGACTGGGTTCAAGTGAAACACGATGTCAAAAGTGTCGACAATTACTCATCTCTCCTTGTCCTTGTGCCGCAAAAGATCCCAAAACGGTGGCTTGGTTGGAACAAAACGTCCATCCCGTGTTTGGGTACCCCAACATCGTTCGGTTCAGTTGGCAGACGGTCAAGACGATTCTCGACAAGAAGGCAGCCAAAGTCCAATGGTGAGCACATAGCGGATGCGGGCATCGGTTTGAAACGCACTTGAAACCGCGCTTCTCTTTTCAAATGTACTTGAACTGGGCTTCAAGTCTTGCGTGGCGAGCTCAAATACGTTTCGGTTTGTGGGGGGAGGTCTTTTCGCTGGGGAGCTTCATTTCTCACCAATGAAACAGCTCCATTTTCCCGCATATCTTTCTGACTTACCTCAAACCTCTCAATAGGGTCGATGAACCGGCAACGATCCAGAAGTACTTCTCCGTCGACGCCGAGACGGACGCACCGGGACAGAAGCAGTATGGCGCTTGGAAGGATTTCGGTCTCAGTTCCGTCAGCGCCTTCTAGGACCGAGAAGATGTCATTTTCCTCTCTTCAAGCCACCCGTCGGGGTGTTGTAGATCTCGTGTCTTGTTTTTGATCATTTTAGCACCCAAAGCCAGTAATGTTTTGACGCGAAGAAAGTAATGTCCAGAAAAGGCCCAGCAAATAGATGGAACCTTGTGGTCGAAGCCTCGACGAAAGCAGAGAACGAAAGGGTGAAGAAGGCAGCGCTTATATGAATATGAATACATCATAAACGCCAGACGATGACGCACAAAGATTTTGAACATACACACACGCGAAAAAGGGGTAGAGTAGGACGAAAGAAAGAAGGAATAACAGCTCGCAACTAAATGATGAATGGTAGGATGCTACAAAGGGTTTTATAGAGGACGGTGTGAAGAGGGCGCGAAGGAAAGAGGAGAAGAAAAGTGTCCAATTGAAACGTAAGATCGCAACTGCACACAGGAATCAGGTTGCCGGTGCGGTGACCCCCGCCTGGGCGAGACCTTGCGACAGTCGTCGACGATTTTTGGCCATCTCCTTCTTGAGTTGCACGCCGTCCAATGGCTGCGCAGAGATGGAAGGGCAAGCACGGATTAAGAGTCATCCGATGGCAGTGCAGGGTCTGGGCCACTTACTTTGAGCAATTCGAAAGCACACAAGAGATCCTCCGATACAGACATGACGGCGCCAAAGTTGTCAAACTCGCCGCAATAATTCGGTGCTGAAAAGATGGTGACCAAAGTGCGCTCGTTCCAGAACTCGTACCCGTCTACGCGCGCGATCCTCAATAGTCAGCTCAGAAACTACGCGAAGCGCGCCAGCAAAGCAAGAACTCACCTTCGACGACCATGTGTGCTCGGCAAATGAGGTCAAAGTCGTAGCGGGCCAAAAATGCGCCAATAACGGTCTTTCCGAAGCAATAACTAACACCACGCTCATTGTCCTCCCAGTCAAGCGCCGTATCGGACGGATCGGACCACAACAGATCGTTGAGCAAGCCATAGTCAGGCACGTCCGTCGGTCTCGATATCCGACGAATGTCGTCCATCGAGGACAGCGACGGCGACAGCCCACCGTGGACGCAAAAGATCTTGGACGCGACGACGGCCGCGATCGGCAAGCAGTTGAACACGTCGATGAAGGTTTTCCAAATCTTGATGTTGCACCGCCGTTTGCACTCATCGTAGAAGCCGTACACTGTGGCGCGGCAGAAGCCAGTCAGCACGACGACACGATTTCGTTTCGTTGCGTACGTGAGCATCCTCCACCCACCTCGCGTCACGTTCGCACACTCGTGGTTGCCTCGCAACAGGAAAAAGTTCTCGGGGTACTTGATCTTGTAGCACAGCAGCAGTAGGATCGTCTCGAGCGACTGTTTGCCCCGATCGACGTAGTCGCCGAGGAAGAGGTAGTTGGCGCTCGGCGGGAAGCCGCACATCTCAAAGAGCCGGATCAGATCCGAGTACTGGCCGTGCACGTCTCCGACGATCTTGACCGGTGGGGAGAGCTCGATGAGAGTAGGTTGCGACAAAAAGACCTCGCGAGCGGCCTGGCAGATGGCCGTGATCTCGGCGTTCTTGAGACAAACGGACTTGGTGACCTTACCCGAGTAGCCCGTGTCGAGCAGACGCGAGATCATGTCGTCAATGTCGAACGTCTGCGGTCGCGCCGGACTGGCTGGTGTTGTTGTCGACATGAAGTTGTTGGCTCCGCCGGCACTGAACCCACCGGCGGCGGCGGACGAGGCCGAGGAAGCGGCGCCGAGAGTGCCGACGCCGGAGCCGACCGACTGCTGCAGCGAGATGGGGTTGGCGAGGATGGTCTGCGTCGTCGGGATGTCGGCCATCGACGACGAGGACTGCACCGAGGTCGACGCGAGGCTGGACGCGCCATTCGCTGTAGCACCGCCGGCTGCGGCTGAGGCGGCGCCGGATGACGAAGGCGGCAGCGCCGTCCCGAGGCCCGTCGCATCGCCTGAGGTTGTGCCCGACGAGCGGGAAATACCGTCGTGTGTTCCCGCTCGGGATTGCGGGTCACCGGCTGTGGCCGATGTCGAGGACGACGATGGTGGGGCCGAGTTGGTGATGACGCCCGCGTTGAAGGACGAACCGACTGCGGCTGAAGCCGTGCTCGCGACCGACGAGGTGCGCTTGAGCTTCTTCTCCTTGCTCGACGAGTTACCCATCGTGGGCGGGTGCAAGCGGGAACTAGAGAAGTGGTGGTGGATGGGCTACAGTTGCGGCGGGCACAGCGGAGGGCGGCGGCGGCGGACGGTGGATCCCGAGGCCGGCCCTGGATGGGCGCTGGGCGCGGGCGAGGTGGGCGCTGTGGGGAGGCGCGTGAGCTGCAGCTGGGGCGCGCTGGCGAGAGGGGTCGTACACGACAAAGCCCTGCGATCGAGCTCGATTGGTTTAACGCAGGCGGTACAAGGGGCAACAGAGGTGTCGACGACGGCGAGCACAGGTGGATCAGCACGGCCTGGGGACCGAGATCGCCAAGGCAGATGAGAGTCAGGATGGGGGCGTGCGGCAAAGGCAAAGCGGCCAGCCTGTAGTGGGTGGAATCAGCATGAGCCCGCGCTTCAAGTTCGACTACCGAGTCCTCGATTCCTGACGCTTTCTGTTCCCGTCCGATTTCACATAGTTTTTTCCGGCTCGCGAGGCATGGGTCGTATACTATGCCAAACCGGCCGGAGACTGTTAGTCTCAACACTGGAGAAGGTCTCGTATCTCATTAAAGATACCGTGAACGCCATGAGTTTCGGCCACTTGAACTCGCTGACAAATTCACCATTTAGCCCCACTTTGATCGGAATTCCTCCAGCCGAGGGTCGGAACAGGGGCTCTGCGGCCGAGCATGTCTCTACCCGTATACGATCGAAAACTCAAGAGCTCCGTGTTCTTTCAGCTCCAATAGCTTCCCAGGAGGACGGAGTTGGGACCAGGCACAGTCGGTCCCGCGGGCCGGAATCGATAACAGCAAATAACCAGAGAAGCTCGCATCGAGAACGCAAGTCAGAAAGCACATGTACAAAAAGACCCAACATCCCCAAGATTCCTCTCTCGAGTAACCACGCACTAGTCTTTCTTGGCGCCATTCGTGACGGGGACACCCTCCTTGCGCAAGGAACTCGCCGCCCCGCGTTTCGCCGCCGATTCGGCACTCACGACTTGCACCTTCTTCAGCGGTCGCCCGTGGCGTCCCGATTCGAACCCTTTACCGTTGTAGTTGACAATATCGTCGAGCGAGACAAGCTTGGGGTACGAGACGTACTCGACGCCGTGATTGAGCACGAAGTTCATGGCGAGGAATAGGACAGCCAGCGAGAGAAGCGTGAACTGGCGCGCCGAGAGGAGGTACTCGCCGACAAGCGTCGGGGCCGCCAAGGCGAGGAAGAGGGCCCCGATCGCGAGCAAGGCGACGAGAGGGGCCGAACGCACGACGAGCGAGCGTTGGTCGCGCCAGGTTTGCGCATCCCCCGTGCGGGGCACCCAAGAGCCCGAAACGAGGTCGTAGGCGTCCTGTCGCGGGCCGTCGAGGTAATTATTTTTGATGTAGCGCACGAGCGAATTGACGCCGTCCTGGAGCGCGCCTTCCTTGGAGCGCTTGCCCGTCCGCGTGTAGTCCGTCTTGAGCGCGCCCGTGCCCGAGTAGGCGCGCGAGATGGCGTTGGCGTTGTCGGCCCAGACGTTGCGGAACAGCTTGAGGAAAGGCTTGTGCTCCTCGATTGACTCCTTGGGGCTCAAGACGCCGATCGACCGAAGCTGGTTGTTGAGCACCCACTTGGCCAATGCCGATTGGACGACGTTCGTTCGATCAAGGCTGCATCCGTGACGTGATCGCGTGGGGTCAGCCTGGAGTCGATGATGATCATGAGGACCACCGTATCTCACCAATCCATGCAGTTGGTGCGAACAACCGAGGTTTGAGTTGACTGAGGTCGCGACGGCGAGCTCGTCTTGTCATGGTGGAAGTAACTGAGAAATGCACTTGATGATCAGCGTCTGGTGAGGTGAGAATGAATCAACTCCTCACCGCCTCCCAACTCACGCTTGCTTGTGCAATTGCTCATCGAGCGAATCGATGAGGACGGAGACGCGATCGAACCTCAGCCCTTTGCACTCATGGTGGAAGTCAAAGTAGGTGTAATGCACGCGGTTGTTGCCCATCGTCTCGATCGCACGCTCGTACGCTTCCTTGACCGGCTTCTCGTAGCCCTTTTGGTTGACGAGGTTGACGAGGTATTGGTCGCCGTACAGATCGATTTGGGTATCAAAGTGACGCTTGAGGGATTCGGCCTGTGCCCCAGGGGAAGAATCGGTCAGTCGCGTATATTCGGTCGACCGTCTCTAGAGAACTCACAGTGTTGGACATTTCCATGATTTTGAGATCGGGCTTATACCTGAGATTGTTGATCTCGGCCCAGTAGACGGGCACGCTGCCTCGGGTCTGGACGTACGAAAAGATGATATCGCCTCGGACCACGCCGCCCGACGACCCCGTTTGCGAATCGAGCAAGACGATCTGCTCCGTCTCATTAAAGTTGGACACGTTGCCCTCGCGATCGATGCCTCGGGAAAAGTAACGCGTACCGGCACGGAAGCGGTTGCGGCGCGAGACGAGACCAAAGAGAAAGTCGCGGCCGTTGATGGTCGCATTCTTGAATTCGAGGACTGGGATGTGGAAACGGGCAAGATAGTTAGGTGAGGATTCGTGCGAAAGTCGAAGGAAAGGGATCTTTGACTCACATCCGAGCATGACGGGCAGGATGAAACGACTGCACTATAGACGAAAAAGGGGTCAATTTAGCGCTCCAAACCCTACCGAAGAAAACTTCTCGTGGAAACTCGACTCACATCGTTACCATTCGCACTCGTATCGATGACACGACGCTGCAGGTGACGGTTCCAGAAAAAGCGGTCGTCGGACTGGGGAAATGCAACCGCATGAGGTCAATTGTGTGATTCCTTTCGGTGGACTCGAGCAGAGCTGAAACCCTCACGGTCTCCCAGAACGCCTTTGTGTTTGAATTAGTCCCATTCTCCTGCTGCTGCTGCAACCTCGTCGTCACATTCCAGCCGCCGTAGGTGAAGTAGAAGGGCGCGGAGAAGAGATGGCTTTTGAGGAGGCCGAGGAGGTAGGCCTCGTCGGGTTGACCGAGCAATTCGACGGTCGAGCGACGTTCGATGGGGAAGACGGCGAAGTCGGTCGCGGTGTAAACGGGCGCGCCGAGGACGGTGGCGATCTTCTTACGTTTAGTAATGACTACGAGATAATCGGCTGTGCGGTAGAGAATAGATCCAACGAGGGGCTTGAGCACCAGGACCACAGGACGAGCTCTATTGTACATTGACTCACACCTCAAGAGGGTAATGATCCCAAAGAGACCATATACGGTATGTTCCTTTTCAAACTTGGAAGGGATCGAGCTCGAGGCTGCAAGAGATCACCAAAAGCAGCGGAATGAGCACCAAATCCGAAAGCGCGATGGCCAGACAGCAGCAACTGACGGGTGATCGAGATGACATTTGTCGCACGGTTGATGACGAGCGTTTGGGGCTTCTCAGATTCACCGACGAGTGTGTAGGCGTCGTTGGCGACGTAGAGCTTGAGCTGTTCGTGCAACAGGGACGCCATGTTCGGAGGGAGAGGTCGAGCGATTCGGGGAACGGGATGAGGAAGGGGCTAGATAACACGTGCTCAGTCGGCGGAGCCGAAGGAATCTTGCGGCGGGTAACGCTCTTTGGGCCTTTTGCAAGTTACGTTGTTGTTCAAGTGTCGTACAAGCCTTAGATTTGTAGTCAATAGAGAAAGGCTGCTGAGAAGGTGAGGAAACAAAGCGAGAGCAGCCAGCGACTTCCCCGGCTCAGTGACCCCACGCCGCCGTTACCTCTCATAGCCTCTCGTTACCAGAAGCTCCCAGTTGCCGAAAAGAGCGCGCCCGCGAGATCATCAATCTTAACCCCGCGCCCGCCCGTCGATCACCACATAACCCGCGTGACGACCGGACTCAGCGCGCACCCAAATGTCGTCATCTCCTCAGCCCCTAATGGCCCTTCCCTGCTCTTGGATCACCACCCTTCGAATCCTCGCCTCAGGTCGACTTTCTCCCAGTATGCCACCCAAAGTCAAAGTCCAGGCTGACACAATTCCTGACCGACCTGTCTACCATCATTGGTTGCTCAAGGTAAGACCACTTCTCTAGCACACGCGCCTCGACGCGACGAGTCGATCAGCCCGGATCAGACGCATGGGGACTGATGGGCAGCTTCTCTAGGCTGAACCGGACACGAGGATCGAAAAAGGCGTGGACGTCAAATTCTCGGTAGACGATTTCGAAAAGTGTAAAGTCACGGCATGGGAGGGCGTAAGGTGCGTAGTATTCCATTCCCCCGCGAGGAGCAGCCTCCTGCACACAGTCGCACTCATCCCCCACACTTCCCTCCCAGAAACCACCAAGCCAAACGCTATCTCAAAGAAGAAATGAAGATCAACGACCCGTGCCTCTTCTACGCGTCTAATTGCAAAACCCCCGGCATCACGGCCCTAGCCAAAGTCAAACGCGAAGGATACCCGGACCACAACGCCTGGGACGCTAAACATCCTTACTACGATCCCAAATCATCGTCCGAAACACCGACGTGGTTCATGATCGATTTGGAGTTCGTTGAGAGGTTACCTCACATGGTGCCGCTCAAACTGTTGCAGACTCTGGCGACGACGGAACATGCGACCTTGCCGGTTGAAGTGAAGGAGTATATCAAGCCCCAGCATCTCGAAGCGATAAAAGGTAGTGCTTTGATCAGTCGGGGGAGACTGAGCGTGCAAGGGTGTACGGACGAGTTTTACGGCGCTGTCAAGCAGTTGGGGCAACGAGGGGGGTGGCAGGAATGGTTTAAGGGGCCGTCAATTTCAGACGGCGCTGCCAAGGCAAAGACTCCTTCTCCCACCAAGCGAGCAAAGGTCCAAGAAGAGGAAGAGAAGCCAGTTGGGAAGAGGGCCAAGAAGGTGGACCCAAAAGCAGCAAGTGGCAACTCGACGACGGAGACGCGACGGACATGGTCCAGCCGATGAGAACAGGGTCACTAGTTTACGATGGATTACCACGAAGTTTAATCCAGTAATCTACCCAACCCTTCGTAACTTGCGATCATAATTCCGCATGCTGGCCCAACCTGGATGAACAAACAGGAATGTGGACCGATGAGTAATTGCCTCCCCTCCGGACCCGGTCGAAAGCCGAGCTCACCTTGGCCAATCTGGGCGTCAGTCCGCGCATCAACCCGGCCCACCCTTCCTTTTTAGCGATATCAAACAGGATGGGGAAAGTCTTGGTAAGGGGTGCTTGCGTCGAAGACGAGCCCGAAACCGTCGCGGCCTCGACGAGTGCCTGTCTCCGGGTTTTTACGACATCGAATGGGTTTGTCACGGTCGCTGCGATCTGTGACGAATCGCATCCGCTTCAGCGTCGAACATGAGCAACTGGAACAGCATACCCGTGCTTACCATTCCGGAACCAGCACCCGAGACAAACGCGACGGCGAACTCTGACGACAGGCTCTGGTCCTGCCAGCCTTCGCCCATACCCTTGCCGCCCGTGATGGAGCGCTTGATCGCTTCGTATCCGGCCCAATAGATGGCGCTGAAAGGAACATCGCGCCACAACGTCGGTGGCAGACCCCTCCACGCCGACGACAGTCCGCCTCCTTCCGCACGCAAGGTCAAAATAATGGATCGTACCGAGGTCGAATCCGAAGTCGATTGCAGCCGTGTCCGTACCAGCTCAAGGGGCGACGTCAAAGCCGCGACGACGGTCCGAGACATTCCACCGGCAATTAGAGGCACGGCAGTGAGGTAGCTCTTCGACAAGTGCCGACCGTCTGCATTGGCGACCTCGGCGTAGGCCCACTGGGGCGCATGGTCGAATGCGGTGCGTCGACCCCAGTCGTAGCCGACCATGTAGACAACCTGCCCTGGGACCGACATGGCCAGAGCGGGTGCGGTGCCCCTCCACAGTGACGATATGCCCTCGTTGCGCGCAATTTTGATAACGGCGTCCCAGAATCCGGTCAGATGCGTGGGTGAGGCCGCCGAAGCGGAGCCCCCTATTGTCCCGGACGAAGTCGCCTTGACGGCATGCCGAGGATCAGGGTAAAGGCAGGCGTTGGCGAACAAGGCGGCTCCGTTTGAGGCATGGAGGAGCATGCTCCCCGGATGCGGAATCGGTGCTGCGGGTGCAAAGTGATGCACAAAGGCGGCTCGCGCGGCCGAGATGGGGGAGGAATGGGAACCCGAGGCGGGCAAGGACGAGGTCGAATGGCGAGGGTCGAAGCGGCAGAGGAGGGACTTGTCGTTCGAGTTGAAGTAGGTCTTGGTGCAGCACGTCGAGAGTTTGCTTCCTAGCTTGGTCTCGACCGAGGACTCCGGTGGCGCGGTCGAGGTCGATGCGATTGGCGGGGGCCACGGCGAGGTGGTCGATCGGGACGTCGGTGGAGGCAGGTGGGATGCTGGAATGAAGGAGGAATTCGCGTTCTGGCTGGGCTGGGTTTGCAACCTCGTTTTGACAACATCAAAGGGTGTCACTGCGGGGAGAGTCAGGGCAATAGGTGTAACTCAGCACGAGTACTTTACGGGCGGGATGCCGCGAGGGCGATGATGGGAGGATCACGTCTCGGGTCGACGTCACGGGCACCACGCCCTTGAAGCTTGACGACCCGGACCGTGTCATTGAATGCCACGCGTCAGATCCTTCAGAGCGCCTCTAAGCGCAGGATGTCGCCAATGCTGGCGGATGGGATGCGTGGGTGACACATTGAAGGTACGCCAAGTCGAGAGAGCTGATTTCGCCGACCGTTGACTTTCGCAACGAAAGGCCAGAGACGTACTGGTCAGCGAAGTGAGCGTGGCTCCGACCATGGCGGCGATGACCTTGTTCTTCTCTTCGATCTTCTTGTTGGATTCGCGAGCGGACAAGGTGTGGTGCGACGACGCGTCCTGGCGAGCCAATCCAAGTCCCGATCCCGACGACGCCGACGACGCCGACGGCTGCGGTGGTGGTGGTGGTGGTGGTGGTGGTGGTGCTCCCGATCCCGACGGCTCGTGCCGATCGACAGCGTCTCCATCGCGTGAAGAACGCTTCTGTGCCTTGGAATGAAAAGGGACCTCCTCCGAGATGGACGTCTCGAGTAAGCCCATGTCTATGCGAGTGAACCGCACCGATCCGGTCGAGATGTCCAGGTGGCGAAGGCCCAAGGGGAGTGAGAGCGAAACGCGCGACGGCTGCCGGAGTGCTGCCGGGTCGACCGCCCGCCCGGCGTTGACCTGCGTTGACGTTGACGTTGACAGCCGACACAGGCTGACACTCGCCGCCACTTTAGCTGACGCCGCGCCAATGCCAGCGTGGGTCCGTGCGTGTCCCGGCTGCCCCTGCCCGCTCCTGACAAAAACGCGCCTGTGGCCAGCTTTGGCCTCGCAGCCCAACGCACGCCCGACACGAAGCAGCACATCGCGCACCTGACTCTCTCTCTCTCACAGCCCAACTACACGTCCCCTCGGCTCGAGAAACCGCCCGCAGCTACCTTGCCCCTCCCGCGTCTGCACTTCCTGTGGCGGCACCCACACGCGCCTTCGTAGCGCTCGACTTCGCAGCGCATCAAGTGCACTTGGCTCCCCACCTGCTGTTGATCCGGTCGACCGACTTGTCGCCACCGACCATGGCACCCGAGGCCACCACTCCCAGCGCCGAGGCCACGACCCCGACCGTCAAAGCTTCGAATCTGCCACCGGCTGCAGCCAGCGCCGCCGCCGCTGCCGTCGCCTCGGCCACCGCTCAGGCGAGTCACGCCGACGACACCGAGCAGGACAAGACTGAGGCCTCCGGCGGCAACAAGGCGTCCGGCGCTCTTATCACCGTGTTTGATGATCGAGTCAACTTCAACGTCAAGCACCCGCTCTGCTCGCCGTGGACACTCTGGTTCGATTCGGCTTCCAAGCAGGACAAGGGCCAGTCATAGCACAGCAGCCAGGATCCATGTCAGAGCATCTCACTGAGACCATCATCCCTTTCAATCCTATAGCCAAGAGTTGGGACGAAGCGCTCGTCAAGGTCATTGGCTTTGAATCGGTAGAAGAATTCTGGGGGTCGGTCTCCCGCTTGCTTCGAGACCCCATCCGGACCGCCGACCCGAACTGAACCTCAATCGGCTCGTGGCCACAGACTATACAACAACATCGTGCCACCATCGCTCATCCACCTCAACTCCAACTACTACCTCTTCAAAGAAGGCATCAAGCCCGCTTGGGAAGACCCCGCCAATTCCAAGGGGGGCAAGTGGGCCGTCCAGTTGCCGAGAGGCAAATACTCGGCCGAGATCGACAACTACTGGCTTTACACCGTGCGTGCTGCGTGCACATTGAGAGTCTTGGCTCAAAATCCGACAATGACCATTGCACAACATCACCCATCCACAGATGCTGGCCGCGATCGGCGAAACGTTCGAGACCCCCTTCGACAAGGCGGCCGCAACAAATTCGACGACCGCCGTTCCGTCCGCCTTCACCAACGAAGTCACGGGTGTCATCGTCTCGTCGCGCAAGGCGTTCTACCGTATCAACATCTGGACGCGAACGGCGACGCCGGATGTACGAGCGAGGATCGAGAACATTGGCCGACATCTCAAGTACGACGTGCTCGGGATGGAGGAAGGGATCAAGTTTTCCGACAGGGACAAGGTCTCGAGTGATGTAGAGTTTGTGAGCCACAAGGACAGTCAGGCCAAGGTACGCTGCGTTAGGGTCTCCTTTTTGTGTCCGACGTTTACTTCCGAGCACTTTTTAACGCAAAAACCTTGCTCAATCCCCATAGTACGGCACAAAGGTCACCAAGTGGACCGTATAAGAGACGACGGAGTCAAGTTCTGGTACCTTTGTTCGTTCGGACCCGGTCTGCTCTGCATTTGCCGCATAGATACGCATTACCGACTCTTTTCAGCCCGCCTTCGATGTCGCTCAAGTGAACGACTGTTCACGGTTTGAGACCGCCCCCCACGCGTTGTAACATTCCCCTTTTTTCTGTTCGGGTAGACGTTTCGTTTCAAAGTGTGTAATAATTGCTGGGTTGACGCGGGTGCAACCCCGAATTAAGACGTCAACCTTTCGTTCCCCTGGGCGTGCATTCTCTGTTCACGATGCTTCAATACTCACAACTCTCCTCTACTCGAATGAAAGCTTCAACATCTTCTTGGGCTTGTCCCCACCCAAAAACACACCCTTCTCGAACGCCTCCAACACCTCTGTCTCCCCGTTCAATCCCCGCGCAGCAGCCATCTCCATCACGCTCCGCTTCACCTCCCCCAACGTCCGTGGCTGCTTCAATACCTCCGGAACGGCCTTGGCCAGGAAAGCCTTGATCTCTGCTTTGATATCTTTCGTCGAAACTTCCTCTGACGCAGGTTCAGGAGCTGCTGTCTCTTCAGCTTTGGCAGCGGGTGTGCTCGTCGCCGTCGGTTCGGTTCCTGTGGCCGATGCTGCGGCCTTGGAAGCCTTCTTCGCCGCCTTCTTCTCCGCCTTGCGTTGCTTCTTTAATTTATCTGCCTCATCCTTCTCCTCCTGCTCCTCCTGCCTGGGTCGTTTCGTTCCGTTCGTCGTGGCCGTGGTCGACGAGCTCTCCACGACGGCCGGTGTGTCGACAGGGGTTGCTGTTGAGGAGTGTTCGGGGACGGTGATGGAAGGAGCTGCGGTCGCAGGTGTTGTGGGTGCGGGTGTGGGAGGTGCTCCGGGGTGGTTCTTGTTGGGTTTCTTCGGCGCTTTGTAAACGCTGTTTGGGAGGGGGAGGGTGGGCAAGGTGGGGAGGAGGAAGTTCCGAAGAGCGGCACGGAAGAACAGATGGATGTGGGGGGGGGGCGGGGGAAGGGGTGAGGGTGATTCGATCCTCAGTTTGATGCATCTCCCAACAAGGTTGAATTCAACGACGACTACGTACGATTTCTGATACTTCTGATCCTCGGAAATGCAAGACGTGTGGGCCCTGTAGGATGTGCCTTCAAAGGTCGTGTTGCAATCGAGGCCTAGAGGAGAAGGAGAGGTCGACGAGTGCAGGCGGAGGTAGGGGGTCAGTCGTGTGTTGCTGTCATGTCGGGTTCTGGAATTACTGACATGTGTATACGGCCCAACATCTTTGAGCGTGTTGGTCCAACTTGGGCTGTAAAAGGAACCGAGTCGATCAGCGGTCGGTGTCGAGGTCGAGGTCGAACTTCGCAATCAGCTGAGCTGAGCTGAGCTGAGCATGCCTATGGAAGATTGTGCTGACCTTCTTGAGCGTGTCGTTGCAGGTGTCGCACACAAAGGAGACCATGTTTGATGAATGTGTAGGGGAACGAGGGATGAAAGGAGAACAAAGTCGCGAGCGCCGAGATCGGTTCATGGGTCCGCGCAATTTGGGCCGAGTCGCCTCCGTGCCGCCTCGAGTCGCCTTCGCAGCGTGTTGCGAAAGGCAGCGAAAGGCTGCGAAGCGCGTGTGAGCGGGTCTCGATCGCACCAGCAGCAGTTGCCGCCCAACTTGCCCGGACCATACACCGATCTCGGCGCTCGCGACTTCGTTCTCCTTTCATCCCATCTGCACGGCCTACGGAAACACTTGGTCGCAGTGTGGTCAGCTCGAGCTACCTACGGACCCTCATCTCCGCCACCCACGCCAGCTCAGCTCAGCTCAGCTCAGCTCAGCTCCCAGCTCCGTCTCGGCGACCCGCCTTCCCATCCGATCGTTCGTAGGAGATGCAGGGCACTCCTCACCAAGTCGGCAAGGGCAAGGGAAAGCAGAGGGAGAAGGAAACCCCGACTTCGCTTCTGTCCAACTCGCGTCAGTTGCCAGCTCAAGACCCCTATGTGCCAGCTACACAGTCCCTCAAGAAGTGGGTCCCCTCGTTCGGTGCTCAGAGCGACAACGACGAGAGCTGATATCCGTTTCTCGTCTCATTCCAGATATGTGTACGCCCACCCGACCATGTTGGACAAGAACCACCTGAGCAAAGGCGCAGGCAAGACCAACAAACGTCTCGGCCACCACCTGCATCATCTCTCGACTTCGGCGAAAGCAAGCTCCATCAAAGCCCACGAACACGACGACCTCTTGCTCGACCGATCGATCCAAGGCTTGATCGAGGTCGAGAACGAGTTGGAAAGGACGTGGAAGGTCACACAAGACGAGATTGTCGAAGGGTCGGCCATCGGAGCGCAGGGCAAGGCTTTCGCTTTGAAACTGGACGAGTTTGGGCCGTATGCGCTCGACTATACGCGCAATGGGAGACATCTCGCCATCGCAGGGAGGAAGGGGCATGTCGGCACCTTCGACTGGCAATCAGGGAGGTTGCACACCGAACTGCATCTCGGCGAAACCGTGCGAGCGATCCGGTGGCTGCATGACGAAAGTTTCTTCGCCGTTGCGCAGAAAAAGTATGTCTACATCTACGACAAAAGTGGGTTGGAGGTGCACCAGTTGCGGAACCATATTGAGGTCAACCAGATGGAGTTTCTGCCGTACCATTTCTTGCTTGCGACGATTGTGAGTATTGGTTCAGGGGCGAACACTGGTTTTCTTGGCTCACGTTTCTTTGTTTCGCTCTCTCCCGCAGGGCAATCCGGGGTTTCTCAAATACCAAGATACATCTACGGGTCAACTCGTCGTCGAACACCGGACAAAGCTGGGTGCATGTCGAACGATGGCGCAGAACGCCCATAACGCTTTCATTCACCTCGGGCATCAGAATGGTCAGTTACTCTCGCGCAGCGTCGCGGAAGGCTGTTGTCGCTCACCGTGGGCCCCATCATTATCAGGCTCGGTCACATTGTGGTCCCCTTCGGTTTCCCGCCCTCAAGTCCAACTACAAGCTCACCGTGGCCCTGTCTCGTCGATCGCTCTCGACCCTTCGACCCTCGGCTACCGAATGCTCACCTGCGGTGTCGACGGTTCAGTCAAGCTCTGGGACACGCGCAAATGGGCCGTCCTGAACGAATACCAATTCAAGAAGACGCCGACGTCCGTCGATTTCAGTCAAAGAGGTCTCCTGGGTCTCGGTTGGGGCAACCACATCAGCGTGTTCAAGGATCTGCAGAAACCGGATCAGAACCCGAGGATGCCGCCACCGCCGTATTTGACGCATACGTTCCCCGGCGTCGCCGTCAACGAGGTTCGCTTCTGTCCTTTCGAAGACGTCCTTGGCGTTGGTCATGCGCAAGGGTTTACGTCCCTTTTGGTGCCTGGAGCAGGGGAGGCAAACTTTGATTCGCTCGAAGCCGATCCTTATGAAGGCAAGCGACGTCGTCGTGAGCGCGAGGTCAACGCCTTGCTGGACAAGGTTCCCTTTGATATGATCACGCTCGATACGGAGATGGTCGGCAAACTCGATCGCGATGTCAGGGACAAGGCCGAGAAGCTCAACAAGGATAGACCTGGGTTCGTCGATGAGACGTATCGGAAAAAGTCGCGCGTCGATCGGTTGAAGGACCGTGGACAGATGGAGGAGGACGAAGAAGGGTTGGAAAGCGAGGATGATGAAGACGCTTTGGACGAGGAGAGGAGGGAAGAGAAGAAGCGCGTCAAATTGGCCAAGGCGGATGCCAAGAACCGTGGCAGGGGTCGCAACTCCACGCTCAAGAAGGCGTTGAGAAAACGCAAGCGCAACGTCATCGATCCCATCACGGTCGCGTTGAAGGAGAAGCTGGAGAAGCAGCGCGCGGCCAACAAGCAGGCCAAGAAGAACGTCGCAGCCTCTCGATTGGCTGCGTCCGGTTCGGCAGGGGCTTTGGACCGATTCGCTTTCTAAAAGCTCTCGATGGTCATCGACGTTCTGCTTCTGTGATTACGTGCATGTAACGAGACCACTTTCGCACTACGAATACTACAACTAGGTCCAAAGAGACTGCGGTAGAGCTTGCAAATATTAGCGAGTAAGGAACCAAAAAGTGTTTCGCTTCATCCGTGGATGTCGGCAATGATGGGGCCAACGGGCTGGAGCTTGAACGTCTTCATCGAGGCCTCGAGATCCTTGATCGCCTTTTGCAGCTGCGTGCGAAGAGGTTCGACGTATAAGCGATCACGAAGGGGAAGCGTATGGTCAGTAGTTCCCTGCACTGACCTCGGCTTCGTGGCCATCCTCTGCGGTAAACACGTCTCGAACGGGCAGCCTCGCCGATCCCGTGCCCGATCTGTTCGTTGAAGGGCGAGAGTTGTCCAGGTCGCCGCGCTCGTCGTTCGATTCCTTCGCCGTTCGGTAGGTATCAAATCTCGCATCCTCGTCGTCGTCCTCGTCGTCCTCGTCGTTGTGTCCCTTCCCGTCCTGCTCATCGTCCTGTTCGTCCGTGCCACCCCGAGCCAATGGGCTCCCCCGGACCGATCCATCCTGCCCTCTCGCAAACGACCTTGGCAACGTCTTGAGCGAATGCGCACTCGGTGGTCTCGCCGCGCCCCTCGTTCTAGCCCCAAGTCCAAAGCTTGCCTCAAGCCTCATGACGCGCTTGCCGTCCTCGTCCGAACTTTCTTCCCGGAAAGGTCCGCCACCTCGTCTTGTCGACGAGGAATGCGAGTTGTCGGAATTATGGTCCATGGGTGGTCTCCAATCTGATGCTCTTCGGTTGCGGCTCTGACTAGTTCCGTTCCGATGGGTTTGGCTGGGCCGTCGAGCTTGGGACGAGGACGGGGACGGGGACGGGGACGGGGACGGGGAAGGCGATGGGGAGCGGGAAGAATTAGGTGAAGCGGGGGATGATCTCGAGTCGTGGGCGTTCACAAAAGGGTTCGTCGAGGTGACACTGACGAAACGACTGTGTTTGAAAGAGTCAAATCATTAGCTTGGGCCCGCGCTAGTGCTTCGGGGTAAACGCTGTTGCCAGCTCCCGGGAAGGTGAGCGGTGGGTGCGCGCTAGAGATAGGGGGCGGAAGGGGTCAGGAGTGGAATCAAGAAGACTTGCGCGCATGCAGCATCAATGATGGCTCTGAGGTAGTCCTGCTGTGCCTGTTGTTCCTCTGTGGATCTGCCCGGCGCGGATTGCTCGACCGGTGCCCTGTGCACGAGCACGACAGAGGGGAAGCAAGGCGGTCAGCCCAGGCGGCGGTCTACGATGCGCTGTCGGAGAGTGCACTGACTCGGGTAGTATATCATGGTTGAGAAGGGCTGTTCGTTCGTTGACCTGTGTGGGATAGAGGGGTGTTCGTTTAGTAGGGCGACGGGGCGACGGGGCGACGGGGCGACGAGGCGCCGGTGGTGAGGTCACTTCGTGCGCCGCCCGCGACAGAGAGCGACAGAGCGACGGTAGCGACATGAACGTTCAACTGACCTCGTCTTTATCCGCCTGGGCTGAGCAGCATGGTAGCCATGATAGAAAGCTCGCCATCGTGGGTTGCGGATGCGCGATGCGCCAAAGGGACGGCGCGGGGTGGTGCGCAGGAGCCAGAGAGCAGACGAGGTCATAGCGCTCGCGCGCCCCTGCACGAGTCCAGTCGAGCCCAGTCGAGCCCTCCAGAGTCCAGAGCTCCAGAGTCCTCCACGCGCGCGATCGCGGCAGATCGCGGCAGATCGCGTCGATCACCTTCACCGTCCCACCGTCCTTGTTGCTATCACCGACAACTTCCGGTAGCTGATCTAGCCAGCCAGCCAGTCACCATGGCCGCCACTGCGACCACTCGCTTCAACTTGGACGAGGCAGGTCGCGCTTCAGACGTTGTGCTTGCTCTGTCCGTTGACTCTGCCCTCTTCCCCCACCCCGGGCAAAACACATACAGGAGGTGCGCTTAGCGACGACCAATGCCGACCGCGAGCGCATCGACGAGCTCGCGACCCTCTACGGCATCATCGTACAGCTCGACTACCTCGAGAAGGCCTACGTCCGCGACTCGATCACCCAGGCACAGTCCGTCGTCGTTCCCGTCGGCTTGCGGGTCCTCAGCGCTCACCCGTCTCATCCCCCACTCGACAGGTACACCCCTGCTTGCTCGAGGCTGATGGCCCAGTACAAGACCATTCTCAAACTCGTCGGAGATGCCGTGCCCACCATCGAGGCGTTCATGCTCGATTACAGGGTCAGCCACCCACCCCCACGCTCTGGGTTCGGCTACCCCCACTTGGGCTCTGATTACGTTGGCGTTCCTGGACAGATGGACTGCACCGCCGCCGCTCATCGCTTACGAGTCGGTGTACCCGCCACAATCGAACATGCTTCCGAAGAAGGGGTGGAGACCGCTCAACACGTCGCAGAAGTCACCGGCGTACGTTTCCATCGACGAGATCGGCCGTCGAGCCCAGCCCAACCTCGCGCAATTCTGACCTGGCCTGACCCTCTCATCACACAGGCGTTCATTACCCTCATGGACGGTGTCAAGCTCAACCTCCGGTCCAAAGATCAGATTCATCCTCTCTTGACCGATCTCATGAGTGGCTACACGAGGTTCAAGAATTCGAGCCAGTGGGAAGGGAGGCCCAAGCTGTTGAGCTGGTACGTCCTAGGAACTGTTTGAGCAAAATTGACCTGTGGCTCATGCTGCACAATGGTGCGAACCAGGATGATCTCGTTGAACCAGATGCGTGCGAGCGAGACCATCACTGAAGAACAGGCAAGAGATGTGAGTCAGATCGACTAAAGGCGGTGCGGCTTCGCGATGGAGGTCCTGACCCGGAGTTGTCGAATCTTTACAGCTCATGTTCGATGTCGAACAAGCGTACAGCGAGTTAGTGCTCTCTCGCTTGCTCACCTCGACGGACGAAATCGCGGAACGCTGATCTCTCCCCTTGTCCGATCAGATTCTTCCGGTCCTTGTCGACAAAACCCTAGCTCTCCTCGTACCCTGTCCCGCCACACTCGATGTTGTAGCACATATCTCGCACTTCCCCAATATTACGACACGAATTAGAAAACATGCACTGCAAGCAATCTAGAACCATTATCGCTCTAATTCCATTCCCGCTTAGCGTACTCCTGCATCAACGTATTCGCCGTCAGATCTTCGACGAATAGTTTGACGTCCGAACTCGCATACTCTCTCTCGTTTTGTAGTGTATTCAAAGCACCCAAAATGTCCGGTTGGATAAAGTCGAAAAAGACGACGTCGATCAGATCCGCGGCGGCGGAGGGCGGGAACTCGGTCGCGACAAAGATGGGTTGCCAGACTGAAGGGACGGGACGATGCAGGGTATCGTCGCCTAGACCACCGCATGCATCTTGGGTCACATACCCGAGCGAAAGACTGGAAGCATCGTCGTACTCGCTTGGAGGGATTGAGGCGCTCAAATTCGAAGCCTCGAGAAGGGCTCGTCGATGCAAGTGTTCGAGATGGAGCGATTCACGCTCTTGAGCCCAGCGATCCTCTACGTAATTATCCTCAGTCGAGCGTACAGAGACGGAGGCGGACGAGCTCGTCAGTTTGTGTTCACCGACGACGTTGAGATAGGCCAGCATTTTTTGGGCGACCGAGCGCTTGACCCCGGGTACGAAGAGGAACGAATTGGCTAAGTAGGGGATCACGTTGTCGTCAGCTCTAGGAAGTCAGACAGAGAAACGGTTGCCGGACTCACTGAAGGGCAAGATGATCCATTGATCGTTGCGAGTAAAAGGCCCTTTGAAGACGTCGAACCTCACCGAGCCCGAATTGAGCACGACCCAACTAGGATTCGGTCGATCGGGGCGCGTAACGAGCAGAGGCAGGACTCGTGTAGTCAGGAGGTTCAGGATTGATTGCTGCGAGTTGTGGGGGTGACGCGAGAGGTAGTAAGCTGTAGTGATAGGGAGAAGTGTCAGTCCTTGCTAGTTGACTCCGGCGATCTCGACTTGCGCCAAGACAGGCTACTCACATTGAGGTGCGACGCCGTACCGATGCGTGAGGTTGAAGCCCTTGGCTACTTCGGAGAGATTCTTGGTGATGGCTTGGCCCATAGCCGTATCAAACTTCTCGCCAGCGTGAAATTCGTACTGCGAGGGGCGAAGAAGAGCTCTCGGACGGGTGAGCAAGAGACGTAAAGCTCGGTAAAGGTCACAGCGGGTGCTCACCGTAGCACGATTCTGATCCAAGAAACGCCGTTCAAAGGTCAGAGTATTATTTGCATCGATACCACTCACGCCTATCGACGAACTAACGGTCTCAGTTTCCGGACATCGACGGCGCTCGAGAGGGTTCAGACTCACTCATCCACCCGATCGTCTCCATGTAGCGACCAGCTGCTATTGACATGGACCGCTCGTCCTCCTGCAATGGGGAACAACGGGCAGATTGAATCAAGAGCCTATTCTCATATCCTTTTGAAAACGTGCTCGTCGTTACTCACCATTACGCAGTCCCGAATGTGGTGGTGCCCGCCAAAGATCAAGATAGGGGTTCGGGAATGCACGGCTCGGATCGCCCGGACGATGAGCGACCACTGCGAGTCCAACTCGGAACGAATCGACATGTGACCAACGAGCAGGAAAAACGATGGTTTTTCTCGGACCGCCTCCAAGAACCACGGTTCCTTGATCATCTCGCGAGGCGCTTGGACTCGGATCCCGGCGGCGTGAGCCCTGAAGTCAAAGAGGGGTCCGAAGGCGGTGACGTTGCGACCCATCTCGGTGCGGAATTTGCGGAAGCGACGACCGTACGGAACAAGCTTCTCCGAAGATTCGTCGGTAACCCTGATGTCGACGTTCGATGCCTGTGGGGCAAACTCACAAGATGGGTCAGGTCGTGCGCGGAGCAGGGCGTCATCGTGGGGACCAAAGCGGATGCACCACTGACCACGAAGCGTTCGCCATAGTGTTGGACCAGATTTTCGAGGACGGAACGAGCGACGGGATAGCGGTATAGTTCATGATTTCCCGTGGTGATGACGTCGTAGGGCATGTTCTGGAAGTACTGCATCGCGGTGTAGCTGTCGAACGGGTGCACACAAGTGGGGGCCGGACGTTTGGACGAGTTCAGCACGACGTTGCCTTTGGGGCAGACGCATCAAATCTACTACTGACCCCTTGGCATGCTCGATCGGTTCGGCATCGACCAGACCATTGCCATCGACCCTATCACCACTGTCGACGAGTAAGAGATCGACGCCCCTTGCTCGCGCCTGGTGCCTGAGTCGTTGAGTGAACGAGTACAGGTCGCCCCAGTCGCCCGAATAATTGGGCTCCCGGTTCTGGTGTCCCAAAAGCCATCCGTGGGTGTCGGTCGTGGAGATGATGTTGACGTCGCCCCAGGGAAGCTCGCGATAAGGTCGATCGGTCGAAGCCGAGCCCGAGCCCGGTTCCTGCAACGGCATCGACGCCGGGCGGCCGGGGAAGGCCTGAAAGGGGATCTGTGGGGTGGCGGCCAGCGTCGTCGTGCCCAACCATAGCGAGCCCATGAGGGCGATTGATTTAACACGGTGTCTTGTGGGGAGCGACATCAAGTGTTGGCCGTAGGTGGTGTGAGGATCGGTCGGGGACCAGACGTGCAGGCCACGTACAACCGGTCGGTGCCTCCCCGCGCCCCCGTTCTGGCAGGCGGTCCGGTCACGATCGATTGAGATCAGATCGGCAGGTCCAGTAAGCCAGCCAAATGAACTCGTGCGCGCACGCGCGATAGGATAAGGCAGCTTTTCTTTTTTTGGCCCGGGGAAAGCTTGGTAGAAAAATGGTATACCATTGCTGCCCCCTCCTCGCCCACCCTGGCACGGTGCACCTCTCTGGGCATCCCACAAGCCGTGAAGCGAAAGCTTATAAGGTGTTAGACCTATCCTTATAGACAATACCAATATTCCTACCAATGTTCCCAAGAGTCAAATTCCGAACCGAAATGCAATATAGCTGTTGTACCCAATACCACCCGCTGACGAGATGGAGGATACAACCAAGTAATCTGCACAGGTAAGATAGCTGCTGTATTGACCTCCTGCCCCCCCTTCCTAATTTCTGCTTTTCTTCACTCACTACTTACTAACCCCCCCCCCCCCCCGCCCCTCTTTTTTTTTGATAGATTTCAATAGTAGTATAATTACATGCCTAAAAACATTTGGAAAATTCGGAGGGAATGCAGTTGAGCCCATTGGCTAGGACAGCTTCGGAGCTTCGGATCTCGAAGAATGGGAATTTCCTTTAGCCGAGTCGTAATGGGCCCAACTGGGGCTTAAATGGTATTAATGGTATTGGGACCAAAAAGCTGCTTGGTCACTTGCTGTTATTGAAGTTTCTTAGATAAAAAAAATGGGGGGCTCACGGTTCCCTCCCTCACGTTGACCTTGGCCTAAGCACATCGACGCGTCGACGCACACTGGGTGACTAAATGCTCCTCACTGAATTGAGTCGGATCAGGTTGATGATTGGTCCCTCTTCTTGTTCATGTTCCTGTTCTTGTTCTTCCACAATGCTCGATTGGGAGCAATCCTACACATTGTCCAAACACGACCTCATCGCTGTCTCTCGCGCCTCGCATCTTAACCAATGATCATTTTGTGATTGTTCCGCATCTCGATAGTTGACACGAAGCACACAGGGGGGTGACATTTTCGGTAGGACGTCTCAGAATTCGGGTGTATAGCTCTTCATTATCTCTTCATTATCTCTTCACCTGATTATGTCCTATTCTCTGAAGTGCGACTTGACTTCTGACAAATTGCACTTTTCACAATGCATGCATTATCGCTTGAACCTCAGCTGCGCATCCAACGCAGCAACGGACAGTGCAGTAGAAGGCTGTGGGCGACTTGATGGGAAATGCAATACAGAAGGCGACTGGTAAGTCTCAGGTTCGCTTTCAGAAATATATCTGCCATGTGGAAACCCGAGTGCTCAAGACGATTTTGATCGCAATGTTGACCACCGGTGGATTCTGCCCGCGCAAGGTACTCTGACTCAAAAACCTAGTCACTTTCAGTGCCACTACAGTACGAGTGATGACCGTCGACAAAGAGGATTTAAAGTAAACAGGACCGATTGAGATACCACGGGAACTGTCATCTGCAAAGGCTGCGTTGGTCGACAGTAGAAACAGTCGGAGGCCTGCAATAGCTCGCAGGCCACTCGTGCACTCTGATGCGAGGAGGAATGGTAGAGTACGAAGAACAACATCGTGATCCTGACTCAATGATGTTCGTTCAGGAGTTTACACCCCACTCTTCTGTCCATAGCTAACTCCAAGCTTTTGCCTTTACCATGTTGTAGTACATGTACCGGTGAGAGCACGCAACGGATCGGGTCACACGGCAGAGAGCACATGAAATGCGCAGGTGTGACTGGCATCAAAGTCACCTGTTTCTCAGCACACGGGACAGAGATTATGGGTGTATTGTCAAAGTCGTTCCTCATTATCAAACTAGAATGAGTTCAATTATACACGAACATCCGGTCAGGGGTATTGAGTACGTCGTCATGTATCTGAAATGTCGAGAGTCCAGTGTCGACACAAACATTCAACTGTCTTAGTGGCTGCGTGGCTTAAAGTGGCCAAGACAACACCATTGAAAAGCACCGAAAAACAGGTTGAGTATGGGCCCAGTTTAGCCTACGTTCAAGTACACATTAAAATTCCAGTGGGGGTTAATGGAGTCTGATACTTAGCAATGTGATCTCTGCTGAGATCTCAGGAGGTATCAGCAAAGACCCGGCACGGACTTCGGGCATCTGACTGGCCTGACTGCGCACGCTATAAACACTGGCAAACGCAATGGCGGAAATTGGAAAGCGCACTCACTAAGCGCAGCCAAGAAGAATGCCCGCTTATCGTATCTCCAGCAGCAGAGAGCTTTCCTCCTGGATCTCTAGCTGACCTGATAGACTTCCCGCTGTCAGCACTCCTGCTGGGCAGTAACCATTTCAAGCGGGCTAGAGCGCATTTAAGCGGTGGCCACCTCCTGCCAGCGTTGGTTGCCTCTCAGTCGTATGGTTGCTACTTTGCATCCTCTGCACTTCCCCGGGAAGGGTCATACTGTCTGACATGAAGAGACAATACTTAATAGAAAGGTAAAAGCACGCGAGCGCAGTTGCATCATCTGTTTGGATTGAGGCATTTGGAGCAAGATGTCAATATATTGCTGTTTCATCCCACTGGTATTCCCGATTATGATTAGTTACTAGTTGTTGATATTAGTCGCCCCGCGCGTCTCGAGCCTGCCTCGCGCGCGCTCCCTTAGCGCTTATCTTCTTTCTCCAACTATCTTTACTATCTTCATCGGCTCTCGTACTTACGCACTTCGTGCCTCGGCCTCAGGTTAGTTACTGTGCAATTCTCGAACTATCTTTACTATCTTCATCGGCTCTCGTACTTACGCACTTCGTGCCTCGGCCTCAGTTCCTGAAACAAGAGCCCTCGATTCCAGACAGCCCTTAAAGATTTCACCAAGTTTCGTCATCACTGCCATCATCATCCGCATTGAAGTCCCACTCCTCAAGCCTACATGCACCGTTGTCTGTGGCGTCGATAGAACGATGACTCAAATCGTCGCTCGAATGATCACTCATGTCAAAGTCAGCTCCTTCGTCCGTGTTGTCGTCCGTCTCATCAATCATGTCACTAGGGCTGCCGGCAAACGAAGTCAAATTCGGCAAGTCATCAGCTGTCATTCGCTGAAAAGTTCAGCGTCGTCGGTACACCAAAGCCGAAGCTCCACGCACACTTCTGTTGTTCGCCCGTGTCCTGGGTGCACTGGCACTGGCACAGGTAATCAAGGCTCGGGATCGATGGCGATGGAGGAGGGCTCGGTCTGCGTTTTGGACGCCGCCTCGTCGGGATGCCGTGGATACTGTGGTATTCGGGATCCGGTCGCATCCTCCATCTCAACTTGTCAAGGTTAATAGAAGTCGTAGCGGCAGCAAGTTTTGGACCTGGGCGCCTTTCCGGCGGCCATGAGAGGAGGGATCAGGGAGGCTAAAGACGGCTTACTGGAGGGAGAGGAAGAGGAGGTGGTTTTTTACAAGCCTTTACTTTTGCGCCGCAAAGACTCGGGAAATTACGAGCAATAGTGGGATCAGTAGGGCAGGAAATGGAAGGAAGACCGGGCCCGATGTGCGGATCAAGCGGTGAAGGGGAATGAAGAGAGAGCAGCGGTTTGAACGTGCGGGACGTTTGAGGGGAGTTCGCTTCTTGTTTTCATGTAGACTTCCAGGATCCAATACAAAATTTTACTTGTCTTTCACTTTGCGTGTTTCAGGTCTCGTTCGGCATCGTCTACAGTCTCCGATCTCAGCGTTTCGTTCTCGAACTCGGTCACCTCGCTTCTCGGCTCTACCCCCAGTCTCTGGTGTCTCTCGCCTTGGGTGTCTGAAAAGCTCTTAGTCATACGTCAGCCCTTATATTATCATACCATCCTTGATCGATAAAATCTTTGATCGTTATACCGTAATGCCAACAGCGTAGCCGGAGGATTTTACAAACGCCTCGCTCTTCGCCGGGGACAAGACTTGCTCCTTTTCTCGTTCTCGCACAGGCCATGACCTCATCTTTTTATTTTTATTTTTCTTCTTCGCCCCTTCCTCTGGTCCCGTGGTCGCCCGTTCTCGATGATTGTGTCAGCCGCCGTCTTCTTCCTCCTCCTCCTCGTGAATTTCTTACGCTTGGTCTTGGTCTCTTTTTCTTTATCTTTCCCTACTAGGGACGCTGGATTTGCTTGTGGTAGTGGCGGTGTGTGTCGCAGGGAGTCCATGCTTGAAGCGACTTCGGTGGGTGCAAGGCCGTGAGGGAGGGTTGAAGCTTGAAGGTGGGGGTGCCAGTGTGTGCTGAGGCAAATGGCCGATTAGCGTAGGCGAGTAGCAAGTGCACTATTTACTTAGCCGCTATTTTGCCTCCGGGCGCGGGCGGTGGGGGAGGGATGGTATACCATGCCTGTAACAACGTTTTCCTGGGCCAAATTTCAAAAAAGCTGCCTTAACGCGTTGCGCGCGACCTAGTTTTTTTGGCAGGCTTAATCAGCTGGGGCTTTTGACCAAGCTCGAGGCGCTTGACTCATCCCCTCTTGCCCTTCGTCCCCACCCTCCTTACGCTTCAAGACCCCAATCCATATCACACCAAGCCACGTCGCTCACCATGTTTTCCGCATAAGAGTTAATCATCAAGCCTACCCAGCCCACCCAGTGACCAACACCTTTGTTCACCCAGTGAGTCTGATATCCGTCGTCGCCCCGTCCCGTCCCTCGTTTTGGGCACCTTTTTTTTCTTCCGCCGTCGCTCGATTACGCGCGCGCGCTGTGCTCCCCCCCCTTCCCCCCTTTGCGCTCGCGCCAGTCTGCAAAACAAAACATGGCCAGCCTTGCTGATCTCCCCTTCCTCACGTTGCTTCCCCTCAACAGACCCAGCAACCTACCCACGCCCACCATGGCTTCCTTCACCACCTGCACCCAGCAAGCCCAGTCGCCCCAGTTCCCGAGTTCGAGCTGTCAACCGTCGCCTCCCTGTCCCTAGTCGCAACCCACGAACGGTACCGCACCCGTACCAAACTAGACCTACCAAAATCAGTCCGTTTACGCCGACCCTTCCCGCATCCGCAATCATGCCTGCATCTCAAGTAGTCGCACTACAGACCCCCAAAACCTCCACCAAAGACACCACTATGTTCAACTCGATGTTCCTCCCGGCCAAGGCTGCGACCGAGCTTAGCCACGAGCTCTCGAGCTACGTCGACCTTTCGGCGCTTGACTCGTCGTCGGCCGACCTCGTCTCCCACATCACGCCGGCGTTGAACCCGCTCGCGTTCAGCCATGCCTTCGGCGCCGCATCGATGCGCACCCAAGATGCGTTGCTCGACTCGCCCCTCGGCCTCTCGCCCCAGTCGTTGAACGCGTCGCCGTTTGATCTTAGCTTCGACGCGTTCGACGCCTCGCCCACGAGCGTTTGCAGCTCGTCGCCCTTCTTGGACACGCCCGACCTCGTCCAGTCGTCGATGTCGATTGAGGACGCGTACCCTAGTCTCTTCGGCAGCTCGTCGATAGTCGCCACCACCATGCCCGCTTCGCCGCAATGGGAGCCCCAAGACCTCGCTGGCCTGTTTGCCGCTACGTCCGTCTCTCAGCCGGCCAAACCTCACCTCGCTCCGACGACGACTATGTCGCCCGCTCTCATGTCCCTCGACGCCGAGCTCGCTTCGTTGCCCGCCCTGCCATCGCCTCCCCTTGTCTCGGCTAGCTTTGCTTCGCCAACCGAAGCGGCGGCGACGGTCGAGGTCGAGGCTTTGCCCGAGCTTGAACAGAACGGCAAGAAGGCCAAGTTCAACGGCACGCGCAACACCAAGAAACCTATGATCGACTTTGATGCGCCAACCCTGCCCAAGAACTACCTCGTGCCCGGCAAGACGACCCGCAAGCGTGCGCCTTCTCCTTTACTGAAGAAGGTTATCACAAGCGGCAACAAGCGTGCTCGCCGTGAGGTGTCCGAGGTCATCGAGTCGGTCACTTCGAGCCCAGGTAGCGAAGGCGCGGATTTGCCCGAAGAGGTGCTCTCGGCCATCGAGGAGAAGCGCCGTTCGAACACGCTCGCTGCTCGCAAGAGTCGCATCCGCAAGGCCGACCACCTCAAGGAGCTCCACGACCGTATCGCGGAACAAGCCCAGATGATTGTCAAGCTGCAGGCCGAGAACACCGTGCTGCGTGCTCTCACCGCTGCGTAGGCCCTCGTTCTGTTTTGCTCTCGCCTACCATGATGGAGGACTTCTTGATGGCGTGTTTGTTGATTATGTCCTCAGTCCAGGGACATCATCGGTTTAGCTTTCTCTGTAGCCTTGTATTTCGTGCCTTCGTCTTCTCGCGCCTTCAAGATCGTTGCAATGGATGAATTTCGGATCTGCTTATGCCAAGCGTGAGAGTAGGGGTGAGAGATCTAGCGTAGCGAAGCGCACCAGCTATAGATAATAGATGCAGTAATGTGGACCGCCACCGCGCAGAAGATTCTTTATTATACATCGCTGCGCCGATCGACATGAGCATTGCCGGCGTCGACGAATGTTCGAAGCTCTGCCGGAGCGGTTCCCGAAGTTCTCCTCGCTCTTAGTCTGTCGTCGACCGCGAAAGCCAAGGCGTGGACACGTGCCCCTGGGCACTGGGCACGTGTCCACCACTTTTTTGTAGAATCGCATTGCAGCGCAAGTATTGAGACTATTAAATGAGGCTGCTTTCTTTTTCCTTTTTCTTCTTTCTTTCTTTTTTTTTTTTTCTTTTTTTTTGTAGAAACTGTTCATCATATTGCCCCCAAGTCCTGTTCCCCCTGATTGGCCCACGGAAAAACTAGATGGAAGTCGACGATGATAACACAAACCGCCCGCAAGATGCGAGAAACGGGCCAAGTCCACCAATCCGATACTTCGGATTCAAGTACCCCAGCCAAGCGGTTGCTCCCCCCAGGAGACGAATGAGAGAGAGAAGGAGAGAGAGAGAAAAAGAACAAGAACTGGTGTACTAACGACAAGAGGCCCACCCCGCACCCACTTCCCAACTCGGTCGAGATAAAGACAGGAGAGTAATTGCGCAGCTACCCTGACCCGCGAAGCCCCAAGTCTATGCTCGGTCACAACAAGACGCGGTGGAGGCCCCTCAAAACCTCCACCTCAGCAGTCCCTGGCCCCTCAAAGCCGACTTTCTGCCTGTGTCTGCTGATCCCTCCCTTAAACTCAGAACCCCGAAGCCAAAGAGCGCGAGCCACCGTCGAGTCAATCCCAAAACGCGAGCCGGTCCATGAGCAACGGAGGCAGACCTGTAATAAAAGAAAGATGAAGAAAAGATATTTAGTATACAGTTTTTGTATGAGGATGTGTCATGTGAGGTGTGTGTGTGTATGGAGTGGGGTGGGGGGAAATCGAACCCAGCCTCTACTGCCCTCGCCCGCCTCTTGCTCCTCCCGCCCTCAACTTCATCCTCTCCTCCAGTACCACCCTCCTCCGCTCCAGGCTTTCCATCCTCGTCCCGTGCTTCTGCATCCTCCATCTCCCACTGCTGATCATCTCCAAGACCATCCCCGTGAAGATCTCGATCGTCCTGCCTGCGCCTTCCTGTTCGCTGAGTTTGGCCTTGAGCTTGGGGAGGCCAAAGAGTCGTTGCAGTGTCGTGTACTCGGCGTCCTCGATCGTGTCGCATCCGAGCGCGTCGCAGAGCACGCCCCTCGCCGCGATCCAGACGTTTCGCGAGTCGACGCAGCCGAAGAAGTAGTGATCGGTGTCGTCCACCGGCGCTTCGCACACGAGGCACGCGGGAGAAGTGTCATGCTTTTGCTCGTGCTGGAGCTTGCGCGTCGGGGTGAAGCGGAGAATCAGCTTGAACCAAACTTCCCTCTCCCTCGCTGTCAGTGCCTTCGAGTTGACCGCCTTCCAGAAGCTCCTGAGATCGTCTGGCTGCGGTGGTCCCTTGAGCCCGAGCGTGTTGGTAAAAGCCTTCGCGTTCAGGACCCGGCGGATGCGACGGATTGTGTAGGGTCGAGCCATGTTCAGCAGCGTATACTGGCTCGCCTGTTGTGGAAGCACCGGGTCCGGAAGGCGCTGCTCCATTGCGAAGCGGGCCATGGGCTTGGGGATGATCGCCTCGAGCGGTGCGCTGGTGCCGATCCGGGGAGGCACGTTGAGTCGTCCCGCCGCCACCGCCGCCGCCAAGGGGGTGTTCTTGTGTCGATCGACAGTGAACCGGTACCAGGCCGCGATTGCCAGTCGCTGCGGGAGCCCGCGTCGATCGTACTCGCTGTTGTCGCCGAGCACATCCGCCGGCGGCGTCCAGAGGTGAAACCCCCCACCCGCATACAACTCGCGTCGATAGAGATCCGCCACCTTCGGGCAGCCCTGGAGACGAAGGTAGTCAGGTACATGAACCGCGTCGATGGTCTGTCTCCCTCTGATGGGGGTGTGGAGGCTGCCGAGCAGGGTGGGCAGCGCGAGCAAGTTCGCGGTGGTCAAGGCCCTCGGGTTGACCTGCGCGTCGTGAAGTTTCGGAACGCCCAGTGCGGCGTGCCATCGGGGATGAAGGTCGTTGGGGATGGGAGTGGATGGATGTGGCCAGAGATCGGTGGCCAGGTCGAGGTCGGGCTGAGCTCGCTGGAGTGCTGCGCGCGCAAGTCCTTGCCAAATCGCGCCGGAACCGCCGAGAAGAACGTCCCAGAGCCGTGCCGCAACCGCGCCCACAACGTCCCGCATCCTTATCACCCCGAGTCCCCCTTTGTTCTTGGCGGTGAACACAATGTCTCTGCCGTAGCTGGTCCTGCCCTTGCCCCCACGGACGAAATCGACGAGCATGTCATCGAGCTTCTTGACGACTTCGGGCGGCGGGATGTCGGCTGCAAGGAAATGCAGGATCTTGGGAATGGCGTACCGATTGACGTAAAAGGCACGGGTGTGGTGCGTGAGCCAGCGATGCTGAACCGCTTCCAGCGTCGCCTCGAGCCGTTCGATGAGATTCGCGTAGGCGAGTTCGGTGTCGCCGCTGGGGTCGAAGGGGAGGCCGATCCACTCGAGCGACTCGCCTGCGGCCTTGACGACGATTGGCCGTTCCCCAGGGTCCCAGCGACGTCCAATCGGTAGGACGACCGTCTTGTCCGTGTTGAGCCGGCCATTCGTTGCATGCCTCCAGTCGAGCGCCAGGTCATCGAGCAAGTTGAGTGACTCCAAGCCCGCGACGGCGACGACAACGTCATCGGCAAATGCAAGTGATGTAATGGCGCGGCTCTGTGGGTACGGATGAAGTGCAGGTATGGAGAGATTCAGCGCGATGTTTCGACGGTGTAGAGCATCCAGGAACGGCTGAAACACGATGTCCCAGACCGACGATGACGCCGGGTCCCCTTGGCCGAGCCCACACGTCAGTCGCACCGGCGCCGTCAGGAACCCATTGATGATGTAGCGCGCCGAGGTCGAGTCACCCGAGTAGAGCATCCTCAGCACGCGAAGAAAGGTGGTAGGAGCGCCCAGAGCGTCGAAGATGGCAAAGATCCAGTCATGCTCGACGAGGTCGTAGGCGGATGATTGGTCAAGAGACAAGAGCGCGGCCGCGGGGAACTCGGTCCTGCGCGCGCCAAGTTCCTCGATCAGGAGACGAAGGTGTAGTGCAGCGTCGGCCGATCGGCGGTCCTTGACGAAGCCGTGCTGCTGCGGCGGGAGGAGATCGGGCAGAATTTGGTTCAATCGGGCGACGTAGACCTCGGTAAAAATCTTGTAATCGCACTCGCGCAGGGTGATGGGGCGATACGACGAGAGTTCGGCGCGATCGGCATTCTTCTTGTGGCGCTTGAAGATGAGGCGCACGAGTCCCTGGCCCTGCTTGGGAGAGAGTGAAACGCGCTCGATCATCGCGTTGTAGGCCTTGGTCAGCACCTTGGACCACGCCTCCGGTGCGGTCTGATAGAGTTCGTAAGGCACGCCCGACGGGCCCGGCGATCTCCCCGGGTGCGTCGTCCCGATCGCGGCCACGACCTCGTCCTCGGTGATGGGTTGCTGGAGGAGATCAATCTGCGCTTCCGAGAGTCGGCGCAGAAAGAGCGGATCTGAGCGCGGGTCGTCGCAAGTCCGTGCCGCCCTGATCGGCACGAGGAGTTCGTCCCGAAGTCGGTCGACGCGTTCCGGATCACGAGGCTCGATGTGGTAGAGGCGCTGGAAATGCGCCTGCGTGTGGTCAAGAGCGACATCAATGTCATGCGTTAGCTCTCCGTTGCCCAAGCGCAGTGCTGTGATCTTGGAGTCCGAGTTCCGCGCCGCGAGCTTGGCGTGGACCGGCCGCGACAGTCGTTCCTCGGAAGCGATCTCGGGGACGTGGGCTCGGATCCGGAGTAGGCGCGCGCGCTCCTCGACCGCCCGCTTGAGTTCCTCGGACGTCCTTGTCCATTCTGCCGTTTCCGCCTCCCCCCATACCGGTAACGCCTCCAGATCCTGCACCCTCCCCACCAAATACTCCATCCGTTCCGTCCGCTCCCGATGCAGCCTCCTCGCCATCTCCCCACCCCTGTCCCTGCACGCCTCCAGAATCTCAAGCTCTCGCACCGGATCCTCCCCGCTTGCCCCTTCCAACCATCCTTCCATCATCCGCTGAAATTCCACCGTCTTGAAGGTTGTGGTATTGATTCGATGTAGTTGGTTGGATGTGGTAGGTAGGCTGAGCTGTGGGAGAGCCGCATCAAGATCGTCTGAGAGAGCCAGTACGATCAAGACCGGTCGGTGATCGGAAAGATCCTTGGGATAGTCGTAGATCGTCGAGGCCTGGTCGAGCCTTTTTTGGTGAGCTCTTTGTAGGAGAAAGTAGTCAAGCCGGGAGAAGGAGTTGGGTCGCTTGCGATTGGGATTAGGTCGAGTGAAAGATGGGGTGATGGGGTGCTTGTAGCGGATGCAGTCCGTGTAGGCCGAGTCGAGCTTGCCCATCAGAATCGGCCAGTGGTGGCCGCGCCGACTTTGGTTCCGCCGATCGACTTCTGGGCGCGGGCAGTCGTTGAGATCGCAGCCAAGGAGTCGGAGGTGGGATTTCTGTGTTTTGTGGAGGATCAGTTTGTCGAAGAATTTTGCTCGTTGTTTTGGGTCAACGGGCGCGTAGAGGTTATTGATTTCTAGAATTTTGATGTCGCCCCGCAGACGAAAGGAGGTGACGAGGAGCCGGCCGTCGAGTGCCGAGTGGGTGCGCAAGAGCTCGGCGTCGATCAGGGGCGAGTCGGCCGGGATCAGGGTCAGGCAGTACTGGTTGATGAAGAGCTTGCCCTCGTACTCGTCCTTGATGAGCTGCCAGAATTGTGGTCTGATGAAATGCTCTTGTAAGAGAATCGCGGAAGCTTTGAATGTGGAAAGGTAGGTGTAGATATTACGTCGTTTTTCCGGGACCCCCATGCCCCTTCTTACGTTCCAGGTGATGATGGTGTGCTTGATCATTAATGGGTAGTCGAGGTCGAGGCGCTCTTGGCGGTGGTGACGTCCTCAAAGAGGGGAAGGGCGGGCAGGACATCGTCCTCGGGCTCGTGGTCGGACCATCGTTTTTCCTCAGCTACCCCTCTTCCTTTCCCTCTGTCCACATTCGTCACCTCGACCTGCATCGCCGCTGCCGCCGACATCGACCTCGTCACCCTCCGCCCCTCTATTCCATCCTTCACCACGACGCGGCTCTTCCCTTTGATGATGACTCGCTTGGCGTCGGTCGGTTCGTCACTTGGGTCACTGAGGTCCGCCGCAGTCTGCGACCTCTTCATCACCTGCTTCTTGAACTTCGCAGCGGTCCCCCTGATGTTGATGGAGCGTATCTCACCGTCCTCGTCCCACGTGGCAAAGTTGTGACGCACCAAAGGGGTTTCAGCGTTGAGCCTCCTCTCGATGCTTTGGTCCCGCTCAAGTCGTGCCTGCTCAACCCAGTTAGCTCTGATCCTGTCCCACTCCTCCCCCTCGCGTAGCGACTTGGCGAGAGTTTCGGGTGACAGAGGTGGGGTTGGTTCGTGCGGCGTCGATTCGCGGGAAGCGGTGGCGGCGGTTGCTGTGGCGTCGCTGTCGTCGTCATTGTCCAGCCTGTTCGTTTCCCCTAAGTCCGTCGCTTCCGCATTCTCCGCTTTCGTCGATCCCCTCGCTTCGTCCACATCGCCCACCTCCGTCGCCACCTCTTCCTCCATCTCCGTAGCCACCTCTCCTTCCGTTTCACCTCTTTCATCCGCCATCACCTCATTCTCATCAATCACCTCTCCATCGGATCCGCTGCAGTCCTCCAAGACCGACTCGTCCTCGCTTTCAATTTTGATGACCTCCGTTTTCGCGGCCGCCTCCGAGTCCTCCGAGTCCTCGTCATCCGCCTTATCACCAGCGTCTTCCTCCCCCGATTCCTCCGGTCCCTGTTCGCCCTGGCCAGTTACCTCTTCCTCCTGTCCCTCCTCGACCTCGAGCCCGGCGAAGTGATTCTGTGATGCGATCCTGTTAACAACCGGCACAGGAATGGGGGCCTCGGCCTCCGCGATGCTGGTGTTGTGGGTGATGGTGTTTTTGTTGCTGTTGATGATGCCGTTGTGAGCCTCCTTCCGCTTCCTCTCCTGATCCAGTCCGCAGGTTCCCACGTGACCCACAAAGTGGCACCTACCGCAAGCCGCCTCCTTCTCATAGTCATGGCGAAGGGCGGTAACCGGGATGCCTCGAGTGGGAAGGTCGATCCTCGAAGGTAGAATCTCCTTCAAGGTCGTGTTGGGGCGTTGGAATAGGGAGTCGTCATCGAAGTGTAGGAAAGCCGAGTAGTCTCCGGCAACGTGGGCGAAGGCCGAGGCGTTGTCCACGCTGATAACGCGCAGAACCTGCACAAGTTGGCATGAATTCCCTTGCCTGACAGGTCTTGCACAAGTGATTGGAACGATTTGATGATGGCATCCATGGAGGGCACTCCTTGAACACTGACGTTGATTCGAAGCTCGACCATGTTATGGTGGAACCTGTGAGACTTCGCGAAGCGGGTCTTCGCCGATCGCCACGTGAGAGCGGGGGGCGTCGTGAGCGCCGCGTCACGTGCCTCGCCGGTGACGAACCCAACCGTAACGCGATGGTGAGCCGCCCCATTACGCAGGATTGATGAATGTTGTACGCCTAAGATCTGTGGTTGATAAGCCGCAAGATGGTCCGGCAGAGGAACTCCAGGCTCAAAGCAGATAGGAGAGATGGGCGATAGCAGCCTCGTGACGCAGGCCACGAGATCGATCTTGTCGGCATGAGTCGCTCGCGAGGCGCTCTGGTGAGACAGAGTCACTTCAAGGGCGTAATCGAAGATGTTCTCGACGGACCGGTTCGCGTTCAAGGCCGAAAATTTCAGCGATGTGGCGGTGGCGACGGGGTAGAGTTCGGCGAAGTAGATGGCCTGGACCCAGCGATCCATGCGGTTTCCGGGTACAGCACCCATGGCTTGTAGGAGGCTGCCCAGAGCCATGGCACGCTGTTGTTGTTGTTGCTGTTGTTCAGGTGTTTGAGTCGCCATCTGACTCGCAGCGGCAGCATAGTTGGGTGCGGCGGTGGCGGGGCCCGTGACTTGCGTCTTCTTCGAGCTTATCGGGATCCGGTCGCGGGGGGGCTGGACGCTGGTGGCGGATACCGGTGGTGGCGGTGCCGGCAGTGGGGACCCAGGGTCTCCGGTAGACATCTTGTCGGTGTATCACTTGTTAACTCGAGTATCGAAGGCTGCAGTAGGGCGATTTCGAAGAATCCGAAGCCGCCCCCCTGCCAATGATATTGACATGACCAAGGTTAGCCTAAGAACCCCATAATGGGTTCTTAGTGTAGGGGTTAACATCTGGGCTTTCCATTAGAAATAGTGATCTGCCCAGGCCGGGGGTTCGAGTCCCCCAGGACTCAATGTTTTTGTTTGGAAGTTGTATTCGAGGAGACATTTTTGCTTTCCACCTGAACGATCCTGACACCAACTGCGTCTTTTTGGACGGACAACGAGCAAGAAGTCGGGAAAGAAATGCGCAGCCACCAATCAGGTAGGGTAGGCGCTATGAAGAGGAAGACTGTGTTCTGTACAGGTTTTCATACAGCCAGCTTTTCTCGTTTGTTGTGCGAATTGCCACTTGGGCTGTGTCCCGCTGCACACGTGCTTGGACGAGATTCGCTTAAAGGCTGGTGTAGCATCGGAGGCGCTGTGGGGACGACGCCCCAGCGTTCCTTTGCTTTAAAACCATGAACCAGACCCTAAGACGTGATGTGACGAACGATTATGAAGGATGTCTTCGGAGTTTCAGATGGCACGACGGTATATACATATGCAAATGGCTAAAGGTTGTTCTTCAACCTACATGAGGGAAAGGGCTCAGGCTTAAAATGTGGATCCCGCCAAAACTTTTCGTGAGTTTCGCGCAGGGGCCATACAAAGCCGAAAAGCAAGCAGGCGTGGGTATTAGGTGTTGGAGGGGGTTTCAATCAGATAGGCTTCTTTCATCCGATGACGAGGCAAGCCGAGATGCAACCACCAGCGAGGTCGTCGACGTAGCCTCGCGAGCAAACGCACTTGGTCGTTCCGTGTCATGAATCAGTAATCCTTTTGTTTTTTTGTTTTTTGTTTTTTTTTGTAGAAACTGTTCATCATATTGCCCCCAAGTCCTGTTCCCCCTGATTGGCCTACGGAAAAACTAGATGGAAGTCGACAATGATAACACAAACCGCCCGCAAGATGCCTTGCTTCACTGGGGGTTGGCCATACATAGTACCAAGCTGTCCACTCCTTTCAGAGTGGATATTGTACCTTTTTGAGGTCAGCGTAGGCTAGTGGTAAAGCTTGGACCCACTCCTGACATTCCGAGGACGGTGGCGATCAACTGCAGTGGTTGGGAAGCGGGCAGCTCAGACCCGGGACGCAGACTTGGGTACCATTGACTTTGGTCAAATAGTATCCGAGGTCACGTTCGCAGCCGCATTGACCCGAGGCTTGGGCACAAATTGGCGAGGGCGAGGCGTTGGCGGGGCAGGGAGGGTAAGTGACTTGGTTCGACAGGGGGTTGAGGACCTTGACACAAGAGCACACCTTGGAGAAGCGGACGCCGGAATGAGTCAGTTCATGGGGTTCAAATTTGAATTTGGCGTGAAATTCGAAAGCAAAAGCTGTTTTAACATTTCCTGACTGACCTTCAACAAGTTCAAAAGCTGGAGGTTGGTCTGAACACCAAGAACGCCCTTGCCGGTACAGTTCCTAGGGCTGTAAGGCTCGGTTGCCTTACGCTATTTAACTACCCTTCTGATTTCAATATGCATCTATTGAAATCGTCAGTCTTTTGGACCGTGTAACCTAGTCGTGAAGGGCATTACAAGGGCCTGTTCGAAGACGAGGACGAATGAGGGTGAACATCAGTGTCAGTACCACCACATAAACGACATATTTCACCCCGTGATATCTGAGGGGGGATTAGAGCTGTACCCCACCGAGAACGTTGGCGAGCACGTTTGTGTTGATGAGCGAGTTGCCGGGGGTGAGGATGTTCTTCCGGTGGCGTACATCAGCAAAATGGGCACTCGGCGCGCACCGCTTAAAGGCGCTTAAGCCCCGGTTAAGGACGCTTAACAAGACGCGGGGCTTAAGCGCCTTTAAGCGGTGCGCGCCGAGTGCCCATTTTGCTGATGTAGGAAGGGAGAGAACGTCAGCGGCAGTTCCCCCGGGGGCCTTCCCTAACTCCGCAACGGTCAGAAGCTGCAAAGACCTACAGGCTCGAAGATCACAAGTCCGAGAATGTTCAAGGCACGCGTGTACAAGATAGGTAGTGCCGAGCACATGGACGCGAGCAAGACGGACGAGATGATTCCGCGGACGAGCATGGTCAGTGACTGAGTAAATGAGTGAGTTGTGAGAGTTGGTCTGGTTTCATGAAATGAATGTGAGTAGAAGTCAAAGCAGCGGCGCACCCGAGTCAAGCCGTCGACTCCTCCATAGTGCGCGCTGTTTGTGGCGTTTGTTTTAGGATGGAAGAGTCGAGTTGCAGTGATAAGAGAAAAACCCGCACTCCGTAACAAACGGATGGTTTTCTAAACAGGAGTTATGAACAAGTAGGGTGGGAGGGAGGAGCTCAAAAAAATGGTCGATCGGCTTTGCTCAAAGAGCGCAGGTCCGATTAGTAACTAAAACACTGCAACTGACTTGGGGGATAGGGCATACCTTTGCTCGAAAAGCGCAGGGCGATGGCAGGGGAGGAAGGCGACGCGGTAGGTAGACGCGGCCAAACGAGGTCTGTATACAAGGTAGCCCCATGAGTCAACTTGCCCAACAAGGACAAGGAATTTGGCAACATGCCCAACAAGGACAGTCGTGATCCGGAATGCGAACCTTAGCTAGAAACAGCGAGCCGCGATAGTGCGAGTCTCGAAAAGTTCGCCCTTGCTCTAAGCAGTGGGTGCGATACGACCTTGCAAAGCAGCGGGTACGGCGGCTGCTTACAACGTAGTGGCAGGCTAGCTCATCAGTCCAACTGTCCAACAAGGGCAGAGGGCTTACGAGGGATGTTACCCACTTTGAGTGAGTAGAGACTGGCAGGGGGGGTGCCGGAACCACAACACGAAACGCTAAGGCGTGCGGGACGACGAGGGAGAGGGAGAGGAAGGGCCCGCGCGCGCCAGCGGGTGAGCAAGGCGGGAGGCCCAAGGGGGCCGAGAAGAGTGCGTGCTGGCACAGGGTCCAAAGAATGCGTGTTCGAAGAGTGGAGCGCGAGCGGGCCCCGTTAGGCCGAGACCAGCGCGCTTTCGACTCCATCGTAAGAGCGCAATGCGAACCGAAATAGCTGGGATGGAGTCGGATTTGCAGCATAAGAACCAGGCATCCCGTAACAAACGGGATGGGTTGAAAATCTACCCACGAGAGACCATAGATAAGAAAGTAAAGGAAAGAACACAAGGCTGTTTTTGTATTTATTTATTTTGTAGGGTGGGTGGGAGGAGACGAAGATAGAACGACTATGCTTGTAAAGCGCGATTCTATTAGCACTCGGAATACTGCAAAGACTCTGAGGACTATGGCATACCTATGCTTGTAAAGCGTGTCGCTTGGAGACAAGAAGACAGCAAAGGAAACAGACCTCAGACGCTGGCACGTCGAGGGTGGGTCTGTGTAGCAAGGTAGCCAAGTCAGTCAACGTGTCCAACAAGGACAGTCGAAAGCAGGAGTACCCTAAGGTAGAGCCTGAAGGGGGGTGATGTACCTCGGCTCTTTGAGCGAGACGCAGGCGAACGGGAGAGAGGCGCAGCACTGGCAGGTGCAGGCAAAGGGAAAACAGACCTCGGACGCTGGCACGTCGAGGGTGGGTCTGTGTAGCAGTGTAGCCAAGTCAGTCAACGTGTCCAACAAGGACAGTCGAGAGCAGGAGTACCCTAAGGTAGAGCCTGAAGGTGGGTGATGTACCTCGGCTCTTTGAGCGAGACGCAGTCGAACACGAAAGAGGCGCAGCACTGGCAGGTGCAGGCGGACGGCTGCATACAAAGTATGGAGCGTCAGTCAACCATCCAACAAGGAGTGTTGAAAAAAAAAAAAGAGAGGCGTACACAGTGGCAGCTGTTCGTCGTCAACTGGTAAGGCAGAAGACTGGAAGGCGGAAGCTGTACGGTATCGCTGGGGGGGTCCTGTGAGAAGCTCTGAACCTGTCAGCCAAATGGCGGCAGGAAGAGTTCAAGGAAGGCCACTGACCTTGGCAGGAGGTGGCAGAGGTACACAGCGATACTGGTACGGCAACGGCAAGCAGTGGGAACTGAAAGGTGCGGCAGGAGCGGGCTTGGTAAACTCTTGCGCAAGTGCGGCTTACAGACCAAGGCTCGAGGCAGGCGTGCGGGGCGCGGCTTACTGCAGGAAGGGCAGGCGTGCGGGGCACGGCTTATTGCAAGAGGGGCAGGCGTGCGGGCACGGCTTACTGCAAGGAGGGTAGAGGTCGCGCGCGCTTGAGTCCTCGGCGTCAAACTCTTGCAGCAAAAGCAGAAAAGACCAGAGCTGTCCGCGTCAAAATCTTGCAGCAAAGGCCGAAAAGACTAGCGGCGGTTCTCATTGGGAGCCGCGGCGGGCGGACTGGTGCACGGCCACATAGACTTCTACTATGTGGTTGGAACGAAGTGAGCATGAGTGATGAAAGAGAGAAGAAGAAGAGTCTCGCATCCAATGGAACATTTATACTCGCTTCGAGTTGCGAGCTCGCTTCCACGAAAAAAAAAAGAAGCGGTTCCTGTTCGTTGGATCTCGGGTGTGCCTTTGATGACATCAGGGAACCCGACACATTGGGAGAACCTCTTGGCGCCACCAGCCGTCGCAGAGTCCTCAACGACAGCAGAACGGCCCGAGGGTCCCACGGCCTTGGGAACTCGATCACACATTGTAAGAAGTTCCGGAGCGGGGGAAGTGCCGGGAGAGGGGCCGCGCTCCGTCTTCTTGAAGGCCAACGGCACGCCCGAAAGAAGCGTCTCGGTTTGACGGAGCAAGGTTTAACTCACGTGTAGTCACTTAATTTTGTTTGCAACCAGGACTTGAAATTAGGAAGCGAGCTCTTGCCCGGGCTCGTAGTGGGGGCATTTCCTCGCCGGGGTGTCGCTGGCGGTCCCGTGCGAGCGGAGATGACTGCCGAACAGCGCTGAAATGTTTCTATGGCAAAGTTCTTATTAGCGCACAAGGTCAGGCTCCATCGATTGAAGGGGCTGACCAAGGTCATGGCCGAACATCATAGAGACTTGCGGAGAGGAACTTGGTGTGCGTACCGCTATGCTTAATTACGAAGCAGAAGCTGTTCGCCGCCGAGTGTTCCGGATCCGCAAATGGTAAGAGCCGAGATTGGGGAGCGCGATCGTGCCGGAGATGTCGTCAGCTCGCTGTTGCAAAATGAAGAATAAACGAGCCCTAGTGAAGAATAAAGACAGAAATGGAGATGTGGAAGGAACTTTGCAGCGTCCAAATGATGTTGCGTAGGCGGATGCAGTGATGACGAAGGTCACTAGGCATGAAGAGGGTCGCGTGGAGCGATCGCTCGGATCGCTCTGTGCACGGCCGGGTGCACAACGAACGCGACCGCCGACTGGTACCTGGCACCACGGCTCACAAGTAATTGGGCTTCAGAACAGGAGGGCAGAAGGGGAAATCTTTAGAGAAGTGTCTTGCTGGTGGGAAGTTGGGCCAGCTGGAGCTTGGGCAGGATAGCCAGAATTCATGATGACTGGGCCAGGAATGAGGCGCCCCTGTCACGTGGTCCGCCCGAGGTGGTCAGGATTTTATTTATTTCAATTGGTTGTTTTGTTGTGCATTCTTTTATGTAGTGGAGTGGATATATCAAGCCTGATTAGATATTCGCATGTTCAAGCGCGTTTCGCGGTCCGAGCGCGAGTGCTAAGCTCACCCAGGTGCCGTATAGCACACGTCGGGCGCCTTTCGGCCGTGCAAATCCCGTGGCCCCAAGCGCGTCGCGGGGTGGCTCGGCGACGGCGTAGGCTGACGTGTGCTTGGCACCTTCGCTGCGTCGCCCCCTCTAGCCTTTGTACTTACACGGTCCTAAACCTTGCGAACCCGCCTGGCGACGCAGTGAGTCCTCAGCACAGTCGAGTCCATGCCCCCCTGCTCCCCATAGGATGTAGGACCCACCACTGACGCTGTAGTCGCCTTCCCCTCTTGTCGCTCACAGAGACGCTATGATTCACGACGTAGCTGGCACCAGCAGCGGTAGCTCGTCTTCGTCACCACCGCCACCATTGCTGACCGTCGTCGACGGCCAAGTCGCTCCAGCGCGACTGCCCACGGGACGCATGCTCTCCAGGTCGTCCTCGCTGATCGTCTCGGCACGGTCCGGGAAGCAATTGGATCGTCCTGCTCGGCGTACGTGTGCTCCCAGACTGCGTCCCCCTCCGAAGGACTCGCGCCGTATACGCGCAGCGCGCGTGACCGGAGCGAGGGAGCGGATCCCAAGACCGTCGAGCCACACTGCTCCCAGTGTGCACTCGGCCCCACCAGCTCTTGGCTGACGTTGCTATCCAACTTTTGCTTCGTGGCTTTGTCCATCACAGAACGGATCAACTTTGCTCTGCCGCCCACACCGCCGCTGCAGGACCGAGACCTCAATGCCCCGCTACACCCTTCACCGCCGAGCCCGCTGCCGGGCCTCTTCAAGAAACTCGGTCGATCCCTGTCGCAGTCCAAGTCGACTCTGGCTAGACGCGTCTCAGGATCGCCAGCCAAACGAGAAGGACGGGCTGTATCGCTGACCGCTGCACGGAACCTCGCATCGTCCGCATCGTCTAGCCCGTCGAAGCCACCAAGGTCATCATCACCTTTGATCGCGCCGACCCTCGTTGTACACCCCGCGCCTCTCGACGGGTCAGCTGACGTCGCGCCCGCGCCGACGCCTCCGGTCTCGGCTGCGGCTGCGACGCCCGCGCCAGCTCACGCTCCCGTGACGACAACTCATGTTCCCAAAACTAGGCTCAAGCGCTCGTTTCGGGCGCAGCTGGGTCGGAGCAAGAGCGAGGGGAATCATCGACCAGTTCCGACAGGGGAGGAGGACCGCATGGATCAGCTGTTACGCCGTACCGAGCTGGCTTCGCGAAGGGAAGAATCGGCGCGCACCCGGACTCCGTCCGATATCGCGAGCGGCTTCTTCTGGAGCGACTCTTTGGGTATTTGCTGGGATGGACGAGAAGAAGTGCGGCCGGACCTGCTCGCGCCTCAGCCCGCCTACTCGTCGGACGCCGATTTTGTGCCTCAGCGCGTCGTCTATGCTTCGACACTGTCGACTTTTCCGCCCCGCCCGCCTCTCAAGAGCAGTCTGTCCGCCGACGCCTCTTCCCCGACCCTGTCGCCGGCCAACCAGGTCATTGCCGAGTATCGCGCCCTGCACGGTCGACTACCCCCAGCAACTCCTGTCGACCTTGGCCCCCCGTTGCCCCTCTCCAGCGAAGTCACTCCGATCGCGACGCCGAGAGCGGATCTGACCGCACGCGGCGGCGCGACGGCCCAGGACTGGGTCATCATCGACCGTCGCTTCCCCCCTGGCGTCCAAGGGCGGCCAAAGTATGCGCGCAGCGTCGCCTCCGAATCGACGTCGGCGTCTGCAGCGAGCGAGGCTCGCTTCGACGATGCCGCGCCCGGTCGAGAGAGCCAGGACAGCTCGACTAGCCTCGAGTCCATGCGCGAGACGTCGCCCACCCGCAACGTCAAGCTCGCTGCGACAACACTTTTGGCACCACCGTCAGCTCCTCGATTCGTGCTCCACGACGGTGGCCCGGCTCGCGCTCTGCAGCCAGCGCACCTCTCCACGAGCAAGCTCACACCGATTCGGTCCATCTCGCCCGGAAGTTCTTCGGTCGACTCTGGTCACACCGAATGGGTGGAGTGCGAAGAGTACCAGTGAACGTCGACCTTAATGTCTCTTGTGCCCCTAGTCTTGGCCTCTGAATCGTGTAACCATTACCTTTCTTTTCCCCCGCGATCCAACCCCCACCCCGTTTGCATTCCTACCCCTTAGCCTCAGTTTGGCCGCATCGTTGTTCTTCGCCATCGCTAATGCCGTTCGCACTTTCTTGCACACTATCTTGTCGTGTGTTTTATGTTTCCCCCCTATACCACCTGCTTGTAAATCTTTTGTGTACACATTTTTCTCTTGTCACGATCTCATGTAACGTTTGTGGGTCTTTATTTCACTGCTCGCCTCCCAAGCTCGAGCACTCCTATCCTCAAAGTCATCACCTTCGTTGGGTGGGTAACAAAGTACCAAAGAGCAATTTAATTCGATCCCAACACAAAGACCGAGATCGATCGATTCGGGGTTTGACCTTCCTATTTTAGATCGCCGCGAATATCCGAATGCGCTGCGAGTTCCCGGGACGAGCCGTCGCCTCGATTGGTCTCGGGCTGTACATTCTTGTCGCGCGACTCAAGAGGGCCTGTCCGGCCGACCAGGGCCCTGTGCGAGCAGACGAGGTGACCAATCTCCGGTAGAGCCCGACCTGACTCCACCTATCCACTCCGTCTTACGGAGGCTGCGTTGGCTGCGCTGCACTATCGTTCGGTGCCGAATTGAGCTCGATTGCGAAGAGGCGCCCGCGTAATGGCGCGATCGGTGGTCCAGTGGTCGAGCCTCGCGAGGGGACCAGCATGCACGTGCTCGTCCACCTCATTGGTGTTGGGGGTTAATTGCACCAGGGTCAGTACTCTCGCTTTGGGTTTACAAACTCTCGTCTGCCCATGACCACGCACTGACGCCCCGCTGTCGTCGCGCTTCGGTTATCGTGGCTTAGCCCCGGATCGCCTTCGGAGCAAACCGTGTGCTCCATTCTCGCCAGAAACATGCCGCCCGAGGGCATTCAAACGACAAGAACTCTCAGAGGGTGAGTAGTGGTTACGGAGCTCAAACTTCGTGGGCCGTGAAAGGGAGGGCCCGGTCGTACCAGGCTGGTCGCCGCGCTTATCACGTGCTGCCCAGAGATCTTCGCGGGCAGGAACACCGTTGACTCATTCGCCCTCGAGAGGCCTTTTCGACGTGTCATGATACACAGGACTTTATCTTATCCGTCTTGGAAGCGCATCCTTCAGCGCGTGATTCTCGATTCTATCTTCAAAATTTTGGCGCCTCGGCGGCTCCAACGCCCAGCTCATCTCGGTCGCAGAATGGCTCCCACTCGGCCGAGGCGCCAGCTTTCCCGTTGGCGAACGGTGCGACGCCGACGACAGCGTTCGCCGTTCCCGTTAAGACCTCGACGGGCACGAACACCGACCTCGACGACATCATCGCGGGCAAAACCCCTTTCGCCGACGAGCTGCTCGCGCCGGAGAATCGGCACACCGCGCTCGTTAAAATCCAGGGTCCTTTCACCGAGCGGCAGCTCGAGAGCATCGCCGAGGGCATGGTCTACCTCAAAAAGCTCGGTCTCGTGTCGATCATCGTCGTCGATCATGAAGAGTGGATGTCGGAGCTCTCCAGGGAGAGCGAACGCGCCAGCCGCTTCTCCATCGAGGAGCGACGCGCAAGGACGATTCGACTGCGCGCTCAGATGAAGGCCGACACGATGAGACTGTGCGAGATGCTCGAGAGGAAAGGGGGTTCGGCACGACCACTGCTCGAAGGGGTTTTGTGTGTCCGCGGGGCCGAGTTTGAGGACTCGTTCAAGCCGATCGCCTCGACGTCCAAGCTCCCCACCGAGTCGGATCCCTCCAGACCGCCGTCAGACCTCTTCGTCGACTCGCTGTCGGGGATCCGCGATTCTATTCGCCGAGGCGAGATCCCCGTCATCCCCCCGATAGCGCTGGATCAGTCGCTCTTCTCACTGTGCGTATCGGCGAACGACGCTGTCCGGGCCATCTCGGCCGGTCTTGCCGACCATGCCAAACGAGCGGGTCTGCGGTACGAGGCCGACCGGAGGTGGAACAAGGACGTCGACCTGACGCCCGTGCGCCTCATGATCATCAACCAAGAAGGGGGTATTCCTTCCCACGCCCGCCGAGGAAACCCGCACCTTTCCATCAATCTGTCTTCCGAGTTTGACTACATCAACGAAACGTTCGTCTGGCAAGACTCGCATCCGACATCACTGGCGAACCTGGCCCTGCTCCAAGACTGCCTGGCCGAGCTCCCCCGCACGGCTTCGGCGGTGCTCGTGTCCCATCGATCACCCCGAAGTCTCATTGCCAACCTCATCACAAATAAACCCGCTCATTCACCTTCCTTGCACCAGTCGCTTCTACCCAGCACGCAGATGATGCACCAACCAACGATCGTCCGGCGAGGACTGCCGATCCGGGTCTTTCGGAAAATGTCTGACATCGACCTTCCGGCCTTGACGAAGTTGCTCGAGGCATCGTTCGGCAAGACACTCGACGCCGAGCCGTTCTATGCGCATCTTGAAAAAACGCTCGATTTTTGCATCATTGCGGGAGATTACCAGGGGGTCGCGATCGTCACGAACGAAGCGCCTTTGGAGGACTCCAATGGCGATGAGGCCGTTTCAGCCTTGGGGGCTCCGGAGAGTCGACCGGTCGCGTATCTGGACAAGTTCGCCGTACTTCCTTCGCTCCAGGGCGACGGAACGGTCGATTTCTTATGGGGTGCTCTGCGCGATGAATCGTTCGGTCTCGGTCTCTTGGATGCATTGAACCCCAACGTCGGCGGTAAGCAGGGTTTGGGAGAAGGCCGCGACCTGGTGTGGCGATCACGGTCCAACAACCCCGTTAACAAATGGTACTTTGAGCGGTCGAATGGTTTTTTCAAGATACCACCGCCGAGGGGGAGCCAGGTCGGCTTCGCACTCTTTTGGTGTGAGAGAGAAAGCCGGAGAGGCGAGTCGCGAGACGATGAGGAGGAAGCGAGTAAAGCCACGGCTACAAAGCTCAAGGAGTGGAGTCGGGTCGTGGGTGGCATTCCCACGTGCTGGAAGTGAGGAATAATTTTTCACCGGGGGGAGGGCGGGGGGTCTCTTGGAGTACTTCACAGCATTCAGAAGTTGCGAAATGAGGAAATTCTAGCTATACAATTCGTGGCCCATGTATTCGAGCCCTAAAGCGGTTCGCGAGCAGAGAGTTGAAGAAGCCAAGGAACTAGCAAAGTCGACGCAATCGGAGGGCGCTCCGGGCCGGCGTGTAGTGGACTTGGTGCTCAGCGAGGAAGAATCTTCGGAACAACGGTATCGTTCTCTCTAACGACTCGAGCATGTGACACGGTGGCCTCGTGCGTCACTTGAGGCCGCGCCGCTAGTCTTCTTCTCAGTGAGGGGTGCTCCTCCGAATTTTCTGGCGCAGTGAGAAGGAGGCTCTTGTTGACGAGGCTGTGAAGAGGCATGGAGGTCGACCTTGTAGCCCATATCGAGCCACGTGAACTTTTAGTGTACCTCCTTGGATCTAAAAAGTCCCCGGGGGCGCGGGGGGGCTGTCTTCGAGCAGTAGTGCTAGTAGTCCGTCATTCAAGCTGCTTCGATCTCGTGGCACTTGGCGGAAGCTTGGGGGATCTTTGGGTGACCCCACCTTCACCTTCCCCCATGTTCGAGAACGCAACTGCAAAAGCACCTACCGATGAGTTGGTAGTGAAAGTGTCCTTGTGTGGGTCGCAGCTGAGAGGATCGTCGACGAATGTGCGAGCAGGGCCATACGCCTCTTGCATCGTAAAGCGCTTGCCAGTCTTGGGCTAGTTGTTGTCAACAGCGGGCGGCAACGTCCACGAAGTCAGATCGAACCATCCAGCCCTGATGACAGTGCTTGGACTTGCGTTGATGGGAATATAGCTGATGCCCGTGTTGGACTCTGTTTTGGTCTGGCGTCGTCCTGCGTGATTTGAGGGAGTCATCGAGGCTGAGAGTGAGTGATCGTCACGCGCTTGTCCGACCGGTCAGGGGGTCACGCGGTGCTGTGAGGCAAATCCGAGGCCTGCCAGTAATGAGACGCCTTGTGTACAAGTCAGTGGTCCACGCACGATACTTCTTGGGTTCGGTACCGGTGCTTTGTCCTTCCATGTTGGATGCTGGATGACAGCAGAATGAGATAGTGGCGAGTGAAGCGCAGCTGAGACCGAGCGCAAGTGCGAGCTCGCTTGACTGCACACTCGGAGAGGAGCTCCTTCGCTGGCAACATCGATGACGTGTCGCCATCCGCAGTGCGACGAGACCCCGGTTCATATTGAAGCGTCTCTAGACGGTCTCAATCGAAGAGTTTGTTCCAGGGAGAGGATCTGACCTTGCTTATCAACTTCCGCTTCGCTCGCGGCACCAACGTCATGCTCGCAACTTCGCATGCACCGAGCGATCAGATTCAGAGGATAGAGTCGTGGCGTGTAAAATTCCATCGAGTCGCATGGGGGGGAGAGGGCCGTGCGAACATCCAACGAACTACAAGCAGGCTCAAAACCTAGATCATGACCTGGCCATCTCAAGTCCACCTCGAGTTGGTAGGTGCAGGGGGCCCCTCTTTGCCCAAACTCCCTCTCCTCGGTCGACTGCCAAAGCCTCCCGTAGCGGACCCAAATGATCGAGTCGGCGTATCCCCACCTTCCCCTCTCGATTCAGCACTCCCGAGCCCTCGGTTCGTGTAGGATGAAAAGCCAATATTCCTTCGTTCTCTCCCTTCGCCCGGTGCTGCGGACGAAGCACCTCCCGGCGTCGTCCTCTCGCGTCGGTCACCGGTCGTACCGTCCTCGCGACGAGAATGATGCGCGTTGGCTCGTCGCTCGTGGTGGTCTCCTCCTCTCGAGTGATGGTGGTGGTGATCCCGATCGGAGCGGTGTCGATGCGAGACCCCGTTGGGGGAGGCGGTCCCGTTCTCGCCATCGAAAGCGGCGACTCCGTTGCGCGTCGGTACGGTCGCGTGTCCGGCGACGGGGTGGGGCTTGTAGTCGAGTTGCAGGTTCGTCGATGAGGTCAAGGTCAACAACGGCTCAAGAGCAGCTCGGAGTGCTTCCCTGTTATGAATGAAGCTAACGGATGTTTGAGTTTTCCGATCATTCGAGAGAAGCAGACCAAAGGTGTGCACGCCGGAACGAACCGAATCAAATCCCTCTGCTCCCTCGACGTTGGCGCGCACCACAAGCTCAGGATATCCTCGTCCTTGCGCACACTCAAAACGACGCCATTGACCTTGGAGTCGATGCGCTCATCGTCTCCCCCAATCCTCTCGCCAACCAAGGCGTACACAACCTCTTCCCAAACGCGGTCGGCGACGCCTTTTCGCAGGCGGAGGACCCATCGTCCACCGCCGGTGTTGGCGGTGTCCTCCCATGCGGGCGCGATCGGGGAGCGGAAGATGTTGAGGTCCGAGATGACGTTCGATTGAGGAGGGAGGCTGCTCTCGCTCGTGGCATCAAAGAGGTGGGCGGTCGAAGCGACCGACGCCGGAAGCGCCGAGGGACAAGTCAAATGCGCCAAAAAAGGGTGGAGGGACTCGATCTGCGGGGCCCATAGATGTATTTATGAGCAAACAAGTGACGGAGAAATCACACATATTCATCCGTGCCGGCACTCACACTGGAGAAGCCCCCCAATCTGACAACACCCCCCTCCCATTCCTCTCGACTTTCCTTCTCCTTGCCAGGCTTGACGGGCGTCGCAGCGGCCTCTGCAGCGGCAGCAGCGGTCGTAACAGCACTGGCAGCAGCGCCATCTTTCCTCGTGTTCTTACCCGCGGTCGTGCCCCCGGACCGGTGGGAGAACCACACGTCCCAGGTGTACTTGAGCGGGTGGATCGAGGTGTCGTCGTTCGAGTCGGCGTGGGTGCCTTGTGCGGCCGTGCCCAATGAAAGCGAAGGTCCACTCGATTTGCGGGTTACCTCGGCGATCGTAGCAGAGTTCGAGTTGGGCGTCGTCGAGTTGGCTGCGCTGGACGCGAGTGGGGCCGAGGATGCGGTACCCCACGCGCCAGGGGCTCGAGCCGAGGTCGTCTGCGAGGCTGTCGACGACGGCTGCTGCTGCGACGAGCCGAGCGAAGGGAAGGACGCTTCACGGCGGCGGGTGGTAGAGGCCGGTTGTGAGAAGCGGGACATGGTGGATTGGAAGGTCTCAAGTCAGACTAGCGAAAATATGAGGGAGGGCGTGACGCTGCCGAGTGGCGAGGGCTGGCTAGCTCGCTGGCGTGCGAGAGCGCGAAGTCGAGCGAGTGGAGACGGTTTTCTACTCGGACGTGGTGCCAAAACTCCCAACTTGTGAGCGAAAGGGATCAAGCGAGGTGCGGTGAGGGGGTGTGGCGGTGGTGGTTGCGCGGGTACAAGAAGGCTGATATTTGCGTGCAGTACAAGTTGAAGGGTGATAAGCTAGGAAGCCGAAGTGATGGTCAGCGTGTGGGTGGGTGGGTATAGCAACGAGACAAGCCGTGGCGCGCGCGCAGCCCGGGTCAATCTCGCGAGCGCGCGCTTCACTTTGACAATTGCGAGAGCGTCTCAGGCTCCGAGGGTCGGCAGGAAGTACAAGCATGTAAAGCAGGATAAAATTCACGGCTACCATAATGACTTTGTATACAAAGGCAATCACAACACCATTCTCAAGGGGATGTGTAGATTGCATACAACGCGAGCGGCCAGCACGACAGGCTTTTCGGACGAAAATCTTTCCCTTCTTCGTGCCCGACCCTCTACCGTCCCACGTTGGCCCGACCGACGACACCCTGCTGATGCCTGAGAGAACGAGAAGAGGAACTTCAGCATTCAAGCGATGGTCGATGCAAACGACAGAGCGCCATAGAACTAACTTGGCCTCCTTCTTCTTGATCGCCTCGGATTGACCACCGAGCACGGCCAGGACCTCCAGCGCCAACCGTTTTCCAAACTGCTTCTCGATCCCTTGCCTCTTGTCACTCGACTCGACGATCCACTTCCACGCCTGGCGCGTCCTCTGCTTCTCCGTCAGCGGCTGCGGCGTCGGCAACGACTTGGTGCCCTTCTTCCTCCCGACGATCCGGATCGAGGGCTCGACGATCTGCAGCGCCTTTTGCAGCACCGGCAACGGCGGCGAGTGCGTCGCGGTTTGGATCTGGGCCAGCATCAACGCGATATGCGAGTGGGCGCGTTCGAGCTTGCCCGATTGCATGATGAGTCGGGCGAGGTAGCCAAGCAACTCGGTTTCGACCGACGGCTTCGCGCTCGGCGGCGGCGGGGGTAAGCTCGTGCGGGTCAAGGCGGGGAACGTCGAGGCTGGGGCGGAAGATTTGGTTGTTCGTCCTGTCGAGGAAGATGGGGACGATCCAGACGTTGATGGGGATAGAGGACGCAGCAACGACGACGAGGAGGAGGAAGAAGCCAGGGCGTCACCGAAGGCAGAGTAGGCAGAGTAGGCAGAGTAGGCGCACCGTGTGGTGCTGATGTTTCGTTTCAGTGGTGTTGGTGCCCCGAGTGCACGTAGAAAGAGTCGCTGCGACATGGCGTGGCTGTGCAGCTGATGAGAGGTGGAGGACGATGCAGTAGAGGAGGGAGAGCCGTGCATGGGTGCGAGGCGCGGCTGCGGCGCTCCGGACTGACTGACGGCTTTAGCGGAATGGAAAAGCGAAAGGTCACAAAGGCCCCTTTTACTACTATTCGGCCAAATCGATCCGGCGCGCATGCGCTAAATAACAAGTCGTCGCGCGCTTCGGTCACGCTCGTCGCGTAACACCTTCCTTACCCTCTCTCGCCACTGGATTCCGGCGCACGCAGACCACGGCAGCGCTACACGTCGAACACCAGCGCACACACGGACTCAGACCGACGATGGCGACCACAACCACACATACGATCGAGCTGGACCCCACCGTCTACGACACGGAACAGATCCAGCTGATGGAGGAGCGCCTCATCTTGCTCGACCAGGACGACCACGCCATCGGCGAAGGCTCAAAGAAGGACTGTCAGTTCTGGCGCTGGCTTCACTCTCTTGCCCGCACGGGGGCTCGGGGCTCCCCAGACGAGCAACGAGCAACGAGCAACCCCAACTGATGCTGCTGCTGTTGCTATTCCATCTCCCTCTCCCTCCCGCACGCTCGTTTCATTGGCTCGCTGCTGGCTCGCTCGCTTCTGGGGCTGGGGTCCTCGCCCGCCCTCTCCTTTCTGGTGTCATGAATACCCGAACCGAGCGGGGCCTTCCTTCCCGTCCCACACCGCCGACACCCTTTGCTGCCTCCTGTGCCGCCCCCAACATCGCTCACCAAACCACCGCTCCTCCGAAACTCCGCATCCGCTCGACTTGCATGCGCAATCCGCACAGGCCACTTGATCCCGCCGCGTGGAGCGTCCGAGGTGCGATCACCACTGCATCGCGCCTTCAGCGTCTTCTTGTTCCACCCGACCACGGGCAAACTGCTGCTCCAACGCCGCGCAGCCGAGAAGATCACCTTTCCGAACATGTGGACCAACACGTGCTGCTCCCATCCTTTGACCTCGAACGGTGAGATGGAAGAATCTGCTCAGATCGGTCAGTTTCTTTCGGTCCTGCAACGTATCCGTCGCTCGGTTCGAGTGCAAAAGCGCTAACGCGAGAAAACGACTTTCACTTTATTCCTACACACCTCGGTCTCGGTGACTGTTGTGATTCGGTGACCGACTTGTCTCGATTCGCTCGATTGCCGAAACCTTCAACGGTTTTTTGATGTGTTTCACTGTCTCACCCCATGTCCGGCCCTCTCGCCCCCCCCCCCCACGCCCCGCCCACGCCCCGCCCACGCCCCGCCCACGCCCCTCCAGGTGTGCGAAAGGCGGCGTCTCGGAAGTTGGTGCACGAACTCGGAATCCCGACCACGTACAAGCTCGACGAGTTCGCGTACCTCACCCGGATTCACTACTATGCCCCCTCGGATGAGATCTGGGCCGAACACGAGAGTACGCTTCGGTCTTTGCTTTTCCGGACCGGATTTTCTTTTTCCGTCACTGACCCTTCCAGGTGCTCTCTCGCCGGGCACAGTCGACTATATCCTGTTTTTGGCGTTGGACGCGACGTTTGAAGCGAACCCGAACGAGGTCTCGGATACGAAATGGGTCTCGAAAGCGGACCTGCAAGACTTTTTCAAGGATCCCGGTACGGTTGCCGCGAAGACAGCGTTTCGTTGCATTGTGCGGACTGACCGGCGCTTGTATATCCGCAGAGAGCACCTTCACACCGTGGTTCAAGCTGATCGCCGAATCATTCCTTTACAAGTGGTGGGACGCGCTGCTCGAGTCGAGGAAGTCTCTGAGCGATCAGCTGGACGCTCGGAACTTGATCCCGTTGGTGGCGCAACAGCACGAAGAGATGGCCAACATTATTCGGATGTAAGGAGTGTGATGGGGCAGGTCGTTGCCTGTAATTTTCTTCTTCTTCTTCTTTCTGTTTCTGCTCTGCTCATCGTCTTTGAGCGAGGATAGAGAGCGAGGTATGTTTTATTACGTGTCATTGAAATCGAACATGGGGGTTGTATACCTTGCGCTGCTCGGTCCTTTACTTACGACTTTTGTTAGATCAAGTCCGATCTCGAACGAAGTTGATCGGGTCACCAAAATCATTTTGAGGATCGGTTGGTACTGTAAGTTACTGGGTCTGCATGTTCTGATCACGATGGCTTTGCCCCAGGGCCCCCACTTTTTGGGGAGGAAGCGGTCGATCGTCGCGCGTCACTGAACTCGTCGCTCCTCTCTCTGTCTCTCCCCACTCTCACCCCTCCGCGCGCGCATCGACCGGATCGCACCCCTTCCCCGACGACGATGCTCCCCAGTGTGCTTCGACGCCCTTTCCGCATCCCAGGTTCTACCGCTTCCTTCCTAACTCGCATGTCGTCGTCGTCGTCCTCCGCATCGTCGCCCACGCCTCTGCTGGTCACGCCGTCCCAAGTGCGCGAGCTGCTGTCCAAGCAGTCGAGGAACCAAGTGGTCGTGCTCGATGCGTCATGGCATATGCCTAACCTGGACCCACCTAGGAACGCGTACGACGAGTTTAGGAACAAGAGGATTGCGGGGGCGACGTTTTGGGATCAGTGAGTTGGAGTGGAGCGTGGTCTCGATTCTGCGAGGGGATGATCGGCCATAAATTGTCAGCGATCGATCTCCGAGATGGGTCGGTGACCGTGGACCGACCGAGGACCGAGGATCGCAAGGAGGAAGGAGCGGCCTCGACTTGATCGCGGATGACTTGACCCGTGAGGCTGGTTCGAGACGGAATGTACTGAATCGATAACTCCACCCGATTCAGTGACATCATCTCGACCAAATCGGACCCACCCGTACCGCACAACCTCCCCTCGCCCTCGCTCTTCGCCGACGCCTGCTCGCGTCTCGCCTTGAGCCCCTCCCAACACCTCATCTTCTACGACACCTACGGTGTGTTCTCATCCCCACGAGCGCTCTACACCTTCAAAGCCTTTGGTCACGATAAGGTCTCCATCATGGAGGGTGGATTGCCCCGTTGGATCGCGGAAGGGAACCCCGTCGTTTCGACCCCACCTAAACCGATCAACGTCCATGAACAACACGATGACAGGGAGGCCAGTTGGGGCCCAATCATGTCCGAGTTGCTGTACCGTAAACGACCCCAGGTTGAATCTTACTTTGTGAGTTGCGGTGGCGAGTTTATCTGTTGAGTGGCAGGATATTCCGACCATTACCCGAGGGAAACTGCGGGCTCGTTGGGACGAGTGGGGGCAGGGTTTCAGGCTGGGAAACTGATGCAATCTTGCAATCTTGCAAGCGAGTGTTAAAACTGACCCCTGCTGGTCCGCATCGTACAGATTGCCGACATTGAAGAACACTTTACCGAATACCCCGAACCTCAACTAGATACCTCGGTCGTGCGCGACAACGCCGAAATCGTTGCTAATGCCGACAAGGGGGACCCGAGCGCTTCGGCCGACGTCGACTATGTCTTGGATGCTCGACCGGCTGGGAGGTGGGTTTCATGCTCCTCCGCGGTCACAAATAACGGAATGAAAACTGTCGTGTGTGCTTAGACTTTGCTCTGTCGTTGTGCAGGTACCACGGCACGGACCCTGAACCCCGAGCCGGGCTCTCCTCAGGTCATATCCCTCATTCCCTGTCCCTCCCCTTCGGCACCTTACTCTCCCCCAAATCCTCTACCGATCCTTCTTATCAGACCTATCTCCCCGCTGAGGAACTTGAGGCAAAGTTCCGAGAAGCGTTGGGGCAGAAAGGATGGGAATCGATCAAGAAGGGGGAGAGGAGCTTGGTAACGAGTTGTGGGAGTGGGATGACGGCTGCGGTCGTTTGGTTGGGGTTGAAGATTGTTACCGAGGGGAAGGCAAGAGGGGCCGTTTATGATGAGGTGAGGTCGTGGAGAACCTAAGGCGTCATGTTGAGCGCAGGTCTTGCAGAGCTAACTGGACTTGTTTCATTTCAAACAGAGTTGGACAGGGTACGCCGCTCGTGAAGGCGCAAAGATCGAGAAGAGTTAATGAGCGGTGAGATTGAAAGGAACAGATACAGAAATCTGTGAGGATGCTTTGCAAAGTGAACGAGATGTGCATATTACAAGGTGGCACTGAAAGAGACTCGGAGGTGAGCGGGGTTTGAGGAAGTCCGAGTTAAAGACAAGGGAACTTGAGAGGTGGTTGTGGTACAAGGAGACCCCAAATTAGATCCTGTGCAAGAGTTTACAGACTAAGCGACGACAGTTTCCTCGGCCTTGAGCTTCTTCTGGCGAGATCTCGGCTCCTCGTCCTCCCCGCCGCCGTGGAACAGTCCTACGCCTTCGCGTATCAGGACGATAGTGATCTCGAACGCGATCAAGAGGATGATGATCCACTCCAAGCGATGGGACGTCTTGGTGTTGAGCAATTCCATCAGAGTGCCTGTAGTCGGACCCGTAGCGAGTAAGCTGGAATTGCACAGCTCGCAAGCATAGCTTCCCTTGAGGCACTCACTCTGCAACTGGAACGCGTAATCGACGCGATCGTTCAGATTCCTTAACCTTGAATCAAATTCAAGCGCTTTACAAACGCTCGTATAGTACCCATGCAACTTCTCATCATCCCACAAGAATTCGGGTTCGTCCAAGAGGTTCTCATCCTCGAGATTCAACTTTTGTCGAAAGCCGTGCAGGGTGCCGACGCGTTTGATGATATCGGTCTTACGCACAGGTGCTTCGGAACCGGATTCGAGGAGTTTGGGAATCGAAGCGACGTGCGAGGCGAAGGTGTCGAAGGCTTCTTCGTAGACGCCCAACTTGGTTACACGCGCGATACCGGCGGAGAAGGCGAGGCGTGCGAGGAGGTCTTTGGACGGGCGCGAAGGAGTCGATTGGGGGGATGTTGTTGAGGAGATCTCCATTAAGGATCCGGAAAGGTGGATCGCATCACCCTGCATTCGGGTTTGACTGAGGAGGAGCGAAGTGAATTCAGGGGTGTCAAAACGGGCAAATTCTTCACGGCACGACTCTGAAAATTTAAGACTGACCTCTTGCCCTTCCAATACTCCAACACCTCGGTCTCGAACTCGTTATACCTCCCTTGCTCGACCCATCCAATCGTCGACTCCCGTAGGATTGTCTCGACTTTGGTTGATGCGTTTGTAGCGACTGTCGAGGCTGGGCCCGAGGCGTTTCCGCCCCCTCGGATGACGGTCCTCAAGAAGGCTTCCGTGCCGGCTTGCGACAAACCCCAACTGACGATGGTGCCCGACTCGAAAACAAAAATCTGACCCGTCTCCTTTGGGTGGCCATCCAACGAAGGTGGGGACCATTGAGGCAAATAGACGGCTTCGCCCAAGAGGTTGATCGCTCGATCCAACAAGCCGAGCGATTGGAGCGATTTGACCAAAGCGACGGTGTCGTAGTGTTCTGCCGAGGTCAAAGCGACAACGAGACCGTCGGATGGGTCTTCGTGGGTTGCTTTGGGGGTCTTGAGCCCTAGGGGAAGGAGGGAGGAGAGAGGAGGGGTTGACGGGGACAAGGAGGCGACGGTGAGAGAGGGAGCGGAGGCGGTCGTCGAGGCGGAGATGGAAGATGAGGCGGAGCTCTTGGTCTTTTTCGCCTTGTGCTTCTTTTGTTGCGCTCGAGCTAGGGTAGAGGTGCTGGGCGTCGAGGTTGGGGTCGAGGAAGCGTTGGGCGATCGCGAGGGTATGGATGGTTCCGGCGCCGACGATGACGAAGAGGACGAGGACGAGGACGAGGACGAGCTGAACCGCAGACTGGTCGCTCCTGAAGATGCCCAAACCTGTGCCGCTGTCGGTCTTGAAGAGTTGAAGCATTGTCGGCTTGTCGCCGTTCTCCACAAGGACTGCATCGTGGTGATCGTCCAGTGCCAGAGGCCAAGGAGGATGCCGGAGCGCGTAAGCTCTCGGCGATCCCGAATGACGGAACCGGGCTCTACCGGGCTGTCCCGGGCTCAGCTTGGCTCAGCCGCGCTCCACCTTCGCAGGGCCAGGCAAGGCCAAGCAAGGCAGTGCCTTCGCAGCCAGTTCGCAGCCGATCACTCGATCACGCGCGAACGCCTCGCCCGACCACCTCAGGCAGACTAAAAAGTAACCAGTCTTAGTAGCGCCGCCGCGCGGCCAGAAAAACCTATGCAAATGGGCGACCTGGGCCCGGTAGCAACACTGCTACCGACGGTAGCAACTCGGCGCGGGAACAAGCTCGCAATGGTTTAAAGTCATTACAATTGATCCGGAAATGATTTTCCGGCTTGACCCTATGACGTAATTCATTGGCGGGAGAAGCTTGTAGAGCTTATAGAAAAGCTTGTTGAAGTCCAAGTATATCCATTAACGCCTCAGCACTGCTGAAGCCGTGGTATGTCTGACCCAATGCAACACGTGATCTGACGCGGGTTGCGCGAGGTTGCGCGCGCAGGCGCGCGTCCGAACCGGTCCGAACCTGACGGAATCGACGCGTGTTGTGCGTTGTTGATACGTAGACAGCTCTTGTCCTTAGGCCCGCTTTCGCCCGTACATTCAACACAAGACCCATTGGTCTCGCCGCGAATATCCTCGTCCTCGATCGCTGAACCGCATACACGTCACACGTCACACGTCACGTCCCTCGTTGATCTCCGTTGATCTTGTGATCCTTTCACATCGCCAACTCATACCAACTTTCCACGCTTCGGCGCTCGACAAGCCCCACGTGTATGTCCGGCGATCGTTTTCCGGGCTTTTACCAGAGAACGAGCTTCTGAGGGCCTGCTGACATCCACGTCTTGACTATAGATTCATCGCGTCGCCTCGGAACATTGCGGGCTCCTTCCCTCCTGGATAACCATTCACAAACAAGGCTCTGGGTGCGTGGTGGAAGTGCGGCTGCGCGGTCGTCGACGCGCTGTTTGATTGGTTTAATGCAGCACCGTGTCGTTCTGACCTTACCTTCCCCTGTTCGCCTTCCAGCCTCTGCCTGCACGATGTTCTCTTCCATCCAAGTCCTGCGCCGCCCAGCTGACCGCTTGACGCTCCCGCGTTCGCAAACATCGATTATCCAACCTATTCGCTCGAGTCGGGTAGCCACGCGTCCGCCTTCCCAGACGACCTCCCTGTCCTAGGCAGCACAGCTAGCACAGGGCACCCATCAAGTCGACCCTCCTGTCCCGCCGATTCCGCCGCCAATCGCCTGCTGCCTGACCCCCTTCAATTGCCAATGGAGGAAGCCAATACATCGTCGGGCGTCCTGCAGCCCTCGCCGAGTTTCTCATCAGTAGATGGAAGCACCCCGACAATGCATCCATCACCACTTTCCGCCGCGGATCAACAGTTCGCCCGCGTCGAAGTCCCTGTCGCCACCGTACCGATCCGAGTTTCGCCTTTGACGCCAGCGAAGAGGCCGATGGGCCCTAGCCTCCACGAACAGAGCAAGGCTATCCCTAAGCGCAACTGTCGCAAATCCGAACGACTTATGCACGAGCAATGGGCCCAGAAAAGACACGACGAAGAGCTCGAGTATTGTATCCGACACAATATTCGACTCGATTATTTGAGGAGCATTGTTGCGCCCGTGACTCGCCTTGGCTCTCCCACTTCCTGGAATGACTTTGTGCAGAGCAAGTACTTCGAATCGCTGGCAGTTCAAGATGGATTGGAAGGTAGGCACAGCTCTTGACTACCTGACTACCTCGTGCTAAATTCTAGCATAGCCTTGCACTACGCTGTTGTTGAACTAACGGGCTGGGTTGGTCCGCTTTAGTGCCGACCAATTTGGTGGAGAGGGTTAAGCTCGCAAAGCCATATTGGAACGACATAAAGGATGACGCAGAGGCGATGACGAGGTTTGACGCGGCGCTTGCCTTGGAGCGTGAGGAAGCGACGCAAGCAACGCAAGCGACCGAAGGTTCATCCTCCATCAAGATCGCCAGAAACAAGCCGATGAGTCACGAAGCCATCAAGAAAGCGCGCCGATGCATGCAGGCCGCGTTGGAAACCATGGTGAGTCCAAGCTCAATTTGATACTGCTCACAGTAAAGTAACTGAAAGGATCATAACACCCTCAAAACCAACCCAGAGCACTTCATATGCGCAAAAATATGGACTCCAATTGTTTGCTGTGGTCTCTTCTGATCTTCCTGAACTCAATAAGGAGCGTTTCATGGTCGCGAGCCCCGGTGGTTTGGCCTTTGCCTATCGACAAGACTGGGGCGATAGTTTGGGTTCAAGACAGCTGCTCTCCGACTTCGCGGATTGCGTTACCGGTAGAGCGTTCTTGGAGGACAAAAAGGCCGAATTGGAAGCAGCTGGTCAGTAGGTGCACGCGCCGACAGACTATTGTCACTTGCTGATTGACGTCCGTTACGCTGTCACGCAGTTTGGGAGGCGCCACTGAAGGAAGCGAATCTTGAAACAAAAGCCTCGTGGTACAGCACGATTGTGAAAAAACTTTTCAGTGTGGACTATGTTCTAACCGAGATTTCAGTTGCTGCTCACTTGTTGACTGCTAACGATGAGTCTTCTTCTCGGTGCAGATGATGCCGTGATGCGACGTACCAAGAACCAAGGGCACGAAAACAAGAGCAAACCGCCCAGGTTGGTGTACGACCCAACCGCGCTCATGCAACAGGCCAGTATCGTAGTTGAATGCGGCCCGAGCCTCAACTTGGAGACGGACTTCGCCAGCCCCATGGGCAAGCAAAAAATGTCGGGGGCCGACTTGGATCGTATCATTCCCCTGCTGCGTGCAGGAGAGTTGAGATTCAGGCTAACGGAAGAGGTACTAGCGGATGAAGAAGATGAAGATGGTGCAGCTATCCCTGCCAACGGCCAAGATGGCAGCGCGGTGAGCCGCCCCGATTCCGACGAGCACTCTTAGAGCTTAGGGCAGCAGCTCTCGACGCCGAGATGAGCCGGCGCGCTGGGACGGACATGAAGTGTAGGGCTGAATTGGAAGATACAACGAGTGGATGCCGCTGGACGAAGCAAGAAGACTACTGGACTTAGTACACCAAGGATCGTGTCTGTAGTGCACCAAAGCCGCGAGCGTATGCTGCATGATGTTCGCCGTAATGATACCTCTGCTGCTTCCGCAGAACAAGAATACTGAAATGCTCCGTTTTCTGAAAATTTCGGATTGTAACATGCTCTGCGTCCTCCGAAATAGACTGCTCTGGATCCGCAATTCTCTAAGTGCGCTCTGACATACGCAGTTCCGGATTTCCGCGACTGAGTATTCGAGGTGTTCGAGGTGTTTCGAGAACATTTTACACTGGCGCACGGCCCAAAAAGTCTTATCCGATCTCTCATTATGACGACTAGCGACCGAGTATGACGGTCCATGCTCAAGTGCTTGCCCCGAGTTGAACCCGCCAGCATGCCGTGCCTCGTCCGAAAGTGTGTTTCACGCGGTGTGGGCATCAGGTATTTGCCACGGGGGTCCCGACGTTTCGGTCCATCTGATCTGTCCAATCAACTCAGTCTGAAGGCGAGCCGGTCTTCTCAACTCCAAAGTACCAGGCGACTCTTCGTGCTAAAGTTGAAATCATTATTACTAGGGTTTGAAGTGTGAGGAACACTGTCAGGGAATCTCGCCGTTCCTAGCATCCGATCCAAGTGGCGCTGCTTTCGCTCGGTATGTAGCAAATCGCACGTCTCGTATTGGCCGCCTATTACAAATATTACACCCCACCTTGCCGGGAATCCAGTGAGTGGGCCCGGGACTCCGACGGGTAACTCACAGTCGCCGCTCCTTCGCCCTTGCAGGCTGACATGTGGATGCCTGTCCATGCCAAAAGAGAATTGGTTTGTCGCATTCACATTACTTTTTGAGCATTGTCAAGGAGTAGCTTGGCGGATCCCGGCTGGTGTGGGACTGCGGCGACGCCACTAAAATTGAAGCTCCTCAAAAGCGACTCAAACTCCGGTTGAAAGTCGATGAAAGGGTTCAGATTTTGTCACAAAGCGATTTCGGTGTGTTGAAAACAAAATTTAGACGTTCACAACGGATTGGAAACATCCGAAGTTGCCACCGGCCGCCGGCGCCACCAGATGTCAAGCGACGCCAGAATACTACTTTTTCTTATTATTGAATAGATCTCATTAACAACACAATTATTTTAGTACCAAGAAATCTTCGGACAAGTCGGAGGAAATGCTTTAAGCACACTGGCTAACGGCCACAGGTATTAGCTTGGCCGCCTTATTTTGCTTTGTAAGAGTAGATATTGCGCACATTTCGCTCCTTCAGCTCCTCTCAACGTCCTGTCCGCTGCTGAGAGCGCGTAGTGAGTGAGGCTCGGAGTCACCGACGCAGTGCGGAGAGCGCGTACGTAGTGAGGCTCGGAGTCACCGACGCAGTGCGCCGGCCCAATAGCAGGCAGTTAATTTACTCACTGATGACGCGTGGGCTCTTCGGCACCCATGACCAGTCAGAACCCAATTCGAATCGCAAGGGTTTCCCCGGAGTGTATCACATCGGACTCAATCGGAGTGATCCCACAGTGGCCTCTTCAAGGCGGCAACTTGAGCTAAGCCTTGAAATTTCAGCTTCAACCTCCCGGATGATGTCAGCACAAGTCGAGACGCATAGAGCATGCGACAGTGCCCACAAGCAGCGATGCTTCTAGCAAAATCGTACTCAATTCCGAGGAAGGGGTGGCAACAGGCGCCTTCAGGTGCAGTGCTCACGGGAACATGGCTCGGGCAAGGGGAACCTCCGACCCGTGTTCCCGTAGGAGGACGCTCGTGCGTACATCCAAGTATTGCGATTGAACCCCATCTGACAACAGGAGGTATGTTGGTCGTACTGAAGGGACCTGCTCACCCATTTTGACAAGGTTCGTGCTTCAGTTACTCGAGTAACAACTGGCGTTTCGAGTGAAAAGTCACTCGGCTCGGGCAAGGGGAACCTCCGAGCCATGTTCCCCTGATAAGAGGACGCTCTGCAGAGGCACGCTCGCACTCCCCATTACTTCCGACCATCCGAACAGTGGGCTGAACCCTGCCTGACATGTCATGGTTCGTGCACATTAATATTGCAAATGCAGTAATCATTGTCACACCATTAATCATTCGAAATCATGGTATAATTACTGCAGCCAGTGTTTTTCACATTTCATTCTTCCGAGTCAGAGTCCGACAAAGAACGCTCCTCATCGGGAACCAGATCATCAGAGCTGTCCGAATCGTATAGCATGCCCTCTTGCTGCTCCAGCATCTCATGCAAAGCCTTTGCGCCTTCTACATTCATGTCAGCATCCAGCTGCTCCGTGATGCGCCGCGCGAGCAGACGATCGTCATCGGTGGTCCGGAACGACTCGGACGGCGCTGCATAGGCGCCCGATGCGTCCTCCCGAGGCGCAACACTACGCGCGCCAGCTCCAGTAGCTGTTGTCGTCTTGGAGACGTTGCCCGGGTTCAACAGCAGATGCGGGGTGAGACGCTTCAGAGCTCGAGGGACTGGTTCGTGCGTATCCGCTGGTCCTCTGGTCGTGTACCACAGCAGTAAGAAAGTGCTATCGCGGAACCAGTCTCGTTCGCGCTTTTGAAGAGCCCTCATCCGAGCTTCCAGAATGACGAGGGCACGGTCCCGGATCGTTGCGTAGACGGTACTGCCAAATGCGCGTTCAACACGATCATGGTCATAAATCGTTGGAGCGGAATCTGTTTGTGTTATCAAGAACGTATCAGCATCTAGACTAGTGGAGTAACGTTCGACTGACAACTGACCTGTCGCGCTTAGCCAAAGTGCTTGGCGACTAGAGATGAGGTCGTGCTCGTCTTCGAGCCAAGCAAGGGTTTGTCGCACCTCGGCGCCAATCCGAGCGAACTCCTCCGCAGCTCGATCCAGGTCACGCACAGCAACGATGCCCCGTTTAACCCACGGATCGGTGGCCCAAGCAGCTTCAACATGCGTGAAAAACCCGTCTTGCCAGAAGAAATCCGTGTCTTCAAGATCAAGAATCGATGCTAGGCTACCGACTGATGGAAGATTGTTGAGGAGGTGCGATGGTGATGATCCGCCTGCCGTTCGAAACGCGTTGACAGCCTTGTTGTATGCCTTACGTGCCTTTTCAGCGCCAGAGTGAGTCTTGACTTCCGTTTTGCGAACTTTGTTGGCCTCTCTCTGACCAAGTGTTGACCCGCCCCTGCCGCGACGCGTCGATAGCAAATTTTCACGGCTAGTTTTGTAGGCAATCACTTCTCGATGAAGCTTGCGCAGCGCAACGGAACACTGGCACAAGTGACGAAGCTCTGTGAAGCAAATAGGCACGTCATCGCAATCAGGAACAGGGAAAACTAAGTAAGAGAATTAAGGCCAACCTGTGGGCGAGATGCGGGGCTTGTCCCACTTCTTTGCAGTTGGACAATTGCTGCTTGATCGATCTCCCTTGCAAGACGATCGTGCTTCGAATTCAGCCCCACAAGCGCTTCTGGTTCAGACTCGTCACTGCTCAGCAAGATGATGAGTCAGTGAGAACGAAGGACAAGCTCAAGCTCAAGTAGTTATCACCAAGCACGTACATGATGCAGTCAATCCTGTAAAGTTCCTCAGCAAGTTTATAAAGCTCGCTTTCCCTCAAACGATCTTCCTCAGCTTCCTGCGTAGCTGTTTTCGACGCTTGCGCTTGTCGCTGGTCTTGCCAAGCGACGCGGAGCGCCTCCTCCGACCAGGTGGCATCGTGGGCGATAACGGCGTCAAGTTCCTTTCGAGCAGCAGTGCTCCGAGCCTTGGCTGAGCGAAGTCGGCGGGTGAACCAGGACCCTAGTCGTGTGCAAAGAGTCAATGCGGCGAAAGACGAAGCGGCGACTGCGGAGCACTGACCAAGCCTTGAGACGTTCGCGTCGTTCACTGCCTGCGTGCGGACCGCCAAATTGACGAGGCGGTGGGACTTATTTGATGGACGATTGATGGGGATGAGGGAGCGCAGCGCGCTCCATAGTCGCTCACAACCTTCTCCATCAGTGAATCCAAAGTTCGGGATGAGACGGGGGTTGTAGTCAACCTGGCAACCCCAGGTATGGGCGTATGCATGGAAGACACTTGTGGCGAACTCGAGTCGCTCAAACAGCTCAGGCAGCAGATGCCTCTGAAAAGGTTGAAACACAAAGCCCATATGATCAGCAACGACATATCGGAGAGGGGCCCGAGCCGAGGTGGTCAATGCAATCCTTCTCAATGTGGTGCTTGAAATTACAAGCGATGTCGTACAAAATTCCAATCCTAGCATCTGGGGGAAGATGGTCCGAGATGTGCTTGACAATGGCTAAAGCGAAGTACAGCCTAGGTGATTGGAGCGCAGGCATGAGCATCAGCAGTGAAAGTAAAAATGCAAGTTGTTTCAGAAACTGAGGCCGAGGCACGAAGTGCGTAAGTACGAGAGCCGATGAAGATAGTAAAGATAGTTGGAGAAAGAAGATAAGCGCTAAGGGAGCGCGCGCGAGGCAGGCTCGAGACGCGCGGGGCGACTAATATCAACAACTAGTAACTAATCATAATCGGGAATACCAGTGGGATGAAACAGCAATATATTGACAAGTTGGAGTTGAAGAACATAAGCTCAATACACTCACTTTTCGCCGGTCTTCTCAAGATTCACCATTTTTAGAGCGATATCATGGCGGCACACGCCGGCGACAAGTCCTGTATCGATCTTGCGCGACGAGACTCGACCAGCGCCCCCGTCAGCAGCCTTCCACGACTCTGTGCACGCCTTCCGACGGGGCCGGAGCGATATTACTCAGTATTCGAGGCGGATCGCAAATATATCACGCTCCTCACCTTCTTCGTTGGCCGCGCTGTATTCTCGACGAGTGCTTTCATGTCCAGGACGGCTTTATCAGACAGAAACAAGCTCGGCACTATTCCTTGGACGTCGTATGTCGCATTATTTTCTCGGGTTTGCTGGAAGTTGCCGTCGAGCGCGATCATATAATCCAGTTGGAGGGTGTGATGGGGTCGGTTGAGCCGTTTCGGCCCGAAGCACGCTGGGCATTTGTTGGCCAGCGCGTCGACGGTGCCCAAGAGAAAGTCGCCAACGTCGCGCTCAGATGCTTCGATGGCGCGAAACTCGTCGATCGCCCGCTGCCATTGCTTCCTCAGCTCTTTATCCTGAGCTCCACAATCAGGCAGCAAATGAGTCCAGGTAGAACCCATGGCAAAAAACCGATAACAAATGCTCACATATGGGTGTCCATGATAATGCTCTGGTTTCGACCACCCGTTGTCCCCGAAATAGTCTTCGAAGCCTGCAGCGTGGCCAGTGAGGCGTAAGGGGCGTTACGCCAACGCGAGTTTTCTAGGCGGATCATGCGGAAGGAGAACGCTGATCCTGGGTTGACAGCGGTCGATGCTATAAACCCAAGTTGAGCCAGGCGTACAGCTTCCGCAATACAGGGCGGATTGGAAGCGCAGAACGTGACTTGCTTGGAATAGACTGAAAGGCAAGGCGCAGAGGGGGTTTCACGTGTCAGTGATACCAGGACAACGGCGAGAAAAGATGCATCGCGCAAATCGGTGAACGGAGCTGGCATGACACATACCGGTCAGTCCGTCGTACAGGACCACCTCGCGAGCATACACGTGCTGACAGTGGCATGGTGAAGGAACGTTCAAGTCGTCCTTGTCGCTGTTCGAAACGAGCGGCAGAAACTGCCCATTGGTGCTTATGCGTAAATCAAGACAGAGACCCAAAAGGGCAGCGCGCTGACCCTCGCGCTGCTCGTGCTCGAGTGTGATAAACTTGAAGTAACCTTCTTGCTTAGCGGCAACCGGCGGATCGGAGACGCGGGGAGTTGGTAAAACCTCCTGTGCGAGTTCCTGGTGAGTTGGGCGTTGTAAGTCGGGGTCGGGTGGGTCCCAGCGCTCCATGGAAAGATCCATTCCCCCTAGGTCTTCCTACTCGGCCTGCTGAGCAAGAGGGAAGTCCCTGACATAATCCTCGTTGAAATCATCGTGGGAGAAGTTCAGGTCATTGGCGAAGACTGAGGTCGAGGCGACAGGGACGCGTTGGTTCGTGCTCGTTTCGACGTTTGACGTTGCAGATGTGGTGGGAGTGGCATCCATATCTGTCTTGGCCTTCCTCGGCCTCTTACGTCCTCCTTTATCGACGATCGTACCTCCGAAAGTGACAAGGCACAGCGGCATCGTGGCGTATTGATTCGGGCAATCGGGATGGTCGAGGTAGTCCGAAGGCTTGATCCGCGGAAAGCGTGGTTTGAGTCGCGAGGGGCGGCCCATGGTGACTGAGCGGAATGAATACGAGAACACAAGTGTAGTAGCTCAGCAGCAACGAGCTTCGGGTGGGTTAAGTCTGCGACGATCCAGGTAGTACGTCCTGCAGGAAGCAGCGGCGGCCGCCTGCATGCACGCGCGACAGATTCCTTGCGTGCCAATTTGACGTGTTCCTCATCTTACAACGCGTCAAGCACGTGACTGGACACCCGCCCATGAGCATGAGCCCCGGCCTCAGGCGCTTAGAGTCTTAACATTTAAAAAATTACGTGTGGTTACTGATTCAACTCGAGATCAATCTTTGCTTCTTATTATCTCTCATGTCGTCACATGATCAATGTAGTGGTCTTAACGGACTTGGAAGAGGTGTACGGGCCTGTCCCGGCGCCGAGTTGCTACCGTCGGTAGCAGTGTTGCTACCGGGCCCAGGTCGCCTATTTGCATAGGGTTTTCTGGCCGCGCGGCGGCGCTACTAAGACTGGTTACTTTTTAGTCTGCCTGAGGTGCGCCCGACCCACTTGCAGGCCACACCTCCTGAGTCCCGACCGGCTGACCCACCGACCGCACAGCTCAGCTCAGCTCAGCTCGAGCTAAGAGCTTCCTGGCGCGCACGTTTGCACACTTTATGGCGCCCGACACGAGCACACGTCCACGAGCGGATCGTGGCAAAGGAAAGCAGGATCAACAACCTGGCAAGCCTTACCACAAGAGAGGACAACCGGATCGGTCAGCTCCGACGCCTTCGCAACGACCCCACTTTGCCGCGCGGGGCGACCGACCACCTCGACCCCAACCGGGGCCATCCCCGTCGCCTGCATTCCAACGTCCGAACCGACCTCGACCTCCCTTGCCCGCCCAAGGATCAGCTCCCAAGCCCACGCCTTCCTCACTGACGATCAAGGACCAGACGCTCAGCTCACCCCCGCAATTGGACGCCCATCCCCGGCTCGCCAGGCTCGAATTGACCTCGTGTCAGGGGCTCGGTTCGCTCGCCTTCCTTCGTTCGGCGAGGCATACGTTGGCCAATCTCAATCTCAGCGGTACACCCTTGCCTGATTCGAATGCGTGGGAGCCCGTCAGGGAGCTGTCGACGCTCATTGGTCAATCTCCATCACTCTCAAAGGTCACCTCCATGGGTAGGAAGAGCTGATGGTTGTCGATGTGCACGAAACAGTCCTCAACGTATCCAATTGTGGATTGAAACAAGTTCCCTCGGTGATCGAATCGCTCGTCTCGCTCAAGGCGCTCGTCCTCTCCCACAACCACCTCACGACCTTGGATCACGTGAAGCGTTTACCTCAGCTCAACACATTAGGTCCGTGCAAAAAGCTGTGGCCAGAGTCTGGTGGTCGTGTTTGCTCAACACTGACACGTCTCTCCCTCCTTATACCTTTCAGTGGTCTCCTACAACTCACTCACCTCCCTTCCTTCAGCGGACCTCTCCTCCCTCGGACAACTCAAGAAATTATCCGCGTCGCACAACCTACTCACCTCGACCTCCTTACCCGATCTCTCGAATCTCACCCACCTCCGAGAAGTCCGTCTCTCCAACAACCCCAAACTCGCACAGCTTCCTCTCCACTTTATCGCATGGGGCCATGCGCCCCTCCGGGAGAAGAGGGACGAAGAAGCCGATGCTCAGACTGCCGAAGCAGAACCGAGGCGAGTTGCTGGAAAGCAGGGTTTGGAAGTGGTCGACCTGGGCAGTTGCGGGTTCGAGGATTGGTTCGGCTTGAAGGAGTTGGCCAAACATCCGATTGTGAATTTGGTGCTCAAGGGGAATAAGGTTGTCGATGAGTTGGTGGAGGAGGAGGGGTTCGAGGCGTATAGGACAAGGGTTCGTGCTCGAACCGGGCCCTCGCGCCGTAACCCCCTTTACGCAGCTGTGCTCATATGCCCTTTTGACTCTCAGTTGACCACGCTGCTCTCGGACCTCAAGATCCTCGACAACGTGCGCTTCGACGCCAAGTTCGTCGAACTGAAACAGAAGCGCGAACAACGCACGCCACAACAACGCGTCTTGGATGCCGGTCCAATGGGGTTAGCGATCAACGCCAAGAAGGAGAAACCGGTCGATATCCCTAAAATGATGCTGGATGAGTTGGAGAGGGAGAAGGAGATGAGGAGGCGGAGGAAGGGGTTGGAGAGGAAGAGGAAGTTGATGGGGGAGACCGAAGGGGAGGGTGGGGACGAGGGCCAGAAGGATGAGGGGGCAGAGGCGCAGGAGGAGAAAGAAACAGAGGAGGAGGCAAAGGTCGAAGTTGTCGAAGCGGTACAGCAGAGGCGGAAGCGTGGGCGAGATGCAAAGCGACTTGGACTGAAAAAGGATATCGGCAAGACTGCTTCGGGCGAGGTGAACAAGCCTACAGTGTCGGCTAAAGAGATACCGGCGGTGGAAGACAAGGAGGAAAAGGCGGACGGGGAACCTGCCAAGAAGAAGAAGAAAACCAAGAAGGGTGGCGCACTGGACGCGCTCAAGGGCGACAGTAGCGAAGTCGTGGCCGGAGCAAAGTCTTCCTCGACACCAACAGAGGCAGCGAAGCAAAAAGAAACGCACGTCGCGGAGAACGAGGACCCACCCAAGAAGGAAAAGACATCGGTACTCAAGGTTATTGAGGTCAAGAAGGGCAAGAAGGAGGCCAAGGCCAAGGCGGTCGATGTCGAAGATTTGCTCGGGTTGGCGAAGGCACCCGAAGCGAGTTTGTTTGGTGCGGGATGGGATTGAGGAGTGGCATGCAAAACTTTGCATGTTTGAATTGGCTGTAGATTATTTGGTGTATGGTTCTCTTCTCGTCATGTTCAAGAATCGCTTTCAATGAGTCCCTACGATTTTTGACATTTTTCAGCGATCGACTTCGATATGACCCGTTGGACGACGCGGGCGCGCGCGGACTCTCGGCTCGGCTCGCTGCCACCTCACCTTCACAGCTCGCCTCGCCTCTGCCCGCCTTACCCGCACCGCATACGCTCTGCAAGATGATGTCGACTCGCACGGCCGTCCGATTCGCCTCCAAGCGTATCTCTACTCCCGCTTCGGCCCGATCAGGTTGGTCCTGTCGTTGTTGCAGCTCGTCTGGAGCCGTCGATCGGCCGCACTAACTTCGCACGATCTCGGGCGGCCATCTCTCTCTGCCCCCGTCGTCGCCGCGCTTGCTTCGTATTGCAGTCTCGATCGCTGCCCGACCTGTCTTGGCTTCGTCCGCTGTGGCTGCGTTGAGGTCATCAGCATGCCGCTCTGCGACCCTCCTCCCCCTCGTTCGATCCGCACGTGAGTCACGCCGGAGTCGCGCTCCGTGATCGACGGTAGATCGAGTGCGCTGATCCGCCGTCGATTGACCATGTGTACAGCCGCTTCCAAGGCTTTCTATGCCACCGAATCCAACAAATTCACCCGGTCGCTTCCCCACATGAACATTGGTACCATCGGCCATGTGCGTTCACGGCTTTCACTTGCCACCCTTTTCTGAGCTTGGACCTCTGCGTCTTTTCCTGGGACTTTCTTACCGAGGCGAGATGTGGGGGGGAACGTATACATGGGTAGGAATATGCGGCTGATCCCAAGATCTCCCTCGGAAATGCGACAGGTTGATCACGGCAAGACGACCTTGACGGCGGCCATCACCAAGGTCCTGGCCGAGGCGAGTGGCAAGGGGAAAGTGCTCGGCTACGACATGATTGACAAGGCTCCCGAGGAAAAGGCCCGTGGTATCACCATCGCCACCGCGCACGTCGAGTACGAGACCAAGTGAGTCCTGGTCCGAGGTCTCGTCGTGCTGAAGATACTATGCATTGGCAAGCAGCCAGAAAGATGCGCGAGTGCTAATCCATCCCCCGCCTTGCTAAGGAACCGCCACTACGCCCACGTCGACTGCCCCGGTCACGCCGATTACATCAAGAACATGATTACCGGAGCGGCCCAGATGGACGGTGGTATCATCGTCGTCTCGGCCTCGGACGGTCAGATGCCCCAGACCCGAGAGCACTTGTTGCTCGCGCGCCAGGTCGGCATCAAGAAGCTCGTCGTCTACATCAACAAGGTCGACCAGGTCGATGACCCGGAGATGCTCGAGCTCGTCGAGATGGAGATGCGCGACTTGCTCGGCACCTACGGCTTCGATGGCGAGGGCACGCCCATCGTCAAGGGGTCCGCCTTGGCCGCTTTGGAGGGTCGCGATGACAAGATCGGCAAAGACTCCATCATGGAGTTGATGGCCAGCGTCGATTCGTGGCTCGACCAACCCCCGCGTGACTTGGAGAAGCCCTTCTTGATGCCCGTCGAGGACGTCTTCTCGATCCAGGGTCGTGGTACGGTCGTCACCGGTCGTGTCGAGCGTGGCACCATCACCAAGGGTGCCGAAATCGAGATCGTTGGCATGGGTGAGCTGTTCAAGACGACCCTGACCGGTATCGAGATGTTCCACAAGGAACTCGACCGAGGAGAAGCCGGTGACAACATGGGTGCCTTGCTCCGAGGTATCAAGCGAGAACAGGTCAAGCGAGGGATGGTCCTCGCCGTGCCCGGCTCGGTCAAGCCCGTGCGCAAGTTCTCGGCGTCGCTGTACGTCCTCACCAAGGAGGAAGGCGGTCGCTACACCCCCTTCATGAACAACTACCGACCGCAGCTCTTCATCCGAACGAGTGACGTCACCGTCGGGTTGACGTTCCCCCCCGGTACGGAGAACGTCGATGAGAAGATGGTCATGCCCGGTGATAACGTCGAGGTCGTCGGTGAGCTCGTGCACGAGATTGCGCTCGAGGTTGGATCGAGGTTCACGCTCCGAGAAGGCGGGAAAACGGGTAAGTGGTGGCGCTTTGATTTCGTATGATGCAATCGATGTAAGATGGACTGACCTATCACTTTGATCACTGCAGTTGGTACCGGTATTGTCACTGCTCTCCTTGATACACCCGCGGCCAAGAAGTAAACATCCCAAATGCAATGGTGACTCTTGGGCAATACAATGCCCATATTAGAGAAAATGAGCCAACTGTTTCTCAGAGCAGCGTGGCAGTAGTACTCAATCTCCCCAGACGATCTCTGTAACAATCCATTTTCTCTCTCTCCCTTATCATGATGTGACCACCAAGAAATGCCTTCTTTGTTTGCTTTCCTGAAATCTCACCACTCCCATTTCTCTCTCACATACACTCTTCTACCGCGCTGAACGTGAACGAAAATCCGTGCTCTTCCTCAGTTGAATGTTCAAGGCCTCAAACTAGCCAGAGAAGCAAGCGTGCCCTACATATTGAGGGACTACGTGTCTCCTACTCGCCTCATTTCCAGGTTTACAACGACTCGTCATCAGACACTAGTAAGCGAATGACGAGCTTTTTCGAGAGGTGATGCGAATGAAAAGAAAAACCGAGCAACGAGAATCCCCCTTTTTTGATTATCAAAGAAGAACTAGCGACAGTTTACTCGTCGGCGTCAACGGCGGAGGTTTGCAGACCCTAAGTTTTGGAGGCACACGAGGGAGGGGTCAGTTCCTGCAAAGAAAAGCGTTATATTCCCCAGCTAGAGCCTTGCGAGACGCACCTTGAAATCCTTGGTCGGGACGAACGAGACCATGGTGTAGAGCTTCTCGTCCTTGGGGGCGTCCTCGTCGTCATTTCGGCGGCGGTGGCATCGCACTCGAATGCGGTGCGGCACGTTCTTAATCCCCTTGCCCCAGATGGCGGCGTTGAGGTTGACGTCGAGCAAGACCTTCTTGGTGCCCATCGCCTTGCGCGCAAACTCCTTGACGGCCTTGACGGCCGTAGGGGCACGCTGTGAAGCAGAGACACGAGAGCGCGCATTAGTATCCCCCAGGTAAGCGATGCCGTAGTCGAGTCGATGGAACGCTGTACGCACGTGCTTGAAGCCTTGGCCGTGAACCTTGGTATGGAGGTGGATGGTGTACTCGCGGGCGACGACGTCGGTCAGGGCGGATCGCTGCTTGCGCTCGGGCTTGGTCTGTCGGGTGCGAACCATGGCGGAGGAAAGGAACTGTGGGAGAAGATGGATGCAGTGTCAGCTCCGGAGAGATGGTGATGTTGAAACCGTGTGTGTTTGGTATGGGGTAAATCGTATTGAATGCAGTCGAGAGCGTGTATGTTGTAGATCGTGTGTCGTGTGTCGTGTGTCGTGGTCGAGTGCGGCTTTGCCCTGCCTGCCTGCCGGCGTGCGATGCTGCCGACGCCTCCGCTCTGCAAGGCGTGCCGCCATGCCATGCCCCTCGCGGCCACGCGGCCACGCGGCCACGATTGGTCGTCCATCAGTGCGTTCCCCTAGGCGTAATCACACCCAGTTCATCCGATAAACATTCCATGCGTGGTCTTTCCCCCATTCTGTCGTGTTCGGGGCCGTTGTAGGTGCTCCGTAGGCGCTGGATGATCCCCGTGGTTTTTTTGCCGCTCTCTCCTCGTCGTCGTCGTGAAGCGGGCTGAGGCGCGGGCAGCTGAGGCAGGCGACTCGACTGTCCCGTCGGGTTGTCGAGGGTGTGCTTGGTCGGGAACGAATTCGAGCGGATAGCACTGGTGTAGAAGAAAGCTTACGTGGTAGGTGTGGTAGGTGTGGGTGGATGAGCGGAACGACGGGGGAAAGGGCTGGAAGTGGATCCAGTCGACGTCGCGAGACAACTTGGCCCGGCTGGCCCTGGCTGGCCCTGGCTGGCCCGTTCGCTCTCGTTCGCTTTGGCTGAGTCTGGCTGAGTCTTGGCTGAGTTTGGCTGGCTCGTTCACCACCAGGCTCACCGCTGGCTCACGCTCTCACGCTCTCACGGCTCGGCCCCAAAAATGGCCCACACGCGCCTGAAATCGCCGCTTCACGCGCTCAGGCGCAAGAGGACCGGCCAAAACCGGTCAAAACCCTCTTGCGCATTTTGGCCTGCGCCTGCCTGGGAGGGGAGGAGAGCGAGTTCGCTACATAGCTTGGCCACACCCACGCGCGAAGTGACGGCTGAGCTCGGAGCTGTCGTGGTCGCGACCCGTCCGGCACCCGCAACCTCATCTCGCCTCGCTTGCCCCTCCCCACCAACCCCACAATGCAATCCCAACACGAAGAAGAGGACAAAGCCTCGACCTCGAGCTTGGGTGATCGGCACGAGGCACCCAAACCCATGATCGATCCTGCCATCCTCGACGGCGACGACGACGACGACGACGACGACGACGACGACGACGAGCAGGACGAGGATGACGACGACGACGAGGACGAGGTGGGTGCCGGCTCACTCTCCATCACGACCGCCTCGAGAGTGCTGACTCGGGTACGATCTTCTCCTGCAGGACTCGGACCGTGAAAGGGATCGCCCACGCAAGAAGAAGGTATCTTGAAAATCGGGACTTGTCGTTGCAGCAGAGCCCACCGAGCTGACTCCCGTTCCCCCACTCACTCTACAGAGGAGAAGACGCGCCGGAGGCAATCAGTTCCTCGATATCGAAGCCGATGTCGATGAAGATGAGGACGAGGAGGAAGACGAGGGAGAGGAAGGCTTTGTTGCTAACGGTCAGTCGTGTCGACCGATGCCTGCTGTTGGGCCATCTAGCTGATTCCCCCGGTGATGACCCCGCTTCGCAGATGACTTCATCGTCAATCAACGACGCGCACCTCGAGGCGGACTGCTCGCGGATGGCGACGACGACGACATGGGTGATTTGGTAGAAGGCGAAGGCGATCTCGACGGTGACGCGTCCCATCGATTGTTGGATCGGCGACGCATGGCCAAGCGGGATCGCGAAGCCGCCGAACTCGCCGCCTCGTTCCGTGACCGCTACGGCAAATCCAACTACGTGGGTGAAGGCGATGCGGAATGGGCACCCAAGGCGCTCTTGATGCCGGGTGTGAACGACCCAAGTATTTGGGGTGTCAAGTGCAAGGTACGCTGCCCTTGAGCCACGCCTCATGTTCGCGGACCTGCTTGCTGACTTGCTTTCCGCTCGACCCACCGAACAGATTGGCCGAGAACGTGACCTCGTCATGTCCATCTCTCGCAAGGCCGCCGCCTTTGCAGCTTCCGACAATGCTGAGCCGCTCGAGATTATCTCGGCCATGCACCGCGATTCGCTCAAAGGGTTCATCTACATCGAAGCCCGCTCCGAAACGGCCGTGCGCAAGGCGTGCAACGGCCTGCTCAACATCTACATCAACGGCATCAACGGATTGTTCCTCATCGACATTGAAGAGATGCCCGACTTGCTCAAGACGAAGCAGAAGAAGCCCGAGATCAACGTCGGCGCTTGGGTACGAATAAAGCGCGGCAAGCACGCCGGTGACCTCGCGCAAATCATCGACTTTGCCGAAAACGACGAAGAGCTCGTGCTCAAATTCATCCCTCGCATCGACCTGACGCCGAAGGAGGACACGCTTGGTTCGGACGGCAAGAAGCGCAAGAAAGGCTCGGGCAACGTCGCGTTCCGACCGCCGCAGAACTTCTTCAACCCCGACGAGATCGTCAAGATCTACGGCGGCAAGGAAGTATCCCGGAAACCGGGGAAGCTGTTCGTCTTCCGAAACGAAGAGTACAGAAACGGCTACTGCGAAAAGTTAATGCGCATCACGGGGTTGACGCTCGAGGACGTGCGGCCAACGATCGATGAAGTTACGCGATTCAACGATCGCAAGGGCGTCGACGGCGAGGTGCAAGCGATCGACCTCTCGGGTGTCGCTGAGTCGTCGGGCAAGTCGATTTTGCAACCTGGTGACCATGTCGACATCATCGAAGGTGACCAGAAGGGAATGTACGGTACGATCGAGACCGTCTTGAACGACGTCATTACGATCGCACCACATGCCGATCTTGACCTCGGGGACGCCAAGGTCGAGGTCCCGGCTAAGAGTGTGCGCAAACGCTTCACCCCCGGAGACCACATCAAGGTCATGGCCGGATCGAATGTCGACGAGACGGGTATGGTCGTCAAGGTGCAAGACGACATCGTGACGTTCCTGAGTGATTTGAGCATGCAAGAGGTCGACGTCTTCACCAAGGACGTGCGAGAGGCAGCCGAAGTTGGCTCGGGCGTCAACAACGTCGGCCAGTTCGAACTGCACGACCTCGTCCAGCTTAGCACTGAGAACGTCGGTGTCATCTTCAAGATTGAGCGCGACATGTTCCGAGTGCTCGATCAGAGTCGTACGATGCGTCTGCTCAAGCCGAGTCAGATCTCGGGCAAGGTCTCGACGTTCAACGCTGTTGCAACGGACCACGACGGGTACGACATCAAAGCTGGGGACGAGATGAAGGAGGCGACGAACGTGCGTGATGGGCTCAAGGGTCGGGTCCTGCACGTCTACCGAGGCGTGTTCGCCTTCCTGTACAACCGCGAGTATGCGGAAAACGGTGGGGTGTTCGTCACCTATGCTCGGTCCCTGGTCTCGACCGCCCCCAAAGCCAAGACGACCCGACCAGGAATGGGTCTCAACCCCGATCTCTTCGCTGTTCCCGTAGCGCCGCAAGCCACGGTCAACTTGTCAAACCGACCGGATGGCCGTATCCACCGTCGCGTCGCTATCGCAAAGGGTGGTCTCAAGGGCAACGTCGGAGTGATCAAGGACGTTGTCGGGAACCAGGCGCGCGTTGAACTGCACAGTCAGAACAAGGTCGTTACCATCCCGCTCGACTCGCTGCGCGAACAGTTGCCCGACGGTTCGCTCAAGCCGGGGCCTCTGGAGGAGCGGTCAAGTAACGGTGGAGGTTATGGTGCGCGGCCTGGTTTCAGCGGAGGTGTCGGTGGCTCACGACACGGCACGGCTACGAATACCGCTCCTCTCGGTGTACCCGGAGCTATGGGCGGCCGCACGCCCTTCCCGGCGTTTGGTGGTCGAACACCCGCGGCGCAATTTGCGGGAGGTCGTACGCCTGCTGTGCAGTTTGCAGGTGGACGCACTCCTGCGGTCGGGTACGGTGGTGCGACCCCCTTCGCAGCGGGTCGGACACCAGCCCACCCTGGGTTCGGCAACGCGACGCCGGCATACGGCAACGGTAGCGGCAGCAGTGCGTTCAACCCGTCGGCACGGACGCCATTTCACCCTGGTGCCTCGGTGCGTGTCGGTGGACCTGATGCCTTCAACGCGAGCTCGCGCACGCCGTACCATCCTGGAGCACGCGGCGATGGACCCGGACGGGCTACGGACCCCAGAGGCAACCGAACACCGGCTTACAACGCGGGTGGGAGGACGCCTGCCTACGGCGTCCGGAACAATGGGCGAGCGGAGGCTGACGAGCCGTATGCCGGAGCACCGACGCCGGGTGCCTACGCCGGTGCACCGACGCCTGGAGTCTACCACATCCCTGCGACACCCTATGGATCAGCACCGACACCTGCGGCTTACCCAGCTGCACCAACGCCGGCAGCGTACACTGGAGCACCGACGCCGACTCCGAGTGGCAACTACTACGACTCCGAGTCTGCCCAGTCGGCACCGACACCTGCCGCGTCCAAGCCGCACGACTACAGCAGTGGGTACCAAGCCAAGACGCCGTACGACGCGCCGACGCCCTACGCGGGCGTACCGACACCGTATGCTGGCGCACCCACTCCCGCGGCAGGTGGCTACGGAGGATACAGTGCCCCGACTCCGGCCGCCTATGGTGCCGCCCCGACTCCTGCAGCGTACGGCGCTGCTCCGACACCTGGAGGCGCCTACGGAGCTCCCACCCCTGCAGCAGGCTACCAATCGTACCAGACTCCTGGCGTGTACCCAGGCGCCGCGACGGCGGCTGCCCAGCCTCTCGAGTACCAGCCTCGGCATGATTCGAAACAAGGTCTGCCGAGCGATTGGGTCGTTGAGGGCATTCGGGTCATCGTAACAAACTCGACGTTCCAAGAGAACCGACTCGACGGCCAACATGGTGCGTTGTTCTTCCCATCATGTGGCCACGGAAGAGGTGCTGATCATCTCCCGATCTCTTTCTACAGCCATCATCAAGCAGACTGTCAACGGCCTGGCGAGCGTTGAGATCGTGTCGAACGGCGAGACGGTGCACCGCGTCCCAAACTCTGCCTTCACGCCGATGGAACCCGATCGTCCCGGCGAAACATGTCTTGGTGAGTGATGGAGCGGACAGTCAAGTGATAAAGCTACCTCGCATAGCCGCTGCTTATCACCTTTTGATTGTGCGCATAGTGCTCGCTGGACCGCATCGTGGCAAGAAGGCAGTAACGCAGTCGCGCGATGGATCGGAATGGATGGTCGCCATCGCAGGAGGTGAGTGCACATAGCGACGCGGTGATCCGTCACATCGAGGCTGATCACCATCGTCTGGGACTTACAGCTGCGTCTACGGTCATCGATTCGAGCATCCTGACCATTGTCGAGTGATGAACGAGCGGATCTGAACGAACGCCCACCAGTAGGGATGCATTTGTGCTGTAGGGGAATGTTTCTCCTTTTTTTGCTACCTTTTTCTGTGGTGTATCGAAAATCACGAGGAGATTAAATGATGTACGCATTGTAACAACCCTGGAACGAATGGGCGTCCTTTGAACTGGGCACAGATCATTCTGGCAGACTAGCGCAGACTCGGCACTGGACTCGGCGAGCGCTTCGAGCCAAGTGCCTCGATCGCTCGCGCCTCTTACGTCTTGCCACTGTCCCGACCACACCTCGACGTCTGAGCAAGATGGCCAGGATCACCCGTGCCCACAATGGCATGAAGAAGAAGGGAGAGGCTGGTGCGGCCAAGAATGTGAGTCGTCATGGCCGGAGCGGTGCACTGTTTGTCATGTCGTTGGCACACCACATTCGCCGTCCCTCCAAGCCCGGAGCCAGCGCGTGTGCGAAGCTCAAGCCAGACCGCCCGATGGAAACTGACCACGCTTGCCTGCTCTACTCGATGATAGTACATCACGCGCAACCAAGCCATCAAGAAGCTGCAGTGCACCTTGTCGGACTTCCGTCGCTTGTGCATCCTCAAGGGTGAGCCTTCGTTCCAATCGTTGGGTCGTCCGGTCCGCGGGCTGGCTGGCTGCGAAGGCGGTCTCGGCGCGGGGTCGATCCTGCGCGAAGTGATCGCTGACGATCCAGACATCACATAACCCATCTACTAGGCATCTACCCTCGTGAACCCAGGTCGCGCAAAAAGGCCAACAAGGGCTCGACCACCCCGGCCTCGTTCTACTATGCCAAGGACATCCAATACCTCTTGCATGAGCCCGTGCTCGGCAAGCTGCGAGAGCACAAGGCTTTCGCGAAGAAGCTGTCGCGTGCGATCGGGAGGGGGGAGTGGCACCTCGCCAAGAACTTGGAAGATTCCAAGCCTGTGTACCGTCTGGATCACATTATCAAAGAGCGGTGCGTTGACTTGCGTCAGGTGGGCTCGGGTTCCATTCGTTCTGGAGGCGGTACTGACCTCCGCCGCGCTTCCCTCGTCGAGCTCAGGTACCCGACCTTCATCGACTCGCTCCGAGACCTCGACGACGCCTTGTCCTTGATCGTCTTGTTCGCTTCTTTGCCTGCGACGACGACGATCCCGGCTTCCATCATCGCCAACTGCACCCAGCTCGCCGCGCAATGGCAACTCTACGTGATGCGCACCCGATCGCTGCGCAAGGTCTTCCTCTCGATCAAGGGCATCTACTTTCAGGCCGAGGTTCAAGGCCAGACCGTCACATGGCTCGTACCTTACATGTTCACCCAGACCGTCAGTCTTGCTTCGAACTTGCAGCCAAGTGCTTGGGTATCTGGCAGCTGAGACTCGATTCGGTTCATCTTCCCACAGATCCCTTCCGATCTCGACTACCGGATCATGCTCACGTTTCTCGAGCTGTACCAAACCTTGCTCGGTTTCGTCTTTTACAAGCTCTATACCGACATCAACCTCATCTACCCGCCTAAGCTCGATCAGGTGCTCGATGAGCATGGAGCCGGTATCGGTGCGCTCTTGCTCGAGGAGAACGGCCACGGTTTGATCGTCGTGCGAGATGATGCGGCGCAGGCAGCCGAGTCGACGGGCACCGAGAAGCGCAAGCCCAACGCCAAAGACGTCCGAAAGCAGATCAAGCAGATCGGTCTCGGTGGCAACGACGCTCAGCCCGCGCTCGAGGATGACGAACAACGTGCCGCCGCTGCGGCTTCGAACGATACCAGTGCCGCCCAAGAGCTCGACGTCTTCCCTTCGAACGGTGCCGGTGACGAGGCCTTGCAACCCGAGGCGACTTCGGCTGCGACCGGCCTCTTTGAAGGCTACTTCTTCTACCTCTCCCGCGAGGTGACTCGACCGACACTAGAGTTTGTCATTCGCTCATTCGGTGGTCAAGTTGGATGGGATGCCGTGCTCGGAGCTGGCTCGCCGTTCGAAGAGAACGACGCTCGCATCACCCACCATGTCGTCGATCGACCGGTCGTCGCCGGCGCACCGCCGCGCTCGCACCCTGGAAAGCGAGCTTACATCCAGCCCCAATGGGTCGTCGACTGCATCAACCGGAGGACGCTGTTGCCGACGGATCAGTACGCACCCGGCCAGGTTTTGCCGCCCCATTTGAGTCCCTTCGTCGATGAGGACGAGGTTCGCGAACGAGGTGGTTACGTGCCGATGGAGGCGAGGAGGATTGGTGAAGCCGATGTTGTCGACGCCGATATGGATGCTGAGCAAGACGAGAACGAAGACGACGATGAGGACGACGAAGAGGATGACGACGAGGATGAAGAGATGGACGAGGACGAGGAAGTTGAGGAGGTTGCGAGCAAGGGCAAGAAGGGCAAGAAGCCGGCCCCTGCGCTCTTGGCGGCCGCCAAGGATCCCAAGAACGCAGCGTTGCTTCACGCTGCTGAACTCGAGGCCGAGTCGAGGGGTATCGAGCCGGCGCAGTTCGAGGCTGAACTCGCGAGCGAGACCAAGAAAGCCAAGAAGAACTCCGCTGGTCCGGGGGCCAAGGGTCCCAAGGCGCCTAAGAAGGTCTCGAGGAGCCAAGAGGAGCAGTTGGCGAGCATCATGCTGACGGGAAAGCAGAAGAAGCTCTACTCGAAGATGGTCTACTCGAAGGACCGTCGCGCGGAGGAGACGGCCAAGTTGGTCGCGAGGAAGAAAGAGCTCGAGAAGAAGCAGCAGAAGAGGGGCACAAAGGGCGATCAGGTCGGATTGTGATTCACTCTATTCCTATCTTTGTTCTAAACTTGTTTCTTTTGTGCATGTGGTATCTTGTAAAGTATAGCGATTGCGCTCAATCCCCGGGTGGTGCTGAGTAAGCTGAAGAGGGTCGCGATGCAGCCCTTCAATGTCTTGGTACGAATCGCGAGATCGAAACTGACCTGAAGGAGATAACCGAATCCATCGCCCTCTGATCGCACTCAAGATCATATCGTCACAAGTTCGCGGACTTTGAGTGCGCAGGACCGTCAACGCGTGTGCTGTGAGGACGATGTCAGCAGCAGCGCGTCAGGCACCAGGGGCTTTCTGCGTGACGCGCGAGCGCGACCGTCACCGCGTCACCCATAACCGTGTCTGAGACTTTGCGCCCACCACCGTCGGAAGTCGATCTCGGCGTCACTGCATGCGGATTCTGCACTTCGCACTCGACGGATCCGATGCCAAGCGTGTTCATTCGCGAAAACAGTTGTTCGTTGGTTGGAACTCTGGGCCTACAAGCCTATCTCAACTTGCATTTGGTGGCTTAGGTGTGTTTCATGTCTGCAATCAAGTCAGCCTAATAAGAGCCTTGTCGCAGAACCGAGGTTTGAGCTTATGATTGCTCTCGGAGACACGTGCCTCAGACATTATACTGCTATTGAAATCTATCAAATAAATAAATAAAATCAGACTGGCTCAGAGGACATAGGCCAATTCCCTCTTTGGACCGAACGCGAGCCCGTGCCTCTCGGGTCTCTCTGGTCTGCTTACTCCCCATCACGGTTACTTTGTTTTCTTGTTTCGACCTTCCCGCTCTCGGCCCTCGCTCGTTTCTATTCCGCATCTCGTCTGGTACGATGGTGTCCGCCATCCCTTTCGTTGTCGTGGTCGTTCTGGTCGCCATCGGGGCACCCTCACCCGCCATGACCGCGCCCGTCGACCTCGTCGGAGCCCGAGTAAAGCGTTCGTCTGCTCGATCCCCCGTCGCCGAGGGTATACTCGACATCGCGAAACGGTCAACAATATGGAGCGGTGAGCCGATAGCTCCTGTCGAATTCATTTCGTACTGGCCAGCCATAACTTCGCCGCTGCACAACCAAGTCCTGAATGAAGGCGAATCGTTCGAACTCGCTTGGTGAGTTCCAGAGGCGTTCGAGCGCGGCATTCCGCTTCATTCGAGTTTGCGAATATGTTTTGTGTGTATATACATGCGTTATACCTCGGCCAGGGTCAGGGTGGCCTGCACCTCGGTTTGCCTTTGACGCGTCGGTCTCGATGATCGCTTGGCGCGCCGGTGCACGGCGAGGCGATGCGCGGCGCTGCGCTTGCCCGGTGACGCGACAGCCGCACGAGGCTAGTCGAACACTGCAACGGCACGATTGCCTAGCAACGGGCCGGCCGACTCGGGGAATATGCACCCGTTGTGCTATCCGTTTCAAAGGAAGGGGGCGCAGTATGCACCAACCCAAAACACACGATTGTGCCACTCTTTCAAGCTGTTCGGAGGCAAGGAACTGACCAGTCGACGTCCTCTCCCATACGCCTTGCCCATTCGCTCCTCCAATGCACGCGCTGTCCTCCCAAAACATGCCGCCTCTCGACGCATACTCTCACAGGAACAACACCTTACCACCATGTTCGTCCCTGACTTGCACCTCTGTTGGTACTTCTTTGCATCCCAACACCTGACTAACCGAATCTCGGCCCACTTATCGTACCCAATTCCCCCTGGTCGAATTTTCCTCGGTGCCCAAACAACAGATGCCACGAACCAATACTCGCAGAATGCCCTACTCCTGCTGGGCTACATCTCGCCGTACAGCGAGGGACTCCATCTCGATGTGGACCATCCTTTGGGCATCAACATCTCACTTTATAACGGCGCAAATACCTTCACCTTCACCCTGCCGACCAATCTCACAACGCGCAACTCTTACGTCCTCGTCCTTGGATCGACGTCGAACGCGGGACCACCCTTTACCATTCGCGGTACCGGCCCTGCGGACCCCGAGGCGAGTGAGACTGCTTCGTCGACTACAGGTCGGATGATCGAGGCCCTCCCGACGACGTACATTCTCGGCGGCGTAACGACCGTGGTCAATGGACCGAGTACCACCACCGCCGCTGCACCCACCGCCGCTGGCCCAACACCGGCACCGGGGTCGACATCTGCCCGTGCCACAGCCTCGCCCGTCATCGCGATCGTCTCGTCTTCGAGTAGCACAGCCACACTGACCACCTCGGCGGCCGCGGCCGAGTCCAACACGACGTCTCGGACCAGTTCGGCGCATCACTCGACGAGGATCAACACGCCCCTATTGGCCAGCGTCCTCATCGGCCTCGGCTACTTTGCATTATGCTAAGCATGGCGCAACGAGCGTTCTCACCCATCACGAAGTACGGCAACGAAGAGAAAAAAAACGCCCATTTAAGACTGTAACGAATCAACACAACGCAAGCAAACAGACACTTTATTCTTGAACATACACCCCACCTTCGACTTTCAAAATCCCCATAATCAGCCATTTTGTGTGACCACTTTGCTTCCTGAGCATCTAGATATTCCCAAGAACACTTCAATATTAATAGTGTACACGATTCGTTTGCCTCCATGTAGCTTGTACCGTGGAATGCCCAACTGAAAGTCTTGAACGCTGTGCACCTGAGATCGGTGCCGACGACGACGCCCCACCGGCACGTGACAGCGCCTCGTGCGGCTGCTCGATGCACAAAAGGCGCCGTAGCCGGGTGACCCCACACGTGCTTTTGCGCACGCCGTTCGTCCGAGTCGTCAGCGGCCTCAATGGCACGCCTGCACGCGACGGAGCTATTGCAGGCCATCTCATGGGCTCCACTCGCTCTAGTGGGGCTGTACGCCGTCTATACTGCCGTCCGGTATGCCCGAGCTCGGCTCGTAGCTCATCGCAAAGGCGACGAATCGCTGGAGACGGGGGACATCCGTCTCGACGATTCCACTGAAGACGACCGACCGCTGTTCTCGCTCTTCATCACCGAGCAGGACATCCTCGAAGTCGAAGGATTGCTGCAGGATGCGCACTCGGGCTCGATGGGGGATGAGCTCAGGGACGGTGTCGGTAGTGGGGCCGCAGAGACGACCGAGGAGACGAACGAACTCACGAGGGACAAGCTCGAAGCACTGCTGCCTCCTCCACCAATACCTTTGATCGCTCTACCTTTCTTGGAGCTGGTCGGCTGGTCTTTCGTACTTTTACGCGCGGTCTTGTCGAAGGAATCGTCGGGATGGGTTCATGCAGCGAGCCATGTCTCGGCGCTTCACATCGCTCCTGTCTGGGTAAGCAACACTCTGGAAAGACGTTATAGACTTGCGAACATATTGCTCGTAAAGCAGGTTACTCGCCGCTGATCGTTAGCTGTAACGCTCGACAGCTTTTCGCTTTCGCTCGGGAACTCGGCTCGCGCAGTCGATTACCACCCTTCTCCTCCTTGCTGCTTTTCCTCTTGTTGCTCGTCAACGCTTCGATTAACACCGTACAAACTTACCATATCATGGTTTACAACGGAAGCCCAGAAGCTGTGCCGTGGGCCATTGTCTTGCCGTTAGGCGACCTTGCGGCTTGCGCCCAGCTCGTGCTGGTCATCATCCGCATGCCTCTGCGGATACCTTTGGCTTCAGTCTTGCGCGACCAAGCCCGAGGAGATCAAGTGAGAGGCCACGCATGTGGATCTGGTTCCTTGGGGCCCTCAAGGTAGGCCGACTGATCAAGCGATTGCGAACTTCGCAGCGCGCTCGGCCTCACTCACCCGAGGACGAGAACTCGCTCCTCGGCGCACTTACCTACTCGTGGATCAACCCGATGCTGCCGCTTGCCCATCGTCGTCGACTACTACCGTCAGATATCTGGTCTTTGGCTTTGGCCAACAGAGCGGAGGTGCTATCCAGGCGGTTCTCGTCCCTGACTTCGAAAACGTTGACGAGACGATTGCTCAGAGCCTCGGCCCGCGACATCCTCATCGACGTCTCGCTCAAGCTGCTCGCGGTCTCGTTGATGTACCTCCGACCATATTTTATCAAGTGTTTGTTGGAGAGGTTGTCGGAGGACGAAGCGGAAAGAAGCGAGTTGGGCTCGTCGACCCCCGCTTGGTCGCCTCGTGATCAAGCGTACCTGTATGCCCTCGGTGCCTTTTTGGCCATGATTGGTCGCACGCTGGCTCAACAGCAGCACTTTCACCATGCGCGACAGATCGGGATGCGCCTGCGTTCCGAATTGACTGTCGCGGTCTATGAAAAGGCTCTTCGACGTAAAGACGTGGCTGGACGGGCACATGCTGTCGCCCACGGCGAGGACGAAGCAGAAGAATCGGCGACCCGAGGCAAGGTGGTCAATCTCATCTCGGATGACACGAACAAAGTGTTACGGATGGGCTGCGACTCGCATCTTATTTATGGCGCACCACTTGAGGTCATTTGGGGGTTGGCGTTGCTCTACAGCCTCATCGGTTGGTCCATGTTCGTCGGGTTTGCCGTAATCCTGCTGAGCGTGCCCATCCACTACTGGCTGGGGAAGCGAGCAACCGCCATCGGGATCGCCAAATCAAATGCGCGCGATCGTCGACAGGCTTCATTACAAGAGTTGATCTCGGCTATTCGCAGTATCAAATTCTTTGGCTGGAGCCGCGCGTGGAGTGCCAAGGTCGGGGAGAAGCGCAATGACGAGCTTGCGATGATGATTAGAGAGTGGATCAACGTGCAAGGGTTCATCGCGCTTTGTAAGCAATTTCTTGGACATCCCGGATCAGGTGCAGGATGTTGAACTTAACTCTCTTGAACGATGTACCAGCCCTCTGTGGAACTGCCATCGTGCCCATCGTCTCTCTCGTCTGCTACGTCAAGTTCCAGCACAAGCCACTAACGATCGCAGTCGCCTTTACTTCGATTGAGTTGTTCCAAATGTGAGCTTGGATTTCTACCCCACTCCTCTCAATTATGTATCGGGCTGATTCATTTGGGCCCTTGATTGCATCGGCCAGGATTCGTGTCCCGGTGATGCAAGTGCCAAGCTTTTGGATCAAGATTATTCAATGCACGATTTCGATCGCCCGAATCGACGCCTTCCTGGGGGAAGAAGAAGTCGAGCCACACGTTACCCCAGAAGTCCGCAAACACCACAAATCGACTCTTGGGTTCGCGAACGCGACCTTGCAGTATTCTGCAGATACCGCTTTCAGACTAAAGGACCTTGCGATCGAGTTTCCCAAGGGCAAGCTGACAGTTATATCTGGCCCGACTGGAAGTGGAAAGACGTCGAGTGAGTCAGCTCTTAACAATTTGACCCTGGCTCGGGCTGACGTGTGCGTCGCGTTGCATAGTGCTTCTGGCTCTGCTTGGTGAGCTTCAAGTCGTGGAGGGGAAGGTTTTCCTACCTCCCGCGGTCTCTTTCGCTGCGCAGCATCCCTGGCTCGAGTCATGCACCGTGCGCCAGACAGTGTAAGCCCCCGCCCTCCACACTCGGATTCGGGCGTTCTGTCGAATAGCTCACCTTTTTTTAACCTAAACGTTAGACTCTTCGGCTCGCCGTTCGATCAAGCCAGGTACGACTCCACGATTGATGCTTGCGCGCTGCGGCAGGACATACAAAACCTGCCCGACGGTGAGGACACCCACATTGGCGAGCGCGGCGTATCTCTCAGCGGTATGTCACTTCAGGAACTCCTTCCTCGTGCCATTCGTCACTGATGTCCAACATTTTGCGCACAGGTGGTCAAAAAGCGCGGTTGGCACTCGCCCGAGCTATCTACGCCCCCAACGATGTTCTTCTTCTAGACGACGTCCTTTCCGCTGTTGACAGCAGAACGGCAAGGCACCTGTCCAAGCATATCACCGGTCCTCTTGTTCAACCGCGAACGATCATTCTGGTGACCCATCACACCAGCCTCGTCCTCCCTGGTGCCCATCATCACGTGGTCATGGAGGGAGGTCGAATAGTCTTCAATGGACCGGTCGAGCCCATGTCTGCTCGACCATCGCTACCTTTGAGTATCATGGGCTCCTACAGGAGCGAAGTTCCTCATGAGGATTCTTCTGCTCACCTCGAAGATGAGGACCCTGCTGCAAGTGTTCCCACCCGAACCACTGGGGTCGAGGCCGAGACTTGGGGAACCGGAAAGGTCAGCGGATCCATGTATACAACGTGAGTACATTCGAGCCTTTGTTGTGTTTACATCTGGAGTGGTTTTTCATGCGATCGGCACGCCTCTGCAGTTACCTTTCGAAATCGTCGTACTCTCTCTGGGCGAGTGAGTGCTCGAAAGGAGTTGACTCTTTCGATCCTCATGATGCTAAAGAAGCCGGTGCAATGCGCGCCAGTCATCGTCTTTCTCCTCGTTGCTATGCCAGTCCTCGGATATGCGGACCAGTTCTGGTTGCGAAGTAAGTTTCGTGCAACACAATTTCTGCGCCTTTAATACTAATTACTTTTTTTTTTTTTTTCGCGCTCAGATTGGGCCGAAGCCTCGGCTGGAGGGCGGACCGTGGATGTCAACTACTACGCGCTTGGATATACGTTTCTCAGTACGTACATGTCTAGTAGCATATTAACAAACGTGGAAGAAATTCGATCTGACTAGGTCTCATTCACTTAGATCTGGCTTCCGTCGTCGTGATCCAAGCAATAAACGCACTATTATGCGTCGCGGAATACCGAGCCTGTCGGACGCTTTTCGCCGAGTTGCTCCACCGCGTCGTGCATGCTCGGCCGCGCTGGTACGACATCACACCTGTCGGACGGATTTTGAATCGGTTCACAAACGATGTCGCGGTCATCGACGGCGAGTTGGCAGCCGCTTTCGTACGTTTGAGCTTGCGTCTTCTGACCCGTTCTGAGCTGACCTTCGGCTCTGTGCGCAACGCAGTCCAACTTTGCGGGAATGATCATCTCTCTCGTGATCTCCTTCGGCATCAACATGTACATCTTACCACTCGGTATTATCCCGATCCTTGGTGTCGGCGCTGTCTACCTATATATCTTCTCCCGGTGGCTCAACGTCAGCCGAGATTTGAACCGGATTGCCGCTACGACGGCGTCGCCCCTGTTTTCTGGTGAGTTCGGAGGCCCCTCCCCTTTTGTGCCTCGATACTCATTCGCTGACGTTCATCCCTGTATCCCTAATCAAGGTTTCCAACAGGTTCTCGTTGGTGAGTGATATTGCGTCGTGATGTCGGAGCTCATGCTCACAGTCGTCGCTACGGTTGATCAGGAATCTCCACCATTCGAGCCTTTGGCCGAGAAAAGAACTATCGCCGCCACGTCTGCAAAGTGCTAGACGATACGCTCTCGATGTGGTATGCGAGTGCGACCATCGATGTTTGGATACAATACCGGACCCAACTCCTATCTTCGGCGACACTACTCGCCGCCGCAATCCTATCCGTCTACACGGGGCTGAGTCCTGGTCTCGCAGGGATTGCGATTAACGCTTCTCAGGCCATCATCGGGACTCTCGATGGGCTGTGCAACACCTATGCCCGTCTTGTGCTGTCGATGAACAGTCTGGAGCGCATAGTCGAATATTTGTCGCTCCCTCAAGAGCCCGAGGATGGGATCTCCGCACCCGCAGCGTGGCCCTCAGCTGCGACCAAAGGTTTGTTGATTGAGGTGCAAGACCTGACGATCAAGTTAGTAAACATTCCTGGTCAAATGTCTTAGTCGCTGTACTGACGATGTCCAAGATCTACTCCAGATACGCTCCTGAGCTCCCCGCAACTTTGAAAGGGGTGTCATTCTCTGTCATGCCCGGGGAGCGCGTGGCGATCGTGGGTCGAACAGGAGCAGGAAAGGTGAGTGAGTGCATGACAGAAAATGGTCTTCACGATCCTCATGAACCTTTTGATATCTCTAGAGTACTTTGGCCATGAGTCTACTTCGTGTTGTGGACCCAGCCTCGGGAAGGATCCTCATCGACGCACTCGACATCACGTCAATCGCACTTGATGATCTACGATCCCGCGTGACACTGCTGCCGCAAGATGCCGTGCTGTTCTCGGGAACGCTGCGCTACAACTTGGATCCCTTTGATGAGCATTCAGTGAGTACCGAGCTGGGCGGGGATGGCGAGATCGGCGTGCTCACACATTGGCGCTGTCGGCTCGCATAGGACGAGGAGTGCCTCGACGCCATGCGACGAGTCCACATCATCGAGCCGACATCTCTCCCAAAGCCCTCGGTCAGCTCGGTCGAAGCATTCGCCTCTGAGGACTCGAATACCTCCACAACATTATCGCTAGCGTCGCCCGTCGCTGAGGGCGGTGAAAACTTTTCCCAAGGTCAACGCCAGCTCATCGCGATGGGGAGAGCACTTTTGCGCAACCCGGTCATTCTCATCTTGGACGAATCTACTGCGTCCCTGGATGCCGATCTGGACCGGAAGCTACAGGCCACGATCCGGGAGCAGTTCCAGCAAACGGCGGTCATCACCATCGCGCATCGACTGCGAACGATCGTCGACAACAGTCGGATCATTGTCTTAGACGCGGGTAAGATCGTCGAGTGCGATACTCCGCAGGCCCTGCTGCAGGACGAACACGGGCTATTCACCGAGATGTGTCGACAGTCGGGCGAGTATGAGGAACTCAGGGAGATCGCGATGATGAACTGAGATTCATCGTGGCCGATACATTTTACACAAGTTGATACCCCCTTGCATCGCATTGCAACCATACACTTTGTCTAGAGCTTTGCTTTGACGTCGCCCTCGTCATCGTCATCTTCGCTAATCTCTACCGCGCCCTCTTCGATCAGCTTGTTCGTCTCCTTCTCGAATCCGGCTTCTTTGAGCACCCTTCGCGTGTCCTTGCCCGGTGTCAAAAAGAAAGAGGTGCTGTCCCCAGGACCTCGCGCTGGCGTCGAGACGAGCTTGGGCGCTGGACCGGGCACTCCTCCATCACCGTTCTCAAATTGCTGCGTCGTCAGACGTGTCCCCGGCTCATCTTTACCCACACCGTCTTGATCGACTTCCTGTCTGTTCAGTACGGGGACGCAGCAGGCGTCGGTACCCAAGAAGATCTTGGTCCATTCGTCGCGTGTTTTGGTCTTGAACGTCGCCGTTAAGAACCTCTCTAAATCAGGCCATGTCGATCGATCCATTTGGGTATTTGGACTCGGTGCCGGATTCGGAACATGTTCTTTCTTCGCATTCTCGAGCATCTTGTTGATGAAGATGGTATAAAAGTGATTCTCGAGCGCGCCGACGGACATGTAGCCCTTGTCCGAAGTTTCAAAAACGTCATACCACGGCGCTCCTCCATCGAGCAAATTCTCACCCCTCGGCTGATCCCAAATAGGGAACCCCAAAGAAGGACGTGACATCATCAAAGGAAAGGACGAGATGTAGCGCGTGCCGGTAACCATGTCGATTTCGACAACTTGACCTCGCCCCGTCTTTTGGCGCGAGAGGAGGGCTATGAGGATCCCGATCACGGCCATGATACCTCCTCCGGCGAAATCGGCGAGCAAGTTGGCTGGGAAGTAGGGCTTATCGTTCTTGCGACCGAGGAGAGCTACATTCCCACCAAGTGATCCCGAGAGCATCGTCAGCACTCGGTGGTCCGAAAATTCTCAGCGGGGTGGTATGCAACGAGCCACTCACAGAGAACACCACTCAGAGCGACGTAGTTGATGTCGTGACCCGCCATCTTGCCGTAGGGTCCTTCGCGTCGGAATCCAGTTAAGCGGGCAATGATCAACCCCGGATTGGCGGCGAGCAAGACATCGGGTCCGAGCCCGAGTCGCTCGAGCACCCCAGGTCGAAAGGGATCGATGAGGACATCGGCGCGCCATACGCCTTGGTTGATGTTGTTCATGCAGTTTGCTTGCTTGGCTTGGGAGCATTTGCAATTGATGTTTGAGCACCCTCGAACCGAAGGAGCCGAGAGCAAGGTGCGCAGCAATGCTAGTCCTGAGGGTGACTTGAGCGATACCGAGATGGATCGTTTGTACCTGTTGGACCAGATCCGAGAGGCAAATTTTAGGCTTATCGTGCCGAAAGCTGGGCACCGCATACGTGCAGGCGAGGAAATTCTGACCTGGACAGAACATCGGTGCTAAATGTGGTGCCCGCTCGATCGACTCGAACGACGTCGGCACCAAAGTCGGACAAAACCACTGTCGAAGCAGTAGAAAAGCTTAGCAGCGTTCTAGGATGTGAGCTGTGGCATCCAAACTCACTGCCAGCATAGGGGCCAGGTGCAAGTCCAGCGAGCTGCGCAAGTGAGGAAGGCCGAGACGCCGGGACGCGTGAATGAGCGCGGCCGAAACGCGGGGCATGTGGGGTGATCCCGGGCGCTTGCTCTCTGTAACCCGGGGCTTGCCAGGGGTAGCTTACCTCGAGGACTCTGACACCGGCCAAGGGAAGATTTTGGGTTGCCATTAGGACGTTCTTGATGCAGGAGAATTCGGGAGGGATTGCGGGGATGTACGACGGGAGATGCAGCGAGAGAAGAAGAAGCCGGGGGCTCGCTCAAGTCGCAGGCCCCGCGCGAGGCACCTGCCCGCTGGCTGCTGCACGCCGATCGCCGGCGAGCTGGCGCCCAGCCGAGTTGCCTACAATTGCACCGTAGAATTGGCAGGACTCGGCAGGACGCGCCCCGGCGACGTCTTCGCAGGCCGCGACGCGAGCGACGCGCTCCTCCCACTCTGACCACGAAGCGGTGACTATCACGTGACCCGCACCGCGCTCCGCACCACCCTTTCGGACCTCTAGCAACATGTCAACACAAGCTCCCGCCGTAGGTGGAGCAACCAGCTCCAATGTAAAAGCTGGATCAACGCGTGCTGTCCAGTCGTCGTCGTCGTCGTCGTCGTCACAGCCCTCGCAGAGTCAAAAGGCTTCAGCGTGGCAACCCTACTCGATCCTGCCTCCTGCCACCCGTCGCAAAGTGAGTGTTTACCACTCATAAAATACTCCCTCCCCAGAAGAAGTTGTTGTTGCTACTGCGAATGGGAGCGTCTTCAGTAGGTTCAGCACGGTCGCCTCCGGCTGAGTTGTCCTCTCCGACTTGTACAGATCGATCCACGATCCACGGTCCTGTCCAAGCCTTACCTAGAGTCGCTCAATATCCCAGACGATGTCGCGCAGGAGCGTATCGCCAACAAGTACCTCCAACTCGAGCCCCCCGAAGGCAAAGAGTCGGATCGACGGAAAGCCGAGTTGGCGACAAGAAGGGCCGAGAAGGACAAGCGCACCCTCGCCAAAATTAGGCAAAGTGGGTGTGGCTTGGTTGGGAAAGCTAGGCGAAAGAGACTGGGCAAAGCTGTGGACGAGAAGATTCGGTGCGTAGGCCCGCGTTCAACGGAGACGCCATCCGCCGCTGACCTCTCGGTTTCCGTTGCTCGCCTTAAAGCTATGACTCGGTGCTTCCGTTGCATCATTTGTGGCTAGGGTACATGTCGGAACTACTTGGCATTCGCCTCGAGGCACCACCGATCGATTCGTCGACAACGGAAGACACCATAGGGACGACTACGACGACGGCGACCCAAAAATTGGACAAGACGACCCTGTACCCGATGTTCCCGCCGCGACAGAACGACGGGCCGCCAATGTCCGAACTCAATGTCAATGTCGTGACTTTGCATTCAAAGCTTGTCAAAGCAGAGTTCGTGGGCTCCATCGTCGCAGGTGAGCTCACCCCGCTTCTTGGTGTCTTGAGGTCGAAGAGAAGAAAATAACGACTCGGTTTCTGTCCCACAGTCAAACGAGCCAAGAACCCTTCTCTGGTTGGCATCCAAGGTATCGTCCTGCAAGAAACCCAAGGAACTTTCAAGCTTGTCACAGCGAAATCTCAGATCAAGCGTGAGCACAAGCTCCTTAGACCCCGGTGACGCCCGCTGAGCTCGCAGCTGACTGCTTCGTAATATCATGTGAGACATCAGTCGTGCCAAAGCAGGGCTCAGTCTTCGACATCACATTACCTCTCGCTGCCAAGGATGAGTCTGACACGTTGTCACGGAAACTCTCCTTCGACCTCTTTGGTGATCAATTCGCATATCGGTCGGCCGAGCGAGTCGGCAAAAAGTGGAAGGCAGGGACCAGCGCTGGCGAGGTGCAATTGTAAGGCAATGCACAGGACCTGACTTTTGTCGAAGCTGGTCTTCAGTCGTCATGAAATGAGACCACCTCCTCAAGTCTCACAAATAGTCTCACGAACACAAGCATTTCTCAAGCATTTCTCAAGCTTGGGACTGCGCGCAACTCACAATTTATCCGTCCCGTTATAGGTCTGAAAAGTGTGCACAGTTTCGAAACAGAGGGCTCTAGTGGTGCGCGATTTGTATATTGCTGCTCGCGGCAAGTCAACCTATGATCGTGTTGCTGCACCAGTGGTCCACCTCGTTGTCGGAGAGTCGGATGAGACGGCTTATCCGATGATTTTCTCTCGTCGTAGGATCTCTGAGGTCGCTGAGAGCTGCGGAGCTCTCCAATTATACTGATCGCTGATGACCGATGACCCCCGCAAATATCGGCCCATTCGCTGGGTGATCGCCGCCGCTTGCAAATGTCCAGGTCCAAGCCTTCTATCGAGACTTTGTTGCGCAGAAGCATATCGATGTGGGTATCTAGGTGGCTAGAGTGAGAATGTTCTTGCTCTGACTTTCAAACTTCCAGCTAGTCTGCAAACAGAAACGACCCTTATCGGGCGCTGGACCACATCATTCAAGCAATCGGCGCATCTGACCTGACTAAGACTTACAACACCTGTTCCGCCTTACCCCAGGTCTTCATCCCATCCTTTTCCCCCTCTTTCTCCATATGTTTTACAACCTACACTCTTTATTAGTGTTCGTGTACGTAGGGGTAGGTATTATGAAGTTGTGACGCCTGCTCAAGCGGTGGTAAGGCTCTGATCGACGGACCAAGGAGACCAGACCAAGAAGTTGCTTGAGCAGGAGAGAGAGAAGCGCGGAGCCAGTTGACTGGGGCAAGTGCGCGGCTGGGCCAGCCGCCTATGTCAGGCGCACGGGCACGGACCCAGCCCAGAGAAGGGAGAGAGCTAAGGTGTGGAGAGGCAGGCCAAAATGGAGGTAAGACAAGACAGAGAAAAGGAGACATGATGCGAGAAGGAAACATAGGAGGTTGTTAATCTCACATCTATGTGTGTTGTACACTAGTCTTGCAGCCTGACTGGTATCCCGCGGCCTCCGACGGGGCTGGCGGAGCCACGTTGTAAGGGGATGCCTTACAGAAACAGCCCCGTAGCCTCTGAGTAGCTAGAACTGTCAAGTTCTAGTGTTACGACTTGCTTTTAGCCTAGCGGTCAAGGCGACAGATTGTAATTTATGCACATCAGAGGCGCAGACCTTACACACGTGCTGGTTGGCGCGCCCGCGCAGTCGACGTCGATTGTCGAGCTAGAAATTCCAACGTTGGGATGTCTACCTAGGAAAATTAGTGCAGTTCTGTGGGACTAAGCAGAATTTAAGAAGCATACTTCTGCATGAGTATGAGTATGAGAGGTTGCATCACGGAAGCGTTGCCAGGATCAGTGCGAGCTTTCCTGAACCTCGGAAGCTTCGAGAAGTGCCGAGCAGCAGCTCTGCGCATCAGTTTCCGAATTGGGCAGGCTCGCCTCGGCGCCCTGGCGCCCAGACTGAGTTCAATCCCTGGCCCGCTCCTCCGGCCTGAAACGGCCCAGAACGCCTGCGGCCCTCAAGCACGCGGCCAAGGCTAGGGGGCTGAGGGGGGCTGCCCCTGGAGGCCCCTGGGTTGCCGAGGGGAACGCAAATTGCGGTCAAACATTCTCGCGACTGTTCCACTTCTGCCCTTCACCTCAGGTACCGACATCCGCAGAGGAACTGCACTGAGTGCACTCACCTCCTGAGCGATAGCGCGGCCCCTTGTCGTTATGGAGTGGGCCCCTCAGTTCCCGGCCGAGATGTTGGCCCAGCATCGCGCCTACCTCCAGCCCATGCTGTGGGCGTTTCTGATCGGCAGCCTTCTTACGGTGAGCCTGTCAGTGTGGCGGCGTGCCTCGGGTCGGACGGCCGCCGGTCCATTCCTAACGCGTCAACGGCCACGGCCCCCGCCGGACTACTTGGTGTATCAAGGATGCTCAGCGATCACGCTGCAAAGCCAGAAGTACTGAGTGACTTTGCATGGATTACAGGGCCTCATATTTGCGCTGTGCACTCAGTGGGTCTGCCAAGAGCGACGCACCGCAAAACGATTCGAAGCGACCGTGGTCTCGATCGGCGCCAGCTTGACGGCAGCCGCGCTTGGGCTCGAATGGCACCGCGCTACAAATACTTCGTCCAACACGGCGGTGATCCGATCTACACGCTCGCTTTCCATGCCGAGGACTATGCGTGGACGATTATCTGCGCATTGTGCAACATCACGGGACAGATTTGGTTCGTTGAGCGAGCATGGAGGAGCTCGCAGTCGTGGCTGTTCCTCGGTGCTGCCGTTGTATGCATGCTGGGCGAGTTCGCGACCGCGCTGGGCGTCGCGGTCATGGGATTTCGCTATGGCAACGATCCGACGAAATGGGTGATGGTGCGTTGCATACTAGTGGAACCGAGTTCAAGTCAGTAACGGTTCGCTGAGTTTTTGCGTGTCCCCGTGATGGCCCTCAGATCGGGCAATTGTCAATCGCGTTGGCCCTGCTCACCGTGGCTCTTGATCTCCTCACGTCCGTGGTCTTGATCGTCCGAATCAAGCGGTTGATGCGCACAGTCGATGGAGCGCGGAACCGTCCTTTCGAAGCTTTGGTTCGTCTTGCATGCGCCACCGGCAGCCTGACAGCGATAGGTCAGTAAAGCGGATTGGGAAAACTGCCCATCGGCGAAGTATCCGCCTGCTCATTCCGTTGTCGACCTCATTTTATGAACAGTCGCTATCATCGATGCCGTTCTGTACATCACGGTGTGGACCAACTCAAATGTGATTACATTAACTGCAGAATCCATAGGCATCTCATCTGAAAGTGTGCTGACGTGATCTCTTCTCTCTCTGCAGGCCTGGTTGCCATTCATCGGTATGTTCAGGACGACCCTTGCTTCGTCGAGGTCTTAAACGCAGGCTGATCGGCTCTGGTTCCTTGCTCCCCAACAGAGGCACTTCCTCGCATCTCCTTTTTGTCGTGCCTCATCACCATCAACTCGCGCGAGAGGTGGCGTACCGTTCTCGGTCTCACCCCTGACCCAAGCTCGAACCCCAGCTCGCGCGAACCCCGGCCGCCGGCGAGGCTCTGCGTGAAAACCATCCGGGCCAAACTCGATACCAGCGCCTTTGAGCGTTTAACCCAGGCCAGCTGTGGTCGGAAGGATTGGCCGACTACAATGGTCAATGAAGGGAAGATTGGATCGTGCGATGATCTCGAGAAAGCCGTTTCGGATCAGGAACAACCGAATTACGAAAGCCCCTTCGACAAGCAATCGCAATCGCTCCCGAAGACGGGGCCGGTCCAGGTCAGTTTTTGTCAGCAGGCTCCTCTGAGTCCTCCCCGCGAGCCTTTGTCCTAACCCCTCCTACCGCCTTTTTCCAGAAGTTGCCGAGAACCATTTCCCTCGCCTCCCTCAGACGAGCGTCATCGAATAGCATCGCCCGCCACCCGACATCCGCCACCGTCCAGCATGTGATGGTCGAGGTCAATCGCGAGATCGTGATTGAGTGAACAGGCCCAAGCCTTTGGTATCTCGTTACAGCATAGATTCACCAAGTTGTACCACAATAACCGCATTTGCAATTGCATACCTCACGACATCTTTCTCTTCTCATCATCCTCTGTAGCGTTCCTTCTCGTAAGCCTTCCACATCCGGCGCAATACGGCCCGTTCGGCCTCCTCCTCGTCCTTCAAGAAGCCCTTCATCAATGCCTCGCGTTCCCACTTGCCCATCGCATCCATCACTTCAAACCAACCGCCTTGTAACTCGCTCCTCAAGGTCAAAGGGATTGGACTTGTTGAGTGCACGGACGCGCGAAGGTAGATGAGAATGAGGAAAGGCGCATGTTTTGATAGAGGTGCGACGAGCGATGAGGTCGATTTCGACTTGGTAGCCATTGTTAAAGAAGACGTCGTCAATGTCGTCGTCTTGGTCGAGAGACTGATCAACAATCGGCCGATCGCTTTGGCATGCTCGCGACCGATCGTTTGCAACTCACCGTACCAGACCCAGAAAGGGAACGTCGCTGCCGTCGTTCGTTCGGCCCGCTTACCCAATGTCATGTGCTCGGTAGGAATCAACGGGTCGAGTTCGTCTGACCCTATCGTTGTACCGTACCCACTTCGACGAAGCGCCGTGAGCATGGCTCCGAGAACACCGACGAGTTGATGGAATAGGGGGGTGATATGATCTTTGCGATGGCGCACGAGATGCGAGATGATCGATACGAGGGCAAGGAAGAGCTCCGAGGTGATTGCTGGCGGAACGGCTGTCTTGGCCGTCGGTTCGATCGTCGACGGGTTCAACAATCTTCGTACGATCCCAAAGATGGCAGCGACATTGAGACGCGTGAGCAACATCGGTCGATCACCGCACAGGCCTTCGATGAACTTGGCCATGAATAGGTACGTCCGAGCGATCGCCTCCCCGTCCGAGGAGGTAGAAGTCAAGGTGAGGTTCATCAGCAAGGTCGGGAAGACCTGCAAGAGGTTCGAAAGACAGCCGGAGCTGATCTTGGTTGATCCTTCAGGTCCGTCTCTGAGTAAAACGAGAGCGACATGTAGCGTCGCCTCGATCGTCCGAGATCCAGGCCGTGTTGCACACTCGGTGGCAAGGGCCGCGACGCTGGAGCTGATATCATTCAAGGCGGCGCTATATTCAGTCGGGGTCGTGCCAGAGGTGGCGCGGGTCAGGCTGGCGTCTAGAGCCGAGGTGATGGATGATATACTCGAGACATGCTCATAGAAGGCCAGATGGCACGCAACGAGTGTCTCAAAAGCCGCTGAAGACACCTTGAGATCCTTCGACATGGTCCTCGTCCGACCGATTCGGAAAGCGAGCAGCTCGGCGATCGCGAGACAAGTTGCAGCGATGTCCGACTCGGCCGCCATAGTGTTCGCTTGTCCCGAAACAATGTGGGAGACTGTTGTTCCAAGTGTAGCTTGTGCGAATGCTGCGTACGTATCGACTTCGTCGCACTCTGAGGCATCATTTGCAAGCCAGTCCTTGGCGCGCCAAATGGAGCAACACGAGTTGATCAAATCCGCCAGAGTAAAGACCGTCTTGGGCTCGGAAACGACTTGTTGAGTCGCAGTCTTGAGTGTCTTGCCAAAAGGATTTGTGACAGCTTGAACTGAAGAGGCGATTGCTGTTCGAAGGTCCTCGGGTAGTCTATGCGTCATAACCTATTGCGTCAGCAGCGCCGAAAATACAGCGGTTGAGAGCCGAGCAGCAAACTCACCCCTCGGCGCGACCCAAGCCCTCGACCACCAAGACGTCCAAAAGTGTCGTATAAGCCTTCTCCTCAGTCATGAATTGAGCCGCTCCTCGCCGGAAACGATTTGAAAGACCGCTAAGAGGCTTCTCGAATGCGGCCACCATTTCGATCAGGCGAGCTGGTGATGACGTTTCTTTGAAAGATACAATGGCGGACTGTGCCAATTTGCGGTAGAGGTCGTTGATGGTGGTGAGGTATTCGCTCGAGGCTTCAAGGTCGGCACTTGAGACGAGACGAGAGATGACAGCGACCGAGGGCGGCTGCGTTTGCCAAGATTAGGGTTCGTATCAGTAGCCCAAGCTGGAAGCCACCGCGCAGAGATTGAAACTCACCGAGATGGAACCTCCATCCATGACAAGTATCACGAACTTCCGCAGACCTATCTGCAAGCCCTCAACAAGTTCTCCCTCGACACCACTCTTCCCACCTCCAATCCAAAGATCCAGTCCGAAAGCTCGTTCGACCAATTCGTTGCGCAGCGACTTGCCCAGGTATTGCATCGGGAGCATCGAGCCGATCGAACCGAACAAGCCGATGACCTCGACTAATTTCCTAGGCTTGATCGATCCGAGTGACTTGGGTACTTTGGAGGCCGAGAGAGCTTTAAGGACTGTCGAAGGTGCTTGTAAGTTTTCTACCGAGGTTATGGCCGATAACGCGAGGTGAAATTGTTGGCGTAGGCGAGGAAGTTCGTAGAGATCCGCGCGGCGAAGGAGTCGCCGAGTGATGGACTTGATCGTCAGATCCTCGTCTTTGACGTGTTCCGTGGTGATATTGGACACAATTCTTTCGGCAATGGACCAGAGAGATGTCTCGGATCCCAGGCGTTCGAATAGCGCCAAATGCCGCCGCGTTACGAGTTCCCACAATGCGGTTGGCAATTGGCCCAGATCCATCCGTCGAAGGTAGCCATCCCACGCTCGTCCGTCCGTCGATCCCGGAGCACATCTACTCGAAATGATGTCGATGACTTGCTCTGCCGTCGCCTTGTCAGCTCCCTTCTCGAACCCTTGCAACAACGTCCGCGCGACCTCAACCACGACGAACCCCTCCTCGTCATCCTGGACCAATTTGACCAGGCGTTTATTGACCGCTTTGTCCAACGCCCATTCCGCCTCCGGTTCGACAATACCTTCGAATCGCATTCGTTCGAGCATCGCTTCCCTCACTCGAAGCATCTCTACACCCGCAACGACCTGTTCCCGACTAGCATGCTTCGATCCGAGAAAGGTCTTGAGGAACGGTTCCAAGGCGTCCTTGTTGAACACTCCAAAGTGTTCGAGTGGTAGAGGGGTTGGAAGAGCCTGGATGAAGAGTGTCAATATCCTCGAACGGCCGATGAGAGCCGCGGTGCTCGAGCTCGCTCGAGCTGTGTTCGACTCGAGAGGAATGGCCGATGATGAAGAGACCTTGCGTCGTTTCTTGGTCCTCCCCTCCTGTTCCACTTCCACCGCTTCAACGGGTTGAGCCGTTTCTGCCTCCTCAAGAGCGGCTCGTATTCCTTGACTCAATTGCTCGAACGCATCCTTGACACCTAATCCAGGAACGATCCCACCCAATCTCTTCCTTAACGCGTCCAAAAACTCGATCCTCGTCAGGTAGTTGTTGATGCATCCATTGTGCGACGCTTCGGACCCGATCGCTTGCGAAATGTGATGCAGGAACGGTAAGAGCGTGAACGACTTTGTGTAATGCGAGAGCAAGGTGCGAAGCCATCCCTGTTTTCCTCGGTGGTCTTGATTCGTCGAGATCGACGTCGTGGAGAGGTACTTGAGCCCTTCCTCGAGTTTGGGACTAACGGCATCGAAGTCCATCCTCGTGACCAAACTCAACACCTCGAAGCTGGTATCATCGTCAAGCCGATTCGTCGCACCCAAGACAATCATTTCCAAACACCCCTCCCATCCTTCCTCTTTCCCATCCCGATGCAGATCCTGCGTTTCGATCACAGTTAGGACGTCAGATAGACATTTCGTCTTGAGGTGATCTAGCTCCGATCCCACGTTATTGGTCCCATGAATCCATTGAAGTAGATTGAGACAGACGCCTCGTGTCCAAGTCGCGGCGAGGTGACGTCTTTTTGTCAAGGAGTGGAGTTCGAAGGCCGAGCGGGCGGCCGAGGGGGTCGCAAAGTGGTTCGCTTGGGAGGAGGGCAGCGGGAACAAGACCGAGGCATGGGTTGCAAGAGCGTCAAAGTAGAGTCGTGTAAGAACGGGGATAATCTCGAGAACTGTGTGACCGATCGAAGTGGTTAGTACGGACCATGCGTTTCGATACACATAGCAAAGCAAGCTGACCATTCTTCTTCTTCACCTGCGCCTCCGGTCCAACTCCATCATACATTCCCTTCAAGACCGCGAGCAACTCTCCCGCCGCACTCTCCGTCCTATTCCCATTCTCATCGTAGATCAAGGACGCCGCGCCTCCCGTTGCGGTAGCGCCATTGACGGTCGATCCACTCGAGGACAAATTGGCATGGTAGGATTCTCGCGCGAGCCCTTTGCGTAGATTCTCGACGTTGAACAGGGACGATTGGAGAGTGCGGAGGAGGGCTTGGTGGAGCGGGGAGGAAGAGCGGAGGAGTTGGATCGTGGGGAGGAAGGATGAAAGCGAAGACAGGGCGTGAGAAGCGACCTGTGTGAGGGAGCAAAAAGAGGTTTGTGAGTTGACATCTCCCGAGAACAGAAGATTTTGACTCGCATGGTCGAAGGGGAGTCTCGCGCACCTTTTTACTTCCTTTGCCGGCCGAATCGATGATGAGGTTCAAGGATTGAATATGGATTAATCCGAGTTGCTGCCATGGTTCGGTGTCGGGTGCAGCTCGCTGAAGCACTTGGATGGACGAGTTGAGGAGCGTCGAGTAGGAATCGAGCGCTTGGTCAATGTTGGCCTTGCGCAGGGCCGAGGTGGACCAATGACTCCACACGGCGGCGACATGGGACACGAGCTCGACGGCTTGATCGCTTGGAAGATTCTTCGCGGAGGGATAGTGCGTGAGAAAGCTGGTGAGGATGGGCAACGTCGGTGCGGCGGGCAGCGACAAGGACGAGCTGGTGGAGGTGCCCGTCGAGAGCGAGTCGAGCAGCTGCCACCACTGCGGCGACAAGATCGTCTGGTCGACGTGCTTGGATCGAAGGAAGAGTTCGACGATCCAATCCCGGAGCAATTGACCGAGAGCTGTCGAGGAAGCCGACGAGGACGAGGAGGAGGACGAAGCCAGAGTCGAGTTGATGAGCTGCAGCTTGTCGCTCAGCGGAGTCGAGGTCGACCGGAGCTGATAGAACAGCTGTTGGTGATCGACGCCCATTTTGAGCGGACGGTTTACGGGGTGAAGAGTCCAGACGGAGCGCTGAGGAGCTCGAGGTTAAGGGATTGAAGCTCAAGGAAGCGCCGTTCTGCTCAGCGCTGCTCCGTTGCTCGAGCAGAAGCGGCCCGAGCGCAAGAGAGCGCAAGCCTGCAAGCGCGTGATCGGCTGCGAAGCAATTGGGCCGACGGCTGAGCAAGGCTGAGCACGGCTGAGCACGGCTGAGCTGAGCACGGCTGAGCTGAGCACGGCTGCGAAGTGCGGAGCTGCTGTGATCGAGCTCGAGCGGGGCTTGCTTGAGCTACCGTCGTCATTACTCCACTCGTACTCCATTCTACGATCCGACTTACTTCCACGCCTCAATTACTGGCAAGCAGTCAGGGAACGTGCTAGCGCACAAGGTATTCCCGATCGTGCACACCTCCGCTCCTGAGCCTCCGTCCCTCCCTCCGTCTCCTCGATCACTCGAGTCCCCGCGACAATGCAGTCGGCCGAGCCTTCCACCTCGACTTCGACTTCGACTTCGGTCACGCCCACAATAGCCCCAGCAGTGACCAAGACGTCCCATCAGGCCAAGCCAATCTCGTTCGCCTCACTGGAACCGGCGCTGCACCCCTTGTTGCTCCGCTCTTTGGCCGCTTCCCAGTTCCCCGTCGCGACGCCGATCCAAGCCTCGCTGATCCCGTTGGCCATCTCGACCCATCGTGATCTCTTGGCCCGAGCACGAACAGGATCGGGCAAGACGATCGCCTACGCCATTCCGATCCTGCATGCTCTGCTCACTCAGCGCGCAGCCAACTCATCCGCCTCTTCCGTCAAGGGGACCAAGGCCTTGATCCTCGTTCCGACGAGGGAGTTGGCCGAGCAAGTTCGCGGACAGGTCAACAAGCTCATCCAGGGTCTGGGGCTTTCGGATGATGATGAGATTGGCCTCATCAATATCGCCGGTGGGGTAGATCCAAAGACAAACAAGAAACGAAAAACTGCCAAGAAAGGCGTCGAGGACAAGTAAGTTTCTTCTCCGTCTCGGGTCGGCGCTCCGGCTGGTCACTGATCAAACGTCCACGCTTGCATGTTCAGAGTCCAACTCGCGGATCGACCTTCGATTGTCATTGCGACACCCTCGAGGGCATTGACTCACCTCCGATCTCAGGTCCGTTCAGCTCGGAAACTCGACGTAGACTCACCAATGAGACTGACCCCCTCCCCACCCATAGACACTTCACCTGGCAGACCTGACTCATCTCGTCATCGACGAAGCCGATCTGATTATTTCGTACGGCCACTCGTCTGAAGACATTCGATCAATCCTCAATGGTCCCTGGGGCCTGCCCAAGGTGTACCAATCCTTCTTGATGAGCGCCACCTTGACCGGCCAAGTCGAAGAGTTGAAGGGTATCTTGTTGAGGAACCCCGTAAGTCTTTGACAGTAATGTTCTTCGAATCGAATTGTTCCTCACGCAGATGCTTTCCCATACTCCTAGATCGTTCTCAAACTCGAAGACGACGATGACGAGATCGCTAATCTGTCTCAATTCTTCGTTCGGCAAGTCCTCCGCCCGCTTATACCCAGGGCGGCGCGCGTTGCTAAACCTCCTACCTGCTCTCCGCAGCTGCACCGAAGAAGACAAGTTCCTACTCATCTACGTCATCCTCAAACTCCGCCTCATCAAGGGCAAATGTCTCATCTTCGTCAACAATACCGACCGCGGATACCGCCTCAAGCTCTACCTCGAGAAATTCGGTATCAAATCCGGGGTGTTGAACTCGGAGTTGCCGTTCAATTCGAGGTACCATGCCGTGCAAGAGTTCAACCGAGGAGTGTTTGATTACCTGATCGCGACGGATGAGAGTGGCCTGGAAGGGCACGATCGGGACGGAGCGGCGGATGAGGATCTGGCCCCGGGCCATATCGAGACGGAGGGGGAGGGTGCACCAACATGTGAGTGGCTATGAAGTGCGAGTGCAGAGGGAGAGAAGCAGCTCGTTCTGATCGACCCAAGTCCTCGTCGCTCGCAGTCATCACGACTCAACCCGCCGGTGAAACGACGACGACCGATGCGAGCGCATCAACCAAGAAGCGCAAGCGCAACACCAAAGAAGCTTCGGTCAAAGCCTCGACGACTGAATACGGTGTCTCGCGAGGTGTCGATTTCGTCGATGTCGCCTGCGTCATCAATTTCGATCTCCCCTTCTCTTCGCGATCTTACACCCATCGAGTAGGACGAACGGCTCGAGCAGGGAGGACGGGAACATCGTTGTCGTTCGTGGTACCTAAGGAATCGCACGGTCTGAAGAAACAGAATGATGTTTCGCTCCCTACGGCAATCAGGGACGAGACCGTATTCGCTAGGATTGAGAAGGCGCAAAAGGGGAGGGGTGGGGAGGTCAAGGAGTACAAGTTTGATCTCAAGCAGGTCGAAGGTTTCAGGTATCGAATGGAGGATGCGTTGAGGAGTGTGACCAAAGCCGCGGTGAGGGAGGCGAGGATCAAGGAGATCAAGAACGAGGTTGTCAACTCGGACAAGCTGAAGGTTAGTTGTCAGAGCGTGATCCGATTTGCTGAATAGACCGATGCTCATCCTTCTTTGCCCCTTTGTGAACCATGACAGGCCCATTTCGAAGACAACCCCAAAGACCTCGCCTTCCTACGCCACGATAAACCTCTACACCCTTCGCGTGTTCAACCTCACCTCAAACACGTTCCCTCGTACTTGATGCCTCGAATTGCCGCCGTCGGATCCTCGACCGACCCAGCCGAGGCATTGAACCAAGTCAATACGGGGAGTACGAAACCTTTCGATCCTAGTCAATCGAGAGTACCTTTCCACAAAGCGCAGAGAGGGGGAAAGGGGGGAGAGGTGGGAGAGGTGGAAGGGGCGGTCACGGGGGTAAGGGTAGTGCGGGTCAGCCGCGACGACAGGACCCGCTCAAGGGGGGCAAGTTTTCATTTGGGAAGAAGAAGGAGGGCAAGTAGGAGGCCGGATTGTGCGCGATAGCCTTTCTCTTTTCCGGATTTTGTAATGTAATGTGTTTCCTTGCTCGTAAAAGTGTCGAGAGCGAGACTCATCCCATTGAGGGGTCCGTGCGCCGCAATGAGGTTCGTTGCCAAAAAAGTGGGGGTGCACCAGCATTCGCTTTGGTGCTCCTCCTCTCGCCTCCTATCAGCTCGGATCGTCCTCTTGAGCTTTGATCCGTTTTTCGAACATGCCCTCCCCTCCTCCAGCACACAACAGCGTCCTCCCCTCAGCGCTCAACATCCCGCTCTTCAACAAGCTGCGCAACAAACGCATCATACTCGCCTCCTCCTCCCCCCGCCGTCTCGAGATCCTCAGAGCCTATGGATTGGGTCCAGAAGTGGTCAAGTCGGAATTTCCGGAGGAGTTGAACCATGGTGATTTCGATAACCCGGGGGATTATACGGTCGCGACGGCGACGGAGAAAGTGAGTGGGAGAAGGGGAAGGGAGAGCGTGAACGAGGAGGGGTACATGGAGTGGGGTGAAGCTGATATCCTCTTCTTTGGTTGGTTAGGCTATCGATGTGTATTCCAAGCTGGTGCGAGAATCACCGGACGATCCTCCTGATCTCGTCATCGGAGGTCAGTCACCCACCCCTTGAATGACATCATCTGCCGGTACCGTACAGTCCGATCCGATAAACTGAGACCACTGCTCGCGTTTGCTTTCCAACGGCTTTTGTACTCAACCGCTCTTGTTCGTGACCCATGCATCATTAGCGGACACGGTCGTTGTCCTCGGCTCGGAAGCCTCGTATTCGATTCTGGAGAAACCGAGATCTACGGCGGATCAGATGGGGATGTTGACCGACTTTAACGGATCCAAAGTCGACGTCATCACCGCTGTAACATTAGGTGGGTAGAAACACCTACATCCCTTTCACGTCTGATCCGAGTCGTCCTCGTTCAAATGAAGAAGGCTCTGGACGGCCGGCTTTTCGCACCTTGGGAGTCGGAACTCATCAATCTGTGATACCGCTTCAATCTACTCAGTGCAACCCCAGCTCGCAAATCCAGGATATTCGCTCCAATCCCTGGTACAATCTACAAAGGTGCGCAAGACCACGTGTCTGGTCTAGACTACATGTTGAACCCGAAGACCGATCTGTTGCTCCCCACCCCACATTAGGTCAATTTCGCACACAACTCACCGCAACTGATCAAGGCCTATGTCGAATGCGGCGAAGGGATAGACAGGTGCGTGTATCTCCTCTCCAGGGTCATTCTCGGGCAGAGACCTGATTTGATTGACTCTGACCGACCGCACATTTTTCAGAGCCGGGGGGTTCGCCGTGCAAGGGTTAGGTGGCATGCTGATCAAAGGGATCGAAGGCGATTACAACAACGTCGTCGGTTTCCCTGGTCAGGTGAGTGTATTCGATGGTCCAGGAGTAGAACCAACGGGAGAGAATTCTGATCTCGGGGTCTGCATTGACAGGCATTTTTCGAGTGGCTGAGCACGCTCGCTGATGAAGAGACGTTGTGTGAGATGGATTGAGGAGTGCGACGTGAATATGAGTAGAAGTGAGCTCCTTGAGCGTTCTTGTGTATAGAACCTCGGGTGTGTTTGTAACATAGCGAAGTCACCTTGCCCGGATGGCCCGTGCGTTTTTGGAACTCGATGGAAGCTTGCGCCGTGCTTGCGCCGTGCTTGAGCTTGAGCCCCACTTGCCACTCTTGAGTCTTGACTGCCGTCGCGTCGTCGTCGCTGTTTGACTTTTGATCCACCTCGCGTCGACCTTGCCACGGCCTTCATCCCATCTACCATCTACCCATCACCCCGGCAACTGGCAACACACGTAACATCCCAGCACCACATTCTGCACCTCTGTCAACTCAGGATGACGTCCAAGATCCGTCACGAGTGGTCAGTTCTCGCACCCCTCGCATCGCACAGGAGGCAGCTGGAAGCATAGGAGCACCCACACCCAGCCCCAGCCTCATACTCCAGCAGCTGACCTCTTGTATACTCAGGTACCAAACCACCACCGAGATCGTGCTGTCCGTCTTTATCCGCAACGTCAACTCGGAGCAGCTCAAGGTCGATCTCCAACCGCGTTCGGTCAGTCCAGTCGCAAGCTCCGATTGGGTTTCGTATACTCTCACGTGTGGAACTCACCCTCTTCAGCGTCTTAACGAACTTCTTGGACCACCAGGTCTCATTGTCGATCCCGCTCGCAACCGGATCCGACGTCGTCTTTGACCTCGATCCTTTGGCGCACGAAATTGACGCTCAAGCCTCCTCTGTCCGCGTTCTGACGCCCAAGATTGAACTCAAGTTGATCAAGAAGGAACCGGGCATCAAGTGGGACAAGATCGAAGGCGATGACGATCACGCGACGACGACGATGGGTGAGTGAAGGCCAAGTTCAAAGCGGAAAAAGCCTGCACCCAGCCCTTTGCTTATGGACCCATGTCGATCTCATTCGATACGACGACTTGCCTGTAGGAGCCCCCGTCGAGTCAACACCGACGCATTCTTACCCTTCCTCATCCAAGAAGAAGATCACCAACTGGGACGCGTTCGTCAAGACGGCCGAAGAGGAAGAATCCGCTCAAGCGCACCAAGAAGGCGCCAAGAAAGACCCCAACGCCGGTGGGGACAAGGCCTTGAACGAGATGTTCCAAAAATTGTACGAGGGTGCTACGGACGATCAGCGCAGGGCTATGATCAAGAGTTATCAGGAGAGCAATGGAACGGCCTTGAGCACCGATTGGAGCGACGTTTCCAAGGTAGGCTACTGTGGAGAGAGGTATCGGCCCACAGGGATCGCCTCTCGAGCTCACAGTGACTCTTCTACTCGCTCCTACAGCGCACGGTCGAGACCAAGCCTCCAGATGTGAGTTTGACGATGGCATCTGGAACTGGAGTCCACGCGCATGCTGACCGCACCCATCTCCGCACAGTCCATGATCGCCAAGAAGTGGGGGCAATGAAGTGGTTGTTGCCACGATCCAGGTCCCCAAAAGGGTCGATAGCAGCATGGCTTTCTCAAACTGCTCTTTCTCTCGTCCTCCTTCCCGACGAAGTCATTTCTGCCGCTTGCATCTAGGCATCTTTTCACTCTGTAAACCTCGCGCAACCCCAAGTTCAGTACTTTCGTGTACACTACTGATAATGAAACTTGAACGGGAAGTTCAACGCTCCGGAACAATTCAAGAAGAAGAACGAAGACGATGCGAGTGGACGGATTAAGGTTTTTCAATCTGAGGCTACCCTTCGGACCGACCTAAGATCTGAGAACTAACGGGAGAATTGAGATAGGCCTCAGAACCCCCGATAATACCATGTAAACAATCCTTGCATTTGGCCCTGTTCAAGCGAAGAAAGCGCCCGTTCGACATTGTTTTAGGGTCCGAAAGATGTCGCTCGGGGCGAGTGCTAGCACGCGAGTTTAGACGAGACGAGTCGGCGTGGAGCCGAATTGTGAAAGATTAACAAAGAAAGAAGATAGCTCATTGTTAATCCAGAACTCGACATATTTACGTAGAGAAAAGACTAGCAAGAAACGAGCCCGATAAAACATAGCACCTTTCAAGTGATCACATCGAGTCCTCCATCCCAACGGCTCCCTTCATGCCCAACGCGTAGATCGCGTCGGCGAGCTCACGATCCTCGACCGAGGCGATCTTGGGCTGCCACTTCTTTTCAGGGTGAGGGAACAGGAAACCGTCGTCGGTGTCGCACTCGGTGCCGTACTCGGGGACGGTTCCATCGAGGAAGTAGCTGCGGATCAGCTTGGCGGTACACAGAGAGGGGTGAGCCGAGGAGCAGTGCCCGAGACTGCAAGATCGGGACCGCGGGAGGCAGACCGGCATTAGTCTGAGTGTCTTCATCCGGAATGCTCAGATTGAAACCTTTAACCTACCCTTTACGTTGAACGATGAAAGTCGCCGAGTCTTTGCCAAAGCCATCGGCCATCTTGCGCGCCGAGATCTCGGGCGTGACGGGGTCGGACTCCATCGAGAAGAAGACCACCGGGTGGTTCGTCTTCTTGAGCCCGGTTTCGACGGTCCAAGGTCCACGGTAAACCTCCCTCGCCTTGGACGACCAGAGCCGACAAGCCCCGACCCATTGGGCCCAGTGAGCACCCGAGGGTGAAATGTCCGCGATGGACTGGGTGTAGGATGCCATCGAGGCAGGGTCCGAGAGCGTCTGGGCGACGGCAGGGTCTGTGTCGGAGCACATAATGGGCTGGAAGCCGAAGGGACGCGGCGGTTCAGACGGATACAACCCTCATCAGAGCTAGAACCCCTCACTTACAGATGAGCTCCAGAAGGAATCGATCGATTTGCGATGGAAGAGATTGTCTGACGAGTCGGTGCGCGCCAATTTGTCATTCTCCGCGTTGGCGAGCTCGAAGAGGGCCGTCCCGTTACCCTTGATCAGATCATCGAGAGCTTCCGCAAACACGGGCCACGACTTGGGGGCGTAGAGTGCGGTCCAAATTTTGTAGTGGACTTGTGCGGCGCGAACCACACCGGGGCCGTACTTGGACGAACCGACAATCACGGGCTCAGCATTGAGACCCAGAATCAACTTGCGGATCTTCTCCTCAATCTCCAAAGCAGTCAATCCTTTCTCCGCCAATGCACATCCCTTGGGACCGGACTCGGCGCAGGCGACGAAGAAAGCCGACCAGACATCCTGCGAGTTGTTCATGCCCGATCGACCCCACGCCCAGATGTCATTGGTGTACGTCTGCGAGTCGCTCACGCCGTCGAGCCAAAGCCGACCCACGAGGTCTGGGAACATGGCCGCAAAAGTCGCCCCCAAGATTGTACCGTAGCTGAAACCCCAGTAGACGAGCTTTGGCTGACCCAGTGCTTCGATGATGAACTTCATATCCCGCGCAACTGTCGCTGTCGAACTCGTTGCGAGAACAGCATGGTTGCCGTTCTGGCGACAGCTCTGATCGAATGCTTTGGTGACCGCATCGGCATAAGTTTGCCATCGACTGCTCCTGCCGTGCCTGTCCTTGTCGTCTTCGAGACTTCCCGAGGGACCCTTGGCCAAAGCGGCTGTTTGGGCCGGCAGACCCAAGGCTTCAAAGTCCTTTTGCAACCGACTCGCGTCACCTTGGTTCGCGAAGCAGTCGTTGCTGGGACCGGTGAGGTTGACCCCGCGAGGATCGAAGCCGATGACATGATAGCGGTGCTTGAGCACGGTCGAAATTTCTTTGCCTCTTCTCAGCGCAAAGGCATGTCCTGACCCACCCGGTCCACCGGGGTTGATCAGGACGTAGCCGAGTTGATCCTTGAGTGGGGCGGAGGCGGGGATCATGCGCAGCGCGATCGATGCCGCTGCGCCCGAGGGCTCGGCGTAATCGAGCGGGACCGAGAGATAGGAGCAGAACGTCTCCGAGTCATCGGGGCACGGGGACCAAAAGATACCGGGCGAAGAGGGTACATGATGATGCTTTGAGGGCTGGGAGTGACACAGTCGAGCAAGCGTTGTAAGTCCTGCGGTCTATCGTCACGCGGGCAAACCCCGAAGAAGCGTCACGGTGAAGAACTGACACGGGTGCAAACTTTGCTATTGACCACACGGTTGAAGAAGAACTCCAAGCCTGAGACCATGATTCGAAAGGTCAAGAGGGCGGTCGCAAAGGCCACAAGGATAATGGCCAACGCGCCCAGAGCGTTGCTGCAGCACCTTGCCCGACGCTTGCCCGGATGAGAGGCGCCCGAATCGCAAGACCGCGTGGTCTCACCGTGGCCCTCGAGATCGAAGTCAGCCTTAATGCAGACGGCCTTGGGAGCACCAGGTGAAGCAATGGCCCCTAGGAGGGGTGATTCCGGGCGGCCCATACCAGGACTGATATACCGGCAGTATTGGTGAGGCGATGAAGAGGACTTGAGATGGCCAGGCCCACACGAACTTGGGAACCGAAGTCGAACCGGCCTTGGATGTGGGGGCGTGGGGGATAGGAGCGCTTGGAGGGAGACCGACAGCCAGTCGTAGGTGATGTTACCGCAGAGGATCGGTTGATTCTTGGTCCCAGCCGGTACACAAGACAAGTTGGGAAGTCGGTGGTATACGAGGGGTAGGATGCTCAGTCCGGACACGGACAGCTGGTAGCGGAGGAGGATCCGCGGGCGTTCCGAATAGCCATTACAAAGTGCAGATTGCGATACTACCACGCGGGGGCTTATTAAACGTCAATCGCAGTGCCGCGCGAGCTCAGCATTGCTCGTCCTTCGCAGCGGTCATCGTCGCCTCGCTCTCTCGGCTGCACTCCGCTGCACTCCCCTCACATTCGATCGACTTCTCGCCTTGACCCCTTCGACCACAAGTTCGCGAGTGATCACTGTGATGTAAGTACCTCAGTCTCTTACACTGTCCGGCACCCTGCTCGTACCCTCTTGCCTCGTCTCTCTGCGACAAGGTCGAGACGACGAAGAAAAAGGCTCGCTCTCGCCTCTTTCGAGGACAGCGACGTTCCCGGTCCCCCTCCTCGGTCTACCCAGCGATTTTCAAATGATGACCCAACTAGATGACGAGTCGGATCCTTCTCGGTGGCACCCCTGGGCTCATCATCCTTTGGGGATGACAGGGGAAGCCGGTCGGAGCAATGAGGCGATACTCTCTAGGCTACCTTATTTTACTTCTGAAAACCAAAATCGTGGCCTTTTTCAAGCCGTAGTCGAAGGAGCGGGATCAGATAAGATCCTATCGTGTCGTCTTGCGCAAGTAGCTGACGTTTTTGATCCCCACCCAATAGACCATGCCCCCTCCTTCGCTTTCCTACGCCTCTCGCTCTTCCACGACGGGGTACGACCCCACGACCCTTTCCGATGACGAGGACGACGCCTCCTCGACGACAACCTCGACGTCCCAGTCCTTCAGGGCATCCGGAATAAGTTACGATGTCGTCCTCGGTTTTGCCGATGGTCCGATCGCTTCGACGTCCTCGGTCGAGCTCGAGGATTGGAAAATTTCTAGAATAGGGGGCGAGCCAGTGCGTCCCCTTTTTGCTGCCTTGTCGTATCTCTTCCACACGTTCCTACCCTGTTCTTTGTCAATATTATGCATTCCCCACAAAGTGGAGGCCGTAATTTGGAGATCTGACCTTTCAACCTCTCCGTGTGCCCACGTGATCAAACAGACTTTCCCACCTCTCGGTTCGGCCCCTCCGACCTCTTCGACGCTTTGCCCAAGCTGCAACCGTCTGATGCGTCTCGTTACGCAAATATACTGCCCACTCGAAACGTCCCTCTACGAAAGGGTCGTCTACCTCTTCGGGTGTTCGAACAAGACCTGTCGAGGGAAAGCGACGAGCTTGAGGGCATGGAGAGCTTTGAGTAAATGGGTTGATCCGGAGGAGGTGAAGAGGAAGAAGAGGGAGGAGGAGGATCAAGTCAGGAAGGGAACGGAGGTCAAGGTCGATCTGGGGAGTTTGATATTTGGTGGCGCCGGTGGAGAAGGGGCGACGAAGGCGTTCAATCCTTTTGCTGCGCGTTCAAACTCGGCTTCACATCCTTTCGCTCCTGCGGCGTCGACATCTACGAAGCCTGTGCACGATGCTCCTCCGACGAATCTAGACCCTACCTCGCCTACTGAAACGCCCACCTTTCGTACCTGGCCTGGTCATCCTTCGATCGCTGCCCAGTATCTCGCCACATCCTACGAGCCGACCCCTTCCACCTCGGCAACAAAATCGACTCGGCAGCTCGAATCGACCTTGTCCAACCTATCGCTCAGGGATGGCGATGCAAGGACTTCCCAGCATCGAGAAGGAAAATCGGCCGGTGGCCGAACCAAGAAAGGCGCGTTTTCTGCGAGTGCCTCGAGTCGATCGACAGGGGGTGCGGAAGGGGAAGCTTACGAGGTGCAAAAGATCAAAGGGGTTGATGAGGTCTTCCTGAGATTTCAAGAACGTGTGGCAAGGGAACCTGAACAAGTCATTAGGTACGTTGGGTGGGGTAGGCACTTAAGCCCTGGTACACCGATCGAGAGATCCTCTGTGTTGACACGACCCTCGCTTTCGCATAGGTACGAATTCGCAGGTGAACCTCTACCCTTTTCCGCCAAGTCGGCACCCTACCAAAAGATCTACCAACCCTCCTCCGATGGGATCGGGATCTACTCCTCTCGTCGAGTCCCGGTTTGTAAGACTTGCAAATCTCCCAGCGCGTTCGAATACCAAGCGATGCCGAACCTTGTGAACATCCTCAATAAAGCCTCTCGGGGACGACCGAACGAAGGAGAGGAAGAAGAGGAGGACTCGTTCGATTGGGCTTCGGTGTGGGTTTTTACTTGTGCGTATGAGTGCGTGAACGAACAGAGTCAACAAGCTTGGCGGGAGGATATCATTCTTATCGAATGGGAGGAGTGAGGGGGCCAGGGCGGTGGGGGGAAAAGAACGCCGCCGAATTGCGAGCTCTAACCTCTCAACTACTGTAAGCAGTCGAACTGGGAACTCCAAGATTGTCGCATTGGACAATATGTTGCACAATGATCGTTTTCTTTAGCAACTTTTGAAACTACGCGACTTTTGCTTCTACTCAAATGGGGCCAGCGCCAGCACGTACGACAACCCGGGTTCGCGATCTCGGGATCAGGGGCGCGAAAGTAGACAATCACTAAATGATACCATTCCATTTATGACGCGACCACAAGCCCGCACAACTCCTATCTGTCGCGGAACCTCAGCGTTTGGAGCCATCGAAGCTGTCGGCTGAAATTGAGCGTGGCAGAACCCCAATCGATCAGGCACAGCGAGCCGTCGTCGCGTAGCAGGATGTTGCGTGCCTCACAGTCCCCATGGTTGATGCCGTGTCGATAAAAGCGTCGATACGCGCACTGGGAGAAAGAGACGACACGAATGGTCACAATCGTAAGGACTCGTCAGCGTTCGTCCTAACATCTACTCCAGAAACCCTGGCACGGTCTGACTACGGTCGTCAAGATCTCACTTGGCTTTCTCTTGCAGCTCCGGAGTTCTATCGGCAGCCTCGAGTCGACGGCCTCCGTAACCCAGCGCCAAAACAATCCTTCGTTGTCTGTCGGGTCGATACGTCCCATAGTAACGGGGTAGAAAAGCTCGAAGCTCGGCTGGCAACAGCGGAAAGACATGCTCATAAAAGAGCGATTCTCGAATACCCGATTCGATCTGGTCGTCGAACACCTTGAGGATCGGTCCGTTGGCATCGAAATTCGTTGCCCTTGGCCTAGTAGGTGCCCCGCCGCATCTGCTGGTGGACGTGGCACAGACCACCATCCCGAGTCCTCTTCACCGGCGGCCTTGGTCGAGCTCGTCGTGCGTAGGAGTCGAGCAACCCAAACGGCTCCGAACCCACCACGAGCAACGAACTGTGGTGCATCAAGAAACGGCAATTCGACCGGATCTCGATCTTTGCGGTTCAGCAATGACCTCTCGGAATCAGGAAAACTGCCGTTGCGGTCGCACAGGTAGCTGGACAGGTACGCGAGTAACGCTGGGGGAAGCCCAGCGAGCGCAGCAGTGGGCGGGTGGCTGGGCGGCCTCCGAGGCAGCTCTGCGCGCGGATGGACCTCGAACGTGACGGCGTCGAGGACAAAAGGGGATGGAGATTTGAGACCCAGGAAAACATTTGAAAACAGGCGCGGCTGGAGACGTAGGAACAGTTGGGAAATGGGAATTCCCGGAACTGAGTGTTACGGAGAACAAAAGAAGATTTGGCTGAACTGAGAGTCGAACTCAGGTCCACTCCATTAATCAGAGTTGCTCTGACCTCTGAGCTACTCAACCAGCGGGAATAGGCCAAAGCAGCGGCGCACCCGAGTCAAGCCGGCGGCAGTTCTCCCTCCCATTGCGGCCGGTCCACGCCAAGCTCGCGGCACGGAGTTCGGATTCCAAGATCACAGCACTGCGATTGCCCAACGGAGAGCTGACACATGACATTGACGTCGCGCTTGACCACACACAGGCGCACTTTCAGCGCCTCTACGATCTCGAGCCGCGCGATCGGGACCACGTCGAGCGACTTAGGGACGATTTCTTGGCGCCGATCAGGTCGGCGCGCACTTGCGATGACCCGAGCTCGGACCCGCTCTTTCTGCGACGACTCTCGGAAGCGCACATCGAGCTGCTGCAGCAACCCATCACCGAGGACGAGGTCGTAGCCGCAATCGCAACAACACACCCCGGTCGATCGCCGGGTCCATCTGGCGTGCCCTACGAGCTCTATCACACAGCGCCGCGGGCGTGGGCCAAGGCGCTGAGCAGGGCCTTCAACGCGATGACCGAGCGCGGCTCGCTTTCACCGAAGCAGGGGCAAGGACTCGCTCGCCTGCTCTTCAAGCACCACAAGATCGGGGCCGATCGCGCCGAGCTCTCGTCGTACCGGCCCATCACCTTGCGCGAGTGCGACTACAAGCTCTTCACCAAGGTCTACGTTGCGCGACTCAACCACGTGCTGCCGGACCTGCTCCCACCGCAACAGCACGGCTTCGTCAAGGGCCGCCGATCGGCGGACGCGTCATTCCACCTGCGACTCTTGATCGAGGAGCTGGGCGCGCGCGGCACCGAGTTCCCTGACGCGGCGCTCTTGTCTCTTGACCAATCGTCGGCTTACGACCTCGTCGAGCACGAATGGATCTTCGCCATCTTCGACGCTCTCGGCGCTCCTGCCGCCTTCCAACGCGTTCTGAGGATGCTCTACTCGGGTGACTCAACCACGGCGCGATATATCATCAACGGCTTCTTGACTCCGCCGGTGCGGCTGACGTGTGGGCTCGGCCAAGGGGACCCGGCGTCGTCGTCGGTCTGGGATGTCGTGTTCCAGCCGTTCCTGGATGCTCTGCACCGTCGAGGCATCGCGCTGAACCTCTCGCTTCCTACCATTCACCCCTACCCACAGAGCCGCGCCATTACATCCCTTGCGTTTGCCGATGACGTCGTCGTCGCCGTCGCGGGCTCGGAGTCACTCAACTTGCTCGACGACCTGGCGCTCGACTGGAGGCTCGCAACCAATGGCCGGCTCAACACCGACAAGACCGTCGTACTACCCATCGGGTGTCGCTGGGAGGCTGGCGATCGTCCGCTCGTCGTCAAGGCCGAGGGCGAGTCGCTCGAGTGGATCGGCCTATCTTTCGACCCCACCGGCAACACCGAACTCGCCAACGTGAATCTCGTCGCACGGCTCGAAGCGGTGCTCGATTCGGCACGGGACCGAGGGCTCACACACCACACCCGAGCGTTCTACGTCAACCGATACGCCATTCCCAAGATTCTGCACATCCTCTCCGCCGACATCCCACCGCTCGAGGTCGTCAAGGAGCTTGATCGCATTCTCGCCGACTTTGTCCGCGGCGGCAAGAGGAGGTCGTGCTATGGCAAGGACGTCGTCTTCACACCGAGGTTCAAGGGGGGTCTTGGGGTCATGCGGATGCAGGACGTCGTCGACTCGGTTGCGGCACGCGTCTGGGACGTGCTTCTTGGCGGTTCGGATGCGATCTGGCAGGGACTTGCGCGCGCGGCGATTGTACGAGCCCATCCCGCCCCCGACTTTGACTTGGCAACCGATGCGTGGCCTTGCGACTACACTCCGATCCGAACCGATCTACACCCAAGATGGCAGGCCGTGCTGAAGGTACCATCGACGCACAATGCGCAAGTCAAGCCGAGGACGTTGACGCTCGCGAACCTTCTCGCTCTTCCGATCAAGTTGCACACCCTTCACTACCTACCGGGAGCACCAGCTGTGTCGCGACCACCCTACGACGCCGACTATGCTGCGTTTGCCATTTACGTCAAGGTAGCGGACCTGTTTCGACGCGAGCTGTACCCGGGCGGGGGCTTTCATCTCTGGACGCCGCCGACGGATGTGGTCGTCAGCAACAGCGAATACGATCAACGGGGCCGCCCACAACGAGAGCACATCGTGGCATGGTACCGACATGCGATCAATCGATTGAGGTTCACACCAATAGCTCAACCGGTGGCGGCAGTACGAATCAACGGGCCTCCCCGAGTCCGCCCCACCACGCCGCTCGAGTCGATCCTGCCCCATCCGATCGACCCGCCGCAGCGCCTTCCGAGACCGGCTCTCCCAGACCAATCAACACAATACAACTTGCTCAGCATGGATCGGCCATACACCATCCGTCGCGTCCGCCGAGTCTTGAATGCAAAGGCCTTCACCGACACGATCGGTTTCAGGGACTCGCTGCAGCCCGACGATCTCAAGGGATTCTGGAAGGGGGTCAACTCGAAGGCATTGACGGCGAGGGAACGCGAGGTGTGGTTCAAGCTCGTCAGGAACTTCACCCCGACTCGGAGTCTGCAGTTTCATCAAAAGCACGACGACTCGCCCGCGTGCCTCGTCTGTGGAGCGCCCAAGGACGATCGGGAGCACTACTTCTTCGACTGCGTTGACTCTAGGAACGTTTGGATCGCGGCAAGGGGCGTGCTCTGCGACGCACTGGGGCTCGACACGATCGACAACACGCATTACACGGCCGTTCAACGCATGTTCGGACTTCCGAAGCTCAAGGCCAGTCTGCGCGATCAGGAAGGAGCGGGGAGGACGATCGAAATATTCACCGGGCTGGTCTTGGAGATGATCAGCAGCGGGAGGTGGGGGATGCAGAAGTGGGGGACGAGGCTGGAGGGTGTTGGGAGGAGGAGGATCATCTTGGAGGAGAGGTTGAAGCTGAGGGCGGGAGGAGCTTGGGGGAGGAGAGGGCAGTAGAGGCTGGGTTCGACTTTCCCCCCACCACCACACACACACACACCAAATTCTCGTGACATCATTTTCTCCTACTGTACACTAAATAGCTCGCTTTCCTCTTTCTTTTGTTACAGGTTCACCGTTGCGGATCATGAACCATCTCGCGATTTGGCGTCGACTCGGTGTGGCTCGCGCTCTTCGGCTTCGGGGTTCTGAGTCAAGGGAGGGATCAGCGGACACAGGCAGAAAGTCGGCTTTGAGGGGCCAGGGACTGCCGAGGGGGAGGTTTTGAGGGACCTTCACCGCGTCTTGTTGTGACTGAGCAGAGACTTGGAGCGTCGAGGGTCGTGGTGGTTGCGCAGTCGTGCTCTTGTCTTCGTCTCGACCGAGTGGGAAGTGGCTGTGGGGTGGGCCTTCTGTCGTTAGTACATTTCTTTTCTTTCTCTTTCTCTTTCTCTTCATCTCTCTTTCTCTCTCTCATTCGTCTCCTGGGGGGGAGCAACCGCTTGGCTAGGGCATTTGAATCCGAATCTCGGATTGGTGGACTTGGCTCGTTTCTCGCACTTTTGCGGGCGGTTTGTGTTATCATCGTAGTCTTCCATCTAGTTTTTCCGTAGGCCGAAACAGGGGGAACAGGAATTGGGGGCAATATGATGAACGTTTTCTACAAAAAAAAAAAAAAAAAAAATCGGCGGCAGCGGCGATGCAGGTCGAGGTGACGAAGGTGGACAGAGGGAAAGGAAGAGGGGTAGCTGAGGAAAAACGATGGTCCGACCACGAGCCCGAGGACGATGTCCTGCCCGCCCTTCCCCTCTTTGAGGACGTCACCACCGCCAAGAGCGCCTCGACCTCGACTACCCATTAATGATCAAGCACACCATCATCACCTGGAACGTAAGAAGGGGCATGGGGGTCCCGGAAAAACGACGTAATATCTACACCTACCTTTCCACATTCAAAGCTTCCGCGATTCTCTTACAAGAGCATTTCATCAGACCACAATTCTGGCAGCTCATCAAGGACGAGTACGAGGGCAAGCTCTTCATCAACCAGCACTGCCTGACCCTGATCCCGGCCGACTCGCCCCTGATCGACGCCGAGCTCTTGCGCACCCACTCGGCACTCGACGGCCGGCTCCTCGTCACCTCCTTTCGTCTGCGGGGCGACATCAAAATTCTAGAAATCAATAACCTCTACGCGCCCGTTGACCCAAAACAACGAGCAAAATTCTTCGACAAACTGATCCTCCACAAAACACAGAAATCCCACCTCCGACTCCTTGGCGGCGATCTCAACGACTGCCCGCGCCCAGAAGTCGATCGGCGGAACCAAAGTCGGCGCGGCCACCACTGGCCGATTCTGATGGGCAAGCTCGACTCGGCCTACACGGACTGCATCCGCTACAAGCACCCCATCACCCCATCTTTCACTCGACCTAATCCCAATCGCAAGCGACCCAACTCCTTCTCCCGGCTTGACTACTTTCTCCTACAAAGAGCTCACCAAAAAAGGCTCGACCAGGCCTCGACGATCTACGACTATCCCAAGGATCTTTCCGATCACCGACCGGTCTTGATCGTACTGGCTCTCTCAGACGATCTTGATGCGGCTCTCCCACAGCTCAGCCTACCTACCACATCCAACCAACTACATCGAATCAATACCACAACCTTCAAGACGGTGGAATTTCAGCGGATGATGGAAGGATGGTTGGAAGGGGCAAGCGGGGAGGATCCGGTGCGAGAGCTTGAGGAGGTTCTGGAGGCGTGCAGGGACAGGGGTGGGGAGATGGCGAGGAGGCTGCATCGGGAGCGGACGGAACGGATGGAGTATTTGGTGGGGAGGGTGCAGGATCTGGAGGCGTTACCGGTATGGGGGGAGGCGGAAACGGCAGAATGGACAAGGACGTCCGAGGAACTCAAGCGGGCGGTCGAGGAGCGCGCGCGCCTACTCCGGATCCGAGCCCACGTCCCCGAGATCGCTTCCGAGGAACGACTGTCGCGGCCGGTCCACGCCAAGCTCGCGGCGCGGAACTCGGACTCCAAGATCACAGCACTGCGCTTGGGCAACGGAGAGCTAACGCATGACATTGATGTCGCTCTTGACCACACGCAGGCGCATTTCCAGCGCCTCTACCACATCGAGCCTCGTGATCCGGAACGCGTCGACCGACTTCGGGACGAACTCCTCGTGCCGATCAGGGCGGCACGGACTTGCGACGACCCGCGCTCAGATCCGCTCTTTCTGCGCCGACTCTCGGAAGCGCAGATTGATCTCCTCCAGCAACCCATCACCGAGGACGAGGTCGTGGCCGCGATCGGGACGACGCACCCGGGGCGATCGCCGGGCCCGTCGGGCGTGCCTTACGAACTCTATCAGACCGCACCGGAGGCGTGGTCCAAGGTGCTGACCAAGGCCTACAACGCGATGATCGAGCGCGGTTCACTCTCTCCCAAGCAGGGCCAGGGACTCGTGCGCCTCATCTTCAAGCGCCACAAGAAGAATGCCGATCGCGCCGAACTCTCGTCGTATCGCCCCATCACCCTGCGCGAGTGCGATTACAAGATTTTTACCGAGGTCTACGTCGCCCGATTGAACCAAATTCTGCCCGATCTCCTCCCGCCGCAGCAGCACGGCTTCGTCAAGGACCGCCGATCGGCCGACGCTGCACTACACCTTCGTCTCCTGATCGAGGAACTTGGCGCGCGCAGGACCGAGTTCCCCGCGGCCGCGCTCTTGTCTCTTGACCAATCATCCGCCTACGACCTCGTCGAGCATGACTGGATCTTTGCCATTTTCGACGCTCTGGGCGTTCCTACCACCTTTCTTCGCGTGCTGAGGATGCTCTACTCGGGTGACTCGACCTCGGCGCGCTACATCATCAATGGGTTCCTGACGGCGCCGGTGCGACTGACGTGTGGGCTCGGCCAAGGGGACCCGGCGTCATCGTCGGTCTGGGACATCGTGTTTCAGCCGTTCCTGGATGCTCTACACCGTCGAAACATCGCGCTGAATCTCTCCATACCTGCACTTCATCCGTACCCACAGAGCCGCGCCATTACATCACTTGCATTTGCCGATGACGTTGTCGTCGCCGTCGCGGGCTTGGAGTCACTCAACTTGCTCGATGACCTGGCGCTCGACTGGAGGCATGCAACGAATGGCCGGCTCAACACGGACAAGACGGTCGTCCTACCGATTGGACGTCGCTGGGACCCTGGGGAACGGCCAATCGTCGTCAAGGCCGCAGGCGAGTCGCTCGAGTGGATCGGCCTCCCCTTCGACCCCAGCGGCGACACCGAACTCGCCTACGCGAATCTCATCGAACGGCTCGAGGCGACGCTGGAAGCGGTTCAGCATCGCTGGCTCACGCACCACACCCGTGCCTTTTACGTCAATCGGTACGCCATTCCCAAGATCCTGCATTTCCTTGCAGCCGACATCCCGCCGCCCGAAGTCGTCAAGAAGCTCGATGACATGCTCGTCGATTTCGTCCGTGGGGGCAAGGGCAGGACCAGCTACGGCAGAGACATTGTGTTCACCGCCAAGAACAAGGGGGGACTCGGGGTGATAAGGATGCGGGACGTTGTGGACGCGGTTGCGGCACGGCTCTGGGACGTTCTTCTCGGCGGTTCCGGCGCGATTTGGCAAGGACTTGCGCGCGCAGCACTCCAGCGAGCTCAGCCCGACCTCGACCTGGCCACCGATCTCTGGCCACATCCATCCACTCCCATCCCCAACGACCTTCATCCCCGATGGCACGCCGCACTGGGCGTTCCGAAACTTCACGACGTGCAGGTCAACCCGAGGGCCTTGACCACCGCGAACCTGCTCGCGCTGCCCACCCTGCTCGGCAGCCTCCACACCCCCATCAGAGGGAGACAGACCATCGACGCGGTTCATGTACCTGACTACCTTCGTCTCCAGGGCTACCCGAAGGTGGCGGATCTCTATCGGCGCGAGTTGTATGCGGGTGGGGGGTTTCACCTCTGGACGCCGCCGGCGGATGTGCTCGGCGACAACAGCGAGTACGATCGACGCGGGCTCCCGCAGCGACTGGCAATCGCGGCCTGGTACCGGTTCACTGTCGATCGACACAAGAACACCCCCTTGGCGGCGGCGGTGGCGGCGGGACGACTCAACGTGCCTCCCCGGATCGGCACCAGCGCACCACTCGAGGCGATCATCCCCAAGCCCGTGGCCCGCTTCGCAATGGAGCAGCGCCTTCCGGACCCGGTGCTTCCACAACAGGCGAGCCAGTATACGCTGCTGAACATGGCTCGCCCCTACACAGTCCGTCGCATCCGCCGGGTCCTGAACGCGAAGGCATTTACCAACATGCTCGGGCTCAAGGGACCACCGCAGCCGGACGACCTCAGGAGCTTCTGGAAGGCGGTCAACTCGAAGGCACTGACAGCGAGGGAGAGGGAAGTTTGGTTCAAGCTGATCCTCCGCTTCACCCCGACGCGCAAGCTCCAGCACGAGCAAAAGCATGTCACTTCTCCCGCGTGCCTCGTGTGCGAAGCGCCGGTGGACGACACCGATCACTACTTCTTCGGCTGCGTCGACTCGCGGAACGTCTGGACCGCGGCAAGGGGCGTGCTCTGCGACGCGCTCGGATGCGACACGATCGAGGACGCCGAGTACACGACACTACAACGACTCTTTGGCCTCCCCAAGCTCAAGGCCAAGCTCAGCGAACAGGAAGGCGCAGGCAGGACGATCGAGATCTTCACGGGGATGGTCTTGGAGATGATCAGCAGTGGGAGATGGAGGATGCAGAAGCACGGGACGAGGATGGAAAGCCTGGAGCGGAGGAGGGTGGTACTGGAGGAGAGGATGAAGTTGAGGGCGGGGGGAGCAAGGGGCGGGCGAGGGCAGTAGAGGCTGGGTTCGATTTCCCCCCACCCCATCCCACACTCACACACCCCACATCACACATCCTCTTACAAAAACTGTATACTAAATATATTTTCTTCATCTTTCTTTCTTTTATTACAGGTCTGCCTCCGTTGCTCATGGACCGGCTCGCGATTTGGGATTGACTCGACGGTGGCTCGCGCTCTTTGGCTTCGGGGTTCTGAGTCAAGGGAGGGATCAGCAGACACAGGCAGAAAGTCGGCTTTGAGGGGCCAGGGACTGCTGAGGTGGAGGTTTTGAGGGGCCTCCACCGCGTCTTGTTGTGACCGAGCATAGACTTGGGGACTTCGCGGGTCAGGGTAGCTGCGCAGTCGCTCTCCTGTCTTTGTCTCGACCGAGTTGGGAAGTGGGTGCGGGGTGGGCCTCTTGTCGTTAGTACGCCAGTTCTTTTTCATTTTCTCTCTTTCTCTTCTCTCTCTCATTCGTCTCCTGGGGGGGAGCAACCGCTTGGCTGGGGCACTTGAATCCGAAGTATCGGATTGGTGGACTTGGCCCGTTTCTCGCATCTTGCGGGCGGTTTGTGTTATCATCGTCGACTTCCATCTAGTTTTTCCGTAGGCCAATCAGGGGGAACAGGAATTGGGGGCAATATGATGAACGGTTTCTACAAAAAAAAAAAAATTGTACGAGCCCATCCCGCCCCCGACTTTGACTTGGCAACCGATGCGTGGCCTTGCGACTACACTCCGATCCGAACCGATCTACACCCAAGATGGCAGGCCGTGCTGAAGGTACCATCGACGCACAATGCGCAAGTCAAGCCGAGGACGTTGACGCTCGCGAACCTTCTCGCTCTTCCGATCAAGTTGCACACCCTTCACTACCTACCGGGAGCACCAGCTGTGTCGCGACCACCCTACGACGCCGACTATGCTGCGTTTGCCATTTACGCCAAGGTAGCGGACCTGTTTCGACGCGAGCTGTACCCGGGCGGGGGCTTTCATCTCTGGACGCCGCCGACGGATGTGGTCGTCAGCAACAGCGAATACGATCAACGGGGCCGCCCACAACGAGAGCACATCGTGGCATGGTACCGACATGCGATCAATCGATTGAGGTTCACACCAATAGCTCAACCGGTGGCGGCAGTACGAATCAACGGGCCTCCCCGAGTCCGCCCCACCACGCCGCTCGAGTCGATCCTGCCCCATCCGATCGACCCGCCGCAGCGCCTTCCGAGACCGGCTCTCCCAGACCAATCAACACAATACAACTTGCTCAGCATGGATCGGCCATACACCATCCGTCGCGTCCGCCGAGTCTTGAATGCAAAGGCCTTCACCGACACGATCGGTTTCAGGGACTCGCTGCAGCCCGACGATCTCAAGGGATTCTGGAAGGGGGTCAACTCGAAGGCATTGACGGCGAGGGAACGCGAGGTGTGGTTCAAGCTCGTCAGGAACTTCACCCCGACTCGGAGTCTGCAGTTTCATCAAAAGCACGACGACTCGCCCGCGTGCCTCGTCTGTGGAGCGCCCAAGGACGATCGGGAGCACTACTTCTTCGACTGCGTTGACTCTAGGAACGTTTGGATCGCGGCAAGGGGCGTGCTCTGCGACGCACTGGGGCTCGACACGATCGACAACACGCATTACACGGCCGTTCAACGCATGTTCGGACTTCCGAAGCTCAAGGCCAGTCTGCGCGATCAGGAAGGAGCGGGGAGGACGATCGAAATATTCACCGGGCTGGTCTTGGAGATGATCAGCAGCGGGAGGTGGGGGACGCAGAAGTGGGGGACGAGGCTGGAGGGTGTTGGGAGGAGGAGGATCATCTTGGAGGAGAGGTTGAAGCTGAGGGCGGGAGGAGCTTGGGGGAGGAGAGGGCAGTAGAGGCTGGGTTCGACTTTCCCCCCACCACCACACACACACACACCAAATTCTCGTGACATCATTTTCTCCTACTGTACACTAAATAGCTCGCTTTCCTCTTTCTTTTGTTACAGGTTCACCGTTTCGGATCATGGACCATCTCGCGATTTGGCGTCGACTCGGTGTGGCTCGCGCTCTTCGGCTTCGGGGTTCTGAGTCAAGGGAGGGATCAGCGGACACAGGCAGAAAGTCGGCTTTGAGGGGCCAGGGACTGCCGAGGGGGAGGTTTTGAGGGACCTTCACCGCGTCTTGTTGTGACTGAGCAGAGACTTGGAGCGTCGAGGGTCGTGGTGGTTGCGCAGTCGTGCTCTTGTCTTCGTCTCGACCGAGTGGGAAGTGGCTGTGGGGTGGGCCTTCTGTCGTTAGTACATTTCTTTTCTTTCTCTTTCTCTTTCTCTTTCTCTTCATCTCTCTTTCTCTCTCTCATTCGTCTCCTGGGGGGGAGCAACCGCTTGGCTAGGGCATTTGAATCCGAATCTCGGATTGGTGGACTTGGCTCGTTTCTCGCACTTTTGCGGGCGGTTTGTGTTATCATCGTAGTCTTCCATCTAGTTTTTCCGTAGGCCGAAACAGGGGGAACAGGAATTGGGGGCAATATGATGAACGTTTTCTACAAAAAAAAAAATGGGAGCTGCGGCGGGCGGACTGGTGCGCGGCCACATTGACTTCTACTCCGGCTTCCGCCAGGATCATGTAACGAGTGCTGATGATCACGCCGAATCGGACTGGGAGTTCAATGATCTGGCCAGTCCGCTCATCCCGCTCAACAGTAGATATCATCAAGAAGGCGAGCTGCGCAGGATCGAATGATCAGCTCTCAAATTTGTAACTTTCATCGCCGCAACCTGTTGCTGACCTTGTTGAGCATTCCCTCGGCGCCATAGCTTTCTTTACCCAGATCGAGCGGGATCGGATCCTTTTGGTACAAATGAAATTTGCACCCACGTGCGAGTAGGTTGCGCTCTAGACCAAACGACAAGAAGCTTGAATCGTCTTCAAACGACATGGCCATACGGGACAGCTTCTTGACCCGAGCGTAGTAACCCTGCCGTATACGCTTCAGAGTGAACGTGATACCACCAGCTGTTTGATTATGGGCGTCACCGTCGAGTCGGGGTTCGAAGCCGAGGAACTCGGCACCGCGACTGGCCCTTTCCTCTTTCGTGAGACCTCTCCCATTGTACCGCCGAAGCAGAGCAATAGTAAGAGGCTCAAAGAATCGAATGCGCAAGTCATGAACGGTCGCCGTGCACGCCGGAGTATTGGTGCATATTGTTCGACCTTGCGCCAGCTTGTTGCGATGCAGCGCCTCGACGTGGCCCTTGACGCGATCCAATAGGTCGTGCTCGACGAGGAAACTCTCTAGAGCCTTCTCAACGCGACCTTCGAGCGAGTTGTCCTTGATCGCTGCGACAGGTCGTTGCCACTTTGGATCGAGCCGAGGCGGTGGCTCAAAGTAGGGGATGTGCTCGCCGCTGACGGAGCAGTTCAGTCGGTCTTGCCCGTAGCAACGCGTGTGCAGAAGGTAGTCATTCTCCCGGAGGAGTGAGTATGGCGTCCGGAAAAGCTTTTTGTTTGTCGAAGGCATGTTGTTGGCGAGATAGTGACGAATTGATCCGAGTCGCCCGCCGCGGACCTGTTTTCAAACGTCAAGACTGCAGCGGTTGACCTTGATCGCGGCCGGTTGCCCGCTTTGTTGTCAGAGGTAACCAGAGAGAGTGAGCGAGTACGGGAGAGTACGCGCGCTTCGAGCGGGCGCCTGCCCAAATGCGAAAGAATGCGAATGGCTTGCGCGCCACTAACTACACGCGCCACCCTCAACCGCACGGAATCCAGGTGGCTATAATCCGCAACGATGACCATCTGAAAAATCTAGATGCTTTCCTGCTGGATCCCTGAAGCTCTTTAGAGCTGGAGGTTTGTTCAAGGAGAATCGGACGGCGCGAGCGCCGAGCTGGCGGGCGCCGGGCGCCGGGCGGCGGCTCCGGCAGTGGGCACAGGCCCCCGCGCATGTCTGTTCAGCTTTAGCGGTAAGAGTTCCACGCTCATTGTTCAAGCGCGCATCCGTGCATTCTAGTCCTGACTCAGCGTCAGCCGCGCTTTTCCCCTCCGATGTCTCGATCGGATGCCAATGGGGTTCTCGAGCGCGGGAAGGGAATCGCGACCTTCCTTGTGTATCTTTCGGTTTGTTTGGTTGTGTTGGGATGAGGAAGATGATTAATCTTCCTGGACGAGACCCTGGGATGATGCGTACACCCCAATTCCCGAGCCCTCGGTTCGGACAGGCGCCCTGGCGCCGGACGCGTACCACAGGTCACGCCCCCCACATTCACAACCAAAGAAACACAGCGAAAGATGCCTACGTTACAACGCATTCAGGCTCTAACCGAATCGAATGCAAGCTTGCCAGCCTTGCTCAGCACTGGGATCGCAATCTCCTTGTGCCGCCGCCAATACCTGTCAAAGGCATTCGATGACCAACGGCCAAGGTTTCGGATGTGATCCGTGTGTACACCTTCTCAAAGGTAAAACGTGGCCCCACCGGACCTAAAGGAGTGGTTATTCAAGGGCGCCCTTCCGCTCGCCTCGAGAATGTCTCTGATTCGTCGCGAGAACGCCGAGGAGGTCAGCTGTCGATGACCTCCCTCGCGCGCCCGATATGAGAACAACCGCCCTGGTGGAGGGTCGTTTAGGCGGAAATGGTTATCGATGCCACCGACCGGGCAGAAGGGCTCGCCGTCTCGCGCCGAGACTACCAGCGTGCGGCCGACACGCCGGCGCACCTTGTCGAACGGGAGGTCCAACTCGTATCGGAGAGGAGCTTCGCTCGTCGCATCGATCCGGCGTGCATTGGCCACCGCTAGATGCCGCTCGGCTATGAACTCTTCGTCCGCCGAACCCGCTGTAAACTCGCCCAATCTCGCCATCGCGAAGAACGCCGCACACGCTGCAGCAAACACGGCCGTATCGAACGGACTGCACTTATCGATCCCCGCGGCCAAGCACCTGAGGTCGTCCAAAGTCGCCGCCAATCGGTTTGGGGCCTGGAGCTGTGGCCGCAGCCGCAGCCAGTTGCATCGTCCACATCTTCGGATCATAGTTCATACGCAGCCCATGCGTCGTGTGCCAAAATTCTAGGGCGGTACGGAATCGGCGGAAGTGGCTGACGCTATAGGCTCCGACGCCATTTCCCGACAACGCGATCCGAGTGAGAAATCGCCTGACGACGTCAGGATGTGCGGGGAATCGATCCCTCCGGTCGACCAAGGAGCGGACGTTGGACCGGAGTCGTCGGTGTGAGAACGAGGATTCGGTTGATGCCTCGATACGCCTTGGCGAACGCGGCGCACAGCCGCTCCTCCGGCGTGCAATTCGTGGATGAAGCCATCGGGGCCATTTCGTTCCCGTCTGCCTCAGGTAGGTAAACGACGATGTCCCCCGAATGGGAACTGCGCAACATCGGCAATCTTGGGTTCGACGTCGACGTGAATCCCAAACAAGTCCCTGGACTACAATCTAGTTTCACAATCGGAGGTGGCGCCGCAGCCGGTGCTCCATCGCGCAGCGCCGAACTCGACGCGTCGGCCCGACCGGTGAGCGCTCTTCCAGACTTGAACGCGCGCTCCCTAACGGCCATCGTCGGGTACGGAACGGCTCGTTGACGAAGCCTCGACGCGGCTCGTGAATCCTCGAAAGACATCTGTATTTTCCAGACGGCGTGCGACCCCCTCGTCTGACAAAGTGTGGGGGGAGGCCGAACGTGCCAAGCACGCGCCTACGCTCACGCGATTCTCTCGCGGCGGAGACGGGATAGGACCGGATAACCGCACAGCCGCAACCGAGGCATAAGAGCGCGGCTCTTGAGTCATGATAGCGTGACATTGACAAAACAGGACGCAAGAGGGTTCGACCTCACAAACAAGCAAAGGTACACGACCTCGCAGACACAGGGATACGCAACTCCGTACGAACGAGGCTCCACCTTCCACGAAGGGAGTCAGATATCTCAGCCTATCGCCCACAGGGGCTCTCCCGCCGCCAGCAGCAACTCGCGCCCCGCCGAAACTTCGACAGTGGGTGCGCGATCATGAACGGGAACGGTTCGTACTACCGCGGGCGGTCTGGCTGCCGGGACACGACGTCCGCGGGGTTCACCTTCGTGTTGATGTATTAAATCGACCACTTCACACCTCGAGTTTCCTCAAGGCTGCGCAGGTTTGAAAGCGACGAGTTCAACAAGGGATTCATCGAATGCCCTTTCCTCCATCCAAGCACAACCCCGGTGTTGTCGCATTGTAGAACGAAATGTCTATCGTCTTTAGACATTCGTAACGCAGCCTCGGCCAGCGCCTCGACCGCCCACGCCTCTGCGTCCGTGATCGAGACCGAGTGTCGAGGCGGTGGCAGATCCGTCCACCCCTCGGGGAGAGCGAAGTACGCGGAGTATCCGTTGATGACGATGCCTAGTCCGTGCATACAGGCATCCCACGCTAGCGCAAGCTTCGATGGGATCGGGAGGGCCTCGAACGACGTGGAGAATGGGCCTTCCGACGAGAGGGACCTTCTCCAGTATTCGAGTTGATCGTACGTGCGACGGTCCAGGCGACGCGCCCGCGATACCGCCTTCCGGTCCCCGTGCGCGATACACTGTCTGTATAGACAGTTGAGATGGGTCCGTAATGCAGGTAGGATGTAGGCGACATACCCCAACGACCCAGTGACCGACTCGACCTCCGAGCGTTCCTTCTGATCGGCGCAGCTACCTTTCACCAAGGCGTCGATGTAGCGCATCCGCTTCTGATCGGTGACCCTCGCAGTCATTAGAACCAAATCCCAGTCAATCCCGACGTGGAAAAACTGACACGTCCACGTGAATCCTTTCTGCTCCGCGAGGCGCCAGCCGAGGGATCGTACGAAATGAAGAATGGCTTCTTGCGATATGGCATCCCCATTCGACCAAGTCTTGGGTCAGGTCCGCAACGTTCCCAAAGACACCGGGAGTAGTCCTGCCACCGAAGCATGGGACTCGTCGTACGAAGATGAGGCCGCGCCACAAGATGCACATGCTCGATCGCTGGTCCCATCGCAAAGGGAGCTGGTAGAACGCATCGGCGAAATCCCAACCGCAGACTTCCGCCGTCAAGGGAAGCTCGCGAAACTTGCGGTACAACATGGGCAAGGTCGTCCAACGGCAAGGGAAATCCGCAGATTTCAGGTCGTCATTAATGGAAACGAGTTTCGGACGGCTAGACGAAGCATTCCGTTGCGACGGTCCATGCCCGCTCGTCGACGGATGATTCGCTTCATCAGGGTCTGTGGTTCGAACGATCGGTTTCGCCTTCGGGTAAGACCGGCATTCCGGGCGCTACTGACTTCGGCACATAGCTGATCGGATTCGTGCGGAAAGGACCGACCGCGGCCTCGAGCTCGTCCTTGTCGTACGGGCCCGCGATGTACCCGAGATCGAGCATGCGCTCCATCTCGCCGTCCATGACCAGTTGTTGCTCCTCACTGAGCGGTGCGTTCTTCGCGATGTGACGCTCCGACGGAGGGTCCTTGATGCCGAAATCAAAGCCCTCTCGGATCTGCTTCGGTATAGCGGCCAGGTACGGCGCGACGTGCGGGACCTTTGCGAGTGCCTTAATTTTGGCTTCGAACGCACCAGCATCGAGCGGCGTAACAATCTTGTACATCGCATCATGGAACTAGTCGACTTCGCGAGCCATGATTCGCATGCGAGCGGAAGTTTCGGGCGCTGGCGACGAGCCCGGCGCGGGCATTGAAGACACGAACGGGACATCTCCTTTCGGTTAGCGGGTGCGGACGTGAGGAAGCGCGAACGGCGAGGGATTCGACCCCTGAACGAGAGAACGGAGGCACGCGACGCGATGCCCGAGAGGTAACGACCTCACAAAGGGCCGCAGAAGCGGTTCGAATCGTTCGGGAAACGAGTATTTACCGTGCGGTGAGGACCAAATTCGAGGCGAGCCGGGAGCGAGAATCGGAGACGGAGTCGAGAAAGACGGGTTCGAGTGGAGCCCTGCCCACCCCGTGGATGGGCAGTTCGGTGATGCTCGGAGAGTCCGCCGGAGCAGCGGTTAGCGGGTGCGGACGTGAGGAGGCGCGAACGGCGGGGGATTCGACCCCTGAACCAGAGAACGGAGGCACGCGACGCGATGCCTGAGAGGTAACGACCTCAGAAAGGGGCACAGGGCCCGTCGGGACCAGGCATCTACACGTACGCGGACATGAGGCGGAAGTGACGGCACGACACGAGAAGAGGGAAAGGTTGGTGATACAGACGCGCCAACTGGGTCATGCGGACCCGACGTGGGTATAAGCCTCGTGCTGGCCTTTACAGAAAGAACACGCGTGTTCACGAACGCTGGTGCAGGCTGCCGCTCGCGGCAGCCGCAGCGCTGAGCGGAACCACCGAAGTTACGACTACCGCTGCAGGCGCACCACTACAGGTTTGAGGAGAGGAAGAATCGGCTTCCAATCCTCGTCCCCCAGCGTTGCGGCCTCCATGGCTTGAATGCGGCCACGCGCCTGGATGAGATCGTCCACCGGGCGCTCCATCGCCCGGGCCTACGATGACTGTTGCTCGGCCGCGAGCTCAGCCCACTTCGAGGGCACGTTGAGGGCAGCCGAGACGCGAGCGCGTGAGCCATGATCGACTGGTCGAGAGGTCCGACACCCTTTATCTTCGAGACCTTGAATCCCGACCACCACAAAGAACGAACCATCAAGTCGTATTTCCGCATGATGTACCAGTTCGAGTCACAGGTCCGCATCGCAACGGACTCCGAGTGGCGGTCAAACATCTCCGAAGGCAACTGTGCGCCTCGGACGATGGTCGAGGCCGTCATCGGGGCGACCATTGATAAGGAGCACATAGGAACAGCGCGCGTCCTGCCAATATGCGTGCGCGGCAGGCAACCGTCGAAGACCAGACCCGCCTCCTACCACGCGTTGAGACCCACACCATAGTTCAGACTCATCTTTACTTGTTGGTGTCATGACAGACACGACATCGGAACAAAGCGCCATCGTAAGTGGTACACGCCGTCGTGTCTAGGGCGCCGGAGAGTTGCATCGGGGGCAATTGCGGGGCCGTCGCGGCGTGGTCGTTGGTTGAGGTCGAAGCAGTCGTCATTGCCGGTACTGACAGGGTTGAAAAGTTTCGCGAGTGTAGAGGCAATGAGCACTGCCGTTCGAGCGAAACGAATAAGGTGCAGAAGCGAACAGGCATTTCTCTCGCCTTACTTCACTCTAAGCGCATGCGCGCCACCCCCAGGGGGGCGGCCCACCCGTATCCTAGCCTCTCAGGAGCGCTCAGCGTATTTTCCTAGCCTCTCCGGAGTGCTCAGCGTATTTCCTAGCCTCTCCGGAGCGCTCAGCGTCCTAGGTCTCTCCGTGAGTTCCTCAGAGCCTCAGCCTCTGCGAGTACCTTGCGTCCGCGCCGCTTACCCTCTCCTCGGTTCCGCACCGTCGACACATTCTGGGACCAGCTCGCTGCTCCAGCACTGCCACCCTCTGCCAAGGGTCAGTTGGTCCTCCAACATTGGATCCTCATCCAAGCGATCCGTCGCTCACCCCGTAATCTCCTTCATCAGGACCTTACAGCAGCCCGCTGCTCTCCAGAAACCCTCGACGCACGCACGCCTGCCACGCGCTCGAGGTAAGTGTTCAGAATACGCTCGGCTAGTTGCACGACGTACTCATAGCTCACTTGCCGTGCAGTAGTTCCCCGCGACCTCTCTGTACGATCTCTACCCTTTCCTGGATCGCCCTAGTTGGGCGCACCAAACTAACGCATAGCATCCCATAGGCTACCGTCCGCGGAGTCTTCCCGGACGCTCGTTCAATTGTATTGAACGCCTGCGCTACGCCTCGCAAAGGTATGCTACGCCGTGTCTCTGTCATAGTTGCCCTGTTACTTATCATCCCCGATCGCTACGCCTCGCAAAGCGACCTCTCGGTCTCTTAAGCTTCCCGCCCACCTTCCCTATTTACACTCTAATGTCTCTTTCTTACTTTGATACATTTCTATAGTGACCGAGTTGTTAGTTACGACACGGTCCCTTTCGGTTTCTCGAGCCCCGCTGCAACATGACATGACCTCTCTCGCTAAAAATCACTGTGCAAGCGGCTTTGGAGAGTTGAAGGCCAGCAGCCGCCAGCCAGCCGGCACAAGCCGGCACACTCCGGCACAGACCTGCAGAGACCGGCGCGGAACTCCCGCGTCGTTCCCTCTAACCTTTTCTTTGTCCCTCATTACATTTTGGTCACACTCATTCAAGGAGAAACCCTCGCCACTATGCCCCGGTCCCAAGGTCGCCAGGGAGGGCCATCGCAACCTCGCCGAGTCTTGGGCGCAAGGGTAGCGCCGTACCATGGGAGTGCCATAGGAGTACCATGCCATGGGCCTGCTCGAGCGCCCGCTGCTGCTTCGCCTCAGCGCCTTGCCAGTGCCTTGCCTCCGCGCGCTTTCGCCTCGGCGGGCGCCCCGCGGCTCGACCCTCCTCTTCCTCCCGCTCTGATCAACAGAATCAGCCCCCCGCGTGTCATGACAACAATTTAACCGATCTTGGTATTGCGACACGTTTACGAGCCCGCCGTGCAGCTGTGCAGAACGGACAACGTGGTCAGCGCGATGGCCGACCCGACGCTGAGCTCGCCCCACCACCACCTCCTCCGCAAAGGCGCGTGCGCCGGGCTCGAATCGCGCTCAAAACCCCCTCAAGCCCCATGTTTCGATCCGCGACTACCTCGGCCCCCAGACGGCCGTGTGCACCCATTGCAAGGCTCGACACTGGGAGTGCGAAAGGACAAAGTCGACCGGACACTTCAGCACGTGCTGCTCGCAGGGCAAGGTGCGGCTATCTCCCCCTCCCCAGCCCAATCTTGAAGGCTCGGATAGCGGTCAGTTGCTCCGTCCAACAACATTCGTCTGCATTATACCCACATGCTGAACTGTGCGACCCACGCGCACAGAAGCTAAAGCATTTCGCGAGAACTCCCGGTCCTACAACAACGCGCTGTCTTTCACGTCGCTCGCAACTCACTTCGACCAGACACGACTGAGCACTCTAGGACCCCCCGTGTTTCGCGTGTTCGGTCGCCTCTATCATCGACTTGGCGCCCTGATCCCTGCCGTGAATCAACGCCCAGCCTTTGCTCAGACATGGCTCATCGACCCGGCCGAGGCCACTGACACTCGACTTGGACCCGACAGCGCAGACAGTTGCATACAAAGATCTACGTTGACCAAGCTCAAGTCCAAGTTGGGTACCGACAATCGCTTTGTGAGGAAGTTTGCATGGCCAAAGCTTGCGCAAGTCTCGCGCAGGTTGGGATACGGCCAAAGACTGGATCCTGCGCCTCTGCCTACCGCCAGGCCGAGACCGACGCACCCACACCCTTCCTACGTCAAGCACGGAAATGGCGATGCTTATCTGCGATTCCGACACCAACACGGGAGATTGTGGACCGCAAGGCCTTATTCTCCAGGTGCACGGTGATCGATGCCTCAATGGTCGGCCCGAGTACAAATCGTCAGCTCGCTCCATCCGTCTGCGATGCCTCTCCGGTACACACTACACTTCCCCGCGCGGGAAGATGGCCTCCACCCCAACCCTCCTCTTTGCGGATTCAACCAAGTTGGGCCACTCTTCGCCAAAAGACCGCGACGAAGAGGATGGAGACGAGGAGGAAGGGGACGAAGAGAATGATGATGGTGAACGTAAGCGTCTTCGGCTCCTTCTCGGGTGTTCCATTCTGTTAAGGCGCGAGCACAGACTGACATTGAATGTTTCAACACCTAGGACGAAGTTCAAGTAAAGGGGGCCGAGGTGGCGAGTCTTGCGTTCACAATTCTTTGCGTACTACTTGCACAAACGCGACAAGCCCGCATGCCAATCAACGTTCCATCCCGGAGTTCGTGATCGAGGGATACTCCTAGGTCGAGACCGATCGACTCAACTACATCCAGTTGCATCAAGAAAACCTACGCCTCACCACGACCCAAGGCATCAACGGTTTGACCCCGGACCAAATTGGACGCTCGATGACCTTGGGCTCGACGTTCAAGAATAGACCGCACATCACGCGGCGATACCAGGATGCGATGGCGTGCGTTGTCAAACATGGAAAGCCTCCGCTGCTCATCATGATGACGTGCGACCCCGAATCACAGGCTGCCCTGGGGCCGAACGACAAAGCATGCAACCGTCCGGATCTCATTGCACCTTTCTCATCCTCACCCGGCCCGGCCAGCGATCGCATACAACACGCCAGGCCTACTAACGGCGAAGCCGCAGGTGGTCTTCATCCACCACCAGTTAATCACCCCCAAGGTGTAAGAAGTAATTCACATGTTTGCTTTTGTGGGCTCCAGCGTCTGATGTTTGGCTGACAAGCTTGTGTGCAGTCATTGGGAAGATATCACAGGGGGCGAACCTCAGGTGCCGGAGGCCGGCGTGGTCCCGCCTGCCAGGAGCTGTTCCCGCTTGGGAGAACATTCTCGACCTGCCCGATTACAGTTGATTCTATGCGGATGTCCGGGGAGGGGCTTTTTACCGGTCGCAAGTGCGCCGAAGAATGTCCGACGCCACTCCCCGTGACTGTCGATGGGCACCCCGGGCGATTGGCACACACCATCCTCCGTGATGGGGATCTATGTGCGGTTGTCTGCACCGTCGAGGGTCGCGCTTGGAGAGACAGGTCCTCCGGCAAATGGCACAGGCGCCCAACCTTTGTGCCCCTCAGGATTCGCGTGCATGGCCAGAACGACGTGAGTACTTCTTGGATGTCTTTTGTGCATATTACATGTGCCTGTTGTAGTTTCCTTTGCTGACGTGCGGCAGATGACACGCCTGACCACGCCCCCGCCGACCGTCCGGCTCAGTCCAAGATGGGTGATCGCCTCACCTGTAAAGCGCTCGGCAATGGATGCCGAGCTGGAAACTGATGGTTCGTGCTGGTATGTATTGTGATTATACGTTTGTCTCGAAAGTCGCCTGTACTGACTACGCAGCCATCTGCAGTGGAGCATCCGACGTCGAAGCGCAGATGCGGCCTTCTGTATTCCGCCCCGTTTGTGGTCACGTCCCCGCCACCACCCGAGTATGCGGGCTACACCTCCGCCTCCCTTGTCGAAATAGTCCTGGCGCTTGCGTTGCATGCCCTCCTCGACATCAAACCATTGGACGACAAGACCGTCAAGGATCTATTTGCCGAAAACCTCAAGGAGCAAGTGTCAAGCTCTCTCCCCAGTTCTGACTCCATTCCGCAACCCCGTCGCAAACGCAACTGGAGAAAGAAGCACAAGAGCAACAGTGATGGGGGCCACGTCCCCGAGGCTTCGTCGTTGCCGGCAGATCAAAAGCGTAAGCACTAATCCCGAGCTACTTTTTCATCGACTTGTAGGAATCTTACAGGGCCTGACCGCTCTGAACCCCCTCACCAGAACCCGAGCGCAAGCGGCGCAGAATCGACTCGGAAGGCCGCAACACCTACCACGGACCGTCGTTGCCGGCCCATTTCCAGGGTAAGCACAACTCCTGAGGTCCCTTTTGCAATTACCTACCTACTTCACAAGGGCTGACCGTTCAATCTTCTCTGCTTAGGTCAAATGAGGCGTTCCAACCCCGAGCGCGCGGCCAAAAGGAAGCCCCGATCTTAAGACGTTTTCAATCACTCGCCCGACATCCAACCGCCACTTTGTTGCTTTTTGCGCACAGCCAATATTTTCCGCATGTCACTTCCGATCTTGTAGTATTCACTTTCCCTCTCTCTCCGTCCAATCTTTTTGTCTACTCCTCGTCCTTGCATTCCCTGCATCGATCTAGCCGCATGTTTTTACTCCCGGCCGGAACTCCAACTCTTGCTGCTGCGAGTTCTTGTTTTTCATGTTTCTTTGACGCAAAGCAACGCAATCTGCAATGACGACACCTCTTGTTTTGTTTGTAGATCCCCAAGTTTGTAGATCCCCAACGCTTGTTGCCCTTCGTCAGCCTGGTGTCCGAGACTTTAAGCAGCCCATTCGGATGGACTCGACACCGCAGTCTCCCACTGCCTTGTATGTTGGCCGTTTTACGTGATAAAAGAAGCTTGCAAGAGCTGCTAGGTTTCGAGCTGAAATAGGAGGTAATGGATTGCACAGTGTCAGTGTCAGTGTCAGTGTCAGTGTCAGTGTCAGCATATGTGTGTGTGTGTGTGTGTGTGTGTGAAGCCTTGGTGAGGGCCCGTAGTACAGCCTCCGAGTCGCCGATGGAGTTGGTTCTTCAAACGTACTTGTGGAGTGCTCAGATGTCGCAAGGCGAAGGAAAGAGCAACCGAAAAGGTACTGCTTCGATTGATTTTTTTGAAAACCTTTATGGTGCAGAAGCTGCCTGAGAATGGTCAAGCAAAAGCGAGCTCCCTTGAGTTGAAAAGACAGGGGTACCTCCGTGAACGCGCCGGCACTCATTTTCGTTTACGACCGCAAAAAAAGCGGAGGGAGGCGTGCTAGTGTTGGTCGCGAGCGGTCTATGGTCTATGATGTTAATGGTAAGCAATTATATAACCTTAAATTGCAAAAACTTCTTTTAACAGATGAAGGATTAGCTTGGATTCAAGTAATCCGATCTTGTTCTACCCTTGTCGCTCGCTGTCTGGTGCTGAGTATCAGTACGTCAAGACGTTCCACGCGACCCTCAGCTGAAGCCTTGGATCCTTGTTCGACAACCAACATTTGACATTCGGTCAGCACATGGTTCGATATCCGAGCAAATGCCGAGTATCAAGAATGATGCACTCAGTGATTGCATTGGTTGGTGACTCCAGCACTGAAAACTTGTGAATTCTGGGTCCTAACCAACCGGTGTTCCACGAGCTCTCGATCTCGACAAGCTCCCAACTTGATGCATTCCAGACCGGTCGGTCCAAGTCAGAAAGCCCCGATGTCCTCACGGACTTGAACTTGGTGGTACAACAGTGCATTTGCTATTAAAAGTGGTTTCATCTCCGGGTAACACTCGGCAAGATGCCAAAGGGGGACGTCGACGCCGCCGCCCCACCATCCTGCGCGACCGTAGACGGGTCGTCCTCGCCTCTCCCCAGACTCGAACTAGGCTCCCTCCTCGTCGGAAACAAAGCTGGGGGAGCAAATGATCTCGGAGACTGGGTATACGACATGGGTTGTTGTCTCGAGAACCCCAGCGAGGCTCGTGAGGTTGTATGTGTAGGTGGGGGAGGGATCAAAGTGACCTTGTCCCCGCTCGACGCAGAGGCTAAAAGCCAAGGTGCTTTGGTCCCTTGGTCCTTTTCCTCCCCTTCCGCCTCTCCTTCCTCCCCCTCCCCTTCCCCGTCAATTCCCTCCTCTCCACTCCGACTACTCTCAAGCACTACTCCCGTCTCCCAATCCGTCCAACTCAACACCCTCCCAAACCTAACATGCTGCACCACCGGCACCTTACCCATCACCTCGACCTTGTACATCTTGAGCAAACCCTGCACGACTTTGCCCCAGTTGGGGACGGTCGAAGCGATGGTGTGGAGCATGGGCGAGTGTTCGGAGAACGGTCCGCGTTTGAGTTGGTTCACGTGCAGGATTGAGGAGAGGAAGAGGTACGAAGGGGCTTCGGGCTCGATCGTGGAGGGAGTGAGGATCGAGGAGGGTCGAAGCGTTGGGTGAGCTGTGTTCGCGTTGGACCTGTAGTCAGTGAATGTATCTGGAGCCGATGATTCGTCCAACGCAGTACCCACCTTGCAGTTGTGAAGCCCCCCAGAGGTAATTGAGATGCTGATGGTCATCCAGACCCCACACGCCTTTACTGCCCGCCGGTTCCAACCGGTACACTTTCTGCAGTTTCCTCACGACGCCGAGATAAGCAACGAACAGATCGAGGACGATGCTCGGTTCGTGATCTTCGCTCAAGACGCCAATCAGTCGAAGAATGAGGATGTAGAAGAGGAACGAGAGCTCGTGGCCTGTGCCATAGTCGAGGCGTTGGCCAGATCCGAACGAAGAGAGAAAGTGGTAGGATAATTCGGCGAGAACGGGCATTTGAGCATCCGAAAGAAGCGATTTGGAGAGTGCCGGCTCGTGCTGCTCGATGCACAGATTGTTCAGCTAAGGTAATCTACGATCGTAGTGCGGGTGGGGCTCACCTCTTTGAGCTTGGCAAGCCATTTGCGAAAAGCCTGATTGCCGAATCGCTGCGGCGACTTTTCGAGTGGAATCTCGTCAACCCATGACGCCGATCGGTTCAGGAACTCGACAATAGATGCGATTGGCTATAGAGAGCTCGAAATTGGGTCAGTTGGCGCGACGCATTAGAACAGGAACCCGTTCGTGGACTCGGACTGGCCTGACTGATCCGTCGAGGCGAGTCGATCTTGGTGTTCTGCACGGCCGCGGTCAGCCGGAGTATGAGAGCCTCAATGTTGTGGTAAGCTGAGGAGCGAGTCCAGCATGGCATGTCGACCTCGGTGAAGATCTTGCGGGAGGGGGCGACCGAGGACCCGTTCGAGACGCTGAGGTCCGTGATAAGCTCGAGAGTGGGGAGGGTCGAGCGTACTGGACTTGAGGTGGACATGTTGGACATGATGAATCGTTTGTATACAAGTGTGACTCAACGACGCTGGTTGTCAATGCACTAAGGCTGTGAATGCGGATGTGGAGGAGGCCCGGGGGGTGTTCGAGCAAGACCACGTCGGGTCTCGGGGTCGCGGTGGGGAGGCCCTGGTACAGTTGGTACCTGGTTCCTATCCTCGAGAATGCATTGAGCCACCTGAAGAGAACGAGCGAGCGTGAGGCCGACAGGGGCAGGCGTAGCACCGTCCCTTGCGCGTACCGTCCCGGACCGTCCCTTTGCGCGTGTCACATCACGTCGCACGGGACGACACGACAGCAACCAGCCAGGGCAGAGCTCACGAGGTCATAGCGCGAGCGCTACACGTGTTTACCCCACACGGACCGCCGCTGACCGCCTCCGCTGCCTCGGCCTCGCTGCAGGTTTCCTTCTCGCGTTTCCGTGTCGAGTCGTGTCGTGTCGTGGCAAGCTGGGGTGGCTTTCGAATCGCAGCCTGGTGGAATATTTGCCCCTCTACTTCCGGCATTAGGCTGCACTGCACACACGATGGCCACCGCATCGCAATCGTCACCGCCAGTCCCCGTGGCCGCCGCCGCTGCTGCTGCTGCCGCTGCTGCTGCTGGGGTCAAGTCCGGCAAGCGAGCTTCGTGGCTGTCCCGCTCCACCTCGAGCGCTAAAGCGAGTCTGCAGAACATGGCCAACAAGACCTCATCAACACCATCGTCCTCGTCGCCCTCTGGCTTCCACTCGACCCCGCTCGCGATGATCCCGAGCGCCTCCACCACCGCGGCGAACGTCAACGTCTCCACTGGCGCAGGCTCGTCCTTCTCGTCAACGTCGTCCCTGCTCAGTCGCGCCAGTTCGGTCAAGGGCAAAGGGAAAGCAAAGGCTTCCGATCCGCACCTCACACAAAGCTCGATGAGCATCCCCAATATCATCCTCGGAGCAGTCAAGGACGACTGGCCGTTGTACAGGTCAGTTCATGCTCTTTCGGCGTTCGTCCGAGCTGAACAGGGACTGACAATCTGAAAGACATCGATAGTTGCCGACCAGAAGATTATGATATAGGACAACCGATAGGTAAGAGCGCCTGGTCGCTACGACACGGAATCCGAGTTCTTCCTTCGAACGCGCCGATTAGCTGACAAACTCTTCAAACTCTCCTCTCCCGCGCTTGCTGTCGACGATAGGTTTTGGGTCGTCGGCGATCGTTCACTTGGCGACGTATTGTCCCGTCGAGCTCAATGGCGACGCATCGAGACCGACACCCATCCCGTGCGCCGTCAAGATCATCGACGTCGACAAGTTGTCGAGCGTCGGCGATATAGATCGACTAAGGAGGTCAGTTTACCCCACCTGGTTCAAAGCCCCCTGAACCTCCTTTTCTGGGTCGAGGTTGCTTCTTGCTCCGTTCTGCTTTGAGCTTTGAGCTAACAGCTCCAACCGTCTCGCATGACAGAGAAACTCAACTCATGGCTCTGTCAAAGCATCCGAACGTGTTGCGCGTACGTGGCGAATGGATAGGAGGTACGTGCCCCCCAGCCTCACGGCTCGCGCGTGGATCCTGTCTCTCAGGGGCAAATGATTGATGTTTGGTCTCGGGACTTGGCTCGAATACAGGCAGCAAGCTGTACATTGCTTGTCGGTACATGTCACCGGGATCTTTGCTCGACATTAGCCGCTACGCCCACCCCGACGGCTTCGACGAAACCGTGATCGCGACCGTGCTCAAACAAACTCTCGAAGGCCTCGTCTACCTTCACCAAAACGGCTGGCTTCACCGAGATGTCAAGGCGGCGAACCTGCTCGTCGATGACGATGGGACTGTACTTTTGGCGGATTTTGGAGTTAGTTCGAGTTTGTTCCATGAGAGTTCGTCGGGAACGACGACCAAAGAGGAGAGTGAGGCCAACATGTTTTCGACGAGGAAGAGTTTCGTCGGGACACCGTGTTGGATGGCGCCGGAGGTCGTGGAGAGGAAGGCTTATGATTCCAAAGGTAAGCGCATCTTTGCTGGCCTATTAAATTCCGTGAGCTGAGACGCCTTGTTACTCGCAGCCGACATCTGGTCACTGGGTATCACCGCCCTCGAACTAGCCCATGGTCGAGCTCCGAACTCACTCTACCCTCCCGCCAAAGTCCTATCCAAGACTGTCATCGACGCTCCACCGACGTTGGAAGGGTCTTACTCGAAACATTTCAGGGACTTGATCCAATCCTGTCTCAACAAAGATCCCAACAAAAGGTGAGGCTGGTGGCGTTTTTCAAAGCGCCGAAGCCACCATGATCTCACCCTGACTTGTCGCCTCGGGGGATCCCACTTCCCACAGACCCACCGCGTACCAACTGCTTTCGCACCCCTTCATCAGATCCCAAGCCAAGAAGAAATCGCACCTCGTTACAACGATCTTGGCGGACTTGCCACCCTTGGAACGAAGACAGAATCGACGAAGATTGAGCGTCATCACGGGAACGAGGCATGATTCGTCCCTTTCGTGGGACTTCAATTCGACGATCTTGTCACTCCATGGTGGGAACTCTACCGGACGAGCCGGGGACGGGTATGCTACACCACCCAGTCCTTGGAGCGGGATCAACACCGCCAATTCGGCCGGTGGAGAGCAGGACCCTTTCGCCAAATTCGATAGTGGAGGGACTCCCAAGTCTTCCATCGGAAGGAATTGGCCTAGTGCCGGGAATAGGACGAGAGAAGTTTCGGTCCAGACGACGGGTTCGGGCTCGGGGAAGAGCGCGCATCGCAGAGGGATTAGTTTTGATTTGAGTGAGGGGGGAGGTCGGAGTCCGATTAGTCCTGGCTTGGGAGGGATGGGGATGGGGAGTCCGAAGGTGGATGGGGGTGAGAAGCCTCGAGAGGTGCAGGAAAAGGAAAAGGATCCGAAGATGATGGAGGAGGAGAGGACGAGGGAGGAGGAGAAGCCGCGATAGCTAGGACATGAATGATTCGATGGTCGCTCTTGTTCGAAGCCTAAATATGATAACAACAATGGCGAACTCCCACGCTTACTCTATGTACGAATAAATGCTAGACTTGGGACACCTCAGAACGGGTCCAGTTTAATTCCTCCCCCCAGACTTTCTGAACCCAGTCTAAGATTGCTTGGAGTTGAACGAGAACTTGCCCAAGGGGTTCCTGGAGATCCTCGAAACCTTTGATCGAGACGAAGCCGGCCTCGGGTTTGGGGGTTGAAGGAGTCGATGGAGTCGATGAAGAAGAGAGGACTTTTCGACCCGACTTTAACTCCCTCGGGACGTTCCGATCCTCACCCAACCTCGCCGACGATGTACGGTCCAACTCCCTCTCAACCCCCTCTTTCAGCCTCCTCGAGAATAGCTTAAAAACCGGGTCCTCATACCTCAACACACTCTCCACTCGACGCTTCAAACCTTCTTCCATGTTCTCTTCTTTCGTTACCTTCTCCCCTGCGGGCTTCCCACGATGAAGCTGCATCATCTCATCAACGAGGTTGATCAACTTGATCTCCCCCTCCCCCTTTCCATTCGATTCCGAATCAGAATCGACGATCCCTCGCAACAACGTCCATAATCTCCTCGTCATCATTGATCTCTCCTGACTTGTAGGCCCCAACGCGACGCTGGAGCTAGCGATGGAGTTCAAACAAGCGACGATGACGAGCGCTTGAAGGTGGTTTTGGAGGGTGAAGATCCTCGGTGCTGTGACGAGGAGCGTCAACGGGAGTTGATTTGCGGAGCCATCTTGCATCGTGGTAGAGGTGAAGGTGGGAGAATTGATATCGAAGCATTCCACAGCCCTTGTATCAAATACCGCTTCGAGGAACGCCTTCCGAATTCCCTTCTCCATCGTCGAACCGGCCTCGGCCCCTCCTCGTTCCCGAATCCATCTCCCAGTCTCTGGCAGCACAGTGGTGCCCCATTCCTTGTTCCTCAGAATCTGCCACACCACCCTTCGTTCGCTTTCGATCGCCTTCTTCTCCATCTCCAATCTATCGAGCTGCTCACTCCCAAGATGGCGTTTGGCGAGCTTTCGAGCGAAACGTAAATCCAAGTGCATTTGATCGATTAGGACCAGAGCGTCCAACGTCAAGGGGACGACATGCTCAACCTCTTCGGACTTGTCGAGTCGTTCCACTAGTGTTCTGGCTTGATCATCTCGAGCGGGGGAGCACAGTCGTCCTAGGAGCTCGAATAGGGGTTGCAGGACCTTGGTCTTGAATGTCGCGTAGCTCAAGGGCCGAGGTGTAGGAGAAAGGATAGTATCCCGTAACAAAGGCTTGAGGTTCCCGTGTCCCAAACGGGAAGGGATCAATGAATCGGCATGTTTCCACAGGAGGGCTTTGAGTTCGTCGAGCATTACTTCGGGTTCCGACGAACGGAGTGAAGAGAGGGTTGTCTCCGTCCAGTGTGGGGGAAGACGAGAGAGGATTTGAGACACTGTGGAGAGGGAGGGTACGGTGCCTCCTTCCTCTGGAGACCCTTCTGCATCGGCTGGGGCTGGCGGGAGAGGTCCAATCCTGCGATGTTGCTCTAGCTTTAGGGGATCGTGAACGGCAAGGTGGAGAGCGTATGCTTGGTCGAGTTTTTCTCGAAGTGTGAGGGAATCAGGGGTCGTTCCGGTCGCAGGGTGCTCGAGCTCGTGATCGGAGGGGATGAAGCTGTCTCGAGGTCGTCGACGTTTGCGAGTGGAGACCGAAGTGCTTTGAAGGTATTGTTGAATCTCTTGTATCACTTGACGCAACTTGTTGCGCATAGCGTGGGTCGTACCCTCCAAGCGCTTGGGAAGGGGATTGTATTGGGGATTGGATGGGTCATCCCCGTCATCGTGCGCTTCTTTGCCCGAACTTGATCCAATGCCTCTACTCAAGCCGTCGAGGAAATCCTGCTCGACATGCTGCAGTAGCGTGTTGAGCGAGATCCAATCCGAAGCATCTTGTCTCCTCCTCGTCGTCAGTCGTTGTAAGCGGATCAACAATCGAGACAGATGATCGAGTCGTTGTCGACGCCATGAGCCGGGTGGGGTCGTGCACACAGTTGCACGGGGGAGGTAGGTGCGTTGTAGGGCGAGAACGAGCTGATTGATGGAGGCGAGGAGTTCGAGTGGGGATGGGGCTGGCATCCGGGGCGCGGAGACGAGGCGTGGCCCGAGCTGAGCAGAGCTGCGCACAGGAAGAACACAGGAAGAGGGAAGAAGGTGAGCAAGGGTGAGCAGCGAAGGACGAGAGCCGGGAAGGCGCGGCTGCCGGGCTGACTTCTTCCTCCTTCTTCCCCTTGCACTGCTCCGCACCCAGACCATATACGCCGACCCTGGTTCTGACACGCAACATGGACCCACCTCCACCACTAATCGATCCTACGGCGTGCTCCTCCCTAGCGGCGCCTCCTTCGAACGTGTTCTCCTCCAGCTCAGGCGTGACCTCCACTTCGACCACGTCATCGCCCGCGTCCAGCTTGCCCCCGGATGCGATCCTCGATGCCCTCACGGCCAGTTACCCTGGTCTGGCTACATTGTCGTAGGTCAACTATCATCACTTGCTCCTATCTCAACCTGCGCCGTACTAGCTCCCTTTCCCCCCTCCACCAGTTCGGAGCAAGTGAATGAACTCCTCCAAGACCCACACCTCTTCGACGCCTACTTCAACACGACCCCTCAAGCGCTCCAATTGCATCGTTCGCTCGAACAAGCACTGCAAGAGAACCTCGAGATCGCTCGTGGGTCGTCCATTTATCCTCAACGGCTTCCTCGCAAGCGTGTTGACGGTCCAGGGTCTTTTGTGTGCTGGCAGAAAAGAACGAGGCGCTCCGACCACGACTGCAAGAATTGCGTGACCAGACGATGCATCACTTCCAGTCCGCGAATGAGCTCAAGGATCGATGGCAGTTGTTGGATCGAGCCCAGGCGGATCACTATCAGGTAACGCTCACGAACATCAACATTCCCCCCAAAGAGACCCCTTTGAACGGAAATTGACTCGCTCTCGACCCTATCCACAGCGCTTCCTCCCAGCGACCCAACAAGCCCGGCTATCCCGTGCGACCCACGCGCAGGAATACACCTCCGAAGCACTCGTCAACGCCTTCTTGGACGGTCAGATCGATGATCAGGTCTTTGTACAACAGTATAGAGCTGTGAGGGAGGTGTATCATCGGAGGGCTATAGGCTTGGAGAAGTGGCAGGACGGGAAGGTGAGTTGGAGATGAGGGGGGGGGGGGGGGGGGGCGGGGAGGTGGCCCATGCCGTGCGCTGAGCATTGCGGACGGGCTTGTGTCTACGATACTTGTTGTATTCTTGGTGAGATACCGCGATTGTTGATTACTCGAATTCGGGGCAGCATGGATACGTTGAGGGGTGAAAGGGGGGGGGGAGAAAACGAAAAATCGGCCGAAGAGGAACGAGGGCCTCCCTCAAGATGGAACAATGAGGTGTGTGTTTGTATAGAGTGCAAAAAAAAAGATATTAAAGAGGCAGAGGCCTGTTGAAATAGCTGAAAACTGAGACGTCCGGCGATGATTATGAGACAAAAGTTGCCTCGCTGAACAGCGTCTGTAGGCGAGCATGGACGAGCAATTAGTTGATTGGAGACCATGACACCACTCATGATCACGCTGGCAGAGTAAACTCACCCCTTTAACCGTCTTGACCCCTTGTCCAGGTGTGACGACCTTGGCATCGACCGGGTTCAACCACGTATAAATGTAAGGTTTGGTTCCCGCGGCGTAGTTGACGAACTTCTTGAGCAGGTAAGGGATCTGACCCAACACATCGACCTTCTCGACCAAACCTTGCGTCGCGTAGGGTTCTCCGGGTTTGGAGGTGAGCAATTTTTGGTCAATCTCGGCAGAGGAGATGTCGTTGCTCGAAGCAGAAGGCTTCAAGTTGTCGCCCTCGCCCGAAAGGGTCAACCCTTCCCAGGTGTACTTGATCGCTCCAGGCGCATCGTAACCGGTCTCGACATCATTGACGGCCTCGTAGTGCAACGCGACCGAACCACCCTGGATCCCGTCCCCACCCGCCACGACGGCGACGAGTTTATCCCCGACGACGATCGAGCCAATGTTGACCTTGTGGGAACCGTAAGCCGGGCAGGACGTGAACTCCATCATCGTCAACGCGACACCCTCCCCTCCCGAAGCGGGGGATTGGAAGTTGGCAAAGTTCCATGCTGAAGCGAGGACGTTGGGGCGCATGCCCTGGATCGCATGGATGAAGGTCCCTCGAGCGTCCTCGATCTGAATGACGTCCGTGCCGAGGCGGAGGATGCCCTTGATCGCGCAACGGGGCCAAAAGCGATGCACGCAGTACCCATCCGCACCACCCGAAAGGTCAGGTGGTGTCCCCGGTTGGGTCGTCGCCGGTTTGAGTTGGCCAAAGTAACTCATCCCGCCTCGAGGACCGGCGCCGAGCTTCCAGCCGGGCGTCAAGGCCTCGTACGTCAACGAGATCTGCGTCTCGTCGTCGTACTTGCCCTGGATCGTGTACACGTTCGGCTTGCTCGGGTCGACGGTGATGGTGAACTGATCCGACTTGGACGAGCGCTTGTCCAGCTTGGCGCCGCCGACGGTGAAGTTGGTGACCGCGGTCGACTTCCACACGTGCTTGGACGTGGTCGGGTTGACGTAGCGGAACGTGAATTGGATCGAAGGGTACCACACGCTGAGGAGACGAAGGGACCGGAATCAGTCATCGTGTCCAAAACGTCACGATAGAGCTCCCTTCCGATCTCGGGCGCATGGCGACCCAGCACCGACATGCGCCTGAGCAGACCGGCCGAGCGTCGAGACGGAGCGTGGAGCGACGCGCGTCACCGAAGAAGCCAAGCTGCACGCTGCCTTGCTCCTTCTGCTGCTCAAGCGCTCATCTGCCCGCGAATCAAGATCGCGCCGCGCGACGAGAGCGCCAGATTCGGACGGAGCGCACACAAGCCCGAGGTCGAGGTCGATCGCATCCTGAGTGGAGCACTCGAGCACCCGTGCGAAGCAGGACCCACGACGTAGCAACTCACCCGACACTCGAATGAATGACCTGGCACATGATCAGCTCCCCCTGCTCGGTGGTGGCGTAGAAGGTCTGCGTCTCGGTGACGAAGCCGCCGGCGCAGAGCCATTCCGTGTCCTCCTGCACCAGAGGGCCGTAGAACGCCTCTTGCGCAAAGTTGCGATGCACGCCCGCAAAATTGGGGCCCGTAGGCGCTGCCGAAACGAACCACGACGACATGATGAGAGAAGGATGGAGGTGGGATGGAGGACGGAGAGTTGGGTCGGGGGGGGGGGGGGGGGGGTCAAGCTGTCCAGCGGGATCAGAACTACGGGCTGTGGCATTCGCGCGGACCGGCCGGGCGATTATATTCCAGGGCCCCGACATGAGTTGGCGCCTTCATCCTAGAACCATGGCAAGTGTGATTATGTTCAAAAACGATCAGAAAACTCTGAAAACTCTAGCTAAAGTAATTGGCTGCTCGCCTGGTTCAACCACGAGCTGGAGTAAGTCTCGTATAAAGCGTCTCGCGGACCCGATCTGGGGGCCGAGCATTCATTACGATCTATTACGAATCAGACGATAACCGTTGGCCTGCGCTTGGATCTCCCCGGCCGTCAGCCTCCTCGCGGGACCAACCGACGACGACAGCCATCCCTCCGAGTTGTACAAGGGAAAGAACGTCGACCCCAACTCGCATCCTCTCCAATGGCATCAGAGGTTTATTCCCCGGATGGAGGAGACTCATTCCGACAGGCCAGCGGGGCGAGTGACGCTGGCACGGACACGGACACGGACACGAGCGCACCCCCACCACCCGTTCCGCCGAGGCCGGCCCCCACAGTCTATGTCACCTATGGTCAGTCCACACCGATGCATCGCATTGAAAAAAAAACCCTGTCTCCGTCCCCCGGCGCCAAGAGCTGACGCTTGTCCGTGTCTTACTCCACAGGCGCGCGTTCGGTCAAGGCTCGCATCGACCGTGAAGTGCCCCTGGATGAGATCATCGCTCAACTCGTCAACTCGCAACAGCTCGCCGTCGCTGAACCAGCCGCTCTATTCGCCCTGAGGGAGAAGGAATCCGGATCACTTGTGACCGAGGAGAACTTGGACCGATTCCTGGATCGCGGCGCAGCGTTCGTTCAATCAGCTCTTGCCTGTCGCTCGGCGCTCGCTCAAGCCAGACCCAGCCCCCTGTGCCCGAATCCTCGTCTTGGATTTGCGAGCGATAGCCGTTCTCTGCCCTGAACCCGGAGCTCATCTGCTCGAACCGTTTTGTTCACTTCCACAGAAGCTTTGCTCTTGGTCCATCACCAGTGATCGAAGCCGTCGAAGTAGTCGACAAGCTACGATCCTCCGATACAGCCGCCGTCAAACTCGCGACCTTCTCCCTCCGAACGCTCATCAAGGAACCCGCCTTCCTCACCGCCTTCATCGAGCGCGATGGCATGGGGGCAATACAGGATGTTATCAAAGGATCGACGGGTAATACGCTCGCGTACGCTTTGCTGAGTTCGCAGCAGCTGCTCGAACTTGACGCTCGTAGATCTCATTCGCTCGGCAAGGACTTTATCGCCAAACTCGTTCAAATCATTGGTGAGTGCTCTCTGTCCGATCGCGCTACTTCTTCCACCCAAACTGAACAAAGTTTTTTATTGCAGCTACGGAGCCGTTGATCAACATCGTACGACCAGCGACCCAGCTTCTCCGACTGCTTTCCGAACAGGGTCGACCCTCAGCCGCGACACCTCGACTCGATGGCTCGGCCGGCGTCTGCGCGATCGCCTTTGAACTGATCCAACAGAGGATTGACTTCTTGCCCATCGTCGTCGGACGTTTGTATGGCAACGACTTGCCTCTCGCTTTGGCGAACCTCGAGTTGATCAACAGTCTGTTCCAAGGCGCGACCGAGATGGGGGATGAGCGGTTCCATGTGGAGTTGGAGACGTTGGGCACGAGCAAGATCGTCGCGGTCAGTCACACCTCTTTCCGGAAGTTAGACGCAGGACTCAAACAATACCCCCTGTCCCAACGCGACTAGAACTTGCTGGACACCTGGAAAGAAGAAGCATACATCGCCGCAATCCTCGGTTACCAAGCCAACGTCGTCGCCTCGTTGCACGCCCAACTGGTGACCCCCGTCGACGAAGCGCATTACGGCCTCTTCGATGACATATGGACTGCTTCCGGTAGCGATGAGAATACGGTCGACGAAGCGACCAAGTGGCAGAGCCTAGGATTCGGGACTGAGGAACCGCAGACCGAGTTTGAAGCGAGTGGGCTGTTGGGGCTGAAGACGCTGCTTGCATTTGCGTTCGATCGCAAGAATGAGTTCGCCTCGGTCAGTGATCGAGAGCCGGAAATTATGCATCGTCTCTCTTCTCACCCTTGAATACTAACTATCGCAGACGCTCAAGGACATGCTCGCTCGACCGGCACCACGCCGTTGCCCGCTCGCAGCCGTCTCAACCGCCGTCGTCCTTGCTCTAGCCAACCATTTTCATATCAGCGATAACCGACAAACAACGACGTCTACGACTCTGAATCCTTACGTTCTACAGTTCAATCAATGCCACGCATTAGCGACAAGGTTCTCAGTGCGGATGTGGACCGAGTTGGGTGCGACGGAGGCGGATTTTGAGCGAGTCGCGACGTTGATGAAGAGTCAGATAGCCCATGTCTTGACAATCGATGGCTCGGATGAGAAGGATATTAAGTCTTGGGATCGCATTAGAGAGTGAGTACTCTTACGTGGGGTATACAAGCTCTAGCCACGCATGGGGCTGATTCTGAGACCGAATTTCGCATACAGCCAATTCTTAAAGGCGGATTATCGCTCCGTTCGAGACCGACAAGTGCGAGAGTTAGAAACAGGCGATGACCTACTTTCCAAAGCGCCCGTACGACATCTACGAGGTCGTCTTTATCTCGAGTCCTTCGAGTTCGTTCGCAACCAACGTATCGCATGCTTGCACGAAGGAGCGTGGTTCCGCGTTCCCACACTGGCCGGGACAACGAACGGCCCTTCGGCAAGTGGGTTGAAGAAGCAGGTCAAGGAACTTGTGTCACCTACTGCACCGAGTGTGGTGCAGAAATGGAGGTTCTATCGACTGGCGGCGAATAAGAAGGCGCTGCATTACTTGGAGACGAATGGAAGGATTGCGATTGCGCCTGGATTGGACGACCTGCCTGAGAGGAGTACGTCTTATAGCGCGCTGTCCGAGCAACACTCGAGCTGACCTTGAACACCTTATACTATTTCAGTCATGATCGCCTTGATTTCTAAGATCAGTCCGCATGCTCCTTCGGGCGAGCTCAAGCCTCAAGCCCCTTCGATCGTCTCGATGGCCAACACAGCTTCCACCGGATCCCCTCACCCACTCACTATCACATTACGATCCAGTGACGGGATTGTCGCTGAACTCGTGGCGCCGAACGAAGTGACGTACTGTGAATGGTTGGATGGGTTGTCACTCTTGCGGCCTGACGGAGGGATCGTGACCAGTCAGACGGCAGATTACGTTCAAGCGCTGACGGACATCGGTGTCAAGATCAAGTTGTTGGACCTCAGTGGTGAGAAGGTCGATATACCCAATGCTATCGACGTCAGGCAGGTCCCGGCGTGTGACGGCCCAGCGTCGTTTTACTACTCGGAGAATCTATGACGCTAGAGGGAGAATGGATTGGTGGGAAGTGGGACGAAGTCGTTCGTGCGATAATGGAAGTGGGATGGAACGTGGTGTGCGATTGCTCGGCCTACGCGGGTATTTTGTGCTTCAGTGTGTACGCGTGTGTGTTGTGTTTCTATCCCGTTCTTTTCCGTACGGGGTTCAATTGGGCGTAAGGTGTTGCTAATGGATGTCCCGCATTTACACGTTCACGAAAGTCAGTCTCAGTGTCACGCAAACCAGAGTGCGTGCGAATAGGGGTAACGCCGAAATTCCGAGTATGTCTTACTTGATCGGCCTCTATGGGCTGATTCTCTGGGCACGTTCGGTCCGAGCGGGTGGGAGTGCGCAAACAACGTGATACGCATGGCGCCTTGGGACCGAAGGACCGAAAGGAGGCCCTTGCGCGGCCTCCTGTACCCGTGTCTCAAGCCTTCGCGAAGCGAGATCGCCTTTTCAAACAGGAGGTGTCCTTTTTCATACTCTGTCACTTCCAAGTTCCCACGTTCGGCGATGACACCAGAGCACGTTCTCGCGCAATTGCATCAAAGGCAGTGTAGATGGCGTATGAACGTGTCATGCATCGATGCGCTCGCTAGCCAACCGGTCCGCGTTGGCGCTATTCCGCACAACACCCGCTTTTCTGAGGAAGTGACTAAATGAATGCTCCTTGGTCGACATTGAACATAATCACGTCATTAAAAACTAACCCCCATGACATCGTAGCAGATGCGAATGCGAACGTGGGACACTCATTCTCATCAGCTCGTACTCGAGTCCTCATACCTCCGATCAGTGTTGACCCTCTTCTGCTTCTTCTCCCTGTCTCCTCATACCTTACTCACATTTCTCATCCTACATCTCCCCTCCTCAATTCCCTGGCCCTGTTTGGTGCCATAGACGCTTCCGCGAGTTTTCCAGATCGACCACCGCCTTAGGGGTACTTGGCAGCCATGCGCGCGGTTCACGTTCTCCGCCTCAGCTTTAGCCTCCTCCTTTCTTCTACCGCTTTCGCCGACGACGTGCTCAAGCCTCTGGCGCTTTACGGTAGTGGCCATGCCATCGAAGGTGTGCTGTCTCCTTTGTCGGAGCAACATTCCCTCGACCCACAACACTTGCCGTTCGCGCTCGACCTCCAGGATGAAGAGCTGCTCATACACGCCGGGGACACGTGTGAGTTAGGGTCTTTAATTCACTGACTTTCGAACCCCACCTTCACTTCCGTGTGCCGATCACAATTTATGACCATAACTTCCAGTGCCAACCAACGACTTTACCGTGGCGCTGATGAACCTCGAGACGAGCGAAGTTCAAAAGGTGAGTGCATGCACAGGAGCTCCTCCCGCTTCCCAGGCTTAGGTTGCGCAGTACTCGATCCCGTAGACTGACGCACTAGCGTATTATGCAGATCATCAATATGCAACGTTTTACTACCCTTCTATCCGACGTCAAGTGCGGAGAACCGTTCACGGCTATCACCTTCCAGTCGCGCAACGCGTTCGAGTACGCCGCCAATGCTTGGGACTGGGTCAACTCGAACGACAAGCGCCACATCCAGATGATCCCGTTCTGGAAGAATTGCTTGTGCGACCAAGGCAGTTACCGGCCGTTCCGCTTCCACAGGATGACGGTCGACACCGCTCGCTTGACCATCCTGCTCGAAGGGATTGAACTCCAATGGGAGAACGCGATGCACGCTTTCGATATGCACATCACGGGCGCGATCGCCCACGGCGACACTCTTATCCCTCCGGCATCTTCCAAGCCCTTCGAGATTCCGGATGACTTTATTCTGCTGGATCAACCTCCGTCGAACATTTCAACATTTGATGACGAGAAACTCTTCGGCATCCACATACCCAAATGGTTCAAGCGAGCCGTCGACGTTTTGACAAATCACCAGATTCATACCACAGCAGGTTACTCGGTTCACCTTGACTACACCGCGGGGACACGCAAGATTGCCCAAAATTCGAGGAAGAGGCAACCAGGGATCTTGTTTGATGTCGGTTGCATCTCGTGCCATTCCAGCGGTCTCATAAGATTTGCGATTGATATTCGTTGGACACTTCTCACCGGAATCGAGAGTTTCGGCGCTTCTGCAACGGCCGAGGACGTAAAGCTCGTCACTGTGTTGGATTCAAAGCTGAGCGTAAGTCTTTGGCACATGTACCCATGCAGGCTCGATCCTCCACTAACCCGTTCCCTTCGTTCATGTGAATTGTCGGTCTGCAGTCTACAACGGTCAGCAGCTTGGATTATTCCCAAACCCTCTTCAATTTTCCAGTTCCCGGAATCGGCATCAATATACCCAAAGTCTTCACCGCTGGCTTCAACGCCAAGTTCAAGTTCGGTCTCTCGATATCGAACTTCCAGGGTCGCCTGGGTCTTACGTACGGAATCGCAGCCATCGTTCCAAATAACGCACATTTCTACATCGACTTGGCTCATATGACGAATCACCACCAGACCTCTTTCGCGCCGCAGATCAACCATCGCCCGGCCCAATGGACCGCTGATGCAAGCGGGACCGCTAGTTTCTCCCTGGCAGCTGGCATCGGTCTCGAATTCAACCTTCTCAATAAATTCAGTCAGTTTGGCCATAGATGCGACTGACACGCACCCTATGCACGCATTTTGACCGTTACGTCCTTTCTTTACACTTGATCCAGAGTACGAGTTGGGGGTCGCACTCAAGGCTCCTGTGTTCAAGCTAAGCTTGGCGATTGTAAGACCCCAAACGCCCCCCTGCCGACTCACTCACCGGGCTGTGGCGATCAGCGTAAGCGTTGGACTTGCTTTTGGATGGAAGGCCGGCAAGGGTGGATCCGATTTCTCCGTGACGCATCCGATCGGCAGGCGCGCGCTGTTGGATGGACGGGCCGATGTCGAAGACGTGCTCAGGATACCTCGCGCGCTCATTGATACCCCTGTCGGCTACGAGCTCCCCCCGACCCAAGACTACCTCGATCTTGTCATGGATGAGCTCGTTCATACTATGACGCCAATCCTACAGCGACGAGGTACCGGATGGGCCGTGGGGATGACCATCTGGGGTGTCGAGTGGCCATTGATCACGAACCTCTGCATTTTGGCCTATTTTGGCCACCGGCGCGATTTGGAGGCGACAATGGAGGACGTGAAGCCGGGTAGGAAGTCAATCGCTTTCTGATCTCTCGTGTGCTTCCTTTTTCGCTGTTCTGCCATAGTCTCGTTGTCGCCAGGTTGTGTCCAAGGTCCTCTTTCAAGATTTTGCCGACGATGACTGGGGTTTGATAGCTGCAGGCTTGCGATCGCAGCAATACCGCGTTTCGACATGTACTCTTTGGGTAGTTCTCATTCTGTGTACTTTGCAAAGTATATGAGTGTTGCATCTAGTTTAATAATCAGAGTTTCCTTGCCCCCAACTTGCATGCACGATATGCACGAGCTCGATGCAGAGCGCTGCCCGGTCTGGTCGCATGGCCCCGTGACAGTTAGCCAGCTGAGACTCCTCGAAAACAGCCCGAGGCGATTGGATACCGAGGAAAAGTCGAGCCAGACTCCGCTAGTGATCGCATGATGTGCTTACCTTCGAACAGTCGGGTAAGCGATCCTCCGGCATAGGTATTGTGTTTCGGTTCAGCCCCTGCGCACGTGATCAGGGGTAAAGGCGGCACCGCCGAGCAGAGCTTCAGTCCCTGCCCTTTCAGCTTGTCACGCGGTTTTAAAACCTGACCAGGATAGACTCCTTGTCAGTGCGAGAGGCTCCCCACCAGGACTTTTTCCGGCATGTCAATCGGTAAAGCGACTTTAATTTGGCTAGGTGGTTTTATGTGACGTCGTTTCAAGGGTCTTTCCCATCATCATCCCGCAGCGGGGCTAACGGATTTGCCTGATTGCCCGACCATGCCCGCTCATGGTGCAGGTGCTATACGACCAGCTGTCCATTTTTCTCGATTAAAGCCGAGCGACTTTGACCAATGGCCGCCGTGTGGTGCGTTTCGCACAGACACGTTATGAGAGCCGCTTGGGAGCTATCGCTGCAACCGTGTTCAAGAGCCCGCCAGAAACCGTGTAAGGCCGAAATGGGATACATACAATTCGCACTGGCTGTAAAAACGTTCAGATAAGAAACGGAGAGCGGGTATAAAATACACCCACGACTGCCCATCTACCATGAACTCTTCGAAAAAGAAAACCTCGAGAGCGCGCACAGTGCCGACGTGACGCACACTGAATATGCCGGGCCGGCAAGGTAAGGCATCACCTAAGAACGATACCCCTTGAAAAAAACCAAAGTGAACGTTCCCACACTCAAGATTACAACCCGAACATCCGGGCATTATGGTATAACAAAGCCGATGATCAGGTATGAGAATATAGGCGAGCAGAGGCGAATAAGGGCCGCCAAGAATTCCAAGGCGAGGAAGACGAGAGGGTGGCCGTAACGGCCGAGAGACAAGGGGAGAGATGCGGAGCGCCAAGAGGGGAGAGTGAGCGGACAACGATGTGACGAAGAGAATGAGATTCCGAGACGGGAAATTTTAGAACGATGCCGTACGAGACTTGAAGCATGCAGAGTGAGATACAGACAAGATGCGAATCCGAGAAGTGGTCTACTTGAGAACTTGAGAACAAAATGCAACCCGCCTAAGGTGCCTTGGTCATTCAAACCAGCTCCTCTCCTCAGGCTTCACCACCCCATCCGCTTCACTTAGGCGCTTTCGCTGTTTGTTTTTTGTTTACGCGTTTGACCGGTTTGACTGGTTTGACCGCCCAACGCTCAATTCCCTCGCCCGTCCGACCGTTAAGCCCGTCCTTCCGTCTGCACTTCCGCGCTGTTCCTCGCCATCAACCGAGACACCGACGCGCAAAAAACGCTGAAGAGGGGCGCGTTCTTGATACACCGACCTGAGATGCTTGTCGTCGTCGTTCCATGAGACCCCGAAGTCATGCAATACGTGTAAGAGCCTTCGGTAGTATGTCGCCGCTGCCGCCGTGCGAAAAGACATTTGCCGACGCCGCCGTCGTTGATTTTGCCGATCGTGGCCTTGTCGGTCGCCGGAATTGCCCTGTCTTCGAGCGCCTAAATACGATCACCCTGTCTTCGAGCCTTACTACCACTGCGCCCATAACCGCTGTTGACTCTGGGAAATTGAAGTACCCACCACGACCGGATCCCGGGTACTACACAGTGGAACTCGGTGGATACACTCGCCCGCCGGTGGCTCCTTATCGCCCCTGCGGCACACCCCACGGTCAGGAGGTCCCCCGCGTTCAATTCCGAAGATGTTCCTTCCCCACTTCGCAGTCATCGCGCCGGTGGCCACCCCTTTCTTTTGAGCCGCCATGTTGTAGTCGCGTGATTGGGTCTATTGCGGAGAATGGATCTCGTGACCCAGCTACCTCCTTCTGAGTAAGCGAGTCGGTTTTCCGTGCTCCTGTCGCCCACACACCGAGGGCAACACGGCGTCCTGCGGTCTCCTACGTGCACCAACTGCATAAACCCGTGGGAGTTTCGGCAATCTGATGCCACTGGATGCTCACCCATCATGATGTAACATCCACCGGGGTGAGACAGACTTATAAGATTTGACAGCCGTCTGAGAAGCACCCCAGATTGAACCGGAGCTTCGGGGATCAGAGCCGGGAAACGCGCTGTGGAAAACCGCCCAAGAGTAGTTCGGGAGACCTCGAGATGAGGTGGGGGGTATACACGTCGGCCAACATGGCCAGACGGGGTCAGGAGTTTAAGAAGCCAGGGGCGCAGGTTACAGGCAACGGCGGGCATATGTCGTCACCTCGGGCTGGAAGCGCGTAAAGACCCCTTCGAACAGACTTCTCGCTTCTTCCTCTTCTGAATCTCACTTGCTACTACAACACACACCGGATCAGAGCTTACTGACACCATTGTCAACCCAAATTGTCACTGTGTACCGACATTCAATCATGCGCAACGCGTTCTCCCTCTTCGCGCTGCTTCATGCCACCAGCTGGGCTCGAGCCCAAGTCTTACGGCCTCATCCATTGCATGATAGCATTTCTTCCAGTGACCAAATACATCCCAGGGGCTTGGAAGATTACTCTTTCGACAAGAAGAGCCTGTCTACTGCCCTGGATCTCCTCGACGAGGAGCACGTCATGTGGTCGGGCGATAGAAGTGGGTCAGGTCTTGTCTTTCCCTCTCCACTCGAAGCTGAATTTAGACTAACGCAACGTCTATAAATGAACCACAGCACCCGCGGGAGATTTTCCAGTTGCGACCATGCATTTTGAGACCCACAGCAAGGAGAAGGTGGGACGTATTTCCGTTTAGGAACCACTCAGGGGCCACCTCCTTTCTTCTTCAGACCTGAGGGCTAATTGACACGGTATTGCGGCTCGCGTGACATTACCATGCCAGGTTTTGAATATGCAACGTTTCTCTCGGCTAATCTCTGAGGTATCGTGCGGTGTGGGCCGGATCTACATCACGTTCAAGTCCCGCGTCGCGTTTGATTATGCTGCGCAGGCATGGGATTGGGTCCACTTGCATTCCGAACGTGTCTTCACGTTGCTCGCTCATTGGCGGGGTTGCATGAACCCGGAAGGTCACTTCATACCGTTTCACTTCAAAAAAGCTGTGCCCGAGGCCTCCACGCTGACCATCATGCTCGAAGGAATCGAGGTGGCGTGGGAGGAAGCCGGCCATACCTTCACATTGCACGTCGGCTCGGGCCTTCGCCAGGGAGAGGAGCTCCAGAATACTGCGACCAAGGAACTTGAGGTACCCAGTCACTTCACCGAAGTGGCGCACCCTTTACCCGCTCGGAATGCTGGCCCACTTTTGGAAGAGAGGTTTCACATCGGGCATTTCCACTTCAAGCTTCCCGATCCGTCGATTTCTAGGAGCAAAGGGTACTCGGTTCACCTCGATCATAAGTACAACGGCGAGATGGCGTCGAAGCATCATCTCGGACAAAACGGATACGAAGCAACGAGCCACTGCATCAATTGCGGCTCATCAGGCCGCATCGATATCAGTTTTCGCCTCCGCATTAAGTGGTTTGACATCAAGGAGATGGGCATCTACGCAACCGCGTTCAACGTCGGCGCACGACTGCAGTGGGATCTTAGCTTGAAGGTGAGCTCGTTCATCGCTGCTCATCCTCTGTATCCTTGAATCCATTCTATTCATATCTGGGTCAAACCCGTTGACATGGGTATCTCCTCCATCTCGGCGTTCGTAGGCCAACACGATCGCATCGCTCGATTTCGGCGGCAACATCTTCGAATTCCCCTTCCCTGGTCTTGGCTTCGAAATCCCCAAAATTTTCAAAATGGGCTTGATCGCGTCGGTCGGGTGGGGCATCGGCTGCCGCAACTACACAGGGCATCTTGAGATGAGTCATGGTATCCAGTTCCGCATACAGGACGGGGCGGAGGCGCATATCGACTTGGTCAGAGGCATCGGTGGTAACGGCCATTGGAGGCCGCAGGTATGGTCGGCTCCTTTGCACATCGAGGGCAAGGTCAAGGCCAATCCAGCCGCTTCTGCGGGTAGTACGGTAGGGTTCGAGATGGAATTGTTCAAAACCAGTGAGTTACGCCCCAACCGTAAATCGAGTAATTGTCAATGCTCGTCGCTGACAGCAGCTTGCTCGCTTGTTCGTACTTCTTGTCATCGCCCGCAGCCCTTGCTGCGGGTCTGCGCATCAGCGCCCCTAGTGCGGTGTTCCTCGTGAAACTCAACGACGCGAATAAGGGGCCATGCGGGCAAAGGACTCACCGTCCCTCAATTCAAGTCGACGCAATTCTTTTGGTGTACCTTGGGATGTCGGGGGGTCTCAATGGGGCTTTTGCCGGCTCTGAACCGATCGGCAAGCGAGGTTTAATCGACGGCGGTGTCCACACATCGAAGAATAACCAGACTCGTCGCGAGCGCCTACTCGACATGTCGTGGATGGAACCCATCTTCACCGAAGAAGAGTTCAGTGAAGTCCTCGAATCAAATGACGTCGATGTGAGCGCACATGCCGCCCACCTCAATTCTTCGAAGCACTCGCTTCACCCGCGCCGGTTGGGTTTCTTCGCGAATCTTCCCATCTATCATCACAGCTGGCCCCTGATCAAAGAACTCTGCATCTCTATCGACCCGCACGTTCCTCCCCAAAAACGCTCGCATCCTCGCGACTTGCTCATCGGTCCATGAGGCAGTCAAGCCAACCCTTCGGGCTGGACGCTTGTGTCAACTGCTGGAAAGGGTCTGTTGCTAGAGCAGTATTCTTCCTGCGCCTCGGAGTGAGGCTTCAAACCCCTTGTTGGTTCACAAATATGCTGTAGTTCCTTTTACGAGTCTTAGTGCGCGCTTGGGTACGGCTTGGGGCGGGAGAATAAGCCCTTGTCAGGTGTTCATAGTTGGTGCCCGTCTTGTTATATAGTCCGTGATCGAACTTGCGCACTAGCCGTCAGGGATAACGAAGTCACGAACTGGTTTCATTTCACGGACTCCCAAGTATGCAAGGACTTGGAGAGGATGGACAAGTTTAGAAACGAAGAGCTATTCAAGGCTAAAGGAACAGAAGAGTATTTGTGCACGAGGCAGAGAATGACATTGTGGGGAGACGTACCATTCAGATGGGCGTACCGGGATAGTAGAAGGCGACGATGGCGATGACGACATAGGCCATCATCAACGTTCCACCTTCAAGCCAGTTACTACGACCGTCCTGAATGGCAAAGTTGACCGCGCAGATCGACAAGAAGAGGATCAAGGTCTCGAACGGGTCGAACGCGAGCGTGAGCGGTTGACCGATCATCCAGCCGATGAGCACGAGCAAGGGGATGACGAAGAGAGCGATCTGAATCGAGGACCCAACGGCGACACTCATGGCGAGATCGAGCTTGCCTTTGCTGGCAACGGTAACGGCGGTGATGTGCTCAGCAGCATTGCCGACCAAAGGGAGCAGGATGAGCGCCACAAACTCTCGGTTGAGCGAGGTCGTCGAGACGAGTCCGTCAATCGACCCGACTAAGATCTCAGCGGTGTAACCAGTCAAACCTGTGACGACAAGCAAAAGCACGAAGGCGTAGACGACACTGAGGCGAGGCGTGTTGTGGTCCTTGTCTTGCATGCTCTGCGCCTCGGCATCATGGTCGCTTCTGTTCGTCTCGACGCGCGACAGGACGGACGATGCCGACGAGGAGCTACCACCCCAGCTAGGAAGACTGGGAATACGGAACACGCCGCCCTCGGTAGGAGGCTGAGGCCCTTCAATGTAAGCGGCGATGGGACGACGCTTTTCTCCGGGCTCGAGGACGACGGGAACGAAGAGGTAGCTGAGGAGCGGAGGGACCTTCGACTCAGTTGAAACGCACCAAGTGTTTAGTCGAAACCAATGCTCTGATCTCGAACTGACCTATGAGTCCACAACTGGAACAACATGTAGCCGATGTAGGTGATCAAGAGCAGGATGGCCACGCCGCGCGAGATGGACATGACATCGCGAGCGGTCGTTGCAGCATCGAGCAGATTGTCATCGGTCACGAACGCGACGAAGCCAACTGGGATGATGATGGACGAGATGGCGACACCGAGCAAGTTGATGTTGAGGTTCGCAGAGCTGAGGCGGTGCAAAAGGTGGGATCGAAGATTAGGGAGGGTGGCCGGGCGGCACAGTGGCAGCGGTCTGGGTTACTTACCGCGACTCGTATCCTTGTTCGTGGAAGCGAAGACCACCAGCGAAGAAGCACATGCCGAGCACGAGCAAACAGTTGGAGAGGATACTGCCAAGCATGCTTGACTGCACAACGCGCAGCTCGCCTTTAACCAAGGCGAGGATAGAGATGATCAACTGCGCAGTGACAAGCAACAGAAGTCAAATACAGCCCACGATGGGACAGTCAAGTACAGTAGACTGACCTCGGTAGCGTTTCCAAAACTGGCGTTTAGAAGACCACCAAGTGCATCGCCCACGCGAAGAGCGAGCTCCTCCGTCGCAAAACCAAGAAGCGCGGCCAAGGGGACGATGGCAGCAAAGGAGGTGAAGAAACAGACAGCGGCGGTTTGGTGTGAGACTGTTGGAAAAGAGTGACAAAGTGAGTGATATCCCAATGACCAACGTTGCGCAGCGATGTACAAAGAGACTTACAGTTCATGCCCCAGGCGATCTGTAGCGAGGTAGCGAGGAAGCGTACTTGAGCGCGTGGCAGCGAGATGTGGGCTACAGAATCAGCAGCGCGAACTCACAGGAATGAACACGAGCAGGATGTTGAGGTACGAGTAACGCAACGTGTTGATGAAGCTCAATTTCCATCCGGGAGGGGCGCCTACTGGTTTCTTGGGCGTGAGGAGCACTTCGGTGAAGGGGATCGGACGCCCGGCGGCAGCGGCTTGGGCCTGCGCCTGCGCCGAGGTGGCTGACTTGTAGAGGGGCGCGGTCGAATTTGCGGCCGCGGCAGAGAGTGAAGTGCTGGAACGGGCCACTCCGGGAGTTACTTGAGGGTCTGATCCATCACTCGAGACGGTACGCAGGTTCGGGACACTGGCGCTGCGCTCCGGGGTCGCGTGGGACTGCAGCAAGCGACCACGCAAGCGCGCGTAGAGTGGCGGCTGCTGCTGCTCGTCATCGCCATCGACGGTGCCGATGAGGGTGGTGGGAGCAGCACTGGGGTGTTCATTGTGGAAATGATCTTGATTTGGAGAAAACGATTTGGGGGTATTGAACTGGGGGAGTGGACCCTTTATAGGGGGTTCATCTATGGCAGGCCGCACGTCAGCTATCGGATCGGGATCGAATGATGCGCTCACGCGACCCCCGCACGGCGCAGAGTGGTGCTTGGCGGGTGTCGATGACCTGGCCATCACGTGTCCTGCCTGTTGCGCTCACGCGACTCAGACTGGACTTACCAACGTCGGCCGAGGAGTCCGCCAGTGCAACAGGGGAGAGTTGCTGTTCGGAAGAGGTCGTATGAAAGGTGGTGGTGGCAGGTATGTTCATTCGATTCGTAGCGGTGGGGGGGGCTGCAAAGATCGCGGAGCGAGTGGGGAACAGGAGGGAGAGAGGCCGAATCGGCGACGCGCGGTCGCACCGCCACCTTGGGCAGCCTTGGGCTAGCTTGGGCTTGGCAATCGCCTGCAATCGCTCCGGCGCTCGAATTTCACGCAAGGTTGCGCCCGGGCTAGCTTTGACACATGTCTGCATGCGGTCGGGCCGACGGTACGCTTTGCTAGGTAGGTAGGTATACACGCAGGGAGGCGGAGAGTGGAGATGCCAAGGTGGTGGCAAGAGGTGACATGTAAGGTATGCGCCTCTGATGTGCATAAAATACAATCTGTCGTTCTTGACCGCTAGGCTAAAAGCTGCAAGTCGTAACTAGAACTCGACAGTTCTAGCTACTCAGAGGCTACTTATGGGGCTGTTCTGTAAGGCATCCCCTTACCTGACACGAGGTGTCTTCCCTGTGCGTTCGATGCAGCACACCAATACTCTCGGCGGACGCCTCAAAAGCTTGTTAGTACCCGAGCGCTCGACGATGGCTTCCGGCCAACTTCCCGCCGCCGAGATCTTGATGTGTATTAATGTATAGCTCCATCGAGTCACTGCAGCACTCGACTGATTCCTGTTTTGGTCAAGTCCTTGCCGTCGCGAGGTGAGAGAGTTCGCGAACAGAAGCACTGCTGAGCCCAATACCCTACATAAACACTGACCGTCATTGCACCACCACTGCTTGCAACGTTGCTGCATGCCGGCTGCTAGTACTTGAGATTGACATTCGAGAATCGAGAGTCGCGTGTTATCGCCGGCCAAGCCCAAGTCGCGTGCAGCTCGCCCGTCGCTAGCTTGGCTGGGAATATAGCCTGAGACATTGGACAAGTTTCCAACTCCCGCGCTCACGTTGCGGTCACGGCTAGCAATTATTACAGGGCTACGCATTAGATCAGATAGATGCCTATCTATATCTACACCTCCTATAACTATCTTTCATCTATCTATATGGCCATAGATCATAGATAGATAGATACGCTTGGACGTATCTACGCAGAAATCTAATAACTTTAAGCATCTGCCAGGAATACACATTGAGGAGACAGGTTGTCCATGGTCAGAGGGGTTCAAGTATATTCAAGAAGCATATCCGCTTAAGTTTCCAAGATCTTATCAAGTCATTGGCTTGGCTCCGAACGGTGGCGGTGAGACAGAGGCCGCCCTCCCGGCTGCCCGTTGTGCCACAACGTCACTGGAGAATCCTCGCGATCGACCTCGCTCTCGCAAAGTTCGCCGATTGAGGAGCTGGAACTCTCAGACACGGACGAAGAATCGTCTTGAGCGCTACCCAAGTATGCAACAGAGTAAATCTTCGTTTCTCCCATGTACATAATAAACCCTCAACAACATATTTTCTCTCTGTTTCTCTGTTTCTGCCCCTTCATAGATTTTTCAACCGAGTCCTCTAGCTTTCCCTCATTTGCACTTGCTCTCCATCGTCTGTCAATAGAATACAAGGCACGGCTGCCATTCTGCCACTTCGTTGAGTTTTTCTGGCGGCAGCTGGAGAGATCTTGTCATGGCTGCAAAGCCCTTTTGTGTCGAGGACAAGGGAACGAGGTCCGCCCTGTCATATCTATACACGCACATCTATGCATGCCTCCACACATCTAGTCATCATCTATCAAGTGGCGTATATCTACGTAGATATCTACTAGATATCTATCTTTCATCTATCTGTTGTGCTGTAGATGACAGATAGATAGATAGCCCGAAAAAAGGCAAAATTATAGATAGATAAAAGATATCTACGCGCATATCTGATCTAATGCGTAGCCCTGTAGCAATACAAGCATTTCAAACTTCTCAACTAGGGTCATGTTTATCTCGACATTAAAAGTGTGTTTCAGAGGTGAACTTGAGCTTCAAGAGCGCTCGCAACCCCTGCCAAATTGAAATGATGGCCATGAGTCGGCAGCCTGGCAGGCAGTCTGCTCTGCTCTGGCGCTCAGCGCGAAATCGTTCGAGCCGTCGTCGAGCGCTCCAAAGCGGGCGAGTTCCCGTGACCGAACACACCTTGCCCCTTTCCCAATCCCTATCCCCCGCACGAGACTGTCCAACCTCTCCAAACACTGAACCATCAACTTCAAGGGCATTGTCCCTGACTCGAGCTCTTTCCCTACAAGACATCGCGAGGGACCCACGAACGACGTCATCGATCAGCTCCCACTGTCGCCACAAGTCAGACACTGGCCGAATCGCTCTGACTCATCCCTCATTGTCCTTCACCACAACGCCCCTTACCCCATCCCGAGGTCAATACAAGTCGAACGATGGATTTCTGCATCTGTCTGCAAATCGGATGCTCCAATAGGTTGTCGCAGGAGGGCGACGGTCAGAGTCGCGTCTGTCCTCGGTGTCACAATGCCGCCGTTGTACAGGTCAAGAGCACCAATTGTCTCGAGGTAAGTCCTAAGCCAGCACAAATAATTTGAATTCGAAGGACTTCAGTCGAAGGAGCCTTGCTGGGACTCGCGAGCGCCGTATTTTGCGACACTAACCCCTCTCTTGACTTCATGCCCGACCACCAGATTTGCTGCGTCCCTCTCGTCCCTCTCGGCTCGGACCATCTCTGGCACTGTTCGATCTGTCAATGGCAAATCGACCAATCCGCTCCACCGCCTCCTTTGCCTCAGCAAGGTTGGGCCCCATCACAACAACAGCAAGGGTACGCACCGCAGGGGCAGATGCAGTTCCAACGACCCGGGTATGAACAACAACAACAACAGCACTACCCCAAATAACCAACCTCGATGACATTGCACATCAGAAGCAAATTCGGATCCGAGGACGAGGTGGAAGAGATAGACGGCAGGAGGGATCAAGAAAGGAGGATCTTGCGCCGGAGATTGGGCTTAGATTCGAGGGATGGTGTTGTTGCGCGCCTTTTATCCGCACACGAGTGTTTTGATTGTGCATTGGTGACAAGTTTGTTTCTGGCATTGAGATGGCGGTCTGGTGGGATCTTCTGATCCGTTTTGCAGAATCGGTCAGGCGCCCCGAAAAAGGCCCGCCACCTCCTACAGGGACACCAGACCTGCCTTCAGTCTTCCTGACATGTAGAACAAGACGTCCTCAATCAAGCACCCTAGAACCCGGTTGGCTCAGTGGTTTAGAGCGCGGCCACTTATATGTCTCTGAATTAACCGGCTGTGCGGCCATTGCCGGGGGCTCCTCCCCCTGTCCGCCCCGTTGAAGCAGGGTTCCCCGGCGATGGCTGCATGGCGGACACTTCGGGGTAAGTCAGGCTGAGGTCACGAGTTCGAATCTTGTACTGGGTAGGCTTTACCACTTTTTCTTGCTGTGGTATGTTTTGCCCAACTTTGGTCTTGGCACGCGACAGGCAATCCGCAGGCCATTTGCTCACCGACAGGGGCCAGGGTGATCAGGCAAATCGGTTTGCGGAGCCCCTCATATCCCCGCTCGGCTCTGTACAGAAGATCCTACTGCAATTGGTCACGACTTGTGATGTCCATGCTATGCGGGATCGGGCGGTTAGTGACACCCAGCCGAGTGTGGTATCGGACAGGGGCTGTCACGCAACAGGCTCTCGTGGGGCCTTGGGCAAGGCGTTGGGCCATTATCAGTGCAGGCCAACGAAGCTTCACTCTGAATACTCCTTCATCGTCTAGGTATGGAGCAGAAGTGCCTCTCTGCTGACGGTTGCGCGTTTCAGCGCGAGCAGTGATTCCAATCAGTCGATCGAGTGACCGCCGCTCGCCACTCACGCTTTCGAACTCTTCCATCTGTACAAGTTTGGACTCTCCAGCACCACCGCAAAGACCCGGTTAGCTCAGTGGTATAGAGCGCGGTCACTTAAATCTTAGGAGAGCTTTGCCGCTCATGTGAGAGCCTCGAAGCCAAACTGCCCATGCCAAACACGAAAGCAAGCGGCTGTTGGTTTGCCGAGGGTCCACTCGACGACAGACGCTCGACGAGTAAGAAAGGCTGAAGTCACGAGTTCGAATCTTGTACGGGGTATGTGTTTGATGCTTTTTGCCTACTCTCTCTCTCTCTTGGTTGCAACTGTTTAGGTGGTGTTCGGCTTGAATTGCCAATTAGTACGTAGTCAGCGCTCGGGCTGGCACTTGCATCCGGAGAAACCTCGAATCTTTAGTACACGCTCGTCGCTTTTTATTAGTAAGTTGGGCAATCAAGCAAGATAATAATGAAGCGACATGAACGAGGAGAGCAATAGACTCGGAGGGCACGATTTACCGGTGGGTTTTCGATTGCGCGTGATTCGAGATTCGGTGGGGCACGTGTCGGGGCATCGCTCGGGGTCGCCCTCTTGCTTTCCCAACGCCCTCCCAGAATCTCCTCCCTCAATCACTTGGTTCTCGGCGGTCACACGCTAGGGATTTCACACACCGTTTCCATCATTTCGACCACACCAGAGCTACAGAGTGAGTTGTATTGAAATGCCGATCGCGAGTGGTGGCATGACGCCGCTCAGCTGTCAGACGGCGCTGGGCGGCTTCGCAACCCGAGCGTCGGACGGTTTCGTGATCGTCGTCGTCGCTAAACTCTGGATCGCCGGCGTGATACTTGTTTGTCCTGGGTAGTGGTCAAGATCTCGGAGAAGATCGCCAAGGTGCGTAGCTTTCCGCGTCTACGCGATGGGTCAACTGTTTCAGCTGACCTGTATTGTGCCCTACACACGTCGACTCGACAGGCCGAGCGAGATGGCCGACCTTGGTGGTCCTTCGAGTTCTTCCCTCCGCGTACCCCGGACGGATGGGTCAACTTGTACGACCGTATCGAGCGCATGAAGCAACTCGGTCCCATCTTTGTCGACATCACGTGAGTATCCGTTCCTGGTTTGGCCGGTTCGATCGACATGGTCGGCCGGAGCTTGCGCGGTCGTAACGGATGGGGACCGATCTCCGCTGCCTTGACGAACCGCCGAGTCAACCGACGAGCGAGCGAGCGAGCGATCGATCACCTTCGTCGAGCGTGGCGCACATTTGTTCCGGGTGATCACCGTGAAGGTCCACGGAGGATGCTTCCAGTTGTGGAGAGGGGGATGACCTGTGGAACAGTTACTGTCCTCGCCACTGCAACAGCTTGCTAACCCTGGGAAAGTTTCACTCGCAGTTGGGGAGCCGGTGGAGCCACTTCCGAAGCGACTACAACCTTTGTCAAGCACGCTCACTCTGAGCTTGGTCTTGAGACGTGCATGCACTTGACTTGCACCAACATGCCCGTTTCGATGGTCGACGCTGCTCTCAAGGTCAGCCCTCTCTGAAGCTTTAGCTCGGCACCTTGGATCTTCGCTAATTTTTCTTCTTTGCGTGCGATGCAACTGCAATCGCATTCTACATCGAATAGGATGCATACGATTCGGGATGCCGCAACATTCTCGCACTTCGTGGTGACCCCCCTCGCGGTTCGGAAGAATGGGTCCAGACAGAGGGCGGCTTCAACCACGCCATCGATCTCATCCGTCACATCCGCAAGCACTACGGCGACTATTTTGACATTGGAGTGAGTGCTCGCAAGTTCAAGCGATTGAGTTTGACTCGTGTCCTGATGCTGTCCAGAGTTTGCATAGGTCGCCGGCTTCCCGGAAGGTCATCCACAAGCCGAATCGGCCGAACTCGAGATGAAGCACTTCAAAGCCAAGATCGACGCTGGAGCGAACGTCATCTTCACGCAAATGTTCTACGACGCCAATGTGTTCATCAACTGGGGTCGACGCGTCCGAGAAGCCGGCATCACGGTCCCCATTGTTCCCGGGATCATGCCCATTCAGACCTTTGCTTCGTTCAAGCGTCGCACCGATTTCGCAAAGACGATCGTGCCGCAGGAGTTGTGGGATTTGCTCGAGCCGATCAAAGATGATGATTTGAAGGTGCGAGAGGTCGGCACAAAGTTCGTCGCGGACATGTGCCGAAAGGTCCTGACGGCCGGGATCGGCATCAACGGCATCCACTGCTGTGAGTCTCCTGATCTCGGACTCCAAAGTTCTTCTCGAAGCTAACCTCGTCGCTTATGTTACGCTACAGACACGATGAACTTGTCTCGTGGTACCGAGATGCTCTTGGAAGAGATGAACTTCGTGGCCCAAGCCGACATCGTTAAGCCCTTGCCGTGGCGAGTTTCGCTCACGCAAAAGCGACGTACCGAAACGACGCGACCCATTTTTTGGTCGAACCGTACACGTTCTTACCTTTCCCGCACGGCCGACTGGGACGAGTTCCCGAACGGTCGATGGGGCAACCAGGCGTCGCCCGCGTTCGGTGATCTCGATTCGCTCGCTCTGTCCTTACCGCATAAGGCCCAGGACGCGACAACGCTGTGGGGCGAACCAACTTCGTTCGAGGACGTCGCACAGCTCTTTGCTCGTTTCTGCACGGGAGACCTCAAGGCTTTGCCCTGGAGCGATCAACCCGTCGCCAGGGAGACGACGGTCATTTCGGACCCGCTGAAGAAGATCAACTCGGCTGGGTTCCTGACCATCAACTCGCAGCCTCGCGTGGATGGAGCTGGCAGTAGTGATCCTGTTCATGGATGGGGCCCGAGGGGCGGCTACGTTTACCAAAAGGTAAGCTGTCGGTGTCCTGCTCAATTGAACATATATCTCTTCGAAACTGACATGACACGATCTGTCTTCGTTCAGGCCTACCTCGAGTTCTTCGCCTCGTCGGCACACCTCGACGATCTTCTCAAGGTGTTGCAACGTTACCCTTCGATGACGTACCACGCCGTGAACAAGGCCGGTGACCTGCAGACCAACGCGGCACCTGGACCCAACGCCGTCACTTGGGGTGTCTTCCCCAGCGCCGAGGTGATTCAACCGACCGTCGTGGACGGCCTGGCCTTTCTGGCCTGGAAGGACGAGGCGTTCGAGCTGGGTACTTTGTGGGCCGAGCTCTACTCCAAGACGCGCCAGGAATCGGCCAAGGTCATCTCGGAGATCTTTGACACGTTCTACCTTGTCAACTTGGTCCAAAACGATTACCGCGACGAGGACGAACTCGCCATCTTCAAGCCATTCTTCGAGGTTATTGATGGCACCAAGACGGCCACCGCGAACGGCGTCAACGGATCGCACTAGACATTGCGCCATCATCATAAAACGGTCCTCAACAAGGCCGATATGTACACTATTTTCTTGCTCAACCAATCATCCGACATCAGGAACCCGAAAGAAGGACGCTGCCGCCGTCGTCTTCTCTGTCCTCGCAAGTCTCTGCATTCCGTTTTCATCGTTATGTTTCATCTTGTCGTTACTTCAACCGCAACGTGCAAGATCGTCTACAACGGTGCTCCTCCACGGATTCTCTTTCGCCTCCATGTACGCTGTACTACCACCGACGACGACGGATGTCCCTTTGCTCCTTTCAAGTCCCTTCAACTCGGACTGTCGTTTTCTTTCTCTTACACTACGCACTCTCTCAACAAGATACCTGTTGTGCAAGCCCTAAATTCAACTTCCTTTTTGACCTTACTCCTTACCTAAACGTAATTAGCTCTGTTCCTTGGTATGCCCATTCATTCTGCAATATCCATTGCGTCGTTTCAACGCGAAACTTTCATTTCTCAGGTCGCGAGAGGCTGATCGGACCGACTCGGGCTGCGCGCGTGAGGTGGATCGTCGATTCGTCGCTTGATCTCAGCCGCATCATCGCCGCACATCACCCTCACTCGGTTCGAGTTCTCGACCTCCGATACCCTCCCTCCCGGCGATTACGTACCCAATTTAGAGCTTTGACCTCGCCAGAAGCACCCAGATCCTACACCCCAAGCCCTTTCCACTCGTAAACTCGTGCCCGCTCGACGTCCGGGACCCCTTCTCACGACCTGCTCATCGTTCCGTGTCCCTGCACAACTCCCGTTTGACAGATCCTTGGCCCGAGTATACCCAGCCACGATGGTCCGCCACGCCAAGAACAACACCAACGCGTCGTCGTTCACCTACGCCGAGCGCCAAATGCTCAAGGATGGGTCCAAGCGCGAACGGTTAGGAAGGGATGCGATGAAGGTCCGTCGCCCAGAACCGTCTTCCTTTTTGTTCCTTTTTTGTTGAGTGCGGCGTGGAGCTGATCTCTTGACGTGTGTGTGCGACGATAGAACTTCAATGCGTGTTCGTTATGCCTCCAGGTCGCGCGGGACCCCAAGACGTGCGACGAAGGACATCTCTACTGCCACGAATGCATCCTTTCCGCCCTCGTCGCGCAGAAGAAGGACATGCAACGCCAACAGGCGATCTTGGAGAGCATTCGGCTCGAGGCGCAGGTCGAGATGAAGAATGCGAGAGAGGCGGCGAGGCAAAGGGTCGTGGATGAGTTTGAATCGAGTCAGAATGGGTTGGGCAGTGGGCTCATTGATGGGAAGGCCAAGAGGAGCACTGAGGGGGCGAATGCGGAACAGGGGAAGGCTGGGGAGAAGAGAAAGGCGGGCGCGTTCGAGTTGGACGAGAATGAGGTCCAAAAGTTGGCCGAGGAGGCGACGGTCGAGGCGCTGAATCGGACGGCGAGGGAGTTGGCCGAACAGAGTAAAGCAAAGTTGCCCAACTTTTGGCTGGTGAGTGTGTTGTCTGTGGTGTGTGCAGCGAAGGAGGTCTTTGGTGCTGACCTGTTCCCGTCCGTGTCTGCCTTGCAGCCCTCCCTGACACCTTCAGCGACACCGGATTCAGTACTCGATGTAAAGTTGCAGACCCTGTGTCACGCCACAAAACCGCCTCATCCCGTTTCGTACGTCCATGTCTCACCTTTTGTGAACATGCAAGTTTCAGGTACTGAATTCCGTTGTCGACCTTCTTCCCTCTCAACACCAGCCTGAAAACGTTGACCAATGTCCAATTCGAAGTGGACGCTTCCGATTCGGCCAAAGGCGTCGCATGCATTTGCCCTGTCTGCCGCAAGAGTCTGACCAACAACGTCAAGGCGTATGTCGTTCGATCCTGTGGTCATGTCGTTTGGTGAGTCGTCGAGACTTGGACCCCCCATGGCTGATACGTTGCATTCCGGAACAGATTGAGCTAATCATCTTTCTTTGTGCGGCACTCCTTTCCCGCAGCGGTACCTGCATGGAAACGCTCTGCATCCCCGACAAGCAATGCGCTCACTGCGGAACATCGACAACTCCATCCGAGAAGAAGAAGAAGGCGGGACCGGCGTTCATCGAATTGCGTCGGGAGGGGACTGGGTTCGCTGCTGGGGGTCAGGCCGAGGCGACGAAGTATGATCTGCCTTTCCAGGGGTGATGTTGTTCTTGAATCGAGTGTCGTGTATGTTTGTGAAATATGGAGTAGTCTACATGCTAAATACGTGGCGTGTGGCACGCAATTTTCGGCGATGACTGCCTCGTGAGCACGGACCTCTCGTGGATCAAATCGGTCGATCTTCACACTATGAAGGCGAGCGAGCGGGTCGGATCGCGCCACCTCAACTTCCTCCCCTTCCTCACCTACATCCACAAACCCATCTCAATTGGCGCCACCCTCAACAAAAGAACGATGTCGACCTTCTCCGACATCGGCTCCAGGACGATCTCCGTCTCGACCTTGATCAACATCGCTCTAACAGGCGCCGTGGCAGCTGGAGTCTACGTGCTCGCTCAGAACAAGGGGAATCACAAGGCGACTAATGCGGCTGGTGGTGGAACGAGTTCGGGGAAGAAAAATAAGGGGAACAAGAAGAAGGTCAACGCTGCGGGAGGTACGGCGGTCGCGGATACGAAAGTAGCTTCGGCTTCGGCGAGCACCCCCACGTCGTCCAACACCTCCAGCAGTGGCAAGAAGGCTTCGACGGATGGAGCAACTGGAGGAACGTCCAAGAAGAAGAACAAGAAGCAAACTACGCCAGCAGCAAACGCAGCTTCGACGGAGCCGTCTTACGCCGAGGTCATCGCCCCCGAATCACCGTCGACCACGTCATCGAGTGGTGCCAAGTCGGCTCAGCCTCCCCACAAGGCACCGACCTCGTTCGCTGATGCTGCTGCAGTTGGTGCGGAGGACCAGAGCTCTGCGAACGCTTCGAACAAGACACCTGCAGCAGCTGCGACGGATGATTCTTTCGCGGCCGTAGCAGCAGCAGCAGCAGCACCCTCAGCATCGGGAACCAAAAAGAACAAAAAGAACAAGCAGCCCGTCTCGGGTATCTCAGCAGCGGAGAAACACCACGACGCCAAGCCTTCTCCCGAAGTCGCCGATCCGGCATTGAAGGACATGAGGGACGAGCAACATGATCCTACCGTCAAGGTCGCGAGGGTGCTCAAAGTTGTCGGAGGCTCAATTGGTGCGAGGCCAATTGAGGACGAGAGGTGGGAGGAGGAGTGGGACGGGCAGGGGCAGGAGGGTGACGGGTGGGTTGTTGCGAGGAGTAAGAGTGAGTTATCATATAAATTGATGAGGTTTGTCGTGGATACCACGCTGATGCCGATTCATTGGCGATCCTCAACAGAACCGACCAAATCCGCTTCTTCCACAGCGAGCTCCTCCGGCGCCGCAGCGTTCTCCACCTCCAACCCCGCACCATCAGCACCTAAATCCGTCCCCGGTCTTACCGCCTCAGCACAAGCCGCGATGACCAAAAAACAGCGCGAGAACCAAGCCAAGGCCGCCAAAGCCGCGGCCGTAAAGGACGCAGCGGAGCAAGAACGTCTTGAGCGATTGGCTGCTCATCGAAAGCAGTTGGAGAGGACGAGGTGCGTAACGAGTGAAGTTTCATCATCAACACCTCCTTTTCGATTCGAGTGATTGAAAGAGCCGTTGTTACCACAGGATGCTCGAACAAGACGCGCAAAGGAACAAGGGCAAGAAGAGTGGGATCCGTAGCGTCAATTATCCTACGAGTGGACCCGGGTCGGGTCCGACCAAGTTGCAGAGTGGGGGGATGTACGCCTCGTTGGATAGTGATGGGAAACTCATTTGGGAGTGAAGGAAGCATCAGGAAGTTGAAAGGAAAGTGAATAAAGAATTTGTGCATCATGACATGCAATTGCAAATACACACGGTATCTACGCCCCTACGACAGAGGAAGATGCATACCGTATCTACGCACCTACGGCAGAGGAAGAAGTCGCTTCTTCGGTCTTGGCCCTCCTACTCCTCTTGTTCTTCTTCCCCTCCAAAACTTTACTAGGTGCAGCACCAGGAACATTCCTCCTCCCCGTGTTGGCTTCAAGATCGATGTCCACTCCGATTGTGGAAGGAAGAGGTTCGGAATCGATCGTCAATGGTTCGATCCAGAGGGGTTGGTCTTTTTCGTCCAAAGTTAGGTTGAGGAAAGGTCTTGTAGCGTCCCGATCGGCTTGCGTGGTCGTCGTGTCGTCGAGTGATAAGAGTCCATTCCTGAGACGCCACCCATCATCTGATTCATCGATCCACCTCGAGCCTTCCCATTCATCCACTTCCTCCTCTTTCTCGAGATAATCGGCCTTCTCTCGATCCAATTTCGGTTCACTCTTCTTGATGACCTTGGTCTTGGTCTGCACCTTTACTTTACTCGTCTTCATATCCAACCTCAACACCCTTTGCGGTGCACCTCTCCCTCCCCCTCCCGCACCACCGCCACCAAACTCCCTCCCACCGGCCGTCCGTCCCTGCGCATAGCCCCTTTCGATCCTCGCTTGGATATCCAACGCCCCTGCCCTGCCTCCTCCCACCAAATCAGCGTATCCCATACGACCTGACCCTGCTCCCTGAGCGACGTGCGCACGATCCCCCCCTCCCAATTCAGGGAACCGAATCGCCGCTCGTTCGAGGGCTTCTTGTTCCTTCTCCGCTTCGGTCCTTCTACGTTCCCTTTCCAACACCTCAGAACGTTGCGTTTCCAATGTGTTGATGTGGGATTCGAGCAAAGGTGCGGAGATGAGGTGGGGGTGTTGGCATGAAGGACAGGGGAAAGAAGGTGGATTCAAGGAACAGAGGACCAGGCCGCAGCTTGGACAGAGGGGTGAGTAAGGGGAAAGGGGGTGGTAACGCGCGGAACAAAAGCAGGCTCTCTTGGAGGGGGAAGAGGAAGAGGAAGGGGAGGGCCGGAGCCGGAGCCGGAGTGATTTGAGGGAGGTGTCGAGGGTTGCGAGTTGGGATCGACCGGTTTCGGAGAGGGAAATGCTTTGGGGCGTTGGTAGGGAGGACATGTCATTGATGTGGTGGTGGACGGGAGGATCGCTAGATCGTGTTGCCGCCGAAGATGAGAATGACGATGGCGCCATAGGTGGCGGAATAGGTGTGGTCGTGCCCGATCGCGCTCGACTGGAGGAATTTGCTCTCGACGAAGAAGCAGTGCCTCCGCCACCCCATCTACCCTGATCGGGATCATCGCGGTTCTTGACGTAGACTTTTCCGGTCGATGCGAATTGACTTTGCATCGCTGCCGCATTGGGTGCACGAGTGGGTGCTGCAGCGGTCGTGCGAGAGGCGGGAGTTGGTTTGGCCGTGCCCCAGGGGTCTGCTTTGGTTGCGGTTGATGACGATCGGGGAGGCTGAGGTCGGGAAGCAGCACGTGCAGGGGGGAACCTCTGGGCGAGGTAGGCTTGGATCAAGGCGCGTGAAGCTTGGCCGGGCGGTAAGAGGGTCTGGAGGGGGATGGAGGGGGCGATGGAGGTCAGCTCGGGATGAAAGGATGCAGAAAGAGACGGGACGTACCTCGAGATAGTTGCTGACTTGCTGAGCTGTCTTGATCGAGGTGATGTACGGTAGGATCTGCTGTGCGACGGTCGGCTCGTCTGTGGAGGTAACGAACAAGTTTGATCCAGTTTGAACGTGGTGGGGTGGACGACGACGTCAGCGATGCCAGAGAGCTGGGGTGAGCGACGTCACGTGCGGAGCTGCACACGGTACGCTGCGGAGAAAGGCGGGTAGAAAGACTCGCCTAGTCCAATCAGCTGGGCCAGACTGGCGGCGATGGAGGCGGCGGCCATTCACGCGTTCGCGGGCGAGTTGCTGCGGTGCGAGGTGCGCCCTGCAAGAAGAGGAGCGAGTGGGGGGACGCGAGGCGCGAGGCGCCTGACTCGAAGCACGCGGCAACCTGCGGCAACGATTACTTTTAGCCGGCCTCGGGGATGTTAATTTACAATAGGCCTGAACATTGACCATCAACGCCCGATTATGTCAAGACGGTTCCCGTTCCAAAAACACACGCACAGATATTCGCACCAAAATTGTCAATCGACAGCGGGTCCGAAAGATGCGCGATCGGAGCGAGTCCGGGAATATCCACGATCGGCCGGGGCCGGCAAGCTCCACAGCTCCACAGTCCGATCCGAGAGGCCCGTGCGCCCGGAGCTCCTCGGTGCGAAGTCGGTTCCACGATCCGGCGCCGCTCGACCTCTCGCGGCTTCCCCACCCGTCCGAGTGCGCACACCCGCAACGATGCGTGTCGTCGATCATCGCGAGGTCAAGGAGAACCAGCAGATCGTCGCTCTACGCGAGAGACTGGTCAAGGATGCTCGGGTAGCCGCTGCACACGCCAAGCAGCTCAATGCTGCCGCTGCGAAGGCCAACGGCAACGGCAAGCAGCGGGAGCAGCAGGCCACTACGACACCACCTCAGTCGACGACCCAACCGGCTCAAGATGACCCAGGGTGAGTCTTTCCAAGCTGGCCCTCTTGAGATGCGGGCAATATCGGATACTGACTGTGTTCCTGACCTCTCTAGACCGCTCGACGTGGCTCAGGCGATCGAGCTCGTCCTCGATACGTTAGCATCAGCAGCCTCGACCTCGACATCACCCGAGAACGCCCATGCAACGACAGTATTGGCCTATGATACCCTCACCTTGCTCCTGACGAGATGCATGACCCAATTTCGCAACGGTGAAGCCGGTCCCATCGTCGCCGTTTTTGACTCGCCGATGCTGCTCCGACTCGCCGACGCCAGTTACTTGCCCTACGACTCGGGGCCTTCAGTCCTTCTGGCCAAGATCCGATCGGCCCTCGTCTCTCTCCTCGATCTCGCCGAGGTCCTCGAGACTCGCATCGTGTTCGAACATCTCCGAGCCAAGATCGCCGTCGCTCCCTGGACCGTCAAGAGGACCCTCAACACCTTTGACGTGCTCATCACGCGCAAGTCGACCACCCTCGAGGACATGGCCACTTTCAAACCTCGACCCGACGAGCCCACACCGTCGGGCATCGTCCGCAGGTTCGCAGAAGGGATGGCCGTCTCGGATGAAATGGCCTACCCTGCGGGAAGGGTCGTCACCAACTGGAACAACAAGGTTTGGGCCCTCGAGGGACAGGACCCCACTTTTTGGATCCAACCCTCGCTTGACGTCCTCCAATCCGCTTCGAGATCGGCGCGGACGAACCTGTGTCTGTACCTGTTTCCCGGTATCTTTGAAAAGCAGCGGGGTGGGTTGAAGGAGATCTTGCAACGGGGCAGGTATCTGCACGAGGAGAACCAAAAGACCGAGGACGAGCTGCACATCCTTTTGGCACTGCTCAAGGTTGGTCATCAACTCCATCTCGTCGAAATTGCCGAAGACACCCACGTCGAAGATATGCAATCGACGGACCGAGACCCACATCTTGTCGTCGTGCCTCAGCAACTCGTTCAAAAATGTCTCTACCACGCCTCGGCTTCGCTGCGCACTTCGGCTTTCGCGCTCCTCGTCCTCTCAACCTCGAACCACCTCGCAATCCCCGCTTCCAACTTTCCTCTGATTCGAACGTTCTACAACTACTCGTTGGGTGACGAGGACGGCGAGTTCCGCATGACGTCGATCGCCCTCTCGGGGAAACTGCTCCTCCGTCTGCGTGACTCAGCATGGAAGGCCCAACGCAAAGTCGACAAACTTGCCGACCCTTCCTCGATCCAATACGTCGGTCTCGTTCAGTCCTTCATCACGTGGTGGACGAACAACTTGTTGGCGAATCTGAACCCCGCTAAACCGTTCCGCATCCGAACGAACGCTCTGAGGTTCTTGGACCTGCTCTTACAAGCCAAGCTCGATGAACGTTTCGGATCGACCGTTCCCCTCGTCGAAGGCAAGTCGACCGGACCCAAAGACGTGAGCGGCTATTCATCCTATCGCAAAACAGCACCCACGACGATGCCTCATTTCCAGCGCAAGCACAAAAAGATCGACGGCGATTCAGCGAGCGGCAAAGCCGACGATGGGACCTCGCCCGGTGCATGGCCATTCAAAGTCGATCTCATCAATACCAAGACGACGTTCACGCTGTTGAGGTTGTTGTTGAGCACGTATACCTCGTTGAGAGAATTATCGATTGTGTTGTTGGAACGATTCCCCGCCCCTTTGCCGGGGTATGAAGGGCAGGGAGGGGGGGAGAGGGCTAAGAAAGAACTTTTGGTGCCGGCCTTGAGAATGGTTAGGAGTGGGAGAGAGTCAGAGGCGAGTGCGGGGGCGGGGATCGTGGGACTCGTTTGGAGAAAGTGGGTGCTTGAGGGTGAAGGATCATGGAAGTTGGGAGAGATTGGGGGTTGGACCGAAAGGGAAGGTGGGAGTGCAGGTGCTCCAGGTTGTAAGTCGCTGTGGCACGAAACAAGACATGCGATGCGGGGCTGATTGTACTGTTGCGTTAATCCATGCGCAGTCGCCTTCCTCAACAGTCTGATGGATCTAGCCGACGCTCAACTTGCGGCTCATGAGGTCGATCTTGGCCGAGCGGCTTCGACCTCTCCAATGCACGGCACGCTCATCGCCCTGCGCCAGTTGTTCATCTCAATCCCGCTCGCTTCACTGGATCGACTCTCCTCCGTTGAAGAGAGGCGAGCTTTGTTCCATCGCGCTCTGGCCATTCTTGAAAGAGTTTGGAGCGTCACCTCGCCCGTCCTCGCTGCGAGTGCTCCGGAGGGCGTCACCGAATCTCAGAAAGCGGCGGCGGAGGCGATGGCCATCGATACCGAAGAAGCTCGAGCTTTGCGCTTCGAGGACGACGACATCGAGATGGAGGGACCCGAAGACCTTGCGGACGGTGTCGGTGGTCCGATGCACAAGGTCATCTTGTCCGCGACGTGGCGGGCGATGAAGGAAGCCGGCGAGTTGCTCGAGACAATCCTTCGATTACCCTCGGAACTGGGCGCGGATCCCTTCCGCTCGATTTGGTCGTTCGAAGAGATTCAGCACATTGGGTCGTTGTTCGCCACGTGGCTTGCGAGAATCCGACATCGTGGCGCCTTCATGGCTTTGCATCCGTGCTATTCGCGTGCCGCTGCTGCTCTGTTACTGTGCAAGGACTGGCCCGAGGTCAAGGCGCTCCCCGCTGCATGGCTGCGCATGCATTTGGATTCGATCATCTCGCAGAAAATCTCGATCACGCGTCGCTCGGCCGGAATACCCTACTGCATCGTCGGCATTCTCAACGTCGTGCTCTCGGCGGATCGACCGACCTTTGACGCTGCCTTCGTGCGCTTGTTCGATGTTGCCGAGTCGACGTCGAGTGAGATCCTGGATGAGAGTCGCGTCCACGCGATGAACACGCTGCGCACGGCTTTCCTGGATTCCAAATTGACCCCAGGTGTCGCTCCTTACATCGAACGAGGGTTCCTCATTTCCATCTCCCTCTTTTGGTCCTCGAATTGGATCTGTCGCAACGTTGCGATGATGACGTACGCCGCACTCGTCACGCGAGCCTTCACCCCTCGTCGCACAAACTTGGATCGAGACCATGCTTCGTTACAGATCCGAATGAGCACCGCCGACTTTTTCAGTCGATTCCCCTCCTTGCATGGGGTGTTGAAAGCCGAGCTCGAGCGCTCAACCAAGGACAACCTCGACGATTTACCGACCTCGGATCTGCATTCGAGTTTGTTCTCCGTCTTGATGCTCTTGTCGCTGCTTCAGTCGCCGAATCAGGTCGGGTCTAGCAATGATGCTTTGGCGGATCCGTTCATCAACATTGTTCGAGCCTGTGCGACGAGTCGTGTTTGGAAGGTGAGACATGGAAGCAATCACTGCATCAGCTGTGCGTCATCTGTACTGATGCATTGCTTCGCCTTCTTATGTCTGCCAAGATCCGTGATGCTGCTGGTGATGCCTTAACTGGACTCGTCCAAGCCAGGGCCGTCACTTCGGTCTGCATCGACCTGCTGGTTGGGATTGATACTTTGGGAGAGAACGAAACGCACGGTCGTCTCGTGCAGGTTCTTCGCTTGCTCGAGGCAGCGGCCCCCCTCTCCGCTGAAGACGGATCGACGGTCTTCTCGCGCGTTGTAAAACTGGCGCCCGTCTTGCTCGCTCGTCATCACTCTTTCTCTGTACGAACGGCGTACCTCAACATCGTACGGGTCTGTGCCGTCTCGCATGGCCAAAAGTCTAACGTGCTCCTCGACCTTGCGCACGAAGAACTTGACTCGACTCGCTCTTGGGGCCAAAGTGTCGCGCACCTACCCTCGGCCGAAAACTTCGTCGCCGCCGCCTTCTCCGTCATACTCGTATACGAACCTTCTCAGCCAAATCTCCTCATCGGTGGTCTTGCTGCTCCTTTCCTAGAGGTACAAGCTCTTGCTCTAACGCATCTTAAAGCCCACGCTCTCCTTCACGCGAAGGTCTTGCCGAGCGTCCTCGATATCGCGCTTTCGGAGACGGCCGCTTCGGGGTGCCGAATTTGGGCGATCGAGATCCTCACGACAGCGGAATGGGATCCCAAGAATGCTCAACTGGAGGAAATTGCTGAGCGGTTGACTCGACAGTGGGAGACGACTAAGATCGTCCCGCTGAGGGAGGCACTGTTGCCGCTGTTGGCTAAGCTGGCAAATCTTCGGGGTGACGAACGGCGTGCGAGGGAGGTGCTCGAGATTATTAGGATGGCATCGAATGTTTATGAGGTGAGTTTGAGAGACGTCCAAGTATTGGGAAAGGATAGACACTGACCCCATCTTCTCGCTGTTCGCAGTCCATCGAGTCTCGAGCGGCCTCCGCATCCGCACTGGCCGAACTCCGCCTTCCTCAAATCGTCCAGAGCGACCTCTTTGCTCGTCTCCTTCTCCGCCTCGTCCAAGACGACGACACGACTGTACGAGAAAATGCCTCAACAATCGTCACTCGCGAATGGAGCGATGGGTTCGCTCAAACCGAACGACGCTGCATCGAATCCATCTTGCGTACCGCGGGGCCGACGACGTTGCCTCATTCAAAAGAGGAAATCGAGGCTGAACTGGCGTTACTTTCGAGACCGAGCTCTTTATTGTTCGCCATTGAAAAGCCGAACATCTATCAGGACGATCTTGTCGAACCGGAACTTTACGAAGTCGTCACTCGAGATTCGGTTGATTCGGCGGAGGATCTCCAAGCGATGCTCGAGGGCCTTCGGAAAGCGCTTCAGGCGTCGCCCAATCCTGATGGACCGCTGGGTCTGCAGGGAAGTCATATCGTATGCAAGTTGGCGTTTAGGCTGGAGAAGTCTGCGAGGGGTCAGCAGAGGTTGGAAGGCGAGGATGCCGAGTTGATGGTACGGTTGAGGGCGTGTTTCCTGTAGTGAAGGATAGAAGGGGCTACATTTTCAATTGTTGTATCTAAGCTATCACAAACCAAGCCAAAGAAGATCACTCGCATACATGAAATGAGCTTCACAGCAGGTGAGGGCCGGCGATGAGCGTAAAGCACAGCCGGTTCATGCCCGGGCAGTCGCCTGGCGCAGAGGGCGATGCGCGGCGGCGGCGTACCGCGCTGAGCGAGCCAGGAAGTTCGGCACATTGCGGCTTCGCTACAGCTCAGCAAGCACGAGGTCGACCCTTGCAAGGTCTCGCTAAAGTCATAAGCCCTATGCTTTCCGACTTTTAGGCTTTTGGCAACATGTGAAAATTCTTCGTCATGGCGTGGGGGCACGTGACATGTGGGGGCGAGTGGGGCGAGTCTCGGGGCCCACGCGCTTGGGCTCTTTCGTTGCCGAAGCACTCCGAGCCAGCGCGCGCCTGCAGTGGCCTTCCACTTCTATCTCAGCCTTCCTTTGCTGTTGCCCCACATCCCTTGCCTCATCTACTCGCTCTTTCGCTCTCAAAGAGATGTTATCTCTCACTCGGGGGCAGCTCAAGGTCAGGCCATCGTCATGTGCCTCGGTTCTGGCCACTGCAAACCGCGGTGCCGGTCTCCGGCGGTCTTTGCACGATCAGGGCGTATGGGGCTATCAGTCGCCACGACAATTCACTCTACCCGACTTTACGAGTCAAGAGCTACAGAACCGAGCCGAGAACGCTTCGTTGCTGCGTTTGGTCGAATCTTATCGTGTAAGTACTCCCTGATTGAAGCCCACACCAAGACCGAGCTCGCGTTCGTTCACTCACTCACTCCTTCAGTCTGCTCACGGCATCCCGTGCGCTCCGTGCCTTCTCGTCTCCTTCAACAGCGACATGGTCATCGCTCCGCCCGCCTCGACCCGCTCGACCTCGCCGAACGACCCAACGTACCCGCGTTGGATACTCGACGATACGGTTTCAAGTTGAGTGCTCCGCCATCAAGGGAAGAGTTCCGTTCCGAGGTGTTGCCGCCTTCGACCGCCGCGTTCCAGTCGACCGAGGTCGATACCCGAGGCATCCTCGACTTTCCCGAAAACATGAAGGACGGCGTTAGGTCGATCGAAGAGATCTCGGAGTGGCTCTCTCAAGTCTATTGCGGTGGTATTGGCTATGAGGTGCGTCTCGATCCGTTGCTTCTTGTGATAATCGGTCGCGCGACGGGCAATCAGGAGCTCACATTGAGTCACGTGACCGATTGCTCTGCCCCCATTCAGTTCATGCATCTCCCCTCCAAGCATGAGCGAAGGTTCCTAGAACAGATGCTCGAGACATCGCATTCTCGCCCCATCCCGTCCGAGAAGCAACTTGAGTACTGGCGGTTGCTCGCAGCGAGTGAAGGCTTCGACGCCTGGGCCGCCAAAAGATTTCCCAATGTCAAGCGCTACGGCCTCGAAGGTGCCGAGAGCATGATGGTCGCTTTAGCGGTCTTGATGGAAGATGCGGAGAGGAGAGGAATCCAAGAATCGGTCATCGCTATGCCTCATCGAGGTCGGTTGAACGTCTTGACCCAACTGTTTGGCATGGACATGAGGCTGCTCGTCCGCAAGGTCAGCTCCTGTCGACCCATCGGCGATTGCGATCGGCGAAACTGACATCGAGATCAACTGTCCCAATTTGCAGATGCGCGGACTTCCCACCTTGCCCAAGCACCTCAAATCGCCCGACTTCTTGGATGACGTTCTGTCCCATCTGTTCCTTTCGGCACAGTACACATCCTCGATGGGCGTTCACTTGCTGCCAAACCCGTCCCACCTCGAGGCCGTGGGGCCCGTTGCACTTGGTTTCGCACGCGGATTACAGGTCCCCTTCAGTGATACTCAGGATCTCGGAGAAAAAGTTCTGTCGATCCAGATCCACGGTGACGCCGCATTCGGTGGACAAGGGGTCGTCTCTGAGAGTCTCAACCTGGCGGATTTGCCCCACTTCACCGTCGGAGGCTCGATCCGAATCGTTGTCAACAACCAGCTTGGTTACACCACCCCGGCAAGTTCGGGTCGTACTTCGTTCTATGCGACCGACCTGGCCAAGAGTATCGCTGCTCCTATCATCCATGTCAACGGCGACCGAGTTGAGGATGTGGCGAGGGCGATGTCGCTCGCTTTGGCGTATCAGCAGTCAGTATCTTTCTCAGGTGTAATCGTAACGGACCTCGGAGTATGAAAGTTCACGTGTGATTTTGAGTCTCACAGGAAGTTCAAGAAGGACGTCGTGATTGATCTCGTGGTGTACCGTAGACGAGGACACAATGAGCTCGATGAACCGGCTTACACATCTCCGACCATGTACCAGAAGATTGCGAACCTCCCGTGAGTGACAACTGGTACCAAGTATTATGATAAAGCCACTGAAAGCTCTATGGCAATCTCATAGATCGGTCCCTCAAATGTACGAGAAGCAGCTGATTGAGGCCTCGATTCTCGATCCTGCCGTGGCGGCCGAAACACGAAAAGCTCTGGCAGCGCAACTCGACAAATCTCTCGTCGCATCCGAGCCCAACAACTTTACCGTGCCCGACCTCGACCGTCCACGTGGATGGGACAAGATGAAATGGCCTGTTGCCGGCGAATGGGCTCATGCCGTGGAGACAGGAGTTGAGGTGGACGCGCTCAAGCGGATCGGCAAGCAGAGCGTCGAGATCCCCTCGGATATCACCATCCACCCTCGTCTCGGACGTATGCACATCTCCAAGAGGCTTCAGAGCCTCGAGTTTGGCTCGGGGATCGACTTTGCAACGGCCGAAGCCCTTGCTTTCGGATCGCTGATGGAGGAGAACTACCACGTCCGACTTGATGGTCAGGACTCTGGTCGCGGTACCTTTTCGCAGAGACATGCCATCTTTGCGGATCAGAACTCGTCGCGGACGACGGTCCCCTTGCAGAAGCTTGGGCCCGGCAAATTCGAAGTCGTTAACTCGCCCCTGTCCGAATACGCCGTTGTCGGCTTCGAACAAGGCGTCGCTTGGGTCTCGCCCAACATCCTCTCGCTCTGGGAAGCGCAGTTTGGTGACTTCAACAACACCGCTCAGGTCATCTTGGACACGTTCTTGGGCTCAGGCGAGACCAAATGGGGTTTGCAAAGCGCTTTGACCTTGCTGCTGCCCCATGGCTTCGATTCGGCCGGGCCGGAACACTCCTCAGCCAAGATTGAGCGATTCCTTCAGCTCACGAACGAGCCCATGGCTAGGAAGAATTTTGTACCGAATATCCATTTGGTCAATGTGACGACTTCGGCCCAGTACTTCCACCTTTTGCGACGCCAAATGAAGCGCGAGTACCGCAAGCCTCTGGTCGTCTTTTCCCCCAAGGGTATTCTTCGACTTCCAGTGAGTACTCCTTGTTCGAGCTGATTTCATCTGTCTTTTTACTGAGATGGTCTTCTCAAACATCCACCAGTCCGCCTCCTCGTCTCTCTCTGAACTCGGCCCCAGGACGAGTTTCCAACCCGTCCTTTCGGAAACTCTCGACTCCCCAGAAGAGAAAGTCCAACGCGTCGTCTTCCTCTCCGGCAAGATGTACTACGACCTCATCAAAGAACGTACCACCCGCTCACTCGACGGTGCGATCACCTTCGTTCGCGTGGAAGAAATTTCACCCTTCCCTTACGCCGTATTAGAGAAGACGATCCAAGCCTATCCCAACGCCAGATCATTCGTTTGGGCTCAAGAGGAGCCAGAGAACGCAGGGGCTTATACGTTCGTTTACCCTCGCTTGAGTCAGATCTTACCCTCGGGACACAAGTTGGAATATGTTGGAAGAGAGGCGATGGCGACGACTGCGCCGGGGGTGTCGAGTTATTTCGCGGAACAGAAGAAGGTGATCACGGAGCAGGTGTTTGAAGGGCTTTCGGCCTGAAGGAGCTTGAGCCAGGGGTGACGAGGTGTACTTAGTGTCACATTGCAATCGATCGGTAAACGAAATATATATATATATGCTATCCAAGACGAACAAGACGGGTAATCGAACAGCCGTCGAGGTAATTAGTAAGGCCTCTGACCGGGCAAGTTGCTCATTTCAATTCGATCGGTCGTCGTGCCAAACAAGACGTCCCAGAAGCGACTTTGCTTGCCGTAGTTTCGACCCGATTTGCCTGTGAGAGGGGGGGAAGAAGCATGGTGAGTGAAAGAACTCGGACGAGATAGTGTCATAGTGGTGTTATGGTTCCTCACCGAATCGATGATGCTATGGGCCCCGACGCAAGAGGACAGAGCAGAAGCTAGAGGTCAGCTTAGGGAGCTTCGACTGTGAAGCCTAAGCGAAGTGAGACTCACAGTATCATGATCTTCAATCAAGAGGTTGCACCCAATAAGTCTGAGGGGTAAACCCGTAATAGGGAGTTCCCACTCTGCACGAATACCCGTGTGGCCGAGCAACTCGACATAGGACGTGTAGACCGCTGTGAAACGTCCCGCACTTGTCAGCCATCACTCCTGCGGCTGGGGGTGGCGTGGTGTACTCACAGAGGATGAAAAGTTCGTGGAAGTTCATGGGTACCAGTAGAGTGGCCGAGAGTGGGACCAGAGCAATTTCGATTACCTGCCAAGAGCTTATTCAGTAAGCGAGGGTCGACAATTGGGTCTGCGGCAGGGAAGAACATACCTCTTGGATCTCAGACGACAAGATTGACAACAGCGGCGACGGGTGGCGCGTTGTATGATGGGTCTTGTGAATTCTCCAAAAGAAATCGACCTCATGGGATGTGCGATGATACGCGTAGAAGAAGTAGTCGAGAGCAATAAGCCAGAAGAACCACCGAATAGGGGTCGTCCAAGAGAAGGCGTTGATGGGGCTCTCGGTGCGATCGTATTTGATGAAGAATTCGCCAAAGGTTCGAGTGAGAAGAAATGCGAGTTGGCCCTTTGATATCGTGGATGGAAGGACTCCTCATGTCATCAGTTATTGCTGTTAAAGTCAAAGCCGACTCTTGAATATACTGACGAGGGCTAGTTGGTCAATGGCCTTGTCTGGGTATCGGTCCCGACCAACATTCTTCTCATCCAGAGTCCCGTATTTGAGCTAAGATACATCAGGAAATGATGAGATGAGTGGATTGCACGAGTAACCCCAGTGACGAGGCCGGAGCTTACAGCGAAGTGCGTAAATCGGTTAAACTGGGCAATCCGAAAAGGCAAGTGGCGTGCAGTCGTCAGACCAGCGTTGGGCTCGAGCTGATGAACGAGATGGACTCACCACCCGATTCCCAAAGAAAATGTAGCTGGCAACGTAGACGAACCAAGCCACTGCTGGCGGCCATTTGTATCCTGTGCGGATGGAATAGAAGGGGCCGCAGCGGCTCAATTAGTCGAAGTCCACGCGCACGTGACACCGGCGGCAATCACAACCCCTCCAGACCTGAAGATGAAATTGGACGGTGGCTTTGACGGTGTGTAACACCATGATCAACGTAGTGATAACTGAACAGGGTAAAAATAATAGCTCAATTGTTGCAATGCCGGTGCAAGCAGTGCATGTGACAGGATGAAGAGGTGTTCAGGCAACAGGGGGTGCTTGGGTACCGGACCCCGATCGACCGTCGCCGGCTTCAACGAGTGATATTCGGACGGCATCAACCGTCTCGCCGCCATCTTCTCGAGAATGGTCATTTCGGAGAATTGCTTCAAGTGCAAAGTCGACTTGGGTCGCCAGTCGCGCCCTTGTCGTGTCTGTTTGTCCGAGTCGAGGTTGTCGACGGCGTCGGCGACTTGGCGATCCACGGTTGTCAAGTCGAGGCTGCCCGAATCGTCCGAGTCGGATGAGCTCGAAGCGAGCATCTCTGGGTTCGATATAACGTCAAAAAGTTGGTTTGTGCAGCTGGTCATAATGTAGACGTGTCGTAGGTATGGGTTCTTTCAAGTGTGCTAGAAGGGAGGAAGGGAAAAGAGGTCGAGTCAAATCAGACTCAAGTTCGCGCAGTCGGTGACCTTCAAGTAGCTTCAAGTGGGGGCGAGCTGCCAAAAGCAGAGTGTCTATGCGCGAGCTGCCCGAGCCCGAACCCGAAGTCGAACCGGGGTGTTCGAGGCAGTCTGTATCCAGTACCTACGTAGGTGTGATTAGCAGCTCAACGTACCTGAAAGGTTGTCCAGAGTTCGCGCACAGCTCGACGTACAATCGGATCGTTCACAGAACAACCCAGGGAGTTGATAACTGATCACGTGACTTTGAGGTGTCCCGCGATGGATGGCATCTGGCCTAGAAATCTCACGGCAGCTGAAGCATACTAAGTAGCAGTTCGGTGTCTGTAATCACTTGACCGAGTACCCGTGCCTAACAGAATGAAAGATACTCCAGCTTTCTTGGAGCTGCTATCATAATCTGCAGCAATTCGGAATGGGCAGTGCGACCCGCCGCACGGTGACGGTTGCCCGATTCCCGGATTGGCGAGTGAAGCTAGTGACGACTGGTGAAGCCGCTTGAATGGAGAGCTGGTTCCCGAAGAAATGATTCGGTCCCGATAAGTGATATCATTGTCGATGAAGGCGAGTGAGGACAAGTAAACTAGTCAATTTGGTCACGCTATTTATTGATCACGACTATAGTACTCGCCCAGCTCATTTCGGCCTGCCGATCGCTTCGGGGAAGCTCGACTGCAGTGACAGCTGAACACGATGGTAGGCAGCTCGCTTCAGTGTGCCGCGAGCAGAACTGAGCAGAACACGCTGCGTCATGCGTGCCCCGCTCGCTGGGCCTTGAGAACGGGTCCGTCTTGGGCCACGACGATGAGCGACGGCGCGAGAGACTCGACCCCTTGCAGCAGTCCTGCATCGCACTCTGACGATTCAGAAGAGTGTCACTCGGACGGGTCCTTGGTCCTTGTCAATAAGCGAGAAGATCCTCCTCCACTCGGTGCCGCAGCCCCGCTCCTAGCGACTGCAACTCAGCCCCGTTCGCGCCGCCTTGCGCCACCCGTGCCATCGCCGATCGTTACCGCCCAGCCCGGGGCTTCTGCGGGGCTCAACCCCACGTCATTGCAGCCGGGAGCTTCTGCTGAGCCTGCTCCTGCTTTGGGCACGAGCTCTCTCTCTCCCCTCTCCCCATCACCAACCTCAACTACCGAGATGGTTGCGACGACGAGCTTCTCATCCCACACCAGTGTCGTGCACTCGGGTGAGGCTGGCGTCGACATGCCCGCTCGCCGAGCGCTCCAGGACGATTCGCGTGAGGTCGTCGGCGGCCCCGCTTCGGGACTGTACCCCGAGGTCGTGACCAAAGTCACCTCGAGTCCTGTCGACACACCCACCTCAGGGTCCTCCTCGTCCAAGCCATGGTACGCCAAGCTCGCTACCCCTCTGGTCGGCAAGCACCACGGCAAGAGTCGTCGCAACAACCGCGAGCTTGGCGAGGCCGAGGCCGGCTTTGAGAGCAGCGACGATGAGGGCGACGTCGGCGGAGATGCCGGAGAGAACGACAAGAAAGAACAAGACGTGAAAGCCGCTGAGGTGCTTGATGAGGTCGACGGAAGGAAAGAGGTCAGTCTAGTTCTTGCGATGGAGGGTACCGAACACATGTGCTGAAAATCTCTCGCGCCCGCCACTCCTGCCACCGCAGCCATCGACCCCGATTCATCAATCGGGATCGGCACGTCGAGGTCTCGCACCCGTTGCCATGCCCGATCGACAACTGAACCCCGACACGAATGACAGCCCAAGTATGAGCGAATCGATCAAGGACCGCATCTCCGAGGATCACCACCCCTCGCCCAAGGTGTCCAACTTCAAGTTCCACAAGCTTTTCGCCTCCGAGATCCCCGACGACGACGAGCTCATCGAGGACTACCGCTGCGCCTTGCAAAAGGACGTTCTCGTACAAGGCCGTCTCTACCTCTCGGAACACTATCTCGCCTTCAAAGCCAATATTCTTGGCTGGCAGACTTCGGTGTGCATTCCCTTCTCTGAGATTGTCACGATCGAGAAGCGCATGACCGCGCTCGTCATTCCGAACGCGATCGAGGTGACGACCCTCAACACTCGGCATGTTTTTGCCTCTTTCTTGGCTCGGGATCCAGCTTACGATCTACTCGTCGATCTGTGGCGCCACAACCATCCTGGAGAGGAGCGATCGCGCGAAAGCAAGGACCAAGATTCTGCGAGCATCGTCAGCGACGCCGGGGGTGCGAACGGCATAAACCGCGGTGGTGACGTCAGCAGCGAAATCTCGTACGAGGACGAGCACGGAGAACGAAAGAAGCACAAGTTTACGAACGCGCTCGCTAAAGTCGGATCACGCCTCAAGTCGATCACCGCCGTCAACGAAGACAAGCCCGAGGGCAAGACGGAAGCGGAAAAGATCAAGGACAAGGCCAAGAAGGACATGCAAGGCGATCTCGGCCACGAGCCGACCGAGTACGACGGCGAAGAGTTTGCGAATGTCGCTCTCGATTGCGTTCTACCGACTTCGCCTCAAAAGGCCTACGAGCTGTTCATCCACGATTCCGAGTTTTTGAAGGGCTTCTTTACCGACGACCAAGGTCTCAAGGAAGTCGAAATCGGGGAGTGGGAGTCGAACGGTGACGGCGATCTCCAGAAACGCGAAATGTCGTACATCAAGCCGCTGAACGGCTCGATCGGTGAGTATTTGCACACAAATTTTGCATCCAAGAAACGCCACACTTATCCGATCTTTCTTCCACCTCCATCAGGCCCCAAGCAGACGCACTGCAACATCAAAGACGAGAATGAGAAGGTCGACCCCGAGAAGTACATCTCCAACATCACTACCACCCAGACACCCGACGTTCCTGCCGGCAAAGATTTCTCTGTGCGCACGAAAACGGTGACGACCTGGTCCGACGAAGGCGGAGCGCGCGTGCGCGTAACGACCGAAGTCGAGTGGACCAAGACGAACAGGATGCTCAAGGGCATTATCGAGAGGAGTTGTATCGATGGGCAGAAGAAGTATCACCAAGACCTTGAGAAGGCGGCAAGAGCGCATATCGAAGCCAACCCTGACGACTTCAAGGATCCAGGCGTCACGACGACCGGCGCCAGTGGTGGCTCGAAGAAGGGTGGCGATGACAGCGCTCGGGCATCCGCAAGTGAGGAAAGCGAGTCGCTCTTCTCGTCCTTCTTGGAGCAGCTCACCGGACCCATGGGAATCGTTGTTGGCCTCGTCGTCATTCTCGCTCTCACGAATCTGTTCACCCTCAATGCACTGCGCGTGCAGGCACGAGCAGCTCACCACGCCCGCATGGGCCAGCCTCACGAAGTCGCCAGTGCCGTCATGCGTGTCCTCGACCAGTACAAGTCCGTCTATGCAACTACAGGGTCCAAAAGCTCTGCCGAAGTAGAGATGAAGAGTTTGCTCAAGGTCGTCGAAGATCTGGAAGCGACCGCGGCCGGGTTGGTCAATCGCGTTAAAAGTGTGGCGTCGATGCTTTAAGTCTGTTGGGACCGGATCGTCCTTTATCAGTCTAGTTGGTCCCATGCATTGCTTCATCTTCTTGCGCCCACTTGTTATTTGTATTGTATCGTACGCTCGCTTGTCCTTTCCAGTTCCTGCAACAACGCTCGTCCGTGCACTCTGTGCATTGCATCTCTCGCTTGGTCTCTCGCGATGAGCTCGATGCTGCCGAGAGAGATAATTGAGACTCCAATGAAAGTTACAACTGAAGCAAGCAGAAAGTCGAATGAAGTACAGCAATCTCACAACACGACGGAGAGAATCCCAGAATCGAGCGCCCCCTGAAAATCATGTCCCCCCTCATGCAGCAGCAATCAAACCCGCGCCACTAGCGGAAAGCGCCGCCCCTCTGCCCTTCGAACCCGCACCCGACGTATTCTTGGGCTGAGCATTCTCCTTGTCGTACAAGCCCGAAGCACTGCGTTGACTTGTCCGCTCGACGATCGAAGTACCGTCTCGGAAACGAGCGCGGAAGAGTACGTTCGCGTTGGAGAAGAGTCCGTCCTTGAGGGAGACGACGATGAATTGCGAGCCCTTGAAACGGGTTCGGAAGAGGCGACCAATGTTTTCGGCTGGAAAAGTAGAGAGCATATCAGGCCAAGCCTCGTTGTTCGAAATGCGCAGCATGAAAAACTCACTGTGTGATAGATCGAGGGCAGCATCCTGAAGGTGGTGCATGCGGACAAAGGTCAGTTGATGCAATCGACACGAAAATAATGCGAGATACTCACGATTTCATCCAAAATGTACATCGGTGCACTGCGAAGATGGAAGGGGGCCAAATTAACGACATGCTGTAGCGAGGCACACATGATACGCTGACATACGGTTTGAAGTGCAACAGCGCCATGATCAACGAGAGCGCGATGAGGGATCTGCGAAGGACGTCAGTTTCAGTTCAGTCGGGCCCAGCGAATGCTCACAATAAGTCACAAAACGTACCTCTGCCCACCTGACAACTCGGTCAAGCTGGCTTTCCACACTGTGCCCAACCGGACCTTGACCTCGAGGCCCTGTGTGATGTCCATCCCCTCCGGTGGCTGAAGCTTCGAAAAGTTCCCCGGCAACAGCTCGGCGAAGATGTTCCCAAATTCGACGTTGACAGTCTCCCACGTCTTTTGCAACGCATCCTTCTTGTAGTCGTCGAGTTTGGCAACGGTCTCTTCGATCTTGCTCTTGTCCTTGAGCACCTGTCGGTACATCCCGATGAGCTCCTTCTCCTTCTTCTCGACACTGTTTTGCAAGATCGAGCAAACATCTCAATTAGCCAGTGCTTTAAAGAGCCTAGCAGCCGAGATACCGAGTACGCACCTGTCAATCATCGTCAGCACCTTCGGGTTGACCTTCTTCTTCGCCGCGTTTTGCTCCTCCTCGAGCTTCTGGCACTTGGCCTTCATGCCATTCATGTTGACGTTGGCAAAGTTGTACTGTGACCCTTCTTTTCCAAAGGTTCTACGTTGGAGAAAATTGTGATTTGAATCAGTGACGGGGAGCTTTGCGCGCCGCCTTAAGGTCTACTGACTGGCACTCGTCCTGAATCCACTCGAATCGGCTCTCGAGCTTGGCGACGGCATCAGCGGCATTCTTCTGGTCCTTCTTGGCGCGTTCGATTTCAAGTTTGAGCTCAGTGACAGCCATATCAGTATCGACGATCTCTTGTCGCTTCGCCTTGATCGCACGATCGAGCGCATCGAGCTCGTCCTGAAACGCGGTCAGCATCTTGGTCTCCTCGGTAATTTTGGCTTCGATGACTTTGAGTTCATTCTGCTTTTGCTTGACGGTCTTCTTGAGCTCCAGCAGTGCAGCCTCGGTCTTGACGAGATGGGTCCTGGCTTCGGCAAGTTCGACCCCACTCGCAGCAATGTCCTTCTCCATCTGCTCCAGTTCGAGCTCGGCGGTCTGCACCTCGCGTTGCAAAGTCTTGACCTCGACCGTCTGCTTGGTCACATCGCCCTTCTTCTTCTTGATCTCAGCTTTGATCTGGTCGAGCTTGGACCCTCGGTTGTTCTTGAACTCATCCATCTCCTTCTCAATGCGTTTGCAATCGGCTTGGGCCTCCTTCTGCTTCGCTTTCGAGTCGACGATCGTCTGCTTCAAGGTCTCTATGACGGTCTTGATCGACTCGACCTCGCTGATGATCTGCGTATAGGGTATGGAGAACATCAGCAAGGGTCCCCAGATCTCGCTGCGAAAACAACCGCACTCACCCTCGTTGCGTTCGACTCTTGTACACGCTCCTCCAACAGCCCGACCTCATGAGCCTTGAGGTCAAGCTGCTTCTTGGCCTGCTTGTACTTGTCCATCGCCGCCGTGGTCTGATCGAATGCCTTCTCCGCCGCATCAAGTGCCTGTTGCCTCGCTTTCAGCTCGGCCTCGACCTTCTTGAGCTGCTGGACCTTGACGAGGATGCCGGCGCCCTGGGATCGACTTCCACCAGACAGTGTTCCGTCGGGTGAGTAGACATCCCCTTCGAGCGTGACGGATCGCATCCTAATCTCATTGTGGAACGTGACGAGCTTGGCCTCGTCCGAATCGGCGCAGATCAACGTGCTCCCGAAAATGTACTCCATCGCGGCGTTGAGCTCATCGTCGTAGCCGACCATCGAGAGCGCGAGCTTGGTCTGAGGCGAGACCTTGCTGACGGTACGCAAGGTTTCCTTCGACGCGACGCTGGCTTTGATCTTGCTCAAGGGGATGAATGTGACGCGCTTGCGCATTTGTCCACCCTTGATCAGATCCGCACCGACGTTCTCGTCTTGGACGACGACGTTGTAAAGTCGACCTCCAGCGGCGACCTCGAGCGCCGTCGCGGCATGAAAGTTGCTTTCATCCAACGACACGAGGTTTGCGACCAGACCCTTGACCTGCGATTGGTCGAACCCTCGATGAGGAATCGTGTAGGAGAAATCGAGCTGCGCCAAATTCGACTTGATCGCGTCCCTCTCCTCGAGCAACTTGCGCACCGCTTTCCCTTCGACGTCCCTCCTCTCCCTCAACTGCGTCTCCTTGTCCTCGTCCCAGCCCATCTTGCCCAACGCCGCTTCGAGCATGGCTCGTTCCTTCTTTGCCGCTTCCAGCTCAGAGATCAAGCCCTTTCCTTCAGAAGCTGCCTTCTTCGCCCTCGGCTCCTTCTCCTTCAACTCTTTCTGCAAATGCTCGATGCGCGCCTTGGCCCGTTCGGCCTCGGTTCCGAGGTTTGAGGCAAGCTCCTTGGCTTTGGCGAGTTGTCCCATGAACCCGGACGAGGTCGATTCGTCCGAGGAGGAAGAGATGCCGGTCAAGAGCGTTTGCAAGAGGTCCTCGGAGGCCTTGAGCGATGTGGTGGTCGCATCGTAATTTGCTTTGAGAGAGGCGAACTGCTGCGCCGCTTCCTTCGAGCTTTGGTCTCGTTCCTTGCGCGAGGATGCGAGCTGAAGGGTTTGACAATGAAGACTGAGTCAAAAGATTGCGTAGAACTCACTCCAGCGTACCCACTCACCTCCTTGGCATTCGTTTCGAGCTGTGCGACCCGGGCCTGCTCGTCCTTGATGTTGCCAGCCATGATGTCGACCTGAGCCTCGAGCTTGCTGCATTCCTTGGCGAGCTCGGTCTGCTCCTGTTCGAGGCGTGCCACCTTGCCGCCCTTTGCCAGTTCCTAGAGATGCATTCCGAGAATGTCAGTCGCGATCCATCTAGGAGAAACGGTGCAAGCGAATGGACCGACCGCCTCCCTCCTCTTCTCAATCTCGAGGACATCCTTCTCCATCCTTTCGGCTTCCTTGTCCATCCTCGCCTTGCTCTCAACAGCTTTTTCCAACCTCTTCTCACTCTTCTCAACCCCAACCCCACCTTCCTTGAGCCGCTTGACGACCTCCAACCAATCCCACGCCACGACCAACCGACTCAGTCTCTCCAACTCGCTCGCCTTTTTCTGAAACTCCAAAAAGACCCTCTTCTCTTCCCTCAACCGATCAAGCTTGGGCACGATCTCTTCCTTCAAGAGGTCCTGAATCTCGTCGAGGCGTTTCTCCTTCTTGGCCATCGTCTTGACGGCCTTGTCCTTCTTCTCTTCAAACATGGACGTGCCCGCGGCTTCTTCGATCATGGAGAGGATCTCTTGCGGGCGCATGTTGAGCACTTTGGTGATCTTGCCTGGAAGTGTACCGGAAGGAGCAAGAAGGTTGAGCAAGACGACCAAAAAAAAAAAAAGAAAAAGAAAAGCCCGGGGCTCCGAATTGAGGACTGACCTTGCATGATGAGGAAGTTGGGGTTATTGATATTGAGCTGCACGGACTGGAACAGGTTCTGCACCGCGGCCTGGGTCGAGCGATGTCCGCAGATGAGGTACTTGGAGGTACCGTTGAGCGCGATCTGGCGTGTGACGCTGATTTCGGGATGGGCCTCGAAGCCGACGGGGGCTTTGGACTTGTCCGAGTTGTCAAAGACGATCGTGACCGAGGCGCGCGTGACGCCGGCTTGGCCTCGTTTGTAGATGAGATCCAAGAGGTTGGAGGCGCGGACCTGTGCGTGCCGAGGACAGCGGCGAGGCGTTGTTCAGCAGGACGGGACGAGCAGGCGAGTCAGCGACCGGGGCCCGTCGAGTGACTGTCCGAGGCTGATGACCCATCGGATGACATACCGTAGTCAAATTGGTGATACCGAGCACGAAGCAGATGGAATCCAGGATATTGGATTTGCCCGATCCGTTCCTGTGCGCCGATTTCGAGGTGTGAGGGTGTCAGTACTCGCCCGCCTTGCCCGGCTGCGACACGCGTCGTTCAACAAGCGCGGTCGGGGAGGCGACGCGTGGCTCGGTGTTGGCTTCCCGGCTGACTTGGCTCACAATCCGGTGATCGCATTGAAGCTCGGGTCCCATCCGCTGATCGAGGTTCGTACGGGACTGTAGGAGCAGACACCACGCACAATCGGATGGGCGAAAGGGGGGGGTGTTGCCGAGATCAGCAAACACGACCCGCGACGGACGTAGGCTCAAGCTCGGAGCAGGGTCGAGGGTACTGACTAGGACTTGAACCCATCCAGCACGAGTTCGGTGATCCTCATGTTGGCGAGGGACGGCCCTCGGATTGGGCGACAACACGGCAAGATGACCCTACAACTTGAAAAGACGAGGGTCAACACTCGCAGAGTGAACGACGCCGCGCGACGCGTGATCGGCCTCCATTTCCCAGTTACAAATCGCGCATAATGAACGCCTCGCCTCGCTAACGGTGGAGATTACATTGTGTAAATCGCTTGTTGTTCAATTCCATACAAAAAAAAGGGAAGAAGAATGTGAGGGAACATGACCTCAACACGAGACTCAGTATAGTTGATGGGGTGTAGGGCTCGTCCAACCTCGCCGCCCATCCCCTTTTCTGTCCCCCTCCCCTGCTCAGCTCCAATTCGACCACATGCCTCAAGCCGTTCCGAGGAACCTAACCGATCGATCCAGACTACTCGTCGCGATCTCCTTCCCGTCCGCACTCCACTCGACGCCCGTGATCTCACTCGTGTTTTCCTCATTAACCAGCACCGGTTCCCACGTCTTGTTCGCAAATACGCGCAAGTCGTTGCCGACGACGGTCAAATACTGCGCCGAAGGGTCGAAGCGCACCTGGTTGACGAGTGTGGCTTCGCCCTCGGGCAGCTCGACGTTGGCTGAGTTGGTCTGCTTACGCAGGTCCCAGATTTGCACCTTGTTTGAGCCTTTGGACGCCGAGGCGAGCGTGTAACCGTTCTCGGAGAAGGACAACGATACGACCGCTTCGCCCAGGGTCGTGTCGAATGTGGCTGCGATCTTGCCCGTGACGCTGTCAAAGATACGGATCTGACCGTCCGAAGAGCCGAGACCGAAGATGGCTCCGTCGGGGTGGAAAGCGATCGAGGTACTCGAGACGCCCTCGACGGGAAGTTGCCCGGTCAAGACGGTCGAAGCTTTGGCACCGTCGAGCGAGTGAATGGCCCACGATCCGTCCAACGAGGCCGATGCGACGAGTCGTCCGGAAGGGTGCAGCGACAGCCCACTGACTTCACCCCCAGTCGCGAGGATCGTCGAGCCATAGACGGTCTTGGCTCCATTCGGCGTCCAGACGCGAACGGCCTTGTCGAGCGAGCCAGAGACGAGGAATGTCGGCAGACCGGCATCGGTCAGCGTCGACGAGGCGATGACGGCAGAGACCTTTTTGGTGTGGCCCTTGAGCGTGGCGACGATCTTGGAGGTCGAGCGGTCGTAAACCTGGACGGCCTTGTCGAGGCTGGAGGCGCGGGACGCGGGCGACACACCGGAGTGAGCATGGGTCCGCAGCTCGAGACTCGACTCGATACGAGATTGTGCACTTACCCTCCGGTAACGATCAAAGACGCATCTTTGGCCAAGGCGAGTGCCGAGAGTCCGGCGGGCTTGGTCGTGTGCAGACTCGGGATCGCGGTCGTGGTCGTATATGCCTTGATCGCATCGGCGGTCGCATAGTCGGCGGGGGCCTTTCGCTTTCGTCGTGTAGCGGAAAGACTGCAGAAGGATAACCAGTGATACCTAATGAGCACATTCGACAGTGGGACGGGGACGCCGGCGCGAGGGACTGACGCTTTGTTGGTGTCCTGAACGATCTGCGCCGCCTCGGCAGGTAGGCCGGCCTCGGGTGCTTCGGATGCTTGGTTCGATGCCTCCATCTCGACATCACCACCGGCACCATTGGCGGCACCACTCGAGAACGCAGGGCCGAGCGTCGCCTTGACCGACGCGAGCGCTCTGTTGGGCGAGGGGTAAGTGACCAAGGTCAGGATCCATGATTCGGCCACGCGGTCGTTGTCATCTAGACGGTGACACCCGCTCCGAAAAGAATGAAAATAGTGGTGTGCACCCACTCCCTGGCCTCGTCACGTTCCCGTGTCAACCTTGCGAGCACGCGCATCGCGGCGTCCTCCTTGTACAAGGCGTGACTGAGTTCCTGTCGCAATTCCTCGCCGGCACGACGCAGCTCCAAGCATTCGAGCATGGTCGCATCCCACTCGGACTGGAGCGTGTGCAGCAGCGCGGGGACCGAGGTGAAGGTCGGAGGGCGAGGCGGCGCAGATGGCGCTCCCGGCGCTGTTGGGGGGTGGGAAGCCAAGGCAACGTGGCGCCAGAAGCACTTTATCAGTACAGTGCTGAGGGAAGATCATGTGGAATTGGTGGTGGGTGAACTGGACCGTGCAGTGGTGCGAATCGAGTGCAGGCACTGCCATGAGCAAGCGGCAAGCAGCTCGACGACGCAAATCCTCGACTGCCAGATCAGGGCAGATGCAGGGCCACTCCCCAAGCATGGCAGGTTCCCATCATGGCCCTCAACCGTAAGAAGTGCACGTACCCGTCTTGATCTCGACGAGGTCTTCGTCGGTCAGTTGCTGGCCGGTGATGGGGTCCTTGCCATCGTTGTCGCGCAGGTACTTGAGCACCAACTCGCGCTCGTAGACGTGGCCCGACTTGATCGACAGCACCGGTTTCAACGGCGGTTGCCCCGAGATCGAACAGAACAATGACATGATCGACGGTGGGCGGTAGAGGTCGTTCGCGTCGGGTGATGGAAGGGAACGAGGGTCATCCGCGCGCAACTGCTTTGGAGGGAGGGGCATGCAGCGCGCGCCAAAGTCTGCCCTATCAGGCCCTATCTGCCAATGTCCTCAGCGCCAATCTGCGGCGAGTGGGCGCTTGGACCTCTTTCTCCTGTTACACATTGTCAAGCATGCTGCGTCGCCAATCATGCTTGTTCGCCCAAGGACAAGGCCTGTCTCGACTACGCGCTTTGTCTCCGGCATCTGTCACCGTTCACTCCCGGAATGTGCCACTACTCCCCACTTGAAATCCTCGACGCCTACATCCCGGGAGCGTACTAGTAAGAAGACGAGGGAACTCCTGCCTCAAGGCTGGCCCCTGGGCCCTGGGTCCGCTACTTCGAAGCCTGGGCGTCGGCAACAACGCTCAGCCCCCCAAACCCCCAACTGCTGGCGTCGACGGCTGCTCCCTTCAGCTTGAACCACGTGTTTTCGTCCACATGAGATCTGATCAAGGTCCTCCCTTTGGCCACCGTCCCGTGCGTGGGAACCAAGACGTTGCGAGCTTATTGGAATCTCCGTCACGAACCGGGCATCACGGTCAAGACGGATCGAGGCAGGCTACCTCCGAGTCATCGGGAAGTTACACCGCGATTGAGATGGCGACGGACGAGGTCGGCGCTGGGGCGGTAGGCCGATCCACTTTGCTCCTTTCTCAACGGGTGCGCGTGAGGTTTTATCCGGCGTCTGACCCTCAAGAACCGGGAGTATGGAGAAACATCAGCAGTATCGAGAATCGTCACGTCCCCCCAAGCCATCTCGGCGCTCGTCAGGCTGGCACCGGCATTCACGGCTGTCGACCCCTACACCGGCAGAAATTCACACTCTCCCGAGACTACCACGCCGCTTGGGAGCACCCTCATCCAACCGGGACTAACCGATCCAAGTCGTCGACGAGGATACACGCTTCCGCCGCCAGTTTGAAGGTCTGGTCTAGGCGCTTTGAAACGCTCCTCCGGTACGACGCGCCGCGCCGCAGGTGATTCCTTCAGAGCATGACGTGACCTGAATAGACTTCAAGTTCGCAAACCTACCTCGCTCCAACTCGCTTCGTTCAGTAGCGCATTAGATTGTACCTGTAATTTGATCTAATCCGGTGTCGATTGTCTGAATATGCCTCCTCTACTTGCTTGTGGTGGCTAAGTCCTTGAGTAAATTCTGATCCTGATTCGGCGTCGCCGTGCTGCGAGCCGCGTCCCTTCTGAACGCCATGACTAGCATGGCGATTGCATGCGAGGCAAACGAAATCCTTGTTGTGGTCCCCGGTTGGCCTTATAGGTTGACCGGTGACGATTTGGTGGAATGTGAGAAGCGATACGACGCATTCTTGAGAGTTTCCCGCTCGGCGTTCGGGGGGAGCGCCCGGGAGCGCCCGAGGAGCGCCCCTATTTGGTGAACTTCGAGGCGCTGGGGCCGGCCAGGAAGAACTGTCGGGCTCGCCGTTGCACAATAGCGCTAAGTTCAACGGCGAAAGTGGATGGCTCCTCGTGTTCGGTATGAGGCGAGCCTCACTCGGTGCTGTAGCATGATCTCGGAGGGTGCGGCAAATTTTCGCCCAGTCGGCTTCGGGCCCGATAATTTCTTCTGGATAGGCTCGGTCGAGTCATGTAGGGAATTGGACGTGTTAGTTTTCTGAACCGAGCTGCTGAATTTTGTACATTGTGCTGAGGTTCACAAAGTTCTCGATGCAAGACCGCCGTCAGCCAGCAGCAGCAGTAAGCGTCGGCTAGCGTCGGCCGGCGAAGGCCCAGCCCGACGTTTGGCCCAGTCCGCAGGGCGCAGGGGGCCAGCGCGCGAATGGCCGGCCCGGACGAGTTTCGCGCGGTGGCCGCCGTCAGCCGCCGTCGACTTGTACTCGTGCTTACCACCGACCCGTCACCGCCTCGAATCCTCGAGCTCGCCTCGCCATCTTCCCCTCCGTCGCCGTCGCCTTTATTCCAGTGATCTCCACCTCTACCCAGGCAGACTCTTGCACAACGCCTCGCCGCGATGTTGGTGCTGTTTGAATCGTCGGTCGGGTTGGCGCTGTTCAAGGTCAAGGACGGCAAGCTCGACGACAAGCAGCTGTACAAGCAGTTCGATGACCCCGAGTCGGCTTCCAACCTGTGAGTGACCGTACCGGGCCGTGTTGGCTGTGATGACCGTGGTCGACAACACCTTGGCGGCTGTGGAATGGCTCTAGCCCGGCGTCAGGCTCAGGCTCAGGCTCAGCCGGCTCTGGCTCAAGCGCTCAGGGCCGAGTCGACACTTCGCAAAAGCTTCGTCGCAGCAGCCACGCAGCCCGCAGCCAGCAGCCAGCAGCCAGCGGCCACCAGCAACCAGCACTCGGGACGGACCACGGCGACCCTCAGCTCCCTAGCTCGGCCGCCACCTCGACAACGGCTGGATCGTCGATTCTTCATTCCGCACCCCCCACTTGAAGCTCCTGCCACAACTCATGAAAGTGTAGTGTATGCGTCGTCCTCCGCGCCGCTCGACCCGGTCCGCCCGCCCGCGCCGCCCGCCGCCCGCGTCTTTTCGACCCGACACTTCCGCCACGACCATCCGATGCGACCAACCACAACTTCCACCCCATCTTTCAACCACAAGCAAACTAACTTCATGTCCTACTTCCCTCCTCGACCTCCCCCCCGCACAGGGTCAAGTTGCAGGCGATCCACCGCTACACCTCCACCGCCAGTGCTGTCGAGGACATGACCTCGATCGGAGAGGGCAAGGTATCCAAGGCGCTGAAAAAGTTCCTTACCGACGAGATCACCGGCAACAAGAAGCTCAAATCCGAGAAGCTCGCCGTCGCTGAACCCAAGCTCGGTAAGCGGCGCTCGCTTCCTCGTCCAAGATGCCTCTACGCGACAAGGACTGACGATCCCATCCTTCCTCCCCCTCCAGCCGGTGCCATCGCCAAGAAGCTCGAACTGTCCGTCATCTCCGACTCGACCGTCAACGACCTCTACCGAGGAATCCGTCAACAGCTCTCGACCCTCCTTGGCGACATCGACCCCAAGGACCTCTCGACCATGGAGCTCGGTCTTTCCCACTCGGTGTCGCGGTACAAGCTCAAGTTCTCGCCCGACAAGGTCGACACCATGATCGTGCAGGCCATCGCCTTGCTCGACGACCTCGACAAGGAGATCAACATCTACTCTATGAGGGTCAAGGAATGGTACGGGTGGCACTTTCCCGAAATGGGCAAGATCGTCTCCGAGAACATCACCTACGCCAAGGTCGTCAAGGCCATGGGCTTCCGCACCAACTACAACACCACCGATTTTTCCGCGATCCTGCCCGAGGAACTCGAGGAGACGCTCAAGTCCGCCGCGGCCATCTCGATGGGTACCGAGATCTCCGACACCGATCTGAACCACATCCTCTTGCTCGCGGACCAAGTCATCTCGATCACGCAGTACCGCACCGAGTTGTTCGACTACCTGCGCAACCGCATGGCCGCGATCGCACCCAACTTGACCGCGCTCGTCGGTGAACTCGTCGGCGCGAGGTTGATCGCCCACGCCGGTTCGCTTTTGTCGCTTGCGAAGCACCCGGCGTCGACCGTGCAGATCTTGGGCGCGGAGAAGGCCTTGTTCAGGGCGCTCAAGACCAAGCACGATACCCCCAAGTACGGTCTCATCTTCCACGCCTCCTTGGTCGGCCAAGCACCGCAAAAGCTCAAGGGGAAGGTCAGTTTCTGCGTCGAATGCTCGACGAGCCGAACATCCGAACGACCTTACTGACGCTGACCCACTCCTGCACTACACTTAGATGGCACGAATGGTCGCGACCAAAGCCGCACTCTCGATCCGATTAGACGCCCTCGCCGACGCCGATTCGAAATCGTCCCTCGACTCGGCCACGATCGGACTCGACAACCGCGTCAAACTGGAAGCGCGTCTCCGTTTGCTCGAACAAGGTATAGGGCACACGTCCTTGCGTTCGTTGAGCAAGACGGGGGCGCAACAGTCCAAGTTTGAGATGAAAGGGAATGGGGCCAAGTATAACGATGCGGCGGATACGCTCTTGTTGCCTACTGCGACGGCGACGGGTCCGATGGAGATGGCGGTGGACGAGAAGGTTCTGTTGAAGGAGGATGAGCGCGTTGTAGAAGGGGAGGAGGACGAGGAGGCCAAGAAGGAGAGGAAGAGGCTGAAGAAGGAGGCCAAGAAGGCGGCAAAGGAAGGCAAGGCGAATGGGGATGCCGCTGAGGACGAGGAGAAGAAGGAGAAGAAGGACAAGAAGAAGAAGCGAAAGGCCGAGGACGATGGCGAGGTCGAGGAGGGGGAAAAGAGTAAGAAGAAGAAGAAGGACAAGAAGGCAAAAGAGTAGAGAGTTCCCCGATGCTCTCGCTCCATCCTGTAGTTTAATTCGATTGCCCCCTTCTTCCTTCTTGACTTTCGGATCTTTCCCTCTTTCGCACACTTCTCGTTCTTTCAACTGTTTGTAATAACAACATTCTATTCTCCTACTACCCTGCCTTACCCGGCATAAGTGAACCACGCGCTTCTACAATCGACGGCGAGTTTCCTGACCTGCTTCTTGGGGTCGTCAACGCTTTGCGCCAACTGCTTGAGCACCATCGGTTTTTGCGGGTGGAGGACGTGGTAGGGGACTTGGGCGGGGAGGACTTGGAGGAAGGAGAGGCACGAGGACCTCAATGTCTGAAGGCGGAAAGGTGAGATTCATCAGCGTTATGCTGTCAAGACCGTAGCCTAGGGTCCGCCAGTTTTCGAACTAACGATCAACTCTTTTGAGGACCCAATTTCATTCGCGAGTGATTTGATGAGCTTATTTACGATGGAAGGAATGTTCAGCTCGAGCGTCTCGGACAACGTCTCTTCCAACGTCAGCGTCTTCAACGAGTCGATGACGTTGGCTCGTAAAAGGGGGTCAGGGAGGTCGAGGGCCGAGATGAGGAGTGGTAAGAGCTGCGTGAGGTGGACGATATATCAGCACTGAGAGAATGAACTCGACTCGTGTTGGATGGCTAATCAGACTCACCCGAGGCAGTTCAGTGAGCGTCAATTGTTTTGGGATGTGGTTGAGCAGGCCAGAGAGCGCGACGAGACGAACGGCCAAGACGCTCGGGTTGCCCGACGCTTCGTCATGTCCCGCCACAATTTTGGGGAGTACGAACGAGCAGAAGCGTTGCTTGTACAGCAGCTGAGCACGTAGCGACACAACAAGATTATCAGTTCAACACGCCCCGGGACCACGTCCAAACCCTGCACCGAGGGGACACTCACCCGAAGCACAGCAAAGTTGTCCTTGGATAAGACCTGATCGCTCTCGTCCGCGATGACGCCTAGAGCCTGCGCCGCCGCATTCCCCAACACCTCATCATCGAACAAGCCCACGATTTTCGAGACCATATCATAACCCCTTTGCTCCGATCGCACGATCAAACCTTTCGCGATCCACAACCACGCACGTAAAGCGATCACTCGAGTCGACGCTGGCCCCCCTTCGATATTGTCGGTCCAGAACGTGGACAGGTCCTTCTCAAAGCAAGGAACGAGTTCGGGTGCTCGTTTGTTGACGAGTGATCCGAGGAGATGCAAGTTCGCGATTCGTTGAATCTCATCCTCTGCTTGGACGGATCGTCGAAGGGTGCCTCGGACGAGGTCATTGATGTCTTGCTCCGGGGACAGCTTGACCGCCGGTCGAATAGGTACGAGCGAGGCGGTGTACAGCAAAATCAAGTTTCGTTGAGCTGTGGGTCCGTTACCGAGAGGGTCGAACGCGACTTTCGTCGGTGCAGATTTGACGCTCTCGCCCAAGAGCGCCTCGAGCTGACCCGAGTGGAATGCAGCTGAAACGTCCGCGGCGAATCGAGTCTGCCGACCCGCATCCAATCGTTGAACGATAACGGTGATGATCGCCGCCACGTCGTGCAACAGCCGTACGTCCGTGACGATACCGTTCAACCCGCTCGAGGGTCCAACAGTTGGAAGGATGAACAAGCCGAGTAACCGCGGGGCAAATTTTTCAATATATTTGACGACGTCGTCATCTTCTCGCTCGACTTTGGTCTTGAGCACGGCTTTGAGGGTCGTGAGGAGATGGTGCGCATACAAGAGGACCGAAGGCGTGACCTCCGGTGTCGGCGTCGAGATGATGCCTTCAAGTCGTGCCAGTAGTCTCAACGAGAGGATCTCGAAGAGGTCAGGATGCATGGCGCACAAAGCGGCCAGAGCTTCGAGGGCTTTTCGGTACCGTGTCGATTCGAGACTCTTGTGGAATGGAACGGTTTCAGCGCTTGTCGGTAACCGCTCAAACAGCTTGGGCAACGTCGACGACTCGACCGTTCGAGGATGCAGTGCAGCGAGGAGGACGAGGCCGTCGAGCGCATTCTCATAGTCGTCCTCTGTGAAGGACGAGGATGACTCGGCGTCGGCTCCACCGATCAAGACGTCGTCGATCGCCGAGATGCAGTACTCGACCTCAGGTGGGGCGAGAAACTCTGGAACTCGGACGAGTCGAACCAGACCGTCCATAGCAGGGGCTCTCGACGAGGCTGACCGAGACCCCGACGTCAGGACCGACAAAAGCTCATCTCGGAAGGGCTCGAGAGGCGAGGCGCCTTCGGCATGGGGCAAAGTCGGAGGAGGGAACGAGATGGGAGCATCGGCCGGTGCGGTCGAGATGAGAGGCGCAGGCGTCTCGAGAGGTGAAAGTGAGGACAAGAGATCTGCAAGACAAGCCAGTGTCGGTGCTCGCAGAGCGATTTCGTCCGGGTCCTTGTAGAGGTTCAGTAGTTGTGGGACGGTGACGGAGAGCACGTATGCGGCAAGTCGATCGGAGCTGCAGATGAGCGCGTTGAGGATCTTGACCGCGGGCTTGGCATTGCTCTTGTCCGGCTCTCTGAGCTCGTCGAGCGAGTTTTGTACGACCTTGATGGCAATACCTTCTACTCCTGTCGGCGCCGGCGCCGATTTCGTAATTTCGTCGGCATCGGCGGCTGGCATCTCGGCATCACCATCCTTTTCGTCGGATTGTAGTGTGGTGGTCGTGATCGAGACGGGGGAAGTGTCGGGGTAAAGTGTCGAATAAAGTGCGCGAAGGCACTCCAGTGCTAACTTCATCATGCTCGAGTCCGTCGCGTGGAACACCTGTCGAACCGGGACAAGTAAATACTCGGACCCTGGGCAACCAACGTGTGCTAATCGGACTGACCTCGATGCTGAGAGCCTCCGAGAAACGACCCGCCCATTCGCCACACACAGCGGCTCCGTAGATAGGGAAGCAGGTGATGAGAGCTTGCAGCGTTTGTCGCTGATGGAGATGGGGCTCATGGAGGGGTCAGCCAAAACGATCATCGGAGCCGAAACGTCAGCCTGAACCCACCTTGGCCTTTTCACTCGCAGCTTGCATCTTGTCGAGGAACAGAGGGAGCGCAAGTTTGCCAAAGTACGGTGTTGCTGATAAGCAGTGCCTTTGGAAGCAAGGCAATCTTTGATGATAAATCACTCCATTCGGAGTTGAGAGAGCACTTGCGACTGACCTCAGTGCAACTATCAGATCTTCGCTCGTGATGCCATACGGATCATCTTTGGGTGGGTTGAAGGTGATGGGGAAGTAGCAGAATGTGACGTCGAAAAGGTCCTGTGAGGTGAATGAAGATGTTAGCGAGGCGCCGACGACTCGTTCCAAACTTGAACTGCCGGAAACCCACCTCGATGCTGCCAGTGAGGTCAAACTCGAGCAGGATGACCCTGATGAGGTTGAAGCTGAGCATGAGGTTTCTCGGGTCCTTTTCGCCCTCGACCATCCGACTGTAGCCCTTGATGAACTCGCGACCGAGTCGCTTGAGCGCCGGTCGGGAGCGGGACATGAGCGCATCGACGAGCTGGTAGACGACGAAGCGGGACGCCTGCGGGTACGTCTGCAGGTCGATCGAGGCGAACAGTCTGAGGGATGAAGTGGGCGTAGGGTCAGTTGCCAAGTCAATGCCCAAGTATCGAGGCGGGTGCGGGTGCTGCAGCTGACGCTCGAGCGACTTGAACACCTTCGCCAGTGCCGAACGTCGGCGATTCGGTCAGTGCGGCCAGAGCGGATGCGCAGGAGAGCAGCAGAGGCTTGTCGGATAGTTTGTCGGCAAAGAAGGTGGTCAAGGTGTTGGCTGTGAGGGATAGATGGCCGCACACTGGTCAGCGCCGAGAGCGGGCGGAGGTGGGGGTGGTCGACGAGTGCGAAGACTGACTGCTCTGTCGATCCAGCTGGGAACGGTCAATCTCAGCGACGACTCGAGACAAGAGCGAGACACCTGGTGCGAACAGGTAATCGGATGAGCATTGTTGTCCTGACGCTGTTTCGTTTCTCGTGGGCTGCTCCATCGCCAGCTGCGTTCGCACGGGCTGCATGAGCTGACCTTTGGCTCGGGTTTGATCGTGCTCTGCGATGAGTAGCTCCCGAAGCGACTTGACAAGCTCGATCAGCTTGTACTGCTGTCGATCGAGACCTGTGTGTTGAGGAAGGAGCGCGCGAGAACGGCCCAGTGAGCTCCAGGTCGAGCGAGTGCAGCGTGCAGGCGAGGCGCACTATCCCGACTGACCATCAGCAATCCGAGTCGGTATTGTTGAAGCCGAGGGGTCGTCCTCGACCGAGTAGGATCGTACGAGGGCGGCGAGTTGGTCGATGCTGGTGGCCATGCTCGTCGTGCTCGTCGTGCGCGTCCGGTACGACCCAAGCCAGAGAGCGCTTTCCCCCCACCCGCTGCGATAGGGGGCTCCTGCTGTTGCTGGGCGCTGCAGGGCGCTGCTGGGGGTTCCTACTGGGCTCCTCTGACCCAGCGCTCAGCGCTCAGCTCAGCGCGCTCGGCTCGGCTCGGATCGTCTGTCTCCGCGGGATGCCTGCCGAATGCTGGGCCGGTCGAGCGCGCAGTGCTGTGGGTCGGTTGCGCTCGGACCTCTCGACAGTCAAGCGCGCGTGGTCAGCACTCGCACCTCGCCTCTTCATCTCTCCAACCTCCGTGCGATCCTGACCAGTTCCATCCAGCCCGTCTCCAACTCAAGTCCTCATCATGAACTCGAACAACCGATCAGCGATGAATACTGCACTCAAGCGGCTCATGACCGAGGCAAGTCGACGACGACGACGACGACGCGACAGACCTTCAACCTCTTTGGCCACTCACGTGCTATCCTGACCGATCTATCTACCGATTCGCTCCACAGTACAAGCAGTTGACCGCATCAGAGAACGAGGACAGCATGTTCACCGCGGGCAAGTCCCATACACCCCTTTCGTCGCCATCGGCTCGTCCAGTCGCGTGCCTCTGCCGCACCCGACCACGGCGGCCCACGTACCGGTGTGCGTCACTCATCACCCCTCAGCCTCTCTCTCTCTGCGATCTCACAGGCCCCATCTCGGAGAACGACTTTTTCATCTGGTCCGCGTTGATCCAAGGCCCTTCGGAAACACCGTTCGAAGGTGGCGTCTTCGAGGCCGAATTGACCTTCCCACGCGACTACCCGCTCAGCCCGCCCAAGGTGAGCAACACGTCAGGCACACTCGAGGGCTGACCACGACCGCCGTGAGCTGATGACTGGTCTGCTTCCACCTTTGCCCCGCTCCCGCTCATGTTGTCGTGGACGTGCTGCGTCGCCACGCGCCGCCTCTGCTGCCTTTGTTCAACGACGCCGAAACTCCGACTTGGCATTCGGGTCATCTTTCGGCACCCATAGATGAAGTTCACACCACCCTTGTTCCACCCCAATAGTCAGTCAAAATTTCAAATCCTGTTGAATCACCCATTCACATGAACCGGCATCGTCTTCCCCTCCCCCAGTCTATGCCTCGGGAGATGTCTGCATCTCGATCCTCCACGCCCCCGGCGACGACCCCAACGCGTACGAGTCCTCGTCCGAACGATGGTCCCCCGTCCAATCCGTCGAAAAGATTCTCTTGTCCGTCATCAGCATGCTCGCAGGTACGTCCAGCCCAACTTCCCCCAAAGCACCTTGATCCGAGCTAGCAGAGACTGATCCGGGTTTTCCACTCGCAGAACCGAATATCGAGTCCGGCGCCAACATTGACGCATGTGCAAGTTCTCTCCTTCTCACGCACTCTGTCACTCGATACGATACTAACAGCTCATCATTTTTCCCTCTCCAGAAACTTTACCGAGACGACCGCGAGGCGTACGACGACATGATCCGCCAACACGTTAGGCAACAACTCGACCTGTGAACAGGATGCCTATTCCGAGAAAGGACGATCTTGCTTTCTCTTACAGAGTCCCCACTAGTCCTTTAACAAGCCGACTTGACCCACGACCCACTCTTCCACCCTAGTTCCTAACTTCACACCCTGTAGGCATTTACGCATATAATCATCTGCTCCGTCGTTACATCTCAAAGCAAAGTAGACGAGCTACGCCCCTTCTCGAGTTTTGATTTCAATTACACTTCCACAACCCAGCACAACCATCCGTTTCACACGCACCCTTCAAACCCTCCTCGGCGGTTCCAACACCGTCCTCAATTCTTTCTCTCTCTCCTCCTTCTCCGCTTCGGGCAGCACCTCGTCGATCGGCGTGACCTTGACTTGGATCTTGTCCCAAAACACCAACTGGTCTTCCTCGGACCGATCGGGGTCATGCGCAAATACGGTCGGGTCTTCTCCTCGCTGTAAGAATCAAAGATGAAAGAGACCCTCCATCAGCTTTGAGTGAATCGGGACATCCCTAAGCGTAAAACTCACCCTCGGTCGTCGTTTCCTCAACGTCTGCGCCATCTTGACCGGCGTGAAATACGCCCCTCTAGCCCTCTTCTTCCCCCCTCCCCCATTGCCGACCTCCTCCTCCTTCTCCCCCGTAGAAGTAACGGTCTCACCACCCTGATCCGGTTCCTTCCCGAGCCCATCATGGACAACAAAGACGTATTCGCCGACCAAGGTCCGGGTGGTCGTGATCTCGTAATCGCGCACATGGACGAATTCAAAGCCTTCATCCTCCTCCGCTCCTCCTCCTCCCTCCTCTTCGTCGTCGTCGTCCAGTACCCTCTCCCTCTTCTTCGTATACGCCTGCGCAACCTGATCCGAAACGGGCAAATAGTACCCGACCCTATTATCATCCTCCGGCAACTCGACAGGTCGGAACAACGCCCTCGGTAACCTCGGGTCCAAGAACCCATGTCCCCCACCCGTCCCGACCGCATTGGTCCCTTCCTTCTCCGCTCGTTCTCCCGGATCTTCCCCGAATCGAACGAGGTTGAGTTGATTGGGCCATAGTTCGGCATCGGGGAGTACGTCCCACGCTTCTTCGGCTCGGAGATGGGCTTTCGAAGGGTGACGCAGTTCGGACAAGGGGATATGAGCGGCGGTGAAAGTCGAAGCGATCGTTTTGGCTCGTGCGTCTCGGGATAACGAATCGAGGAGAGGTTCGTCCGTTTTGGGCGCACTTTTCGGGAAGGGTCAGGGGGGGGGGGATGAGCGATGCATTGTGGATAGCGACTGCGCAAGACTTGAACCCAAGATCGGTCGACTCACCTCGGTGCTTGCTTATCGGTCAATACCTTGGACCCGGGATCCGAACTGAGGTATTCGGTCCTCCTCAACCAACTGACATCGACCTTCCTCCTCTCGCCCATCGCTGGGGTCCCTCCCCCGGGTGGGATGAGGCCCGGAGTTCCGACGAACGACGACGAGGCCGAGGATGGTCCGGCCGCTGCGACGTCGCCGAGGAGGAAGAGATCTTCTTCGTGTGGTGTGGGTACCGGACCGGTGGGAACGATAGCTTTTGGAAGTAAACCACATATTGGGTCAGTTCTTTGAACCCAATGCGGCGGGGAAGCAGCAAGATCGCTTGCCGCGGTCAGAGCACCGCGCCTAGCCAGAGCATCGTACGACGTACCCGCTCGGTTCCCAATCCAGTACTCCTCCTCTCCATCCCCATAAGCTCCATCGGGGATCTTGCCCAACTCGAGAGGAAGACCGAGTTCGCCATCGAGAATCATGGGCACCTCCCGCTCCGAGGCGAGCGCGTTGAGCGCACCCGCCTCCGCATACCGATGAGGGCTCGTCGGGATGTGCAGCAGTCGAGGTGGGAATGGCGGCTGTTGGATGTCAGGCATGGATCTGCACAAGTCAGGACGAGCTACCGGGCAGGGACGCGGGACACCGTCAGCCAACTGACCGGAGGTAGCTTCTGCTGGTAGCGCACTCGGACGATCAGGTCCGTTTTGCTGAGCAAACGGCGGGGGCCAAGGTCAGTCAGGAAGCGAGCGTGTATTTCCTGGGTAGATGCTCTGGGCTCACGAGTTGCGTGAGGCCATTGTGGTCGGGTGGGTGGCGCAAGCTGACAGGGGCACGTCAACCCACAAATGAGCTCGCGCCGGGCGATCCGTCAATCTGGACGGGCAGATGGCGCAGGATGGCGCTCGGACCCAGCCAAGTCGCTTCTCGAAAATCTGCCCACGGAGAAACTCGCAAACACTTGAGTCCCTATGACGCAATGGATCATTCGTATGATATTACAAGATGTGCAAAAACAGTTGAGGTTGATCTACGACTCAAGTAGATCATCTCAAGTCGTTTCCCGCACCAAAGCGACCCGCCACTGCCAAACCTTCTCCAGCGACCTCGGTCTTCCAGGAGGTGGTTTGTCCCGAATCCTCTTCTTCTGGCCCAGTTTCATTCGAGCTTGTTGGAAGCCAAGGTGATGTCGTACTTGAGCTCCAATTTGGGCGTCTCGTCGAATTCACCGCCATTGGGCAAGGGGTGACAAACGGGGACAAAGTCGACGACGAGCGAGTCCCTGGGAGCCATGATACAGCGTCGTCAGCTCGATCGCCAGTACTGGGACCGCGAATAGCTCACTTGACGGCAAAGACGGCATCGTCGTCGAGGTACTTGGAGTTGCGGTCAAAGACTTGGGTGACCAGGGTTTTGTGACCGGGAGCGCTAACGTAAAACTGTGAACGCGACCACCACAACGACGTCAGCGCATCTCATCACACCACTATTGTGAGCAAGGCATCCACTCTAAACCCACGTGGATATGAGCAGGTCGATATGCGTGTCGATCCATCATCGTCAATACTTTGCCGGCAGTGTGATCGAACGGGACCGGGTACGGCGTCGGGACGAGCGCGATTGTCGAGTACTTTCCATCTTCTCCCGTCTCGAAGCTGATCGCAAGGCTCTGTGGTCAGCTACGCATTTCGCTCGCGTAATTTGTCGTATCCGCACTCACCGACCACGGCAGTGGTATTCTGCCTTGTCGGGGCTCTGAGCATCGTAGTAGCCGTCAGGAGCCTGAAGCAGCGCCGAAAAAGAAAAAGAAAAATCAGCTCAGTCCTGTCAGCCCTGCTCAGCAGTCCAATTACGAAGAAAAATGTGCTTACATCGTGCCAGATGTCGACGATTGCGCCCTTCAATGGCTTGCCATCGCAGCCGAATACGGTGCCAAAGAGATGTGCGAATGGCGCGCCTGGCTCCTTTTCACGAATGATGGAAGTTCCCATTGGCTGCGGGGTCACGCCTGCGCGGGAAGGACAGGTCAGTCGCAGCTATTCCGAGAACGAGCCAAACGACCCACCGTGTCGATAGAAAGGACCAAGGATGGCAGAAGGGGTGGCATCGACTCCAGCTTTGGCGTACTTGTCATGCTCCAACCTTGATCAAGCCGCAGGAAGGACTATCCGTCAGCTTCGGAGCTCGGAATTCGTGTTCGGCACCGAATTTTTGTAGTAACATACATGTCAACAAGGGATTCGACGCCAAGAACGTCGGTCACTAGAACCATCTCGTTGCGCTTGTCATCCGAAACCTTGCCTGCGAGCGAAAAGTGACGATCGAGTGAGATTCGGGCCCGAGCCTCGCTGATCGACTCGGCTAAGCTTTACGTACCAGCTTCGATGAGTAGATTACAGATCCCAACTGGGGTCATAGGTAGTATGACAGCGGAGCATGAGATTCTTCGGCCACGAAATACGATCCCGATGCACCGCACTCACGCCACTCCTCGGTCGTCAGGCCCGTCTCGATGATCGCAGCGTGCAAGTGCTTGAGCATGATCGGGAACGCCTCCTTGACGCGGGGTGAGGCATTCTTGCCAATCGAATCAATCACACTCTGCGTCTGTGGGCAAGAGCAAGGTAGGGCAAGAACCGTCAGCGAGCGTACGAGCCGCTCGGCGTACTGCTCGAGTCGAATGTGGGGCACCGTGCGTATGCGGTGATGACCCCGCACGGCCATTGCGGTCTCGACGTGGAACCTACGTAGGCACTATAGTCTGTCGTCGACATTGTCAAAGCAGCGAGAAGTAAAGTGTGGTGCTGGTGGAAATTTTGAGGCTGGTGTATACCGGACGTCGAGTAGGACAGAAGAAAGCAAGAGGCAAAGATCAACGGCTCTCCTGGTCGCCCCCTGGCTCCGGCCTGGGGAAAGCCGGATACCACTTTCCGCACCGAATCACTTTCAGGATGCGGGGCACACACAGAGAGGAGGCATCTCACAGAAGGACGCACTTGGTTTTAAACTTTCTGCACATTTGGTTCTGACTACATAAAGAGAAGGGTTACACAGATGTAAACGTCATACCGAAAGTTTGGGACCACATGCGCCAGGTAACGATGCGAGGAAATAATAGCACCGAGGCGGGGAGGGGAAATTTCCCAGAGCATTTCTTGACCTTGCGCGTCGAGGAAGTTGCCGTTCTGGGGCTTTGGTGATGTGGGCGCAATACTTTTGGCTGGCGTCTTGGGATCTCTGCCACCCTCGGTCAGGCCGCTAGAAGGCGACGACGGTGAAGCCCTCAAGCTCAAGGTCGGCCGCGACTTGGAGCTTCTTGGTGCACGTTTTGCCGCAGCCTTGTGGGCACTGTACGCGGTCATGTTGGCGTTCTCCGAGCAAGGCGAGTGGAGGGAGCCTTATGAACTCGAGACGACGAAAATGTGCTTATTGTGGCCTTTGCGCAACCAGGGGAGCGGGCAGATCGTCGAGTTGATCACACCGTTAAAGTTGACCTGAGGCGATGAGTGAGCATCAACCCGGTGCACTGGTGTAAAGTGGTGCAACGATGACGTAGGGACATTCGATCGTGACTGCACTCACCTCGACCGAGTCGGGAACGGCCACACACATGTGAAAGATGAAACGAGACTGCTATTTGGACATCAAGTTATGCAAAACTTTGTCGCACGATGCCTTGTCGCGAACCCAGGCGATGGAGGACCTTGTTGGACGAGTCGTCGTCACCAGTCGTCGTCGAGTAGATGGTGGACGAGGCCGAGGCCGAGACCTTGCGAGGCTCCCGTGATGAGCGTGGTGCATCCAATCATGTTCTAAGGAGAAGTTGATAGAGTAGATACTGAGAGTCAACGCTCGAGTCCGAGGCGGTTTCGTCGATGTACCCGTGCGACCGACCGTCGGCAACTTGAGGCCCGATCGTGCGGCGCGCCTTTGAGCCAGGCAGGCTGGCAGGTGGGGTGGGGGGATGGGCCGCCGAGTGGGGGCCAATGGCCATTTATGCAGGCTAAAGTGATTTATGAGATGTGGAGTGGTGTCAAGGAGAGCTGTTTGATTGAAAGTGTGTGAGGCGAGGTGGGCTCGATGTTCATTGTTCAGCTTGAGAGAGAGCGAGGTGCCATGTGGAAGGAAGGAGCAAGAAGGTCGCACCAGCAACGTCCTCGTTATGCCGAGCGCGGCCGGAGGAAAGCGACACTGGAAGCGGGCTCACCGGAGGTGCTCTCCCGATTGATTAAAGCACGATTCGTCAGGCTTTCGTTGTGGTCTCTCTTTGAACCAAATTCCTAAATTCCTGGGCAGAATAGAATCATTCGAACGCTACCAAGACACACACACACACACACACACACACACACACGTCGCGTCCTAGAATGGGCATGGCCGCCACGGCTCGAATAGTTGATCCGAGCTGGACAGGAGGCCTAAGCATGGTGGGTGCGCATGAACCAGTCAACCCGTACAGAGGGAAGGCTGTACGAGCAAATAAACGTCATAGAATGCGCTCTTTGAGGTAGAAGGTTTATCATGCTGGCCCACCCAAGGCCGTGCTCAAGAAAGGATCATGTGAAAACCCTTTGACGGGATGGAGTGAAAAAGGTGGTACGAAGACTACAAATAGGGATGCAGCCCCGCATAGAGTAGAAAGACGAAAGCACAAAGCTGATGAAGACAACGAGGACGCGACCTCGTAGGTGAAAGCCATGCCGAAGGAAGCCGGTTGTTTAGACACCGAATCCGTAGAGGGTTCGGCCGGATCGCTTGAGGGCGTAGACGACATCCAGCGAGGTGACGGTCTTGCGCTTGGCGTGCTCGGTGTAGGTGACGGAGTCACGGATGACGTTCTCAAGGAAGATCTTCAGGACGCCTCGGGTCTCTTCGTAGATCAAGCCGGAGATACGCTTGACACCACCACGACGAGCGAGACGGCGAATAGCGGGCTTGGTGATACCCTGGATGTTGTCGCGTAACTGTAGGTAGGCCAATAGCATAATTAAAATCAGTATCTGTGGGTAGTGATGGGACTGATTTATGCAGCACGTACGATCTTGCGGTGACGCTTGGCTCCACCCTTTCCGAGTCCCTTGCCGCCCTTTCCACGTCCAGACACTGATTAGTAGGAGATGGGATGGGGTTTGTGGTGGTCCAAGTCAGTGGTCTGTGTAACTCCGATCTGGTGCCGCCAGCCAGTAGTGCGACATTGACTCACTGTTGATTTAGAGGTTGTTGGGTGGGGTGAGTGTTGAGTGAGTGCGAGAGTCGCGAGATGGGGAGAGGGAGAGAGAGCGAGGAGGGAGGCGCGCCAACTGATTTTAATGCGTGTGGGCTCGTTTGTTGACAAGAGTGTCTCGAGTTAGGTCGACATGTGCACCGCGCCGTTTGGCCCGAGCTTAGGGCGAGTCGCAACTCGACATCGAATCCAAACACGACCTGCCTCGACCTAGGTCTACCTAGGTCGGCGCGCGCGCGCCTCGAACCCGACGATCCTGTTGACCTGCACTCTCTCCCTCCTACACTCTCCAAGTCTTCATACCTGTCTCACATACAATGGCCCGCACCAAGCAAACCGCTCGCAAGTCTACCGGTACGTAACCATCTCTCCAAACCCACAATCGAATCATGGTTATCGCCTCCGAGGTCGTCGTGCGACAGGCTGGCTGATCTTGGTCACGTGATTCTACCTACAAAACAAACAGGTGGCAAGGCGCCCCGAAAGCAGCTCGCCGCCAAGGCCGCCCGCAAGTCGGCCCCCGCCGCTGGTGGCGTCAAGAAGCCTCACCGATACCGTCCCGGAACGGTTGCTCTCCGTGAAATTCGTCGTTACCAGAAGTCGACCGAGCTCCTCATCCGCAAGCTCCCCTTCCAGCGTCTCGTCCGTGAGATCGCACAGGACTTCAAGACCGACCTCCGCTTCCAGTCATCGGCCGTCATGGCTCTTCAAGAGTCCGCCGAGGCGTACCTCGTCTCGTTGTTCGAGGACACCAACTTGGCTGCCATCCACGCCAAGCGTGTCACCATCCAGCCCAAGGACATCCAGCTCGCCCGCCGTCTCAGAGGCGAGCGATCGTAAATCCGTCCTCGAACCCCTTCATCTTCCTCGTCGACTCAAGGCATCGTCATCATCTCCGGGCGTCGTCGATTCGCGAAGGAGCGCATCGTTGTGCCATCGCCATTTTTCGTTTTTCACTCTTGGACATGAGAACGGGCTTCGCCCTTTATATCATGAGCCAGCTCTTTGTTCTTATTCGTTGTTGTCGATCGGTCGTTGCTTGTAATGACTAGGCCATCGCTACCCAACACCGTGAGAATGGAGAGATTTTGTGATCCGGCATACGCCTATTTCGCCGTGACCGCGACCTTGGCCGAGAGGTGGGGGACTCGTGCGTGAGGCCGTGAGCCGCCTGAAGTTGAACCGCGGTTATTTTCGAATGGCTGGACTGAAGCGTCCAGCGGGCGACGTCTGTTCCACCAACCGCGGTCGCCTGAAGTCGACCGCAGTTGACCGCGGTCGCGCGGATTTCCCGTAGGGCCGTGAGGGCTAGGTAGCCAGCAGCCCCTTTCTTTCAAGGGGCCAGTTCTGGGGGTTTCTTGGGCCTATAGAGCTCGAGCGTCAACCGAACTTTACGAATTCTCCGATGGACGAACATCACTTGTTTTGGTTTAGCCTCTCCCCGGGCTCGTCCCATCGTTCTGACCACGGGTATCGAGCTGCTGTCAGCTAGCTTCGACGACTTCTCTTTCGCCCATCTGGTGCGGAGTTGGAGCACTGGAAGGCAAGTGGACTGCAAGTGGAAGGCGGCTGCGAGCAGCGTCAATCCGAGCCTTCTTCCACGCTCTCTCCCACATCAGCACTCGTCTAGCCCTCAAGCCCTCTCGTTTTCGACGGGTCCGCTTATACTTCACTTATATCTTGTGCTCTTCCGCCCATCCCTTTCTGCATCTCCCCTCCTCGATGCCTCGGAGTGGCCCACCTGCTCCTCTGCTCTCGAACGGTAAAAGCGCGCTCTTACCCAAGAACACGGTATTGACCGAGGCTGGGTCAGTCTCATCTGAAGCATTCATGACCTGCTACTGCGTGCGCACTGACCGGATCTCTGTCCCTCGCTTGGAAACAGTCGACCACCATGGTATGACAAGGGTTAGTGCTGTACATCGGTTCGCTCGGTCGTTCGAGGAGCCCAATCCCGCCATGTGACAGACATGTGGGGTAAACGGAGCGGCGGCGAAGGACAGCAGCCTCATTCGCCCCGCGTATCCTCCTACTCCCGCAATCACCCAACTCATCATTCTTGTTGTTTCCCTTCCCATTGGACAGATGGACGAGTTCAAACGGCATACGTCATTGGCATCGGAGGCGGTTCTGCATCGGGCAAGACTCGAGTCGCTCAGGGTCAGTCACTCGTTCCCCATTCTAAATCCGGGGACGATGAGTGGGTGATGCTCATCACTAGTCGTGGGGGTGCTTCTTACAGAAGTACTTAAGAAATTAAGCGTACCGTTAGTCCCACCCTCCACGCTTTCATAGTCTCCTCACCGATCTGCTCACACCTCCGGGCTTCCCTCGTCGCCCTCCGCTGCAGATGGGTCGTCGTTATCTCCCAAGATTCCTTCTACAAGCCCCTAACGCCCGAAGAGCTCTCCGCCGCCTTCCGCTGTGAACATGACCTCGATTCCCCTACCTCGATCGACGAAGCCCTCCTGCGGGACTGTCTAGGTCGATTACGAGCCGGCGAAGCTGTACAGTTGCCGAATTATTCGTTCGCCAAGCATGCGAGGACCGACGAGACGACGTATATCTATGGCGCGACAGTCGTTATCGTCGAGGGTATCCATGCTTTGCATGAGAGTCTGAGAGATGTTTATGATCTCAAGGTAAGTACGAGGGGATGATTTGGTGGAGCCTGAATTATCACGACCCAGAACTGATTTTGCTGCTTGTCCCCAATCGTAAACGATCAACGACAGGTTTTTGTTCAGGTGCGATCTCTTCTACAGAATCTCCTTACGACGATGTTGCTTAGTCGTTTAGTTGCATACAGTGCGACTCTGACTTGATGCTCGCGAGGCGTCTACGACGGGATCTCGTCGAGCGAGGTCGGGATGCCGCCGGGGTTTTGGACCAGTTGAGTGCGATGCTGATGAATGTGTGTGCGCGCTCTTGAAACTGATGGTTTGTATATTTACAGATATCTACGCTTCGTCAAGCCCGCTTTCGATAACCATATTCAGCCCACATCTCGATTCGCAGACATCATCGTCCCCGGATCGAACAACGAGATCTCTGTCGAGTTGATCGCGGGTCACATCCGGCGACAACTGGACGAGAGAAAGCAGGAGCTGCGCAAGGAGTTGTTCGTCGAGACCGAAGGGGCGAACGCAAAGCTCGGCACGAATGGGGAGGGTGGAGCTGGACTCGTGAGCCAGCGGAGTAGAGAGATCTCGGTGGATCGCTTGGCGTCCAAGGATGGGTTGCCGGATACAGTGGTGCTGATGGAACAAACGAATCAACTGAGTGTGAGCTGATTCCCGACGTGCTTGCCTAAACTCAGAACTCTGACGTCTTTCCTGATGCCGATTGTGCAGGGTATCCACACTCTGCTTCGGTCCAGCTCGACACCCGCGGCAGACTTTTTATTCTATGCGAACCGACTGTCGACGCTCGTCGTCGAAAGATCGCTGTCCCTCCTCCCCTACCGATCCAAGCTCATCACAACACGAACCTCTGTGCCTCATACTGGGCAAGAGCTCGACATTGACGCCGGTCACTTGGTCGGCGTTTCGATCCTTCGCTCTGGCGCCTCACTCGAAAAGGGCCTTCGACGAGTCGTGCGAGAGATCCCCGTGGGGTCGATGCTGATCCAATCCGACGACCAATCGGGCGAACCGCTGCTGTACTCGATCCGATTACCCCAAGCACTAACCCGCTCCAAAGAGTCCGCCAAGAAGACGTGGGTCTTGCTTCTGGATTCCCAAATCGGAACAGGGGCCGCGGCCTTGATGGCCGTCCGAGTCTTACTAGATCATGGAGTGGACGAGGCCAAGATCATCATCTGTGCGATCCTCGTTTCCAAACTCGGTGGGGTGTGGGCATTGAAGAGGGCTTTCCCACGGGTGAGGATCGTCAGTTCGGCTGCGGATGATGGGTTGGAAGAAAGGTGGGAGAAGAAGAAGGATGGGTCGGGTTCCAAGAAGGTGTTTGCGATCCTGCCGGGGATGGGGAGCTTTGGGGATAGGTACTTTGTGACGAGCTGAGTGGAGGGCCGTAGTCGATTCTTGTTTTTATTGCGTGTCAAGGTAACTATTTTGATGTGCTGTGATGCCCATGCGATGCATGCTTACGTATCGGGTCAGAAGACTGCCCATGTCGAGAGTGGTGAAACCCACAACTCGGGAGACGAGTTGCGTAATTCCCCCCCGGACTGACCAGTCGTCGCGAATGCATGGGGTTGCTGTCCGCAAGCGCAATTGCCGTTGCAAGGCGGTGCCCGACCCGGATCGGCCTCTTGGCGAGCGGCGGCGAACGCGCTCGCAGGTGCTTCCGTTTGCTCCTTGTGGTTGACACCGTTCATGATGACGTCTTCATCGTAGGCGGTTCGGACCTTCTCGAGGAATAAGTCGACGTCCTTTTCTTCGCGGAATGCGAACGTGTACTTCTCGGGAAGCTGCTCCATGAGAACAGTTTTGATGGCGAAGTCGTCGACGTGTAGGACCATCGACAAAAGGGCTTTGCCACGTTCCTCTCCAAGGATCTCGACGATCTGAGTGTAGAAACCCTGCAGTTCCTCGGTGCCGATCCCAAGCTGTTGCTTCCAGAACGACAGTTTCTGCCGGTTGCAGAGTTCCCCGAGTCGTTCCACCTCGGTCATGAACGACGTGACTCTCGTGCCTGGCTCGTACCGTAGGTTCCAGTACGCCCTCAACGTCTTGGTTCCCACGAATGGGACGGTGTTCGTCTCGTAAGCTCGTACGAGTGCGGTCCAGACTTGGTGTAGGTTTGCGTCGACAGCAGCTCCCTTCAGCTTGAACCATGTGTTTTCGTCGACATGTGACCTGATCAGGGTCCTCCCTTTGGCGTCCTTCGCATCGTAGTCGTTGCATAAAGACGTGTAATCCTTGAGCGACTGATTGAGCGGCTTCGAGGCGGGCGGCTTCTTTTGCTCGCCGTTCGCGACGCGGAATGCGCTAATCGACTGCAGCGCAAGACGCATCGCAGGCGCCCATGCCGGCCAGTTGATGCGGGTGAGAAGACCAATGGTTTCGAGGGACTCAGCCTTCCTGGACATCGTTGGCTGTGCTTTTCGGTTTGTTGACCAGTTGTGTTTTCGATGATCGTGCACCACAATTTGAGTTCACGGTTGAACTGATCAGACGCTACCAAGTTAAATTTGGTGCTTCGCGATCTTTGGTCCAGGGAGACGAGAACACGAACTTCAGTCAACGGTCGATAGCAGAGTCAATGATTGGTCAATTACACACCTTTGGTCCAGGGAGACGAGAACACATGGTTCAAGCTGAAGGGAGCTGCTGTCGACGCAAACCTACACCAAGTCTGGACCGCACTCGTACGAGCTTACGAGACGAACACCGTCCCATTCGTGGGAACCAAGACGTTGAGGGCGTACTGGAACCTACGGTACGAGCCAGGCACGAGAGTCACGTCGTTCATGACCGAGGTGGAACGACTCGGGGAACTCTGCAACCGGCAGAAACTGTCGTTCTGGAAGCAACAGCTTGGGATCGGCACCGAGGAACTGCAGGGTTTCTACACTCAGATCGTCGAGATCCTTGGAGAGGAACGTGGCAAAGCCCTTTTGTCGATGGTCCTACACGTCGACGACTTCGCCATCAAAACTGTTCTCATGGAGCAGCTTCCCGAGAAGTACACGTTCGCATTCCGCGAAGAAAAGGACGTCGACTTATTCCTCGAGAAGGTCCGAACCGCCTACGATGAAGACGTCATCATGAACGGTGTCAACCACAAGGAGCAAACGGAAGCACCTGCGAGCGCGTTCGCCGCCGCTCGCCAAGAGGCCGATCCGGGTCGGGCACCGCCTTGCAACGGCAATTGCGCTTGCGGACAGCAACCCCATGCATTCGCGACGACTGGTCAGTCCGGGGGTCACGCGGGTCCCACCAGGAACAGCTACCGCTCGGGAGGACATGGTCGCACCGGTACTCGCGTGGGAGTCAAAACCCGCGCGGAACACTACGCCAACTCCGACAAATGGGGCAAGATCGTCGATGGCAAGTTCATGTGTGCCAACAACCAATGCGTGAACTGCTTCGGCTTCGGCCATCGCCGGGCGGCGTGCACCTCAAGGAACCCGACGGGTGACAGGATTGCGTTTCTTCAGTCGCTCGACATCAACGTTCCAGTCACAAGCCATGGAACCTACTTCGTCGAGGATCCCGTTCCCATGAATCTCGCGGATCGTATGGGTGCTTCTTTCCACTTCACCAACTATGCGGCGGAAGTGCGCGAGCAGACGATATTCCGCGCGGCGACGGCCGAGGATCCTGAGTTGATTTTCGACACCGGCGCCAGTACGTCTCTCGTCAACGAAAAATGCATGTTGAGCGACTATGCGACGTTAGATTGCCCGATCTTCATGATCGATGCAGCGGGAACGCGCACTCCGGCGGCAGGGCGAGGAACTCTAACTGCCGAGTTCGCACTCGCCGATGGCACGACCTCCAAGATGTCCATCGCCGACGTTCTGGGAGCCACGTTCCCAACTTCGTAGTCAACCTTATCTCGGGACCCTCGTTGTGCAAGCAAGGCGTCCGCATCGAAATGGAAGAAGACCGCTGCGAGTTCAGCAAGGACGGCAAGACGTTCGCGATCGCTCAACTCGTCGGATCCAAATACATCTTCCAGGCTCGTCTATCTACTCCCAACCCCGCCGAGGCACACTCGCTGACGGTCTCCGTACGTTCCAACTCCGCAGATCGCGAAACTTGGCATCAACGATTCGGTCATCTGAATATGCCTTATCTGCTGGAGATGGAACGAAAGGAGACTGTTTTGGGGTTGAGCATCAAAGAGAAGATTTTGACGTAGCAGAATGTTAGGGTTGCATGCAAGGAAGAGGTGCTCACGCCAATATCTCAAAAGGTCCGGCTTCCCGCGCCGATAAGCCACTCCACGCCATCCACGCCGATCTCTGGGGTCCGGTGCGCCACGAGAGCTTCGCCGGCGAAATAATGGTGTTAGGCCTTGTCGACGACTACTCGCGTTTCCGATGGAGTTTTCCGATCAGCAAGAAGTCCAGCGTCACTGCTCTCGTCGTTGAGTTCATTCAGCGAGTCGAGCGAAGTCGCGACTGCAACGTGGCAATATTCCATTCAGACAATGGCGGGGAATTCGTCAACAACTCGCTAAAGGCATTCTTTCGGGAGCGAGGCATCGAGCACAGGACCACAGTTCCGTACGCTCACTATCAGAATGGCGTCATTGAACGAGGATGGCGCACTATGTTCGAGACGGTGCGGATCTGGCTCCTGGTCTCGGGTTTACCACTGTCCTTCTGGGCCTTCGCGGCGAACGCATTTACCTATGTGAGCAATCGTCGATCTACCGCCGCGTTACCGGGTTCGACACCCTTTGAGATGTACCATCTTCGCAAGCCCAATGTTTCGCGTATTCGCGTGTGGGGTTGCGTGGCGTACGTCCGGATCGCGCCAGAACGTCGTGCCTCGAAGATTGAACCGCCAAGAGTCAAGGCTCGTTTCATTGGCTATGCGGAGCAGGGATGGATGTTCTGGCGACCTGACACCAACACTGTGTTCGTATCGGATGACGCGAACTTCGACGAGAGCTCATTCGAGCTTCACCGGGGGGATTCGGACGAGGCCGATCTTCGCGAGGATTCGCCAACTACTCTCTTCGGCGATCCTCCGGCCGATTTCCTCGACGTCGACGGCGACGATGAAGATTTTGCTCTCGATAGGGCCAGTCGAGCTCAGGCTCCTGGCACCGACGATCGAGCGACGGCTCCTATTGCTGCCCGTAGAGCGTTGGCTCCGGGTGGCGACAGTCGAGATAACACTCCTCCTCCGGTTGGTCGAGCAAGGGCTCCTGATCGTGAGTACACTCCTGTTGCGCCTGATCACGATTGTGCTCCTGGCGGCAACGGTAGAGTTCAACACGACAATGGTCAAGAGCTTGCTCCTATTGTCCACAACGGTCGAGCACCAGCTCCTGTTGCTGGCGACGGTCGAGGACCGCCTCCCGTCGCTGAGCGTCGCCCGTCTCCTTTTCTTGACGACGATGCTGACAACAATCCACCTGATCCAAATCAGACTCCCGAGGGCTACGAGCCGGTGATACCTACGATCGAACGGACTTCCGAGTTGGCCGAGCGCTGGGGAGCTCCCGCAGGGTCCCGCCGTCGAGGGGGGGCAGAGCGGCAAGCCATGTTCGTCGACGTGGGGACCATCTTGGGAGACGTAATTCCCCTCAACGATTTTTCAGAACAAGTCCTCAACGTCGTCGTCAACCTCGAGGAATGCGACGGTTGGACCAACCTTCCGTCGATCGTTCAAGGATCCACCGAGGGCATCAGCGGGACGGGAGACGAGTTGCTGGATCTGCCTAGTGAGAGACAGGAATGAACAGAACACATGACTGTGTTCGATGGGTAGTATTGGCACAACAAGTGGTGATAGACGACTGAACGCGGAAACGGGGAATTGGGAGTGATGGGTGACCCGACGGGTTCACGGCCCGGCGGTGCCGACTTGCTGATGCATGTCCTCGATCGACTGCATGCCGTGTTCTTTGATCCATGCCTCGTCGGTCCAGACTGCACGAAAAGAGACCGACCGATCAGTGGCTCCCTCCGAGGTGGTGGGTGACACACAACTGGGCGCGGTGGACTGACTAGCTCTGTTGCCCATACCGGGCTGGAGTCCCTTGGGCGGCTTGGCCATGTTGACTTTGAGTGTTCTCCCCTTGTTGGAAGGGTCGGTGAGTTCGTTTTGGTGCATGTTGTCGATCGCGTCGAGCGCGGATTCGAGCGAGGAGAAGGACACGAACGCGAAGCCGCGGTGGCGCGATTCTGAGCAGACGCAGGTAGCACTGGATGAGTAAGATGGACAGTGACGAGTCTCGATGGCATGACTGACTGTCGACGGGGTCGCGGGGGAGTTGAATGTCGACGACTTGACCAAACGGCAGGAACGCCGACTCCAAAATCGTGGCCGAGGTCTCGCTCGAGAAGCCTCCAACGTAGATTGTTTTCTGATGGTCACAGAAGAGTGGATCAGTCGAATGAATCAGACTGCACGCTGATTGTGCTGGGACTGACTGTTTCGTCGGCCATGGTTGAGCCCCGTACCAGTCGAGTGTGGAGAGAACTTGACCCAAAACTTCAAATGCGCGTGCGGAGCGGAGGGACTCGGCCGATTTGGCGCATGATCGACTTGGGTCGACGCTGGTGCAGGGTCGATCTGGGTCGATTCGGGGCCCATTCGGGAAGTGGTTTCCGTCGAGCGTCACTTCCGGCTCCCATCATGAGGCCGAACGAGAGGTGCGAACAACCGTCTTTCTCTCTCACTTGACCACATTCCTCCCTCTCTGTTTGCCACCATACTACCGAAGCCATGGTCGATTCAGGCGTCGTGACGCTGCAACCGAGCGGGCGGCAACTGTTCGTCTCGGTCATCGACGGCCTCACATCCGATGCTCCGACGTTGTTCTGTCAGTCTCAGCTTACTCTCTCGGCGGTAGAGGCACTAGCCCAGTTCAATGGTTTTCTGAACCTGCCGTATGATGCCTTCTCACAGTCCTCCACGGCCTGGGATCATCCCATACCTTCTACGAGGCCGCGCTCTCGCAAAGCACCTCTCGACTCATCTCGTACGACTTCAACGGCCACGGACTTTCCCCCCTACAAACCCCTCTGTCGATCGATTCCTTGGCCAATGATCTCAAGGAATTGATGGATCATTTTGGAGTCGAGAGCGCAAGAGGAATCGTCGCCCATTCGATGAGTGGATTGGTCGCAACTACTTTCGCGAGCAAGTGGCCCGAGAAGGTTGAGAAGCTCGGTAAGGACAACGTTGCGGCTCCCCTTGGCGTGGCTTTACATAGGGTGGCGGTGGAAGCTGATCTCGGCCTTCCGCGTCCCGCCTTCTCTGAACCCTCGTGTGAAAAAATCAGTCCTCCTCGGCCCCATGTCCGCCCTCCCCGACTCGACCCAAGCCGTCATGAGACAACGAGCAGCGACCGTTTCTTCATCCGGGCTTTCGTCTATTGTCTCCAAAATCGCCGAATCCGCCACTTCTTCGCGCACCAAGAAAGAGTCACCCTTGACGCTGTCACTGATTCGAGCGCTCGTGCTCGGAACGAACCCCCAAGCTTATGCCGCTGCGTGTGAAGCTTTAGCGAGCGCCCAAGATCCCGACTATACCCAGATCCGAAGCAAAATGGTCGTTATTGGAGGATCGGAAGATTATCTCAGTGATGGGAAGATGATCGACGCCATTGTGGGCAAGATCAATGCGCCGAGATCGACCGAGAGCTCTGTGGGCCTGGCGAGCAAAGTCGTCCTCGAGGGTGTGGGACATTGGATTGCGATTGAGGATCCGAAGAGGGTTGCGCAGGAGTTGAACAAGTGCTTTGGAATATGACCTCGGGGAGGGATGAGTGGATTGAACCTCGAAGCCCGATCTGGACCAGTCGAGGAATAAAGTTTCGGCGACAGCCGGGCTGAACTCACTCATCGTTGGGTACTATTGCACGGAAGGATGAAAAGGATAAACTCACTTCAGTGGACTCGACACCTGAGGGAATGCAAAAGGCGAAGGTTTGAAAGGCGCGAGTCGGGCATCTCCTGGTGGCGGCCGAATCGTTTCCGCCGGTGAGAAAGAGACAGGGGCTTTTTGCCGCCGGCTTCGCAATCGCGCGCCGACGCGCAGTCCGCTCGGGTGACCTGGGGTTTTGCGTCGTCGTCGACTCGGAGTTGATGGACTGAAATGAAGCGTCACTTGGAATACAGGTCCACAGGAGACGGGAAATGTATGGTCACTGTGGTCAATCGCTTGCTTGGGCCCGGCTCGATTTGCCTTCAAGTTGCTCTGACGGTTGTAGCGTATACGTTCCGATTCGTTGTAGCGCTTGCACCTGGCAGACCAAAGTCGCCGGGACTGGCCGGGTGGTTGACGTGGCCCAACTGCGACCGACTCTGCTGCTTGGCGCTAGCGCTGACGTAGGGAGCGCAGGGGAGCGCCTGCGGTGGGGTTCGAGTTGGGGACCAAGCCCGCGTGCGGAGACGCGCGGTTGCCTGAGATTCCCGAGTCCAAAGTCGACCCGACCCAACTCTGTTGCGTAGCTTCTCATCCTCCACCCCCCACCCCCCACCTCTTCTTCTCGGAATAAATTCTAGAATCACCCTTCCCCTCCTCTCTCTGCTTCGATTTTGATCATGGATGCGATCAAGTCGGTGCTGAGTGGTGGGCCGTTGCACCAGTCGACCAACGGCACCACCGCTTCGACCGGTTCCGCCCCCACCCAACAAGCAGCATCATCCTCGGCTGCGGCCACTGCGCCTGCGCCGGATGCGCACGCCGCTGAGCACGCCAAGGTGCAACATTTCATTGGTGGGTGGGCAAGCTGACTGCGTCCTTTGTATTACAAGCATGCACCTGCTGACTCTGTTACTCCATCTCGTCTTGCGCTTGCGCTCCTGGCTAAACCTCTCGGCGCGACTGTGACTGCTGGCGCTGGCTCGTCCACTCGGCTTCGCACATCTCCGTCGGCGTCGCGGGGGTCACAGGTGGACACTCGCTCGACGTCGCCGCACCGAGTCGTGTCGCCGACTTTGTCAGGTCAAGGGGTGGTCACACCGTTATTACCAAGGTCAGTTGCATCATACTCACCATCCTCCGCACTCGCTTCTGCACCACTGACAGCGATGATCGCCCCTCGCTCGTCCGCGTCGTCCCCACTCCACAACCCCAACCGATTCTCCGAACCAGGTCTTGATCGCCAACAATGGTCCGTGCCCGCGTCGGTCCGCCCGTATCGGCCCTAGAATTGGGAGCTAAAGCGATCGACCTTTCCACTTGTTGTACTTGCCTACAGGTATCGCTGCCGTCAAGGAGATCCGTTCGATCCGCAAGTGGGCCTACGAGACCTTTGGGTCCGAGCGCGCGATCGAGTTCACCGTCATGGCCACCCCCGAGGATCTCAAGGTCAACGCTGACTATATCCGCATGGCCGACCAATACGTCGAGGTCCCCGGTGGCACCAACAACAACAACTACGCCAATGTCGACGTCATCGTCGATGTCGCTGAGCGCGCCGCCGTGCACGCCGTCTGGGCCGGGTGGTGAGTGGGGATCTGCCGCTGGCTTGATGCTCGATGCATCTCTGGCTGTGTTGCAGTCTGATACGTGGCTGATGAATTGCGCTACAATACTCCCTCCCGATATCGCTTCTCCCACCACTGTGTGTGCTCCCGATCCACCTCGTTGTTCCTTCGCTGTGACTGGACAATAGGGGCCACGCCTCCGAGAACCCGCGCCTCCCCGAATCCCTCGCTGCCTCAAAGCAAAAGATCGTCTTCATCGGACCGCCAGGGTCGGCGATGCGCTCGTTGGGTGACAAGATCAGCTCGACCATCGTCGCGCAGTCGGCCCAAGTGCCCTGCATGGACTGGTCCGGGACCGGTGTCGAGGAGACCGTCATGTCCCCCGACGGCTACGTCACCGTCGCCGACGACGTCTACGCCCAAGCCTGCGTTTCCGGCGCTGAGGACGGTCTCGTCAAGGCCGAAAAGATCGGGTACCCCGTCATGATCAAGGCCAGTGAAGGTGGAGGAGGTAAAGGTATTCGCATGGTCGCCAAGTCCGAGGATTTCAAGCAGTCGTTCGGTGCCGTTCAGGGAGAAGTACCTGGTAAGTTGGTTGGCTCATACGCATATCATCGAGTCGAAAGGCCCGTTTGACTGATCATACGCGACTGTTGCGCTCGACCGGCCAGGTTCGCCCATCTTCATCATGAAGCTCGCTGGAGCGGCTCGCCATTTGGAGGTCCAAGTTCTGGCCGATCAGTACGGCAACGCCATCTCGTTGTTCGGCCGTGATTGCTCGGTCCAACGTCGCCACCAAAAGATCATTGAAGAGGCGCCCGTCACGATCGCGGGCCCCGAAAAGTTCGAGCAGATGGAGAAGGCCGCCGTGCGCTTGGCCAAACTTGTCGGCTACGTTTCGGCCGGTACGACCGAGTTCCTGTACTCGGCCGCCGATGACAAGTTCTACTTCCTCGAGTTGAACCCGCGTCTCCAAGTCGAGCACCCCACCACCGAGATGGTCTCCGGTGTCAACCTTCCCGCTGCGCAACTGCAGATCGCCATGGGTATCCCCCTCCACCGTATCCGCGACATCCGAACTCTGTACGGCAAGTCTCCACACGGAGAGTCCAAGATCGACTTCGACTTTGAGGACCCCGCTTCGGCTGAGACGCAGCGCAAGCCCTCTCCCAAGGGTCATGTCGTCGCTGTCCGTATTACCGCCGAGAACCCGGACGCCGGTTTCAAGCCCTCTTCCGGTACGCTGCAAGAGCTCAATTTCCGGTCGTCGACGAACGTATGGGGTTACTTCTCCGTCGCCGCTGCCGGCGGTCTACACGAGTTTGCCGACTCTCAGTTCGGTCACATCTTTGCTTACGGCTCGGACCGAAGCGAAGCACGCAAGAACATGGTCGTGGCTCTGAAGGAGTTGTCGATTCGTGGTGACTTCCGCACAACGGTCGAGTACCTCATCAAGCTACTCGAGACCGAGGCCTTCGAGTCCAACACGATCACGACCGCTTGGCTCGACAACCTCATCTCGGAGCGACTCACCGCCGAGCGACCCGACACGACCTTGGCCATCATCTGTGGTGCCGTCGCCAAGGCCCACCTCGCGACCGAGGCCAACATCGCCGAGTACAAGCGCGTGCTCGAGAAGGGTCAGTCGCCCGCCCGCGAGCTCTTGGCGACCGTCGTGCCGCTCGAGTTCGTGCTCGAAGACGTCAAGTACCGTGCCACGGCCTCGCGCTCGTCGCCTACCAGTTGGTCGATCTACATCAACGGCTCCTCCGTCTCGGTCGGGTTGCGCCCCCTCGCCGACGGTGGTCTCCTTGTGCTCCTCGACGGCCGCTCTTATACCTGCTACGGCAAGGAGGAAGTCGGAGCGTTGAGGTTGTCGATCGACTCGCGCACCGTGCTCGTTGCGCAAGAGAACGACCCTACGCAATTGAGGTCCCCTTCCCCCGGTAAACTCGTGCGCTACTTCATCGAGTCCGGCGAGCACGTCAGCAAGGGACAAGCCTATGCCGAAATTGAGGTCATGAAGGTGAGTCGTCCGTTGCGACTACCATAGGTGGCAAGAAAGAGAGTGTTGGGAGGCTGACACTGCCTTATCCGACGCCTTCCCTCATATCAGATGATCATGCCTTTGATCGCCGCAGAAGACGGTATCGCGCAATTCATCAAGCAACCGGGAGTTACGCTCGAGGCCGGTGCCATCATCGGCATCCTCTCGCTCGACGACCCCAGCCGAGTCAACCATGCCAAGCCCTTCGACGGCCAATTGCCCCAACTCGGTCTCCCTTCGATTGTCGGCACCAAGCCCCACCAGCGCTTCGCCTACCTGCGCGACATCCTCGGCAACATCCTCGCCGGTTACGACAACCAGTCGATTATGCAGCCAACGATCAAGGAGCTCATTACCGTCCTGCGCAACCCCGAGTTACCTTATGGTGAGGCCCACGCTGTCCTCTCGACTTTGGGTGGACGCATGCCCGCTGCGCTCGAAGCCTCGGTTCGCCAGACGATCGAGGCTGCCCACGCCAACAAGGCCGAATTTCCCTCGGCCAAGGTACGCAAGCAGATTGAGGCCGCCCTCGAGGCGTCACGCCCCGCCGAGGCTGCGAGCCTTCGCCTGACCCTCGGTAGTTTCCTTGACATCGTCGAGCGATACCGCGGCGGACTCAAAGGCCACGAATGGCTCACGGTCGCTTCGGTCATGAACGCCTACCTCGAGACTGAGAAGCTTTTCAGCGGCCGCGAGGACGACGTCGTTCTCGAACTCCGTGACACGCACCGCGACGATCTCGACGTTGTCGTTCGAGCCGTCTTGTCGCACTACAAGGCCGCGAGCAAGAATGCGCTCGTCTTGGCTTTGCTCGAACTCGTCAAAGAGTCGTCCGAATCGCTTCAAGTCATCGAAGCAACCTTCGCGCCCGTTCTCAAGGAGCTGGCTGATCTCGACTCCAAGGCGACGTCCAAGGTCTCCCTCAAGGCCCGCGAGGTGCTCATCCATTGCCAGCTGCCCTCGCTCGACGAACGTCTCGTCCAGCTCGAGCAGATCCTCAAGGCCTCCGTCACGCAGACCGCCTACGGGGAATCCGCCGTCGTCCCTCGTGCCCCTCGTGCTGAGATCCTCAAGGACGTCATCGACTCGCGCTTCACCGTCTTCGACGTGTTGCCGACGTTCTTCCGCCACGCCGATCAATGGGTCGGCCTCGCTGCGCTCGAGATGTACGTCCGACGCGCCTACAAGGCCTACAACATCATCAACATCGAGCACGTCGAATCTGACGAGGCCGAGAGCGAGCCTTCGACCGTCTTCTGGACTTTCCGCATGCGCAAGGCCGGCGGCGAGTCGGGTCCCGTCACCCCTTCGACGGGCCTCACCTCGCAGAGGACCGCGTCGTACTCGGACTTGACGTTCCTGCTTTCGCGCGCCCAAGAGGAGCCGATCCGCTATGGTTCGATGTTCGCCACCGCGTCGCTCAACAACTTGGCCCACGAGCTCAAGACCGTGCTCACGCACTACCCGAGCACGGCCACCAACCCGGCCGAGCCCCTCATCTCGAGTCAAAGCAACTGGAACGTGTGCAACGTCTCCCTCAACGTCTCGCCGTCGACGACCGTGGCCGACGAGGACCAGCTCCGCACCCAGTTCGCCGAGTTGATCAACTCGATGTCGAACGAGCTTGACCGTCGCTCCATGCGCCGTGTCACGCTCCTCATCTGCCGCGAAGGCTACTACCCCTCGTACTACACCCTGCGCAAGGATGCGGGCATGTGGAAAGAGCTGTCGACGATCCGCGATATCGAGCCCGCCCTCGCTTGGCAACTCGAGCTTGCCCGCTTGTCTAACTTCCACCTCACCCCGACCCCGACCGAGAACCGACAGGTGCACATCTACTACGCCGTCGCCAAGGAGAACTCGGGCGATTGCCGGTTCTTCGTGCGCGCCCTCGTTCGCCCCGGTCCCCTCCGTGGCAACATGCGCACGCTCGACTACCTCGTTTCGGAGTCCGACCGCCTCGTTGCCGACGTCTTGGACACGCTTGAGGTTGTCTCGGCCACTCGCCGTACCGCGGATGGTAACCACATCTCGGTGAGTTGGCCCAGACAAGGTTGGCCCCAACTCTAGTCCAATCACACCATCTGACGCTTCTGACCCTTCCAATCTTCACAGCTCAACTTCATATATTCGCTCCGCCTCGACTTTGAGGACGTGCAAACCGCCCTTGCTGGTTTCATCGACCGACATGGCAAGCGATTCTGGCGCCTCCGCGTCACCGGCGCCGAGATCCGCATGGTCATCGAGGACGCGCAGGGCAACATCCAGCCCATCCGCGCCATCATCGAGAACGTTTCGGGCTTCGTCGTCAAATACGAGGCCTACCGAGAAGTCACGACCGAGAAAGGCATCGTCATCTTGAAGTCGATCGGCCCCCAGGGTGCGCTCCACCTGCAGCCCGTCAACTTCCCGTACCCGACCAAGGAATGGCTGCAGCCTAAGCGATACAGGGCGCACGTTGTCGGTACGACCTACGCCTACGACTTCCCCGACTTGTTCCGTCAATCGATCCGCAAGCAATGGAAGGCCGCGGGCAAGACCGCCCCCAGCGATCCTCTCGTCGCCAAGGAGCTTGTTTCGGACGAGTTTGGCAACCCTCAGGAAGTCGCGCGAGCGCCGGGAACGAACAACATCGGTATGGTTGGTTGGATCTACACGATCCTCACTCCCGAGTATCCCACTGGTCGTCGCATCGTCGTCATTGCCAACGACATCACGTTCAAGATTGGTTCGTTCGGACCCGAGGAGGATAAGTTCTTCCACGCCGTAACCCGACTCGCACGCCGGCTCGGCTTGCCCCGCATCTACCTTTCGGCCAACTCGGGTGCTCGACTCGGTATCGCCGATGAGCTCGTCGAATTGATCTCCGCGGCCTGGAACGACCCCGCCCGACCCGAGAAGGGTTTCAAGTACCTCTACATCACCCCCGAAAAGCTCGGTGAGCTCAAGAACAAAGGCGAGAAGAGCGTCATCACGAAGAAGGTCGTCGACGAGGCGACGGGTGAGACGCAGTACCAGATCACCGACATTATCGGTCTGCAAGATGGTCTCGGTGTCGAATCCCTCAAGGGCTCGGGTCTCATCGCTGGTGAGACGTCGCGAGCCTACGACGACATCTTCACCATCACCCTCGTCACGGCACGATCCGTTGGTATCGGTGCCTACCTCGTTCGCCTCGGTCAGCGTGCGATCCAAGTTGAGGGCCAACCAATTATCCTCACGGGTGCGGGTGCGCTCAACAAGGTCCTCGGTCGCGAGGTGTACTCGTCGAACTTGCAGCTCGGTGGCACGCAGATCATGTACAAGAACGGTGTGTCGCACTTGACCGCGGCCAACGATCTCGAGGGTGTCCTGAGCATCGTCAAGTGGTTGGCCTACGTACCCTCTGCCAAGGGTGCTCCGTTGCCGATCTCGACTTCGGTTGACACCTGGGATCGAGCCATCGACTACCAACCGATCAAGGGCGCCTACGACCCTCGCTGGTTCCTCGCCGGGAAAGCCGACGAAACCGACGGGCGATGGCTGTCCGGTTTCTTCGACAAGGACTCGTTCCAAGAGACACTCTCGGGATGGGCTCAGACAGTTGTAAGTTGTACCCTGTTGATTTTTGGGTCCAAAGATGCTTACCGTGGAGCCACACTCATTCTTGCAGGTTGTTGGTCGCGCTCGCTTGGGCGGAATACCGATCGGAACAATCGCCGTCGAGACGCGCACCGTCGAGCGAGTCGTCCCTGCCGACCCCGCCAACCCCAGCTCGATGGAGCAGAGGATCATGGAGGCCGGTCAGGTCTGGTACCCCAACTCGGCGTTCAAGACCGGTCAAGCGATCTTTGACTTCAACCGCGAAGGCCTGCCTTTGATCATCTTTGCCAATTGGCGTGGATTTTCTGGGGGACAGCAAGACATGTTCGACGAGGTCCTGAAGCGCGGTTCGCTCATTGTCGACGGTTTGTCGACGTACAAACAGCCCGCCTTCGTCTACATCGTTCCCAATGGTGAACTTCGTGGTGGTGCTTGGGTCGTGCTTGACCCGACAATCAACGCCGACGGAATGATGGAGATGTAAGCACACGCATAAATTCTCTTCGCAGGTAACTCACTCGCTGACTTCTTGTGTTTCTCCGACTCACAGGTACGCCGACGAGTCCGCACGAGCTGGTGTGCTTGAACCCGAGGGTATTGTCGAGATCAAGCTGCGCAAGGACAAGTTGGTCGCGATGATGGAACGCCTCGACGAGCCTTACCGCACGCTCAAGGCCAAGACCGTCGATGCGACGCTTTCGGCCGCCGACGTCACCGCGGCCAAGAACGAGCTCGCCAACCGCGAAAAGATCTTGATGCCGTTGTACTCACAGATCGCTTTGCAATTTGCCGACTTGCACGACCGACCTGCCCGCATGAAGGCCAAGGGAACTATACGCGATACGCTCGTCTGGTCCGAGTCGAGGCGATACTTCTACCAACGCCTGCTGCGACGACTGGCTGAGGAGGACGCTCTCAAGCGCCTCGCCGTCGCCGACCCGACCTTGTCTCGTGAGGCGCGCGTCGACATCGTCAAGGCTGCCATTAACGAGAGCCAAGCCGATTACGAGAACGACCCCGCCGTCACTAGTGCACTCGAGCAGCACAAGGCCAAAATCGCCAGTCGTGTCAAGGATGTTCGTTCGAACGCGATGGCCGATGTCGTGGCTGCGATGACCAAGGAGGATGGTCAAGGCGTGTTGGAAGGTCTCAAGAGGGCGCTCGGCGAGAAGCTGAGCTCGGACGATGTCGCGACCCTGCAACGACTATTGCAGATTTGAAGGGATCGCCGACTTTTTGAATATGGATATATCATGTGTTTTGATTTCAATGTTTTTTACTCTAGGGCCTTTTTCGCCTTTTCGTTCCCTGCTGTTCGGCTTTTTCTTTCTCTCTTGCTTCGTCACTGCAATAGACTCGTGCGTTGTTACTCTAGAAAGACTAAGCCTGTGAGCAAACGAGACCTTCCTCAATCACAGCAGTAGATCTCATGCTTCTCCCACCTATCAATTACCAGTAGTTGGCGGTAGATGATCGCATTGCAAAGATCCATTCGCTCAAAGCAGGCCTGCAAGGCAAGCAGGATTTTTCCCCTGTAGTAAGCGTTCATCATATTGCTCCCGTTCCCCCTGTGGCCTACCGAAATACTAGATGGAAGTCGACGATGATAACACAAACCGCCTACGAAATGCGAGAAGCGAGATACGAGGCGTTGTCCACCAATCCGATACTGGCGAGGTTTTTTTTTGTATGAAACTCATCGCTAATTTGCAAGACGAGAAAACCCCCTACGGAACTAAAGGAGATGCTGCCCAGTATGCACGATGATCATTGATGACCACAACCGCCGCTCGATACGTTGTAACTAGCAGAACAGACCAACCCGATACATCCGAGTTCAAGTCCCCCCCACCCACGGTTGCTCCCTCCCAGAGACGAATGAAAGGAAGATTGAAGATAATACACAAGGAATCGGGAAACGATGGAGGAATTGTTGGTGGGGAAGCGACCGTCAACACGGAGGGTTAATGAGGTCATACGCGACGCTGAACCATATTATCAACGACTCCTTAATATAGTGGTTCAGTATATTCGCTTGTGGCGCGAAAGACGCGTGTTCGATTCACGCAGGGGTCAGCATATGGCGTGTACATGCTTTACAGCATCGAGTCGGGCCAGGATTTCTCGACCGAAGTCCTAGTCTTTGGCACTTCAACCCTATGCCTCCACGCCGCACGTTTTTTTTTGCATTCTTTTTCTTTCCCGCACGGGCCTTCCATGGTTCTGCTCGCAGTGCGACATCAAACGACAAAAATTGATGCTAAGTAGCTCCTACACTTTGCGTACCGACCCAGCAGACTAGCCCTGAGCACAAACTGGGTTGTAAAGTATCCGAAGACTCCCTCATAAAAGCTCTCTCAAGCCTTGGACGACAGGAAGGGTTGCATTTTTCAAAGAGCTCATCAGCGAAGTGTTACATTGGCACCTAAAAAAACGAGGCGGGCCACCCAGGACATAGTAGGTAACAAAAAGTGGTAAAGAACTCAAATATAGTGACACAGAGGAATGTTTGCTAGTGCATAGTGATGACAGAAGGAGAGGAGGGACAAGACGAGCTAGTCGGCTTATCGTCTCGGGGAAGGAGGAGCCAACGAGCCATCGGCCGTGGTTGTGGTCGTCAATTCACCACCTTGGGGGATGGGAGCCAAGGTGGACGAATGCGAAGCGGACCTCGAGTGACCGGCACGAGCGAAGCCGGTCGAAGGGATCGAGTTGCCGAGAACGTCCCGGCCTTCGGCCAAGTGACCTGTCTGGAAGAGCTGGGTCGTGGAGGCCGAAGGGTCGTGCGCAGCAGGGTCGGCCAACGAGCCCTCGGGCCTCCATCCACCACCGACGGAACCCATAACCATCGAAGGAATCATGGCCATCAACGAAGCAGGATGAATGTCGTGTTCGCGCAATTGCTTGGTGCGCGACTTGCGAATGATCGAAGAGCCACGAGCGCGACCACCTCGGATTTGCGAGTAGACGGCCAAGTTGTCGATCGTCTTTTGCAGACCCTCGCCCCACTTCTTCTCCTCGGACTCTTCGGTGAACACAGGAAGGGGCGCATTGGGATCGGGGTAGACGCGGATTTTGATGAGGAAGCGTTCCCAAGGTCCAGGGGGCAAGAAGCGGATGAGGACGGCGACGGGCAACGAAATGAGACCGAGGATGATCGAGATGGCCCAGTCACGAGCACTGATGCGGACGACTTGGAATGCGGCTCCACCAAAGTTGACGATCAAGGCCTGGCCACCAACCATGATGATGAAGATGACAAGGAAGTACATGTTCTTGTGGATGCCGCGGAAGATGTTAAGCGTGCGATCGAGACGGCGGGCGTTCAACATGTTGACTGTAGGCGGACAGGCGAAGAACGCGAAGGTCAGCATCCTGTGGAACCACACCAAACTACAGCGGCCGTCAGGCATGAAGAGAGACTCACAGATCTGACAGAAGACGAAGGAGTTAAAGATCAAAGTCTTGAGCTCGTTGTCCTGATCAATGCGTTCACCCGAGTCGGAAGAGTGGAAGCCAAAAATATGGTGGCCAGCAAAATGCAAGACGAGAGCGACGAGAATCTGGTAGACGGCCTGTCCCAGGATCATGAGCCACATCTGAGCCGAGATGAGAGGGGCCATCTTGCGATCGGGCTTCCTGTTCAAGGCCTCGGGGTCGGCGGGATCGGTGGCGAGAGCGAGAGCGGCAAAGGTGTCCATGATCAAGTTGACCCAGAGGAGTTGCACGGCAGTGAGGACGGACTCTTCATCGTTCGACGAGACGGCGGTGATGTAGGTAATGACGACGGCGGTGACGTTGACCGAAAGTTGAAACTGGACACGCGATCGATGCGAATGTCAGCAAAGACAAACCCAAATTTGCAGAACCTGGATGCACGCCAGGAAACACACCTGAAGGAACTTCTTGACCGAATCGTTGACGCAGCGACCCCACATGATGGCGGAGACGATCGAGGCAAAGTTGTCGTCCATCAAGATAATATCGGAAGCCTCCTTGGCAACCTCGGTACCGGCGATACCCATCGAGAAACCGACGTTGGCACTCTTGAGAGCGGGACCATCGTTCGTACCATCACCGGTGACACCGACGACTTCGCCCATGGACTTGAGGTGGTCGACGAGGATCTTCTTGTCCTCGGGCGAGGAGCGGGCCAAGACTTGCAAGCGGGGAACGATTTCGTGACGTTGCTGGACTGTGAGTTTGCGGAAAACGGGGCCTTCCATGATGATGCCACCCTTGCTGAAGATGCCGCATTGCGAAGCGATCGAGCGAGCCGTAAGGACATTGTCACCGGTGCACATCTTGACCTGAACGCCGGCCCTCTGGCACGTAGCGACGGCCTTGGAGACACCTTCACGAAGGGGATCCTCGATTGCGGTGACAGCGACCAAAGTCAAGTCCTGGGCGATGGCATCGTACGCGACCTCGCCGGTAACGGGGTCGATGGCGGCATTGGCAGGGGGCCATGAGGCAAAGTCGCGCGAACAAAGGGCGATCGTGCGGAGCGATTGGCAGGCGTAGAAAATGATGGTTCGGTTGATGTTGCCGCGGGTCTCTTCGTTAAAGTCGACGGTCTCGATGTCGGAGCTAGAATCGGCACCGTTCTCATGGACGACAACGTGGCGTTGGGCGAGCTTGGTCAAGACTTCGGAGGCACCCTTAAGGTAGAGGCGGTAGCGGCAGTCGACAAGCTTGACGACAACACCCATGGCCTTGCGCTCGGACGAGAACGGGATCATTTGGACGATGTTGGCAGACTCGCGCACGGCCTTGTAGTGGGGCCACGACTGGTTCTGGGCGAAAGACATCAAAGCAGTCTCGGTCTTGGAGCCGACGAAGCCGCCCTCGGCGCCATGCTCGTCGGTACCTTCGAAAGCGGTCGAGTTGATGACGACAGAGTCGTTGAGCAAGGTCTTGAGAGCGGGGGAGAGATGCTTGTTAATCTCGCTCATGTCGGTTTGGAAGTCGAGACGACCGGTGCGCGTAGCCGAAGGGGCGATGGAGGCCTTGTCGGCTTCGGAAGCGGCACCGACGATCTTCTCGGGGTCACGGTCATCGTTGGCGTTGTTGCGGGCCGAGTTCTCTTCGAGGCGGTCGACGAACTTGAGGTGGACACCGATCGAGCCGGCCACGACAGACATCTTGTTCTGGGTAAGTGTACCGGTCTTGTCGGTGCAGATGACGGTCGCGTTGGCCATGGTCTCGCAAGCACCGAGGACACGAACGAGCAGGGCGGCCTTGGTCATGCGACGCGTGGCGAAAGCGAGAGCCAAAGTGACGGCGAGGGGAAGACCTTCGGGAACGGCGACGACGACGACGGTGACGGAGATGATGAGGACTTGGATGAAGTTCTGTGCCTTCTGATCTGCAGTGCGGTCGGGGATCTTGGCAAGGTTGACGAAGAAGCGGATCATGAGCGAGGCGAACAGGATCAGACCGGCGGCGGAACCGAGCTTGGCGATGAGTTCAGCCAATCGGTTGAGCTTGAGTTGCAGCGGGGTGTCCTCGGTCTCGCCCTGGAGCGACATCATGATCTTTCCGTGGAACGAGTTTTGACCGACCGAGGTGACGACGTACGAGCCGACACCTTCGAGCACCTTGGAACCGGAGATGAGGAAGCAGTCGGTCTTGCCCTTTTCGCTTCCGTCGAGTTCTTCGTAGGGGGCCTTGCGAACAGCATCGGACTCGCCAGTGGCGCCGGACTCGTCGCAGCGAACGTTGTGGCCCGAGAGGAATACACCATCGCACGGCAGAATCTCTCCCGGCTCGACGAAGAGAATGTCGCCGACGAGGACGTCGTAGACGGACATGAGTTGTTCGGCCCCGTTTCGGATGCACTTGACGTTGCGTTCTTCCTTCTGAGCGCTGTGGTGAAGTGGACACAAAGAGGGATCAGTATAGGTAGGTAGGTAGGGGTACCGAGCGGGGAAGGAGAGCAACTGACTTGAGCTTCTGGAACTGTCGCTCCTTCTGCCAGTCGTTGACGGAACCAACCATGACGACGATGAAGATGGCGATGGTAATGGCGACCCCTTCGACCCATTCGACCGAGGCTTCAACACAAGTGTTGTTGGGGCAGCGCGTCGACTCATACGTCTTGGGTGGGGCACCGACGGATTGATAGATACCGAGAGCGAGCGAGACGACGGCGGCGACGGAGAGCACGATCAAGACCTTGTCCTGCGAGATAAAACAGCGAGTCAGCACAATGAGACTCGGAAGGGAAAGCCGAAGCATGCCGCCGCCGCCGCCGCCGCCGCCACCACCACCACCACCACCACCACCACCACGGTTCGGCGCTAGTGCCCTCGCGCGCTAGAGGCGTCGAACGGGGGACTTACGGTGTAGGCGGCCCAGCAGAGCGCGAGGAAAGACTTTGACTTTTTCTGGGGTACACGGTTCTCGCCCCAGATCCTCTTGCGGTCTTCGAGCTTGCCGGTCGACTCGGACAGACCTTGCTTGGGGTCGGTCTTGAGGCCGGCGAGCAGCGCAGGGGTGCCGCCGAGCGACTTGAGGTAGGCGTACGACTTGGGGTCGACGAGCGAGTAGAGCGTCGACGGCATCAAGTGGCGCGAGAAGGGGTCCATCTCCTCGGGAGTAGGGTCGGGGAACACGAAGGGGACGAACTCCTTCTCCTTCTTGGGGGCCAGCAGGCCGCACAGGCGACGCTGGGGCGCCTTGTCCTGCAGCGTGGCGTCGACGCGGTCGCTGACGCTGCTCGGGCTGTGGCCCTTTTCGAGATCGGCCGACATGGCGTGGTGCTTCGAGTCTGCGATGGTCGAGACGAACGAAGGCGCGTGCTGAGCCGACGACTGCGATGTGCCACAAGGGCGGATGCGGCACAGAGAGAGAGGGGGGGGCGGGGGGCGAAGGCGCAAGGCGCGAGGCGAGAGAGGCCGCCAAAAAGGCGATCGAGCGTACACGAACGGGAGGTCGCCGCGCGAGTTCGAACAAGCCCGAGTCACGAGTTTGGCGCGTGGTCGGCGTGGTCGGAGTGTGGTGGTGGGGGTGCCAGTGGTGTTTCGACAATGTGTGGGGCGAGATTGGCGGAAGTGGACGATACCCGGAGTGTAGATTAGGGGTGGATCATGGAAGAGAGAAAGAAAAGGGCGAAATGGAACAAGAGTGGAATCGGGTTGCAGAGGAATCGAACAAGGTCGTCAGTTCCGAACCCTGAGTACGCGAGCCGTGAAAGCGGCGCCCATGCGATTCGCGCGATCGGAGCGCCAAGCCGAACTCTCAAGTGCGCCGCGCCGAAGCCCCAAGGCTCAAGTCCCGAAAAGTGACGCTCGCCAGTGGTAGGCCCGCGATCCCCTGCTAGCGTCGTGCATTGAGAACACGTTCCATCCCACACCACTCGGTATTCGGTGAAGTAGACGCGCGTCGAGAACGAAGAGGTCGAGACAGCTGCCACCGAGACGTGGCCAGTGCATTGGGGTATGCTACGTCAAGTCCACTGCAGCCTATCACTAGCTGCAATCTCTGACGCGATCTCCCCCAAGTCCGACAGCGCGCACAGAAAATTGTTTCATCGTAGAGCGAACGCAAAGTCGATGGCCAGCGACACGAAACAGCAGCTCCAGATGGAACAAAGAGTGCAAGCAGAAGATTCCAAATTGAAGAACGAAGGCTCACCATGGTTGGATCGAGATCGAGTCGGTCAGGGGTCAAGATGGGCGGCGGAAGCTAACAGGGCGTAGATGGAGGTAGACGGTTAGTAGCAGAGGGTCGTAGAGTTCAACACGATCTGCCTGGAAGTAATCGATTGTTGAAAGCAGTCGATGCCGCTGGATAGCAAAGAGCCGATACGCGTCGAGAATGGACAGAAAAATCTGATCCCGCGTGAGAAGACGGAAGGCGTGAACGTAGGTGGGGGGAAGGAGAGGGAGAGAAGGAGAGGAGGAGGAGGAAGGCAGGATCACCGAAAACCCCAGCCAAGGGAAGTCAAAGTCCTGCCGAGGTACCCCTACCAGTACTTGCTTGCACCACCCCCGAACGTCATAAACGCCGAGAGCTGAGATCTGAGTGCGCGCGCTGGGGTACAGGCGCACCAGCTGCCCCTGCACAGCCACTGTGCACTGTACGCTGTACTGCTGCTTGCCCTCCCTCCCACCCTACTTGTTCATAACTCCTGTTTAGAAAACCCTCCGTTTGTTACGGAGTGCGGGTTTTTCTCTTATCACTGCAACTCGACTCTTCCATCCTAAAACAAACGCCACAAACAGCGCGCACTATGGAGGAGTCGATTGCCCTGTGGCTGGCAGGCGCGAATCGCCAAGCCGGTCCCGCCGGATCCGCACGTGCGCAGGTAAATCTAAACATTTTCTTATGTCGTTGCCGCTCTGAATGGCGTTTAACGAAAAAAATGTGTCTATTCGAGGAAGCGGAAGCTTTATTTCGACAGTGCACCCGGTGAAAGATTCACAGGCGGACGGAATGCGGCACAAAGGTCACGTGAACATGACGCCGATCGTTCCTGAGCGCCTGAGCCAGGCGTGCACTGGGTACGTCCAATTGCAACTTCCCAGTGCAGACCGATTGATCATACTGCACTAGCTACATGAAAATGAAAATCGATGCTCGATAAGGATGAATAGCACCCAACCAAGTAGACGAGTATAACCGCTATCAGTTTCCGCCAAGGACCAGCTCGGAGCAAGATGCCAGTAGGTACATCAACGAGTCGTTGGAGTCCGACCACGAGGCAAGCCTGCCGATCGCCGTACCGCGGGGTGGAGGTACGCGGTCGCGCGTCGTTTTTCAGGCTGCATGTATGCACTCGAAACGAGGTATTCTGTGGGGTTGAATTTAGTCAGAAATTAGGTGGTCCTTCCCGGTGCTATCAGTCTATGGCAATACCGCTCTGTACATGAATGCAGCGACAGGGGCCCACTAGCCAGCACTCATCGGCCGTCGTGATCAGCCTGACCGGACTGAGCGCCTGCCAAGACGATAACGGGCCAGGCTTGCTCACCGTACATTCACTACCCGGGTCGACGCCATGGCACCTACATTCGCCTCGCTCAAAGCCAAAGCTGTGAGTGAATTCGCCTCATCTTGTCACTTGACTTGATGCTGACGTATTCCACCCACATGCTTCGTCCATGCACTCCTGCACCGACTCCACAGGCGGACGCTGCAGGGGATCTCAAGACCAAGAGCTCGTCAAAGCCGGTGCAGTACAAGCCCGTCACACCCTGGGATCCGGAAGCTAGTCGTGCCAAACCATCTGCTACAGAAAGGTTTGAACAAAGCACCGTGTTGCAGCGCCATGCGGCTATACACCGTCCGCCACCGCCGCCGAAGCGCGTTCACGCCCCTACTGCGGCCGAACAGGAAACGGCAGGACCTGCACAGCCCCCTCGACTGCCTTACAGAGGATTGCCTCCTTCATCAGGTGCTGCTACACCACCCGTTGCGCCACCTTCGTCTCGCAAGCCTGCGTTCGGCGCCCCCACTGCCGGATCAGCTCCGCCTCCCCCACCTCCACGTAACAACTCGAACTCGTCCACGGTCAGCAGCAGTAACACTGGCCGAGCAGTGCCGGCTCCACCTCCAAATACCGCAGCTCCACCGTACCAGCACGCCGTCGACCACGATCTGCCTCCCAGGGGATCGCCAGCTGCGGCTCTCGGTCGAAACGGCTTTGTCAGGTTCAGCGAATACGGAACCTCGGAAAAGGAAGAGCTGTTCGCGATGCTAGACGAGGTAAGTCTGTCTTCGATCCAATGTAGACTGCGTATGCGAGTGCGGTGATGTCTGACGAGCAGGCTCAAAATCGACCGTGCAGTTCTTCGAAGCGAGGCTGAGCTCGCTGCAGCTCGGGGGTGACGAGGCACCTTTACCAGCGAAGGCCGATTTAGTAAGCTGTTCTACAAGGCTATTCTCAAGGCTTCCCCGAGCTGATCCTTAATGTTGGAGCAGACGTCAAATCTTCGTCGAGCGGCCATCTCACCACCGCCGAACGTCGACGCCGCTACTACACCTGCCCGAGCACGGCGCACTTGGCCTTCCGATGGAACGGCTGACCAGGCCGAGTCGGAAGCACCATCCTACCCACCTCCTCAGACCCATTCCTCCTCGGCCCTCGCGCTGTGCCACTGGATCATGTACGAGCCTTACGAGACGCTGTGGTACGACGAAGCGTCACCTCGACCTCCCCCACTCGTTCAAGCGCGCGGCGACATGCGCTACGCGGGATCATGGTCTTCGACGGGCACGAGCAAGACGACGATCGGGCTAATCATCTTTGGTGATGCTTCGTGTTGTTGGTGGGCGATGTCATTCGATACGCGCAATCCGAGCCAAGTCGAACGTCAAGCGCGGTATCGACCGATCCCGTCCTCGTGGTCGGGCGAGCAACTATACGCCGCGAGCGAGACGTACTCGAGCGATATCGTCATATTTGCACGCAAAGCTTATGCGAGTGGTCAACCCGTCGCAAGGGGTGAATGTTGGGACCTGGCGGCAGAAGCGTTGAAGCACGTCAATCAACGGCCCGGGATGCCCGAAGCGTTCCCCAGCATTGGGAGGACCCACGGCCACCTCATGTACTACGGACGCGCTGGGAAGCCGGGCGTTTGGAGGGGTGGGGATTGTTATGTCCGGCCCGGGGATGTCGTCGAATGGAGATTGGTGAAGATCTGTGGGGCGAACGCACCAAAGGGATCGTTTTCGACCTTGGGCGATCCTGATCATACAGCCGTAATCGTCGAAGTCGGCACGCCCAAATTGACCCCAGCGGACGGCGAAGAAATCGATGTGACCCAATTGCCGGACTTGTCCGTCGTGGAGCAGTCTCAAGGACGACCACCCTTGTTGAACACGTACGATCTTTCAACGATGTCAACGGGGGAGGTATGGCTTTATCGACCGGTGCCGCTGGTTGATTATGTGGGGACCGAGATCAAGGTTGAATGGCCACCCCAGTGCCAGACGTGGGAGATTGGACAGCTGGAGTAGAGACATTTGGTGCTGCAAACTCAGTGCATTCTTCTTGTCCGTGATCGAAAATTAGATTTTCTTGTTCGACTTGACTAAAGTCATTTACAATGTGCCAGACTGTGCCGACCATTGACCAAAACAAATTGGACTCGACTCGCTTCGGTTCGCTTCTGGTCTCTCAAGTACCTTCGAGTTGAGCCCGGAGTCGAGCCCGTGTCCACGGTGCAGCCTTCACAATGCGGCCCACCGTGACTGCCTGTCGGTTCTGTTCAGCCATCACAAGATCCTACTCGACGTCCAACACCCCAGCTCCACCCCCAGATGCATCAACCTCGCTTCGTCACGCGATGCGAACGGTCGCCCAGCCCGTCGCGGTCGTCACGATCCCCCTTGATCCAACACGACCGAGCGTCGATACCTATGGAGCGACACTATCCTCTCTATCCTCCATCTCGCTCTCTCCACCCATCGTGTCATTCTCATTGAGACTGCCCTCAAGACTGGCGACCTATCTAATGGATTCGAACGGCGGCAGCTCGTCACGGAGCAAAGTCGGAACCGTGCGGCCAAGCAAGACGATGCGGATCCACCTCCTGTCCCATCAGCAAGAAGACCTCGCAAGAATATTCGCTGGGCAACCTCTACTTGTCGACAAAACTTTATCAGAAGGAAAGCAAGGAACACGGAGGGAGGGAGGAGTGACGACGTCGGCCGAATTTGAGCCGAGGTGGTTTGAGAGCTTACGAGGGGCGAGTTTGGGGACGTTGGAATGCCGGTTGATCAAGTCGCTTTCGTTGAGAACGTTGGAAGAGGATGCCGAAGGGGGAGAGGTGGAAGGGGAGGGGAGACGAGGACCCGAATCAGCGGAAGAGGAGGACTCGGCCCCGAGATCGCAGTTGTTTTTGGCCAAGGTGGTGCATGTCGAATTGCCGCACGAAGGAGCGGGAGGAGGGTTTCACAAAAGCCTGGTATATAAGGGACAGGGGTACCATCATGTATAGAAAGCGCGCAAGTTGAAGATGTTGTAGTGCCGAAACATAGCCAACACTTTTCTGCGGTTGGAAGCTTGCCCAAAATTCGACGTGGGGCGCCCCACTTGTTGAGCCCGGGTTCCCTTCGCGGAGTCGTCGTGGCGCCGAGGACCCGAGCGGGAAGCTCGGCCTCTACAGCATGCCAAAAGCCTCGACATCCAGACCTCTACCCCAAAGAACGACCCGGTCCTACGCCTACTCTGACCGGCCACCACTCTCGCGTCGCCACACCTCTTCCTCCTCCTCTCAACTCGATCAGGATGACCACCCAGCTGGTTCCACGGCTATAGCACTCGTTAACATCCTGGCTTGTTTCAGAGAGTCGCCTCGCCCTTGTGTGAATCAGGATTTGGTCGATAAGCTCAAACCGTTGAGGGAGGAGAGGTTCTTGCTTTACGGCAGTGAGTTTGACGCAGTGGGGAGGGAGGTGGGGGGTGGGTAAGGCAGAGGGGGTGACGCGCGTTTGCGAGGGGACTGAACTAGCAGACTTTCATCAAGATAGATCCATACTCACGAAGTCTTTGTTTCTTCAGGTGCTCATCCAAAAGCCATCTCTTACGCCACGGCTATCAGCGTCATCATCGGCACACCTTGGAAAATCCGGACGGCCGAGCAGGCCAGATCTTTGCCCAAAGTCAGTCTTTCAACATGAATGTGAGAGTGAAGACGCTCGTGATCCAACCGTTGTGAGCTTCCTCCCCAGGTCGGCGAAAAAATCGTAGCCAAGATTGAAGAATACCTCCGCACGGGCGAGATCGACGATGCAGGTGAGTCCCTGTCCTCACCACAAGTTCGTCGTTCCTGGGTGAGGATTAAACGACTTTGCTGTTGCTGTCGGAAATCACAGTGCGAGCGGGAAATAACTCGAAAGCTCTGGCTTTGAAGGACATGTCGGCAGTTCATGGAGTTGGTCAGTCGTGGGAAGCGGACGCCGGAAGCCATGACCTTTAATCACGCTCTGAACATTCCGCTCGTATTTTACAGGCCATGTCATGGCGAACAGCCTCTACACCAAGGGACTGCGGTCTCTCCAAGAGATGCGTGATTCAAAACAATGGGAAAAGGAATTCCAATGGCATGACGATATCCAACAAAAGTCCGTTCTTGATTGGGCCTTTAGCGAAAACTCGGTCGGATTGACCCATTCGAGCTTTTCATCCGGAACAGAATGCCGCGGCATGAAGTCAAGTCGATCCATGAATTTATCAAAATCCAGATCGAAAAGGTCGAGCCGGGAGCGACGACTTTGTTATGCGGAGGGTCAGTCCTGAACGCGTTTCAACTAGTATCCTGACGCGTCCGCTTACTCACGACGAACGCTCGTTTTGATCGCGACAGCTACCGTCGAGGCAAAGAGCTCTCGAACGACGTCGACATCCTCATCACTTACGCCGAGAACGACGGCAAAGAACGTGGTGTCCTAGCCAGGCTCGTAGAGCGACTACGCGTAAAGGGTCCGATCTTTATCCCAAGACCCCTATCTCCCAAACCTCTCTTCTGATGCTCCGCCCCTCTCTCCTCAGGTTTCATACCCCCCGACGGCGTACTGTCCCTCCACACACCTGCCACAGAACGAATCATAACCTCCAACCGACCGGCCTCTTCCTTTGATTCTTTGGACAAAGCCTTGATCATCTTTCGTCACCCAGCGAACGGGATTACGAGGAAGAGAGATCATTGGAGAAGGGTCGACTTGGTCGTGGCGAGATGGCCGCAGTGGGGGGCGGCGGTGGTGGGATGGACGGGTGAGTGGGGGGGTTGCACACTGAAGAGAAGAATAAGTCATCACGGAACCGGGTTGTTGACCACTGGGCTCATCATTCCCACGTAGGCTCGACCCAATTTGAACGCGATTTACGACTGCAGGCCAAAAAAAAGTCCGTCGGGATCTCCCAATGCCCTTTCCAAGTGATTGGACTGATCGAGCCCCTCTTGCCTCTCTCAGGAATCTTAAGTTTGATTCGGGTGGGATACATTCTCGTCTGACGGGGGAGGTGATCCGAGCCGCCACGGAGGAGGACGTCTTCAAAGTGCTCGGTGTGCCTTACTTGCGTATGTCATAACTCAGAGCACCGCAGGCGAATATGTTCGCAATACTGATGAGGTGGTCTTGTGACTCCATCACAGCTCCTGAACTGAGGAATGCGGATCCATGATGACTCTTTACTAGCTCTCCGGCCTGCGGACGGCCTTGGTCTACTTGCTTACATGCTCCCACTTAGGTAGCAACATAATGGCCCTGTGTGAATTGAAGGGCTAACATCCCTATCTTGCATCAGAAACCTGAAGAGTGGGTGCGGGGAGCGAGGCAAAAAAGTCAGTAAGATGTTTCGACTCTTTGCGCGGAAGCTGCGCGACGTACAACATTGGCAATCAAAGGGGCAATCCGGGGTACCTGAACAAGACCAGAAGCGGATGTCAAGTTCCGAATCATAAGGAAGTATGATGAAGCAGTGCTTACCTCCTCCCAAACCGATCTTGAGTTCCTTGGTATCGTAGATCGGATACCCCTCTTCGGTCCGTTTCCCTGCTCGTCCAAAAAGGAGTTCACCAAGCATGTCCTTCCCGAATAAAGCAAAAGAGAAGGACTGACTCGTATCGCCTCTCGAATCCCTAAACTTCAACTCTTCCTCATCCAACTTGTTTCCGACCCCACCCATCGGCGGTGGTCGATACCTCTCAATCGCCGAAGATGGATCCACGACCGTCTCCACAACTCGGGCCGAACCGACGGTGGGTGTTTTGGTATTCTTGTTCGCCAAGATGGCCGCGGATATGGAGTCGAGTGTTTGAGGTTGAAGTCTTTTGGAGCTATTCTTCCCGGTGTGGTCGTCTTGGTCGTCGTCTTCGATCTCGGCTTCATCCTCTTGTTCAGGATCGAACTCGGCGGAAGAATCGTCAGTGTGGTCGTCGGAAACATCCTCATCCTCGTCCGAATCTGCGTCCTCCTCCACGTTGTTCACGGGTACTTGTTGCACGGCTTTGGCCTTTCCTTTCCCGTTCTTGTTCATGGGACCCTGGTTTGAAGTCGACTCGGCCGGCTTGGGTTTCTTGGTCGCGAAGATGTCATCGATCTCGAACGCGGCGGTGGCTTGGGTTCGTTTCTTGTCTTGTCCAGTCGAGGTGGAGGCAGTTGCGGAGGTGGAGGTGGAGGTGGAGGCGTTGGACTTGTTCTTGTCCTTGGCCATGGGGCAGGTCGAGGACGAGGCGTGAGGGTAGGCGGGGGAGGGAGGTGGAGGTGGAGCTGCGAGGGAGAGCCGTTCGAGTGGCTCGATGATGGGCCGGCACGCGCTGAGATTAGGGCAAATCTTCTGGAATACGAGAGGTGGCTTGCGCAGTCCGATTCGAGCCTCAGGCCTGAAGTCGACTAGAAGAAGTGGTGAGATGTACAAAGGAAAGCAAGCTGAAATGATGACCGAGACTCTTGAAGCTCCGCAAACCCAACTTTGGAAGCGGTCCGAACGCGCGCGCGCGCGCCCAAGTCTGCTCGCACTTCGCAGCCGGCTGTGGCTCGTCGTCGTTGATCACTCTCATCTCGATTGTCCTCCGCTGCTTCCTGGCCATCGTCTTGAGTCCACGGTTGCCCCCCAAAACAACCCCTTTTGGCCTCCATGGCCGCCGCAGGTTCAGGAGGCAAGAAGCGCGTCTCCAACTTCAAAACGACCGCACGATCCAAGCGCCACAAAGTCGGTACTTCGGGGACCACACCCAAGAGCAAGTCCACCTCGTCGTCGTCTTCGGCCAAAGTCGACTCGCTCGCACCGAACAAGAACGGGTCCGCGTTCCCTAGTGACCGGAAGACCCGGTTCGAGGAGAAGGGGAGGGGGAAGGATGGGAAGGACAAGAAGGGGAAAGGGCCTTTGAGGTTTATTGAGATTGTGGGGCAGAAGCAGAGTACGAGGGAGAGCAAGGATGATGGTCAGGACGACGACGACGACGCCGACGCCGGGGAGGGGGAAGAGGGGTCAAGTCAATCAGAGGGGAATGAGAGTGAGGAAGATATGGGCATGTTGGTCGATCAGGACGTCGATGAGCAAGGGGGAAAGTTCTTGGTCAAATTGGACAAGAAGGGGATAGCCACGTCAGTTTTTCACTCTCCACCCGGTCTCCTCGCTTTCAGCAGCAAATTCTCAACCCTCTCTTTTCCTCTTCTTCTCCGCAGTTCTCGACCGGCCATCAAAGAAGCCTACCGTAAACAAAAACCAGCCTTACAACAAGCCCAACAAGCCTCGGCGCCTACCCAAACCCGTCTCTTGGACGGCATCGAAATCCCCGAAGCCGGGCCGACCAAGTCCGAGCTCAAAGCTTTGCGCAAGAAGGAGAACCGCCTCAAACGGCTCAAGGGGGAATTGCCACCTTTGGAAGAACAGGACCTCGATGAGGAAGGGGTACCGAGGAGTGGCAAGGAGCATCCCGAGGGGGAGTTGATTGATGATTTGGAGGAAGACGATCTGGCTTTCGGCAGTGGCGACGATGATGACGATTTGAGCGTCATGAGCGAGTTGGATGAAGGAACAATCAGTACGATGAGTGAGATGAGTGATTTGGATGATGAGGATGACGAGGGTTTGTGGAGTGAAGATGACGATGACGACGACGAGGATGACAGCGAGGAAGGGGATGTGACTGAATGGGGTGGAATCGCCGACGACGGGCACGTGGAAGTCTCGGCATCCGAGGACGAGGACGAGGACGAGGATGAAGACGATGAAGAGGATGAAGAAGACGCCAGTAATGTCCCGGAGGAAAAGGACTACGACAGCGACGAAGACAACGTCGACGCCATTCCGTTGCCTCGGAAAAGGGCCAAACCGACCCGACCGGAAGACGACCTGGAAGCCGTATGGGAACGACGACCCAAACCGCCCAAACCGCCCAAGGAACTCCCAACCAAACTCCCCATCGTCCAGAACGGCAAAGTCATTCGATCCAAGGAGACGCTAGAAGGTGCCAGAGCCGACGAGGAGGAGGACGAGGAGGAGCCTGAGCCGAGGCGATCAGAGCCCGAGTACCGTAGTGATCCTTTGGGCCAGCGCTTTGGGCGACCTGCCGTTCGACAGTTGTTGGAGATCAAGGACAAGAAGGCTCGGATAGCCAAGGCGAGGGAGGAGATTGCTGATCTGGGAAGAGAAGCCAGTGGTACGGGGGAAGGAGAAGGAGGGGTGAGTGGTGCCAGATCTGACCTATCGACCGTGCACCGCACTGATGATTCCTTTGATCTTCAAATAGCTCAACTTGCTCAAGCGATTGCTCTCATTGACGGGTCCCAAGTTCTCCTCGTCGTCGTCGGCCCGAAGTGCGGGTGAACGGCCGATCCTCGTCGACCGCGAGATCCGAGTCATGGCCATAATCAGCTTGCTCGCCGTCTTTGTCGACGTTGTGCCCGGCTACCGGATTCGTGCTTTGACCGCGGCCGAAAAGGAAGTCAAGGTCTCCCAAATGGTTGCTCGTCAACGCGAGTGGGAGGACGGGCTCGTCGCCGTGTACAAGCGTTTCCTCGAGTTTTGCGAGGCTGAAGTCTCAGCTAAGGACTCGCCCCTCTCCCCCGTCGCGATCCATTGCCTGTGCACTTTGGTGAGGGAGAAGCCGGACTTCAACTACAGCGTCAACATCATGGACGTAATTGTCAAACGACTCGGGCGAAAGGGATGGGACGAAGGGCATCAAATGTGCCTCGAGGCCGTTGTCCATTTGTTCATCCACGATACGACGACGACGGCTTCCAACTCGTTGCATCTCGTTCGACTCATCTCCCGCCTTGTGCGAGCAAGGTCTTTTGCCGTTCGACCTGAGGTCATCTCGACTCTGCTCAACTTGCGCTTGAAGGATGAGCTGGGTGGGGGTCGCGTGCGAGCTTCGACCGAGGCCGTGTTCCGGGAAAGGGAAGGCCGCAAGGGTGTGGTCAAGTGGAACAAGGAGAAATCGCACAAGGGGCGTAAGGGAGGGAAGGCCAAAGCCGCGATGGACAAGAAGGGAAGCAAGAAGGCGCGCGAGGTGCGCAAAGAGAGGGCCAAGATCGACGCCGAGATGAGGGAAGCCGAGGGCGAGATTGACCAGCAGGAACGCGAGCGCAACCAGACGGAAACACTTAAGCTCCTGTTTGCTCTCTATTTCCGCATCGTAAAACTTGATTACCGAAGTCCGCTCTTGCCCGCTGCGCTCGAAGGGTTGGCGAGGTTCGCCCATCTCATCAACATCGATTTCTTCCGGGACTTGCTCGAGGTGCTCAAGGGCATCGTCAAGCGCGGTGGCATCCTCGGTGCCGAGTCGGTCGTCACCGAAGAGTACGAGGACGACGACGAGGATGGAGGCGATATTGAGGAGCGGACCGAGGCGACGATCCGTCGTAATGACATGCGCGAAAAGTTGCTGTGCATCGTCACCGCGTTCGAGTTGCTCCAAGGCCAAGGCGAAGCGTTGATGATCGATCTCGGCGATTTCGTCTCGGCGCTGTACGCCTTGATACTCCCCTTGTCGCTCTCACCGACGTTCGAGGAGACGCCGTACCTCGGTCGGAACAGCATCACGACGACGAACCGGATCACGGCCAAGCTGGCGCAGACCGAGGCCGATCTCTTGTTCCGAGCGTTGGCGGCGATCCACCTCACGCCGAGATCGTTGCCTTCGCCGATCCGCACTTTGGCCTTCTCGAAGCGACTGTTGTCGGCGTCGTTGCACTGGCCTGCGGCGTCTCAATTGCGCGCGTTGACCTTTTTGCGGTCTCTGTTGATCCGCGAACCCAAGTTGGAAGCGATGTTGGAGACGGGCGATCGTCGCGTCGATGGCAAATGGAAAGGGGCCGTCGATGAACCCGAACGTGCCGAGCCCGAGGGGACGTGTTGGTGGGAGGCGGGGTTGTACCGGTCTCACCCGGATGACAAGGTGCGGGACGAGGTGAAGAAGTTGGTTAATTATCAGCGAGAGTAGTGTGATGTGAGCTTTCTTGTAGTTGTTACCGCTTTTGTATGCGAGAGACATTTGGAAGCATGGGTGCGACGACATATTGGCACCTAATGACCATTCGTAATTGATGAATACTACCGGTCGGGCTCGCTCTGGCTCGCTTTGCCCGGCCGTCGGCTTGCTCCGCATCCCCTCCCGTCCTCTCTCACCCACGCACCCGCACGAAGCCGCCCCCAACTGCACCAGCATGTTCCGCCTCGCCGTCCGATCACCCGTCGCCCGAGTGGCCGTTGCCACGCCCCGAATGGCCACACGCTCCTTCTTGACCTCGTTGCGCCGTCAATCCGAAGCGGAGCCCATCATCCAGGTCAGTCACTCGGTGCGATGTAGCTCGTCAAGCTGACGCGCGCGTCTTTGCCCGAGAGAGCGACGAGCGACGACAAGCGACCAGCGACCAGCGACCGAGCACGAGCGACCATCACAACGGATCGCACAGCTGCTGACACATTCCCTTCGCACCTCCCCCAGGGCCCCGGAGGTAAACCCGGTCAGGTGCCGACCGATCTCGAACAGGCGACCGGTCTCGAGCGATTCGAACTGTTGATGAAGCTCAAGGGCGAGGAGGCCTTCTCGCTCGACCCGCTCGAGGTCACCCGTCTCGGTACCGTCCAGGACCCCATCTCGGTCTTTTCTTTGGTGCGTAGGATTTCATGCTGGTGTCGGAGGATGTCGGGGGAAAAGTCCGCGGTGGTGGTAGGACTCGGCGGAAGCGGCATGCGCAGAGGCGGCAATTCGCCTCGCCCCAGCGGGGCTTACTCGGGAGCGGTAAGTGTGCTGACGATACTATACTCAAACTCTTGGTTGTGGAATCACAGGACAACACTCGTATCGTTGGCTGCACGGGTCAGTTGCTTGCTGAGCTGGGTTGAGCCGGACGGGAGGCGGCAACTGACGCGCCCCGCCGTGTGGTAGGCTTCCCCGTCGATTCGCACGACACGATCCTCTTCCCTATCAACAAGGAAAAGCCCGTACGATGCCCCGAGTGCGGATGCGGTCAGTCGGCTTGCGGAGAACCGGGTAGTGCTGGGACCCGAGCCGCGGTACTGAGGCTCTCATCCATGTCTGCCTCCAGCGTACAAGGTCGACTTCCAAGGTGTCGAGGACCACGGACACGGTCACCATTAGAGAACTCGGCCGAGGATGGAGAGCGGTTCTCATCTAGTACGATTCGAAGCGGGAGGGTGGGGACTGGGCCTGGGGGTGATTGACCCGTATCGGATGCTAGACGTCGGCCGTATTTCTCTTTTCTGACTGCAAAGAAATGATGGGCTGGCTACCGGGGGTTATGATGCGGTTGGAGCGAATTCGGGAAAGCTCCGGAGAGAGACGATCGCAGTGTCATTGATACTTATGGGATCCCCTGCTCGGCGAATCCTGGCGCAGCCAAGCGCTGGCGGCCTCTCCCTTCTCTCCCTTCTGACCCGGAACGACGGATTCCGGTCCACCGAGATGCATCGCCGAGCGGTGTCGCACTGTTCGCGTTCTTGGCTACGTTCCATCCCGACGGGCGTGCCTATGCCTGGCATCAGTCACGACCGCTCAGCCGCAGCGCTCCGCGGTGTCGCTGACGTCGCTGCCGGGCCAAGACCAACACGACGACCGTTCGCGACGAGCAATGCAACGGCCAGTACCTTGTCCGCCCACCCGACCGTCAGAGAGGATACTCAAACACCCCGGGCGGTGACTGTCACCTTTACGAATGGCAAACAAACCAAATTGTAGGTCACAGCACTCGCAGTCCGCAGCCGAGACTTGACTCACATTCCCGCTTCCTGCTCTCTCCCTCTGCAATTCCGACTACAGTCACTATCTCTGGCTACGAGACCACTGTCGAGACGCGCGATCATACCACCCAGCTACGAAGCAGCGCTTGGTCGATACACCCACCGTCAGTGCTCGTAGTGCTCGTACTCGCTCGCTCGTGGACATGTGGACATGTGGTGCTCAACTACCTTCCTACGCTTGGGGCCGTGTCTATCCCAGATCCCTCACGATTTGATGCCGCAAAATGTCGAACCAAGTGCGAAGGGACTCTCTCTCACCTGTCCGTGAACCAGCCCGTGTATTTTACATCTGTATGGCCGCAACAAATTGACATCTTGTTGCTCAATCGACAGGGCCGGCCGACCCTTCTTCCTCTTCTTCGGCGTATACCTCATTCTTTCCGTGGGCCTTCCTGCTCGAGCACTCTTACGAGCCTGCACTAGACGATCGGATACCATTCAATGAGTAGGTGCGCTTCCATCTGCTCGGAACCCTTGAATTAGATGCTAAGATCCTCTTGCCCTTGATGTGGGAAAACCTATCCCTCCTGCTCAGCAAGATTCTTTGGACCTCGGAAATCGCCCACGATCCGCCGATGGTCGAACACGATCAAGTCATGGGGTCCGAAGAGGGTGTTTATGAATGGGTTAAGAGGATCGTGAGTCATGCATCGTCGAGGTTTGTCGCATCAACTATCCTCGGATTTTGAACGAGTGTGACCCACAGCATCAATTCGGCTTCTCTTTCGTCCGAGGGATCCCAACTACCCCCGAAGCGACCGAGGCGTTGCTTCGACGGATAGCCTTCATCCGCGATACGCACTATGGTGGTTCGTACCTCGCTTGAGCTGTCATAAAACACCCCTGACGGCTAACTTCTTGCTTTCCCTACCCCAGGCTTTTGGGATTTCACTGCCGATCTCAAACATGGGGATCTCGCGTATTCGAACGTGGTACTCAACAGTCATACGGATACCACCTATTTCACCGACGCAAGTTCATACCTAGGCTGTCCCTGACGGAGACTCGAGCTAAACTCCCTGTTCCACTACAGCCCTGCGGTCTACAAATGTTCCACCTCCTCTCCCCCTCCACCTCCCACAAAGGTGGCCACAATCTCCTCGTCGACGGATTCCAAGCCGCTCAAACCCTACGCAAATCTCACCCCGAGCACTACGACTTCCTGTCGACCGTCCGCCTTCCCTCCCACGCCTCGGGAACAGGCTCAGATTCGATCCCCTCAGGCGTGCATCTAACACCTCTGGTGCGCAAACCGGTGTTCAACCATGACCCTATGAACGGGGAATTGATCCAAGTTCGTTGGAATGGTGATGATCGAGGAGTCGTCGGAGGACAGGGCTGGGCTGGGGGCAAGATGGAGCGATGGTTCGAAGCGCTGAGAGCTTGGGAAGGGGTACTGAGGAGTGAGAAGAGTCAGTTGTGGACGAAGATGGAGATGGGCACGGCCATTAGTTGAGTGAAGCCTTTTCTTGACGACCGACCACCTTCTTGGTTTTTACAAGAACGATTTCGCTGACCGCTCTCGCACCTCCTTCCCTCTTCTTCTCCGAACAGTCTTTGATAATCACCGCGTCTTGCACGGCCGATCCTCCTTCGTAGGCGAACGAAGGCTCTGCGGCGCTTATATCAACCACGACGATTACAGATCACGATATATTGGACTTCATAATCAATTTGGGCCCAAGGAGGAGGAGAAGAGGAAAAGGGCCGAATGGGAGAAGGGGTTTGGGGTTGTTCGGAAGGGAGGTGGGCACGGGGTTTGGGACGGGTGGTGACGACCGAGGCGAGTTGAAGGGGGCTTAGTCGTTTCGGAAACGATCTCGTGAGGATGATACTGTTTGCGATCATCAACCGTGCACGAGCAGGAACTGAACTTAGGTGCGGGCTACTTGGGCTGTTTAGAAGGTGCCAAGCCGTCGAATCTGCTCGGACTGACGCGACGTCGCTGATGTGAAAGACAGTATAAATTCTCAAATGCGCGACATTGTAGCGCCTCCTTGAGTGGCCCTGGACCGTGAATATCCTGAAAACAAGTCACGGAAGATAGAGCTCAATCCCTTATTGGCGGACAGCCCTGAACGTAGGTTATCCCATACGACATTGTTCGCGTGAGGGTTGCCCGAGCCGCGCCGGAGTTGGCTCGGTGCCCGAATAACCGGAGCTTGAACTTAGAGCGCTGCACCGTATCGTTAACGGCCTCGCTCCTTCTGCTCTCATCGACTCAGCAGTCCCAGACTCTCTCATCATTCCAACTCATCACAAGACTCAGAGATGTTGATCAGCGAAGGCTTCCAACAAACGCCCTACACGCTTCCCCCAGCATGGGACTCGGCGACCTCGTTGAAAGCGGTCATTCGACGCCTCGTTCCCAAACAAGTCTACACCAAGATCGATGGGGATTGCAAGGTCTTCCAGGAGAGGATCGCGGGGGAGATGACGGATTTGCATGGCAAGTTGGGGGAGGCCAAGTTGACGCAGTATGACCAGGTAAGTTGCTGGCGCACTACAGACTGTCGTCGATCACATGCGCTTGAGGGGGGTGGGGCAGAATTTGGCTCGGGCTTCGGCCAGGACGAATTCAAGCGATGCACCGCGTGCATAGCCCGTTGGATTCGCTCCAGGATCTTAGCAAAGACTTTCAGACCTTTTACTGACGATGATCGTTTCATCTTTACCCAGTGGGGTCGTCGAGTCGACCGTCTCGAAACCTCGGAAGGCTGGCGAGGATTGAAGCGCGTCGCCGCTGAGGAAGGACTGGTCGAAATCCCGATGAAACGGGAGGATGGACCATATTCGAGGGTTCACATGTTCGCAAAGACCTATTTGTTCACGCCTAGAGGAGGAGGTACGTTTAAAGTTCCTCATCAGTCCCGGCCGGAACCTTCGGGGCGGCTCGGCAACCACATGCTATGGGGGAGAATTCTGACCGGTTCCGAGGAGGAGCCGGCGAGACCTAGTCGGCCTTCCCGCGGAGCTGTCAAAGTATGGACGCAGGGGGTTTGTGTTTACTCATCTCCGATACCTCTTCTCTCAGTTGTGGGCTGCCCCATGGCCATGACCGACGGAGCTCAACGCGTCTTCACGCTCCTCGGTACCGACCAGATGAAGCGAGACTATCTCCCCTTGTTGGCTAGTCGGAATCCGGACACGGCCATCACCGCTGCTCAATGGATGACTGAGAGGCCGTGAGTTGCTGTTTTGATCTGTTCACATATTAGCGCGTGGTGAAAGCTGACCTCCAGCATGCTATGTATCAAAGTGGGGGTTCGGATATGTCCTTGACCGAAACGGTAGCGAAACCCGTGTCGAGCAGCAATGCTACGACGAAGTAAGTACTCTCGGTCGGGTTCGCAGGAGTACTCGCTCGGTTCTGACACCGGAAATTGGTTTCACAGTGGAGCGGAGTACATCATTGATGGGTTCAAATGGTTCTCTTCGGCTACCGACGGGGACATGTCACTTGCCCTCGCTCGAACCAGCGGCGAAGGGTCTCGCGGCCTGTCCATGTTCGTCATCCCGATGCGAAACCCAGATGGAACAACAAACGGGATCTATATCCATCGACTCAAGAACAAGTTCGGTACAAAATACCTGCCCACGGCCGAGTTGTCGATCAATGGAGCCAAGGCGCAACTTGTCGGTGAATTGGGTCGAGGCGTACCCGCGATCGCTTCCATGCTCAACATCACGAGGATGCATTCCGCCATCTCTTGTACGACAGGCCTGGGGCACTGTTTGGCCATTGCGAGAGCTTTTGCTCAAGTGCGACATGTTGGCGGCAAGAATGGTGGTCTGCTGATTCACAACGAGATGCACACGGCGGCTTTGGCGCAGTCCGAGCTGGTACATCGAGCATTGCTTCATTTCTGCTTCAATACCGCATTATTGCTCGGCAAATCAGAAGCCGGAATAGATGAGAAGGGACCTACTCACTCCGAATCGATGAGGTTGCGCTTATTGACGCCCGTCATCAAAACCTTCGCAGCGGATCTCGCGACCACCGAGCTGACGAAATGTATGGAGGCGCTCGGTGGTCAGGGGTACATGGTCGAGAATGAGATTGGGACGTTCATTGCAGATTGTAACGTGGAGCGCATTTGGGAAGGAACGACAAACACGCTGGCTTTGGATGTCGTTCGGGTCATTCATGGCACAAAGGGCAAAGCTCTCGCTGCTTTCGCCGAGGCGAGTCCTCGAAGTCGGCCCGCAACTTTCCCCTAACCTTCTCTCGAACTGACCTTCGGCTCCCTTTCCGTGATGCAGTGGGCCCAATCCATTTTTTCCCAAGCTCCGAAGAAGCACGCCTCGAGCATCGCCGAATTGATTTCGGATCTCAAGCTGCTCGGCCAAGCCGTCGCGCTTTACCAGTCCGCCGAGACCTCGAGCGCCGTCGTGGACCCACGAATCCCTCGCCTCATCCTCTACCTAATTGGATACATCGCTTCCTCCGCACACCTTCTCGAACAAGCCCTGTGGTCCGCCTCCACCCGGGAAGAACAAGGCAACGCCGAGCTCGACGCTTTCGCCTTCGACATGTGGGTTCATTCAGGCGCGGCGCGAGCGACCAGTCTTTCGCTGCGCGACATGCTCGGGAAGACCGACGAGGTGCGAAGCGGTGAGCGCAAGTTGGAGGAATTATTGGTGTATGGACATGGTGGGGAACGAGTGGCCAAGCTCCAGGCCAAGTTATGATTTACTATGTGTGAGAAGATACGTTGTCTCGAAGCTTTAGGTAGGCCATGGAGCCCTCCCCTTGTTGAAATGTACTTCAGTATTACTGCGGACCGAAACATCGTGCCCATTCAAGCCAAAGAAGACCCAATCTCTCCCACCAAAACACACATGACCGTCTCGCCTTGCTTCTTCTCCTTCTCTTCCTTCGTCTCACTCGGCAACTCCAACAACCCATTCACGCCCGCAAGAGAAACGGTCCTACTCGATCGTTGACCCCCAGTCGAGAAAGCCTTCAAACCCTGGGTCGTCGGACGAACCCAAACTCGATGGTACTCGGGTCGAGGATCGAGAGGGACCGTGCTGTTCAACACGACGGGGACTCGAGGGAGTTCCCATTCGCTCTTTCTTCGACCTTGCATCTTGCGCAGGGCGGGGAGGACGAAGATGAAGAAGGTGACGAGGGCCGAGGCGGGGTTACCCGGTAGGGCGAAGACGAGCTTGTGGTCTTGGTTCGGCGCCATAGGGTGAGCGGGCAGGGTGGCGAACGTTGTTGGTTTACTTTAGCGTTGAATGTTAATCAGACTCAGGTCTGGGCACCGATGAAGCCTGCTTGGAACTCACCCGGGTTTGATCGCCACTCGGCCGAAGTGAACCGTCCCGCCCAGCTCGCGCTCGATACAAGGCTTAAGCAAGTCACCGACACCCATCGACGTCCCCCCGGTCGTAACAATGATATCCGCTTCTTCCTTGCCCTTCTTGAGCGCCGCCACAGTCTCAGCCATCGTGTCCCCAATGATCCCGAGATCGAGGACTTGGAAGTGCAGGTTCCTGAGGATCTGGATTAGGGATGGTCGGTTCGAATCGATGATGGCGGAGAAGCTCGAGGTCGAGTGCTTGGGCTTTGAGGTGTCTTGAATATTGACTAGTTCGTTCCCGGTCGATAAGACGGCGACGATGGGCTTGCGGTGGACTTTGGCCTGCGCCGATGGGAAACGAGCACCACTATCAGCCAAAGCCGAGAACAGGATTGGCAATGCCGTCGACTCACCGATCGCTTGATGATAAACGCCAGCGTGCCCAACTCGCCCCCGACACCCGAAATATAGTTTCCTTGTTCCAGCACCTTTTCTCCGACCTTGACATCACCCCCCAGGTTCCTCACGTTCTCCCCCGGTTCGACCTGAGCCAAAAGCTCGACTTCCCTCTCTTCGTCGTTTTCGGTCGAGGTGACTTGGGTGTCTTCGACCATGATGACGCTGTCCATTCCCGGGGGTAGAGGAGCCCCCGTATTGATGCGGTAGATCGTCCCTTCTGGTAGAGGTGAGGATGGGTACTCGATGACGACCCTGTACACTCCCGGCTTGTCCGTGGCTGTGGCATGGGAGAGGACACGAGAGAAATTAATGACGGGCTTGGATGTTTGACCCTCCGCCGAAGGGACTCACACCTGACGGCGTACCCATCGACGTTCGTGGACGGCCGCATAGGAATGTTGACGTCCGACACGACGTCCTGAGCGAGGACGTGACCTATTAGGCGCTCGTCGGTCGGCATCGTCTCGATCGAGGTGACCGGGGTGTGGTCAAAGATAAGCGAGAGGGCTTCTCGGTACTCGACCATGGGATAGGGCGATGCGCGTTGGCGCTTGGCGACTGGTGGGTGATGAGAGTCCGAGTCTGGGAATAAGTTCCGACTGTCATGCACGCTCCTCAAAGGCGAGTCGGGACTGACCGCTCCTGGAAGGATCTTGACTCAGGGGTTGATTGCCGGTCCTCGGTTTCGGCGCATGATGGCCATGGTCGTGACCACAACCTCGGTGCTTGCGCTCTTCAGAAACAAGAGGTTCAGTCGACGAACTTGGAACGACCGACTTGGTCCGGTCGATGTTGCCCAATTCCTTGTGCACGGCCTTGCCCGACCCTCCTCGAGTCGACAATTCCAAAGCGTGGGGCAAAACCCGTAGCAAACTTTGCAGGTTCTCCTTAGCACCCTTGGGTGATCCAGGAAGGGTGATAATCATGGTACCCGTCCCATCCTGGATTCGGGCGTTAAGATGGATCCCAGCTACGGGTCGGGCAATCGAGGCGAACGGGGTGATGGAGAGCGAGGCGTTGATCATTTGGATCACCAACCCGGGAGCATGCTTGTCGATCAAGGGCGTCAGCGCCTGCACAAGCGGAGACATAGGGGGGTAAGTTCCAAAAACAAAGTACAAATCACTTGGAATTCAAATCCGCTCACCTCTGGAGTAAGATCCCTGATCCCAAAACCAGTCCCCCCACTCGTGAGCACCAACTCGATCCCCTCCGTGTCGCACCAGCGCTTCACCTGGTCGTGGATGCGCGACTTGTCGTCGGGTACGACGGCTTGTTGTACGACGTTGAAGTCCGGGTGCGAGTGCAGTAGCTCGCGCAGGGCCGGGCCAGAGAGGTCCGTCGACGGCGTTGCGGCGGCCGTGTCGGAGACGACGAGCACCGCAACAGAATCTGACGAGGAGGAATGGGTGCATGAGCATCATTGAAAGATTCCGTGAAGGGAACGTGCTGCGTGCTCATCACTCACAGGGTTCGGGCATGCTGGTGAAAGTCAGTGATCGTTGAGGCGCGAAGGCAACCACCAGCTCGGCGCCCCCCACGTGAGATGAGATTCGCCCCGCGCTTCCTCGGGCAGTCAGGGGCAGTCTCGAGCCGTCTCTGGCATGAATCAGCAGGTTCAATCTCTCAGCCCATAGGTCCAAGCATAAAGAGAAGTACAGATCCGTCAAATAGCATTGGGTCAACCTCAAGATAAAATCTCATCCCAAAGTCACTAGAGAACACAACCTATCTGATCCCAACTCGTGGGCTTTTTTTGAATTGGGGGAGGAGGGCCGAGAAACAAGACACGAGACGAGGGCTATGACGCTCTAGTTCTTGTTGTCGGGGCGGAGGCCACGGACGACCTTGCCGGCACGCCACATCTCTTGCTGGTCAATCTCGCTGCACTCCTTGGCAAAGTCCTCGCGGTAGGTCGGGCGGCCGTTGAAGTCGAGCGAGCGACGCGTCTCGGTTCCGTCGCGCACCGAGGCGTACAGTTTCTCGAACACGGGTTTGTTGGCCTCGTAGAACTTGGGCGCCCAGTCGAGCGCACCACGACGGGCCGTCGTCGAGCACGCCGAGTACATGTAGTCCATGCCGTAGTTGCCGATCAGGGGGAACAAGGACTGGGTCGCTTCCTCGACGGTCTCGTTGAAGGCCTCGGACGGCGAGTGCCCGTTCTCACGAAGGGTCTGGTATTGAGCCAAGAACATACCTGTGGGGTTTTCCGCGGTCGATCAACCCCCCCTGAAACACGAGGATATCAGCGGCGGGCGAAGACTGACCTTGGATGCCTCCCATGAGGACACCTCGTTCACCGTAGAGATCCGAGTAGACCTCCTTCTCGAACGTGGTCTCGTACGAGTAGCCGGAACCGACGGCAACGGCGATGGCGCGAACCTTCTCCATGGCTTTGCCGGTCACGTCTTGCCAGACGGCAATCGACGAGTTGATACCGCGGCCCTCCTTGAAGAGTGTGCGCACCGTTCGGCCCGAACCCTTAGGGGCGCAGAGGATGACATCAATGTCCTCGGGGACGATGACACCGGTGTCCTTTTGGAAGACGACCGAGAAACCGTGCGAGAAGTACAAGGTCTTGCCCTTGGTCTGTGGAAAGAGACCGAACAACCCGCGGGTCAGTTCGACTGTCTGGTGCCTAATACAACGTGCGAAAAGCGTACGATGAGGGGCTTGATGTGCGACCAGGTCTGGGATTGAGCGGCATCGGAAAGCAAGTTCATGATGATGGTACCCTTCTCGATGGCCTCTTCGATCGAGAACAAGTTCTTGCCGGGGACCTGTGGCGAGTTGAAAGATCAGCATTGACTCAAATCTGCCCAATTCCCTGAAGACGGGTGCGCTCGCTTACCCATCCGTCCTCCTGCGCCTGACGCCACGACTCGCCATCTTTGCGGACACCGACAATGACGTTGATGCCGTTGTCACGGGCGTTGAGACCCTGGCCGTGACCCTGCGAGCCGTAACCGATCAAGGCGAGCGTGTCGTTCTTGAGGTACCTGAGGAGCGGGGCAGGGGGAGGATCAACGGTTCGATCTGGTCAGTTTCTAGTTCCGGGGGTTCGGGCGCATGCAACGTCGTGACCGAACTCACTCTTGGAGCTTGGGAAGGGGCCAGTCTGAAGGAAAGCCGCGGGTACAGAAGAGGAACGAAAATTGGAACTGGTCAGTCACCGCTCGTCTTGGAAGAAATGCGATGGTGCAAAGAGCATCTATCGATGCGATGCCACCTCGAAGCGAGCAGCTCGCAGATGAGGACAATGGCTGCATCGGATGCACTAGGATCGGCGCCGATGGGTCTTGGCACGCGCGAGGTGACACGAGACGGTTTCCCGGCACAATCCTGTCTTCCGACGGCCAGATCATCCCATCGGAGCGCCACCAAGGCAGGACCTTCTTCCCCTTTCCATCCTCTTTTGATGCAGATCCGGTAAGGTGACATCTGGGACGGGGTGCGAGTAGAGAGATGATCTGCGGCGCGGCGAGGCTCAGAAGACCCACCGGATCGCTCATAGACGGTCTCGGCGTTGCCGTCACCAAAGTCGAGCGACTTGATACCGCGGACAGTCTATAGAGTGGATAGGGAGTGTGGTCAGCGACTACTGCTCCGGCGCAAGTATTGGCCGTCGCTTGCTGGCTGGCGGCCTCCTGCAGCTGGGGCGCCAGGCCGGCCTTGGCTTTGGAGAACTCACGGCGGGCGTGCGAGGAGCAGCGACCTGTCGCGCCTTGGTCAGGAGCGAGTAGGAGCGCGTCGAGGCCGCCGACGAGGGGGCTCGGACGGCTTGACGGAGGGCCAGTTGCGCGGTGCGGCGAGCGGCGGATTGCATCTTGGATGGGATCGGTGGGATGGGGTGGGATGCGGAGAGCTGCGCAGAACGGCGCAGGCGAGAGGGGGCGCAAATCACGAGCCGCGCGCGCCCGAGTCAAAAAAAACGACCGGCCCCGGCTTGGCCCCGTCCGCTACGAGCGAGAGCAAGGGCGAGGCGTCGCGGCCCTCGGTCAGATGAGAACTGGGTCACGGGGGGTACGTGAAGAGAGCGACAGTAGGTATGAGTGTGTGGAGGGGTATAATGTAATCAAAACTCAACAAAGAATGAAAAAGAGTGTCTATCATATGAAAGTCGAAGCGATACACGTGTCCGTAAAGCAAACTCGAAACTTGAGTTTTCACTCGATCGACAAGAAGGAAGCGCCCCCTGTCCCGGCCGCGGCGGCTTGCGCCATGGACCGAGTCGAGCGATGAGCCCCAGCACGCGGGAGCGTCGCCGTGCGAAGTGCATCCCCGTTCATAACATCGCTCGAGGCATGTTGGTCCAGCCATTGGTCAGTCCAGTGACCGCCGTGGTTCGCCGTGCCCCCACTCGCGAGCGCATACGCCCCTTCTTCCGAGCCGACCGCGGCGTCGTCGTCCAATACCTAGCAACGTTAAGCGCAAGGGAATCCCGCGAATATGAGCCTAAATCATTAAAAGAATTGCATTCCCTATATCCTTGGGCTCACCATGGGTCGGTCTCCGCTCCCATAGGCCCCATCGTCTTTGCTACCGGCGCCGGCGATGATGGCGAGCGGACGTCCGTCAGGGTGCTGTCGCGAACGGATTGGACGAACGGGTCCGAGCTGAGATGATTTGTGATTTGTGCAAAGTTTTTGAAGGGTCAGTCACCATACCTGATCCAACGCTCGTTCGTTGGACCTGATAGAGGAATGCTCCCAAGTCAACTGACCACCGTAGGCTGCGTAGAAGGGTGGGAGGCCGAGAACGAAGTCACCGACGAGCCCGTGCTCTGGACCGAGTACTCCGATCGGACCGAGCGAGAGTCATCGGAGTCGCAGTTTGACGAGTCCGGCAGAGATCTAATCGAAGCCGCACTGGTGGCGAGACGTTCGCGATCGCGCTCCGTCGCCCATCGACGAGCCTCGACTTGCAGTCGGCACAAGCGACCGAGCGGGTCGACCGAAAGGCCCTCGCGCAGCTTGCAGGTCGCAAAATGAGCTCGAATGACCGCAGGTCGCTGTTTAAAGGATGAAAAAATCGTTATTAGCATCAATTTTATACCTGCCAGTCCAGCTTATGGACATGTGTCGACTGACCTTGCCTTCGAGGCGGAAACGACACTTGGCAACACAGACTTGACCCCTAAGCCACAGAACGGCGCGACCATGGCCAATATCCGACGGGAGGACCTCCAAATCTTCGTGAAAGACGCGGTGGTCTATCATAAAATATGGTTAACTTTGTCAATGAATCCTCAAACTGGTTTAAGAGCTCAGAATATCACTCACAGGATCCAGGGGGAAACTCGATGAGGGCCGCTTCGGGGGACAGCGCTTCCGCACCGTGGCTGACGCGGGCGACGGTTTGCGAAAGGTCGTCAAACACGTATAGTTCGGTACGCCCGTTGAGAGGTTGCAAAGGGCGCGGGTCGTGGTGACTTGGCGATCCTTCGTGCTCGCCCTTGTCGGACTTGGCCGATCGGATCGAGTGGCCCCCCGACGGAGGCAACGAGGTCGGCAAGCCCGATCCCGATCTCGAGTAGGGTCGGCCTTGATCTCGGTACATCGCCCTTTGCATCGAATGCGCGTCGCTACTATGGCGAGAACGAGGCTCGGGTCGAGCGGGACCCGACCTCGGCTGCAGCTGCATCCCTTGCAACTCGTTCGAAAGGTAGCTCGGACCAGGGCGAGAAGTGGGGAGTTCGAGCAACTCGTTGGGCCCGGCACTGTATGGATGCGACGACGTGGCGTATTGACCGGTGTTAGAAATATCGTGTTGCTTAGGGTGGGCTGGTCCGGGATAAACGTTCGAGGGGCCGCGCCACTTCGATTGGTTGCTCCAACTAGATGATTCGAGTCCAGCATCGGTGCCCGAGCCATAGCCCTCGGCCACGTAAGAGCTACTACTCGTGGTCAAGGGATGCAGGGAATTCACCAACACTTCCTTACTTTGGTTCAAGTCTTCGGTCGACCCGACATTGGTGGGGAAAATATCGTGGGGGCGAACGGCGAGCAACTCCATATCGTTGGCGACCGAGTTGATCGACGACAAATCACCGTGCATGCTCGGCTGCATACCCGATGCTCGGGCTTGGTACAGGAAGGGCGATGAAGATGTATCTGAGTGACCGAGCTCAGCTGTGTGGTTCGGCGTAGAAAGTCGGAGATCAGCTTTCAACGCGAACCAGAGTTCTTTTGACTTGAACTTGCCTCGGACGAACGTGACGATCTTGGACACGAGATGCGCGGGACCAAGGTTGCGACTGATTGAAGCTGATGAAGAAAGAAAGAGCGCTTCACGGGATCAGCTATTGGTGTGCACAATGACATCCGGTGGCCGAGGCCGAGGGCTACTGTGTTCGATCTGGTATGTTTTCGAGAGATCACTCACGATCGACGAGCAGATTGATGAGCTCGGACCACGTGACCTCGATCATGAAATCATGCGCATCGTCGAGATGGGTACGGACCATGAAGCCGGATCCGTTGACGCAAGGTTCGAGTGCGGCCGAGGTGCCAGCACCGGAGGCCCCTGCGCCGCTGGCCATAGCTCCGCCGCCAAAACCGAAGCTCGTTGTCGTTGTAGCGCCGAGCGCGCCGAAGCCGCTCTCGGAGAAGGCGTCGACGCCGTAGTCGTCGAAGCTGCTGCTGAACGAATCGCACGACGAGTTGGACTCTCTCGAGCATGGGCGGTAATGGTGGGTCGAACCCTCCGACAGTGGCATCATGATGGGGATCGTCGACATTGGGGAAGAGCACGAAGCCGCGGTGGACCATTGCGAAGGCGCAAGTGGGGTCGGTGGGGCAGCGCTGATGCTCGCGGCGGCGGGGGTGGCAACGGTGGGAGTCTCGCCGGCGGCGGGCATACTTGAAATGAAGGTGGTGGCGGGTTCGCTCGAGTCGATCGAGTCAAGGAAAAAGACCGAGCGTCTCGTTACACAGCAACGAGGAACGACGCGAAGGTAAGAGACGAACACGCGAGTTGGAACAGGAGGAGGCTGCTTGCGAGACCGGGGTGGGGGAAAAGGACGAGACCGAACAAGAAAGGGAAGCGACAAGTTTCGGGGACACGGTATACGGAGAGGGAGAGAAGCAGGAAGGGAGGTGAGACTGGCTTCGAGTATAATTACCGCGTCGTAGCTGGAGCGGAGGGCAAGATGCACGAATTTGAGGGGCACCGGCTGCTATCAGATCGCAAAATGACCCCGTGCGCTGCGGCAGGGCGAGTGGCGCCTCCTGTTTTCGCAATGAGCGCGTGTGCGCGCACCTCGGCGCCGGTGCTGGCGACGCGTGTAGGGCGGTAGGAGCGCAGTGGACTCGCGGTGAGCGAGAACATATACCCGAGGTTACCAACCGTCGTTTGTCTCGTTATTACGAGCTGCTGGGGGAAACGGCTGACTTTTTTGTCTTTAGTTACGCCGAGTAGGAGCGGAGTCCTTAACGACCCTCCTGGAATTTGCCCGTGTTTTAAGTAACGTGCGGTCACTGTCACCGGCGTCCTTTTGCCCCAGTGCCTCTCGGAGACCAGTAAGCCCCACTGCACCTACGCGCTAGTGGCTCCGTCTTTAGCATTAACATTTTTTTAGCTCCCCGAGATAATGAAAGACGGTCTGTTCCGTGTGTGTGTGCACTGCAGCGACGGCGGCGGTGCAGGCACGCATGATCTCGTATTGCGACCATCGACCCGGTCGGATTTGCCCGCGGCTCGAGCTCGGACGTCGAGGTCAATTCTGCCGATTTTGATGAGACGGTGAAGGGCGGACCGAGTGTCAGTGGACCTCTCACACAACTCAACGCTCAACGCTTGGGCCGCCTTCGAGTCTCAGTTCCATCGAGTCACCAGCGAGACCCTCGGTGCGATCGACCTGTTTCGATGGCTCACGGCGGCGAGGAATTTTTGAGGCCGACTCTTGCATTCGCGCTGAGCCCACCAGACCAGCAGATCCGAGCTCAAAACGCACGATCTTGACGCCTGCCACCTCCTGCCACTGCCCTGCTGTGTGGGTTTCCCCCAGCCTCAGGCTGCCTCAGGCGCGGCTCCGCTTCCCCCACCACCTCCACCGCCAACGCGATCGCGCTATGGCTCCCAAACGCCAGGCCTCGAGCGATGAATCGTACCTAGTGATCGGCGGTGAGTAACCTGCACAGACCATTCGATGTCGCTTCCGACGCGCCATCTGACCCTTGCCCTCCCCCACGGCCTGCCCACTCGTCTCGCTTTCTCTCTCGTCGCGCGCACCCATCCATCACCTGCATCACCCCTCCCGCGTCTCCGTGTCTCCGACCCGCGCTCCGCGATGCTGTTGCAGGCGAGGGCTTCCTCGGCTCGACCTTGGTCAAGGCACTCGTGAACCGCTACCACGGTGCACCCGTCGCCTCACTCGACATCGTGCAGCGTCACTTCCCCGAAAAGTCGTCGTGGGCATTTCACTCAGCCGATCTGACCTCGCTCGAGCAACTCGCCAAGGCGATCAAGGCCAGCTCCGCTACGACCGTGTTCCACACCGCGTCGCCGTGGACCGGGTCCGGCGCCGACGTGTGCGAGAAGGTCAACGTCCAGGGAACCCAGACCATCGTCGACGCGTGCGTGCAGGAAGGCGTAAAGAAGCTCGTCTTCACCAGCAGTGCGGGCACCGTCTACAACGGCGTCGATCTCATTAACGTCGACGAGCGAATGCCCTTTCCGGACAAGGCCATCGACCCGTACAACGCCACCAAGGTACGCCATCGCGTTGTGGTACCAGTTTTGAATGTGACGAGACCCATCCGAGTCACTGACATGCCGCTGCATCGACGCTACCTGGCGCGCAGGCCAAAGCGGAGACGATCGTGCTCGAAGCCAATGGACGGAATGGCCTATTGACCATTGCCCTCCGACCCGCTGGTATCTTTGGGTGCGTATGCCCACGTACAAGGAGATTTGTGCGATCGGGGCGCGGTGACTGATCCCCCGTTTCGTGGCATCTCGCAGTCCAGGAGATCGACAAGCGCTGCCCGGGGTGCTCGACGTGCTCAAGTCGGGCAAGACCAACTTCCAAATTGGAGGCAACCTCAATCTCTTTGACTGGACCTACGTTGATAACGTTGTCGAGGCCCACCTGATCGCGTCCGAGCGGTTAGGGGCCAAAGTCTCGTCTGACGCGCTCGATACACGCCTGCCCGCCGTCGACAAGAGCATCGCTCGACGCGTGCTCCCAACCTCGACATACCGGCCACCCGCGCTCTACGACATTGAGAAGAAGATTGAACCATCTTTCAAAAACACCTCCGAACCCGATGCCCCGCTCCAGGCCGCACGGAACCGTTTCGACCAGTTCAGCCACGAATCAGCCGGCTTCGGCAACGAGATGAGTGTGACCGGTCAGGCCTTTTTCATCACGAACGGCGAACCGATCCCCTTCTGGGACTTCCCGAGAGCCGTCTGGGCTGAGTACAACGGCCACGTCCCGTCGTTCACCATCCAGCTCCCCGTCACCGTCGGGATGGCGTTTGCCGAGATTGGCGAGGTGATCGGCAAGGTCACGGGCAAGACACCGAACTTGACGCAGGGCAAGGTCGTCTATTCGACCGTGAACCGGTACTACAACATTGAAAAAGTGGGTCATGCTCCACAATTCCTCTGTTTTAGCGATACTCGATGCTAAACGATGAGTCTCGCCCACAGGCCCGAAGAGTGCTGGGCTACGAGCCCGTCGTCGGACTGCACGAGGGCATCAAGCGAGCAGTCGCCGTGAGTGTAGCTCTAAACCGGGTTGGTGAGTAGTACTTAGCTGATCCCGTGTATTTGGTTGATTCGATAGTGGTACAAGGAGAACGAAAAGGTCACAGCAGAAAAGGCCTAAGGTCGGGGCACCGAAAGATCATCACGCTGTAAAATCAACATCACGTACCCTCATGCCCACGTCATTCTCGGTAGCTCCTTCTTCATGCGACCACGATGTTTTGTATACTACCCACTGCCCTCGTCCTCTGGGAATTGACGCTTCAAGCCGATTCTGGGCCAGAAGATGATTTTATTGACATGATGCGAGAGTGCGAGGAAGATGAAAACGAAAATATAATAAGAGTAAAATGCTAGCGATAGAACGTCACGACTACCTATAAACTATTTACTGCATCGAGATACTCTTTGGGCAAGTGGGACTTGACCAGATCGGCCTCGAGGTGAGGACACGCATAGAACGCATCCGGTGCGGCGACCTCGTACAAGCCCCACATTTGGGACTCTTCGTCATCCTCCTGGTCCTGGTCCATCTCCTCGGCTTGCTGATCCCGTTGACGCTGGACCCGCTCCCGCTCCGCCACAGTGTCTTGCTTTCGCTTCCATTCCATCTCGACGGGCAATCGATCAATGTGGTACGCTTTCCCGCACGGGATCATCCTCGTGAACAGCGTTTTTTGATCCTTGCCCTCGGGATGGACATCGTCGTCCTCGATCCCGTCCATCTCGCACCTCCACTTCCAAGCCTTTTCTTCGATCTTGTTCCTCTCCTCTAGCTCGGCTTTGGTCAGCTGAACAGGGTGAGAACCGTTCTTCGCCGCTTCGAGATCGATTTGTCGAATACCGCCTTGCAGCTTCTTCCACCTCCACCAAGCGGTCAGAATTTCGCTCTTGCCGTGTTGCATCCTCTTTGTTCCCGGAACCACTTGTGAGACACTTTGGCTACGACGACCTCCAGCTTCTACGGCCGATTTCTGCAACTTGAGCCATTTGCGACGATTCTTAGCCAATCGACCGAGGACCCTGCGCAGCTCGCGTACCTGGGGGATCCCCATCCGACACACGGCGTCGGGCCCTAAGGAAACGCTGAGAACGAGCGGAGTCTGACCCAGCGAGCATCGTTTCGCCAGAGGGAGATCCACGGTAGCGGGATGGGCAAAGCAGATGGCGCGAACGGGTCGATGAGCGGGAAGTCCACATCTAGGCGAGACGGTCCAGTGTCCCCGATCGTGTTCGTGGTCGCTCAGTACATACGTCGCGTGCGTCGCAACGCTTGGTCCACCGATACTTTCCGGTTCGGCCGGCGTGTATTGGCCGACGAGGAAAGCGACGGTCGAGGCGATCGCGGCGCCCAGCGAATGACCGGTCAAAACGAGCGAGTAGCCCGGATGATCTTCGAGCGCCTTGCGGAGCTTGGTGAACAGAGGCGAGGTTTCGGGATCGAGTAGACGGCGAGCGGCGGCGAGAATGCCGGCGTGAGCTTTGAATGTTTCCGTTCCCCGCGACGAAGGGTCCAGCGATGGTAATTCCACGGGCTCGAGTCCTGCTTCCAGGTCCGTTCGGCTACAGGACGAAGTAAAGGTATGAGTCTCGAGCGGGGCGCGGTGAAGCCTATGCCTCCTCACTCACATGTCAGCCAACGACTGCGTGCCTCGCACGACGCATACCACTTCGCCATGCAAATCATCTCGAAGCAGATAAAATTGTGGTTCGTAGATGCTGTCCGCCTCGTCCCCTGCCACCGCCGGGATCCCTGTATAATGTTTTTGAATCGCGACATGCAGCACGGCTTTGTGATCGACGCCGCCAAGATGCGAAAATACGCGATGCGGGAGCGTGGCTCCCGAAGGCGTGAACAACGGCGTTGGAGGGGCCAGGATGTAAGTGTGCAGGCCATAAGACGCCGTAGCAAGTCGCGCGTGTCGACGCAGCAGCATGACGAACGCCGTCGACTCGTCCGGGCCGTCCAGAATGGGACGCGTAGGGGGTGACTTTGGGCTCGCGGCGAGGAACGAGACGGGCGAAGGTGGAAAGGAGAAGCCCGGCAGCGTATCACCGGGTAACGCATCGCCCAGCTCGAGCGGTGGGACGTCGTCCAGTTCGTCGAGAACCGGGATTCCCGTGTTGGCTCCCGTCGCCGAGCCCGGATGGGGCGTGAAAGAAGGTGACGCATACGCGAGGGGGTCGACGGACTCGTTGTAAATGGTGCCTTCCAGGATCGAATCGCCGCCGCCGGTCACAATCAGACCTTCGCCATCGTCGACGGTCCAGCGCCGCGAGGTGCCACGTCGACTAACGGAGGGACGGTTGAAGACGAGGCTGCGACTTTTAGAGAACCGGCGCAAGAGTGGGGACGCCCCTCCCCCGACAATCGGCGACGAGCTTGCTTCGAGTGAGCTGCAATCCGCCGACGCAGCGAATCGAGCCGCTTCATCGCCGTTCACGAGCACCAGCTTTCCAGGACCCTCAGCAATCCATCTCTCTTTTGAAACTGCTCTCTCACACACGCACATGGAGGTGAGCTCCTCTCGTAGAGTCATACGTACGATACCACGCGAGTCCGAACTCACTAGCTTGGATCGCCATCAATTCAAAGAGGCCCAACAGGACGCTGCCAATGCTGAGTTTGACGCCGTCCTCGGCGGAGACAAGGTTCCACTCCTTTTGGCACAGAATGAAGTACTCCCTTGCCACGATCGACAGGTCCGTCCGGCCTGTCAAATTGAGGAATGTCCAATGAGAGAACAGGGCCACGGATCGAAGCGTGGCGCAGAGCGATACGCCCAGGGCCCAGGTGTGCACCAGCACGAACACCGCAAACCCGACGAGGTGAAGGGTAGTGCCGAGGAGACCGCCCACGCTAGCCAAGCCTTGGTCAAAGCCGCCAGAAACATCGGGAGAGCCTACCAGAAGCCAAATGAGCAGATCCACCATAGGTCTGGTGCGTGTATCAACCTTGGGGAGCAGAAAGGAGGCTGCAGGGACGGCAAGCTGCTTGGGCGAAGCATCCCCTGAGCTGGACAAATCGGCAATCTCGCCGTCGTCTGTCGTTCCTTCCACCGCGGCGGTGGCATCCCAAAAGGACCCAGCAAGACTGGTCGCAGCTTTGCCGGCGTTGTGGCGTGTGCGAATGGCGAAGAAGCCATAATCGAGTGGGGAAGATGGCGCACTCTTGTGGGTGGCGTCGAGCAGGAGAGGTAGGGGAGACATATCCTCCCCTGTGTCGTCAAAGTTGGGATGCAAGAATGCCTTTGGTGGTTCATGCGGCGCCTCGGCATCTTGGGTCGCTGACCGCTTTGAAACGGACTCGCTGAGGGCAGGAGTGGCGATCCCAAAGAGCGGTGGACTCAGATGACTCCCCGGCGAGCCTTGCAGCAACGACATGGGGGTAGCCGCAACGAACATCCTGCCCGCGAACAGCTCGGCTGCGGGTCCGTCGACTTGCGGCTCGATGTGGTCCACGTCGCCCTTGTTCGCTTCGGCGTCGAGTGATCCGTCCGTGTATCTGGACCGCTCGGCCATCAAGCGCTCCGCCAACTTTCTGGCGTACTTCTCGCCCACCTCCAAGCCCTTCATCGCCGAGTTGGCCCTCTGCACCCTTCGACGTTCCTTCCTGACCGAACCGGGTGTTGGATCGATGGGATCGTCCTTCCAAGCTCGGTAGTAACTGCCCGAGTCGACGCCCCCGGGGGGTCCCAGTGCGGTGACGAGCTTTGAGGCTGTCGACAGGAGCGACTGCGGGAACGCAGGCCGCGGCGGTCGGTCCTTGGCATAGTTGCGCATCTCTTTCCGTAGGCGCGCTTGCCGTAGTTTGGCTTCTCGGGTGCCCAACAGTCCTTGACAGAGAGATGAAAAAGAAAACGAGGAAAGTCAGCGTGGGCCGCTAAATTCGTGTAGGTGGCAGCAATCACGTCCAATGCCCGTCCCCCGCACGGACCTTCAAAGCTCTGCCTCGAAGAAGAATCGTCCAAGAAGGGCGGCGGCAACAGCAACGCCGAGTGGGTGGCGTTGATGTCGTCGAACCAGGCTCCGGGTAGCCCAACCGGGCTGGGAGGTAGTTCGTGCGTCGTCTCTGGGCCCATGGAGAGGGTCCGGGAGCTCGCTCGACGTTGACGAGCACCTCGCGCACTCGAGTCCGAGACAAGAGCGGACTTTGGCAACGGCGGGATGTCACCGAGGTCATCGGCCGAGGTGTCGATCTGCTTGTCACCACCATATCTGCAATTGAAGCTGTCGAGTGGGTGACCGAGCGAGAATTGCTCCGAGAGGTCTTGTTTGCCGCGTCGCAGCAGCAGCGACGACGATGAAGAAGTCGAGGCCGAGCCCGGATCGGATCGCGCGCGATCGGGCACGGCACTCTGGTTTGGGATCGAGGTGGGGGACGATCGGGAATGACCGTGTCGATGAGGATGATCGCCCAAGAGCAAGGACGAGATGGTCGAGAGGGCACCCGTTGATGGACGTGGTGGACGGTAGGACCGCTCTGATGCAAGGACGGTCGAGCTTTGCGGCCGATCGGAACCGTTGTGGATCGATGCCGATGCCGACGCCGACGCCGACGCTGCGGCCTCATACGAAGTTGCGCTTGTAGAACCATACGAGTTGAGTCCGGGGTGCGATGCGAGCGGGGTCGGAAGCGGTCGATAGCTCTCTCCCCGCGGAAAGGTGGGTGGTGATGATGACGATGTGTCCAAAGGTACCAAGGTCGGAGCCATGCTGGACGGTACACGACTACTCCGCTCCGGCATCCGCGTCGACCTACTGTTGCTCGACGTCTACGTCAGCGCGACCGGCGACGGCGAGCTGGCACGTGTTGACACTTCGAGGCTCGCGCGCTGATGACCGATCGGCCGCCGGCGGTGAGTCGGTGACAGAAGGCTCGCAGAGTTGAAGCGTGCACGCTCAGAACCAAACCCGTCACGACTGTCTCTGAATCATTCGAGGGTGGAAGCGCAGTGGACGCTTGAGACGGCCTGTCGAACAACGAACAAGTTCGGACTTGGTCGTCCGAGCGGTGCCGCGGCGCTCGCTTCTCGCACAAGTCGCTTGCCCTGCGGCCGGTGGCTGCCCGGGCCGCCGAGGGCTGCCGAGGGCAGCTGAGCCTGGCTGACCGAAGCCGATGCGAGAGGACGCGAGCTGAGCGCAGCAAAGTGGAGCCCCTTTCGCCCCCCCCCCCCCCCCAAGGCCCAACCGCTTGCCGTACCCGCCTACGCCGACAATCTCGCACACCAGCTCATCCAAGGTCGTCGATGCTCGAGCTGGACTGGCCTGAAAGTCGGTAAGCAACAGACAGCCTCATCGTTGCCAGCGCGTGCCGGGGAACGCCATGACGTCGACGCGACCCAGTGCCCGGCCGCCAGCTGAGCGCGTACAAGCTGAAGAAGAGCCAGAATTCACGGTCAGTAACGTGTAACTTCCCCTTGAGATCTGCACCAGCTCTAACGTGCAGCGGCTTGTGTCAATTGGTTCAGCTTCGAGCAGTCGTCGCCGGCCTGGTCATTGGCACGCTGCTGTGCTTCACCAACATGTGTGGGTGCTTTCGACAACCTACTCGGGTCTATTAGATGTGCACTCAAGACCTTGTCTCCGCCGCGCAGACTTTGGCTTGCAGTCGGGATGGATCAGCATGATGAGGTAGGTCAGCATGCGAGACTCGATGCTCCACTACGCCCACTGACCGAGCTGATCTCGATCAACGTGCCAAAACTGCACCAGTCTGCAAGCCTCTTTACTAGGGTTCGCCGTCTTCAAAGTGTTGCCTCAAAGTTCATTATTTGCCAAGAGACCCCTGTCGGTCCATGAAAACGTGAGTGCTGTTGAATCTGACCGGGACCTCAACCCACCAGGCTCACTCGGCAGCTGACTCTTCTTTCGCCTTGGGTGGACCTTTCAGATCGTGCTCCAGACGACCGCTGTCGCGACCGGAACCTTGCCACTCGCAGCCGGTCTGGTCGGCGTCATCCCTGCGCTCGCTCAGCTCTCCCCCAGCATCGACGGGTCGCCACCCTTGGTCCTGTCCTTTGTCGCCCTCTGTGCGTGGTGCTTCGCTGTCGCCTTTTTCGGGGTTTTCCTGGCCGTGCCTCTGCGCCGGCAAGTCATTGTCAAGGAGAAGCTCGTCTTTCCTTCCGGCACCGCCACAGCCCAGATCATCAGCGTGCTCCACGATGTGCCACCACCCAGAGTGAGTGCGGTGAGGAAGCGGAACGGGTATCGAGCCCTCGGATCGGAGGAGCAGCAGGGGGAGGAGGAGGCGACAAGTGGGCCCCGCTCCCGGTCGGTCGAAGAGGAGGCACCTCTGCATGCGTCAGCGCACAGGAAAATTGATCAAAAGGGATGGGTCGCGCTTAGCGTCAGCTTTTCTCTATCGGCAGGGTTCACGGTGAGTATAGTCGGTGTTCCCGAATCTGACGGGGTGCGTCGCTTACCCCAAAGGGCGAGTCTGCAGTTGCTCAGCCTGTGTTTCCCCGTCGTGTACGCGATCCCAATCTTTGACGTCTTTGGCCATCTCGCCCACGAATGGCTATGGTGGTCAGTCCGCCTCCTCTCGGGCCCGAGAAGGTGTCCGCGCCATCTCACGAGGAAGCCCTTTCGTCTCGGCCCCGCAGGTTCACCCCGTCCTTCTCCTACATCGGGCAGGGCATCATCATGGGTCTTCCCACGACGGCCTCGATGAACGTCGGCATGTTCGTCGGCTGGGCGATATTGTCGCCTCTGGCGAAAACTCGTGGGTGGGCGCCCGGTCCCGTGTCGAGCTCGGTCGACGGATCGAGGGGATGGATCCTGTGGCCCGCTCTGGCCGTCATGATGGTCGAGAGTATATTCTCCGTGTCCATCGTCGCTTTTACCCAGATTGCCGGGCCCCTGCGGTCCATGCTCGGCCGCTCTACGCAAGGACTTCACGAAGACGAAGACGAAGACGAAGACGACAACGGAGATGCAGAGGAAGACGATTTTGCGCCATCCGGCAGCCGTGTCGAGGAGGAGGCCGACCCGCGCCTCGTACTCGGTGGGATCGTTCTAAGTTGCGTGGCGTGTGTCGTCCTCGTGTCGATCGTGTTTGGTCAGGACGGTATCAAGTGGTGGGCAACGTTGATCGCGCTCGTGCTCGCTTCGATCTTCTCGATTCTCGGCGTCCGCGCACTCGGCGAAACGGACCTGAACCCCGTCTCGGCGATCGGTAAGATTAGTCAACTGCTCTTTACGATTGTTCAGGTGAGCCCCCTTGCGAATCCATCGGCCTTGAACCTCTGTGGCGAGCCAACGAACATGAATCGCCTACCTCCGCACAGCCTCACAACGTCGTGGCGAACTTGATTGCCGGAGGGATTTCGGAAGCGGGGGCCCAACAAGCCGGGGACCTGATGCAAGACCTAAAGACAGGGCACTTGCAAGGAGCGAGCCCAAAGGCGCAGTTCCAAGGCCAGGTACGCCGTGACCACAGCTGAGATCGCATCCCTCCTCAATTTCCCTCGGCTTTCATTTGCATTCGACATATCTGAGTCTCGACGTATCTGACTCGCCAAGGGGTCGCATTACTTGCATCGTCGACAGATGATTGGTTCGCTGGCGTCCGTTTTCGTATCGTCAGGGATCTACGTCCTCTACCGACGCGTCTATGATCTGCCGAGCACCAACTTTCCCGTCCCCACCGCCGCCATTTGGTACGTCCGCTTCAGAGGCTTTGCCCTCGACCGAGTCCACTGGCTGACACCCTCTTGGACCGATTTAGGCTCAACCTCGCTCGTTTGGTCAACAAGGGGCAGTTGCCGCCTCAAAGTAGCGCGACCATGATCGTGTTTGCGCTCGTCTTTGTCGTGCTGTCGGCGCTCAAGGTCCTGGGTCGAGGCCGATCCTGGGTCAAGTTTATTCCCTCGGGGCAAGTTTGCGTCCCCTTCCGCTGGCTCGTGATCGAAATAGAAGGATCTGACGGTGCCCTGCGTTTTAACCACCTCGCAGAATCGCTTTTGCGATCGGGTTTATCAACACCCCTTCATTCTCCATCGCCCGATTGATCGGCGGCTTTGTATCGTTCTACATGACGCGACAGACGGCCCAGCGCAGAGGGCACAATGCCACGGGCGAGCATGCAAATGCCCACCTCGAGAACATTGGGCTCATCATTGTCGCTTCGGGGTTTGTGCTTGGCGAAGGCTTCGCGAGCGTTGTGGGTCTGGCGACCAAGAGCGCTGGTCTCGGACCGGTCAGTTGTTGGGGCTGCGGCTCGGGTGGGGGCGGCTACTGCGGGGGATGTTGAAAATTGAGCTAGGCTCATGAACGTTCCACGCTCGATACTGTAATCATACCAATGTTCCGAGATGATGATCGAATGAGGTCGCTTGCGAGCCCATATTTGGATACAAGAAAGAAGAGCCTTCGATAGCGGAGCTCGTTCAATCTATTCACACGAGAGGGAAGGGCACTACACAGAAGAATGAAGAAAACAAGGACCACAAAACTCCCCATCCACCTAGCCAACCCACTGAAGAAACGCCTCTATCCTATGCATCGACGCGCTCAATCTCGAACAGCACAAAGTCGAGGTACTCGCCCTCGAGCACGTTCGCAAACTCGCCGGCCACGGTCGCGTCCGTACCCTCCAACGACGACCCTTTGCCGTGCTTCTTGCTCCCGCCCTTCCCTTTCCCTTCCGTACCGAAATGCTCGCTCAACGCCGTCGTCAGCTTGGCCACGGACTTGGATTCGGGTTTGATGATCGCGCCGAAATAAGCCGCGGGCAGGCCGTACCTTAGGACGGACTCGACGTAGGCTCGCACGACCTTGAGGTGGATCAAGATCTGGAACAGTTCGGAAAAATTGATCCTCGACAGGCGCAAGAGATCCGTCCACAGGTCCTTCTCCTCGGCCTCGAGCGCGACGAGGTCGGCCTGCGCCTTTTGGATCGCCGAGGCGTCGTAGGTAAAGTCGCGCACGATGAATTTGGCCTCGCGACATTTCTGCGAAAATTCGTCCTTGACGCGGCGGAAGATGGTGACGCCATAGAGCACAAACTCATCGTCCGAAGCGAGTTTGCTGTCAAGCGAAGGCAGCGAAGGGCAAGGTTCGATGAGTTGACCGTCTTGGAATGATTGCATGCTAGGGGCCGAAATTCGAGCGCTCACCTCGATGACCGGGGAACGACCATCTGACATAGCCGCTCGTAGCTGTTTTCCCACTCCTTAACGAGGTTCCTGTGCGGAGAGTCCACATCGAAGCGCGTCAGCTCGGGCTCGGGGAGGCTACCCGAGCGAGTCCGACGCGGAGACTGACGTGGGCACGGCCACCAGGACCGTTTCGAGGTACTCGGATTCGCTTGTGCCAGCAAAGTCTTTGGCCGAAACGACATCGGCAAGTGATCGCGTAGCAAGGTTGCCACTGTAGTCGAAATGGAGGATGGGGTACCATCGTCAGGGCTGCTAGCCGACGATGAAAGACATTGATACCCTCGTCATCTGCTCACGTCTTTTTCCTCTGCGCCGAGACGACTTGACCCTTGACGATGCCATACTGCCCACTCTTGTTCCTCTGTGCATTCTCGATGCTCGACACCTCCTTCATCAACCCCTCGACGATCTCTTGCAGCGAGCGCGACTCGTAGCGATACTTGCTACGGTTCCACGTCCACGCCGGCTCGCGCGTCGCCGCGGCCGAGTCGTCGGAAGGGAAGATGTAGTCGAGGTACGGTCGGCCGTCATCGGTGACGAGGTGCTGCGCCAACGGGGAGGCACGATCGGACGAGACGGCCGAGGCCGAGCCGGAGGACTGCGACTGCGAGTCGGCGGAGGTGAGCGAGCGGATCTGGTCGACCGTCTTGGCTAGGGCGGCGCTGACGGCTGGGTCCTGTTTGGCCAACTGTTCGGACAAGGTCAAGAGCGAGGACAGGGTTCCCGTCTGCGGCGTGCAACGGCGGTGCGGAAACCGACCCGTGAAGGGCGATGACGACAGGGGGTGCACGGTGAGCGGCCGTCGGAGCGGGTCCGGAAGGTGCTGCGTCAGTCCCATGTCTGGGCAGACCGGGGTCAGGGGGCTCGGGAGAAACGCACCTTAAACTGGGGAAAGTCGATGTAGGCGGCTCGCCCGAGCTTGCCGTGGCCCAGGACGCCCTGCAGGTCCTCGAGCTGGTCCGCCGAGGACGAGCTGTCGGCCTGGGTCGTCGTGAGCCAGTATGACGTCGGGGAAGGCATCTGTGCACAGCCAGCGCAAGTGGCGGGTCAGCACACGGTCCGTTCGATCTGGCCAGGTGTCCAGTCGACGAACATTCGCGGTTGGTTCGAGTCGTTCTGCGGTGGCGGGTGGGGAGCGACGACGAGGGCGAAGGCGGCCTCGATAGCGCCGTTCATTGATCCAGCGCGCACGGACCTCTTCGCCAGTCTTCACCAGCCTTCTTCGCCCGGGCCAGACCGTAAACTGTAGTAGTGCCACGTCGTGAAACAGTGAAAGCTGAAAAATGGTCCTCCGAGCCTGATCGCGGGAATTACTCAGGATTATTCTTGGTGCATCGGACTGGTGTCAAGGTAGTGCCCGGTCTGGTAATTCCGGCGGGGTTGTGCCATGCTAACGCCACTGATTTATTAGTCGGCCGTCCAAGTCTCCGCGGCAATCTCGTCCGGTTTTTGAGAAGCGAATACTCTGGTGGATGGTCTCTCTGGAGCCGCAAATCTCGCCAAGCTCTTGGATCCAACAAGCTAATTATAACAATGTTTTCTAATCATCGTTCCAAGAGTAGCAATATATTACTCCAGTTTCCTTGAATACCAGCGTCAGCTTACTATGAACAACCCGATCAAGATACATCATGGCTGCCTGGCGGCACAAGAAGTCCACCATCACACCTGCACGAGGGACCACCTTTCACAATACTACCATCGCACACATCGTGAACCCCCGCTGCATTGCACTCGCTACAGATTGCCCCCCCGCGGCTTGACTTGCCAACGCGACCCGTGAATCTGGCGCATGCCTTCGGCTGGTTTCAACCACCCGACCCGATCTTTGACGTATTGCTCCATGCTCGGCTTCAGGATGGTCTCGTGCAAACTGAAATCGTCGACAGTCCCAATCCTCAATATCTTGGACCCAGGGAACCCTTCGCTGACGCGATACATAAGGGTCCCGCACATCTTGCAAAAATAATTGGTCATCCGATTGCCCGACTCGATCGTCGCGGCCTGACCCCAGCTCGATAGGTTGGCTCCGCCGCGCAGGTGCTTGAGGTGCGAATTGAGCACGATGAAGTTGAAAGCAAACATGGACGCCGTGATCTTGCGACAGTCGTAGCAATGGCACACAAACGACGAGACGAGCCCCGGCGCCTCGAGGGGAAACTCGAGCTGGACGGCCCCACAAAAGCAGGTCGCCGTCGAAGCGGTCGAGGTCGTGTAGCCATCCCTGGCGATCCCAGACAGGACGAACGAGCTCGCGGAGGGCATTGATGCTTGCAGGAGCGGCGGCCAGTAGTTTGGGAAGCACTACGGAACTGCTGCAGTGGCGGACGACCTAAAGGGTCGAAATTCGGGAATGAGAATGAGATTTTCAATTCCAGCTAGTCTACAACAAGAAACGACCCTAACTCAAATATATAAAAGACTAGGGCTCGGGGGGCGCTCCGCGCCTATCTCCCTGCGTAAATGAAGGTCGTTGCGAGCTCCGCCCGCACCTCCCGGACCGTGGGGGGGGGGGAAAGATCGCCGCGCGCGCGCGCGCGGCTGAGAACCTTATTTTAAGTCGTGCATTCTTTTATGTAGATGTAGATGGGCGCTGGACCAAATTAACTAGGCTGGGAAGCCCGCGCCAATGTTGGCGCACCATCGGCTTCCGCTGGTTCCGCCGGGTCCGCGCGGACCCGGCGACTCGGTAGGCTACTGGCTGTCGCCGAGTGGCTTTCTTGGCAGTCTCATATGCACACCGACGTGCGCTGTATTTTGCAGCTATGCATGCGCGTTGTCACGCCAGCCTACGTCAAGCCGAGTTGTGAACACAACGGAACATGGAAGTCGAACAAGCTGCCGACACGATGGAATGGAATGCCGTGAGCCGAGAATAGCCCTATAGCCTTGCCCGCTCCCGCCACGCCCCACTAGTCATTTGCAACCATGTCTTGATTTGGGCACAACCCTATCCTATACAAGTTTTTCAAGTGCCGAAGTGAAGTGCAAGCCCGATCGAGGGTTTGAGGAGTAGGCAGGTATGTCGACCAAGTTCCAGAAATTGCTCAATCCGAAGGACACGCCGTAACCAGGCGCACTAGAGTATTGCCGCTATGTCATATTAAACATAACGCAGCACAACACTGCACTGATACAAGGAGAGGATAGATCGAAGTTACTGAGCTAAGGAACCTCTTCATAAGGCGAAAGCGAATAACGAAAAACCAACTAATTAATACTAGTCGCCCCACGTCGGGCGGTGAGTCGGACGGAATGCCAAAACGCCAAAGAAGGCGGGGTCTCGCCGATCTTCGAGTAGCGCGTGCAACTCAGATTTGAAAGTTGCAAGGGTGATGGTAGGTAGCCGGCCGCGGACGAATCGATGGCGGACACGAGGCAGCAGCGCCGCCGATGCGTGCCCAGTCTGTCTGTTGGGGTTGCGGCTGAGCAATCGCGCGCGGCTGAGCGACGCCGTACGGGGCGACCGGCGCGAGGGGTCGGGGAAGGGGAGGGGTCGCAGGAGGGGAGAGGTGAGACGGTACTGCACTCGCAGCTCGTTGCGCGTCTTCTGTTGGGGTGCAGTCCATTCAAGAACCAGACACGAGCGACAATCTATCTACATCTACATAAAATAATGCACGACTAGATAAGGTTCTCAGCCCCGCGCCCGCGCGCGCCGATCTTTCCCCCCCACGTCCGGGAGGTGCGGGCGGAGCTCGCAACGACCTCCACGGAGCGCCCCCCGAGCCCTAGTGCTCCATAATGACATTCATTCAGAAACCGATCCGAGTGGGACCGGGCTTGCGGTCTTGTAACACAAGACATGACGAGAGTTAATTGCACGTAGTCAGGGCCAAAGAACCTAAGTAGCTGTGCCATCAATTCCACAGTTTCTTCTCTGTTGTTCCAAAAGATCTCGACGCTTGATGAACGCATACAGAGCGTAACAAGCTTTGTCTTTTATGACTAAAGCAGTATCTTGCCATGTGAATTCTGCTAACTGGTTCAACACGCCGGCTGATTTTTCGCACGAACGGAACTGCGTCGAGTCGGCCCTCAATAGTGGCGCGTTTCTAAATGGATCTGAATCGTTTACATTCTCGACAAGGCGACAACCTCAACACACGCAAGTCTTGTTTACAATACAGCTACCTCACGATTTTTTTTGCAACAGGAAGTATTTATACCAACGTAGTACAAGAGGTACTGGCAGAATTAACTGGCGCTACCGGAAGGACCACCGAGCACCCAATCATTCCCCACCCCCGAGCAACCTCTACTGCGCAACCACCGTGATCCTACGCATCGTTTCGGTTGCTAGCACGTACTGCGCCATCGTGTAGACTATCCAGCTGAAAGCTACGACTTTGAGAATAATCCACCCAATGGCTTGCAGCGAACCCGTTCGCTTCCTTTCAGTGACGAGGCGAATATGTGAACCCATCTGCGAGACCGCACTGGGAGACGACGATGTCGCGTCCGAGACCCCACCGAGCCACGATGGAATGGTTTGTGCCCCTCCCAGGGAGCCTTCTCTGAATCGACCACCTGTCCTGCGCAGCACCCCACCCAAGCGCAACATCCGTTTTGGTCGTCGCACCGCTGAAGCAGTCGTCGCTTTGTGAGTTCCACATTCCGAGTCCGGTAGCTCCGAGACGAAGGGCCCTGCGGTGTCCCCACACACAATGTCCAGATCGAGTGTTGACGTCCTTGAGAGCCCCAAAGCGCTTTTGTCGTGATCGATCTGTTTTGGCCCACCTGCGGCGGAACGGGCGAGCTCTCGGTACCCGTCGACGAGCATCTCCATCGCGGCGTGCCAAGATCGCGTCGACGCGTCGCTGTGGGCCGCTTGGCCCATGGTCCATCGCCGGGCATGATCAGAAGCCAGCTCGACCAACATCTGGCGGTACATGGATACGGCCAGCGGGAACGTCGCTGAGGACGATCCCACGAGTCTGTGGGGGTTCGCTGGAAGCGGCTTGATCTCGTTGGGATCCTTTAGGGGCGCAGGCCGCTGAGAAGCCGGCAGAAGTTCGTCAAGATCCAGCAAAAGGCCTGAACCGAACTACGGTCAGTGCAAGCCCAACACTCTTCAGCGGCATTCTGCGTTTCAAGAATTTGCCGACTCACCGGTCCTGCCGTGTTCGACCAGGTCACACACGCCCTCGGCGCGCAGCCCCACGACGGGTAAGCCCGAAGCGAGGGATTCGAGTACGACCTGGCCAAAGGTTTCGGTCCTGGATCATGGAGATCGAGATAATGAGTTCCCGAATTCTCCCGGCTAGGGTGGGCCAATAGGGAAGCGCTCACCAGCTCGGAAAGGCAAAGATGTCGGCGCTCGCGTACGCCGCCGCGAGTTCTTCGCCCTTGCGGTACCCCATAAAGACCGCACCGAGCCCGTACTGCGCGCAGAGGTTTTCAAGTTCGGGCCGAGAAGGACCATCTCCGACAAAGACGAGCTGACACGCGGGTCGGGTACCATCCGTGGACGGCTTTTCGAGCCCTCGGAAGGCTTCCACGAGCAAGCGCAGATTCTTTTCCCACGAGATGCGGCCGACATAGAGCAAGACGACTTTGCTCTGCGGGGACCGGGCGACAGAGGACGAATACGACGGCGGACTCGAATCGAGGGAAGAGCGAGGCGAGGCGAAGGACGAAGAGATCGAGTCCGACGACGACGACGACAAGCGAGACGACTCGGGCTCGGCCGACCACGATTGGCGCAGTGTAAAGTCTCGGGCTTCTGGTCGGAAGAGCCTCGTGTTCACGCCCTGCAGTGGCATCATGCAGATCCTGCCCGTCAGAAGACGTGTTATTTTCATCACTGCACAGGTATTCCGGCTTACTCGTGGCCAAAGTCGCACATTATTGAAGCCCTGGGACGTGAGCATCCGTGCCGTGCTTTGGGAGGGGCAAAAGGTCAGGCGGCATCGGCTGTGCAGATTTCGCTGCGGTGGACCGCGGGCGGGTGCCGAGCAATGCCGTGAAACGTCAGCCACGTCCTTCGAGACAGAGAGCTCTAGCCTAGGACCACCCACTTGGAGACGCCACATCGTGGGTGTGAGCCACGCAAACCCGAAAAGCGTCGCATACATCGCGAGATTGGTGTGGTAAGAGGTGAGGAGAGGAACGTCGGGGAGGTAGTACTGAACGACGGGAATAACTCTGAGGACGGCCCCACAAAAGTCAGAGTCAGTGAGTGTATATCCGGGATCGAAAGCAGACACGAAAAGGACCAAACAAACTCACTGCGCGCACAGCCAGATGGGGTCGACGAATTGAATGACGTCGGGTTCGAATTCGCGCAGCTTCGTGATGAAGCGCGGGCGGATGAAATTGAGGGCCAAACCCTTGTAAACACCCAGCAAGGGCAGACCTCTCGTTCCAACGACTTCATGTCCTGCATACGATGTCTTGAGGAATGCAGGAATGTCAAAGGGGGGATGCGATCGCCAATGAACAGGAGTGAAGGTGCAGGGTTAGGGTCAGTTCTGGGGAGCAACCCCGGTTTCAGGGGCCTCGGGTGCCCGCGGCTCCTGAGCGTGGGGGGGTCGATTCTTTGTCTCACGTCAAGCGCGTCAAGCCCAACGAGACTGGCTGCCTGTACAGCCCCACTCACCATTCCGCTGTCAGGGCCAAGTACGATCGCCTCGTGACCCTCTTTCTGTAAATGTTCGAGCAGCATTGCGAGCGTGCGAGTCACCCCATCGACCTGTCATTGCCGCCCCCGAAAACCATGCATTTTTGTCCCAAGTGTCAATCAGGTAGAACCAGCGTGCGCGCGCCCTCTCTTGCGATGCCCGCGCGAAAAGTTCCTCCCTGGCCATTCGCCGGGACGTGATCTCGCTCACCTTGGGCAAAAAGTTCTCAGTGACGATGGCGACCCTCAATGATCGATGTTCTGATGCATCGGCTCCCGCGTCCACTCCTCCCGCCTTTTCGAGCGCATCGAGGTCACGGCCCGAGAGCTGTTTCCGATTACCCGTGCCTACGACGCCGAACTCGGTGCTGCTCGGGGCAACTTCACCACCGCCGCCGCCAAAGGGGGTATGACTCGGCTCTTGTTGTTGGTTCGAAGAAGCGAGGTGGACCATATCTTGGGTGTATCGACAGTTATTGGGGGCACTCGGCACGTCGGGGTAGAGAGACAACAGGCGCGTCGATCAAGAAAGCTCGGACAAGTTGCTACAAGTCGAACGTGCGCCAGGACTTGCATACACTCAGCGGCGCCGATTTGCCGGCCCGCGGCGTTCGATCACGCGCGCTCGAGTGTCAGCGACTCAGCGGCGCGTGCACAGTAGTATTTGATGCAAACAAGCCACAGCGTGCGAAATTGAGACTTGTATTTCACTCACTTGCCCTGTTCGACTAAAGGCGATTTCGTTCGCCGAGCGCGGTGCGGCGGAGCTGAAAGCGCGCACGGACCGGATTTCCTTGCTCGACGGTGCACGTGGGCGAATCGACGCGGAGATCGGATGACCTGCCCTCCTACCGAACTACCCAGCTGGTTACGTAAGGACACAGTCTTAGACTTCCTTGTTATCGGCAACGTCGCCCTAGCGCGATCGAGAATGTGAGAGTAGATTCGATATGGCATCGGGAAAGAACGTGACTCCACTCATCAACACTCAAGAAACAAAGTATGTCGACGGCTGAGGTCCGTCAGCTCGGTGCGCAGACGAGCCCCTATGGGTGGGCAGTCCATCCGAGATAGTAGCGGGATTGCTACTCGGCCACGACTGTCAGCAAGGCGACATGGAACCCTTGGTCCATCCTCCTTCAACTTAGAACCCAACACCTGTTATGCTGACCCCTGCGCAAAATTGAGCACGTTGATCACGTGGGCTTCGACCTCCGCAGGCTCCTCGGCTGAACCTTTCTCTCTCACGCTGACCAAGTCAGGCCCCAAGGCTCATATTCAACATGCCGACGCTCCGAATCAAAGAATAATGCGGGCCCTTCGCTTCGCTACGACGATGGGACAGTCAGAACCACTAGCTTGTTTCGGACCGTAGCGCCCGCCTTTCGACACTCAAAACAAAAGTCGATCACCAGCTTGGCCGTGATCCCGAAGCTCACAGAACGTTGAATCCTTGCTCCAGACATCACAGAACAGTGGTTGCAGTAGAATAGTACACAACGCAAAGGCCTGATCCGTGACATGGAATGAGCCGTGTCATACTCGGGCAACCCGTTTTGTAGGCGCTCCCTTTGACCACGGTTCGCGATTATTCGTTCTAGTGAGCTCACAAATGAAGAGAGGTATAAGCGAACGTGACACGGCTCTTCAAAATATTGAATTTTTTGTTGCAAGTGGGTCTGCTCTAAGCGGACACGACCAGCCCAACCAGACCAGCCCAACCAAGATCCTGAGGAGGCTGGTGGCGGCAGGGGCCAAGTGCTGCTCGCAGCAGAAGCAGGAGTCGCGGACGATGCCGGAGCTGCGTTAGTCGTCCTCGTTGTGCTGGAGGTGGCGGTAACCGATGGAATGTTCGAATCAGTGGCTGAAGTACCGGGTGCGCTTGCGGATGCAGTAGCCGACACGGTGTTCTGCGGCTAAAGATGGGGGAGGCGCTGCGCATCAGCACAAGCCACTAGATGCGAACCATGGTTACCTGGTAGTGTTCTCGCGCCAGGAAGAAGGATGGGTCATCAAAGGGATGGTCGTGATGACCGAACAAGTAGCATTCCATTGCATTCCATTGGGGTTTCGAATGAGGAAGAACGTCGCGGCAATGAGCTCCAAACCTCCCGCCCTGGAAGAAGAGCATCCATACGTAGCGATGAGCACCCGAATCGGCGGGAGGCTTGGAACTACATAATCAAGTCCAGACATTGCAGGTGTTAGCTCCGTGCATGTTCCCAGCGCAAGTGGAGTCAAATTGCGATAAATCCAACATAGCCACCGATGCCGTTGCCACTCATGAGGTCGACTGTGAAATTACTCGGGTTTGAGACGTTGCTGGCGAGGGCGGACGCTGTTCGTCAGAGCATAGCGGAAACTACTGTTGAGGTTCGGGTTCCCGCTCAATCCAGGGTCCGCGCAGATGACCGCGTACAGGCTCGTGAATTTGGTCGTCGTCTCCAGGCGTCGAAACGGAGAGCACTGGCGCGGGTTGACCATCGTCGCAGGCGTACGATTGGCCATTCTGGACTACGCCGACCGAACTGACGTAATAGTTGACGTTGAGAAGGGGCTTGGAACTAAGGATGAAAAAGCCGCCTTGTCTGCGAGCACGACGGTGGTACGGTCGAAGGCGAATGCCCGAGGAAAGGCGGGGGAAATGCAGTGAGAAGTGCCGAGGACGAGCGATGAAGTGAACTAAAGCCCCTGGTCAGCTGCGACCCGAGACTATCCCGTGGCACCACCAAGCACATTCCAGTCCAAGTACTGAACTTGATTCGGTCCCGCGTTCCATTGCTCGATTGCCGACATGCGGAGCAAACGGAGAACCGTTCCGGGGCCCCGAGCTACGACCAGTGGCGCCTACACAGCAAACCCTGGGAGACCCTGGAAATCGAGTACCGTACTCACGAGGTATCGGCCAGACAACTTTGAGCTCAATGGGCATCGGCCACGGCTAGATCAGCAGCACTCGCTTGTGGTGAGCATGTGCGAGACGCGGGCAATGAAACACGCCCAGAGTCCCAGTCATTTTTGCAATCGCCATCGATCCAAGTGGGAAACCGAGCGTCAACAAATGGATCTCGGGCGAGCCGCCGTGCCTATTCTGCCTGACCAGTATCTGATGCGAAGAATTGTTCTCGCGAACCTGAGCACTGCGATGATGCTTCCCAGAAGGCGGTGGCAACGAGCTTCATGGAGAAGAAAAAAAATATTTTGCAATTTTGCAAGACGGGAAGACGCCGCGACTACAACGCGGAAAATTGGTGAAGGGTGAACCGGGGGGCCCGAGCGCGCGCGAAGCTAGCTGACTAAGTAAATTGGGGCCAACAAGATCGAGTCTCGCAGCCAGACACCCCCGTCATGTGTTCATGGTCGAAACGGACGCACGCGATCAAAGAAGGGTGAACATCGCCGACAGACCCGAGACGGCGCCAAAGACCCAAGTCGCCGTCAGTTGGTTGGAGCCCGAGCGGGCCGAGGTGGTTGTTGCGCTGGCAGGAGCCGAGGTGGTCGAGCCACCGGAACCAGTCGAAGTCGGGCTTGATGATCCCGTGCGAGTGGAAGCAGGCGTGGTCTATGAGGGAGGACAGGCGAGGCCAGGGAGAAAATAATAAGCGCGATATCAGCGCGACTGCTGCCGGTCTTGCGCCGCTTCGCGCGCGCACACATTAAAACACAGGGGGTTACTCACTGCCGGGGCCGTCGTCACGACAGATCCAGTGGGGTTACCGGACGCAGTAACGGTGAAAAAGGACGCGGCGACGAGCTGCAGTCCACCGGCTTCGGAAACATAGGACGAGACGTTCCAGTGACCCGGAGAAGTGCCCGCAGTCGAAAGGTTAGCGGGAGCCTTGAAGCCAGACTGCGAACGGCGGTTAAGCAATTTGGGAATGGGGTGTTCAGTCCTCATTTTGGCAAGACAAACGCGACTAAATAATGGAAAGAAGACTTACACCTTGCACCAAGAGCATCCAAGCATATCGGTGCGTTCCCGAACCGGTCAGAGGTCCCGGGCCAGCGTAGGAGGTGATGACGGTGCCGCCTGAGACGGCAAACTGGTCGGTGCCGTTCGCAGCGGCGGTGGCACCGTTGCTGAGATAGTGGCGGTAGTTGCCTTGCTTGTCGGGATCACCGAGACTCGAGGCATCGGCGAGGATGAGTGTATAGGCCCTTTCGGCGCCGAGCGTGGTGGCCGAAGCCGCCGGCTCAAAGTTGATGGTCGGAAGCTTGGAGACCTGAGCGGCGGTATAGTCTTTGCCGTTCTCGATCACGCCCGCACCACCGGCGTAGTTGACCGTCAAGAGGGCCGTGGCGTTGAGCTCAAGCCCGAAGCCGGCGAGACTGCGGGAAGAAGTCCATAGACGCGAGCGCGTCAGTTCGGGGTCCGAGCGCGTTGGAGCGCCCGCAAAGCTGGGTTCGCGCGTGCCTGTCGTCTCGTCCCAAAGCCCAAAGAGAGTTGGACGACCCGATCCCCAAGCAGAGAAAGTCACTCACGTGTCCAAGCCAAAACCCGAATTGTCCCAGCCCTGGTCGACGAGGTCTAGAGCCGTGGCAGAAGCCTGTCAAAGGTTGGCCAGGTTCGAGGTTGCGCGAGGGAAAGCCAATGGGAGCGACGCGTGACAAGAGGACCGTCGGTCAGCCAACGAAGTCGACCCTAATCACTTTTCACTTTCAAGGACAGCGAACAGAGAAGCACACGGAATGCGCACTGACCTGGGCCGAGACGTGGGATGCAGCGAATGCCGTGATGAATGCGGCGATAGAGATGAACATGATTGATGAGAATGGTGTGCGGATGGGAAGGGGGACGAGACGACCACATGAGCGCACCGATCGAATTGGCGACCGCTCTTAGCTGCTCTTAGTAGCTCTTAGTCCGCTCTTGCGGGGGAGCAGCTCCGGAATGTTTGTGCCAAGGCCCACCAGGGCACGCACTCGGCTTCATCAAAACAGCTGTGGCCCTGTCTCTCAACTTCTTGTGGATGTTGCCAGGGGAAGGAAAATCTGTCAAACAAGGATAGGTGACACAGAGAGAAGTAGTTTTGGGCTTTCAGACCATCGGCTGATTAATTCCGCACATTTTCATCTGGAACAGAGTCTGGTCACGTGATGGGATCGTTCGGTGGGTCTTCGCCGTGTGACAAATTCGAGCATGTGACATCTCGTGTCCAGCCAACAACAGACCTTGTTAGGTATTTGCTTGACCACGCACAACTACTAGCTCGAATTAGCAAGCGACTCCGACGAAGCCGCGTCGGAGATCGAACTGGAACCCCGGCGTGGACCCCAGGCCGGTAGTATCAGTAGTCGAGCCTGAAAGACCGGGAGCGGTCCCGCTTCCGCTGCCGAGATCCGAGCCTTACGTAGGTAGCTCACGCTTTAAACTGCGCACTCAAAAGTCTCCATCCGAATGGTTTTGGTGGAGGTGTGATGGGATCATGGGTATTACAACCGATCTTTTCTTCTCTTCGAGTTGCGCTTCTATACTATGCCAATCAAGTAGCGGTGACCCTTTAACCCGCTCGTCGGGCCATGTCAATCACCTTCCACCCGCCCGTGACCTTGTTGTCCAACTCCTCGTCGACCCTCGTCAGCACGGCGACGTAACCGACCTGCTCGATTTTATTCTCGTCCCCGACGGCGAGTTTACCCGTCTTGATGTCACGGTAAGCGAGGATCTCCTGCGTGCGCCAGGCGACAACAAATACGTGCAGGTCGTTCTCCAAGATCTTGGCCGACATGATCTGTCGCGCGACAAGCCAGTCAAGAACAAAATATTAGCGCCTGCCAAAGTTAGGGAGGTCAACAACTTTCGACGTACGTCAAGATTCCGGATGTCCAGGACACGAGATTCGGAAACCAGTGTGGGTGAGATGGTTCCTTGCAGTGTGGCCATCAGCACGTTGTACGTCTGCAGCCAATATCTCGAGTCAGCGACCCTTGGCACAAGGGGAGATATTCTCTGCCCCTCATCTCGGCGGAAAACTCACTGCCTCGGAACACCACGCCTTCAACGTGGGCTGGTCACCGTTCACGTACGCATCTACCAGCTCGGGCACGATGTACTCCCTCAGTTCCCTCAAGAAACCCTCAGTCGTGAACGACGGATCGAGCTCCTTGACCCACTTCGCCACTTTGGCCGTCTCGGTCTCGTCAAAGAAGCGCCCGATCGCGGACGTGACCGTTCGCATCGAAGAGACGAACGGGTTCTCGGACTCGGCGTAGGCGTGCGACATGGAGGAAAAGGCGTCTGCGACAGGTTTCGGGGTGATGGACGCGAATCGGGACTTCTTCTCCACATTCGCGGTGGCGTGTAATGTCACTGCTTGTCCGGCTCTGTGTTTTGTTGTCGGTCCGCATGCTGTCAGTTCTTGGTCTGTTTCCCCCAGCAGGTCACAAGCTCGCGTCATCACTCACAAAGGATCTTCCTCGACCTTGGGTCTCCTCGCGGCCAGTCCCTGTTGACCCGATTTACCGGCCTTTTCCAATCTCGCCTCCCTTCTCCTCCGCCTCGCGTCCTTTTCAATGTACCCGCCATGCTGCACGTTGTTGGCCGCACTGTCGATCGCCTCGGAGATCTCCGACGCGACGGCCTTGTACGCCTCGGTCTTTCGCAGCGGCTCGGATGCCGTCATTGCCGCATCTCCAACGACCCTGGCCGAGGCCGAGATCTGTTACCGCGCAAGTGGGACAGGAGCGATCAATATGATGATACGCGACAGTCAAAGGTGGAACTAAGGGGAGACCTACAGCCCTTCCGGCGGACTTGACGAAAGCGTTCTCCTCCATAGTCTTGATCGTGTGCGTGATCGCATCATTGACGTTGACGCCGGCCTTTTTGAGCTCCCTCGCTGCCGCCGCCAGTTTGGGGTTGTTTTCAATCGAAGCTTGCAACTGTACCGATGGGAGAAATGCAGAGCAGGTCACGGTCAGAACGATGGGTCCACCCGGGCGATGGAGCCGAGCCCTAACAAACTGTCGGGCACTCACCCTCGCTCGTTCGTACAGCTCCTTGGTCTTCCTCATGGCCTCCGAGTCCTGCACCTTGGACGCCTCGCCCTGCAGCTGCTTGACCGAGTCCTGCCACTCTCGGTTCTTCCTCACTTCGGCGCGAAGCACATCGACAAACGCCTGGAACGGCGATCGCCCTGGCACGGTCGTGTCGACGGGCTCTTCGGCCTTGGCCTGCTCCTTTTGGTCTTCTTGCTTGCCGTTGTCATTTCCGGTACTGCTGCTGTCGGTCGACGACGACGACGACGAGGTGTGGGGCTCCTGGGGCTTGGCCGGATCGAACGAGCGGGTCGTCGTCGAGAAGCTGCTGCTCGCACTCGCACTCGCACTCGCTCCGACGGCCTGCCTTCGCATCGACGATGGGGCGGATGGCATGAGCAACGAAGAAGTTGAGGTCCGGGAAGGCCTCGACCTCGATCGGACTGCGACATGAGCTACTCGAACGGCGGCGGACTTCATGCTGGGCTGTGTCGTCGATGATGCGCTTTCGAGTTGGTGAGCGACCACGAGCGGACAGAGCGGCCGATCCGCACCCGGCCGCGAAACTCGCAGAGCCCGGCCGCGCTCGGCCGCGCTCTTCGTCGCCCTCGCTTGCGACGCCATCAGACGCCGTCCCCGCGCCGCTTTCGAGTTCATTTTCAAGGCAACGCATCGAAGAAACCACGTGTTTGGTACAACAATATGCGGAGGTTACACGGAAAACCCTCTCAAAGCAACTGATGCAATCGGGAAGCCTGGAATTCGACCCAAAGCCAATTTACTTGCGCCGGCCAGCCTTCTTCGCCGCCACCAACAGCGCCCTCGGCGAATCTGGTCGGGGCGAACCGCGGATGGTCAAGTCGGCCGCGGTTATCGGGTCGCTGGTGTTGATCGAGAGATCGCCTGCTGGGTCGGCATCAGACGAAGGCGAAACAGTCGTCGGTGTCACCAGTCGTGCACGATCAAAGTCGTATCCACTTCGAAGCTCACCCGCTGGGAAATCAGACTCGTTAAGGGGCCTGCCGCGTGATGGGCGATGATAAGGAATCAGCAAGATCCTCCCGAGCATCAAACGACAGCAACTCACGATGTGGCACGTCGGCGCTGGTCGCCGGCACCCTGGTCCTCGTCATGGGTTCTGTTGCTTCCTCTGCCACTTGTATCTGGGCCCACATCGACTTCAATCTCCTCCACTTGCTCGGGCGCCGCAGCACTGTCCTCCCCTCGTCTCGGATGGGCACCGATCTCGGCCTCGCTCCGTCTCAAAGGAACTATGGTCCTCGTGTCACTCCACACCACGGGTCTCGTATCACCGACGTGGAATCGATCCCAGTACGGCAGCGGTCGCCCCGCCTTGATACTCTGTTCAATCCAATCGTTGCCGACGACCTTGACGACCGGTCCTAACTCCTCGATGGCGACCCCACTTGGGCCTAACATGGCGAGCACGCTCTGGAACGTGACCTCGCCGCGCCCCGACAGGTACAGAGGGATGACGTGCGTCGTCCAACCATGACTGGCCGCCAGTGCCCTCGATTCTTCAGATTCGATCAAAGGCGCATCGGGGGGCGAGGCGACAAAGTGCTCGGGTCGCACCAAGGTCGCACCCTGTATCCTGACGCGACCCATCCACCTTTGGAGTTGCATATCGATGCGATTCCGCAAGCCTCTGCTCGAGGCACCCGACGCAGGGTACGGATTGACGAACGCGATGCGACAACCGAGCAAAGGTTGGTCGCCCGGTTTCATCAGGTCGTGTTCTTCGAGGTAGTCGAGGTAGGCGGTGATGGTGGGGAAATTTTTGGCGAGTTTCTGGTGATCGCTGATTTTGAGCGTGTTCGTGTGCGCTTGCTCGAGTGAGGGGCGAGGTTTCGCCTTGGCCCCTTTCTTTTTCGGCCCCGGTTCTGGGGCCTGAGCGGGGCAGGGCGCTTGCGTGGGACGGGGACGGGGAGGGGGAGGGGGAGGAGGAGGAGGGATCGACTGGTGGGGTCCCTTGCGTCGCAGTTGGGGTGGTCCTGTGGCTGGTGCCGGCCGTGGTGCCGACGCGGAGTCGCTGGCGTCGGTCGGATTCACCCCGGGCGCACGTATAAGGGGTTCGCCAGACGTAGACGCCTCTGATGAGACGCTGGCCGCCGCGAGTTGGCGGCTCAATCTCTTGGGTGGGCTCATGTTGGTCGTCTTGGTATTGAAGAGCCTACCCTTCGTGATCGTCGATGCTTCATCGCTCGTTTGCGATGACTTGGGCACAGGGGATGCTAGCTGCGGCTTGCTCGTCTCAGCCAGACCTCGCTCGTCCGAGGGCGACACGGGTTGATGACGATCACTCTTGAGCTCGGCAGTGATGCCGCGCTCGACTCTCCTCCGCTTGGCTGGTGGTGACGAGGGTGGTCTGATGGTGGTACCCACCCTTGCACCGGCCGGGGCTTGCTCTGGCAGTCGTGGTGGCACGGTCGATCGCGCGTCATGCAGCGGCTGCTCGACATCGCTTCCATCGCCACCGTCACCATCCGGATCGGTGTGCAGTACAAATTGTTCGAGCTCGTGCCATTCGGTGGCGAACTGCCTCTCTTCCGGGTGTCGGAGCGTGTTGATGAAGCCGGGAACGAACACGGGGTGTCGACGCAACGTCGACGACGACGACTGAGCCTGCATTGCGGGTATCCAGGGGCAATCAGATCAAGTCCTGGCCGTGCTCGGATGGGTTCGAGCGCTTCGAGGGAAAACACCGTGTCATGCCATCGGAGCTGGAGCGTATGGATCGTGGGGTGTGGCGAGGGGCGCGGAGATGGAGGTGGAGATCATCGGTGGGGTTACCGGGCGCGCGTCTAATCGAGGACGGTCCGTGCGCCCCAACGGAGGCCGAGTCGAAGAGGATGACTAATGAGAGCTCCTTCCCCGCGGGCCGATCGCCGACGGCAACAGTCTGCAACAGTACGGCAACCAGGCTGGTGCCACTGCAGGTCTCGTCTCGTACGAGCTGTGCCTCTGCAGTGCTCTTCCTTTCTCACCGCCTCAACGCGCCCACCCTTTCACGCTCCCAGCTCACTCTTCGGCTCTCTCTGCATGCTCAGTCGCAGGCTCTTGAGCTCAAGCCTCCGATCGCGCCCCCGCCAACTGCTGCTGCTCTCGACCGTGACCCCGGCCCTGGCTTTGAGCTACTATTACGCCACCCGCCACCCTTCCACCACCTCATCGTTCACCAAACTGGGTAACGCATTCAGCACCTCGAGCAGGATGGCCAAGGATCAACCCACGCCAGAGTCCTACCCCAAGGCAGGCACCGGAACTCACTCGATCCCCGCGCCTGACGCTCTGAAGCGAGCTGACGCGGAGTTGACGCGGTCTCGCTCGTGGTGGGGCGCTCTCTCTCTGACCAATAGGGCAAGTCCGATGCGGAGTGGCAGGCACAGCTCAGCTCGGAGCAGTTCCGGGTAAGTGCACCATCCACCCTCGGTTCATGGCTTCATTGCCAGAGTATGAAAACTCCCGTTCTCACCCTGCGCTGGACACCAACAGATTCTTCGCAAAAAGGGCACCGAGATGGCCGGCTCGGGCGAGTTGGACAAGCATTTCGCCGACAAGGGTGTATATGAGTGTGCCGGCTGTGGCACTCCTCTGTGTGAGCTCGCGCGTGGGACCACGTGTACATCACCCGTTCGCTCACCTCCTGCGCGTTCCTTTGCCAGACACCGCCGATACCAAGTTCAAGTCGGGTTGTGGATGGCCCGCGTTTTTCGACGTCAGTAGTCAAGATCATTCTCCTCCGACCAACGTTCACCCCACATGACTGACGAGGGTCTTACTCTCTCCACGATCTGATCACTTACAAACAGGCCATTCCGGGTGCCGTGACCCGATTCACCGACAAGTCTTGGGGGATGGAACGCACCGAGATCGTATGCTCCAGCTGTGGTGGTCACCTCGGTCATATTTTCGTACGTCCACCACCTCTCCGCCACCTCCTTTGCACGCTCAAGCCGACAGTCATGCTCGGGGAAACTGACTGACTCGCGTGATCTCGTACCACTATCTGTTACCTTACCTGCAGAAAGGAGAAGGGTTCAACACCCCCACCGACGAGCGTGCCTGCGTCAAGTAAGTCGTGCGGGCGACTCTGGACGTGTTGAACGGGCCGAACCTGCAGCACTGACCCTCGACGAGATCCCTTCAGCTCCGTATCGATCCGCTTCAACGACAAGATCGAAGGCACATACAAGGACCCGCCCAAGATTTAAGCACTGTCGATTCCGCTGACAAGAAGGACCCGAGCCTACTGAACAACTCGAATACTAAGATTCCAACACTCTGACAATAAATATGTAGTAGTTATACAACGTAAACTCCCGGAATGACGAATCATTCAGAACCTTCCCCCTGCTCAAACCCAGATACCTCCCCGAGCTTCTGCGGTCAAGCGCCGTTTCAAGCAGTGTATTTGCTCTCGGCGTCCGAGCATGCGGCTAAGAAAGCGCCTCGACCACCTTGATCCAACTGCTCGCGAATGATGTACTTGAGCGTATCGGTACTGCAGAGAAGCAAGAAATATCGGTCAGCCATGGGTAGACAAAGAAACCTTCACTTTCCTCGTGCCAAGGACTCACTCGATCCCCTTCCCAAATTTGACCACGACCTCGCTCCCGACCTGGGCAACGACGGACTCCATCTCGATGGGGGTCTTGCCTTGATCGTCTTCGACAAACAGCTCTTCCCCCGTCATTTCTAAGACGACGTAGAACGTCGAGCGGACCGACGCGACGTGGATCTCGATCGCAGTCCGCAGCACGTCGTGACGGGCATCGTAGGACGAGGTCACGGGGTAACGCAGGTGCACCAGTTGAAGCTCGTGGCGGATATGACGGACCGAGGTCCACAACGAGGCGATACGTTGCAAGATGGCCTGATCGAAACAGTGGTGGAGTCAGCCAGCTTGCAAGGTAGGGAAATTGTTTTGCTGAGGGGGGGTCAGCTCACCTTGGCGCGCTTGGACTGCGCATCGGTCTCGTTCGATCCGAGCACCCAATCGACATTGGCCTGCACCTTGTTCAACAGGAATTTTGTCACGTCCTTGCCGAGTGCCCTCTTGTTGTTCGGTACGAGCTCGAGCTCGAGCTTCTCAACGTGCTTCTGGCCCAGGGTGAGCGTGACGACGACCTCGTCGAGGTGGATCAAGCGCACCTCGCTCCCCGAAAACTGCACCAAGTTCCACCCGTTCAATCGCTGCAATGCCTCGTACTCGGCCTGCAGGCGGAAGACCTCAGCCTTGGTGAAGCATCGACCGTCCTCGAGCGTGCGATGCAGACGGTCGCGTTCGCGCGCCGCCAGCGTCACCTCGTCGGTCAGGTCGTTGAGACGACTGACGAGACCGGCGAGCTGCGACGCGATCTGTGTGTGCTGGCCGTCGAGACGGTCCATTTCCCCCATTTGCTCTTGCAACGACTCGTGCGCCTGAGCCAGCTCTTCCTGGTTGCACGCAGAGAGCTCGAGGTCGCGCTGACGTTCGGCATGGAGCTCCGCCAGGAGGGCTTCGCGCCGTGCTTGCAAATCCGGGATGACGGAGCCGATGCACGCCTCCTCGATGACGGCGTTATCGGCGCGCAGCCCTTGGAGGCTGTGCTCCATCACGTCCAGGATCGAATCCAAGTTGGTCGTGCGGCACTCGTTCCACTGAATGCGCTCTGCGAGATGCGAGTGCCGCTTGATCATGTTGAACTGCACTTGCAGCGCCGCACGTTGCTCGTCCGTCGCGGATTGCCACTGCTGGAAAAGTTCGGGCTGTTCGTGCTCGAGTCGTTCGTCGATCGCGGTCAAAAACTCGACGTTAGCCATGATCTGCTCTTGCAGCCTCGCCTGATCGTTCTGGTACATTTGGTAGAACAGCGACTTGCACCCTCCCGTCACGGCCAGATCCGCGAACGAAGGTGAGCCACCCGACGCCTCGTCGCGAGACGCGAACGAAGTCGGCGCCAGGGACTTGCGTCGGTTGGTCAAGTCGACGCCGGTCATGGCAATCACGTCCTTCATGTTGGCCGTACCCGTGGCTTTGAAAAAGTCGTTCAAGGTCAGCTTGGGCACGGGTGCAACGGGCTCGTTGCCCGAGTCGAACGAGCTGCCAGTCGAATCTTCGTCATGAGTCTGCTGAATTGTCGAGATGCGACGGCTGTTTACCGGCGATGTGGACCAGTTGACCCGCGCGGGGGACTTGAACGACGCCGCACGAGCGGCGGCCGAGGATGGCTGCTGCTGTTGGAGCTTGCTTTGCAGTGACTGTGGGCCCGGCGAATGCCCGCCGACGGATCGGGACGCCGAAAGCACCGCTGGGGCGGCGGTGGCCGACCGTGGTGTCATGGCCATCTTGTCAGGCGATCGGGGCTTTTGAGGAGACGTGGGGCCCGTGGTGGCCTTGCTCGTCGACGGCACTTGAGCATGAGCCTGAACCCGGGCCGGGCTCTGGGGTGCCAAGGCGGGGCTCTTACTCGCCAAGATGGCTGGGATGGCGAGTGCTCGACCGGGTGAGCGGTTCCCGAATGACATGCGTTGCAAGCCTGGGTACATGACTCGTCGGGGAGAAGCAGGAATTGGGGACGGCTCTGCGGGTAACAAGCCGGCTGCAACTTGACGAGCGAAAACTTGGGCACGTTGACGCGCCAGAGGGGTCGAGGGTGTTGGGGCCGAAACGATGCCAAGAAACGGGTTCTTCATCTCCATCAAACTCGTCGATGTCATGTCCACGAGGTTGGTGGACGTCGTGTCGAGCAGGCTCGTTGAAGTTAAATCCATCAAATTCGTCGACGTGACGTCCGTGCGACCCGTCAGGTCCATCGCGATCGACGCCTCGTCGTCCTCATCGTCAGAATATTCGTCTTGGGCACTCGTGCCGACTCCCGCGCCCGCACCGGCGACGGCGACGACGCGGCCGATGGCGCTCGTGCAGTCCATGGCCATCGTACCATCGGCGACCGTGATGGCGCCGTTGTCGTCATCCTCTTCGTTCGCTTGCGGGGCGTCGTCATCGGAGGATGGAACGCCGGCAAACATGATTCCCTTGGGTCGCGCAGGGGCGCGAGCGGCACTTGCGCCCTTGGCTTTGACGAGACCGAGCTCTCTCATGATCGCATCGTCGTCGGCATCCTCCTGGCGCCTCATTTCGCTGGGGCGGGGCCGGCCCGCCATTGATGGCCTTGCTCCGAGCTCCTGACCGAAGGCGCTCGTGATCTCGTCGGCGTTGGCGATCTCCATCGAATCTCCGTCCGAGCCGCTCTCAGACCTTTGTTCATCGTCGCTCAGGGTCTCGTCGTCCTGGCCGATCACAGCCGACACGGGCATGTTGCAGCCGGCAAAATGGCTGGCGAAAGCGACCGTCATTTCGTCCCCGACTATCTCCATGCTAGGTTCGGACGCCGCATCGTCAGCGTACGAGTCGTCCTCGTCGTCGTCAAAATCGTGCCCCTCGGCTTGCGCCTGGGCGAGAGCTTTGGCATGTTGAGCCTCCTGGGTGGGCTTGTCCGGGGTGAATGTGCTGCAGGATTTTGGATCGACTCCACCCCGTCAGTACATGTAGCGTAGGCGAGCTTACACGTGCGTAGGTAGTCTCACCGAATGTGAGCCGTCGGTGCCCAGCTGACCCGTCGAGCCAAAGACTTTCTCCTGTCATCGAGGAACGCCGTCATTTGACCCTCCATCCTGGTTAAGTCCATGTCCATCGATCCACTGCCTTCTTCTTCCTCCTCATCCTCGTCACTTTCGCCGTCCTCCCTTGTGTTCTCCTGCGGGCGGACCGACGATCGGCGGCGACTTGTCGGGGCCGCATTGGCCTGCCCAAAGGTCGACAGGCTCGAAAGATCGGTTGTGTGACTTGCGGCTTGCTTCGTGAGCTGGACCGAGTACAGTGATGACTCGGGCGGCACGGGGTCGAAGACAGCGGGGATCGCACGTAGTACCGACTTTCTCGGCATCTGTGGTAGTCGCAATCCCCGCGCATTGCAGTGTTGCAAGACGACGAGGTCAGCGGCTCGTCTCAGCGAGGATCAATCAACACGCGTCTCGCAGTGACTAACCGCTCGTCGTCGCGCTTGTTTGCCCGGGCTGAGCACGTCCCAATCTTTGGCCCGTTTGGTCGCTTGTTCGAGTGCCTCTCCACCAAGGGAATAAGCACGCTTCTTGCTACGTTGGGCTGCGGCCATCCCAGAGACGCTTTCGGCTTGTTGACCGGGCGCGCGTACGGTCATTACGGCCGTCGACGATGTTGAACGACGGTTCTCCTTGTTCATCGCCGTCGTGCTCGTGCTGGGAAGAGCCGAAAGAGATGCTCGTGCACCAAAGGTAGTTCGTGGTGTTGGTCTGAATGGCGAGCGGGCTTTGGCCGGCGATGACATGGCGAGTGTCGGTGCGTGGCGTGAGGTGGAGGAGAACAACACGGAGCCGACGCCGCGCACCCAAATCAGGGCTAAACAAGGGGCCATGGCTATCGATGGCGATGGGCCAAGCCGGCTGGCCATGCCGGGCCGGCTGCAGTGGGCGCATTCAGTTAAGTTGTTCGGGTGCGACGTAATCATTAGCCGCCCCTCCATAGCAAAGTAGAGAAGATGTACAGGGTTTGGCCTAGCAAGGTTCCGTCAGATTATCTTGAAAAATACTTGACTACCTTTATATACCGAACCAAATATCGCTGAGAGAGGCAAATATCGTCTGACCGTCCACGGCTTTGGCAGCAAGTACTAGTAGTAGGTGCTTCCCAGCTCAATTGCTCACTAGCGCTGTCTCCGCTTGACATTCACTATCAAGGGGGATGCCTATGATGGTAGATATGTGGCTGGATATGTCAGCTTCCGGATCAAGCCCTGGCGTCGTTAAGCAGTCTCTGAGTCTTACCATCGGCAGCGTCAGCGACGTCTTGTACATTGGCGTGCGCTCGTTCTCGATCATTGCAACCTTGTCCAAGTACCCTGGGGCGAAATCAACGTCGAAACCTCGAAGGATCGTGGCCAGCATTCCTGCCCCTTCGTATCTGGCCAAATCCTGTCCGAGGCAAGCCCGTGCGCCTCCGTTATAAACGTGGTATCTGTTCCCGGGAGAGGTCCATTGCCTGAGTAAATCGAAGGTATTGATCCCAAGAGAGGCTTTATTCGACTCACTTCCATTGGTCTTCCCTCTTGAGCTCTCCACATTCGTCAATCCAGCGGGACGGTTTGAATTCTCGGGCATCTGGACCCCAGAGCTGCGTGTCCCTGCCGGTGGCCCAGTCGACCCACATCACAGTGTCTCCCTTCTTGATCGACGGACCGCCATTCGGGATCTGATCATCGCCAAATGCGACGTAGAGGTTCTTGGGGACCGAAGGGTGTAAGCGAAGCGCCTCGTTGAAAGCCGCGTTCGTCTGCGTCATCGTCCGGTACGAGTCGTAGTCGATCGAGCCCATCTCTTCGACCTCGGCCCGAATCCTGTCGACAACCTCGGGGTGGAGCATGAGGTGGAACATCGACCACGAGCAAGCCTGCGCAGTGGTATCTCGCCCGGCGATGATGAGGTTGATTACGGCATCTCGAAGCTGTGTACGCGAAAGCGGCTTTCCTTGCTCGTCGCGAATCGACATGTACAGCGACAACAGATCCTTCCCCGATTTGCTGCGGGTCTCCCCGTCGGCGGCGGCGGCGCCGCCGTTCAGCCCGTTTCGAGCTCGCTCCTCAATGAGGTCGTACGTGAATTTGTCGATTATGGCAACAGCCTCACGCATCTTGCGTGCCTCCCCCGTGAGGACCTCGGTAACCTTCCAAAAGGGGTTGATGAAGCGCGACTCGACCACCCCTTGGGCGTAATCGAACGCCGCCGCAAAAGGTACCGGCTTGTCTGTGGCAGCTTTGAGGGCTCCGATGTCGCACCCAAAAGCCAGTTCGGTGAAGCTGTTGAGAGTAAAAGGAAGAACAAGCCCGCCAGGTCAAAGGTCTCTCCTGTATGGGCGTAGCGGTCCAGTATCTGGGCCATCAAGTTGAGGTTGCGGTCGAGCGAATGGGTAATCACGCGGCGAAATGCTTTGCCTGTTGTGGTATTCGGAGCGGACTCAGCACCCCATGATGATTGCAGGACTCGGAATAAACTGACCGTTGAAGATCTTGCTGGTCGCCTTGCGCTGCACAAGCCACTGGTGTCCGTCTGCGTCGCACGCCAAACCCGCGTAAAGCTTCGTCAGCCCCAAGTTGCCGGCTTCCGACACTCGTAGAAATACCCCATGGGGCAAACAACGTACCAACTGCAAAAATCCCGTCCCCTAGCAACTGCTTGCTGCTGTCGTGAAATATTTTGCCTTTGCCATAGTTGACGAAATTGGTCTGCAAACAAAGGGGACGACTGTCGATCAGTGCCTCGTGTGCGTCGCGCTGCGCTGTTCTGTAATCCACTCACCTTTTGCACGTGTTGCACGTGTTCGGGCCTTGGAGCAAGGGCAAAAATCACCCTGACATCAGCCCGAATATATATATATATGTGTGTGTGTGTGCAGAGACACAGAACTTTCACGCACCGATTGAGGCGGATAATGCGCATAAAGGGCACGGTCAGTGTGACATGCTTGTATCGCGCATGGGCGGGCTTCTCATTTTCTCCGTCCGTGAGTTTCTGCGGCGAGTTTGGGGTCAGAGGTTAAGTTCAGTACGTTGATCGCGTCGCAACATAGTATAAAAGATTCATAGTCCAACTAACCTCCAAGCTTCGCTCTGCTTCCCCGATCAGGCCCTCAAGAGGTGGCAGAAGGGGCAGGGATTGGGGAAAGGCCGACGGTGTCAAGATAGGGGCATCTCGAACCTCGCGCGACGCAACGTACCTCTCTTCTTGAGTGCGTCGAACAAATTGCCAATGAGAGGATAACTGTTTGGGATGCGCCACAGATCATCTCTGGCACGCGAAGTGCCGAACGCCCTCAGGTCCCGAAATTCCCAAAAGAGGTACAGCACGCCAAGCGCTACCCCACAAAGTACGACGTGGTACCGCTCGGCCTCGAATTCTGAAAGCCAGATAGTGCGCATGACCGTCGATTGGCTGAACCGTGGAAACGGAGTACAAAGACAGCGTCGACGGTGAGAAAATAGGTGGATGTTGCCAACGTGAAAAATAGCGAAGGAAGGAAGCTTCAGGCCAAATACGGTTGGGGGGAACGTCCGTCGTCCGCCAGGTCACCACTCACCAGTACTCAAGTCTCACCCGTGAGTCGGCGATCGGGTAAGAGGATCCTGTACCCACTCTACTTCCAGATAAGCGCTATCTAGGTGCTAGTCGAGAGTTGGTCTCGCCCAATACGAATGATTCACTGGTTATGGATGGCGTCTGGTGCCAGATGGCGGACGGACTGAGTCGTAGAGTCCCCGAGTCAAGCGCGCTGTCGCTCCGGTCGTCCGCAATCGATCACGTGCCTTCAAACGTCGAAGTCTCGTCGCAGTCGCCGATGAGTTGGCCGCCCACGACCCTCGCCTCGGCTCCGCTTTACATATTTCGAGAGGGGATCGGGCATCCACTTGGTGGGAGAGATCGAGTAAGAGCCAATGTCGCCACTCGTCTCTCTACATAAGTGGCTGAAGTACCAAGAGCGTCCTCGATTTACTACTCTCAGACTGTTGAAATTTCAGGGCGCCCGGTGAGGCTTTTCATGCCCGGGGATCGGCGCTATGTGGCGTTCGGCACCGGGCAATCGCTGTAGGCTCATCTGGTATCGGTCAATGAGGAATGAGAGCAATAGCGTACAATATGAGATCTCACCGGCAAACGGCCATACCGAAGCTCATAACAAGTCGCAAAAGAGAGCAATTTTAGCGGTATCATTGCGTCGAGCGTTTGTGAGGCATTGCAACGACCATAAGGGGCTCGAGCATCGGTAAGGTGAGAGAAGATGCGTACCGAGGCACATCTTCCGTAGGCAGCATCTGCACTTCCGAGTACGACGGCGCAAAGTCGAAATCGAAATCTCGCAAGATCGTGGCCAGCAAAGCTGCAGACTCGTACCTGGCCAAGTCCTGGCCGAGACAAAGCCTGCTGCCCCCGTTAAAGACATGGTAGCTGGACAGAGAAATTTGATAGTCAAATCGGATGGCCGCGCAAAACAGCACACGACCGAACTCGAGACTGATCGCCACTCATTTCCACTGAGACTCCTTTCTGAGCTCGCCCGTCTCGTCGATCCAACGAGCGGGGTTGAACACTTTGGCATCAGCACCCCAGACGGATTCGACACGATTCATCGAATGATCGGAATAGACAACACACGCAGGATGGGCCAGCAATAAGCTCCCGATGTACAAAGGCGACTGAAGATGTTGGACACCCTGCGTACCATTCCAAAAAGTCGCCGGCCTTAATGTATGGGCCATCCGGGATCAGGTCGTCGCCGAGCGCTTGCCACAAATTCTTCGGTACAGAGGGGTGCAGTATGGTACATAATAGTGAGCGGACGATCAGAGACAGGAGGCTGATTGCTATCGAAACGCAGAGACCGAGATGCCGAAACCGAGAAACACGCAGATAATGAAACCGAGAATGATAGATTCGCAGAAAAGTCCTCTCCCCAAGTGGTCCACCCCCTCCGAAAGTCGCCTCCCTCCAAAGGTGGTCTGAGTTGTGTGTAGTAGTCTATCCCAGAACAAGAAGTGAGTCTTCCCTCCAACGCCAGGACACTCCAATCCCTCCGGCCAGCTTCCTCCTCTTTTCGACACTCGGCCTTCTGATCACGCCATACTTCGTCCTGATCACGCCATTCCTTGCTCCTGTCACACGGTCCCTTGCTCTGAACTTTTATCCGCTCATGTGACGCTAGGCCGAGTTAGCCGAATCTGCGCTTCCCGACTAAGCGACTCCAGCCCGATCCCCGAGACCACCGAATCCCATCTCATTTCCGACAACAGGAGTCTCATTTCCGACTTTGCTGCACACGACGGGATCCCGAGTACCACAGCAGTCGAAGGGCTTCATTTGATGCAGCGTTTGTTTGTTTCATGGTCTTATACGAGTCGTAATCGATGCTACCCATCTCGTCGACCTCGGCACTCATCTTCTTCACAACCTCAGGATGGCGGATGAGGCGGTACATGGACCAAGAGCACGCTTGCCCGGTGGTGTCTCGCCCCGCGATGATGGCATCTCGAAGCTGCTTGCGCGATAAGGCCTTGCCCTGGTCATCCCGGATGGACATGTACAGGCTTAGGAGATCGGTCTCTGACTTGTTCCTATTTTCGCCCGGGTTGACGTCATTGAGCCCGTTCTTGGTGCGCTCATCTATGAGCTTGTACGAAAAGTCGTCGATAGTCCTGACAGCCTTTCGCATGCGCCAAGCTGTCCCGTAGCTCGGTGAAACGCCAGAATGGACTAGACGTGGCTCAGATGTCGAGCCTTTAGGGATGGCCCTGCACGAGCAAGCCTGTAGATGCTTGTACAGAGCCACTTACTTGACAAAACGACCGTTCATGACACCCTGGGCTTCGTCAAAGGCCACGGCAAAGGGAACGGGCTCATCCGTCTCGGTTGAAAGGGCGTTGATCGCGGAACCAAACGCCATGTCCGAGAACGAGTTGAGTGTGAAGCGGAAGAACAAGCTCAACAACTCGAACGCTGCGAGCAGTGGATTAATTTCAGCACCGGTCGCAAGCGGAGTGCCAGTCCGGTGCAAGGCGGACGCCCACACTTCACCCGTCTCTGCTTTCTTGCTGAGAATCTTGCTCAGTGTGCTGAGGTTCTTTTCCAGCGATTGGCTGATGATATCGCGGAAAGCGTTGCCCTGGGGTCGGGCCGCAGGCCGCGAACTTACACTGTCAATGTCTCTACCGAATACGCGTGCGCAGCGTGGGACCACTCATATTAAGATGTTTGCGGTAGCCTTTCTCTGCAGAGTCCATTTGTGTCCATCAACAGAAAATATACCGTCACCTGTGAGATTTACCATTCCGGTGGTCATCCACTGCCTTGTTGTCAAGAGTGCCTAAGGGAAAAAACCGGTTACCCAGGAGACGGGAGAGAAGTTCGAGTCACGCACCCAAGACCTGCTTGACGTTGTTGTAGAAGGTCGGACCCTTGCCATGATTTTTGAAGTGGGTTCTTTGAATGTGTTCGATGAAATTCGGGCGACTCAACTCGATCATGCGCACACCGGGCATGGTGAAGGTGATATGTTTCCTTTCCGTGGCAGAAGGAGCCTGGGCTCGAGTCTCGGTGAAAATCTGCGGATAACGGCGGAGGTGAGGAGATGGGCAATCCCGACATGGGAGTGAGAAAGTATATTTGCGACGCATCTCCGTGCTGTGGGAAAGATGGATACGGAACATGCGCAGGGAGAAGAAAGACAGGGGCCGCACGAGAAGCAGATGAGCGGACATGAGAGGCATGACAGGGTTTGGCAGGGAAGACGAAAACTCCTCCGAACCAGCTCCAGAGCTTCCGAGTTGATCTCTTCCTCGATTCGACTGCGTACCTGAATTCCTGAGGGCATAGAGACTGTTTCCGAGCAAGGGAATGCCCGGCCTTTGGTATAAGTCGTTCCTGAGCTGAGAGGGCTCGTGCCGATCGCACGCCCATCTCGATAGCTCCACAGGCCGTACAGCATGAAAAGTGCAACGGCACCGAATATCATGGGAGTTGAATCGAGCAATGATTCGGAATTGAAAGGTGCCGAAGGCACAGTAGCGGTGGGGTCCGCGGCGCTGGCCCGTCCGATGCGGGGCGGGGCCAACTTGATGCGATGACTGTCGCAGCTAGAGAGCCAACGAGAGCACGTGATTTTTGACGCCTGCCAGCCGTCGAAAAACCAGCGGGAGCAGTTTTCACATGTCTAGGCCGTGACCGCACAAAATAATTCTTCTCTACCTTCAAACCCATCGAGTTCGCACTACGTCCGGCATGATCGCTAGAGGATGCCAGCGCAGGCACGCTGAGGCAGCGACCACCTCAGCTCCCTGGGCTGACGTTGTACCGGCAAGCCCACCTTACGTTGCTGGAATAGGAGCAGAAGCAACAGACTCTCTACATCCTTAAGCTCGAGGGGTTGATTACTGTGACTTGTGTTCCTCACTACTCTCCGTTGCTCGCGTAGTAATGACTGAAGTTTCCGTAGCTACCACGCACCTGGTACCAAATATTCCAAAGCGCATCAACTGCAGTGTTTATTTAAAAAGACGGGAGACCCTGAACATACCGCACGCGAGCGCACACTGAAACCAGACAAGCGAACCTGGCTATGACCGTTGAACAGCATAAGGATTGTGCGGCAAAAAAGGCTCGGTAGCATGTGCCGCAGGTGAGGGCCCGTAGTTTTGTCCCGTTTGTCCCGGTCCGGCCGCACGGCCTAGAGCATAGCCAGAGGCCTCGGGGTAGTACTCCTGGTTATGTACGACCGTTCCCATTGAAAAGGCGTGCTGGACAGAAGGAGGGGGCGGGATATGACCGTAGGGATGGGCCGGAGCGTGGGCATGGTACGGAACAGCGGACGGTACAGGCGGTGGCGGAGGGAACGAGGGAGGCGGAGGCGGAGGCGCCGGCGCGGGCGGGTGTGGATAGGCGTGATTATAGGGCGCCGACACGGTCTGACCAATAGCATCATTGTACGAGTGCGCAAGTGGTGGTGGAAGATTCGCGATCGAGTGCGGCGGGGGCGGAGCACTCGAGCCAACATATCGCCCGTAGTCGTCCGTCGGCTGTGGGTAATGGTGCTGCGCGTGCTGCACCGGCTGCTCGTAGCCCGCAAAGGCCTGCGATGTGGGCGGCGGAGGTTGGGCATAGCCGTGCGTTTCATATGCCGGGAACACGCTGGACGTCGAATGGGGTCGCGGCGGTGCTACGGGGCCCGGGGACGGCGATTGGGCAGGAGGCGCGGCCCACCCCTGCTGAGCGGGCATTAGCGGAGGCGCGGACAGCACTGTAGCAGGGTACGGGTAGCCAGAATAGCTAATGTGGCGAGGTGGCAGTGGCGGAACAGAGCTTGGATAGAGATCCGGGTCGTGACCTGCGTTATTGTGATGAGCTTCGAAATGAGGCTGGTATTGGTCTGGGAGTTTGCGCACCCGGTCAGGGAGACAAACGCGACGATGTCAAACAAAACTATAGCGCAGCAAACTTACGATGAGGCCTCTCATAGGGCTGAAGAGGAGCTTGCTCGAATTGACCCGGGCATGGCGTAGCTGTCGCCCCTTCTTGGTAGTACGCGTAGCCCTGGTCTTGCCTCGGCGGAATGAGGTGCGGGTACTGCAATCGCGATTGAAGCATCATTGCCGGCCCGCCAGGGTGGTCGTAGGAGGCCCGGTAAGTGACTAGAGGTACGGGCTGCGATTGTGGTTGTGGTGCATAAGGAAGCACATGAGAAGGTGCAGCATAAGTGCTATGGCTTGTCGTTTGCGCGGTTGTGGGTGGCGGCTGGCGGTAGTTCGCCGGTGCATCGGGGCGATCGTATGCTTGCGGGTGGTCATAGACACGATGGGCGAGCGGAGGCCCCTCAGGCGTTGCGGGCAGCGGGGGTCGACTCTGGCTGACGTTGAGATGTGAAAACGAGTGGGAAAGCGGAGCAAGATCGGCATCCGGGTAGTCGCCGAGCGGAGAAGCCTCGCTCGCCTGCTGCAGGTGAACGGTCAGAGATCCGCTGGCGATAAGCTTGAGGACTCAATCCGAGGCCATACGCATAGCGATACTCGGCACTAACCGAAACGACGCGACCCAAGTCCCGCGAGTTCTTCCGGGGGCTTGGCAGAGACCCTTCGTCGTCCGAGACATCGCCCGTTCGGGCTCCCGGACCCCCGTAGGCGCCCCCTGTCGCGAGCGTTGAGATGGGTGCATGTCGACGTGGCTTCTGAGGCGGTGGGTCCTAAGATCATGCAGACCGATCGAAGATTCAGCACACGCCTTCCTCGAAGGCGTATCTTCAAGCTACGCCACGGACTTTGGGGTACCACGTGAGCTCGAGATAGACTTCTCCCGCGTACCGTCCTTTCCGCTCGAGCTTGACCCAGTCTGGGGGGGGGGGGGGGGGGGAGGGCGCAGCCGGAGCCGGAAGAAGGAAGAATCAGGATTGGTCGCTTGAAATGATGAAGGATGGTGAGAGAGACAGCGAAGGGCAGCCACTGACCATCAAATGCCCCCTTTTTGATCGTCGGGTCCAACTCCAAGAAACCCTCGCCCACCAGCTTGGGGTCCTTGGGATCGTCGGCCCAGCAGGCGAGTTTGAGTATCTTTCTGCCCCGCGTGTCGGCATTGAGCGCGCTCGTCCCAGCTGCAGGCGCGGTGTTGGTGAAGCCTGACAACACTTTGCCGTCGTCAGAGACCGTACCTGCGGCGCTGGCCACCCCTCCGAGCTTGTTGACAGTCGCCCCACTGATCGCACTGGTCTGCTCGGCTGAATCCCTGAGGATCTCGAACCGAAACTCGGCATCCCACGTCGGTTGCTGACCGCCTCGTTCGACTGTTTCAGTACGTTTCTTGTGCATGCCGTACGTCAAGGTGCAATACGGATTCTGCTTGCCAATCTTGACGCGGTTGGGCAGGTTCTTGGCGCGGATGACGATCACGACCATCAAGCCTAGTATGGCCGACTGGCTCTGTGTCGTGGCCGCCATCTCGAGTAGTAAAACTCAACAGCCAACTTCCGCTGCGAAGCCAGAGTCTCCGTTGGGGTCGAACGAAAGCCTCGGGCCGATGCGAGATGCTGCTCTTCGATATCGACGACGGACGGACTCCGTTGATTGCGATCTCCCGAACGAAGCGACTTATTAGTGACGTGCCAAGGTTTTGGATGCTCGCGCGAGGCACAGTGCAGCCGAGGGCAGACGAATGGGCGTATCCGGAGGTGATCAAAAGTGTTCGACTGATGGCGACTTGACTTCACCACAACACAAGACAATGCGTGGAGAGGCGTGGAGGGCAAGCCAGATGAGCCAAGTTGAACGTTGAGCCACCCGCGTGCACGCGCGTGCCTCGGGCCTGCCGGGCTTCCAAAAGATTTCGTGTCTTCGCAAGTTTAACACACTCTCGCATATCGTCAGTATTATCATCGGAATAGACCGGTATATAGTTGATAATAAATCGTTGACACATGGATGGCACACAGAGGATACAAGGGGAAGAAGGAGCTACAGAGCCTCGCCGGTACAAATCAATTCAGCCGACAAAGTTCAGACGCGTGAATAATACGGCACGTGCCCTCGGGCCCGATGTCGGGCAGGAAGAGTGTTGGGCGACAGATGCCGGGATTACATCGAAACTAGGGATGGAGGGTGCAGAGAACCGCAGTGGGCGCTCAGACATATTGCGGTCGGGAGGCTCGAGAATAGTCGAGCATCAGGTTGAGCCTCTGCCCCTCGAACACCTGCCATCGAATGCGTGGACCGACAGGGATAAGTAACTGGCCAGGGAGATTCCTCCTCTTCAGAAGGCCTGACTCGGCAGCACTCACGACCTCATTGTCGACCTCGAGTTCCTCGATACGAGTCACGGAACTGTCTCTCGGATCCAGGTAGGCGATCAACCTTTTTCACATCGACATAATTGGTCGGCATGGGTCAGTTACCTCTCGCGTAGTATAGTAAACTACGCCCAACGCAGGTTGATCGGGCCTAAACTCACCTCTCGTGCATTGTCTCCAACCGAGCCTCCAGACCACCGTAACGTAGATCGAGGACCTCCCACCCAAAAGGCTTGTAAAGGCTGAACCAATGTCGCCTATGGACCTTCTTCAACTCCTTGACCAGCGCTCGCAACCGGCTGAGACGACTTTCTTTCGCCGGTCCGGCAAGCGCGGTGAACTCGACATGATCCGCGTGTCGGTAAGCGTGGACGAGGCGCTCTCGCAAATGGCACTTGAGGGACAAGATGCGAGCAAGCAGGTAAGGGAGCTGGAGGCGTTTGTTCGCGGGAAAATCGTCGACCGAATGGGGCACCGCGATTGTTGTCATCGCGCTGAAGTCGGACGACAGAGCTTGCTCGAGGTAGGTCGCGACGTGCAAGTAGTGCGACTCGAGATCGTAACCTCGATATTGAGGCGACAAGAAGGAGAAGAAAGGGTCTTCCCACAAGAGGAACTTGGCGATGTTGGGTGTGTAGTGGGTGTTGATCGATATCGGCTGCGTTTCCGGCTGCGTGTCGTCTAGCTTACTGGCAAAGACATAGTCGTCGAAGTCTGCACCTGCGATGCCGTCGAATTTTTTTCGCAGCAGCCCAGCGTCGACTTCTTCGGCCTGGGTGTAAGCATGTTCGGCCTGGTACAGCATTCCCGGAAGAGCAGAGTAGAGATCGCATTCGTTGCCTTCGTCTCCCCAGATCGTCGTCATGACCGCAGTAACGCCGGTGGTTGGGTTTTTCGAAGCCTTCATGCTGGCTCGAACCGTGGCAAAGGTGAAAGGGAGCGCCGTCCAGAATCGTGACCACGTCCAAACCCCGGAGGCCATCCACGGCGCTTTGTTGGCAAGTTGCCAGTGTTGGGCGATCTTGGCCGTGTAAGGTCTCGAGTCGGTATGATAATAACTGTGAGGTGATCAGTGGGGGCCGGTCAGTGCTCGTGGTCCACCGAGAACCCTGACTGGTGGGGAGGTAAGGCAGCAACTCAACTCCCAGAACACGGTTGAAATTTCGGCAGGGATGGACGAAGTCAGCTCCTCCGACACGACGGTATTGAGGTCGTAATAGCCCGAGAGCGCATTGTTCTTGGCCGGGAGACAGAACAACACTGAAGGCACAATAGTTTAGAGTCGATAAGTCATACCAGATCTGCCACAGTCGAAACGTTGGGACTGACTGTCACTCCAGATCATGGGGGCGAGCCCATTGGCAACGCAGATGCTGTTGACTTTTTGCAGATGGTCGGTGAACTGGTATGAAACTAGCAATGTCAGGTCGATCAAACACACGGGGAAAGATTGTGGTTTAGTGGGCACACACGACGGTTGTCGACTCCTTGTAGCCAAAGAGCTGCCTGTAGCGCCCCTCGCTAACACCATGGGCTTCGTCCATACCGATATGCACCCGCTTCGATCGCAGTGGCCTCGTTACGGCTTGTATCATCTGGTTCATGATGAAAATAATCGTGGAGGGTTTGGTACAGGCTCATAAGTATAAGCGATTGTGAGGGAACCCAGCCAAACGAGGTGCCCCTCACCTTCTCAATGAACGCATACGTCTCACCTGACTCGGCCAACAAGACCTCGGCCGTGTCGCGTAGTTTGCCATACTTGGGCCACTGGAGCATTTGACCAAGATGGCCAAGCGTCTGAATGCACGCAATCACTTCGATTCCGAGCACAAAAGCGTAGTCATCGATCTCGCGGAGTTCGGCCTCGGTGTATGGTCCTAAGGAGGGAAGGAACGAACAGAGAGCTCAGCACTGTGCGGGGCCGGGTTGCAAAAGGCGCAGAGCAGTAATGGTGTTCGCACCTCGGAAATAGCCAAAAAATGGCTCCCCGTCAATCTCGTAGGTGTCCTCGCAGTACAGCTATCAATCCGGTCGCCGTCCACTTGATTAGGGTCCTTGACGCGTGAGGGGCCCGCGGTGACCCGGGCTTGCACAGAAGAGGCTGACTTACCTGCAGGACGTTGACCCCCATGAGGGCGAGATGCCGCAACAGCCACTTGACAGCATCGGCTTTGAGAACACCGTTCCTCGAACAGTCGATCATGACACTGTGAAAATTGGCCCGGAACGAAAGGCAAAGACGCTTGTCAGGTCCAATGGTTTCGTCCATCGAAGGGCGCCTCGCCCCACCCCCACACTTCCCCAGGCAGCCAACAATGTCTTACCCGACGGATTCAAAGAGACAGGTCTCCCTGCGGCAAATGGCGGACCCGACGTTGCCTGACCATCGTACTCCATCGCTTTGGTGGCCCTCGTGGACGTCCTTCATCCCCGATCCGGCGTCGGATTGCGACATGCGATCGGGGTCAGAGTCCGCCGACGAGGACAAAGGCTGATCGAAAGTCGACAACCCTCGCGAGATGGCAAGCACGTGTCCAAGTCCTCGAAAGGCTGCAGGGGAACGAAACAAATGAGAGACAGACGCAAAGTAAAAGTTTAATGCATACCGCATATCACTGTGACTCACCCTCAACGGTTCTATTGTAGCTAATCTCTATCTCAAACGCGCCCCCGGTGGCCGCCGTAAAGTCGTCGAGGTTGCAGTCGAGACGCATCCCCCTGTCGCCGATCGAAGGGTCGTGCCAAAAGCTGAGAGCAATTGTAGACAGCTAGATCAGCACCCTAGAAAAGCTTCCAGTCCTACGAGCAAGAGGAGCGCTGTGAGCGGTGACGAAATGTCACGCCTAGCAGTTCACTGTTCGGTTCGCAGCTCGAGCCTGGGCGAGGGAAACTTGACCCACCCCACGGTCCACACGTAGAGGCTGCCGTCGCTGCTCGGCGCCGGTTCATCGTCGCCGAGCACGCTGACGTTGCCCCTGACGCTATGCTTTGCCAGCTCGATCACGCCGGGGCGTATCTCGTCCGGGATTTTCGCACTCGGCAACACGATCGTTATGCGTGGATGGGTCGATTTCGGCAGCGAGCGAGCCGAGGCCGTGCGGGCGCCAATCGAAGGTCGCACCGACACGGGATTCGGCATCGTCGACGTCAGCGACGCGATCAGCAATTCGGAGGCCATCGTCCCCGAGAGCTCGTCGAGCCTTTGGAGATCGTCAAAACCAAAGCTAGGATGGTTGTCAGATGGTCGGATGGCCTGCGTCTCAGTAGTGACCGGCCTGCGCTGTCGAGTGCAGAAAGTGGCAAACAGAAAGCGTGCAAGGAGCACCCGGTAGAAGATGGGGTGAAGTAGACACGCCTCTAGCGCGAATGCCCATCTTCCCAACGACGCGCCTATGCCGTGCCACGTTAGCCCGTCACTCGAATCCCGCAAGGATGCGACATTTTGATTCTCACAAAAGTCCGGTGACAGGGTCCGCTCGGATGTGAAGTCGTGTACGCTCTTTCCAGAGGTGTTCGAACCGTAGGTGATTACAACAAAACGTGTGGGTCCATCGTAAAAAAAAATGCGGCCATAGATACTGCTCCCGTCAAGAACACGCTCGCGGCCAGTCACTCGATCAAGCCTTTCGGAAACGAGCGCTCTAACCTCCTCAACTCCTCGCTCGCGGCCACCAAAGATCCGTCGGACCCGGTGCGAACATTCGCAGGCAAGACGGCATATACGTGCATGGTGGTCATTGAAGTCATGTCTTCGATTCGGCGACTGACGATCCACTGCGACGATGCCAATCGTGCACACGATTCGACCACCATGGGCTCACTGGAAGCGGAAAAAAGGTCAAGGCGCACAAGTTAAGCGCATGCGATCCGGACGAGTACCCTCAAGCCGGACTGGACTCACTGGACAACGCCCTTCACGCAGTCGAGCAGTCCTCCTTCGACGTCGTGATCTCCTATGATTGCCTTGCCTGACCAACTGTCTTCTGATGATGGCCACTGCTTCGACACGGAGAGCAATCCAGCCTGGACGAAATATCGATATGAAAAAGGTCTGGCACCAGGCCAAGCAGGATTAGCTGAAAAGATCAAACCATGCAGGCAATGAGAAAGAAGATTATACGAATTACAAAATTTTGGGTGGGTCGGAGCCCACTATGGTCTGTATGGCTTCCAATAGTCGGAACGCACGAGTGCCGAGTGGTTGCGTTTCCCCGTTATCCGTCAGGGGCCGACTGGCTAGTGCAAGCATCAGATCGCCGCACTACCATACGACAGGAAGAGAGAGTTCAAGAAAGTCAGTTCAAGATCAGACAGTGTTGTTTGACCAGGGCACGAACCTCAAAAAGCCTGACTTCGAGTGCAGCATCTTCTGCCAAATCGTCCGGGCCGCAGAACAGGTGAAGTAAAGGAGGTGGTTGAGGGCGTACGATCTCGTCCACGTTAACACGTTGGACGTCCCGATCGGGCTCTCCCGATCGGACAAGGTCAATCCGGCCATTCTGCTCCCCCTCAGAAACGGGACTATCCCCGGGCTTGTCTGGCTCGTCCGTCGGCCTCGTCCGAATCTGGCCCTCCATTATTGAGCCGTCCTCGATTCCAATCGCAGTGCTAGGGTGCGAAATGTCCATTGCCTCAGTTAAAGCGGTCGAGTCGACGTCCGGGCGGGTCGCTACTGCCGGAGTCAACAGCTCTGGCGTGCATGCTGGCAAAGCGGCTGCTTCGAGAGAAGCTAGTTCTGGAGTTGGCATATTCTGCGCGGGAGGAGGATATGAAGTGTCCTCGACCGGGACAGCGTCTGCGGACGAAATCGCGTCCGCAACAGGAGGAGTAAAAGTCTCTGAAGACGACACCGTTTCGCTCTTGGTTACTTTCCCCTTCTCTCTCGAGCGCTTTGGTCCAAGGCCGATCGTTCCCCAACCGACGTTCCGCAGGCCACTCCAGTTCGGCGACGAAGATGGCGCAACTTCGGACGACGCCAACGGCCCCGAGTGGGGAGAACTTATGTTAGACATCCCCGGAAAATTCGGCATCGAAGGCATCGATAGCGTGGGCATCGAAGGCATTGGAATCGAGGGAAGTGTCGGTCGTGGGATGGTCGGCATCGACGGCGCGGAGAGAGTCCCGAGGGAGTAGTAAGAAGCCCACTTGTTCGTCATCTCACTCGCTTCGCCGGATTTCGTGCCTGCGTTGGACTCCGTAGGTGACAGCGGTGTAGAGCTTGGATGCGTTTTTGGAGCGGGGGGAGGCTCGGCTCGGCTCGGCTCGGGTGGAGTGGCCCGTCTCAGATCGGCGCGTCGCTGACACAAAAAGTCGACGAGAGCGAGCAAGTCCGAATTGGTCATGGGAGGCGCGTCCGAGGAGCTTGACAAGGCCATCCGATTGCTGGGGCTCGAAGTGTTCGACCGCTGTTCCGTGTCGACTTTTGCCGGAGGCAGATACAAGACCGAGGCTTGATGGAGAAGGATCGGCACGATCGAAGGACACGACGCCGAGAACTGCGAGAACAGAGGTGCAATCTGCGCTGAATTTGAGACTGTAGCATAAGTTGACTGCGGTAGGGCTGTGCAAAGGCGATATAAAGAGGTCAGGGGCAGCGTCGGACACACTCGAGACCGGCAACGGTCTGTGTCGCAAACGAACCCTGCACGACCTGCTTGAACGCGCCGGAATCAACCGTCGCAATGTTCCAGGACGCGAGCCAGGGGGCCCAAAAAGATTCGAGCTCTTTCATGGTGTTGTGTCTTCCTTCCATGAACAGTCTTCTGGTGACCGAACCGTGTTGGAGGCGATAGTTTCGGTACGCTGATGCCAGCGCGACGCGTACCGAATCATCGTTAAGCGGCGGCGGTTGATCGACCGCCGAAGGGGTCGAAGCGTCGAATGCTGATGAGCGAGGTCTAGCATTACTTTGGCGCGGTGCTCGAGGTAATTCGATCGTCTGTGCGAGCGTGATGGGTGGGCCAGGCCCGCGGTCAAGAACTTGGTTCTCGAGCTGCTTAATGACGGCACTCCTTGCTCGAGTCCGGACCTACCGCATGGAAAAAGAGCTGTGGCTCAACCTGAAGCCAGACCATACGCTGACGCTGCGAATGCACCGATTGTAGCGTGGATGCGGACCCCGTGTCGAACATTCTGGCACGAACAAATATGCTTCGAAGCGCTCAGCAGTCGGCCGATGGTGACCACAAGAACACGAGGGCAAGGAACGGACGTACCTGACAAAGTCAGCCATTCCAAACACGGTGCCCATCAACCTTGCCTTCCTCTCTGGAGGTAGGTCGGTCTGGGCCGAGGAGAAGAAGAGCACCTTGGCTGCCTCTCGCCGGGCCTCATCGTCCCGGTGGGGGCCATGCTCGCTCGGCGGAAGCGGGGGCAGGTCGGAGCGGGTCGAGTAGATGGCCACAAGTGAAATCGATGGGAACGGCCGTCGTTGGTTCCGAGTCGGCCGTGTCGTCGGGCGTTGCATACCTCGACCAGACTCGACCGAGCCGCACTCGACGCGGAGGAGATCGACGCCCAAGCCAAGCGGCCCAGCGGCCGTACGTGTGAGGGCAGGTGGCGGAAGCGGCAAGCACGTGACCAAGCGTCGCCGAGCCTCGGATCCATTGAAAAAAGTACAGCTCAGCCCGGCGAGAACAGTAGTGTGCGGAACCTCATTGACTCGGGACTTCACGGTTGTAAGCAGTATGTGCCTCTCTGATGTATTCCGTCTTTCAAAGCACGTGTTAACATTCGCCTCTCGCTGCAACTGAAGTGGGTTGGTTTAAGTTCCACCGGCCTGCGAAGACGCCGGAATATTTCGGTGGGGCGTTGCGCGGGCCCACGCCAGTAGTGGCACTACATCACGAAATTGCCCCATCCCTTTCGGTCGCAGCAAAGCGTTTGCTCGGTGTGGGCACTTGAAAGTACTACTAGCACCCGAGACAAGAAAAACGAGCGCCTTTGAAAGTCAGTGGATCGCAAGGCTGAACAGGGTCATGCAGTGGCCACCCCGGACACCTCAGGCAGACTAAAAAGTAACCAGTCTTAGTAGCGCCGCCGCGCGGCCAGAAAACCCTATGCAAATAGGCGACCTGGGCCCGGTAGCAACTCGGCGCCGGGACAGGCCCGTACACCTCTTCCAAGTCCGTTAAGACCACTACATTGATCATGTGACGACATGAGAGATAATAAGAAGCAAAGATTGATCTCGAGTTGAATCAGTAACCACACGTAATTTTTTAAATGTTAAGACTCTAAGCGCCTGAGGCCGGGGCTCATGCTCATGGGCGGGTGTCCAGTCACGTGCTTGACGCGTTGTAAGATGAGGAACACGTCAAATTGGCACGCAAGGAATCTGTCGCGCGTGCATGCAGGCGGCCGCCGCTGCTTCCTGCAGGACGTACTACCTGGATCGTCGCAGACTTAACCCACCCGAAGCTCGTTGCTGCTGAGCTACTACACTTGTGTTCTCGTATTCATTCCGCTCAGTCACCATGGGCCGCCCCTCGCGACTCAAACCACGCTTTCCGCGGATCAAGCCTTCGGACTACCTCGACCATCCCGATTGCCCGAATCAATACGCCACGATGCCGCTGTGCCTTGTCACTTTCGGAGGTACGATCGTCGATAAAGGAGGACGTAAGAGGCCGAGGAAGGCCAAGACAGATATGGATGCCACTCCCACCACATCTGCAACGTCAAACGTCGAAACGAGCACGAACCAACGCGTCCCTGTCGCCTCGACCTCAGTCTTCGCCAATGACCTGAACTTCTCCCACGATGATTTCAACGAGGATTATCTCAGGGACTTCCCTCTTGCTCAGCAGGCCGAGTACGAAGACCTAGGGGGAATGGATCTTTCCATGGAGCGCTGGGACCCACCCGACCCCGACTTACAACGCCCAACTCACCAGGAACTCGCACAGGAGGTTTTACCAACTCCCCGCGTCTCCGATCCGCCGGTTGCCGCTAAGCAAGAAGGTTACTTCAAGTTTATCACACTCGAGCACGAGCAGCGCGAGAGTCAGCGCGCTGCCCTTTTGGGTCTCTATCTTGATTTACGCATAAGCACCAATGGGCAGTTTCTGCCGCTCGTTTCGAACAGCGACAAGGACGACTTGAACGTTCCTTCACCATGCCACTGTCAGCACGTGTATGCTCGCGAGGTGGTCCTGTACGACGGACTGACCGGTATGTGTCATGCCAGCTCCGTTCACCGATTTGCGCGATGCATCTTTTCTCGCCGTTGTCCTGGTATCACTGACACGTGAAACCCCCTCTGCGCCTTGCCTTTCAGTCTATTCCAAGCAAGTCACGTTCTGCGCTTCCAATCCGCCCTGTATTGCGGAAGCTGTACGCCTGGCTCAACTTGGGTTTATAGCATCGACCGCTGTCAACCCAGGATCAGCGTTCTCCTTCCGCATGATCCGCCTAGAAAACTCGCGTTGGCGTAACGCCCCTTACGCCCTCACTGGCCACGCTGCAGGCTTCGAAGACTATTTCGGGGACAACGGGTGGTCGAAACCAGAGCATTATCATGGACACCCATATGTGAGCATTTGTTATCGGTTTTTTGCCATGGGTTCTACCTGGACTCATTTGCTGCCTGGTTGTGGAGCTCAGGATAAAGAGCTGAGGAAGCAATGGCAGCGGGCGATCGACGAGTTTCGCGCCATCGAAGCATCTGAGCGCGACGTTGGCGACTTTCTCTTGGGCACCGTCGACGCGCTGGCCAACAAATGCCCAGCGTGCTTCGGGCCGAAACGGCTCAACCGACCCCATCACACCCTCCAACTGGATTATATGATCGCGCTCGACGGCAACTTCCAGCAAACCCGAGAAAATAATGCGACATACGACGTCCAAGGAATAGTGCCGAGCTTGTTTCTGTCTGATAAAGCCGTCCTGGACATGAAAGCACTCGTCGAGAATACAGCGCGGCCAACGAAGAAGGTGAGGAGCGTGATATATTTGCGATCCGCCTCGAATACTGAGTAATATCGCTCCGGCCCCGTCGGAAGGCGTGCACAGAGTCGTGGAAGGCTGCTGACGGGGGCGCTGGTCGAGTCTCGTCGCGCAAGATCGATACAGGACTTGTCGCCGGCGTGTGCCGCCATGATATCGCCCTAAAAATGGTGAATCTTGAGAAGACCGGCGAAAAGTGAGTGTATTGAGCTTATGTTCTTCAACTCCAACTTGCATTTTTACTTTCACTGCTGATGCTCATGCCTGCGCTCCAATCACCTAGGCTGTACTTCGCTTTAGCCATTGTCAAGCACATCTCGGACCATCTTCCTCCAGATGCTAGGATTGGAATTTTGTACGACATCGCTTGTAATTTCAAGCACCACATTGAGAAGGTTTGCATTGACCACCTCGGCTCGGGCCCCTCTCCGATATGTCGTTGCTGATCATATGGGCTTTGTGTTTCAACCTTTTCAGGCATCTGCTGCCTGAGCTGTTTGAGCGACTCGAGTTCGCCACAAGTGTCTTCCATGCATACGCCCATACCTGGGGTTGCCAGGTTGACTACAACCCCCGTCTCATCCCGAACTTTGGATTCACTGATGGAGAAGGTTGTGAGCGACTATGGAGCGCGCTGCGCTCCCTCATCCCCATCAATCGTCCATCAAATAAGTCCCACCGCCTCGTCAATTTGGCGGTCCGCACGCAGGCAGTGAACGACGCGAACGTCTCAAGGCTTGGTCAGTGCTCCGCAGTCGCCGCTTCGTCTTTCGCCGCATTGACTCTTTGCACACGACTAGGGTCCTGGTTCACCCGCCGACTTCGCTCAGCCAAGGCTCGGAGCACTGCTGCTCGCAAGGAACTTGACGCCGTTATCGCCCACGATGCCACCTGGTCGGAGGAGGCGCTCCGCGTCGCTTGGCAAGACCAGCGACGAGCGCAAGCGTCGAAAACAGCTACGCAGGAAGCTGAGGAAGATCGTTTGAGGGAAAGCGAGCTTTATAAACTTGCTGAGGAACTTTACAGGATTGACTGCATCATGTACGTGCTTGGTGATAACTACTTGAGCTTGAGCTTGTCCTTCGTTCTCACTGACTCATCATCTTGCTGAGCAGTGACGAGTCTGAACCAGAAGCGCTTGTGGGGCTGAATTCGAAGCACGATCGTCTTGCAAGGGAGATCGATCAAGCAGCAATTGTCCAACTGCAAAGAAGTGGGACAAGCATCTCGTCCACAGGTTGGCCTTAATTCTCTTACTTAGTTTTCCCTGTTCCTGATTGCGATGACGTGCCTATTTGCTTCACAGAGCTTCGTCACTTGTGCCAGTGTTCCGTTGCGCTGCGCAAGCTTCATCGAGAAGTGATTGCCTACAAAAGTAGCCGTGAAAATTTGCTATCGACGCGTCGCGGCAGGGGCGGGTCAACACTTGGTCAGAGAAAGGCCAACAAAGCTCGCAAAACGGAAGTCAAGACACACTCTGGCGCTGAAAAGGCACGTAAGGCATACAACAAGGCTGTCAACGCGTTTCGAACGGCAGGCGGATCATCACCATCGCACCTCCTCAACAATCTTCCATCAGTCGGTAGCCTAGCATCGATTCTTGATCTTGAAGACACGGATTTCTTCTGGCAAGACGGGTTTTTCACGCATGTTGAAGCTGCTTGGGCCACCGATCCGTGGGTTAAACGGGGCATCGTTGCTGTGCGTGACCTGGATCGAGCTGCGGAGGAGTTCGCTCGGATTGGCGCCGAGGTGCGACAAACCCTTGCTTGGCTCGAAGACGAGCACGACCTCATCTCTAGTCGCCAAGCACTTTGGCTAAGCGCGACAGGTCAGTTGTCAGTCGAACGTTACTCCACTAGTCTAGATGCTGATACGTTCTTGATAACACAAATAGATTCCGCTCCAACGATTTATGACCATGATCGTGTTGAACGCGCATTTGGCAGTACCGTCTACGCAACGATCCGGGACCGTGCCCTCGTCATTCTGGAAGCTCGGATGAGGGCTCTTCAAAAGCGCGAACGAGACTGGTTCTGCGATAGCACTTTCTTACTGCTGTGGTACACGACCAGAGGACCAGCGGATACGCACGAACCAGTCCCTCGAGCTCTGAAGCGTCTCACCCCGCATCTGCTGTTGAACCCGGGCAACGTCTCCAAGACGACAACAGCTACTGGAGCTGACGCGCGTAGTGTTGCGCCTCGGGAGGACGCATCGGGCGCCTATGCAGCGCCGTCCGAGTCGTTCCGGACCACCGATGACGATCGTCTGCTCGCGCGGCGCATCACGGAGCAGCTGGATGCTGACATGAATGTAGAAGGCGCAAAGGCTTTGCATGAGATGCTGGAGCAGCAAGAGGGCATGCTATACGATTCGGACAGCTCTGATGATCTGGTTCCCGACGAGGAGCGTTCTTTGTCGGACTCTGACTCGGAAGAATGAAATGTGAAAAACACTGGCTGCAGTAATTATACCATGAGTTCGAATGATTAATGGTGTGACAATGATTACTGCATTTGCAATATCAATGTGCACGAACCATGACATGTCAGGCAGGGTTCAGCCCACTGTTCGGATGGTCGGAAGTAATGGGGAGTGCGAGCGTGCCTCTGCAGAGCGCCCTCTTATCAGGGGAACATGGCTCGGAGGTTCCCCTTGCCCGAGCCGAGTGACTTTTCACTCGAAACGCCAGTTGTTACTCGAGTAACTGAAGCACGAACCTTGTCAAAATGGGTGAGCAGGTCCCTTCAGTATGACCAACATACCTCCTGTTGTCAGATGGGGTTCAATCGCAATACTTGGATGTACGCACGAGCGTCCTCCTACGGGAACAAGGGTCGGAGGTTCCCTTTGCCCGAGCCGAGTGACTTTTCACTCGAAGCGCCAGTTGTTACTCGAGTAACTGAAGCACGAACCTTGTCAAAATGGGTGAGCAGGTCCCTTCAGCATGACCAACATACCTCCTGTTGTCAAATGGGGTTCAATCGCAATACTTGGATGTACGCACGAGCGTCCTCCTACCGGAACACGGGTCGGAGGTTCCCCTTGCCCGAGCCATGTTCCCGTGAGCACTGCACCTGAAGGCGCCTGTTGCCACCCCTTCCTCGGAATTGAGTACGATTTTGCTAGAATCATCGCTGCTTGTGGGCACTGTCGCATGCTCTATGCGTCTCGACTTGTGCTGCCATCATCCGGGAGGTTGAAGCTGAAATTTCAAGGCTTAGCTCAAGTTGCCGCCTTGGAGAGGCCACTGTGAGATCACTCCGATTGAGTCCGATGTGATACACTCCGGGGAAACCCTTGCGATTCGAATTGGGTTTTGACTGGTCATGGGTACCGAAGAGCCCACGCGTCATCAGTGAGTAAATTCACTGCCTGCTATTGGGCCGGCGCACTGCGTCGGTGACTCCGAGCCTCACTACGCGCTCTCAGCAGCGGACAGGACGTTGAGAGGAGCTGAAGGAGCGAAATGTGCGCAATATCTACTCTTACAAAGCAAAATAAGGCGGCCAAGCTAATACCTGTGGCCGTTAGCCAGTGTGCTTAAAGCATTTCCTCCGACTTGTCCGAAGATTTCTTGGTACTAAAATAATTGTGCTGTTAATGAGATCTATTCAATAATAATAAAAAGTAGTATTCTGGCGTCGCTTGACATCTGGTGGCGCCGGCGGCCGGTGGCAACTTCGGATGTTTCCAATCCGTTGTGAACGTCTAAATTTTGTTTTCAACACACCGAAATCGCTTTGTGACAAAATCTGAACCCTTTCATCGACTTTCAACCGGAGTTTGAGTCGCTTTTGAGGAGCTTCAATTTTAGTGGCGTCGCCGCAGTCCCACACCAGCCGGGATCCGCCAAGCTACTCCTTGACAATGCTCAAAAAGTAATGTGAATGCGACAAACCAATTCTCTTTTGGCATGGACAGGCATCCACATGTCAGCCTGCAAGGGCGAAGGAGCGGCGACTGTGAGTTACCCGTCGGAGTCCCGGGCCCACTCACTGGATTCCCGGCAAGGTGGGGTGTAATATTTGTAATAGGCGGCCAATACGAGACGTGCGAATTGCTACGTACCGAGCGGGAGCAGCGCCACTTGGATCGGATGCTAGGAACGGCGAGATTCCCTGACAGTGTTCCTCACACTTCAAACCCTAGTAATAATGATTTCAACTTTAGCACGAAGAGTCGCCTGGTACTTTGGAGTTGAGAAGACCGGCTCGCCTTCAGACTGAGTTGATTGGACAGATCAGATGGACCGAAACGTCGGGACCCCCGTGGCAAATACCTGATGCCCACACCGCGTGAAACACACTTTCGGACGAGGCACGACATGCTGGCGGGTTCAACTCGGGGCAAGCACTTGAGCATGGACCGTCATACTCGGTCGCTAGTCGTCATAATGAGAGATCGGATAAGACTTTTTGGGCCGTGCGCCAGTGTAAAATGTTCTCGAAACACCTCGAACACCTCGAATACTCAGTCGCGGAAATCCGGAACTGCGTATGTCAGAGCGCACTTAGAGAATTGCGGATCCAGAGCAGTCTATTTCGGAGGACGCAGAGCATGTTACAATCCGAAATTCTGAGAAAACGGAGCATTTCAGTATTCTTGTTCTGCGGAAGCAGCAGAGGTATCATTACGGCGAACATCATGCAGCATACGCTCGCGGCTTTGGTGCACTACAGACACGATCCTTGGTGTACTAAGTCCAGTAGTCATCTTGCTTCGTCCAGCGGCATCCACTCGTTGTATCTTCCAATTCAGCCCTACACTTCATGTCCGTCCCAGCGCGCCGGCTCATCTCGGCGTCGAGAGCTGCTGCCCTAAGCTCTAAGAGTGCTCGTCGGAATCGGGGCGGCTCACCGCGCTGCCATCTTGGCCGTTGGCAGGGATAGCTGCACCATCTTCATCTTCTTCATCCGCTAGTACCTCTTCCGTTAGCCTGAATCTCAACTCTCCTGCACGCAGCAGGGGAATGATACGATCCAAGTCGGCCCCCGACATTTTTTGCTTGCCCATGGGGCTGGCGAAGTCCGCTCACTTGTTGACTGCTAACGATGAGTCTTCTTCTCGGTGCAGATGATGCCGTGATGCGACGTACCAAGAACCAAGGGCACGAAAACAAGAGCAAACCGCCCAGGTTGGTGTACGACCCAACCGCGCTCATGCAACAGGCCAGTATCGTAGTTGAATGCGGCCCGAGCCTCAACTTGGAGACGGACAAGTGAGCAGCAACTGAAATCTCGGTTAGAACATAGTCCACACTGAAAAGTTTTTTCACAATCGTGCTGTACCACGAGGCTTTTGTTTCAAGATTCGCTTCCTTCAGTGGCGCCTCCCAAACTGCGTGACAGCGTAACGGACGTCAATCAGCAAGTGACAATAGTCTGTCGGCGCGTGCACCTACTGACCAGCTGCTTCCAATTCGGCCTTTTTGTCCTCCAAGAACGCTCTACCGGTAACGCAATCCGCGAAGTCGGAGAGCAGCTGTCTTGAACCCAAACTATCGCCCCAGTCTTGTCGATAGGCAAAGGCCAAACCACCGGGGCTCGCGACCATGAAACGCTCCTTATTGAGTTCAGGAAGATCAGAAGAGACCACAGCAAACAATTGGAGTCCATATTTTTGCGCATATGAAGTGCTCTGGGTTGGTTTTGAGGGTGTTATGATCCTTTCAGTTACTTTACTGTGAGCAGTATCAAATTGAGCTTGGACTCACCATGGTTTCCAACGCGGCCTGCATGCATCGGCGCGCTTTCTTGATGGCTTCGTGACTCATCGGCTTGTTTCTGGCGATCTTGATGGAGGATGAACCTTCGGTCGCTTGCGTTGCTTGCGTCGCTTCCTCACGCTCCAAGGCAAGCGCCGCGTCAAACCTCGTCATCGCCTCTGCGTCATCCTTTATGTCGTTCCAATATGGCTTTGCGAGCTTAACCCTCTCCACCAAATTGGTCGGCACTAAAGCGGACCAACCCAGCCCGTTAGTTCAACAACAGCGTAGTGCAAGGCTATGCTAGAATTTAGCACGAGGTAGTCAGGTAGTCAAGAGCTGTGCCTACCTTCCAATCCATCTTGAACTGCCAGCGATTCGAAGTACTTGCTCTGCACAAAGTCATTCCAGGAAGTGGGAGAGCCAAGGCGAGTCACGGGCGCAACAATGCTCCTCAAATAATCGAGTCGAATATTGTGTCGGATACAATACTCGAGCTCTTCGTCGTGTCTTTTCTGGGCCCATTGCTCGTGCATAAGTCGTTCGGATTTGCGACAGTTGCGCTTAGGGATAGCCTTGCTCTGTTCGTGGAGGCTAGGGCCCATCGGCCTCTTCGCTGGCGTCAAAGGCGAAACTCGGATCGGTACGGTGGCGACAGGGACTTCGACGCGGGCGAACTGTTGATCCGCGGCGGAAAGTGGTGATGGATGCACTGTCGGGGTGCTTCCATCTACTGATGAGAAACTCGGCGAGGGCTGCAGGACGCCCGACGATGTATTGGCTTCCTCCATTGGCAATTGAAGGGGGTCAGGCAGCAGGCGATTGGCGGGACAGGAGGGTCGACTTGATGGGTGCCCTGTGCTAGCTGTGCTGCCTAGGACAGGGAGGTCGTCTGGGAAGGCGGACGCGTGGCTACCCGACTCGAGCGAATAGGTTGGATAATCGATGTTTGCGAACGCGGGAGCGTCAAGCGGTCGGCTGGGCGGCGCAGGACTTGGATGGTACGCATCATATTGTTCGCTAGACGAAATGGCATTGGAAGAGAACATCGTGCAGGCAGAGGCTGGAAGGCGAACAGGGGAAGGTCAGAACGACACGGTGCTGCATCAAACCAATCAAACAGCGCGTCGACGACCGCGCAGCCGCACTTCCACCACGCACCCAGAGCCTTGTTTGTGAATGGTTATCCAGGAGGGAAGGAGCCCGCAATGTTCCGAGGCGACGCGATGAATCTATAGTCAAGACGTGGATGTCAGCAGGCCCTCAGAAGCTCGTGCTCTGGTAAAAGCCCGGACGACGATCGCCGGACATACACGTGGGGCTTGTCGAGCGCCGAAGCGTGGAAAGTTGGTATGAGTTGGCGATGTGAAAGGATCACAAGATCAACGGAGGTCAACGAGGGACGTGACGTGTGACGTGTGACGTGTATGCGGTTCAGCGATCGAGGACGAGGATATTCGCGGCGAGACCAATGGGTCTTGTGTTGAATGTACGGGCGAAAGCGGGCCTAAGGACAAGAGCTGTCTACGTATCAACAACGCACAACACGCGTCGATTCCGTCAGGTTCGGACCGGTTCGGACGCGCGCCTGCGCGCGCAACCTCGCGCAACCCGCGTCAGATCACGTGTTGCATTGGGCCAGACATACCACGGCTTCAGCAGTGCTGAGGCGTTAATGGATATACTTGGACTTCAACAAGCTTTTCTATAAGCTCTACAAGCTTCTCCCGCCAATGAATTACGTCATAGGGTCAAGCCGGAAAATCATTTCCGGATCAATTGTAATGACTTTAAACCATTGCGAGCTTGTTCCCGCGCCGAGTTGCTACCGTCGGTAGCAGAGTTGCTACCGGGCCCAGGGAATTTTTGGGTCATGACTATCTTTAAATACTAGTGTATCCCTAAAAGTATTGTTGAAGCGTTTTATGCTATAAACTCATCTAGGGCCAAACTCAAAAATAGGACCAACCATTCTTTGAGCAGGTCGGCTAGCCGACCAGCAAATACATAAACAAGAACTTCTCCTTCAGGTTTTTTATGGTAAACATATGTTTTTGTCCCTATTTTTTCTCTAAATTTAAGAAGATCTTTATCAGATTGTGCGACTCCTCGCGTAGCAACAAATACTTTGTTTACAGTTGGGTCGCCTATTTGCATAGGTTTTTCTGGCCGCGCGGCGGCGCTACTAAGACTGGTTACTTTTTAGTCTGCCTGAGGTGACCCCGGATCCTCAAGTGATCCTCATGACGTCAGGTTATCGTGGCTGTGCTTCCCTCGGTCGCGCCTGTTATTAGGCGCCTATCTGCGCCTATCCGCGCCTGTTCGCGCTTCAACCGGTGACGGCCCGAGACGCTGCTCCTCCCTCCTCTTGCCCTTGTCCCACTCACACGCTGCACACCGCCATCGCTGTGAGTACCTCGACGCCTCGACAGCTTGCAGGTGAAGCACTACTGATATCCTCTCTCCCTTGTTCCCTTATTGTGCCACTGTGTTGCCGACGGTCGGCGTGCTTGTCCCTCGCTCTCACGTTGGTCCGTCGCCGTCATCGGACTCACACGCTTGCTTCGCGGCGCCTTGCCAATCCTCGCGCATCCCTTGTCTCACTTGCTCCTCGTTCCACCCGGTCCCACCACCACCGACCCGTCACCTACCATCTCGCACGCCTGCCGAATGTAGTCAAGTCACATCTCCCCAATCTCTCGACCCTAACAACTCATCCACGATGCCCTTCACCGCTTCCGACATCTGCAAGGTACGTCCCGCCCCCCTCGGTCGTCCCGTGGTCGAGCGACGATCATCAACACTAGCTTCGCGCTCGATCGCTGACATCGCGTTTGCCCTCTTGTACCTGCCCTTCCTCCTCTCCAGATCATCCTTGCCATCTTCCTTCCTCCCTTGGGTGTATTCCTCGAGCGGTGAGTGAGATGGTGGGGCCGCTGTGGCGCTGCTCTCTCGAATGCAATCAGGAGCATCGGCCGCTGAACACCTCGAACTGCGCTCCCCTTCCCTGGAAATTTATCTTTCAGAGGCTGCAACGCCGACTTTTGGATCAACGTCATCTTGACCATCCTCGGTTATATCCCCGGTATCGTCCACGCGCTATACATCATTCTCAAGTGAGTGACGCACCTTTGGCTCGGGTTTCGATTTGGCAGTTGATGTGGACATGCTTGATTGTGTGGCCTTTGCAGGTACTAAATGTCTGGCCGCTGGCATCCGTCTCGGTCGTGCGTGATGTGTCTGTGTCGATGTGTACCTATACATAATTTGTAGCGCCGATGGCTTTGTCTGTTTGCCTCGCTCGAGTCTCCAGGCATTCCGTCCAACCTGCAGCAGTGGTGGAAGACCGTCTTTACGTAAAAACATGAACGTCTTCAGAGACTGACTCGCGCCCGCGTCTTCCAGGAGCCTGCGATGCCGATCCCGTGATTCACTCTTTTCTGGTGTGCGCGACCACAGCACCTTTGAGAGTCAATAAGAACCAGGCTGGTGACCGTTCCCGGGACGTCCTGAGTTTCCAGAGAAGTGTACAACAATCGTTCCCCAATCCCTCGCAAGCTGGCCGACCTGACCTCACATGCTCTATCCGAGAGCCCAAGATTAAATCCTCCGTGAACCCTTGGCCTTGGCTTGGGCCCGCCGGGCAAAGAACAAAACACTGGCCCCGAAGAGCATGGAGCAGCCTATAGACACGTGGATCAAGCACACACAGCGGGATCAGTACTACCGATCGCGAACTCGAAAGCACAGCCGATCGAGTACCGCCTCCGGACTCACCGGCGAAGACAACAGGCGCGGTAAAGGTCGTGGGTGTCCGAATTACTAATTGACCGGCGATTGGAGAACCCTGCAAAGAAGAGATTGAATTGAGATCGTGAGCCGAGGCTAGCATCAGACACGTCTATCGAGCCAGGCTGCGGAGACTCACGATGAGGGCAGCAGCGCCGATGAAGACGAAAGGCAAGCCCATTCGAACTCTACACGCAGCAGCCGGTCAGCGATTATCTCGATCTGTGGTGTTCTACACTCCGGTTCGGGCTCACCCTATCTCCGAGGGATGCGTTGCACTGCGTGAGGGACAACGCAAAACACAATGAGCAAACTTTTCCCACACCATCGGGCCCGTGACGCAGCGCTGCGAATTATGCACTCGTCACCCAAACGACTCACGTCGAGGCAAAAGCAGGCCCTACGAGACTGACGTAGGCTCCGCTCAAGAATCCATAGAGCAATGCGAACACGATCGCACCCGCCGAAGAGCTCGCGGCAAACATGATGAAAACGCAAGCCCCACTCAACGTCACCGTCGGCAGCAACACGTTGAAAGGGCCGACGCGGTCGGCGATCGCGTTCGGGATCGTTCGTCCGAAAACGGAAGCGGCGTTGAGAATCGCGAGCGAATATGTCGTGATGGTAGGGTCGACACCCTTGATAGTCAAGAAGTACTATTAGACAGGATATGGACATGCGTTAGGATGAGCCAAACTGGCGTATCTCAGGGCATGGACCAAGTTGACAGGCGCGACGAGCGGTCAAGGACTCCTCCGTGCGTTGTGCGCACACGCTCTTCGCTTGTGCTTCTTTCAACTGTTTACTCACCTGGATGTAAAAGAGTGGGACAAATAGGCCCATTGCGACAAAGAAAGCTCCTGTTGCGGCGAGTGTGAAGCGTGGTTCTCGGAAGAACTTGAGGGGTTCGACTTTGGCCGCACCTGGGGGCTTGGGCGGTGGCGGACTGGCACGCATCAGCAAATTGATGGCGACAGAGCAACCCAAGACCAAGTAGGCGGTGTCTCGGATGGCCTCGCCAAACGCCTTCTTCGCGAGAAGACTGTTGATCATGATGGGGAAGATCACACCTACGTCACCGTGGTCATCAGCGACACGTCTCAAGAGAAAAAATCTTTCCTTAGTCGTAGAAGCGGCGTGACATACCTCCAATGCTTGAGCCCGTCACGGCGAATCCCATAGCGAAGGCACGTCTACGCTTCCAGTTTTGGGACAGGACCGAGATCGAGGGCAGAAACATAAAGCCCATCGCAATCCCCATGCCGAAGCCTGTTTCGAAGGATCAAATCATGTCAGCTGGCTGAGGTAGACTTTGCTCATGATGAAGCACTGACCTTGGGCAAGGATGGTCTGCCAAAACTCTTTGCACAAGGATACCATGAATAGGCAGAACACTAGGAGAATCGACCCGCCTCCCATAATGTACTGGAAGTAACCCTGCATCACAAACGCAAGGAAGAGCAAGACAAGGCCGTGGCGACGCGTGTCCGATAGACGGAGTCCGAAAAATCAGCGGCGCATCGTCACTTTTCACATGTGCATCACCGCCTTGCGTTTGATCAAATTCACCTTGTCGTATAATATCCCGCTGACAAGGCTCATGGTGAAAAGGCACCAAAGCTGTATCGAGCCGCTGTGAGTTCGTGACGACGCAAGTGGAGGTGGGCGTCAATTCACGGAAGCGATCGACGTCCGTAATGAACCACTCACATCCATGCGATATCTGAGGAAGACTTGTTTGAATATTGGTTCGCCTTGTAGTAGTCTTGCAGAGCGCCAAAGCCGGCATTATAACCGCTATAACCCGTGACGAGTCAGCCACGGCCCCGTCTGGACGCGGGTCGCGGAGGGACCGGGGCCCAGGCTCGCCGTACTCACAAAGTGATGATGAGAGTGAGCCATGCCCCGAATACGTTCAAATAGCCGCGTAAACCTCCCTCCACGAAGTCCGTCGGAACCGCCGGCGCTGCTGCGCCTTCCTCTATGGCCTTGAGCTCGTCCTTGCCTTCCCACGTCGCGGCCAACGAAACCGACGACAAGTTCTCCACCGCCGCATGGGCGTCATGGTCGCTCGTTGGGTTCGCAGTAGTCATCATCGAGATTTCACCTTCGTGGCCACCGACGAATCGGAATCGGTGACGTAGTTAAGTTGGGCCAGGTCTGACTCACTACTGGGTCGGTGTGGGGTTCTGGCGTGACCAATGACCGACTCGCGGTCTAGACGTCCTCGCCGAGTTTCGGCAGTGCCGGCCGTTCCCGGCAGCCTCGAGCTCTTGCTCGATGGATTATGTAATGCCAGAAGCTCTCTAACAGAGCTGAAGGTTTGTTCAACGAGAATTGGGGGGCGCGAGCTTGGTAAATTGCCGACGGTCTCAAGATTACTAATTCCCAAGTCGAAGTTGAATGAAATGAGGGTTTGTCTTTAGAGCGTCTAGCCTTGTCTTGCGGTGGAAGTTCGCTTGCGGCTAAGTAGGAGGGAGTGCCTATCCCCGGGCCATATTTGTGTGAGTGTGACTTTATAGAGGGCAGTGCAGGTTTAGTTCAGGGACGAGTCGTCGCCGCCCCGCGGTGCATTAATTTCACGAAAATGCTGCCCTCGACCTCGCACGGGCACTACTAGTAGTATGCAACCGGCCTTTGGAGGCTCCTTTCTGTAGACAATGACGCATCAATTGATCGATATCAATACGCTTTGGTGAAAACAAGTTCTACAGCGCCGACCCAGTCGAAAGCGGCGGTGGCAGCCGACGCAATCCTGTTACAGGATCAGCGACGCGTCAGACTTCGAGGTTGTGAGACAGGGCGATCATCAATTAAGCCTAAGCGGGCCATCGCCAGCCATCGTCGCTAAGATTTGGGCTTTGGAATTAAAATGAGGAGGCTTACAGCCGGGCAGCATGGCAGCGCAAGAAGTTTTCAGGGTTGGACTCTACAGATATTCTCCACAGCCGGTCATGTACCATCAACATCTAAGTAGATCGTGACCGTAGGCAACATGCGTGCAATTGAGCTTCCCGTCGTGAGCAAGGCATGATTCAAATTAGCCGCCCCTGTCGACTCGTCGAGGTTCCCGAAGCCTAGACATCTCAAGTCGCTGCAACAGGACAAATTGCCGAGCGGGATGGCCAGCAGCCGCTGAGGCTCACCAAGATGAACCAAGCGCTGGAGCCTGGCATGCTGACAACCGAGATCGGCGCTCAGCCTCCGGTCGTTCAACCGTCCCTGCCACTGGCGCACATCTTCTCGCTCCGAGCCTCCGACGCCCTTTAGGACCTACCTGTTGCTCCAAAAGACCCGTGCAGTACGTGCCCACGACGACAGAGGATTCATCGGCGTGGTATGAGAATACGTCGCTGTGACACAACTCCACGCGCAGCAACGGAATCTTCAATCTTGTCGGTGTCGGAAGGTGATCGTCGTCGACTTGCAATTTCTCGAGGGGGCTTCGCCCAGACCAACACCGAGGGTCGGGGTCCACGAGCTCTGGTCCTGCGACAACCAATAGTGGTGACCGCGTCGTGGACGTCAGTATTCCGCAACGACAGCATGCCGAAGACCACGCCCACCAGCTCGTCGGCGACAACATCGTCATCAAGCAGCTTGTATGCGGCGCCATCATCGGACCCCGGCGCCGGAAGCAGCCCCGTTGATGCAACTTCAGCCGCTCCGCAGTACTGGAAGTTCGGTCAGTCACAGCTCAGATCCAGCACTTTGATCGACACCTCCAATCGATTTATTGACACATCGTGTTGACACTTCGTTGTCCCGTGTGAATATATTCGTATCCTCTGATGTTTTTTCGTCTTTTTCTCGTACAGCCCTCATCCTGGTTGCTGTCATCTTGGTCGTGGCGATCCTGATGTCGCGCAAGCTCCCGCGAGCCCCAAGACGTGGACAGAGCTGCCTGGGCGATGAAGGCGACTTGCACGACGAGACAACTCCGAGGACTCCAGAGATGAGCTCTCGCAGCGTTGGGGACCGCCAGAGTCAACGTAGCAATTGTCCCAGCCTAAGCTACTTCAGATCAGCAGGCTCAACCGCCGCGACGGGGCGACGACCGAACCAAGAGCGATTGTTGCCGGAAGAGGTGCAAGCGAGGAGGCGTGAATTTTGTCAAGTCCACCGAGCTTTACTACACGCAGGCCTACTTCTTCCCGACACCGTCCATGTACCTGCGCGTCGGTCACGGACTCACGATTCGGCCGATCGAGGCCTTGTTGGACCCTTGCCTTATCGACAGTCGCTTTCAGAGCGATATCGACAACAAGTTCGGGAGCAGGGAAGGCAACGCAAGCAGACTCAAGAAGAAGGGCTCGGTCTTCCGAGATATACCCGGAACGTCACCGAGGGCGAGCAGATGCTTCAAGCCGGCGAGCCAAAGAAGGCGGGTGCGTCAGACGACGACGAGTCACACAGTGACTCGGACGACGTCCCACTCGGAACTCGACGGCTTCCCTTCGTGCACATTCTGGTGCATGATAGTCAGCCCAGCATTCCATTGTTGGCGCACCTGCGCCATTGAGTTGGGATCTAGGTGGAGCCGGGGCACTCAATTTCTCGACGATTGAACAGAATCATGGCCGAGGGGCAATGTTGGGCGTATCTCTCCTACTGATATGTCACGGGGGTTATGTCTTGGTCAGGATAGATACTTAGCTTTCGTCTTTAGTGTGTCGTAAGCATTTGACCACTCGCATTTACAGGAACAACATGCTTTCTAGCTGTCTCCGAGTCCAAGTCGCTGGAAGGTACTCCGCCACATCAAGACCGGTTTGGCTGGCAGACTCGAGCGTCGGATGCAGTTGCGAGAATGTGAATGAACAGTACTGCAGGGTAAACGCAAGAAGAAGAAAAATGATAGGCACTTGTGAAGGCAAAATGGATCGATGACGCGTCGCGAAGAACGCCGACTCGGCCCAGAATACGACAAGAACGAGCACGTAGATTGGCGCACAAGGTGGGGAAGGGTGCGAGGTAGATCCGCACATCACATCGATCTGGGTAGCCTACACTTGAGGGCTACGAAATCAAGTACATCATACATGTATGGGCATGCATCACTGTGTGCCTGGGTCTTGTGGGTCATCTCATTGAATTGCACGGATATGCACTGTCGTGGATTGTCATGCGTGGCGCAGGGAATCGGACCCGAGCATCGAGACTGCACGCCGGTGCATACGGGTTCATCGGTGTGCGTTGATGTGCACGCGTTTGTATTGGTATTCCAGAGTGTCGATAAGGGTTCTACACGAGAATGGACTTCGTCCGACTTCATCTCAGCCTACTCCGAAGGTGTTGAGTTGCTCGGGGAGCCTGAAGAAGCTCATTTGCCCTCCAATCGGACCCCCCTTGCACGTTTCTGTCAAATGCGCCACAGGTATTGCCACTCTGTCGCTGACTTTTCATACCGTCTACGGTCCCGCTAATCACTCCTCGTGAATTATGCTCCTCACCCTGCTCCTACTCCGCGTCGGCTCGACGTGCTCTCTGCGGTGGGTGCAGGAAGGCGTTTCGCAACGAAGCAAGTCGCGAGACCTGACCCGTTCTTAGCGTGCACGAGGGTGCATAATCTCCAGATAATCCGATTCCAGGTGGTAAACCTACTGTGAATTTAATTCATGTTATGAAAAGAACGTAGAGCTCGGAGGGTCGTATGCAAGAGGTGCGAGCAGTGGAAACAAGTGTACACTACTTTGTAGATTTGGCGGCTTGTCGAGCTGCAGCGATGAGGGGAGCGAGGGTCTTGAGAGGTTGGGCCTTCTTGAAAAAGGGGTGGAGCAACAACTGGGCCGCGGTCGGACGCTTCTCGGTATCGACCTCGAGGGCCTGCTTGAGGAAATCGCGGAACACGTCTGACAGCTGCTCGGGATTGTTGATCGTAGGCGAGCCATTTGTTGCGATCAGGTACAGCGCGCGTAGCTGAGGTTCGTTCAGGTAGGGAGGTTCGCCATCGACCATTTCAATCGCCATTATGCCCAACGACCAGATGTCGACCTTGGGTCCATATTCCTTGCGCGTCACGACCTCCGGGGCCATCCAGTAAGGTGTGCCGACCATTGTCGTTCGCTTTGCGTGTTCGCCTTGGATTTGCGCGCAGAACCCAAAGTCCGTCAATTTGATGTCGCCTTGCAAGCTGAGCAGAACGTTGTCGGACTTGATATCGCGGTGAATCACGCCGTGCTCGTGCAGATGTTGCAGACCGTCGAGGACTTCACGAGACACAGCGGCAATTTGGCCCTCGCTCATGATGTTGCACGTCACCACGTCCGTCAAGGAACCGCCCTCCATGTACTCCATGACGACCCACAGATCGCCTTTGAGCAAGAAGGAGTCGATGTAGTTAACGATGTTGCGGTGAGCGGACTCCTTCATGACGAGGATTTCGTTGATAATGAGATCCTGCTTGGGTTGCTTCTCGAGGTTCATCTGCTTGATCGCGACCGAGAGATTGGTGCCGACCTGATACGCGGTGTAAACACCACCCGACGCGCTGCAGGGCGGGACAAAATACAACAACAGATCGTCAGCGATGCATGCAGCAAATGTCACTGAGGCTCAAGATGCGAAGTACCCTTGTCCGATCTTGACGAGATTTCGATACAGCTTGGTCGGGTCCGCATCGGTGCAGATGGCCTTGAGCCGCTCCACGAGGTCGCCAGCGTCCTTCTTCCTCTGCTCGCGTCGGCGAGGCGTTGGCTTGGCGGCTTCTCCGCCCGCCGGGATCGCAATTGCACTCGTCGGTGAAGGCCCTGCTGGCGCAGCATCAGGGATTTGAGGGGAGGCACGATGTGGTGTCGACGAATTTACACCACTCGATGACGACGCTGCGGCAGATGCTGCCGCCACTGCTGCCGCTTGGCGAATGAGGCCGTCTGCTCTCGACGCCGCGGCGGCAGTCGCTTGTGACGGTTGGAACGACTTGGGTGGGAGGGGCCCAGGTGAGGTCGCAGTGCGCTGCGACGGCGATCGGTCGAGCGTCTTGCTGGGAATCGACACGGTTCCAGCAGTCGTCACGCCTGACGATTGCTGTTGAGACCAGTCGGGGATGGGCGCGTGGTGATCATATCGGTCCGGTGACGTCGGCGGGCGCGGATCACGCGCGACTGCTCGGTCCTTCGGCGGCGGCGGTGCTGGTCTTCCGAGGCCATTGAAAGCGTTCGACGCCGGCGGCGGGGGAGGGCCAGGAGCTTTACGGAACCCTGGAGGCGGTGGCGGGGCCGCACGAGGCTGCTCGAACTGGCCCTGACGGCTGCTCATGGACGGTGCGGTGGTCGAAGACAGGGTCGCGTGACCCATTTTGTTCCAAACATCGTCCTGCTCGGCACCAGCCTGTGCATCGGCGACTTTGGTTACGTCCTGGTAGAACGCTACAATCTCGGCCACGGCCTGCGGGTGGGCCGCCTGCTCTTCCTTTGTGACGCCTGAATCTTGCAAAAGTTGCTGCCACTCTTTGGGCAGTCCCTATTCGCGCGAAGAGAAGCCGACGAGAGCCACGGGGTTAGCCTAGCCGTGCGGTGGAATAGTCAAGCACATCCCCGTCGGTGGCACGTACTGTGAACTCTCCGATATCCGGGTTGTAGCCGACGTGGGTCAGATGGACAGGATCGTAGGGAGTCGAGATCTCCACCTTCTTGCTCGGGTTAGAAAACACATCAGCTGCAAGGGGGTTTCGAGACGACGAAGATGAGTGGGGGCTTGGAACGCGTTCTGATGCCTTTGAATTTGGGTTAAACTCACCGAGGAAGCTTCCGAACCCCCCTTTCTTGCTCTTCTCTCCCTTCGCCGACATCCCCATCTGCCCGTCCCCTCGGGCGCTGGTGGGACTGTCGCTAGCGCCTCGATCCCATTCGTTGTCGGGCACTCGGTCCGGCCGCGGTGGGAGGGGCTGACCCGCTCGCCCCGACAATGAATTCGCCGAGTTTGACGGCCCTGTCCAACGCTCCGCGGAAACGTCGGCGGCCAAGCCTGCCGCCACGGCTGTGGCGGGGTCGGTGAGAAGGGAGTAGCCTGCAGGGCCGCCGAGCGAAGCCGAAGGGGTATGATGATATTGCCTCGCCGCGTAAGCGTGTTGGGAATGCGTGTTGATGCTCAGAGTAGGTTGAGGGTGCATGTTGAGGGAGGTGTTGGACGAGTTGGCGGAAGTGGACCCACGGTAGCCACCTGAGGAGGTCGAAGGCAACGCATCAGACAGCTCCCGCAACGAGCCCGATGCTGGTGGTGGGCCGGGTCGCTTCGGACCATAGTTCGGTGCTTCGTCGACGACTTCCCACGCATTGCCAAGTCCTCCAGACGACTGATTCGACAGCCCCAAAGAGGGCTGCCGTGTTGGTGTAGACGGCTTTGATGAGGACGGCGACATGTTACCGAAGGTTGCCGATGATTGCATCGGCGGCGTTCTCGCTTGGCTCGTCGGGGGTGGAGGTGGCGGTCTCGAGGGTTGATACGAGCCAGGCGCAGCCCCAGCTCCATTGGATGACGCCAAATAAGGTGGCCGGCTGCTCGGTACGTATGAACTTCTAGCCGCCCCGCCTCCCCACGAAGTGCGGTTCGGTTCCGCATGCCCAAGCCCGTGGCCGTTGCCTTTGGACTGCGACGATGTGGAAGGGCTGTCGTACTGGGTTGGTCCCGGAGGCGCAGGTGCCTGACGTTTGGGGACGTAGGAGCCTGCAGAATAACTCGTCGAGCCCGAAGCTGACATATTCTGCGGCTGCTGCTGCAGCTGCGATGCTTCACGAAATTGGGTGTCGGCGGCGTAGTTCCTCGGCGGTGCGGCTGAAGGACCAGCCTGCTGTGAAGGTGCGGTTGCTAAGGATGCGTACTGCTGGTGGATGGGTGAGCGGGACTGGTACGCATTATTCGATGAATCGTGGCGTCGTGGCGAGATGGGCCGAGCTCCTGATCCGGACAATCCAGTAGACGGGGTCGGATCCGAACGAATGCGCCGGAGCCGATACGAAAGGTTTCCGTAGAATGAAGGTACGGCCCGCGGTGAAAGTGCGTGGAAAGGATAGTCAATATGTTTGAGCAGATGAGGTAGAGATCAGGTCGCGTCCGCGTGGATGACGGCAGATCGAGCGAGCACACGGGGTCGCGCCAGGACGTGGACATGGACGTGGGGGTGCAGGATGACGGCGGAACCCGAGCGCCGACGCGGAAGGAACAGCCACCACGTATAGCGAGAGAACGACAGTACCGCAAGCGAAAGAGCCCCCCGACAGGACGAGATGGGTCGGCGTCGTAGGCAGGGACCAGAACGAAACGGACCCGGACCGGGTTCGGATAACAATGGGAGAAGGGGGGGGGCAAAGGGCAGGGGAGCGCCAAGGAGGTCAGGAGAGAAGACAGAACGGGCGTTAGCAAGGGCGGTGTGGGGAGACCAGGACCAGAACATGTGAGTCCTGCGGAACGACTTCAAAGGGATTCGCCAGCTACCATTGCAAGCTCGTGCCCGCGGCGAGGCGAGGGTACGCCGTGCTGGGACCGGCGGCGGTCGGGTGGTGTCGCGTGGCTGAGCGCTGAGCGCGCGGCCCCACAGGTGGGCCACCGCTAAACCAACTAAGACGAGCCACTGCATCCACCCCTCGCACGTAGCGCATCGCGGGGGGGTCCTCCAAGCACTCTGTCTGGTCGGTGGGGTAAACCTGCCAAGATCCAAGATGGCGAACCGGTGTATCCAAGGCGAGGCTCCGTTGGTCGTGTGCTGCTTGCTGGCTCTGCTTCCGGGCACCAACACCCACCCACTCGAGGGGCGGCGCACACGCATACACTCGGAATCCAGTCACTCGTCGCCAAGCCCGCGTGGAAGGCAAGCTGCAGCGTCGAGCTCGAAAGCGGCACCCGTTCCCGTTTTCCAAAACCTGCACCTGGAGAGTGTGACTAACCTGTAAAGGCATCGACGTGGTGGCGGATTACGGGCGCCATCGAATTGGGAATCACAGTCCCTGGTTCAGTCACGCCGGGGGAAGACTGAAACGTAGTAGTAGGCTGAGGTAGGCTGCAAGGCTGGCGCTAGCTCGCTCTGGCAGTGGCACCGCGACCAGGTTCTCCCAGGTTCTATTAAGCATAAGTTTATAGAATGTAATTCAACAAAATAGTGATTAGTTATTTTACTAGTGGAAACCAATTTCGGTGCCAGAAGTTTCGGTTAGACCGATTCCGCAAGCATTGTTCGTTATGAATTGGCGTAAAGGATACGTAGATTGTTGACTTGCATACTGACTCCTTGTTTTTACTTTTTTATTAATAAAAAACCAGAGAGACAGATGAAGGGTTAACTAGAATCCGATAGAAGTAATCAGAATTTCAAAAGTAGCGCTGATATGCTTTGATATTTGAAGGACTACCAATGGCGAAGGCAGAATTAGATACTCTGGTAGTCTACGCTGTAAACGATGAGTGTTAGTAATCTTTCTTTGTTCCTTTGCCCGACTCATCGCGCTCGAGTATGCAGAGCGTATTACGTGATTGAAGACTGTGAGCCAATGGTCATGAGGTAGGTCTCCTAGTTCTTTCCCGCAGACTAGAAGAGGGTTTCAAAAAATGTGATGGCCCTGCTGGATTCACAACAGTTAAACGACTGGTAACGGATTAGAATTTCAAATTAGTGGTGCATGCGCATCTCGATACGTGCACTCAAAAACTACAAAACACGAAAAAGGTTCACGAGGGAGGCTCAATGTAGGAGTTGGATCTGACTAGGCTAAATAAGGCCAAGTCGACTGCCACTTAGCACCGCCAGCGTAAGAGTTCCGAGGTGAAACCAATTCGAAAGCAACAGAAAAAGAAAAGGGGACCTTGTCGACCGAGGTGGAGATGGCTTGAAGACCGTGTGCAGCTGGAGGTTGATGCGTACACTAGAAGTAAGCTACCTGGCACCATAGGATTAGGGTACATGCTACTCACTGATGTTAAGGGTACCAGTAGCGACAGCTGTTAGGGCACGGTCAAACACGGTCACGTGCCGTTTGATTCTTGAAGCCGCCAGCACGCGCCAGACAACCTTGAACTCGCTCGCTGTTTCAAGGCACGCGACGCCATGGCAATGTCGATGACACCAGTGGCAAAGAAGTCTGTCGTCACCAAAATGGATCGACAGATGAGTGTATCCTCCAGCTCTGGCTCAGCTCTCCTAGGCAGCGGCGCGTCGACATCGTCGTCCCGTGGAACAACGGATCCACCACCAGCCGCCATCACCCAGCACACGACATCGCCGTGCGCCTCGACCTGCGCCAGCGACGGAGCAGCGAGACATCAACAATGCGACCACCCGCCCATCGCCGGTGGCGCGTTTTCCGTCAAGCGAGCCAGCTCGATGCGAGCCACGACACCTCGAGGCAGCGACCACGGCGGTCGTTCAATGATCGGCCGTTCTGCACGCGACGCATCAGCCAAGCTTGAAGTTACTAGCCAGCGAGCGGGACCAATGCGCGATAGCGAGAACCAAAGCACGCCTTCAAGAATAGACGTACCTTTCAGCCGCGATTCCACGGTCGACACAGGATCACGAGGTACGTTCGTCGATCCGCTCGACTAGAACTTGAGCTTGGGCGACAAGAATCTCTTCGGCACCAGCGGCAGGCGGGCGCGAATTGACCGGACCCCTGAACTTGTCTTTCCTCGTACAGCACGATCAGCTACCCCGTCTGGGTCTTCCGGCTCGATGCTACCACCTCCATTTGCGTCTCGCCGGGTTCCACCCTCTGCCGCTCCTGCAGCCCTCCTCCGCAAGGTCTTTTCCAAGGCAGAGTCTTCGGCTCCTCTCAAGCGAAAGCTGATCGCCGACGAAGCCATCGATTCGACCGTTCAAGGCGCATCCGACATCCTCGCTGGAGCGCCGCCCAAGCCCCGCACGAAAACTTTGGCACTGACCGCTTCGGCCTGCCACTCGACGCAGCGGTCGCAGACGAGGTCTGCTGAGCGGAGACGATCTCTCAGCTCCGGCGTCAGAGCCACCGGTCCTGCCCTGTCCTTGTTATCGCACGGTGCCAAGAGGATGTCTTCCAGGCACGTGGCGTCCACCTCAATCTTCCCGGAACCGACGTCAACACCTAGTCGTCTGTCTCGAGCGCCTTCCATGTCGCTGCAAGCATCCACTGCTCAACGCTCTGCGATCCCCTTGTCGAGCACTAGGATGGTCAAGAAGGGTAGCGGGCTGAGTGGCATATCGTCGATAGGGGAAGGAATCAAAGAGGAGCCCACTGACCGCAGAACCATGACCGCTTCGAGTGAAACCACTTCAGCCCAATCGATTATCCCTCCGGCCCCGTCTACAACTCAAAGTGCTCGGAGGAAGAAAGATTACGCTTTGTCCTTGAAACCTAAGATGGGATCCCCGGCACAACAGTTTCTACCCAACGCTTCTGTACCACACTTTCTACGGTCCCATAGTGGATCGAATCGATCTGCGTCGACGGCGGCATCGTTTCGATCAGCCTCGGGGGATATCTCGCAGTCGACAACACGTCCCGCGAGGCAGCGGCAGCGGCCACGCGACTCCTGGGAGACGGTCCCAGTTTCCTCGCGCCGAACCTCGTTCGCACCTAGCATTGCACCGCAAGAAAGGACCAGCAGCTTGGCCTCAAAAATGCCTGCCCCGTGCCCTTCATCGGCCCATGCACTGCTGAAGCTGTCGATCGGCCCGCCAGAATCGATCGCGGGTGATATCAGCTGGGAGTCGATCGCCCAAGATCGACCCACTCCTGCGTTCGACATCGACTCGAACCATACACCGTCCAGGTTCGATGACGCCTCGAGGTTGAACAACTCCGATGGTCTCCCCTACCGCTCAGCCATTTCATACGCTTCCCCTGACCACGAGGCAAAGCTCCAAGCGGCGCTACGCGGAATCGCTCCGACGTCTGCGAAACCAGACGGTACCGAGGGAGATCCCACCCTGGGCTCAATACGTGGCGCATATCGAGCGGTCGGTCGAGGATCCACGACGCTTGAAGAGATGCTTAGGACGACGTTGCTCACTGCAAGTCGCTCACATGCCAACGCCGTCCCGGACCGCGACACATGGCTCATCGATGGTTCTGTCGGCGAGACCATGCGAGCAGATCTCAACAACGCGACGGTGTCTTCGACGCCGCTCCAGCTGAGCCTGAACCAGATCGTCCGAGACCCCTCGGCTGTGGCGATCCTTCGGGACGACTTTGATCGGACGTACGCCCGAGCGCAAGACCTCGAATTTGTGGTTGCGCAACAGGCGCGGGAGCTCGAAGACCTACGAACGACCGAAGCAGCCCAGCGTACGCGAGCCGAGGCACTTGGGAGGGAAGGCGACGCGTCGACTATGCGGCTCGATGCGATGGCGAAAGTTATTGACGAACTCGAGCGGGAGCTCGAGCAAGCGAGGAGCGCGGAAGCACGAACGACTGGTTATCTCGCTCCGAGCGATACAGCTGCTGCCAACGGCAAAATTATTGCCGAGGCTGTCAATGCAATCTCGATGATCAAGCACGTTGCAGATGCGTTTGCGCATCTGAATCAGGTGGCCGAGTTGCAACGTGAAGATGTCGGCGATCAAATGAGGGCTCTGGAGGTGATGAAATGGGGCTTTGAGCTCATGACCCCAACCTGGGCCTAGGCCGGGGCAGCAACACCTGTCGTACCGCATGATCCTTGCAGTGGTTGCAATGTATTCACAGGCTCAAGGTCTGTCTGCGCGCATTACATTGTTGGATGAGATGTGTCTGGGGGACCTGCTGAATGGGCTGCATCGACCGGGCAGGCGGAACGATAGGCCGGGTTTGTTGTAGGCACTGTCTAGGGAGAGCTGTTGAGCGAGGCAACTAAAGTCAACGAGATCCTTATGTAAACCTTCTGATCATTGAAAAAAGTCTACGACTAAAGATGGACAGAAAACAAGACAAGAGCGCCAATAGTGCCAGGTCTGGACAAAAACTCGATCCAGGCCGGGCAACGGATTCGAATTTCAAATCCGTGGTGCATGCGCATCTCGATACGTGCACTCAAAAACTACAAAACACGAAAAAGGTTCACGAGGGAGGCTCAATGTAGGAGTTGGATCTGACTAGGCTAAATAAGGCCAAGTCGACTGCCACTTAGCACCGCCAGCGTAAGAGTTCCGAGGTGAAACCAATTCGAAAGCAACAGAAAAAGAAAAGGGGACCTTGTCGACCGAGGTGGAGATGGCTTGAAGACCGTGTGCAGCTGGAGGTTGATGCGTACACTAGAAGTAAGCTACCTGGCACCATAGGATTAGGGTACATGCTACTCACTGATGTTAAGGGTACCGTGAACCTCCTTTGATCCGAGCAGGTGAGATCGGTCCACTCGGTGACGCAGTGGAGGCTACTGTGTGGAGAGTGTAGGCGAGGATCGAATCGTCAGCCCCGTCTCGCCCGTCGTCAAGGGCCGGCGAGCACGATCGAACCATCGATCGATCAAGGGTCAAAGCAAAGACTCACGGGGTACGATCAAATGCAAGCGGTCTTGTGGACCAGGAACAACCTCAGTGACATGCCGTAGGCGCCATTCAACACTCGTCGACGAGTGGATAGGCTGATGGCAAGCCGTGACGCAGTGAGAGACGGTAAGGTCGGAGGCAGTGGCGAGGTGGGAAGCGAGAGATCGCAGTGAGAGGGGAGAGGGGAGAGGTGGTGTGGGGTAAGATGATGAAGGTGGGGTGGTGAAAGATGGACGCGAGACGGGTAAACACGAGACGAGTCAGTCCGACCCTACGCCACACGAACACGATCACAGCTAGGTGGTTACTCACACTTTTGACGGTGGGAGGGATCGAACGACAGACTCTACCACACCACAAAGGCCACCGTTTCGTATCCTCCTGAAAAGGGGGGCGATGTCGGCAAGATTAAGTGGTGCGAGAAGTGCAGAGCGCGTCGACGAGGAGAAGGAAGGAGAAAGAGAGAGGCGACGAGCTCGAGGTGGTCGCCGACTTGGGTGCGGGGTGTGCGCTTGGTAGAATGAATCATCTCATCGATATGACGCCACGCTGTGACTTCAAGCTTTCGATCTTCTCCACCTCTGCCGAGCGCGGCCGAGAGCGGCCGAGAGCGGCCGAGAGCGCCGAAGATCTGAACGGACAGGGGACCGTGCCCCTCACACCGACGTCAACCCTCCACTCCTCGGAGAAACCGAATACCTTGTCAATCAAGCTCTTTCGAAAAAATCGAGCTCGAGCATCATCCCAGAGTCGCGATTGCCCCGATCGATACAGTGTTTGTTGCCCCAGCAGTTCTGTTCGAGTTCGAGCTGGAACGACCTCGCTTCCACTTTGATTTACCGCGAACTCCCACGCGGAACAGGGTTGCGGTGCGGCGCTCACCGTGACTCGAGAGCTCCGACGCAGGGATACAGAGCAAGAAAAAACGAGGACTATTTTCCGAGTAATCCGTTGTGGAATCTAGATTGAGTGGACACCTTCAGCTTCAGAGGCATGCTTGAGATAACTTCGGTCATAGGCTGCAGAAAGAGTAATTCGATTTTCAAAATACATCATCACCGGCATGCATCACTGTACATATGGGTCTCATGTGAGCTCTTATTGGATTGCATAGATATGCACTGTCGTGCACTGGCATGCATGGGATTACATGTGCGGGGAATCCGACCAGAGTATCCCGTGCTCAATCCACGCCTATTCGAATGATTCGTAGCCGAGGCACCGAGACTGCAGGCATACGTGTTCCTCACTGTGCATCGATATGTACAGGTGTGCATTGATATGCACAGGGGTGAATTGGTATTTCAGAGTGTTGATAAGGGTTCTACACGAGCGTCGACCCGCTTTGGCTCCATCTCAGCCTACTCCGAAGGTGTTTGGTTGCTCGGGGAATCGGAAGCTCTGTGCCCTTGTTTGATCCACCCCTTACAACTTCCTGTCAGTCTCTCAGAGGTATTCTCGTTCCGTCGCTGACTCGTCATGAGCCTACTTTCCTACCTCTCTGCGATCACTCCTCATGCAATACCTGACAGTGTGTTGGGGTTCTCACCCTCATCCTTCTCATTCTCGTTCCGTCGCTGACTCGTCATGAGCCTACTTTCCTACCTCTCTGCGATCGCTCCTCATGCAATACCTGACAGAGTGTTGGGGTCCTCACCCTCATCCTTCTCGATGGATCGACGCAGTGCACTCTGCGGTGGGCGAAGGAAGACGTCTCGCAACGGAGCAGGTCGCGGACGGCCGATTCGATCCGAGCGTGCGCGAAGGTACATAAATGTGGAATGTCGTGCAGAGACCTCAGAATGAGTCAGAGAGAAGTATACACGGTCATGCACCTGTATGCACACGTATGCAGGGACGAAAGAAGCTGTTTTCGTCTGGAACCCCACTGACACTTGCTTCGTCTGGCAACGCGCAGTCGATCACATCCTTGCCTCTGCTGGCGTTCACCCCCGAGCTCTCGCTAGAGCCAATTGTGATCTGTCTCGGCGAGTCGAGCAGTAGTGCCGCGCTCGAGCCCATTGTCACCTGTTTCGGCGAGCCAAACAGCGGTGCTTACCTCGAGACAAAGGTGAACGGGATAGATCCGGCCGCCGTCAACTCGTTTCGGAATCGTCCTCATCAGCATCGACAGTTGGGGTCAGCAGCATACTCGCGGCGACGGTTCCCGCCACATTGTCGCGGTCATTTGCAACATCCTCATCTGCGGCAGCTGAAACGACCAGGAGTTGTACATGCCGCGTGTCTTTGTCCGGAGCGGCTTCGGTGTTGACGCTGCTTGCCACACTTGTTATTTGTGCACGAGCGTGTAGAGGATCGTTGGCCGATGTCTTCGTTCGTATACCCTGTTCGTGGATCGTGGAAGCGCAATTGTTAGCAGTATTTCGCTTCACACTTTCTAGGTATGTCTTGTGATCCGCCTCAGGCAGATTGATTGGTTCGTTAACAGAACTTCTGATGCTGGAAATGATGAGCTAGAAGGCTCTATGGCACCGGCCGCCGTCATCCGTCCTCTCCTCGCTTGTCCCTTCCGAAATGAAATTAAATCTAGGACCTATAGGAGGCTCAGCCCAACACGAATCATATCAAAACATTTTATACGATTAAGCGTTGGATAGCTACAGTGTAGAATTTGGAAGAGCCCCCTGATGTTGGAAGTTCGCCACTCATCTGGTTTCCCAGTGTGGCCGTGAAAATCGCGGCCTGATATGCTTTCGATCGAGTGCCCCGACTCGGGCTCAATCGTTGGGAAGATGGGGCACCCCACTTGATGCAATGCGCTACAAAATGATGACCATTTATAAGCTAACTAGGTACCAAGATATCCGCATCCCTGAGCGAGTGACGAGCGGATGGCTCGCATGCTTCTCACAACGTCACTTAGTACCGGCTTCGGGAAGACTCGGTGATACGACCAGGAGATGGCAGTCAAGGGAAGAACTGACGCCGATATTCTGGGCGAGGGCTTTGAGCTTCGGTGCCTAGCTCGCCGAAGAACCTGGTCAGGACCTTCGACGAGCCGGATTTTGACTTTCAAGTGCTCTTCGCTACTGCTCCTTGCGCGCTCGGGCGCCGCTGCCGAGCGCCGCTGCAGAAACGGCTGGAACCCGACAGGCTCAGAGAGTACATGCTGGCATGACGAGCATGATGCCGGGTCCCTCAATTTCGATCTTTCACTGGCTTGGGCTACCGTGTGCTTCGACAGGCACAGCTGGGTACGTAGGTACCTACAACCAGTTCTTAGTACTTTCAAAGGACCGCCGTAGTAGTCAGAAGTCGTGCTTCCGAGTTTTCAATGGTAGTTACAAGCCAAAGGTATGTGCCGTTTATTGGCACATGATCGTCGCCGTTCTGCCGTGACACGGGCAGAGCGAGTCGGCTTGATTATAAACCTCACTTGGCAAACATTCTTTGGGTACTTCCATGGAGGTAGGGTACTGACAGCACATTCGGCCCGGTCTCAGTGTAAGGTATGCGCCTCTGATGTGCATAAAATACAATCTGTCGTTCTTGACCGCTAGGCTAAAAGCAAGTCGTAACTAGAACTCGACAGTTCCAGTTCTAGCTACTCAGAGGCTACTTATGGGGCTGTTTCTGTAAGGCATCCCCTGACACTCAGGGCCTTTCAAGGAAGAGCGACGCCGGCGCCGCGCTCACGCGCCGTGCACGCGGTCGTCGCTAGCCGTTGAACTTCGAACCTTGAACCGCGTACGTCATAGCCATCTGAACGACGGGCAAACCCAGTCTCGCCAACTTCTATCCCGAGCGTGTGCATCCATCTCTTTCTCTTCTCTTCTCCTCACTCCGGCAACACCAGTTCCCCTCCACTAAGCACTTCAATTCAAATCCCCCGTCGTAACTTTCAATATGACCTTGACCCACCCCCACCAGCAGCAGCCCGCCTACGGAGCGCCTCCCGCAGCCGGTCAAGTAGGTGGCGCGCCACCACCCCCAGCTCAGGGCGGGGAGTTTGCTGGCCAGCACCACCACAACGTCGACAGCTCCTACGATGCCCCGGGCCAACAGAAAGTCTACAGTTCGGGAGTCGCTCACGACAACAACACTCTCGGGCACTCGCAAGGCCTCCAACACGAGACTGCGCACCACCCCTCGAACGAAGGCCCCGTCGAGAAGTTGAAGCACCACTTTAGTGGCGAGCACTCGCAGAACCCTAACAACGGCGGAGGCTTCGGCGCTGGATACACTGGAACCGACCACGGTCACTCGAACATCCACCCTCAACCTCACGGCCACGGTCATGGTCACTCGGACGTGAACGAATCCGCTAAAGTTGCATCGGGTGCTCACGTCGGACAAGCTGGCGTCGGCGCCAGAAGTTAGTAGTGACGAGATGACTTCCATCCGAGTCCTAGATTTCACAAACAAAGCCTGACTTGTTTCATCCCTTCCAGCCACAGACACTGGATCTCACCACCATACCAGATCTCGTAAGCCGTACTCACAAGCACATCAATTCTTCCCTCCACACTCGAAGCTAACATTCACGTTCCTCATGACTCGACGCAGACCACGACCAGACGGCTCACAAGCCTTCGGTAGGCGAGAAAATCTCCGGCTCCGCCGATGTTCTCATCGGCAAGTTGACCCAGAACGATGCCAAGATTGCGCAAGGTGAAGCCAAGAAGACGTTTGGGAAAGATGCATTGGCCGAAGATCGACCGAGGAACACCATGGCCTGAAACGCCGGCATTCAGGCTGAACGAACCGAAAAGGGGATCATTTGTTTAGTCTTCTACATAATATTAAAATCAAACACGCGAAGTTGAGAGATCACACATGTCCGTGTCCCGTCGCCAATGGCCGAGGCTTTGACATATGGCAACTTTTTTTTAGTTAGTAACATCCGACTGCGCGCCGGCCCGGATCGCAGGTGTCTGTGTGGGGCGTCTCCTCGTATCTTTGTGACACCTGGCACTGCGATTGCAATCTCTCAATTGAGATGGCACTGCCTGAACTCCATTGGGTTCAGTGCCAGGTATGGTCGATTCTGTTGCAGGGTCGACGAGTCCTAGTACAGAGCACTAGTGCTTGCATCCCCTCCGGTGTTCTGTCTAATCCCTGAAGTATTCCAATACATAATAGCACAATTGGCAACAAGGCCTAGAAATCTTTGGGAGCGACCTGAAACGTAGTGGCTGTGTCACGGCTTTGTCTGGCCGGCGGGGTGCTGGCCGGGAGCACCCGAGCGGCCTCGAGCGACTGTCGAGAGTTGTCGAGCGGCTGAGAGCGGCTGAGAGGCGGTGCGGGGGCGCTCGGCTGCGGCGTACGACCTCGATCTGTTTCCCTCCAGCCAAGCACCGTGGTCGAGTCACTTCGTCAGTGAGTTGGTGAAGAGTTGAGACGAGCACAAGACGCGAGTGGCGAGGACTTTTGCTGACTTGGATGCTGGAGTCGCTTCGTTTCTATCGTTGCTCTCAGATCACTCGTTCTGTCGCTTCCTCCCACCCCCACCTGGCACCTCACGAGTCACTTTGACTAGGCCCGAACCTCGATCATGATCGCAGACGACACTAAAGGGACTTCACGTGGAGCAGCGCTCCTTGGCTCCATCAGAAATCTGACATCGCAGATACCGACTGGGGTTGGATCATTCCAGCACACTTTGTGGGTTTGATGCGAGAGCGCTTATTGTCGACGGAAGCTGACGTGGATCTGACGCGCGGCATTTCGTTTTCCCCCTGCAACAGACGACAGCAAGCGGCGTCCATCAACCAGCATGCCGAGACGGTGAGACTGCACATGGCCATCAAAGCACAGCGCGGAGTGGTTTTGGACGAACAAGCACTCGCAAGAGAGCTGGCGCTATACTCGAAGCACATTGTAAGCGTTCTCAACTTGGGGCTGAGAATCGTCCGACTGTACCCGCTGTGCCCCTGACATGCGTGCCTTGGATTTTCCCTACGTTTCCTCTTCAACAGTATCTTTGGGGCCAAGACGAAAACTTTGAGCAGGCTGCCGACGTGGTGGACATCTCGGATCGACTCGCCTACGTCCTGCTCGCATCGTCCGAGCTCAATGCTGCACACGCCCTGAGGGTCGAACAGGCCCGAATTCCTCTCAAGGAGTTGCGCAACCACCAAAACAACGAGATCGTGCCCAAGCGCCGCGAACAAGAGAACCTTCAGCGTCGACTCGCGGCGATCAAGGACAAGACATCCGCGAGGAGCACCGAGGAGGCCGCGAGACTGCAAGCCGACCTGTATGCGGTCGAGCTAGAGCTCCACAGCAAGGAGCTCGAAGCTGAACGCCTCAAGCGGACTCAACTGAATGCGACGTTTGGCCTCTTGTTCGAGGCGCAGAAGGAGCTCGGCGAAAAACAGGCCATGATCGCGGGATACGGCGCTCTACTTTTACGCGAGTTCGAAAGTGGCTTCGGTCCACATTATCAGGGCCAGGAACGAACAGCTCAAATCAAGGGCGAGTTGGGCGAGGCTCTCAAAGCTTGGAGTCCTGATCGCCCCTTGATTCCGCTGCCGACACTCAGCTCCGGTGGCTCGCGATGGCTGGGTCGCCAGGAAACTGGATCACTCCATGAGACTCATGGCGAACAGCTCAACGCGGTCGATCCCGAGTCCCCCGCAACTTTATCGGCTCAGATTACACCGCCGCCAGTACCTGCCCGACGTGTGCCCCATTCCCCTCCCTCAATCTCGGAGCAGTCGTTCATGGCCGTTGCCGGTGCGACGACCTCGTCCTCTTCTTCTGGCGGCGTGTTCCAACAGCCGGCGATCGTGCGCAGTGCGTCCACCTCTAGTGCGACGCGCATCAATCTATCGCCTACGCCTGTCGATCTCGGCCCCCACTACACACCCCCGGCCTCGCCGTTGCCGACGGATCCTATGACGGAGATCGAGGGGGTACCGCTCGGCCCGACTGTCGCCGAGACGGGGACCCCGATCGTCGGTAGCGGTGGACCGATCACTGGCCAACTGCGTCCTCGAGCCCCATCGAATGCGAACACCCGTCCGGTCCACCTCAAAGATCTCGGCGGATCCGCGTTCGAGTCGTCGGCGGATGTCAAGTCGCCGTTGCCCGAGCCGAGTTCCTCGACCCAAAGTGCTGCTCCGACCCTGCAAGGTACTCACCAGGATGACCCCAAGGCGGACAACGAACAGCTTCCCGTCTACTCCCTCGAGAACAACAAGTAAGAGCTTCAGTGCTCTCCAGTTCTGAATGCGATGCTGTCCCTGGTCATCTGCAGCAGCATTGGCATCCGATTCCAGGCGCCTGGCCCGCGCCGATATCCACAAGAGCACTTTCTGCCCCGCAAAGCGTTTTCATCATCGATAGTTACAATTTTTGGCTCCATTTTGTTCATCTTCACATCTTAGTAGAGCTCCGTTTGCCCCACATTTTGCGATATTGCTCATTCGTGCAATTTTCCCCGAGTGTAGGCCGAGCACCTCCTCGAGAGCCCTCAAAGTCCAGTCAAAGTCGATTTGAGCCGCCTGGCTGAAGCTCTGAAGCTTCGCAGCCACGGGTTGTCCTCCTTCTGCCCACACCGACGACGTCGCTGCCGCACCCGTCCATAGCGCATCCTGGTGGCGGTTTCTGGCTGTGGATTCCCATATCATGGTAAGTTTTATGTCTTGGTCAGTGCCCATGTGTGTCCTCGAGTGGGCGGCACGTGAGCCCTCCCCCTACCCTTACCCCCCAAGAAAAGGAACCACACATGATGCTTCGAGGCATTTGGCTTTAGACCAGGGATGCCACGACGTGTCTCGACGATGCTCTGACCCAGCCTGCTTGGATGCGCTGTCCCACGATGCGGTTGTTGTCGGCGCAGGAACGAGACTAGGCAAAGCCGCTCATGGACACGCGCTGTTTTTCTTGCCCCCCTGTGTTCGCAACGTCTTCGGTCCTTTTGGGGCTCACATGCTTCCTTCTCTGTCGTTCGTGTGTCCTCTCGAGTCAATGGACAGGTTTCTTTGCATCTACTACTTGACTCTTCTGTCAAGGAACGAGCGAGGGACGTGGCCGGTGGCCCGGGAGAGCATCCACGCGGGCGAAGGAACTGAGCTCCGTGTGGCTGGGGATGGGAGAGCAGAGGGGCGTCGGTGGAGCAGTGCACCGTCTTGGTTCCCGCCGAAATCAATTCTTACATCGACGACGATCTGCGTGGTGGAGTACAGCCCCCGAGTCTAAGGGTGTAAGACGTGTTGTCGTTATGGGATGCGGCGTTGTGTCTCGTACGGTTGTTGCAGAAACATTATCTCGCTACCTTCCCTCGCAAGAGGGCCATTGACTGAAATTTGGTTCCGAATCTTGGGGGCAATGTGTTGGGGGTTCTACGACATTGTTGGTTGATCATGCGGCTGACGACGTGTGTTTTGTTGGTGTTCTTTCGTTGCACCTTCCTAGCTTCGGTCGTGTGACGTGTGAGTGTACAACGTGCTTGGCCCCCCAAGTTTGTGTATTAGCGAGTGTTCCTGCGTACATTTGTAATTTCGAGTCACCAGTGGGATCCCGTTAAATTAACGGGAATATGGTTCCAAATAGCAGGAGAATTGAACGATATAATGACGAAAGACAGCAGAGAAACTATTTTTCACTCATCGCGGCCAAGACTTGGCGAGGTTGCGATGCCCCTCCCTGGCGACCTTAGGACCGGGGCATAGTGGCGAGGGTTTCTCCTTGAATGAGTGTCACAAAGTTCGATGAGAGTGGGAGAGAAAAATAAAAGGTTAGAGGGAGTGGCGCGGGTTTGTTCACGGGGTGTGATTTGTTGTTGTTCAGCCCCTAATGCCGCTGGTCGGCTGCCGGAATGACACTTGACACCGCTGGCGCGCCGCATCACGTGACAGACGCCAGCCCTCGCCCCGCCCGTCAGGCGGAGCTCTGCTGTAGAAGCAATATCATGCAAAGCCACGCGCTTGCGGTCCATTAAATACAGTATGAGTGTAAGCACTGTTTTATGTCAACGAAAAAAGGAAGGAAAATACTGGGATCGCTGTAGCTTCGTTAGAACGGCGCGAAAAATACAAAAGTTGCCACAGAGCTTGTACATGACTTCTGATCGCAACATGAACACCACAGGCAGGTGCGGCAGACACAATAGTATGCTGGTACATCCACCACATGCGGCCCTCCGGGCCGCAACCTAGTTAAAAACAGCGATTTTAGGTACATTCCTTAACTCACACTTTTTTTTTACTAGTTAGAGTAAAGTTCTGGTATTCTCTTGGAGCGTGAGCATTTGTGAGCCGAGAGAGCCGAGACCCACCTACGTGGAGCCTGGTACTTCATAGGTCATGTATGATGAATCCGAGCGAGCACAAAAACACGCTGGTCGGCAGAGTTTGCTGAGCCCGAGCTGCCTCGACTTAGCGCCTTTTGCTGGGCCTTGTCTTTCCTTCGACACTCGGCGTGACTGGAGCTGAAGCGGGGCCTCGGGCTGTAGAGGGCGGCAGTGTATGGCACGGATTGAAAATCTTGCACCCGTGCCAACCTGCGTATTCGCAGCGACCAGTCACTCTCAAAACGCTCGCCTCAGCACGACTTCCCCCCCAGACGACCACACTTGGCTCGCTTTGACATCTCGCTCGTCGACATCTGATCGCTGCTCGAGCTGAGGACGCGGTGGCATTGGGGCGTCGCAGCTCGGCAAGGCCAATTCGGTTCGACAAGTACCCGTCGGTCAGCTCCTCTACAGCGGCAGGACGTGTAGTGTACACTACCTAGGTCCAGAGCTGACGTGCGAACTGCCGGTCTGCGACGATTCATCCCAGCAGCGGTGCCCACCGTGTCCGCCGCGCTCCAACCGCACCGAATTGACTCTAGCCGCACTCTTTCCATTCAGAGCCCTCTTCAATCGGTAAGTTCATGGTGTTGTTGTCACTATGCCTGCGGAGTTGGTCAGAACCGCCTGCGTACTTCTACCCAGCTCCACACGTCGAGGCCCTTCACTGACTCAAAATAACGTGTATCTCCCCACTAGCGCCGCGTGCGATCCGTGGATTCTACCAGCCATGAGTACTCGAGAGTGGAACAACATCTTGACTTTGATCGAGTCGGACAAGATCAAGGATCGCGTCGAGGGCGTCTCGCTCGTGCGCGGCTACCTCGGCTCGCGCACCAACTTCAACGCGCTTGATGCCCACCCGAACCACTCGTGGACCGACAGCTTGCAAAGCTTGTTCGGCCTCGTCATCAAGGAACGCAACATCGTTGTCGTCAAACCCACGTCCGTCGGCGAAAAACGTCTCGAGGATGCGGCCATGCTCGTCGCTTGGTTCGCCGACAAAGTCTCGACCAAGCTGCCCAAGAAGGGCGTCAAGAGTTTGCTTGAGCATTTAACGCAGATGATTGCGTCTGTGCCCCAAGGCCAACAGCAGAGCTTCATGTTGGCGTACTCCAAGGCGCTGAGGTTGCTGCTGGGAAACCAGGCCCACGTCGAGCATCTCGGCAAGGAGAAATGGGCCGAAGTCGTTATGATTTGCTTCTCCGTCGTGCTCGGCGACAAGGTGCGCCCAGGTCAAAAGTTAACCGACGAAGCGGCGATTGGGGCCACTGGAGACGGCTTCGATGACGATGGCGAAGAGAGTGACGATCATCTCCAAGGATCGAGTCATGTTCGACATCGGCGGCGAGGAATTGGCGGCGGACGGATGGTCGTGGACGTGAACGATTACGACGACGACGACGACACGGGGTCATCGGTACCGACCTCGACTCGAAAGGCCGCTACCGCGCTCGAGATCGAACTCGTTGGATGTATTGAGACCTTGTTCCGGTCGAGGTCGGCTCCCTTTCTCCTCCATGCCCAGGTTATTTTTGTCAAATTCGCTCGTCTGTTCCGTCAGTATCCGCACGAGACGACGGCGCATGAATCAGCCCTCATCGCGCTCAATCGGGCATTCGCCGAGCTGGATCTCAATGACCAGTTGATGATGGGCCGTCTGGGCGTAAAGCTATGGTCCCCAGTCTTGTCCCTCTGGGCAACGAAGAACAACACGGTCAAGGAACAAGTTGTCATGGCTTTGAGGAAACTATTGCCCTTTGTCCTTCGCGGCGATCGAGGATCACACCAATCTCGCGTCACGGCGCTGTATGAGTCCGTGCTGACGGAACCGACCATTCGGACTCGTGAGCTCTTTCGGCTCAATGTTGACCACCTCCGACTCGTGGTGGGTGGCCCTTCGCTCGATACATCCTCGCCGGCGAGGCCATTTGAAGCACGCACGATTCAACTCGGACATGGCTTCACGGATAAGGATGCCAACGCCTGGGCGGTGCTCGAGCTTGGTGCCGATGCGTTGGCCAAGATCTTCGACGTGGATGCTGCCGGCTCTGACCAACCTGTGGCCACTCCGTGTCGCAACGGTAAACGACGACGGGTCAGTCGACTCACTAGTACGAAAAAAACTTTCAAACGTGCGCCACATTGACACTTGTGTTTATGAAATTCACTAGGTGGAAGAGCCACTGAGCTGCTTGATCGACTCACTCGAAGACGCCCGCGAGCCTTCCGCTGCCCTCGCCTTTCGAGCACAGTTAGCGATGTTCTTCATCGAACAGCATCCGGGGCTGTTGAACGCGTACATGCATCGACGCATGGTCACGGCGTTAGGCTCCCTTGTATCGCATAAAGACGGCGATGTGCGCACGTGGGCGATCCTTGCACTCGCCGCCGCCGCAGCGATCGATGCTCCGATCGAGCAGATGCCAGCCCACGCTTCGCCTGTCAAGCGCAAGTCGGCAGCACCGACTCTCTGGGATCCAGTTTGGTCACTTGCCATCAGAAATCTTTCTTCGGCTGACGTGGGTCGCGGTTCGGCACATCTGTGCAACACACTACTGGCATATGACCGCGTGGCACGAATGCTCGTCTCGACAACTCTCGAGAGCTTTTCCAAAGACCTTGACGTCATCGGACCAAGGTTTCCAAGCGATGCCGTCTGCGCCTTTCTGAGGTGGTGTCTAGCCCTTTCGACGACCGACACTCGACTTTATCGACTGCGGTTACCTGAGAGGGTTCTAACGTGGCTCGTGACCGCATGGAAGCCGTTCGATGGATTTTCTCGCGGTCACACCTTTGGTCAATCGAGGCTACGCTCGGATCCCTTCTCGCTATCGGCACTCGTATCGCTCATTGCCCGTCTATGCGACATCGGCGAGTTTCCGAGTCTTGACAGCGAGGTTGTAATACCCGATTGTGCCATCGCATCCATGGTTATCGACCACTGCGAGACGGCCGTCATCAGAGACTTCATCGGTGCCAAAGTTGCCATCTCGACCGAGGAATCAACGAAGAGACGCGTGCAGATTCCATCAGATGTGTCGGCATCGTGCGACGGTGGCGTGGTTTTGGACGTCCAGGAGCTCAGAACGGAGCGTCGCATATCTTCTTGGCTGCAAAAGTCGATGGCCCATATTCAGACCGAGACGGAGCAAGGGTCGAACCAGTTTTGGGATTCCCTGGACTTTGATCTCACGCGGCGGTACCTCGAGTTTGCGTCATTCGCTTTGAACGTCGAATCGCTGTTCTCGCTATCAAAGTCGATCGCCCCCAACAGGGCGACGGTTCGATCTTCGACGAGGATCCTCGAGCATCTCGCGCCTTCGCTTGGCAACGCCAAGTGGCGCCCACATGAGCGATCGCTTTTGCTTACTGCGCTCGACGGTCTGTTCATCCCGCTCGACGAAGATCCCTCAATTGAATATCGGGTACTGCTGGATCCCGGTCCGGCGAGTGGTATCGCTTCGCACCTCACCCCTTTCCGATCGGCGGAGTCTCTGCTTATCGACTTTACTTCGTTCGATTCTCGGTTCTTGCGCCACATGTGGTCCAACGAGATGGTCCGCGTCGCGCTTGGCGAAATCGCGTCTGTCTTTCACATTTTGGTGACTGGGATCGTAACCTTCACGGAGGGCAGCTCGAGTCAAGCCACTCAGCACTCGACTCAGGCCCTATCGGCAACGCAGGCTTCCCAACGTCTTCGGGGCATCGCACAGTCGCAACGTGAGGACGATTTCGGCGAGGTCAGGATCGCGAAGCAAGCGAAGGCGATTCTTGGCCCATCAAGTGCGAGCCGTTTTGGGAGGGCCTGTATGCGAGGATGCATTAAAGGCCTCGTATCGGCCGAGATGGCCATGACTGGCAGTGCAGGATCGGTGCGCGTCAACAGCTTGATCGAGGCGATCGTCAATGCCCCGGGCGAGGACGCTATCACCATTGCCGAACAGGTGCTCAACGCTGTTCGTGTCGGTGCGATCGATTTGAGCCTTTCGCACGCGGAACGAGTTTTGCAGTATCTCGGCGAAGAGCTCTTGCCCAACTACCAGTTCGCGCGAGACGAAAGGTTCGCTCTCCTCGGGCTCAAGTTCCTGGAATGCACCGCAACGACATGGGTCCTTGCCGAGGACGGCGACGCGGCCGAAGCCTTCGGATCCCGCGCTCGGATGCTTTGTTCCTGGTACACGGCCAACCTCTACCGACAAGTTCTATCCTCGTGGCGCGTTCGTTTGCGCTTCCTCGCGTTCCTCGACCTGTACCTCTCTCTCGACCGGACGCAACTGCTGTGGGATCAAGGAGGGTACGCCAAGCGCTCGGGTGACGGTTTGGCCATTCTCCCGACGGCAATCATCCCCTCCCTGCTGGCCGACGAGGACTTCCGAGTGCGCTTCCGCGCGGCCACCTCGGCACCGGCACTCTTCACCTTTATGCGCGAGAACGGATTGGCCGACGATCCTCTTTTTGCCGACATCCGCAGCACGCTCGAGATCAACATGGCGGAGACGGAACGTGTTCTGACGCAAATCCTGTCTCAGGCCAACATCATGATTGTCGCAGCGTCGAGACGAAGGGCGCCGTATCCTCTGTTCCTGCAACAGGCCTCGGAAGCGCCGAACCTGCTGCCTCCCATCGTTGCGACATTAGCCGGTGCCGCCAAGAAGATGGGTCTAGGGGGCTTGCGTGACCTCTACCAGCTCTACGCGCGATACAACGTCTACATGCTCGACAAGCAGGGGCGCCTTGGGAATGTAGGCTCGCTCGCATATTCCGTCGCTGGATATCCGAGTTTACGCGAAGCTCGCAAAGCCGACTACCAACAGATTGCGGGTCTTCTTCTCGTCCTCCCCGACGGCGCCGAACCCTTTGACACGCTTTGCGACGTGTTGCAAAAACCGCGAGGCGAGGTCGTGCTGGATTGCTTCCCGCAGACCATCGCGCTGCTCGCTCTACGATACGCTGTCCAGCAGATCCCTCCCGATAACCGGAACCCTGTCGGTGCGATGGATGGGGCGATGGCGCTCATCCGGGCTCTGGCGCGCGAGACGGGTGCCGAGGACGATCACCAAGTCGAAAAGTTTGTTATGTCGGTCTCGGACGAGATCGTGGCGCAAATCTTGGCTGAGATGTACGAGCCAGTTTGGACGCAAGACTTGGTCGACCATGTGCTCAGGCCTGTAGACAAGAATTTGTGCGCAACGTTCAAACAGCTCGTCGGGCTATTGGACACTGAAATCCAGTTGGTCGAGGCGCCGCCACCCCACTATCAATTCGTCGACATCGTGACCACGACGAGGTGGTTCGAGAAGCAATGTCATTGCTTCACTAGGCAAGCCTCAATGTTCCTGGTTGTGCACAATCTTTTGGCCCGAGTTCATCGCGCGCCATTCGTCGACTTGCAGCAGGCGCTTCTCATTAGCCTCGCCCTCGCTCTCGCCTTTGGTCGTCGCGCGGCGAGGGATCCACAGATTCTAGACGCAGTAATCAACGCCCTCGTGGATCTATTGACGCGCCCGGAGCTCCTCAGCGCCGTTTCAAAGATCATCGGCTGGTGTTTGTCTCAATGGATTGAGAACGCAAAAAGCGTCAAATCTGCTGGATCCGCCCTCAGTGCCGTTGCTACCAGGTAGGCGCCCCCTTGCGATTCTGAAGGTGACAGCAAGCTGATACTCGCTCGTCCTCTACAGGACGGCCCACGCCTGCCATCAGATTCGGAATTCGGGCACTGCGACCGACGAGGCTCTCGAAGATTGTGATATTCTCTCGACGTTGCTTCTTCGCGTCTTGGAAGCACTCTCCGAACACCATGCGGCCGGCGCCAACGAAGCGTGTTTACTTTGGCCGACTCATCTGGCCGAGGTGGATCGCATGTCTCTGGAAGCCATTGGCGCTGTGCTCTGCCATTCTACGACCACGATCAGCAAGTTCTCGATCGCTCAAGCTCTCGCAGATCGACCCGATTTTTCTACTTGTCCCGAGCGAGGTCAGATTCTATGGCGTTTGTTACGCTCGTTCAAGCCAGCGCATGTGCCCACGATGGCGGACTGCGCCGCGTTGGCCGACCTCTTGTTTCAATGCTCGGGTGAAGCCGACGCACCAGGCTTGGACAAGATCGCCCCCGCCGACTGTGCTGAAGTGGGCTTGCACGACGAGCCCATCTTGAATGACGCCGGCGTCCGCTCACGAATCCTATCCGAGGTCATGCGGACCACGCAGGCCGACGGAACAAGCTCAGTTGAACTCGCCATTCTATCGATCGGCGTGGCGAGAGCGCTTCTCAGCGTCCCATCCTCTTCTGAGCTAGTGTCAGCGGTGAAATCGTCGAGTCACGCCGATTCACTCGTTGCCACCCTCTCAGACTCAGCCGTGACTCAGCCGCATCGTTCGCGGGCAGTCGATGCGCGGCATCTGGCCGAGCTTGATACGGATATGTGGCTTCACGCGGCGCATGACTTTGAGCCTTGGATCAAGGAATTTTCCACACTTCTCGCTGATATTCGAGGCATCGACGAGGCGTTTTACGGCCAGCTCGCGCCTTTGCTTTCGGTAGATGCCGATTTCGCTGCGCAGATCCTCCCCTCGTTGATGCTGTCCGTGTTGATCCAGAGCATTCAGCACGGAGATGGAAAGCCTCGAGAACAGCTGTCGGTATATCTGAAGCACGTGCTCAGCGATCGAACCACCGACGAACGTTGCGTCTCGTTGGTGGTTACCGCGGCCGTCTTCCTACGGCGCCATCCTCGACCAGACCTCGGACCCTTGTCTCTGGCGCGATTCGACCGCTGGCTCGAGGTTCCTTGGATTCTTCTTGCCGAGAGTGCGGCCCGCACAGGTCAACATTTCAACGCGCTTCTACTGCTCGAACTTGCTCACGAATATGATCAGCTCTTCCAGAGGCGCGACACCCGGCTCGACTCACGCGGGCAATCGCTTCTTTACGCCATCTACTCCGAGATTGACGAGCCAGATGGCTTCTATGGTCGGCAATCCGAGGATGTTGTGGTTGCGCTCGAGCGAAGATACCGCCACGAGAACCGCTGGCGCGAAGCTTTCGCCCTTCAAGGCGCAATATACGAGGCCAATGCTGGTCACGGCAGCTCGGTCTCGAGGGGAGTACTCGACTCACTTGCCTCGTTCGGTTTCAACCGGCTCACCTTGTGCCTCTGGCAACCACAAGCGTCCGATGGCACTCCGGCAAGCACAGCGGACCCATCGACCACCCTGTCATATGAGCTGGCGTGGAAGACCGACACGTGGGATCTCCCGGTCGACCGCAAATTGACTTCGACCTCTCAGGCCGCTCTGTTCTCTACCCTCCGATCGGTCCACACGGGCCATGACGACAAGGTCGTGAATTCGACGGCGACAAGCTCGTTGGAGCGGGAAGTGGGAAAGCTCTCTTGCGTCACTTTGGATCAGCCTCAGCCAAACTTAGAGGCGATTTCGACTATTCTCGCCCTGCGTGAGGTGAAAGCTGCTTCATTTTTGCAGAGCGCAGATCGACTTGGCCCCGGCCGCGCACAGGAGTTGGCTTGCTTGCCCTCCACCTTCTCGTGTGTTTGACATAACTGGGTTGCTCCTGCTTCCACTTCAATAACTGATAATCTGCTAAACACATCTGCGCAGACTACACAATGCCGAAAAGGTGCTGTCGACCCGCATCAGTCTGCTACGAGCCATGCGCAAGATGGAGGAGGCCAACTCTGTCGGTGACGAGTTTCGCAGCAACTTGTGGCGCGAGGTCACGCAGGCGGAGCGAGCTTGTTTGCTCAAACTGAGTGCCGTGTCTAGAACTAGCGGGCATTTACAAGCATCGCTCAACGCCGTGACTGTAGCTTCAAGGCTTGTCGAATCGAAACGGAAAACCGAGACCGTTGATCAAGAGCTCGCCATGGTGCTCTGGGCCCTGGGCGAACACAGTACCGCCATCTCACTGCTCGAGTCGGTCAGCAACCATCGCCCGGCAAAGGTAGCGATCATCCGTGCCACGCTAGTAAGCAATCAATTGACATTCTCTTCCGCCGCGCGCTAACACGGACAACTGCGATTTCTTGATTTCAGGCCCGATGGACGATGGAAGCTCGTCTCAAGAGCTCAAGAGAGATCCTCGATGATTTATTTAAGCCCGCTATCAACCTCCTCGACGAGTCGTACCTGGTAACCGAGAAAGCTCAGGTTTACCACGCCTTCGCCAACTTTGCCGATCGTCAATATCAAGAAATGCTGCTTGCGACGAAGGATCGACGTCACCGGTTTTCGTTGTTCGAGCAGAGCAAAAATCACGAATTTGAGCACATTGATCGGCAGCTCAACGGTGGTGGTGGCAGCAGCGGACCGAGCAGCGCAGTCCTCCGGAATGCTCGCAAGACGGGAGAGCAAACACTGTCAGAGGACAAGCATCAGCTCGAGGAGGATCTTAAGGCCACTGCCGACATGCACCGACTCGCGCTCGACAATTACGCAAAGTCCTTGGCGGGATCCGATGAATTTGACGACGGCGTTCTTCGGTTCTGCGCGCTCTGGCTCCCTTGCGACAATGACGTCGAGCTTAATCGATTCATCACCCCGCTTTTGAAGCTCATTCCATCGCACAAATTCGTCTTCCTCGTTCACCAACTATCGGCTCGGCTTGTTCACTCGACAACGGAGGTCTCGTCTTTCGGGTCCAACATCTCGTCACTCGTGCTTCGACTTTGCATCGATCACCCATTCCATTGTCTCTATGCCGTCAACACCTTGCGGGACTTGAGGGCGTCTCAGGCCCCCATGGCTTCTGGACGTTCACGTCGTGGGTCAGCGGTCTCAAGTGATCAAAGCTCCTTCTCAAGTCGGGCTCAGGCGGCTGAGGACGTGTTTGATAAGGTCAGACGCTTGCCTCACACCAGGGCCAAGGCGGACGCGATCGCAACAGTGTGCGATGCCTATCGCGAATGGGCGGACTTTCCGTTGCGGGACAGCTCTACGTATTGGGTCAACTCCGCAACGAGCGGGGGAAGGGTCAAACCGGGCCACTTGCCAATCAGCAAATCCTGTCGGATCCTTACCAAGGTGGTCGATCTCCCGATCCCAGTGACCACGTTCCCACTCGCTGTGGATCCTACTTGCAGATACGATCCGGGTACGTTTCCCACGATTCAAAGGTATTCGCCAACGTTCACGACTGCGGGAGGAATCAACTTGCCCAAGATCGTCAAATGCATTGGTTCGGATGGGAAGGAGTTCACGCAGCTCCTCAAGGGCAATGATGATATTCGCCAAGACGCCGTCATGGAGCAGGTGTTCGCTCTCTGCAATAACATCCTCAAACGTGACGAAGCCACCCGCCGGCGTAAGCTCCTCATTAGGACGTACAAGGTCGTACCGCTTCAGAACGCGACGGGCTTGATCGAATTTGTGGCCAACACCGAGCTACTGAAGACCAAGCTTGAACAGTACTATGATCGGTGAATTCCTTGTTGAACCAGCTCCGAAATGAAAAGTTCTACTAATGCACTTCACTCATGGAGCAGATTGCGTCAAAAACGCGACCCAGGCATGATTACCCCTCGCGAAGGGAGTAATGAACTGGCGACGGTGCGGGGCAAGGCCTACATGCGATGCGCTGCTCCTCCAGAGATCAACGACCAGCTCGCCGCCAAATTCCGCGAAGTCCTGCCCCGCATTCCACCCATGATGCGTCACGTCTTTCTTGAGCACCACAAGGTACCGTCGCTATGGTTCGAGTACCGACTCAACTACTCGCGCAGTGTCGCCACCACCTCGATCATAGGCTACATTGTCGGTCTTGGGGATCGGCATTGCTCGAATTTGCTCATGGACAAAGTCCGTGGCGAGATTGTCACCATCGACCTCGGCATCGCATTCGACCAGGTGAGCCTGAACCCTTGCGATCCAGCCGTAAGAAAGGATCTGACCCCTCTATGCCACGTCCGCATCAGGGCAAACGACTTCCGATCCCGGAAACGGTCCCCTTCCGATTGACGCAGAACATCGTCGATGGTCTGGGGATGAGTGGCGTGGATGGCGTTTTCCGCCGCTGTTCTGAGGAGACGCTCCGAGTGCTGCGTTTGCAGTCGAACGTGCTCCTAACCGTCCTCGAGGTGTTGAAGCATGATCCGCTTCAAAGATGGTTAGTGACCAACGCTTCGCTCCTGGACCTGTCGTGTTTGGCAACGTGCTGATTTGCTTTCTGCCTCTTCGAACTCAGGGCCGTGTCAGCCGAAGTGGCCAAGCATATCCAGCAATCCGACGAAATCGACGGTGCTCTACTCGAAAGCCTACCCGACGATGCCGATCGAGCCTTAGCTGTGGTCGCGCAAAAACTTGATGATCGTCTGAGTGTGGCCTATACTGTCAACGAGCTCATCCAGGAGGCGACGGACCCGGCCAACTTGTCGAGGATTTTCCAGGGGTGGCAACCCTTTTTGTAAGGCTTTGTATTGTTAGTCGCAGTTCAGGTTTCATCTTTTGTTCGGGGCATTTGGTGTATTTGCTCGTAGTCGCATCCTCCAGTCGCACTTTGCAAAAGTCTCCGCTTAAACTGACGTTCAGCCCGCAGTCGGCTCGATCTAATCAAGGAATCTGAGCAGCTGTGTGCCAGCTGTGTATAGCGATTACAATGCGAGGTGGAGAAAGGGATACGTAAAGGAAATACCCCGATCTAGGCTGTCGGAGAATCATGTGTGCCATTCGTGGCATTCCCATTTCCAACCTGGCCAGCGCCATTCCTCCGTCGTCTTGCATTCTCAAACAAGGGGCCGTACTCGTCCATCTTACTGAATATGCTCGCTGCTTCCATAGCTGAGGGCTGTCCTGCATCCGGGTCGGCACCGCCCCCCAAAAGGGCTTGGACGACTCGGGTTTCGTTCTTGAAGACCGCGCCGGCCAAAGGAGATTGACCTCGGTCGTTGACTCGACTGTTCGGAGAGCGGAGGGGGATTTACGCGTATAATCATCAGGTTAAGTCGTCTGGTAGCCAAAATCATATTGTCCCAATACTGAGACAGGCGTGCTACAGCGGTGCCGTGGGCGCCGGCGAATGACGTACTTTGGATCGGCGCCTTTCTTAACCAAAAATTCAACCAGCTCGGCATGGCCATGGTAAGCCGCGAGCATGACCAACGTATCCCCCTAGCCTCGATACGAATCGGGAACGGATTAGCTCCGTCGAAACAAGATTGAATGATCGACATGCAGCGTACCTTGTCGTTCGTCAAATTGGGTGGTAAGCCGGCGTCGAGTGGGGCTCGCATTGCTTCGAGGTCTCCTGTGCAAAGTGGAGAGCACGTCATAGTGCGTGAGGTGCAGTGAATCAACCAGTGACGTCTAGCAAATTCACCGCGCCTCACCTCTTCGGGCACATTCGAAGAACTTTGATCAGATGGCAGCGGATCGAATGTAAATCCGAGATCGACGTCAGTGACCTGTGGCGCTCTCGTCACATGCATGCATGCAAGGAGAAGCCCTATGCCTCACCTGTCTAGCATAGGCCTGAGATTCAGGAGGGAGAGTGGATGGATAAGCTGGGGGGGCGGCAACCATGGTGACAGCTGCTTGAAGGAAGCTTGTGACGAGGAGGAAGCGAAGAGGGATGTGGGGGCGAAGTGCGAAGCGGCCTCAGCAAGCGAGATCGCGGAGATCGACGACGGTTCGGTTTATTAGTCATGAATTGGTTCGGTCGAGCCAGTACCGAGGACCTGCAGCACAGCGCGGGATGTCGAGCTGCAGGTGACAACTTGTGTATTCGTGTATGTACAGACGTTGGTAATGCATTATGAGATACACAAGAGGTACTGGATCCGTCGGTCGACACTGCCGATCTGATCGGACAAACAGCCGACATCACTTTCAACCCGTCCGGAACGAGAAAGCAGATCGCACTCGAAACTCAATTCTCCTTCTAAGCCTCGACCTTCTTTGCCGTCTTGAAGCTCAAGAACGCACTCCAGCCTGGCAAAAGAGACCAGACAGTCGCAAGTCAGTCATCTCCGATTGATCAATTCTTTGTGAGGTCCGGAGACGTACCAATGCCGAGAATCGATCCATAGGGAACTCGATACCTGAGCGGCACGAAGCGGAAGTTGATCAATTGAAGGAGGGGCCAGACCTGAGGAATGAGAACACAGAAAGAAGATCCGGTGATGAGTATCTGCAAGTGTGGCAAAAAACCTGCAGGGGGGCAGGTCATTGCTCACCTGCCAATTGACGAGCAAGATGGGAAGGTAATTATTGCGGATCTTGTCCCACAACTCTTCGTCGCTCAATCCTTCCATCAAGCCCATCGACATCAAGAAGATGAACAGCGAGATGGGGGCCCTGCGAGAAGATCAACAAGCAGACGATCAGTTCCGGTCGCGACAGTTTTTGCTTCTAGCGCAAGTTTGAATACTCACAAGCCGAGCTGATCAGCAGCGACCCTCTTGGCAAGTTGTATATTCGAAACCGGACCTTCAGCACCTGCACTCGCACTCGCACCGGGCGGTGTCGGTACCGTCGAAGCGGCATTGACGCTCCCTCGCAAACCCGCCGCTCCCGCCGCTCCAGCTCCAGCCCCTCGTTCGAGCTTGGCTCCTTTTGGCATCTTGAACCCTGGTATCGGGATCGAGGTTGAGGCGGGGTCGTCGGTCTTGACTTTTTGCAAGGGGTATTGTTGCGTGATCGATGAGGTTCGCAAAGGGAAGCGGACTTCCAAGAATTCTGTGCAAGCCAGGTTGAGTCAGCGTTGACTACTCACAGTACTGAGCGCCCAACAATGCATCCCATTGGCCACTCACTATTCCAAGCGCCCGCCAAAGGGCCCATCGAAGCGCCAAAAAAAGCGAAGCGGAACGTCCTCGCAAAGTCGAAAGCAAGCAGTTCGGCGGACCCGTCGGGAGCGGAGGCGGTCAACATGGCCAATGATTGTGCGGCTCCATCGCCGAGCGACATGAGGAGACCATTAGCGATCTAGGGTGGAAGAGTAGCCGTGTAGTGATTGAGTCTCCGTCCAGGACGACGGCTACGGGGTGTTCAGGCTGGGAATCTGGTGCCGACGAGCGCGGCGACGAGCGCGGCGACGTCATTCTCGACCTGCTCCACGTCCTACTCGTCGAGCTCCCACTGGGAGAGAGGAGTACTACTCACGAGTAATGTCACGTACGGTCGTCGCTCGAACGAGCGCGTATACGCTCGCATCAACGAGCTCATCCTGACGCAGAGCAACGGCGACGAGGAGCCTGTGGCGTGGCGTCGGGCACCAAGACGAAACACACCAACCACCAACCCAACGATCGAGCGACATCGAGCTCAAGCTCGTGAGATCGTCCTTTTAAATAGGCTTTTTGTGGGCGCGATCGCATTGTGAAAAGGAGGACACACGCTACGCTACAATTTTTTATCGTACGATGGCGAGTTTTTTCAAACACCCTCGACAGACCTACGCGATCTAGTACTCTCTGCTGTAATCACTGGTCGCGAACTTCTGACCAGAGCCCTGCCCGACCACAGTTGCGGGCCAGACGGTTTCCACCCCAGTTTAATCAACTTGTCGCACCGTGCGGACGCCCTTAGCAATCACAGCCCACAACCCCAACGGAGCAACCCCAGCTCGCCAAATCCACAACCTCCCCCGTTCATGCACCCTCCTAGCCCAATCCTCCCTCCCGAACCACCGTCGCGCAATGAACCCACTCAACGCCAACGGTGCGATCCATAAATTTAACGGACTCGGTAAAGGCGGCATCCCGAATGCACTGGGTACGCTTTCCAGACTATGGTGGTGTAGAGGTGGGGGGACGAAGGAGAAGTAGCGGTTCACGGCTAGTCGCTCTCGTCGGGCTCGGAACGCGACTTCTCGACCGTAGCGATCCCACCCGTCGAGGTCGTCTAGCTCTTTGTGTCGTCGACTCGTTTTGCCCGACTCGGAAGGTCGTCCACCGGCAAAGTACGCCAACACGACACCGAGTATAAAGGTGAATGCCAGCGTCGTCCGGGCTTCGATCGGCGATACTGGTCCTTGCTTGGGCACGCTGAGATAGGTCGAAACCGAATCCATGACGGCCACGGGGGCCATGAACAACCCCGGGTAGTCGAGTTCTCCACTGAGCGACCACAGCAACAGCAATCCAAGTACTGTGAAGTAAGACCCAAACTGAACCAATCCTCCCAACTGCGCCTCGAGGGACCTCAGAGCACGGTGAGAGACAGGGACCGTCTTGGGTGGCGGGCGATACCCAACGTCTCGTCGTCTCCGTCCGTCCCGAATCTTCTCCCACCGCATGTGTGTCGGCGAACCAAACATGGGCAGATTTTGGGGCAAGATGCGCGAAGCGGCGAGAAAGGGGATCGACCATGCGAGTAGTGACAGCGACGAGGCGAATAGGAACGCCGGGGGTCGCTTCCACATCAGACCCGACAGTCGAAGCAGCAAGGAAGCCAGGACGAGTCCGTGATGCAGAAGAGGGAGGAGGGTCGATGGCGACAGAGGAAGCAACGGGTGCGGACCTCGATGGTGCTGGAGTATGCAGACATATCAGCCAAGGCTACCCCACTTAAGCTTCGGCGGATGACTCACCCATGCGCGAAGCACCTCCGCGGCCCACCCAAATACTCCCGCAACCCACAACCACCACACCAAACTCGTCAGCACACTCCACGTCTTTTGGGGCCGCCCATGCTCGGGGATGCGCGGGTTCTTGGCTGGAAGGGTCGGATCGAGGGGGTTGAGCGAATCAAAGTGCGCATATGCGGAGAAGGTGAGGATGTAGATGGTTGCCGCGGCATGGAGGGTCGAGTGGATGTAGGTTTGCGCGTGCAAGATGCGAGGAATCGAGAAGCGGTCGAGGCGGACAAAAGATTCGGTCCAAGAAAGCGAGGTGTCTTCGCCCGGGCGCGGAGGCGGGAGCAGACCATTGCGCCAGACGTATTCGGTGCTGGCAAGGATGACGGGGTGCGAGACGAGATCTTCAGCCTCGACCAATGGGTAAGAGGTCAGGTTGAGCAAGAGATCGAGAGCTGAAGTGGGGACAGAAATTCCAAAAGCAGTTAGACAACCCTTTACCATTCGATCAGAAACTTCAAGTACTGACCACAGGTGGCTCGATCAGTCGAGTCGTAGTGGAGTGGGAAATCGTGGAAAAGAAGGGTGACGAGCGCATCCTCGGGCTCTTCGCGGCTGTGTCGGCTGTCGCTATCGTCACCTGCCGAGCGTGCGGGATGAGCATCCCCCGTTAGGAGGTAGCTGTCGAGGAGACCCCCGACGACTGCGTAGAGTCGTTCGCCGAGATCACGACGTGCCTTGAACATGCGCAGCTCGCCATCTACGCCGCGATCGGTCTCTTGCACCACCGCGGTGACCTCTTCCTGCAGCGAGATGAGTAGCGACAAGAGTGCACACAGCAGCAGTGCCGAGGGGGAAGATATAATGTCGCTGGCGGACCACGGCAGTTCGAGGTAGGACGGTGAAGGGGTCGGCGTGTGCGGAGGCGCGGAGGGAGGTGCCTGTCCATTGGGGTGTTGGGTGGCCTCGTCCTTGCCGAGTTGGTCATCGTTCTTGTTCTCGTTGGGCGTGAGCTTGGCTTCGCCCGCTGCGGTTGTCGGGGCCGTGGTGGCTGCCGAGGAAGAGGACGTCGACGAGTGCGAGGTGGAGTGAACGAGGTGTGGGGCGGCTGACCCATCCTGAGCGGCGAGCTGCCGGGGATGGGATTGCTGTGTTGCACTCAAGGGCGATCGCGGCCGTGGTCGCTCGCGGGGTGCGACGGTCGCTCTCGCCAGGTAAGGCAGATACTGCTCCAACACGCCACGATGCCTCGGTACGGCGAACACGGTGCGAAAGAGCGCTTGTTCGGCCTCGGCCTCTTCCACGGGCATGTCGAGCGGCACATCGACCAGACCGGATGGGATCGTGTACCCCCTCTGCTCGAGCTCACTCAGCAGTACGAGCACCATGCCTTCGATCGCGATGTCGTCCTCGGTGAGGTGGTGCCATTGGTCGTCGTCGTCGATCGCGTTCCGACTGCCACTCCCAGCGCCTCCTCCCCCGGCGGCATGAGCTCCGATCAGACTCGCTCGACGACGCAGCGGCGCAGGCAGAGGCGACAAGGACCGTCGACGTGCACCAACTCGTTTTGGTCCAAGCAGAGGCGACCTTTCAGAGTAGGGCATCACGTGGCAGCCGTAGAGGCCTCTGTTCAGAGTCGAGCGGACCGAGTTGAGGCCGGCGCACGGAGGAGCTAACCCGATCAACGCTGTCGCGCTCTGTCGCGCTCTGTCGCGCCTGTCGGCTGGGCACGGACCTCCCACGCAGACAGCTCCAGCAGCGACTTTGTGCAGATCGGTCAGGAACGCCTCCTTAACGGAAACATTCGATTCGGCTTTAGCATTACACATTCAAGCATGGACACGCAGATTACAGATTCCACAGACTCCACAGACTCCGTCAATCGAGGCACTTGATCGAGCCGTCCCACGACGAGGTAATGACCTTACTCTGTAGCCATACACAAATACCAGAGGCCGCATCAGTACGCATCAGATCTGCCACAGTGCCACGTCACAAGTTTACAACGCACCGTCTCATGCGGCAACCACGCGTGCGAGAGCAACACCTGCGAATGCACTTTTTGCCGATGCGCGATGCGACATGTCTTGAAGTCCCAGATCACCAGACTGCCATGACCGTCGCCCGAAGATAGGTAACGACCGTCGGGGGAGAACTGCGGCTCACACGCGTACCCTGCGATCGTGTGTCCCGCGAAACGTTTCTTGCGCTGTGTGCAAACCCGATCAGAGAGGGTACCTGTCAGCTTGCTCCCTCCATCGGATGAACATCGGCGTCCTGAGCTACGCACGTTTTGCTTGAAGTTGTCCGAACCAAAGATCAAAATCTGATTATCGAGCGACTGCATCGCCAACCATTTGCCTATGCACAGACCGTACGGATTCGTCAGAACACGCTGCGAAAACTCGATCTCCCATGAAGAGCTGACCATTGGGATGTTTGCTGACGGCCGGCATCGAGTGCATCGACGGTTCGGCAATGAGTTTGATCGGCACAGGGATATCAATGTCCCATACGCGCATCATCTTGTCGTCAGACGAGGTGATAAAGCGTCGGTTCTCGTCGACGAACGTGATCGTGTTGACCGGTCCGAGATGCTGGTCGTATTCTTGCACAATCTCTCCGGACCGCATGTCGTACTAAGAGGGATAGACACGGAGCCGATACTCAGCATCGTACGCCTGAATGATTATGAGCGGGATGCTTTACCTGAATGATCTTCTTGTCATGCATACCCGCCAAAAAGACATTATTGTTGTTGGGGTTGAATTTGACCGTGTATGGAATCTTGCCGTTCGAGAAGGCCTGCTTGCACGCCCCCGTCTCGGTGTCCCACAACTTCATCTGACGATCGAACGCGCATGACAGGAATTGAGCGCCGTCATTGTCGAAAGTAACGTCGTGAACGGCCTTGGAGTGCCCCATGAACGTTCGCAAGCATTTGCCTTCCTTGTAAACGTCCCACAGCTGGCAATGTAGTATGGGAGTACCCAGTTAATACTACAAAAAAAGACCTTGTTCTCAAGTGTGTGCTTACCTTGACCCTTGTATCCATCGAGCCCGACAAGATGAGGTGACCCGATTTAGGGAACAACTTGATCCGACTGACACCTTTAGTGTGACCGGACCAGGTGTGGATGACCTTTTTGGGCGCAAAGCACTCTTGCGTACCCGATTCGGCCGTGAGGTTGACGTCGACGTCTGTTGGGATGTGCATGTAGGTCCGGCCGAGGTAGTCGTGCGTTTCCTTGCCTGTGGATGGGTTCACCGAGATTAGTTCACCTAACGACTTGCATTTTCTGATTCCGACTCGACGTACCATGGAAGACACTTTTCTCCTGCCCAAATCCAACTTCCTTGCCACTATCCTTGATGACCTCCTTCCTCTGCTTCTTGTTCAGAGGTGCACCACCTCGTTCCTCTTGCACCTCGTACTCTGCTTCGCTCGGGTTGACGACCCCAATGTTCTCGCCTTCCCAGCCGGCCCATGGCCCCAAGTACTCCTTTTGCACCTTGTCCTTCTTCGGTGCATTGACCTTGGGTACCTCGATGACAGTTCCGTCATCCTGCACGACCTGCTCTGTCTCGCCCTCGCCCTCGCCTTCGCCCTCCTCGCCCTCGGGTTCAGGGTCCGAGTCATCAAAGACTCCGAGCTGTCCCTTGCCCTTGCGTTTCCGCTTGGTCGCACGGGCATCGACGCGTGAGATCTTGACGTCGTGTACGGTCGCGTTGCCGTTCTGCGCTGCTTTGCGAGCGTCGCCGACGATGGCCTGGAGACCGTTCGCGTTGACCTCGTCACGCAGGATTGAAGGATTCGCCGCGTATCCGTGGACATGGAAGGTACGTTGTTGCGTCCGGAATGTCAGATCAGAGTAGGCTTGTTGTTCGACATGGCCTGGAAAAGTTACATGCGATCGGGCGTCAGCATTCCGAGCTAGACCACTTGTGACTCCGCGTGGCGCCTCTGCGCAGGATGGGTGGGGGCGTGGTCGCTCACCTGTGACGCTATTCATCTTTTCCAGCTTGCGATCGTCCCATGGGTTCGCCGGTCCTTGTACGGGCAAGGTCATGTCGGCATAGGTCGGGTTGTAGAAGATGACATTGTCGCTCGGTCGGGTGATGAGCGAGTTGGAGCTTGAGAATGACGGGTCCTGTCGTGGCGCACACGATGGGGACAGAGGGAAGACCCGGCATAACATTGACCAAGGTCAGTTGTGTTGATTTTGTGCAAGGGCCATGCAGAATACGAGTTATGCAGAGGGTACAACCATCCCCACAGGCGCGGTTCGTGTCTCTCGTAGCTACGTTCGTTGCGGCCATGCCTTGATACTTACCGTGATGAAGACCTGGGGCGCTGTGTCGGCATTCGCAGCCGTGGTCACTGTTTTGGGTCGTGTAGTCGATTCTCCCCCAGTTTGAGTATCGAGCTGGGCGAGGCCGAACGCATCCGAGGGGTCGAACGCGGTGGCTTCCTCGTCGTCGTCGTCGTCCTTGTTCTGTACCGAAACCGAAGGGAGCGACTTCAACGGCGCCGTCGACGATTGTTGTTCATGATCGCTCTCATCGCTTGCATAGTCGACCAGCATCGTGGGGAGGAAGCCGTCGAGCAGTGGCGGTTGACGGTCAACTGCTTGGCCAGAGGGAGCGACAGCCTGAGCCACACCGCAATGAGACTACCAGCGAACTGCCATAGGCGCGCGCTGAGAAGCGCCTGGGAGTGCGCCAAGTCGCGCCTCGAGCTAATGTGGCGCGGACGATCGACCGTTGGACTGACATCTCCTGTTATCATGTTCATCTTCTGCAATCCCTTTCTCGACGGACCGTGGCGCGCGATCCTGCTTGCTCCGACGTTATCTCGTTGCCTCATTATCCTCGGCGATGGAAACCTCCTCAAATCTCAGCGCTTTGCTTTTGACCCAACAGCGGCCAAATTTCCCCTCGGATTCGTCGCAACAGGTCTCCACTGCGGTGTCAAGAAGGACCCCTCCCGCCTCGATTTGGGCGTCATCATCTCGGACCGCCCTTGCTCCGCCGCGGGCACCTTCACCCGCAACGCCTTTGTCGCCGCACCCGTCGTCGTGTCCAAAGAGGTGCTCGCCAAAGGGCGTGGAATTGCCCGAGGTTTGGTCGTCAACTCTGGGTGCGCTAACGCCGTCACGGGGTCCCAGGGACTCAAAGATGCTCGCGCCATGAGCGATCAACTCGATTCGTTCCTCGGCGAGTCAAACTCGTCCTCCGCGACGGGGACCCTCGTCATGTCGACCGGCGTGATCGGTCAACTCCTACCGATCAAGAAGATCCTGAACGGTATCACCTCATCGACCGCGACGTTGGGATCGACCCACTCGGCCTGGCTCGATGCCGCAAAGGCTTTCATGACGACCGATACGTTCCCCAAGTTGCGCACCCGGTCCTTTGAAGTCGGCGGCAAGGAAGTCAGGATGGTCGGCATCGATAAGGGAGCAGGGATGATCCACCCCAACATGGGCCCACCGCACGCGACACTGCTCGGCATGATCGCCACCGACGCCGCCGTCACCCCCGCCTCGCTGCAGGACGCGCTCACTGTACCTCGCCATGTCCAGTCACCGGCGGTATGAGTTTGGGGAGACGAGGTCGGATTCGCCAAAGCGGCTCGTCCTGAAAGGGCGGGACGACAAGGCGGTACCGTGCGTTTAATGTGAATGGTTTGGTGTGACGAGTCGCTCAGCCGAGAGTGCGAAAGGGCGCAAACTGGGATCGGCTCGGCGGGAGGAGTTGAATGCATCGCGCTCGGTGAGACAGAAAGATTGATCGATTTGAGCAGGATTGGTACTGCAGATGAAAACAAGGTGATGCAACCCAATCTACTCTACCCAGTCGACGCTCGAAACGGTTTTCGGGGATAGCGTCGACCTGCTCCCCTTCCCTCGCTTCCTCTTCGCGCTCCTTGTCCCTGCCCTTTCCTCCCCGCTTGCTCCCTTTGGCCTTGGCCGTGGCCTTGTTCCCTTCCTGCCCCTTCTCTTCCTGCTTGTCCTCGTCCTTCCCGGCCTTGGGGTACCTGAAGGGGTGTTGTCGGAACGCGGCGACTTGTAAGCCCACAGTCGGCATGTTGCGTGCCGCGACGATGTCGCGGTGGATGGGCGGGCGGCATTCTTTCTCGCACAGCATGACCCGCAGATTATTATGCTCGGCCCCGTGGGCTCGGCCATTCTTGGAAAGTCTGTGCGACCGGCGTGCCGTGACCGGTGCGATGTGACACCAGCAGGACATAGTCCCGTCGTTAGCATATCCGACAGCGCCTTAGTACTCGTTCACGACTGCGAGAATGTCCTGAAGGGACCTACCGGGATCGCTCCCCTGTCACCTCGTTGCGGCAAGTGGGGTCGCTGCAGACCGAGGAGGTATTATATTCGTCGACCGAGACGATCTCCACGGCGAGTCCTCGCTCTTGCAATCTGTTGAACTCTTGAACGAGGTCTCGGCAAAGGACATTCGTCCTATACGTCGCCTTCTGTGTTCCACGACTCGAGCCTCCCTCGCCAACGAAGACCAGCACCGGACGTTGGCGCGGCGACAGGATGTCCTTTCGTTGGAGGACCTCTGCGGTCTTGACCTTGCTCAAGTCCGCTTGCTTCAACGTGTCATCGCGGGCCCTCTCTGCAAAAAGGTTGAAGCACGAGTTTCCATACGACAATCAGCATCCGGCTTGAACCTGTTCGAAAAGACTCCCTGCGGCGTGAAACGGAGGACGAACCCATCGTTCTCAAACCTGAAACCTCCATCACCTGCTCGACGAAGCGCCTTCTCGAAGCCTTGGTTAAGAGATTGGTCTTGGCCGCCCAGGCCTGTCGATCCGGCTCGCCGAGAAGGAGGCGAGAGGAAGATCCACGAGCGAGCTCGGCGCGAGTGCGTGCGTCGGCGTCGCGCTCGGTTGTACTCGAGTCGGAGGGGGCTGAAGCAGGACCGTCGAGCGTGGCGGCCGAGGTGGCAGGGCGTTGTCCCTCAAGAGGGGTCGCTGCGTCGCCGGGGGGTTTGGCGTGACCGAATCGTAGGCTGCCGGCCAGTTCAGCCGAGAGCTTCCTAACGTGGCTCTGCGCCTTCCTCAACGGCTTGTCCAGCGCATCCGCGTAGACGACGTCGTCGTCTTGAATCTGAACCTCATTTCGGTCAAAGAGGGTAGCCAAAACGGCCATAGGATATTTCGTGCCCAGGTCGATGCCAATGATGATGGAGTCGTTGGCACCGTCCTGGACGACTTGTCGGAGTGCCTCATCGGTCCTGTAGCGGGTTCCGATACGATCTGGACCAGCCCAGTCCTGCTCCGGTGATGGAAGTGAAGGCGAACACGGTTCGTCAGCTGGATGATACTGGATCCATTCGCCCCGGCCCGGAGGCAGGCGGCTGGCCCACCCGCGCAGGGAATACGCACCTCACCCTTGCCGTGGCTGTAGAGAAGCTCGAGGACCTTCTCGCCGGCATTCTCGGCCCTCTCGAGGCGCGGCATACCGCCTCGTACTGTCGGTAATGGGACCAGAGTCGAGGCGGAAACCCACTTGACGAACTCGTTGGGAGTGGCGAGGAGCGACGACCGTGCGATACAATCGTAGGTCGGGTCGAACGCCACGGTTGCGCTGCTGGTCACGTGCTCGAACGTCTCCGCGATTGACTGCGGGTCACGCGTGGCTGCCGGGGCGGGGGTGTCGGCGCAAAGTGGGAGGAGCAGGGACAACTTGTTGGGGACCGCCTTGGCGACGTTGTAGCCTAGAAGCCGGACCGTTTGCCCATCCGATCGCCATTCTCCGTGGGGCACAAAGCCATTCGCTCCAAAGCACTCGACGTTGAAAAGAACCTTCGCCACGAGGGGTCCGAGATGATCGAATCGGGTGGCGATCGCACCCGAGTCAGGCCGACGGTTGGTGGTGGCCGCCTTCTTGGCGCGCTTGAAAGGGGGAGGATCGAGCGTCGTTTCGGGTGAGGGCTCTTCGAGATTGGCCGTGGATGAAGAGGCGGTAGCGAGAGCCGGTGCCACGTTGGCCGGGGCGGTGGTGGCACGAGGGGTCGCTTCCCCGAGCTGCTGACTGAGGTGACGGCGCAGCACCTCCCAGCGCTCGATCCATTCTCGCTTTGACGCCCACGAGTTCGTTGAGGTCTCGACAAAGGAGTAAGCGGAGGATCGAGGGGGCTCGATCTGCGTGAGTAGCACGGTTGCGACGTGGTCCACGGGGTTGCTCGAGACGTGCCATCGCCAACTTGAAGACACCCACTGTCAAGAATCCAATCATATCTTATTATCTCTTAATACTATTCACTTCCATGCCCCTACTTCATTCGTACTAGCTAGCTTCGTCTCTCCTCAATCCGTTGTTCTGTGCCTGCCAGATCCCAGCGCCTGATTGAGTTCCGGTTGACACGTCGGATTCGGTTGAAGTCGGGCGCCCTGCGGGCGCTCGTCTCTCTTCCTTCTCCATCTATCTTCCATCCTCTATCTTGCGCTCGTACTCAACTGCTTGAGTCGGGATCCAGACTTCTAATACCCACACGCATCGTAGCCATTCGAGCAAGGTCTTGGCCGCGTCTTCACCTTTGTAGATGAGGATAGAAGTGCGTCGTGGGGTCATGGTAATGAACTCGCCCCCCAAATCCTGTGCAAAGAGGTCGGATGGTTGAACAATCGGGTCAGTGCAACTGCACTCGCATTGGAGCGCGTCGGCCCGCTGACGGCCGGGCCGACTCGTTGAAACGCGGTGAGAGCCAGCGGTGCCACCACTCACCAATCCAAGGCCTCGGGTGTGCCCGCTCGCAACCTTGAGCGCGTGGAGGGCCGGGAAGACTCCTCGGATCCAGTCGCAGATCGTCTGCTCGGCAAGCTGGGAACGCTCGTCGGGTGTGAGCATCCGCGGCGAGTTGTGGCAGATGATGTGCACGGTATCTTGGAACGTAGACGTTGCCACCGACGCTAGATCATAGAGGTCCACCGCCTTTTGTACCTGCTTTGCGGCCTTGTCGTGTAGACTCGCGATTTGTATGGTCAGGTCGGAAAGGAGTCGAACGTCGTCGTCGGGCGAGTTGGCGAGTCTTGCTTCGCAGACAGCCTCAACAACGGCCTTCTTGACGCTGGACTTGAGTGAAGAGCCTATATCCTTGCCCATTTTCGCGGGTGGCCCGGTGTTTGCGTCGTCAGCATCGTCATCCTGGGGGGGTGTATTCGAGGTGGAGACGAAGCGACTGTCGACAAAGGTCGCGACGATTTGGTAGACTCGGTCTTTCCATCCGAAAATCGCCTCGACGATCCTCATCGCACGGTCGTCCCACCAGGTGGAGGTGTAGGGGATCAGGGGGATCGGAGGGCGGTTGCGTCTGGTTGCCTCAACAGCGTAGATCAAGGTAACCCACGCCTGTGCGAGGACCAGTTCAGGGAACCCGTACCAGCGTGCCACCAAACGAGCCGTCAGCCTCGTGCTCGTTTCGTCGCTGGCGTCTCGAACCATACGTCACTTACACCGGAAAATCCGATCGAGTCTTGCCCCCCCCCCCGATACGCGACGAAAGTCCTCGTATTCTCGAGCACGTCGTTGCGACCCCTTGGGCGCATCCGAGGTGAGCGGATCCTCGAATTTCGTCAAGGTCTTGCCGGACGTGGCCTTGCCGCCGTCTTTTCGCAAGAGGTAGAGGAGGGCAAAGAGCAAGGTCCTCCACGCGTTCTTGTTGTCACCTAGGAACTTCCACTGGCCATCGGTGAGCGTGGCCAGGGTATGCCCTAGGGCCTCGCCGAGAATGGACTCGATTTCTCTATGCGAGATGACGAGGAGGCGTACGAGCGGCTGCAGCGTGTGCAGGGTCGGCTTTTGATCAGAGGCGACGGCAAACGGAGCGTCTACCATGGTGGTATCCTCCGTTTGTGGGAACGGGGTCGCCATCTTCACGTGGATGCGGGGTGAAAATTGGTGATGGTGCGACGTGGTGCGAGGCGAAGGCGCTTGACGGGGACCGGCGCGCTCCTGGCTCATCAGCTCGATCTTCTGACCCCTCAAAATCACTCCGAGCCATGGACAGGCAACACAAGTAATGGGTCGTTCGGACTCAGAGTAGCACGAGCAGACGCGTTAAAATACGAGTGTCATTTTGCAACCATCAAAAACACTGCTTTGTTCATTGTTGCTGCTACAAATCAGGTCGACTTGGTGACCTCGGGTGACCGAGGGGCCTCCTTTTTCGGAAGACCGCAGGGCCGGGGCAGCTGCGATGCCGAGCGGCGGCGGCGCGGGCTGGCGTCATTGGCACCGATGACGCAAGCTATGTAGTAGAGCTTGACCTCGAGTCGCTTGAGCGCCAAGCCTGGCCTCAGGGCGAGTATAAAAGCGCCCCCCCCCCCCCCCCCCCCCCCCCCCTCTCACCTCTCTCTCTCTCTCCTTCCTTCTTCTTCATTGATGAGTACCTCTCACATGGCTCCTCCACCACTGGGCCGTAACCGACTAGCGCATCGACGCAGCACCGAGGCGGTAGGTGGTGGAAGTCGGCAGTAGTGTACCATCAGCCACCGTGAGTTCACCCCTCCCACTCGTTGCAAGTACCACCGTCGCTGACTTGGGCACTGCCGTATTGACTCGGATCGTCACCAGCCTCCGATCGCACGCTCTTGATCGAAGAGGGCCCACGGCAGTCCTGGTCGTCTTGCGAGGTAAAAAGTTTGGGAGAGGTTTTTGGTTGTCACTGTATCGGGTCAGTCCCGCTTATGCCCACCTCCGAGCATGCACCGCCACCGCCACCGCAGCTGCCATCATCGGCCGGACCCGACCTCGTACGACGGACTGGAGCTGACCTTGCTCTCACCTTCACCTTTGCATGCCCGTTCATCTTCATCCACCTTCACATCACACCATACTCACCTCCATCACCATCTTCACCTCCACATCCGATTCTCGTCTTCACCTTCACCCTTCACCCTTCCCCATCACGTTCGCTTCCACCTCGAATCACCTCCACCTCCACCTTGATCCCTTGCCTTCACCTCTACATCTGTTCCTCCCCATTGCACCTCCACCTTCGACGTGCCCTCATTTCATGCTGCTCTTTCTTTGACCTTGATCTTGATCGTCAACCTCCCCCTCACCGCGCCGTCAACCTCTTGCTTACGTCATCCACCTCCACCTCCACCTTTGCCTCCACCTCGGGATTTGGCGTTACAGGGGGTTTCCTTGCGGCCATTCGACCGTTCAAGACGTCATGACTGGTATCAATGATGAATCAACAACTTTGTCCACAAAAAGTGAGTTTGATGCACACCAAGTGTGACTGCCTACTAGTAGTTCCCTCTGCTCGAACGTAAAGTTGCGAGCTGCTGCTAACGTGGTCACCCGCTGCCAACAGCTGCTTCAACTGGCAATGCGGCGGGACAGGTCAGACTCGAGGATGGGGATGATGGAGAGGAAGTGGGAATGTGTGGGGGTTCGCTGTGTCTGCTTTTTTCGCTTTTTCTCACGTGCACGTATCAGGCCGCGTTGCACAGCGACTCCGACTGGTGTCCTCTTCTTTGTTTTCTCATTGTTTGGGTAGAACAGAGTCCGAGGATTAACCGTACTGGAATGTCAAGAGACCAGCAGACCCTCCTGAACACGCATACCAGAGCTCCGGGGTCGACAAGCTTCACAAGAAGGGCATCCTTGGGCATCCTTGGTGCTGGTCAGCTTGTGAGGCGCAAAATTGTCATCGGCGTAGGCGGGGCGACCGTGGCCGAGGTGGAAGTGGTGCTGCCCAGCCTGCCCTGGCAGGCGATAGCAGACCAGCAGACCGGCAGACCCGAGCTCGCAGACGAGCCCGCCCGCACTAGACATCCTCTGGCACTCGCCTCATCGCGCTCGCTCGTCCCTCAGTTGTCATAGGTCGGTAGCTCGGATTCGAACAAGGCATTCGGTTGCTCTGGTTCGTGAGAACGAGTTTGCCTCGACGACCGCTCCCAAGAGAGCCGGTGGAGCATGGTAGCGGCAGCTGCAGTGGTCACCAGCACGGGATCATCATCGGCGACGACTGCGAACGCGCCCACCGCGGCGGCCTACCTCGACGATGACATGCACAACTCGTTCTTCTCCCTCGGCGCGATCCCGTGGCATACGATCGATCTGGTCAGTTGCTCTTCTTTCACCCTCGCTCCGTAGCCTCTGCTCTTGTTCCTGGCGGCTGTCAGTCATGAGGACCCAGCACTCGATCGCAGCTGGTGCTCTTCGCAGCGATGGGCCGCGCCGCGCCGCGCCGCGCTTCGCAGCCGGGCGAGTCGCTCCCAGCAGCGGGTCAACTCGAGGACCTTCGTCGAGATGAGCGCAACCCAACGCTACGGCACCGAGGGGTGTGCGTCTTGGCATAGCCGTGGGGTCCCTTCCACGGCTACAATCGTCACACCGGACAAGACTCGCTCCGTGAACTCTGATCGCTGACGAATCCTCGTTCCTTATTGTGCCGTCTCCCCGCGTCGCGGCAACCGCGTCATCATGCCGGCACGCCTCGCACAGACCTCCTCGTCCGCCTCCTCATCGCCCGGCGCGCTCCCCTACCCGACCGCGTCGGCTTCGGGCTCGCGGTCGGGTTCGGTCTCGGCATCCACGGCCTACCTGGCGACAGATCGATCACCACCACCGCCCCCACCACCACCACCATTATCCTCATCATTCCCATCCACCCCCGTGCCCCCATCCTCCACACATGCCCCCTCATCCTCTTTGGCTTCCACATCCGCACCACCTGGTCAACCCGGCTCGGTGTTGGCCCTCGATCCATTCGCACCCACGTCATGGGCACTGGACCCGACGACCTGGAGCAACGAACCGCACGCGTCAACGTCGTACAACCCCGTCTCGGACTCTCCTTTCCGTTTCTCGCCGTTGCCCCTCCCGAGCCCAAACCTGCTCGGTGTTCTCACCCCTGCCAACCACACGCCAGCAATCGCCACATCATCACTCGCCGCCAACATCGCTACTACGGTCCACCCCCAACCTGTACCCCAGGAAGTTTCCCCTTCGATCCACCCCTCGTCGACGCACTCCTTTCTCAACTCGCACGACTACCCTGCGTCATTCTTTTCGCTGCTCACCTCGCCACCGACCCAAACGGCCGAGCTCGGCGACGGCACCGCGGGCGGCGCGGCCGGCTCATCCTCTGCCGAACTTACCCATGTAACACCCCTGCCTGATGTGAAGCCTAAGCTCGACACCCCATCAGTCCTCAGTGAGGGTCACGACCACGTCAACCTCGGTGGCATGCACAACTCCCACGCGGACGGCATGACGCACCCCTCCTTGATGTTCGAATTTGACCCAATCTCGACGACGCAGAACCAGCGCCAGCCCCAGTTCCAACATCATTCTTCCCACCTCTTTAACAGCCACCCCAGTGCGTATTCAACTTCGCCCTCGACGTCGCAGTGCTACTCTCCAGCCGAGTTTGCCAACTTGTTTGCGCTCGCGTCCAAGTCGAGCGCCTTCTCGGTTCCTTCAGCGACCGTCACTCCGTTGGCTGCGGCCGGCCTCGAGCATCTGTCCGACCTCGACCACAAAGGACCAAGCGCCAGCGACTCGATCGACTTGAGCCAATCCCTGTTTGAACGACTGCAATCTTCGACCTCGGCGCATCTCATGGGTGGCTACGCGCCTTCGGCCTTTTCGTTCCAATCCGATTTCGACCACCTTACGTCAGGGACCGGCGGCGAGGACACGCCCGCGACCTCAATCGACGAGACCATGCCGTCCGGCCAAGACTCCAAAGCTTTCTTGGACAACAATGGCGTTTTCCTCCCACAATCGCTGTTGGACGGTGGTTTGCACGAGGGCGACCCCCTCGGCCTTGGAAGGACCTTGATGTCCTCGCCGGGGTCCAACGACTCGAACGAAGCGGAACTCGCCCAATCCGTCGGCACAACTGTGTCGTCGAGATCCAGTTCTCGCAAGCGGAAACAGTCCAGGGCAGCCAACGAGGCAGAGCAGACTGTTGAGCATCTGCAAACGGGACAGGGACAAGGGCAGGGCCAGCGAAGGTCAAGGACGAGCTCCGGCAATACCACTGCCACCGACGCCGAGCGACTCGCGCCCTGGAACGCGAGTCGACGAGGCGCCACCGAGCAGTCAGAGCCGAGCACAAGCTCTCACACAACGAACGGAGACGCGAAGTCCACGACGACGGCGACAGCGACAGCAGCGGCAAAGGCGAGTACATCGGCATCATCACGAGCGTCAAGGAAAAAGAAAAGTGCTAGCAACAAGACGGCTTCCCCCGAAGCGTCGTCTCGCAAGCGCGGAGGCTCCGAGGTTCCAGCCGTTGAGGACGATCTCACGATCCGACCCTATGCGTGCAATTGGCCGCAGTGTCCCGCAAGACTGCGGTCCCTCGATCAGCGAAGTTCCAGTCGCTCTGGCTCATCGAGCACTTCGGTCCCTATTGAAGACGATTTGTCGACACCACCCTCGGAGGACGTCCGGTTCAGGACGATTCGGGAACTGCGAGAGCATTGTGCGGAACACACACGAGATGGGTTGGAGGGCGGAGAGACACCTTTCAGGTGTGCCTTGTACCCATGTGACAAGACGTTCAAGGTAAGCTCCTGGCTTTGCATATCGCACCCCTCTGCACCACGGATGCTGACCGGACGCACTTCAACCCCTTTTTCCCCCAGTCCCTCGCGGGTCTACGGTTCCACTTCCAGAACGCCTCTACGAACGGTCACTTTTTCGTCTCCTGCGAGGACGAGGAACCCGCCACGACAGAGGAGGTACCACCGCCGAAGAAGTTCAAGCTCTGTGTGCAACCTTCGGGGAGATCCGAGAAGTGTCCCATCCGAGGGTGCGCTAAGGCATTCCGACAACCCGCTGGCTTGAGCTATCATCTCGCGCATACGCCCAACCACGACGTCTCGGAGAGCATGTTCGCCAGTTTTTCGGGTACCTTGCAGAGCAAGACCAAATGGTGGTTCGCCAAAGTCGGTCGCACCTTCGTCACAGGCTGAAGCCGCATCTCCCTATTCGTAAGAATTCTAAGGATCTATCTTCCATATCGTATAGCTTGCATTTCTCTTGGAAACCCCCTGAGCCTCTCTCTACTTGCTGTTTGTGAATATCTGTTATCTCGATAATGCTTCCCTCTACCTCTCTCCTTTCTCGGTTTACTTGCTTGTGTTTCTAGTCGGTTTGGTCCACGCACACCCCCTCTCTCACATCTTGTGACTCTTTCCCGTGCTTCTCTCCACTTGCATAGTACCGCAATACCATGATTTTGACAAGAAAGACACTTTGTCGTGGTTTATATATCTTATCTTTGGCTGTACTTCCGATCCATTTAGAGAGTCACACAAGTTTGGAAAAAGCTTCCCATTCGGGCTTATTAATTAGACCGACAGATACTACAAATAATACTGACTGGAACTTAGATCCAAGGTCACTGAGAGGAAAGGCTACAGAGTATATATACTAGCAGGAGATCGACGGAAATGATGTGATAGAGATCGGGAAGACTAGGCACGAATAGTATAAACAGATGATCATGTACAGGATAGGGAAGCCAGGATCAGGCGAGCCTCATGATCGGAGTGACGGTGCCGTTCGAATTTGTCGGCGAGGGCTTGTCGGTGGCAAAGAGACCGCCTTGGAGAGGGTAGGCATTGAGCGCGACCTCGGTGATCCCAATTGATTCGGCAAACTCGACAATCTTGCACGGTCCAACGGGTTCGCCCATGTCATTCCCGGGGACCATGGGCGAAGGTGCCCTTGAGTCATCGTCACTCGATTCCGAAGCGCCGGAAGAGCAAGTCAAGCTCGGTGCTGATGACTCGGGTGACCTGTGAATTCGTGGTCGACGGAACAAAAGGCTCTCGTCGGCGTCGGACAGGCAACTGTCACTAGAAAGGTGATGGGGCAAGACGCCGAAGGTCGGCATCGTTTCAGTCTCCGGGCTGTAAGGGGAGCTCATTGTCGGGGAGGTATCGCCTTGGATTTGTGCCGTCGCAGGAGCTAGAGCGGCGAAGGAGAAAGATCCACTGAAGAGAGGGGCCGAGACGGACCGGTCACCGATGGCGGGCCTGGCGAAAACGACCCCAACGGGGCGGGCGGCCTTGGGGCGGTCAAGGTAGGTCGAGCTCGACGAGTTGGACACGGCCGAAGCGCGGCGAGTTGAGCTGGAATCCTCGGCGTCCTCTGACGTGTACTTGCGATTCGTGTTGTTGGCAGAGGTATCCGAGAACGACGAACGCAATGCCGAGGCGACGGGGACGACTGCCTTGGCACCGGGCATCGAAGACCGTCGCGCACAGTATTCGTCGGCGTCGTGTGTTGTCGAGTTACTCGGCATCGGTGGCAGGGAGAGCTCTCCAAGGATACCCTCAACAGAACTGCTCTGTTTGACGATAAAGTCACGCAAAGCTTGTACGCACATCTCGGACGCACGGCGGCCTTCCTCGGCCTCTGCGAGACGAATGCGCAGCCCTTGCAAATGGAGGCGCAGGTCGTCAATATCGGCCACTTCGTCTTCGTGACCGGCGTCGAGGACGGCTTGTTGCGCAAGGTACGACTCGTAGTTGGCATTGGCGAATTCGCTTGAAGAAGACCGTCGACTCCACGATTCGAAGACAGCGACCGAGTCCTTGCGCCCGGCAGCGCGGAGTGGTGCTGAGGGCGGGTACGAGGAGTCATCTTCGATCGCCGAGCCATGGCGACCACGCAGGCTCGAACTCGATTGGCGGCCGTGCTCAAGATCAAAGTCAAAATTACCGGCACCGATGAAGTCGGGTACGCCGGTGACGAGCGAGGAGCGACGGCTGGCGATCTTGGTCGTCGTTAGCCCGAGACGAAGCTCGCGCAGGCGGTTCGTCCGGTCATCCTCCGCGAGCATCAGCTCGGAGGCGGCGTGGAGCCTGGCTGAACTACGGCGCTGGGCCAACCGTTGCAGAGCGAAGGATCGAGCCGAGCTCGGGCTGGAAGGAGGATTCGGCTGCGGGGATTCGACAGCAAGTCCGAGGCCGGGGTTGGAGGGGGCATGGGCGACAGTGGTACCGTTGGGATTGAGGCCGAGCGACGACTTGCGCCGGGGAGCGCTGTCGAGAAAAGAGGATCGACGACCCGTGGAAGAGAAAGGGGGGCCGAGCGATTCAACCGAGGTGCGACGCGGACCGGCGGCCTGCAGGCTCATGATCATACGTCGCTGATCGTCGAGCTTGCTTCGGAGCATCGCGACTTGATCCTGCTCGGCGCGGATTTTAGTATCGTTGTCGGCAGCACGCGCTTGCTCAGTTTCAAGCTCTGAAGCAAGCTTGGCCAAGGATGAGCGCAAAAGGTACACCTCAGAAGACTGGTCCTCGGTCGCAGACGAGACGAGCGCGCGTTGGGTCGCCCTCAGGTTCGCGACCTCTCGCGCGAGTTCGGCTTGAGCAGCCTTGGCGGCGGTGAGTTCGGCATACATTGCGACCGGATCGTGTTCCTCGATGATCGTAGAAGTCCTGCTGGAGGCTCCGGGAAGCTTTGAAACGGGGTCGGCCCCCGCGATCTGGACAGAAGCGGCGGGCGTGTCCTCGCCGGCGACGGACGATCCGAGCAGTGCGCGCAGGCGTGCGTTCTCCTGAGTGAGCGATGTCATGACCTCCATCATGTCACGTTGGACAAAGTCGTTGGTATCAGCCATTCTTCTGTGAAAATTTACACAGGGGGACAAATGTAGAACGTCAGTACGAAGATCGGCTTTGCTGTCTGGCGCGGGGCACTGCCTCAACTGCAGTTCGCGAACGGTTTGCTGCGCACCTTTGCTCGAGTGAATCGAGGTCGAAATCGAATCGTGCGGTGGGCGACGGTCGCGAGAGTGACGAAGTCGGGGCAAGACCAGCTTTGGCACGAAACGACGAGTTGAGTAAACTGTGTAGCATCATGATGTTGAACGATCGCTCGTCAGTTACTTGAAAGAGAAGAGTCGGCGAATGGCACAGGCAGTGCAGTGGCGACAGCGTTGCTCTCAGACTTGTCGTTTGAAACGGACGAACGCTTCAAAACGCTCGGACGCGCGCACGGGCCTCCCAGCCTCGCCGTGCGCGCCTCGCCCGCGCCCCAGCGCTCGCCGGCCATCCAGTCCGCCATGGCCATGACATGTGACGACTCTAAATCCGATGCTAAGCGATGCGGTGTACTCACGTACCAGCTGTGGGGGTTTGTTGGTAGATCGAGGACAGAGGCCGAGTCACGGACAAGGTCGAGGCAAGGGGTTAAGAGTGGAAGTTGATTGGCGTGTGCCGGGCGCAAGGCTTCGCAAGCGAGAGGAGCGGCGGGCAGCTATGGGTGAGTCGGTGACCGACGAAAGGAGGTCCGACCGGCGGCGAGGAGAGCAAGTAAACGACTACGGCGCCGGGCGTGGGTCGAAGGTAAGAAGGACTCGTCAAGAGCTCGTCGAGGTATCAACAAAGAGGACGATGCAAGCGGAAAGTATCTGAGAGGTACGAGGTATCGAGCGGGAAAGGGGGGGGGGCAGGGGAGGGGAGGAGAGGAGAGGAGGGATGGGAAGGTTACAAGGGGGCGACGCCAGGCGATCAATCTCAAGCCCACGACGTCCGATTGATTCACCGAGCCACAAATGATCGGACAACGAATCGCGATCGAGGAAGCGGGTAGGTTCCGGAGAGGCCTGGAGCTCCCAAGAACAACAGCGAAGAGGACGGCCACAAAATTAAGCTCGTCTCAGGTCAATGCCTCGGACCCGGGAGCTGGCGCGGTGACCGCTCAGAGCTAAAGGCGGGATCTCGAGAGGGCGGAGAGAGAAGGCGGGTCGGCCGGTGGCCGTTGCGGACGTCCGCAGCGCCATCTCAGTCCTCAGTCCTGTGTTGCAGAATTTGCAGACTCCCCAGCCTATGGAATACCTTTCTACCTAGACATAAATTGCCTTTTAGGTCTTGAGCCCTGCTGACGAGACCCTTCGCCTTTTTTTCCAACCCAAGCTTTTCTGGGAAGATCTGCCGTGAAGAATCGTTTCTACGCATATCTTACATCAAAGGGAACTATGGTAGAAAGACACACTTCCGAAATCGTCAAAGTCCCGAATGTCGATACCCGATGATTTGTGCGACGTCCCAGGCCTGTTTATTCTGGCGTGGGGGGTGCGTGGGGGCAGCAATGGTAGAGCCGACGCTAGCGCAGCCTGCACGTGGGAGGTGCCTGTGACTCATCATCAGTGCAGTACGTGCGGCCTACCCCTGGCTTGCACCTGCACTGTTGGCACGGTACGTACTGCCGCATGAGGACATGCGTGACTCGGGCCTGAGGCCTGAGGATCGAGGCCCACTGCCCTTGCCGCGCGTGGCAGGCGATCATGGCCCAAAGGGGCAGGTTTCACTCTAATTTGATCGCTCTCGTCACGTGGCCCGGCGGCTCCGATCCCTCCTCTGCGCGTACGAACGGTGCCTGCAAGAAGTTGGGCGAAGATTGGAACCACGAACATGGCCCACCTCTTTTTTAATTCAGCCAGTTACTAGTAGGTTCGCACCTGGGCTAATCGCCTTGCGCAGATGGGGGTGAAGGGTCTAAAGGTGAATTGCCCGCGAATTGGCCGGAGTCTGGATGTCTGGGCTCAGATTCCCGAAGAAGCTGATGCTGGGCTTTGCAGCAGGCTACCGAAATAGACTGGTGACTTGCTGCGGACGGTTGGCTCTTCTTTGTGCAAATCATGGGACCATGTCAGGTCCCAGGATTTTTAGGAAACTTGGATTCAGGCCAGATTCGAGTTTAAAAGCCTCCTGCACTGTGCGGCATCATGGCAGACGGCAGCTGCAATCGATCGGCGTGGTAAAAAGTCGATCTCGGAACAGCATCGGTTCCAAACGCTCAAAGGCCAGAAAATCAGCAAGCAGATGCACTCGCGGGGAGAGCAGAGACAAGTGGGAGCAAGAGGTGACTCGGGACTCGGATGCATTATGTCCAGCCTGTCCTGGGTTGAAGGCGGGCGCGCGCAACGGGTTGAGCGTAGTAGACAGGTCAGAGGCGATAGCCTAGTTAATGTGGTCCAGCGCCCGATAAGGGTCGTCTCTTTTTGTAGACTAGCTGGAATTCAAATTCTCATTCTCATTCCCCCGTGCATGCCGGCTGCCAAGCCTGCGCGCGGAAGTGCAGGAAGCGCCCGGTCGGCGGGAGAGATGCTCGGGCTCGGAAGTGGGCGTCCGGTGGCTAGCTAACCTGCTTATGTACCAAGTTTCAGTTGCCCCTACCTCTAGCGCCCACTGATTGGCTTTTGGTCCGGGTGGAAGGAATGTGAAACACCGAGCGTCTCGTCTCCAAACACCTATTACCTTTACCTTCTTCGAGGTGCTACTTTCTTGATAATTCACGTGGCGGACTCGGCAGTCTCTTGGGTTCGAGCAAATATTCCAGAGCCCGGAGACATTTGAAACTTCTATAAGACATACCTCTCATGATAGGATTAAGCACACACTTTGAGACCGGGTGGTCGGACCGGCTTCTGTTTGAGCGGATTCCTAGAGGTCAATCCGCGAGCCCGGAAAACGCTGCGCATGCTTCCAGAATTCGACGAGGAACCGATCAGCCTGCCGGTTCGACAACAACCCAGCGCTCTGAGAAAATCACTTTCGTACATCTCTGCTTACTCTGGGCACCTAGGCTGAATACTTCATACCCCATGAGAGAGCACGAGCTCCTGCTTTGGTTTTGACGTTCCACCTCCTTACAAACGCTTTTGAGTTTGGGGTTTAATGCCGATCCTCATCCCCGATTCTCCGACCGACCGCGCCAGCCGTTTCCCGCCGTTTCATTTTCCCCCAGAGTCCCATGTTTCACATCCGCCAACAGCAGTCCACGGCGCAAACACTTTCAAAGCCGGTCGGCCAGTGAGAAGATCGCCGCCTAATCTAGATCCGGACAGTTCACCACGTTGTCAACCCTAAAAGTTTGTCTACAAATTCGTAACTACCCAGATCGCTTTCTCTCCCGCCGGGTAAGCGTGGTAATCCGGGTCGGTCGTACCGACTTCGCACTTTTGGTACACTCCGGATTCTCAACTTGCTCCAAAGAGTTACATAGCATAATCAAGATCGATAATCTGTACCCAAATAAGAAGTCCATGGCATCGTCAGAGAGGAATTTAGGTTTTATAAATCGGAAGCGCATAGGCTCCGATACTCAAGACCTCGCTTCCGGCTCGGGCGATTCGATCTAGGCATTGCTCACTCACCAGCATTGATTGAGATATACTCATGCGAAAAGTCGCACGTCCAGTACGTTGCGCTTTCATCCCCGAGCCCAAGATCGACTTGGATCGCCAGATCCTCGCTCTTGAGGATCTCGCTCGCTCGCGCCTCGTCAACCTGTTCGGGTTCCCCGTTGACGAGCAGCTTGAGTTCGGCCGAACCGTCGACGGGGACGAACGAGACGGTCACTTTCGTTGGGTCGATGTCGAAACCGGGGTTCGAGTACCCGACCGCGCAGAGGATGCGGCCCCAGTTGGCATCCTCGCCGTGCATTGCGCATTTGACGAGGGCGGATGTAGAAATCGTCGAGGCAATCTTGTGCGCGGCTTCGTAGGTCGGTGACCCCTGTCATGATGAGCATTGCAGTCCCGACACCTGTCAGTGTCCTTTTTCGGAGTCTCAATTCACATATCGACTCCTCACCTTGGCCGTAATCTTGACAAACTTTTCGGCGCCTTCACCATCCCTGACGACGAGCTGGGCCAACTCCGCCGCAAAGTCGGTCAGTTGATCCCTAAACTTGACGTACTCGTCCGGCGTCGCCTTTTCTGAGATTTCGACCGATCCACTGGCTCCGTTGGCCAGTACAACGATCGTATCGTTGGTCGACATGTCGCCATCGACCGAGATGGAGTTGAAGGAGCGATCGACGGCGTACGTGAGCGCGTCCTGCAGCGAGGCGGGGGTGACGGCGGCGTCGGTGGCGATCATGCCGAGCAGTGTCGCGTGCGGTGGGCCCATGTTGGGGTGGATCATCCCTGCTCCCTTATCGATGCCGACCATCCTGACTTCCTTGCCGCCGACTTCAAAGGACCGGGTGCGCAACTTGGGGAACGTATCGGTCGTCATGAAAGCCTTTGCGGCATCGAGCCAGGCCGAGTGGGTCGATCCCAACGTCGCGGTCGATGAGGTGATACCGTTCAGGATCTTCTTGATCGGTAGGAGTTGACCGATCACGCCGGTCGACATGACGAGGGTCCCCGTCGCGGAGGACGAGTTTGACTCGCCGAGGAACGAATCGAGTTGATCGCTCATGGCGCGAGCATCTTTGAGTCCCTGGGACCCCGTGACGGCGTTAGCGCACCCAGAGTTGACGACCAAACCTCGGGCAATTCCACGCCCTTTGGCGAGCACCTCTTTGGACACGACGACGGGTGCGGCGACAAAGGCGTTGCGGGTGAAGGTGCCCGCGGCGGAGCAAGGGCGGTCCGAGATGATGACGCCCAAATCGAGGCGGGAGGGGTCCTTCTTGACACCGCAGTGGAGACCTGTTGCGACGAATCCGAGGGGAAATTTGGCCGCTGTTGGGTCAAAAGCAAAGCGCTGAGATTTGAGGAGGTTTCCATCGCCGAGGATAATGAGGCAACGAGATAACGTCGGAGCAAGCAGGATCGCGCGCCACGGTCCGTCGAGAAAGGGATTGCAGAAGATGAACATGATAACAGGAGATGTCAGTCCAAGCTCAAGGTAGTACCACCAACTTCAATTTGAAGCCATCTCACCTGGGCTTTGCTCTGCGGCGCCGACGAAGACGACGAAGAGGATGCGGAGGCTGCGGGCGCAGATGAGCTGGATGAGGATGCTGTAACGGCTGTACGCAGTGCCGAAGTGGACAGCAGTCGGGTGCCGAAGCGAGCAGTTGTAGATGCGGGCGGCATCGCTGCCGTGAGGGTCGGTGTAGGTGTCTCAGGTGGGGGGTTCGGGTCGCAAGGTCGATCGTATCGACTCGCTCGGGTGAGGCCGCCGCAGTGCCGCCGCGGGAGGCCGCGGGAGCTGCCAAGTGGGGGTCCACTGGTGGTCGGTCGGCACAGGTCGGCACAGTGTCGGCAGTGGGCACTGGGCACTGCACGTTCGATCGGACCAGTTCGGACCACTGGCAGTTCCTCGCACTATACTGCGCAGTTCCTGGCAGTTCGTACCGGCAAACCTCGTCTGCAGCTGACCTCCGAGAAGTCGTCTGACTGCCGGGTTCAGTAGAATGAATACACCAATTATCGTTTCCTTGGCTCTGTGAGTCTGTCTGTTTCCCATTGCTTGAGCTCAATCGCCACCTTTGGCCATATAATGTCAATAGTGTGCCAGTCTAAGTAGGTGCCTGTATGCCAATAGCCAGCTGCAGTGCCGGTGCCAGCCAAAAGTCTGGGCCGACGCCCCCTTTTGAGCTTTGCCCGCACAGTTCGCGTGTCGACGGCGGCGACCATCGACGCACAGTCCATCACGCGATGCCACCCAAAGGATCGGGAGCAGCCGCCGTAGCAGCAGCTTCAGTTAACTGGAAGGTCGATGTCCAAGGCATTCCCATCAAGTTCACCTCCTTCAGTGTCAGTACCCTTGCCCCGCCGATGTCCCGACCGGCACACACCCCACCTCCGCCTCTTCAGCTCTCAGCGCTCTCACCTCATAGTTCGGCTGTCCTGCTGACCTGCGTATCTTCTCCTCACCGAATCAGCCCATCGGACTGCTCAAGTGAGTTTACCCTGCCATGCCTAGCTCGTGCTCGAGCCGCCTCAAGGCGTTGACAGGAACTAACCCTTCTCGGCTGGCTCCCCACAGCGGCAAGAACGTCGCCGCCAACTTTGTCAAGACCGAGTCACAGTCATCCCTCACGCAACGCACGACCGATGAAGACTACGTCCGCGAGAGGGAGAAGAAGCGCCGGCGGTTGATGGCCATCGACCATCCGGTCCGTGCTCCGAAGCACCGCGAGCATGCTCAAAGCGACACTGACGGCGAAAGTGGGAGTGAGAGTGACGACAATGTACCCGCCCCACCTGACGTAGACGTGCTGCAATCGGCACCGAGAGGGATGGTACAACGGCCCAAACCTGTCAAATCTCTCGTGCGTTGTCGCCTCTTCTCAACAGGACGAATCGTTCGGTTACTGAACGAGCTTGAGCAAAATGCACAGGACCCGGACCTCGAGTCGGAACCACTCGCCAAAATCATCGTTATTCACCCGGGATCATCCTATCTCCGCATCGGCAGAGCGTCCGATGCGTTTCCTCTGACCGTCCCAAACGTCATTGCTCGGCGCACTCGCCCTGAAAGTACACCTCGCAAACCTCACCGGCCTTCGGTTGTGCCCACCTTTGACTCGATCAAATCCACCTCGAATCGCCCGAGCAACAACAACGATGACGACGATGAAGATGAAGATGATGAAGTTGATGAACTCGACGAAGGCGCTGCAGCTACCGATGCGGATGCACTCGACCCCTTGTCGGCCAAGATTGCATCGGTCCGAACGACGTTGAGAGCGAGGATGCGAGCCTACAAGCTGCGCGGCCAAGGCAATGGGAATCGGCAAGCGAGCGACTACAATCGGACCGTGAAACCTGAAAACACGGACGAGTTTAACGACCCGGATGAGATCGAGTGGACTGATGTTGGACAGGAGGACGTTTTTGTGGGGGTAAAGGTGAGTTTTGCGGCGAGGGGCATGGGTGCTGATGCATGCGATGCAAGAATGGTGTTGACTATTATCTTTCGTGCGTCAGGCCCTCAGAATAGCTGATCCCGACGCCGCTGGGTTCGTGCTACGGAGACCATTCGATCGAGGGCAGTTCAACACGAACGGCTACGTCTCTTCGCAAGAGCTGCTGAGCGACATCGAGACCATCTGGCTCAAGACTCTCGAGGACGAGCTTCAGATTACGAGGAGTGAACTCAAGGTAGCCCATGCTTGAAACCTAGCGCTGGTATGCCACTTGTCTGATCCGTTCATGCATCGTAACTTCCACAGGACTATTCATGCATCCTCCTTATCCCCGATCTGTACGACCAAGTCTACGTGCGCGAGATGACAGAACTGATTCTGCATGCGATTGGCTTCAAGCAAGTCATACTGCAGCAAGAGAGCGTCTGCGCGACTTTCGGGGCGGGGATTTCGACGGCTTGCGTGGTCGACATTGGGTCCAAGGTCACGACCATCACTTGCGTGGAAGAGGGGTTGGCTTCGCCCGAGAGCAGGTAGGCGCGCTTGCTCGATCGAACTCGAGAGGCCTTTACTCATCTCCTCGAATTCCTTCTGGATTGGGCATAGACTCGTTCTGGACTTTGGTGGCGACGACATCACCGCATTCCTCTATACATTGCTCGTCCGACTCAACTTTCCCTATCGGGACGCAGACCTGTCGAGATGGTACGACTGGAAGGTGTTGGAAGACCTCAAGGAGCGCATGGTCGTCTTAGGAGAGGTGAGTTCAGGTATCAACCTTGTTGGATCCTCGAGATCGTGGGCTCTCACCGATTTGTTTCGCATCTTAGGGTGATGTCGGCTTGAACCTGTACGACTTTTTCGTGCGAACGCCCGGGAAGCCGACGAGGAAATACTCGATGCGATCATATGACGAATCTATTCTTGCGCCATATGTGAGTGGGCACACGCTTCGTGTTGATCTCTGGCCTCTTGCTGAATTGGTTCCTGCATACCACAGGCTCTCTTCGCTCCGCGAGTGATCGATTTTGACAACAAGGTGCTGCCGCAGACGCCGCTATGGGCCAAGGGCGTCGATGACAACGTCGACATCGGCAGTCAAGCCATTGTGAGTAATTCGATTGTAACCAAGCTTGGCTTCTGAACACAAGCGATTGACGCGCTCTCCGTACCTTCAGACTCAAGCGATGAAGAACAGCACTCGTCATTTGCGCCACGCAGCGCCGATGGCAGTTGCGGCGACCGTGCCGAAGGAAGATGGTGGCGAAGGCACAATGGAGTCTCCGCTTTGTGTCGATGCATCGCAGTTACCTTTGAATGCTGCTTCCCCCAATGGCACAGAGCCGTCCGCTGCGGCTACCCCCGCACCACCACCACCACCGACGACGTCGCTGGTCCTCAAAACTAAAGAGCCTAAAATCGATGCGCGCTTGGAATCGGGCAAGATCCCCCTCGATGTCGCGATCGTCGAATCGATCCTCGCGACTGGGGCTGAGGACAGGATCAAGAAGCTTAGTAACAATGTGCTGCTGTGCGGTGGGACGAGCATGATTCACAATATCGGGTTCGCCGTCGAGTCCCGGTGAGTTGGGAATGAAGTGCTATTGAAAGCTGGCACGTCCAGGCTTCCTGACCAGCCGACATCAACATTTCGCTCCTCAGCATTGCTGGACAATTGGTGCGCGTCATGCCTTCGCTTGCCGGACAAGTCGTGGTCGTCCCCCCGCCTCAGGAGATCGACTCCAAGATTATGAGCTGGAAGGGCGTGGCGATGCTGGGCAAGCTCGAGTGCGCGAACGAGATGTGGGTCAGGCAGGACGAGTGGGAGCGAGCAGGGATGCGGGCTGTCAGGGAGAGATTGTTTTACTTTGCTTGAGAGTGTGTACTATATGATTAGTGATATAATACGATCGACCGAAATTCCTTTCAAATGATTGTCCCGTGTATTTTTGAGGTCCGAGCTCTTTGGTGCTGCCGCCGCCCCACCTTGCCACAAGACCACGGCCGCTTCTGCTCCCCCGCTTCCTCGCCGTCCGCCCCGCTCTCCCGTGCGCGACTCCACTTTATCCCGGGATCACAACTTCTTGAACAAGCGTCCATTCACGCCTTTAAAGGATGGCCGTCTCGTCACGCCATGTGCTGTCGCCGATGCAGCCCACCTTCAAGCTAGGCGGCCCCAATGGCAACGAGGACAATGACGGCGGGACGTCATCGATGATCAACGAAGCCACCGCGTCCCTTTTGCACGCCTCCTTGGACATCCATCTTCCTCGAGGACCAAGCGTACATTCGAGTTCAAGACCTGGCATGGGCAGACCGAGGAGTTCGAGTCGAAATTTGCAGTGGAGTCGTGGCAGCGTCGAGGACTTGCGCGCGGTCGATCGTTCAGCCAGTCCCGTGATCGATCGAGACGACTCGAATCCGCGCAAGTTGGGCAATGGCAAATGGAAGGAGGTATCGGGTGCTTCCTATGCCAGTGGGATGGTCGGGTCGAGCGGTGAGCACCCTTTCGCGCATACGACGGCCTTGTTAAGGCGTACCCATTCCGCGGATTTGCTCGAGCGTGATGGTGGACCTCCGAGCGAGGACGACTTTAGTAGTGATGTAGGTTCAGTGCCTACTTTGGATGCATTAATCTGAGCTGACAGCCTCCTTATTCTGCAGGATGAAATTTTCCGGCCGAGGCCGCCCTCGATCGCATCGACGAATTCTCAGAGGTCTTCGGTCAGTTCTCCTCCCAGCCTACTCTGCATACCTATGCCTCATTCCCAAGCTGACGCGAGGTGGTCCAACACTCCACAGCGCATTGGAGTTCTACTCGAGGACTGCACAAATCGGGAGAACCACGCTTTCGCTCGCGACGTGCGGATAACGGGCTTTCACCCTGTCGGATCGCAGAATGCCGGTGGTTTCGTCGTCTTTGAGATTGAGATCGTCACTCCTCAGGTATGTCGACGTTCACTTTTGGGAGAATCGAGGAGACATCATTTACGCTGTGTCTTTTTTCACAGGGGACTCTGATCAAGCTGAACAAGCGCTATTCGGCATTCGTGCGGCTCAGAGCCGATCTCGTTCGCGAATACCCCCACTTCCGAGGCTGGGTGCCGCGATTACCCCCAAAAAACTCCTTGGGTGAGTCCGAAAACACAAAAGTATTGTATCTTCTCATACTTACCCAGCTCGAGCCTGTGTTCAACACCCTGTTGTCATTAGCCAAGTACCGACCATCATTCTTGGACCGCCGACGAGCGCAATTAGCGTATTGGTTGACGACAATTTTGCTACATCCGGAAGCTGGAAGGTGTGCACTTGTGAGGCAATGGGTACTGGAGTGATGTAGTGGATGGGCCATGTGTCGTATGTCGTAAACTACCCGTTGTTGTAACACAGAATTGAGATGGATACGATTTCGGAAGAGTTCGTCTCGCGGATAGCCGGGACAGGCGAGATTCTACTCGCCAGTTGTGGTGGTAAGAGGAGATTGTCACGTTTTACAACAAGTGAAGAGTCGATACAACATGTGCGGGAGCTTTTGTTGCGGACACAGTGCGTGGACGACCATCCTCCAACAAAGCCGTCTATTCTTCCTCTTCCTCCTCGGTATCAGGGTGATCGCCGGCATTCTGTCCCTGAGCTTCCCCACCCGCAGAAGGGTCCATCCCACCCGCCCCATTCGCCCCCGGTCCATCCGTCGAAGCGATCCCAGCATTCCTCAGCAAAGTCTCCGGATCGTCGTTCAACCCCGACCCTTCTTCGATCCCGAGCAAGGAGGCTATACCCATCTCGCCCCATTCTCGGTCTTGTGCATCCCCCAAGGTCGTGCTTTGGAAGAGGCCTCGTAGTTCGAGATTTGACAGTGTTGTCGCTAACGATCCTGGACCATTGGCTGTGGCTTTGGCCCCGGGCAAGAGGGGACCGAGTGAACGAGCGGCGGCGAAACGATTCGACGAGTTGCTTCCGTGTCCACCGCTTGCTCCGCCGTCGCCGCCGCCACCCCCGCGGGAGAGGAATGCGGCCTGGGAAGGACGAGAGTAAGGTGTCGAAGAGTTGCGCGCGGTCGGGGTGTATGGGTTGCCGTAGGGGTACGACGGATGAGCTGACGAGGGGAGGATTGCTGATTCAGGAAGACGTGAGAGAACACGATCATCAGTCACTGGAATCGAGGGTCGGTTGGAAGCCCTCAATAGCACGATATACTAACTCTCGTCGTCTTCGTCTTGATATGAAGGTAACAGGTGGGCGGGTACGATGATGTCTTCAAAAGGGGTGATCGTCAATCAGCAGCCAAGTTGCACTTCGCAAGGAGGGCCTACATCGACTGACCATCATGAGGCAAGTCCCAGCCCAGTTTGGCATCCTCCTCGTCCAGTAGTATCTGGCTCGAGAGCATCTCCGGCATGTGCAGGTAGCAGAAGCGGTCGTCCTGCGTTTGCGGAAGAGATGCGAAATGGACACGTGACGCGACGCGACGCGATTGCAAAGAGACTCGGTCATCATCGTCAGCGAATACAGAGCTGCACATGCGAGTATACACTTACTGCCATCGCTGCCACTAGCGTCGGGACGCGGGGAGGATCGATGAACGCCGCCGGTCGGCTGCGAGAGCAAGATCGGGCTTACAGCGGAGTAGCAGCGGCTCGACCAGTGCTGGGACGACGGGGAGCTACGGCCGCAGTGGAAGCCGTGCAAATCCCCGAATGAAATACTATCGTACACGGATGTGGCCGGAACCCAACCTCGATTTCCCAGCGCACTGCTCTCGCTCGCGTGCATCTACGAACATCTGGCCCGTGCATCAACAAAGATCCGCCCCTCACCCCTGTCTGGACCATTCGTCGGCTGACTCGGCGCCGTCGGCACCTCCGTCCGTGCACCGGCAGCTCCTGCCGCACCGAGTCCGATCTGTGCCGCCAATCTTGGTGATCAGTGCCGGTTTTGTGCCTGATCATATCAGGCTGGCCGCGTTCATGGATCTTCAGTTCATCAAAATCCACGTCGTCGCCAGTCTAGCAATCGATCCGCTCACTGGTCCGGGCAGAGTGGCGAGCGATCTTACAAAGGGGAGAGCGAGATCGCGTATGAAGCCAGAGGAGGCCAGGGGGAACGCGATGCCGTCCATATACACCTGTGATGAACGTCCAATCGGATCTTTGTTCCGCTAGCCACCTTCTTGTGTGTCCTGTCTCGCGGTTTAGCACATCAATCATTTCACTATCGGCGACGGCAGTGCAGCTCCTCTGGCCGACGATCTTCGCTTGCTCGGACACTCAGCGGTCCCGAGCGTCTGATTCAGGATGTATCTGCCAGCTCATGTTCTCCCTTGGAAAATTTATAACGAGAAAATATTTAATATGCTCAAAATTGCCACGTGTTGCCGAACCACACTGCGATGAAGTGAAAACTAGCGGCTGTTGGGTTGTGGTCACGCTCTTGAAACTTACGCCACGTTTGATCGGCGCGGTCTATTCCGGTTAAAGGAGACACGCCTTTGATGAGGCATAGGCTGTTATCGCTGCTCAAACATGTCCGCGCGGCTCCCACGGAATGGAGCCGATGCAAATCCCCACAATGGCGTGAGAAAGGGGCCACTCGCATGTTTTCGCCAATCTGCCAGAGAGAGCGACCTTCGGCCGAGATTACCGTCCTATCTCTAATTGTGCCACTCGCTTCCTTTTTTCCTTCTTCAACCATCTCGATCGCTCGACCTCCCACTGTACTGTACCTCTTTTCGACACTTGAGCCCCGATTCCGCGCCGATATGTTGATCTCGATCTGGATCGCGGCGATGTGCCTCGCTGCTCTCGCTCGAACCGATAAACTGACCCCCTATCCACTCTACGATACGGAGCATGAGCCTCCGGATGAGACCCTCCAATCTATGGCGGTTGAGCATACCGGAACTCCCGATCTTGCAGCCTTGTCCTCTGCGCTCGATCTACAGGATCAAGAAATCTTCGTCTGGGCTGGTGAGAAAGGTGCGGTCTATAGCTCCCCTGGCGAGTCGGGAAGCGACGGACCGACGGCCTGCGCAACGCTCAGCGCTCACCCCTGGCACCCCTGTCGACATCTCCACTTCACACAGGTCGAACTGGTGAGAGCGTGATGGCTGCGATGGAACTCGACACCCATGAAACCGAAAAGGTAGGTCAGTTCTTCGCTAGTCACGTGCCCGAACGCTCTGCTGATTGATGACTTCGGTTCGAAGCAGGTGCTCAACATGCAACGTTTCGCCTCTCTACTCGCACATGTCGAATGCGGGTCTATCGAGACCAGGATCGAGTTCAAATCGCGACAAGTCTTTTCGTACGCTGCTATGTCTTGGTCTTGGGTCAACTCGCACCCCGACCATATCTTCGTTCTGTTCACACACTGGCAAGGTTGCCTGACCGACGAAGGCAACTTCAAGCCTTTCCACTTCCACACCCTCGTCACAGATTCCGCTTCTTCAACGATCACGCTGCATGGGGCCACCAAGATCTGGAAAGAAGCCGCGCACACATTCACACTCGAAGTCGGAGATCCGTCCCCGTCCCCGAAGTTGATCAGTGACTTCAAGTTGGCCCGCTCGGTACGCCGTCGTTCAACCGCGGGCCGAATGGATCGCGGTGGAAAAGTCGACTTCCGTCGGTTTTCCAAGCCCGTCCCGTCGTTCCAGCCGGACAGTTGGTCTTTCAAAAAGAATATATGGAACCCTTTGAGGAAAATATGGGACTACCTCATCGGGCGAAAACGACTCGCCGTCTCATTCGGCTCGGCGGGCTTGAGCGCCCATCCTGTCGCCTCTCAACCGGGCATCAGTGCTTCGAGCCACTGCAAAGGGTGTTCGATTCACGGTTCGTTAGGCGTTCACTTTGTACTTCGTGTGAGCGGTAGAACTCCTTTACGAGTTGGGGTGTCGGTAACGGCTCACAATGTCGGTGCCAAGGCCGAACTCGATTTCAACGTCAAGGTTAGTCCGCTTCGCTGTTCGTGTGTTCGTGCCGACCGGGACTTCCGCCGGCCGTCGAGCCTTGAAGTAAGGTGACTGAGACTCCTACTCGTTTTGACTAGGGGAAGACACCTGCCTCCTTCGCTTGGGGTCGAACCCTCGCCAGCCTCGCCATACCCGGCTTCACCTTTGAAATCCCGAATATATTCTGGGCCGGGGCCCAGCTCAAAACCGGCTATGGCTTTGCCACCTCCAAGCTCGACGGGGATTTCGAACTAGGGACGGGGGTCGACATCGAGATTCCTGATGGGGCCACGGTATACTTCGACTTCTTGGGTCCAAATGACGCTTCAACAGGCAGTTGGTCGCCTCAGCTCATCAAGCAGCCGATCAACTTCGTTGGGAATGGTCATGGAGTTTTGGCCGGGGGTATCAGCAGTGGGATCGGGTTTTCAGTGTCGTTGTTCAAAATGTGTACGTCTCGGTAATGTATCAATCCGCGAGAGACAAATTGCTGAATACGGGGCTCTCCAGCTTTCACCTTGGCCGCCGTGCAGTTCAAATTCCCATCGCTCTCATTTCGTAAGCCCCGCATCCTTATCCGCGTCCAGCACACTGACGTGGACTCCGAGTCCCTGGCCTCCCTTCTCCAGACATCGGACTTAACGCTCCGGGCACCAAACCCTGCGGCCAAATCGTCCATAGTGAAACGACCGAGGTCGACTCGTACCTCTCCATTGGGGTCAGCGTCAAAACGGGGTACTCCGGTGGTGATTTCTCCATCGGGGGGTCGTCGCGTCTCAAGAGACATGATCATCTCGACGAGGGGAGTTCGTTTAACGCTTCGCTTCTTGAAGGGTTCTTGGATGAGGCGTTCCCGATTGATGATCCCAAGACTTGGTTGGGTGCTCTACCGGCCCTTGAGGACGATAAAGAAGGGATATATGTCACCGAGGAGAAGGCTTCGATGGACAAACGAGCTTTCAAAGGGGTCGGAGTGTCCTACAGCAAGAACCTCTGGTCCCATCGCTGGCCATGGCTCCGACCCAAGTGTTTTGCCAGTCGTGCGGTATGGGTACGCTCGCACCCGCGAGAACTATTAGGACTCGATCACTGACACCGATTTTCGCGCGAGGATCCTCACGTTGAGCAAGTAGAATAGAAAGGTTGGGCGAAAGTTTACCATTACCCAAATTCACGAGTATTTTTAACCCTCAAAATGTTAAAATATTTTTTTCACTCATCACGGGTGTTTGAATATATTGGCTCAGCTTCACGACTCTTCATCCGCGGTTTTTGAAACGCTTGACTGCGCAGTTGTGGACCGACTCGGAGAGTGAGGTCTCGTGGAAAGAAAAGTCATGACTCGGAGGCGGAAGTAAAAACACTGAATGCGAATGCAACTTGAGACATGTAGAAGGAAGAGTACTCAAGAACGAAAACTATAGATAAATGCGAGAACACAAAAGAAAAGAACAGAATATGCGAATGAGACACCCATGATATCCAAATTCTTCAACTCGACCAACATCCCTTCATCGCACGCATAACATGCTCCTCGCCTTCTCCCACGCCTCATTCAACAGTGTCTCAGCCTCTCTCATCTCCTCCCTCGCCAATGAAGCGATCTTCTCCCTCCCACTCAAGCTGCCTCCATTCGCCTTCTCCTCCTCCCGATGCGCAACGAACTCCTCCGCCCGTTCCCAAGCGTTCAATTCATCACGCAGTGTCGTCGCTTGCGCCCGCAGAGCTCGTAATTTGCGCGAGGTATCCCCCGCCGCGGCGTGATTGACTTGGGTCATCTCGTGCACGGACGAGAGCGAGTCCGTGAGGGAGGCGGTGACGTTGCGCAAGGTCGTCAATTCTTCAACTGCCGTCGTGGTCGGTGAGATCTGAGGAGGTCTGTGTTCTGCGCGGCGCGGAGGTGGAAGCGGAGTGGGGCCGTTCGGTTCTGAATCGGGGATCGTCGGTGGTATCGAGGTCAAGGCGCCGTCCTGTTTTCTCTCCTCTGAACAATCACCTTCCTCCTGCCCTTCCTCCTCCTCCTCCTCCTCCTCCTCATCAGAATTCCACAAGATATCGTCCAATCGACCCAAAGTCGCTTGCCAACCGACATCATTCTTGGCGAAAGCGCGCTCGATCTCGGCCAATTCCCTCCATTGACTCTGACATGTTTTCGTCCGTTCATGCAACGAGCGAAGTAGAGTATTGGCGAGTACCTCGATGACGGGTTGTCGATCGATCCAGAGGTCTTCCTTGTCGTCTTCATGTTCAGGTGTGACCTCGTTCGTGGTATGCCTCTTGAGATGGTTCAAAAAGCTCGTGACGATCAGATTCGACTCGTTGACTTGCTCGCTCGCTTCGGCCAGGACGGCTTCAAGGTCGATTGGGTCGGGATGGGGATCGAGCACGGTCGCAAAGGAAGCGATGGAAGCTCTTGACATGTGGTTATTCGATCTTGAAATGATTGATCGACGACCGAGGGTCGATTGTCGACTGGGCGAGGAAGGATGCTCGGGTGAGTTCGAGGTCGAGCGAGGAAGGACGTCCTCGGCCTCGGCCTGTAGTGCGCCGTGATGCTCATCTTGGTCGTCGAAGCTGCGATCGTGACTCTGTGTGTCCTCATTTGATTCGTGATCGTCCCCGACTTGATCCTCCTCATCGAATCCCAGCTGCCTCATCAAGTCGCGGTCATTCGACGCTCGAGCAGGCGATTGCGCCGAAGCGAGCTCAAACGCGAGCGAGAGGTGCCCATCGTCCTGGACGATCCCATTGGCGTGCGAGCGTGAGGGCGTTCGATGATGGTTCATGGAACGAAATCGTGGACTTGGACTTGCTGCGGGATCTCCTGGTGTGGTGGTGCTGGTCCGTTCGAGCTCATCATCGTCATCCTCGACGTAGCTTCGGTCGCGGTCGTCATCGTCGAATCGTTCAACAAGGAGTCCATCGTCCCCACCACCAAGTGTATCGAGCATCGATCCAAACCCCGGACCAAGCTGATCACCCAGTGCGTCGTGGTGTGAGAAGTGTCCACCAAAGCCATCGACGCCCAGCTCGTCAAAGGATTGGTCAGGGTCATGCTCGCCATACGCGTCGCCTTGCAATTGGTGTTCGTGTCGCAGCGGATGCTCGTCATCGTCAAACGCCGGATCGAGCAACGCCCCTCCAGCGGCACTGGGTCGAGTCATTCGGTCCTACGCAAGAGCAAACGACGACGACACCGTGCACGGATCACTCGTCGGCTGGTGAAGAAGGAGACCACATGCAACAGACCAGAGCAAACGGTAGAGCCTCCTGCGCGCGTGCACGTACCTCCTCCTGAGCTCGAGGCACCAGGATCCAGGAGGCACCCCCTTCTAGCCCATTCATTCTCTCGGCTTGAGGAAGCAATTTCGTCATGTTGTACAATTCCACAGCGAAAAAAGAAGGGAGAAGAAAAAAACGAAAATAAAGAAAAAGTGGGAGAAGAATATGCTTAGAACAAGGTCACTCAAACGTAAGCCCACCCTGACGCGGCCTGAGCCCAAGCCGCCAACTCGCTCGGCGGCGCTTGCTTGAACCTCACCACATCCGGCAACACGGCCTTCTCCGCACCCCCTTCAGCCTCGACGACCGATCGATTCGAATTGTGGTGCGATAGGATACCGAACCCTGATCCACCGACTTTGGTCTCGTACGTCTCGAACCCGGCGTCGTGGAGCGAGGCCTTGACATCGTCCAAAGCGGCCTCGGAAAAGTCTGTGCGCTCGAACTTGCACAAGTAAGCTCAAGCGGTCAATCGAATCTCATCGCAGTACTAATACGCACCATCAGGGATGATCGTCACGGCACACCCTCCCCCACCCGCTCCTGTCAGCTTGGTATGCAACTTCCACGGCTCCTCCCCCGTCTTGGCTTTGATCGCTTCCAGGGCCGCATGCCCAACGCCCAAACTGACCAAATGCGCATGGTTCTGATCGATCAACCCTTCCAACGTCCTCAGTTGCTCCTTCCTCTCCATCTCGGTATCCAAGAGGCATCTCCTCGCCTCGTCCGCGATCGCTTGGATCGACGAGAGGATCGGGTTGACCAAATCGGGTTCGTTCAATTTCCGTTTAGCGACACCCTCGACCAGTGCCTTGGTGTTGCGCGACACTTTGGTATCCGTCAACAGGAACCGGATCGACTTGAACCCGTGCAATCCTTCGAGCGAGCCGGCTCGTCCTTTTACAGCTTTGGTGAAGGCGATCGCACCACCCCACGAAGCGACCGTATTGTCGACGCCTGACGGGGTGCCGTGGATGATCTTCTCGGCCGTGAAGGCCCATGCGTTGACGACCTCGGCCGCGTCGTGCGCGATCGACCGCCGACCGTCGTGATGTCCTTCAGGGCTCAATCGCGGGAGGGGCAACTGGGAGTGGGTGTAAAGCAGTGCCGAGGCAACACAAACCGAGAAGGCCGCCGAAGACCCCAATCCGGCGCCGATGGGGAGTGCGGACCGGACCGTGAAAGTCTGTGATAGCCGCTTCTGCTCCGACAGGTGCATGTAGAGGTACAGGAACGCCTGCTCGGATTGCGCGACCTTGGGCTCGCGGCTCTGGACGATCTTGTCCGCAAGCAAGTAGAGCAACGCCGCGTCCGGGGTCGACTCGGGTCTGGGTGCTTTGGCCGATGCCTCCACTTGGTCCCAAGGTAGTGTTGCGATGTCCCATGTAGAAGTGAAATCAAAGTCGGGCAAGTTGAGAGCGACCTTGCCGTCGTGGCGTGACTCGACATGTGCGTAGCATCGAAGATCAACCGAGCCAGCGATGGCCGTGATTCCATGAACGACAGCGTGTTCACCAAAGAGAATGACCTTGCCCGGGGCCGAGACGATCAGACTTTCGAGCTCCTCCTCGACCTGTGCGCCTTCGCTCAAGGACAGACTCGCGAGCGCTTCCTCGTCCGGGCCAACTACTCGTTCGAGCTTGTGGCGCTCTCCCGCCTCATCGACGACCCTGACCGCACCGGCTTCGAGCAACGCCGCTTCAAGATCATCGATCAGATCCTCGGGGTCCTCGATGCCGACGCACAACCGGATCAAGTCCTCGGGCAAATTCCGTTCCTTCCGGACTTTGGGGTCGATCGAGGCGTGACTCATCAAGCACGGCATCGAGATAAGACTGTTGACGCAACCAAAGCTGACACTGATCCCCCACAGTCTCGCCGCCCCTACGATCCTCTCCGACAGAGCCTTGTCTTTGGTTTCGAAGGAGAGCACGGCCCCAGCACCACTCGCGAGTCGGGCGTGGATCGCCTTGCCGGGGTGGTTCTTGAGACCTGGGTAGTTGACCTTGAAGCCGAGGTCGTCGAGGTATTCGGCGACGAGTTGGGATGTGGCTTGTTGCTTGTCGAGACGGAGCGCGAGCGTCTTGACACCTCGAAGCAAAAGGAACGCGTCAAAGGGGGGCAGACCGTTGCCGATCGAATTGATGGTAAAGGCAATACCCTGTGTGGTGTGAATGCAATAGTCAGCCAAGTCCAGTCTATCCAGTCACTGTCACAGATGCTGACCTTGGCGACATCATCCCTGTTGCAGCAAATGACACCGGCCATGAGATCGTGGTGACCCGAGAGGTACTTTGTGCCCGAATCGTACACGACGTCGGCGCCGTGCTCGAGCGGTCGTTGGAGGTAAGGGCTCATCATGGTGTTGTCGACGACGATGACGGCGTCGGGCTTGTACCTGCGCACGAGCTGGGCGATGGCGGCGATGTCGACGATCTGCAACAGGGGGTTGGTCGGCGTCTCGAGCAGGACCATGGCGACTTTCTCGTCCGGGTTTTGCAGCACGGGTAGCAGGGTGTCGGGACGGGTCGTGTCGAGGTGGTGGGTGTGGATGCCGTTGTGGGCCTTGAGATAGGTCAAGAGACGGTTCGACCCGCCGTAGAGATCGTTGCCGGCGATGATGGAGTCGCCTGGTTTGAGCAGTCGGAATATGACATCGAGCGCGCCCATGCCCGAGGTGACGGCGAAGGCGTGGCGGGCGGACGAGATCTTGGCGATGTGATGTTCTGTGCGCGATGGTCAGGGATGGGGCGTCAGGGATGTGCTGCGAGTCAACCGTTGGGCGTTGTGGAAAGAAGGATCATCGATGATCGCCTAGGGTGTGTGTTCGGAGCCACGGCCGGAGCCTAAGCCCGTTGAGCCGTTCCGGCCGAGCGCGGCGGGGCGACCGGCGGGGCAGCAATGTCGTCATCGGGTCGAGAAGCCAGCAGCAGCGAGCGAGTCGGCGCCGACACACACACACACACGAGTAGACCACGGGTCAACACCGAAGCCGTTCACTGACCCAGATGACTGCGAGTAGGGTTGCCGGAGCGGGTGTAGTCGTACTGCCCGCCCATGCCCTTGAAGGTCGCGGTCTGGTAGATCGGCACCGACGACGAGCCGTACTGGTCCCGGTGCGAGGGGTCCGGGTTGTCGACGGTGGCGCATTGTGTAGCGAACCGATACGGTTTGGCTGGGGGAAACGGCTCAGGCTTTCGTCAGTAAGCGATCCGTACAGCACGGCGAGGGCAGCGCACAGTGGTGTGGACCTCCCCCACGCTGGAGGAGGCGTGGAGCGTCTGACCCGACTGACCCCTTAGCAGCGAACTGGTGAGTGACTGGTTCGAGTGCGACACGGACGAGACAGGCGTCGATGAGCCCGATTCGGTCGTCGAAGGTGGGCTGCTGGACATGGCTGATCGCAAGACGGGATCCGAATGAAACTGCGGAATCGTATGGGGGGGGGTTCCAAAGAAGACGTCAACGGAGCCGAGTCAAACTGAACGCCGGTCGACCGCGGGAGGCCGCTGTCTGTCGGGGGGCGGGGGGGGGGGGGGGGGGGGGGGGCGCGTACTGGCGCGTTGTAAGGGCAGGGAGCGCGTACTATTACAACGGCGCGTGACAATTTGGCGCGCCCGACACCGAAACGACGAGCCAGGACGAGCCATGATACGACGAGGACCGAGCTCAAGCGAGCAGTAGTCAGGCACTCTGCACTCGGCTCATCGTCTCCCTCCTGCCACACTCATCGGCATCAACACTCCGACGCTCTGTCAGCCACTTGTACCCACGAGGCTCTTTACCACACCATCAAGCCTCATCCAAGACCACCCCCGTACGAGTGCCCGCGAACGAGTCGGCAAGCAACCCCGTCTCCCGCTCGACCCCACCCATACCTGCTGTGTGTCAGCTCCCATCAGACCGCACACCTCTTGCTGGAAACATGTCTCGCCACCACCCCGATCTCATCATGTGTCGCAAGCAGACCGGAATAGGTCAGTCCCTCTCTCCTGGTCTATGTTCCATTGCTCAGTGCCAGGTCCCTCCCTCATGCTGACCAACCCAAACCCGCCTTCACTCCTTGTACTCAGCCATCGGTCGGACATGCGAGAAATGTGACGGCAAATGGTAAGCACAAAGCTCTCACTCGTGGTCTTGGAGGATCCACTCCGAACTCACACCTCCCCTTTCTCGTTCACTCGCACTCGCACTCGCAACCCTCTCTCAATCGACCCCCGGCCCGGCCTACAGTCCCATCTGCGACTCGTACGTCCGACCGGCCGAGATCGTGCGCATCTGCGACGAATGCAACTTCGGCACCTACGGGGGGAGGTGCATCGTCTGCGGCTCAAAGGGGATATCCGACGCTTATTACTGCACCGTACGTTCCCCATCTCTTGGAACGGGCTGTGCGCACCTTACTCTGACTGAATTTTACTCCTCCGTTCCATTGTGTGACAGGAATGCGTCCGCCTCGAAAAATCAAGGGACGGCTGCCCCAAGATCGTCAACCTCGGCGCATCGAGGACCGACTTGTTCTACGAACGCAAGAAAGCGGGCCAGTTCGTCAAAGGGTAGCACACGTCGGTCAAACCTCGAATTCTGCAAGGCCACATTCAATGTGGTATTCGAATAGGCTGGGCCTTTTGCTGTAGGTTTGAATGTGATATAGAGCTCACGCACCATGTTTCAGGTCTTTCTGCTCGAGAGGAACCCTCGCCCGCTGCGCTCTCTCTATCGGGGACGAGGATTTCGGCTTCGAGGTCCAAATACTGATGAACAACGTTTATGCGAAAAGAGCTACATACGCGCAGAGGAAGATGATACGAAGAGCATACACGGAGGGGAAAAGGTACGAATGAGAGGAAACACTCGTGAGGAACAGAGCTCAACTACGCACATCTCCATACTGTCGCAAGTTGTCGCCCCTCAACCTTCTCGCCAACAGCATATCCTTCGGCCTGTTCACCGATGCCATACTACAACACAGTCGGTTTCGATTGAACCCTGGGCCAACCTAGCCCAAATCACCCCCTCGCCACCTCAACTCAACCGAATCGTCACCCTCTTGGCATGAATCGCACGGTTACAATCGCCGAACAGGTCGATGAAGTATTGCTCCGCCGCTTATTGGAGCGCTTGCAAGGCCGAGGCTTGGAAACGCAGAGCATGTCCGTGGGAGTGCAAGTCTTGGCTGATTTCGCGGACGATGCGTTGGAAGCTTTTAGAGAGGTCGAAGTATGAGGTGGGCTCATTGTATCAGCTCTGCCGTCATGACGCTTCGAAAGGCTATTCGAGCCCCCTTCACGACACAAGATGATACTCACGGCAGCTTGCGTATTAACAGATTGGTCCCCTTTTGGTAACGACGGATCTCACGCAGCGCGACCGTGCCAGGTTTGAAACGATAGGGCCTCTTGACGCTCGAGACGGCCTGCTTGGCGGACTTGCCGGACGTCCTTGGGTCTGGATAGAGATGAGGTGGTTGATTGGTGGTGAGGATTGGAAAGGAGGAAAAGAGAAATGGTGGGGATGGGGACTGACGCTTGGCAGTGATCGTCTTCACCGGTTTGCTCTTTTGTCGCGCCATGCGGGATGTTGAGAGGTAGTTGAAGAGAGGTCTTGAAATATGGGTCTTGGTGTCTGCACATGTGTCAAGAGGAAGAAGAGTAGAACGGTTGATCTTGTCAGCTCTGACCAACTCAGTTCCCCCCGGAGGCCCAAGCGGCCCGGTCCGGGGTCGAGCTGCCTGGTGGCCATACATGCAGGTAGGAGTGACTCGATGGAAGGCGTCTATCCAAGATCTCTTGTGAAATCCCTGAAGCTCTGAAAGAGCTGAAGGTTTCGTTTCGAAAATTGGGCGGTTCCAGCCCAGAATTGGTGCAAATCTCAAAGTGTCTCAGAATTCGGCCCCTCAGTCCTCAGGCACAGCTTCCCCGCACTTTATGAAAACGCGCGCGGCGTTGTTCGGCCTAGCTCAGGGATCAGGAGACAGGAGACAGGGACCACGGAGTCACGGACCCGGCGGCGGGGTCGCTCTTGGTCCTTGACTCCTTGGACCTCGTCATAAAGCATAGGGGGGCGAGGGGGGGCAGGTTGCCATAACGGGGCGGGAGGGCAAGAACTAAGAATAGCACAGGTTTCACGCCCTTCGAGCCACGTCGCTTTCGAAGCTTCGCCTTGTCATTCGTCACTCGCACACGGCCCGACCCACCCTGCACACTCTACACTTGTGGGCTTGTCAGACTCTGCAATCTTCTTGTCATCTTAGGAGCGCGGACCTAGTAGCCAGACCTACCACCCGGATTTAGCCTGTCTTGATCCAGATCCCCGAACTCGAGTCAAATTCTGCTGCTGATTGTGCCCAGTTGCACGCTTCTCGAGCCAACATGTCTACTTTGTCGCACCTTGTTCACCTTCAAACATTTGAAGCGCCTTCTCAGCTGAATACACTTGATGAGTTTGATGAGATCAGGTTAACGACACAAGTTGGCCCTCGAGAGCAGCCAGTCGTACTACACAGTTACTATGGTCCAAAGGATGGTTCAGGGTCGACTCCGCGAGCATCTTTGGCTGTCCTCAAAACCTCGGTGTCTCTTCATCTCTTTCTCCCTACTTGTCACCACGCCACCTTCATCTACCTCTTCCGCGACAAGCAATGACTCCGACCCCCTCTCTGACCGACCGACTGCCAACATCATACGACGCTCTAGATTACGAGCGAACTTCCCTCACCCACGAAGACGTTCAGAACATTGTCGAGGTCTACAACGCCTCCCTGACGACCTTAGCCAACATCGTCGATCATCGCTCGGTTGCCGATTTCGTTCGTCTACAGAAACCGGGGAACTACGGCGAAGTCGCACTGGCTACGGCGGCCGGTCAAGTCGCCAACATATGGCTTGTAGGCCGAATCCGAACCATTGATCCTGCAGGGGGAATCGTGCCAAAGAAGTAAGCGAAGCCACGTGTTACTGGAGATCTACGCTAGCGCTAACCAAGATGCCGCAAACTTCTATACATGCCCCTGAACAGCCAGCAATGGCGCCTTGAGCGAGATTGCGTCAGGCCTGAAGATCTCGACCGGGAGATTCGACTGGAGCTGTTCGAGTCCGACTCGGAGGTCGTAAAGTTTCGAAATTGGCTCCAAGGAGGGGTGTCTCAAGCCCTTCATCAGCACTGGAAACTTCCCAAGAATCTTCAAGGTGAGCCGCTTGCTGTACTTAGGCGGTGTTAGGCGTGCGAGCAGGGTGCTGATTCTGCTGCTGCTTCCCATCGGCTACTTTATAATAGAACTTGCGGAATTGGCATCGCCATTTGGGCGCAACTCAAACAGTGCATACATCCACCACCGTGTGGTGACCACAAAAGAGTGAGTGCGCGTTTTCCTCACCTACTAAGTTCCCGCAGAAGGGGCCAAACTAACACTGGTTTCACAATGGCATCCTCTGCAGCTGTTGGAATCACGTCTTTGGCGGCGACATCCCGTTCCCTGCCAGCATCAAGGCCTCTATCCGTCCTTGGCTGGGGACGGATAGTGAGGATCCGGCAAGGGAAAGGGAATATTTACAATTTTGGAAGGAGCTGTTGCAGCTCCGCTTTCAAGGAAAACCGACGGAGCTGGCCGCGCCGACGCCCTTCCCGGTTTCCTTCGCAGACGACCCGAATCGACAAAAATACGCACACACAGTTCTGCAAGCAGTGGATGTGTGTGGGATTATGTGCAACGTACAGATACATGTACACGAGGACAAGAGAAAAGAGCAATGGATTGGACGCTATCAATTGACCCCGGTGGCAGCCCGTATCCATGGTCGACTTGCCAGTACACCTCAGCCTGCTGCCAGCCGATCGGTGAGTGCAGCGGTGGGCCCCCATCAGCATGGTCTCTTACTCTTGAACCATGTTTTTTTTTTTTTGGAAAATAATAATAATACTGAGACCTCCTCGGCACCACGATACCTGGGCACGCCTCAAAATTCATCGGCCATTCATTCGCCTGTGAAGAGGTCTGCGTACGAGGCCGAGTTCGAATTGGACTTTGCTGACCTAACTAATAACGGTAAGTGGAGACACCGATGCGCCTAACACTAGGTCATAAGTCAACCTGACATGACCTTTCTTCACCCCCGGCGGCGCCTCCCCCTTTTGCAGCCAAAAAGATCAAGTCGGACAGCGACAATAGCAGCGCCGACTCGGACGAAGACGAAATCGGCCTCGCGGGCTTCGGACACTTGGGCGCCTGACCAATCTACTCGCTTTCTAGTACATAGCTCATTTTTACCAACTGGTATAGAATTGAGATGAATGCCCTTTCGATGTTAAACTCGACCGCGCCGCGCTTGAGAGGTTCAGGGACTCGTCGCCGCCCCGCGGCGCGTCAATGGAAAGAGGGAAGAGGATGAAGGAAGAGCTGCGCGCGCGTTGGCGTTTGGCTGACAAGCTCGATCGTCGCCTCGAAAGTCAAAAGAGCCCTTCCGCTTTCGACAGGAGATGCGGTCCGTGCACGCAGGGTTCCGAGATGTGAAAAATGAGGAGGTTAGGCTCTGAATCAAGATTATGGCTTCGACGATGCTCTCTCTGATATAGAGCAACCACAACCAGTATGTCACAGAACTATATCGGTGCACTGCGATGCAATCCTTTACAGGTTCACCTCCTCCCCGCCAACCCCCCTCCAAGCCTACTCATCACCTGCCCCAACGCCATTCCCCCTACCATCCTCGCCATTCTCACCCCCTTCCCTACACTCTCTATACCATCCGCCACAACGCCCCAACCGCCCGCTCCCCGTCCTTTCGTCTTGGCCCCTGCACCGCCCATCAATAACGCCTTGACCGAGTCGAGTTCGTTGATGATCTCGAGGCCGGTTGAGCGCGCCCAGACGATGGGGGAGAGTTGGGAGCCGTAGAGGCTTGCGAGGTGGTCGCATGTGGAGAGGAGGGCGTGGTTCGGGATGTAGCGTGCTCGAGGGTAACTCTTGAGGGCGTTGTACGATCCTACAGGATGGGAAATCAACATTGGACGTATTCTCAGATCGCGAGTTCGGGGACCACAAACCAGGCACTGCGCAGCAGAAAACTGACCGACATCCCCCCCATTCTGCACCGTCGTTTCCAACGTCTTGAGCAAACTCTGAATATCACCCAAGCCCATATTCAAACCCTGCCCCGCGAGCGGATGAATCGTATGCGCCGCATCCCCGACCAAAGCCGTTCGCAAATCCCTCCCCCCGTGTGGCATGCCCAAGTACAAATCGGCATGTGATAATCGGAGAGGGAAGACGGTGACCGATCCAGGTTGGATAGATTCGATCTTGGGTGGCGATTCGTCCGGGATTGAATCGACTTCGTATACCGAGGCGGCTTGAAGGGGTGCGACGAGCGCTTCGAGTGAATCCGAGAGCTCGGTATCGGTTGGTCGGTTCGCGGATGTCAGGAGGGAGAGGAAGGACGAGAGGGATGCGTAAGGTAGCGTGAAGGCTGCGTTGACGAGTCGGGTCATGAGGTCGAGTGGGAGTTGCCTGATCGCCTTGGCTAGCTCAGGTGTGGTCGACCAGACGAGCGAAGAGGCCGTGTCGGAGAGCTGCGGGACCACACAGCGATCCGATGTCAGCCACGCAGCCCCATTCATTGGCGCACGCTTTCTCTCAATCCCATACGTACCGGAAGGAATGCAATGGGACCTTCGGGCAGAAAGCGTTGCCATGCGGTGGTCATGCCAATACCCATCTCGGCGGGGGAGATGCGCAGCGAGGCGACGAGGCCTTGGTTGTTGTAAGCCCAGCCGAAGGACTCGATGTGAGAGTAGGCCTTGACAGGACTGTTGAATCCGTCGGCGCCAATCTGGGATACGGGAAAAATGGAAGGGTAAGTGGGTGGCTCGGCGTTGCGCGGATAGCACGGAGGCATGAAGAGAGCGTACCAATAACCTTGCTCGGAGTTTCCTCGTTGTCTCGCCCTCGACACCACTGCCGATCTCGATGATGGGCCACCCGGAAGCATCAGAAGTGATGCTCAACACCTTTTTGTTGTCGACGAGATCAAGGTTCTTTGCGCCCTCGAGTGCGCGCATGCACGCTCGTTGCAGATTGAGGTTCTCGATGAGGGTCGCCATCGGAGCGATGTTCGGACTTCGGCACGAGGTCGAGGCGATGGGCGCTGTGGAGTGGGGAGAGAAGGGGTCATGGCGATCGAGTGTGGGCGAGTTGAAGGTGATGCGAGCGTCGGATAGTCCATCCCAGACCTGCATTTCCTCAATCCCTCTTGCTCTTGTCGCATCGAGATGACCCCAGACTCCGATGTCTGCACCGTCATCAAGTGGACGATTCGGTCAAAATTCATTCGCCATGTGCGTGCGCAGATCGTATCTGGTCTCACCTGACAGGAATGCCACATTCTCTGCGGTGATGGAGCTGACGCGGTTGCTGTACTCGTCTGGATTGGGTGCCCACTCGGCGAGCTTGGCCATCGACGAGGCTTCGAGCAGGGTGACCTTGTGCGTCGACGAGATGGCCGCGTTCGAAGCTGTGCCGGAGAGATCAGTCCAAGATTAGCTGTGCTCGATTTGCCTGATTGCATGCGGTCCTCTCACCCAGTGCAGCTGCCAGTGTGCAGCCGGCTGGCCCTCCTCCGATGACGACGATGTCGTGCGGTTCAGCCGACGCCTCTGCTGCTGCCTCTGCTGCTGCTGCTGCTGCTGCTGCTCGACATCTCGGGATACGTGAAAAGGCTCTGGTACGCACAGACTTCCTCGAAAGATTGCGTACTAGCAGCCGGGGTGCGGACGATGATGCGTAGTTCATTGTAGTGTGCTGGACGAAATGATTGAAGCTGCAAGGTGCCAGCCGGCCCATGTCAAGTCTCCAGCGTCGGTGGAGCCGCACGGACCTCTCCAAACCGATGTCGCGGTCCCTGTCACTCTCGGCCGCTGTTGCGGAGCGCTGAGTACGCTGAGTTCCAAGTGGAGCCAGCGTGCCCGGCGTCGCCCTCCGCTCCGCTCCGCTCCTCAGTGCTCACCCTACCCGATCATACCCACTCTTGGTCGCACTTGCTTCCCACTATATCCCCCAAAAAGAGTGAGCGCCGTATCCAATCATGATAAGCTAATGCTCCCGCTCGACCGGCCACGACCCGTATTCGATGTGCTGACCCGCTCCGGAGCTTTCGGTCGGTGCTGCCTTGTCGGTTCGCAGCAACCCAACACGATGGTCGCCAAAGGTTCCGCCGGTCGCGTGCTCCTCGCTTACTCGGGTGGATTGGGTGAGTATCACCCTATTCCATGATTTCAGATTACTTCTTCCGTTCTGACCTACCGCCACCCCTCTGGCAGACACGTCCATCATCCTCGCTTGGCTCATGTCAGTCGATCACTCTTTCGCCGCTCCGCAAGGTCCAGCTGACACCGCTTCCCTCCCACAGTGAGCAAGGCTACGATGTGGTCGCCTTCATGGCCGATGTCGGACAAGAGGAGGACTTTGAAGCTGCCGAGAAGAAGGCTTACAAGATCGGCGCCGACAAGTTCGTTCTCGCCGTGAGTCAAAAGCCCTCTAGCGCCCCCCACCCCACCCAACCGTCGCGACAGGCTGCGTGATTGCATGCGCTGACACTTGAACCAAAACGCGTCTACTGTATTAGGATGTCAAGCGTGAATTCGTCGAGCGCCTTGTCTTCCCTGCCGTTCAGGCCAACTGCATTTACGAGGTATGCATTTGGGCCAAAGTCGGCGTTATCGCGTTCCTTCCTAGCGCTGACCCGAGCGCCCCGGACTGGTTTCTACAGGGCGTTTACCTCCTCGGAACATCTCTTGCCCGACCCGTCATCGCGCGTGCCATGATGGACGTTGTAGTCGAGGAGAAGTGCGGGTCAGTCTTGTTCTCCTGCTCTATCCTCCCACAGTCCGCCCTTATCGTCCGCGCAGGCAGTTGACCCCATCCCTAAAATCCCCTTCAACTCCCCCTTATTTTCCACACAGCTTCGTCGCTCACGGCTGCACTGGAAAGGGTAACGACCAAGTTCGTTTCGAACTCGCCTTCTACGCCTTGCAACCCACCATTAAGGTCATCGCTCCCTGGCGCGATCCCGGTAGGTCACGGCTTGTCGTGAGGTCTAAGGTATCGCGGAACGGTCATGTAGACTGACCTATAAATTTCAGAGTTCTACAATCGCTTCGCTGGTCGAGCGGCTTTGCTCGACTACGCCAAGGAGAAGGACATCCCCGTCTTCCAAACCGCCGCCAAGCCTTGGTCGACCGGTGAGTGAACTACAGCCAATTTCTTAACATGAGCACTGAATCCGATTATTTTTTCGGTCCCACAGACGAGAACCTGTTCCACATCTCTTACGAAGCCGGTATTCTCGAGGACCCCGACACCACCCCGCCCTCGGACATGTGGAAGCTTATCAAGTCGCTCCAGGACGCCCCCAAGGAACCCGAGCGCATCTCCATCACCTTCACCAAGGGCATCCCCTCCTCGCTCTTGATCCACCCTGCCGGCACCGAGGCCGTACCTTCGACCGAGGGCAAGGAGATCACCGACTCGGTCGAGATCTTCCTCACCCTTAACGCGCTCGCCCGCAAGCACGGTATTGGACGCATCGACATCGTCGAGAACCGTTTTATCGGTGTAAAGTCGCGTGGTTGCTACGAGTCGCCCGGTGCGACCATCCTCCGCAAGGCCCACATGGACCTCGAGGGTCTCGTCCTCGACCGCAACGTCCGTGCCTTACGCGACTCGTTCGTCACGGCCGAGTTGTCCAAAATTCTCTACAATGGCTACTGGTTTTCGCCCGAGCGCGAGTTCGTGCAGTCGTGCTTGGAGAAGTCGCAAGAATCCGTCAACGGTCGAGTGCGCATCTCCCTGATCCAGGGCAATGTCATCGTCGAAGGTCGCAAGTCCGACACTGAGGCACTGTACGACGCCAAGCAATCCTCCATGGACGAGTTGGGCGGCTTCTCTCCCACCGACACCACCGGTTTCATTGCGATCGAGTCGATCCGACTCAAGAAGTGGGGTGAGGCGCGCCTCGCGCACGGTGCGACCGTCAAACCCGAATCCGTTTACGCCACGGCCAAGTAAGCTTGCGGGGTTCAATAGAAAGCAACAGCTGGGGTTTTTTTTTTTTTTTTCCGTTAATCTCGTTCAATAACAACGCTTGACTCGTTTTCTTTTTGTGATGCAATGAAAGGGCGTGCAAAGCAGAGCCAATCCGGCGTTGTTTGGTGTTTAACTGTGAACAATCACTGGTGGGTTTTATCTCCCCAAAACTCATACCGCTGAATCAGGCGGTGGCTCATCCCGACGGCGCTTTGAGGCCAATCAAATCAAGCTGCGACGAGCTCCGGTTGAGCCAGATTGCGAGCTGCCTGACCGGAGCCTGACAGCATCCTCGCGACGGAGCCCTCTGCAGGCTCTGCCTCCGTGTCCTGTCCGGGGCTCGAGCGCCATGCCGGGGCTGGAAAAGGACGAAGAGCAAGGTCATGGACTACATGATGCTGGCGTCGATCCAGAGTTGGGAATGACCCCAGGACCGATACCCACACCGACAACGACAACCGCGAGCACGACCCCGCCGCCCTCCTCCAATAAGAGGTCGTTTGGCTGGGGCGTGAGTTCCCGACCGGCGAGCGGTGCTACCTCGATATTGCCTCAGGCGAGATCCCCAACAAGATCCTCCTTCCCGGGATCCAGGTTGTCCTGGTTCGATGGGCCAGGGAGAAAGTCGTTCAAGGCCCGATTCCTACTCGTATGCACTGCCGCGTGGGTGCTGTGGCAGCTCGTCGTCGGCATTCCTGACAGCGCGTCGAGGCGCGCTCGGACACGCGCTATCACGAAGCGGGCTTTGATCGGATTCGAGTCGATCGAGCGCCGAACGCAAGTTCTACCCAAGGACATAGCAGGAGAGAGAACTTGGTGGCCCATCGAAGATCTACTTGAACATTCGCTGCTCGCAAAACACCCCTCGCCGAATTGCAACCTCAATATCTACCAAAAGGATCGCTACGCGCCTCTGCTGTCCCGGTATCGGTATCGGGGTCCGCATTTCTACCACAACAACACAGATTGGACCGTCGTACCGCACTACTTGCCGCGCAAAAAGATCACGTACTTCATCGCCATTAACCTTATCAATTCGGACTACGTCCTCCCGGCTTTAATCAGGGTTTTCTACACCGTCCTCTCTGCGCTCGGCCCTTCGAGATTTCATGTGTCAATTTACGAGAATGGATCAACCGATACAACGCCAGCTCAGCTCTACCTCTTCGCGATGGTACTTGATCGGCTCGGAGCTGGGTACACGATACACTCGGACGCTGCGAAAGCGGGATTCCCCGCTGGAGCGAGGATCAAGTCACTCGCCAATTTGCGCAACAAGGCACTCCAACCCCTGCTCGACGCACCGAAAGGAACGTTCGATCGCGTCCTCTTTATCAACGACGTGCACTTGTGTGAAAGTGACCTGTTTGAATTGATGCTGCAACACGAGGTGCAAGACGCCGACATGAGCTGCGGTATGGACTACAAGTCGCTCGAGATCAAGGAGTTTGCGCCAAACTATCCGGTCATTTTTTACGACGTTTGGGTAGCTAGGGACATGCTTGGACTGTGAGTGTTCACCTTGTTTCGTCAGCCTCATCTTCTCTGACACTAATGACGGGAGATAACGAATCTAATCACACTACAGACCCTTTTACAACATATCATATCCTTCGGGAGCCTGGGATCTACCGGGAGGCGCTCGACCGATGCCCCTGTCACCGGACCGCTTCCGCTTGTACGACCTACAGCCCGTGCAAGTCTTCTCATGCTGGAATGGTGTGACCATCATCGACGCCGATCTGTTCGTGAATCCAAGACACGCGCTTCGGTTCCGTGATGATGGCGATACCGATCGGCAGAGCGAGTGCTACCTGTTTTGCTCTGACCTTTGGAAGACCACCTATTCGCCCTTCTCGTCCGATGGTGACCCTCAAGACGGTGGCCGCGGCGCTCGTATCCAGGTCGTGCCTCGAACGGTCGCGACCTATCAACATTATGAGTACGGGCAGGTGCGGCAGGACAAAAATACGACCGCCTTTGAGCAGGAGGGCTGGCTCAGGGACAAGAACAATTTGGACGAGCTGATCGAATGGAAGAGGTACCCGCCGCGGCTGATCAATACCTATGAATATGGTGCGTTTCTTTTCAAACCCAGTGGCTGTCGACAATCACTGACTGTTTGATTTCTCCACGTGCTCGCTGCTCGCTGGTCATCTGGTCACGCAGCTGTCTGGAGTAACATGGTACGTGGATGAACTTGCTACCGTCGCTCCGCAGGCTTGATTCATGCGCTTACATTGAGCCTCTCTCGCTTCCTTTGTCCGCAGACCCGCACACCACCCTTCACTTGATATCAGCGCGGCGATAGCAGTGTTCAATGGCAACCTCTGTAACCTTATGAAGTAGAATGTCTGTATGTCAGTCTTGTTGCAACACGTCGTGACTTTTAGCGCAGCGCCCACGCCGTTCCACGAGAAGAATGGCCTCCTTTCCACCCCTTCTCCGCGACGAATATCGATCCTTCTCCAGAAGACGACTGCTTCCGACCCAGGTTCGGACGGAAGAAGCACGTCTCTATCCGCACCCGAACGAAGACTATCCTTCATCGAAGGCACCATTTAAATCCGCTCAATGGTGCATATTCGTCCCTTCAACTTCATCCGCTCGGCTCGACTTTGGTTCCTCTTCCTCGGCAGTGCCCAGCGGAAGCATGATTCCACCACAACGCAAAAGCGACCCGAATCAGGCCGTCAACTCCAAGAAGCGCAAACGGATCGCCCGCACGAGCCGCGAGACGAGTTGCGAAAGCTGTGAGTCGGGCATGTCAGCTCCGGCGGAAAGGCGGAGGGGTCCCGCAACCCGCGGCTCGTTGAGGGTTGTCGACGAATTGGGCCACTAACTTCTGTGCGGGATCGCTGTGGGCCTTGATCACAGGCCGGCGTCGAAAGCTCAAGTGTACATCCGGTGAGCCATTGTTGACCTGGAGGCACATCAGTTGCCAGGTGCACCATCCCCTCGTCGTTCCGCGGAGCACTGACAATGCGCATGGCGTCCTTGCCACACCCCTATCGCTTCCCCAGCCCGACCCGCTTGCTCGATTTGCCTTCATTCGGCACAGCTCCATGGCCTCGACCCCATTGATGCGATCTGTCACTACTCTGTGGGGTCTATTCATACCATCGATTACGATCGAACCGTCGACCAAATGCTCAAGAAAGGGTGTTGCGTCGTCGATCGAGGATTGAAGCAGCAGCTTGCGGACGCTATCTCGCAACTGACCGACAAACAAAGACGTGGCGAGCTTGATCTCGTACTGCGCAGAAAGAGGAAGGCACTGGATGAAACTTTGAGTAGGCCCGATACGAATCATTTCTCCTGATCGGGAAGAGATATCAAGCGAACAGCTTACGTGCCCTAATCGTTTACCCACCAGGCTCGTCTAAACTTCAGGAGAGCTGCGCATCCGAGACCCCCCTCAGGCACATCACCGCATCTCGTCGGTCAACGCGTTTTTTTGCACGTCCTGATCTTGGATTGATAACGTCGAGCGAACAGGTTCGCACTCCATGCAAATCGAGTCCAAGTCCGCCTCAGGATCATCCACCGCCTGTCTCATCGCCCGGCTCGTCGTCTCCTCTCTCGTCACTCGTGGCCGACACTCCACTCCACACCGAAGAGAGGTATCCCAAGGGCCACGAAGAGGCAATCCAGGGCATTTCAGAAGAACCTAATCTCCCCGAGAGCAAGATTGAACCGGCAGATCATCTCAGCACTTCACTGATGCATGCATCGGTGCTTACTCCAGCACCGCTTTCCCCGCCCAGTGTTGCATCGCCGTCGCCGTCGAAGAGTGACTTGGGCCAACCACCAACAGTCGGCTCGGTCATCGCGACGCTGGACTCGACACGAGTGAAACGGCTGGAAGATACCGTCTGCAAGATCGAGGATTCGTTGGCCATTACGCTTACGACCGAGTTCCCCAGCCTGGGCGGCTCGTCAGAGACCAAGGCCGAGAACGACCTCGATCGGCTGTGGGCGCCCCCGCTCTTGCTTTCGGAGGACTTCTGGCTTCCGGGACCTCTACGAAAGGAAGAACTGTGGGGATGGAGGGTAATAGAAGCGTATGGCATGACCCTGTAACTTGGTTTTCTGGCTTCTGTCTGTAACTCAGTGTTTGTCGGCCTCGTGAGACTGGGAGATTAAAAAAGCGACAGCACGAAATTTGGTTCATGTATAGCAAGAATCCTGAGCGGTCTAAAACGACTGAGTCCCCTTTCGATCCAAGGGATTATGCATCGTTGTCCGACCACTGCCTAGATGATTAGGTATGCACTCACTGTGAGAACCTGCATTGATTATATTTGATCCCGTGCTTTGCATGGGTGTCGAGGCTGCGAGGACTTACGAGAGATGGCGCACGAATCATGCACGAAATCGTTTCTGCCGTAGATTTGAGGCTCGTCCCGAACAAGACCATTTTATTATTCCCGTATCAGATGCCCAGGCACCTCCTCAAAGGGCCGAGAGTAGGCTCCCTTTCACCTAGGTATGCGCGGAAATTATATGGCATAGGTTGACCCGGCCCCTGTCCAGATATCCGTAGGCTGCAACGGACACCTGAATGATGAATGATCAAGTTCGACGAGATTTGCATGATTTAGTTCGACGAGATCTCTCACAATAAGCCGCCGTGGTGTTACATTGACACCGATCTACGGTATCTTGGCGCCGGCAAGATCCCACGAAAACTTCGGGAGCCAGTGGACACTAGGCCCCACCCTAGGCCAGACAAGCCCCTGATCTACCAGCGCCCACATCCACGACCCTGCCGCCGACACGACTCTGGCCCTTCGACTCCGGAGAGTGCGACTTGCTGCCGGATAAACGGCGGTCGAAGCCTCGAAGTCGCTTAGTACAATGCGCCTTTAGCGCCGTTTAGTGTTGTCACCGCTCGATAAGGGTTGTCTCTTTTTTTTAAAACGTTAGCTGAGATTCTCGTTCTCATTTTTGCCCCACCAGTGCCATCATACATGGCGCAAACCCAAGGGCGATCACGCTCGATGTGATTCACTTGACTTGATCGGCATCGCTTGATTTGCGTGGGGGCTGGGGTCGGGATAAATCACCGCGAAAACTTATGCCGACGACCTACCGAGGGATTTGAATCGGGTAATGACTTCCTGCCTGTATCTAAGGTACCCTGCCGTAAGATCCTTGTTGATCTGGCCGCCTGTCCTTCTGGACGCGATCGGAGAACGTGCACGTTCTCGAATAGGGAATCGCTGCCACGGTCGGAGTAAGGGCCTACTACCGGCTTACATGTCAGGAACTTGGTACCCGAGCTTGAACTCAAGTTCCGCGGTCAGCGCGATCCAGCGCAAGCGTGCGCCGCTCGCTCTCATTGAAGTCCGTAGTGGTGCCTGTCCACGGAAACACTTCCACCTATACCTCCGTACTCGTAACTACCTTGATCACTCCGCACCGCGAAATCGTAGGGTAGTGTACGTGGAAATGAAGCAAACCTTTCTATCGATTTCCCATGTCTGCTGTAGGTACCTCACAGCTGAAGAATTTGGGATCGCAGGCCCGGAAGTTTCCATGGCAGGACTTCGACGAGTTTCACCCTCATCTCCGGTCATTAAAACTTGGGACGGGGGTAGCGGTGCACCGCTTGCCATCCCTTGCAGTACTGGTGATGTATTTTCCCGAAAACCAGGATGGGACACCTGCTGGACTACGTGCATACTAGGTACTGTCCTCGCTGAACTGGTCGGCAAAATGTAAAACAAATCCGCCTACGCCTACGATGGACCTCGCTATGCCGGAGCAGCCAGGCACCCTATTAATGTAGGTGGAAAAACGAGCATCGAAGCGTAGAGAGACCGTGGAGAGACCGGCATTTAGTCACACGCGACCCCCGCGCGCGCGTCGCCAGGAAAACTGCCTAGTAGTGCCTAGTGGGCACAGCCGCTGCCCACTGCTCCAAGGGTGCACAACTGCACAGTTAAGTCACACTCTGCGCACGAGGGCGAGAGAACAGTGGGGGGGCCTTTGTGCATGTCCACGACATTTTAGGGCGTGGCTTAAGTTGCCGATGTCGCACCCAGCTCGATCAGCAGACAGCTGACCTACGCACCGGTAAGAGTGAGCTTATTTTGGACAAAGTTTCCGTGCCCGGTTCCCCAGCTTTCTAAATACCAGTCTACACGAGCTAGACAGAGCTAGACGTGCCCAGTGCTCAGTGGGCACTGCTTAGGTTCCTGCATCTGTGATCCCCTTTCGACTGTCGGTATTGCTGAATCGTCTTCTACCGTCTCCGAGTCGTCGTTGTCGCTCATTTCGCCCTCGCATCGGCCTTCCGCTTCTGCGATTCAATCTCCGGTGGCTCAGCCGGAGCTCCGCTCTGATCGACGCTTCTGTGCAAGTCCTTTATAAGTGTGCGACGAATCGAGACGCCCGCACCGTGACGAATACGATCCCCAGCTACTAGCCTATTAGGAAGCGGATCCGACCTACTCCACGATTGGGCTCAGCCGGGTTGTGGTACACACTCCTTGTAAATACTTTCACCATCTACGTACCCGACAGGTGCTGGTGGTCGCATTTCATCTGCAGCCGCACGCAACAGCCTTTTAAGCCTCGGGCTCGGTCAACCCGTCCGCGGCATTTGGCGCTGGGTGCTCTCGCGCGCATGGTACGCGTCGGAGCGAACCCCGTCAGGCACTGCCCTGAGGGGTTCGACGATTGTAGGCAGCAGTGCGGTGCGAGCGGGTGATGGTCGCACAACAACACGGGCACGGCCGTTATGGCTATCAGGAGATGCAGAACAATTCACAGCAGCACATGTACCCGTCCATTGACGACACCTACCGGCGCATGGACTCGAACTCTGGCATGGTGACAATGTTGATCCCCTCCGAACCGAACACCAACCACTGGCAGGCGCACTACGAGCAGCAGGCGTGGCACGATCAACCGAGTGGATCTTCAGCTCGTTCGAACGAGCTGTACTCTTATCACTCGGATCGTCACCGCTCGACAGGGGGAAGCTCTTCTTCGGGCTCATCGGTGCTGCGATCCTCACACTACGACGTGCAAAATCAGCATGCCGCCTCTGGGCTTGTTTACGCCCCTTACGACCCTTCTGCGCTCGATCCGCACATGGGGCCTCATCAGGGCCGTGCACCACCCACACCGCCACTTCAAACCCATCATCCTGGGCCACATCTGTCTGTGCACCATGCATATTCATACTCAGCCGGGGACCCAAGTCCACCTGGCTCGGCTCGTTCACTCGGTGAATATACTGCGCTGCCGCATCACATGCGGTCGGATGGCGTCGAAGGACACCATTCTCGCGCGACACGGTCCGAGTCATGGCCGGGCTCCTTTACAAACCAGCAACACTCTCAGGATCAAGACCATCACATTTATGAGGAAGTGGGGAAACTCGCTACGTCGTATGCGATGTCGGATTCTTGCCCTCCACAGTCCCGTCCAAAGTCGACATCGCCGCACGAACACTGGCAGTACGAGAAAGATCAATCGCCTCATACCTTCGCACCTTCATTGTGGTCATCCGATCTGCTTGCGACACAGCATCAGCGATATCCGACGCAGCAGATGAAATCGGTTCACTCATCTGCGCAAGACGATCTCGTCGGTGGCCTTGCGCAACGATGGCAGTGGAACGCACAGTTCGACTTGCACCTTCAACCGCAACCGCAACTGCAACCGCATCCGCAACCGCAGTCTCAAGAACAACGTCAGTAAAGACTGCGTCCGATTATCTGCTTTGCTTTGACCGATTACTGACGATATTGAGAATGCGTGATCGGTTCCGCCCACAGGCTATTCGATGCGGGGATCCTCCTTTCGTTCTGGCGAAAACCAGGAGGAGCCCACTCCTCCTCCCGTCAAAGAAGAGCGCACTGCTCCTGGTGGGGAGCAAACGAAGAGTCGCGCTTGGTGGACTCCCAACTCCTCGGCGAATGATGCGGCTTCGAGCACAAGTGGTAAGTCAAGGAAGGTGAAGCTTCCAGTCAAGTTTTCGTGTGAGAGGCTCACATACGTCGCTTTTGTGCGCAGCTTCGACAGACGACCGACCGGATTCGTTTTCTGGCCAACTGCGGAAGCTCAAGGGCAAAATGAAGACTCGCAAGGCCAAAGGGAATATGCGATTGGCCTCCGAGGAGAACGAGCCTAGAAGCGAGGGCGAGGCCGAAAGTGACGGAGAGATCGAGGGAGAGGGTGAGGGCGAAGGTGAGGGCGAAGAGGATGAGGAAGAGAGCGAGACCATTTCTGCCAACGATTCGGATGGGAAGCTGCGTCGACGAAAGATCAGTGAAGCATCTCGTGAATATGCTCAGCGCCGCTATCGCTGCGAGATGTGTGTTGGCGAGCCACGAATGTTTGCTCGTCCATCCGCGCTCAGGATACATATGGTCAGCACCAGGAGATTTTGAAGCCTCAGCTAGCATATGAAACAGCACTGATCGGAGATTGCCACTGCTCACCGTCTTTCTGCACCTCTCCCGCTCCTCAGCTGACACACTCCAAACTCAAGCGTAAGATTGTCGGATCTGCTCCACCTACGTGAGCATAGAGATCTAGCAGCTCACACACACCGCTTGTATCTTACAGCACACTGCTGCCCCGAGTGTAATCGCTGCTTTAGCATCCCGAGCAATCTCACTCGCCATCGTAAACTGCATTTGGCGCCACCCCATAACCGAGACGAGGACGGCGGCGTGCGCAATGTACGCAGGGTGAGTGTGTGAGCGAGTCGCTCAGAGTCGGGTGCGTTTTATTTACTCCGAATATATGCTAAACCCGATATTCCGCTTTTGACAGAGTGCCCTCGAGCCCCACGAGGTGAAATGCTTCCTCTTCTCGGAACAGATCAGCACGCTGCAGAGCACGGTGTTGACCACGCCGATGCTCTATAAATGCTCGCAGGTTGACGTAAGCCTATATACCCCCGCGCCCTCGTTAGGGGAAGAGCTTTGCGGGGAGGGATAATGGGCCTACGAGCATGCTTGCTGTCACTGTCACCTCGACAATACGCCAACGAGCAAGCTTTCCCGATTCCTCGACTGCGCATCCCCCCACCCATTCGCATCATCTTAGGCCCTGTTGTACCAGCCATTCTCGATTATCCCATTTGGAGTGCTATGATCTGATGATTTTGTAATAAAAATTCTTCAGTGACATGATGGTCCACCTTCCGAACGGCTGAGTAGAGGTTGTGACTCAATTTGCATCGAGCGGGCGGTCCGTGCAGTTGGCCCCCTCTTCCGCGATCCGCGACCCGACAGGAAGAGGCGGGCAATGCTCGCGAGGGGAGGGTGCCGCACGCTCGCCACGTCTCGCTTCACAAACTAGAACGTCCGTCATTATTGTGTCAGATTGAGCGAGACCCTCGGAGCGTGGACCGTGGACCGTTGGCGAGGAAGTGCCCCACTGCACGGCCCCTTTCGTGCGCCTGAGCGCTCGAACGCTCCGGAGATCGTCATAAACTCGGGGCCAGCCAGCTGAAGGTCACCAGGGTGAGACTTCATTTCCGTACGTTTTCAACACTGGGGATACTCTACTAGCACTTGCTGAGTGAGGGGTTAGTTTTAAGTTAAAGTTCATAGATTCCAGCCGCTTCCAGAGATGACTGAGGCACAGCCCCCTGTTGGACAGCTATAGGAGGGCCAACGGGACATGTTTCAGGAGGTGTGTCCGGCTCAATCGCCTCACGACCGTTCCGGGCCGGGCTTTCGTTCCAGAGTGACTAGTCACTTCCCCAGACGCGACTCGACTCGCCCGCCTCAAATCTAACTTTTTACCCGTAGAGCATGGAATACCGTCCTCGATACCGGCATCAGAGCTCGCCTCGGGATCTACACGCGTTCGATGGCCATCAGGAGTGGGAAAGGCTGCTCGTGCGCTGCCACCCGGCCGAGGTGGCATCGACACCTTCAACGCCGCCCGCGGGCCATCTTCCGGCGTCGATGCTGTTAAGAGACTCCGGCGATGTCACTTGCGCCTCTTCCTTAATCTCGGGGGGGATATCGCCCTTTAGGGATCAGCGTCATGGTGGCACGGGCACGTGGAAGAGGCGAAGACCGAATCCAGCATCGGTCGTCATTGGCATCGTATTTGGCCTTGTCGTCAGTCGCTTGCTCGACAAGGTCATGGAGGATACCTCTCTATCATTTCCTTCGATCAAGGAGCGGGATATTTTTTCGTGGAAGAGCGCATCAAAGCTGCCAAAGGTAGGCAAGACACCTCGACTGTGGATACGCACCGAAGCGAACGAAGAAGGCATCGGCTCGGCACTGCAACGCATCAAGGGTGGGATCATCCTGGCGGCATTCTTTGATGCCACTTTTGTTGTCGGAGAGACGTTATCGCAGCACGGGTACTACCATGACGAGGTGCTTAATCCTCACGCATTCGGTCCCGACGGAGTCGATGCGTGGCAAGTGCCGTCGGGGAGGGTATGTCGCATATCTGGTACGCAGTGTCTTGACACTCTCTTTTACTTCAAAATACTAGAAGAGGACAATGTGATCTGACTTTATCACCTCCTTGTAAGTTCATAGACTATCTGCCACGGTATCGTCGAGACATGGTCATCAGGGGTGCTTGCAGTCGGTTAGGAAAAGGCTACGAGCTAGGATTGAGAGTGAAGGAGCAGCTGGATGAAAGGGGTTGCACCATCATACTCGAGGACATCGTCCACGAAGTCGTGGAAGACCTCAACGCGTGCTATCGTAACTTTGTGCGACAAAGGATCGGTGGTATCGAGGGACGGAGATTGGATCGGCCATCAGTGGAGGGATCGGCGGTGTCACCCGATCGGACGGCTCTGTCCTGCGGAGTGCACATCCGGTGGGGTGACGCCGAGATGTTTGAAGGAACGATGGAGAAGCCGCGAGGTTCGATGCAGCTAGCTCACATCAACGACATCATCTCAAAATTGCGCGCACGGTTCGTCAAGCTCGACATTCGGGTCGTGATGGAGAACGTCAATGCGACCGTTCTGGGTCTGCTCGACTTTGGCGACTACACTGTCATCGACAGTGGCGACTCGTTCGCGGATCTCTTCGCTCTCGCCGACAACGATGTCACATTACTCGGAGGCTCGAGTTACAGTGCTCTTTCGCACATGCTTGCGCCATCGAAGGGCCTTTCGATCGTCGAAGGCATGGATCTACCGAACAAGTACCTGGACTCGACCTATCGCGCGGTTGTCCTAAACTCGGGGCGCGCCGTCGACTATGTGCAGAAGATCGTCGAGCTCTTTCCCGAAGTCGAGACGAAACCTCTTTGAAGAATGAGATGGCCTGTTCGGTGTAGAAAAAGGATCTCGCTTACAGTGTATTCGCAGCAATTTACGCCGAGGGAGCCTGTCCCTCCCTATACTCTAGCAAATATTGCCCGGGGTTTTACTCAGGGGCTCCCGAAGCGATGACATGAACAACGCAGATTATCTATCATTAATGTTAAGCTGAAAACACACGCGCGTAAAAATCACGTAGATACGACTGATACACGGATCGTCTGTACTAGTGGAGTAGAAGGAATCAAGCGCTCCCAGAACCACCCTGTAAGTCTCCCCGACCACCGCGACCGAAGACCGGACCCCCTCTTCGAAGCTGGATCACACCGAGGTGGTGACCTGGGGGTAAGCCTGAGCGATCGTTTGGAACAAAGCGGGGTCGCGTTCGGCGAGAGCCTCGGGATCCTCGCCAAGACCAACGAAGATCGTCGACACGCCGGAGGAGAGAGCACCGTAACCGAGGGCGTGGCTGAATGGATCGACGACGACATCAAGATAGGTACTCGGGTTTTGCCGAAGGACTCCAAAGACGAGACCTGGAACTCACCAGATGAAGAAGCCAATGACGAACGCGTAACCCATTACCGCAGCGCGGACCGAAGAGTTGTTTTGGACGTAACTCGGGTTGATCAAGGTCAGATACAGATAAGCTGCCGCAGAGCACAACGCTCCGACGGCGAAGCTGCCGAACGTCCAGATCGAGTTAACCAACGAGTCGTTGACGAGAGCGTCAATGCCTCGGTCCTTGAACAGATTCCAGGTGTCCTTGGCGGCCTGTGAGGAGGTCAAGCACAGCACATCGTTAGGTCGGTTTCAATAGGCTCACATGCTGGGACTCGGAGAAGACTGACCTGGATGTAAGCCTTTCCGTAGAGCGCGATCTCGATCATGGCATAACGGTTAAAATATTCGACCAATCCGGCGATGCATCCCATGCAGCATTGAACGCAGCATATGATCAAAGCCGCGATGCCGTTACCCTGGCCTTCTTCGTACGATCGCAAGATGCTGAGACCGGCGCGGATGAGGTCGAGCAAGGCGACGACGAGCGAACCGAAAGCGATCGAGCCGATGCTGTAGGTCGAGGCTCGCTTGAAGGCACCCCAGGTGACGGATTTGGCGTCGAAGCCACCAAAGTAGACCGCTCCGTACACGCCGGCGTTGATCGTCAAGGTGTAGTTCGTAATGAACTGACTGACCCAGAAGAAGTTGAAGCATTCGAAGACGATCAAGCCGATCATGGTCGCCTGCGAGGGCTGTCCGCCGCTGGTCGAAGAGGCGGCCGTTCCGGGGTGGTACTTTTGGTAGGTCGCGATCACGACAAAGGACCAGAAGACCGAGTAGGCGGCTTGGACGAGGCAGCCGACCATGGCAATGATATAGACCGAAGGGTGGTGTTCTGCGCAGACGGGACAAGTCAGCACGCGAATCCCTTGGACGCAATTGGTTGGAGGGACAGGTGACTCACTGGCGATCTTGAGCACGAACAAGAGCAGCGCCTTGGACAGGGGTATCCTCTTCCTCATGGGGAAGTACGCAATCACAGAGATGACCGCAAAGATGGAGAAGATGATGGCGCCGGACCAGAATTTCTCGATCCAAAGGTAAACCGCGTAGCTGTGGTTGCCGGAGAGACCATTAGCGACGATGATCAAAAGAGAAGACACCAAAGGAGTACTTACGCGACCGAAAGGATGACCGAAAGTAGTAAGCAAATCTCTAGAATGATGGTAGTCTAGGAGTAGGGGCAGGGTCTCGGAAGCATGAGCTCGACGGACTCGGGGGATACCTTGTCTAGGTGGTTCAGGATACACGTACGAAGGCTCGGACAATCCCCAAGAGGATGATCGAAAAGACGAAACCGGCACCGGCGATGCAAGCGAGCAAATAGCTGGTCGAGAGGTTGAGCGTAATGGAGTTGCCGGGATTGCCGAGCGAATCGGCACGAACGTTGACGGCGCGCAGCACGAGAACGGCGACGGCGATGAAGCCCAACATCTGCGCGACAAAGAAGATGGCAAAAAAGATATCGTTGAACCTATAGTGCACAAAATTACGCAGAGTCGTGTTTATTAGCGTCAGTGTCAGAATTTGTCGAGTTTGAACCGGAGCAAAACCTGCCTCCCTAACCTGAAGACTCACTTTGGCTTGATGGCGTCGAACTTCTGGGTCTTGTCTCCATAGTCCTGCGAGTATTTGCCGTTACCACCGTTCGTGTTGTCGCCGTAACCTTGTTGCTGCTCCTGGTAGTACTGCTGCTGGGGTGGCGGCGGCTGGTAAGACTGACCGGTCTGGCCACCCGCGCCGGCGTTGTGGTACGGCTGCTGCTGGTGCGGCTGGCCGGACTGGGGCTGCTGGTGCTGGGCGCTGTACGGTTGGCTGTGGGGCATCTGGTACGGCTGAGGTGGAGGCGCATAGTTGTTCTGGTTCACGACGTTGCCATCAGCACCCAAGTTCGGGTAGGGTGATTGGCGAGTCGCCATTTCGCAAGCAGCTGAGCTGGGACTGAGAGCTGGATGGCCGATGCGAGGATCGAGCGGCGAGGTGTTGAGGTTGAAAAGCCGCGCGGCGGTGGGTGGATGATCGAACTCGGGCGAAGAGGGGGAAGCTAGGGGAAGCTCAACAGATCCTGGCTACACGACTTTTTCGGGTCGATCGGGTGGAGGTCTATGTAATCCGTGGTAGGCAGTAAAGCTGTGCTTTGGTCAACTACATACCACGTGGCAGGGAGGCGGCACAACTTGAGCCTGTATGGTAAACACATCTCAAAGCAGCGCAGCCCATTTGACTCTCCTTCCCTAATTAAGCCGTTTTCAGACCAAGTGTCTTTGAGAGTGGCAGCGCCGCGCCGAGCCAAATGCTACTTGTCGAGGATCGGCCTTGAGATCTTGAGAGCTGTGCGCGTTTTCACTTGTGTGCGGGCGATTCTTCATCGCGCACGCGCACGGACCGCTTTCAGGCCTGGGGACGCTTGGACCGCCGTCGCGTCGAGTCTCGCGTCACAATCTCTACATATGGCCCCATCCTTCGTTCATTCATTCGTCACGGCCATTAGAGATCAAATAACTAGGTCGGCCCAAGGGCTACATCTTGCGCCGGTCCTGTTCGGGCTTTTCTCCGCGGCTGGCAAAATAGTATCCTTCAAAAATGCCCCACCAGGATCCGAACTCTGCCAAGCTTTATCTATTAAAATCAGAAGGGTAGTTAAATAGCGTAAGGCAGCTCACCCAATGCGCTGGTTTCCTCGCCATTCGTGCGCACCAGCGACACAGATACCCAACACCCCTCTTGTACCCGACTGGTTCTGGTCCTTGCCGTAACGCGACCAATTACATCGCGCCCCAGGTTCAATACTCACTGCAGCATCGTTGCCCACGGTGTCCGCTTTGCTGCCACGCTGGCCTCCCTCTCGGCCTCCCAGCGGCTCCGTCAAGCGCTCGTAGACCCCAAGTCGACTATTACCCACCTCGAGCGACTCGCGAACAAGGTCGAGGACGTGCGCAACATCAACCCGTCGACGCGCCAGACCTCGTTGGCGCTCGCGGCCCGTGCGGGCCGGTTAGATGTCTGTGACTGGCTGCTCTTTGACGAGGGACACGAGGAGATAGAAATCAGCAGAGTGAGTAGCCAGGTAGTACCTAGTTGGGTGTGCCTTTTCACCCTGTGGTCTCATCGAACTACGCTGACACTCTGCCCTTCGACGGACGAGGTGGTATCTGCTACACAGGATGCCGCAGGCGAGACCATCCTCCACATAGCCGCTGCCAGTGGCTTCGTGGATCTGCTCAACCTGTACCTATCCCAATACCCGTAAGGACCTCTCCCTTCCTTCTGCTGGCCATGGCATGTCGTTGGTCCGCGACAATGTCGAGCTCACTCCGAGTCATCACCGCCCCCCACATACGGCACCGTCGATCACCCCTCTGCCCCAGCTTCGTCTTGGACTGGGTCGATGCCAGAGGGGCTACACCGCTGCACATTGCCGCTATGAAAGATCAACTTGAAGCCGTTCAGGTGAGTACGGGTCCTGCACGAGCCGCCCTCCCATCGATACACGAGAGCTCATTTGGGAACTGGCGCTGCTCGCAGATCCTCATTCATGCCGGATCGGAAATCGACGTGCGCGACATGTTTGGGAACACGGCGTTGCATTATGCGGCCAGTTGGGGCAGCTTACCTGTGAGCAGACTCTGAGTCTCTGTGCTGAGACCGTGCCTCTGCATACGGAAGCTCACCGACGAAAAAGCCTGATCTTCGTCGAGACAGGTAATCAAACTCCTCATCGAACTCGATTGCGATTACAACGCCACTAATGGCGAAGGTTTCATCCCATACGAGTACGCCTATAGGTTAGTCACATCTGTTCACGATCCTCTTCTTCGGTAAGAAACCGATTGCATGCTAACCATTAAGGACATTCGTTTTGCCAGCTTTGACGTCGCCCGGGCCATGAAAGAGGTGGGTCAAGAGATGCGAGCAATCTATCGGCCAAACTATCACACTGATAGGAGTGCTCTGTCTCCAGTTCTACGAAGATCGAATCGTCGAGCGGTCTCGGAAAGCCGAACGGCGTCGAGCACGAAGAGCTAGGATCGCTACGACGAGCCCTTCTCTGTCGGGCGAATCTGTCGCCCACTCCGACAACTATGCATACGAGTCCTCATCATCGATGGAGCGAGATCCCAGTCCGATCGGGATCTGCCTCGGTTCACCCTCACGATCCGGAACGGGCGACACTTTGAGACCAGCACCTCGTCAAAACCAGAGCGGATCCTCGTCGAGACGCACCTCTCAACGTGAAGGTCCCAACGGTAGTTCGAAGCGCAACTCGGCAACGTCGGATCTTGCTACTGCATTCAATCAGGTATCCGAAGTTTCAGACTCGAATGCCAGTCGGAGTGAAACACCCTCCCGCCTGAATTTGTTTGGTCGGAAAGAAGGCGGATCCGGAGATGGGCGAGGACTACCTCGGTCTCCCATATCCCCCCCACCTGTCACTTCCCTATCGCCGACAGATTTGTCCCTTGACGGCAGACGATCGGACGAGGGCATCTCGTCGGCCTCGGTCGCTCCACGGCATCGATCGCAGAGCTCAGTGTTCCCTTCTCAATCGACCCTAGTAGCTAAACAGGATGGTCCACCGATACCGACCCGAAGTCGAACTCTGGATCCTCTGGTCCCTGGTCATACTTTGTTCACTGCAAGGTCCGACGAAAGGGACCCATCATCATCGAACAGGATGCGTCTCGGCAAACTGACCAAAGATCCGAGCTCGGGCACGGCTACGTCCACTGCGATGGGAACCGAGCTCGATCAGACGTCGCCTGTCCCCGGAGTGTTGCGCAGTCGAACGACGGGAAGCGTTGTATCGTCGGCTTCACATGGAGGGAGGGCCTCGAGGATGGCCAAAGCTCTGGGTTTAGGCCTCGGAAGGAAATAAGGTAGGGAGGGGTCTCTTGAGATCATGGCCGGTGTTCATGGGCAGTCTCTTGCAATACATGTATGAACAGTCTCGATAGGAGACGGCGGCACGAGCGGATCTAGTGTTTGTCAGATTTTTTCTTTGAAAAGGACTAGCTGGTTTTTACGACTGAAAAGCTGAAAATTGGGGACTCGCTCGAACCGTCGTCTCCCGAGCACTCGACATTCAAAAGGGAGAAGCTTGCCAACTTCTACTTCTACAACCAGGCAATTGTACGATTTTTTGCCCATTCATCGGCATTCCACGGTTACTCCTCGGACTCTGTTCTACCCTAACAATGGAAAAACAGAGAAGAAGACACGAACTTGACCCGATTCGCGCCATCTGCGACGCGATCACTCCGATCCTCAACCGCTACGACTTCTTTCGCTGCGACCTGATCTCGAAACAATCGAGCTCCCCGCGAGCCATCCTGCATTCCGCCCGGTTCCTCTTCCCCAAAACTTCGTGCGACGGGGGTTCGGACCAACACCCGCGTCGCCACTGGTCCACGACCGGGAGCTCGACGGGCAAAGTGCGGCCGAGCCTGTGCCTGAGGCCTGTGCCTGAGGCCTGTGCCTGAGGCCTGTGCCTGAGGCCTGTGCCTGAGGCCTGTGCCTGAGGCCTGTGCAGCTGCGATCCTCCTCGGCGGCGCCGGCAGTCAGGTCAGCCCCCGAGGGCCGACCGCTTTGTTCTCCTCCTCTCCCATTCTTACCACTCGCTTTACATATACCACTCTCCGAGTCTCATCCCTCTACACAGGTGAATCAGCTGCGAGTCCGAGCCCACATAGAGTAGGGTGCGCCTACCCCCCCACATCCGCGTTCCAGTGTTCGCGTACGCGTGGCTACCCGAGCGCCCTCACCCTCAGCTCTGTCTTGCACTCCCCCCCACATCCAAGTCAGGCACACCGGCGATCAGCGTTCGTTCGCGTCTCGCACCCACTGGCGCCAAGAGCCATGTCGTCGTCATCCAGGAGCAGTGACAGCGGCCACAGTAGCCAAGGGTCTGAGGCGTCGTCCTCGTTCGACTGTCGCACCCGTCGCCGCAGGCCGCACGGTGCTGCCACCTCTGGAGCCGGTGTGGAAGAACCGATTGCGCGCCCCATTTCGGCGTTGAGCGCCTTGTCGAGTCGTACCGCTGTCCCCTCGAGTCGTCAACAGCTTTCGGATGCACTGGCTCGACTTCATCTCGACCTTGACGCGGCCCCTCTTCTACGTGCTGCTGCTGAATCCTTGGCCCACGATCATCGTGAGGTAAGACCAAAGCCGTCCTCCCAGAGCAGCTGGCACGCCCCAAGCGAGCGCTCGGGTCCGGATTGCTGACTTGAGGGACGATTCTGCCCCGCACTCGGTCTGCACTCTGCAAGTCCTGTAGCATCCACCTGAAGCGAAATCACGTGCTGCAGTAGAATCAGTCTCGTCGGTAGGTCCTGCTCTCCATCCTCGATCTCATGCATGGCTAATGCTCGGCCTAACCCGCCGCGGGCGATGCGCATGCTTATCGCCTAAGGCCCACATTTGGACTTTGGAGTCGAGCGAGGTCAACTCTTCCTACGCCGACTCGTACACGGCCGATCTGCTGTCGAATCCGGACCGATTTTTCACGTCGACTTCCTCGGAAAAGGTTATCTTTTACCAGTCGTTCATCTTGCAGTGGCGTAAGTTTGACCTGTGTCTGCATTGAAGTCGTATGCTGAGAAACCTTGCACCTCCCCTCTAGAGCTCAAGCCGGTCCACAGTCTTCCCAACACCATCACCTCGTGCAAGAAGGTGTTGAGGACGGTCAACGTCAACATCGCCGAGCTCCTTTCCGTCATGAGGAGCGGTGGGAGCTTGACCAGCGTGCCCATGGTCAGCCTTTGACGTGTCGAGAGCGCATGTGTCCGTCTAATCTCACCTTGGGCGGTCGTTGTCCACCAATAGTACCGTAACAAGACCTTGCTTCGAGCCTCCATCACGAACGGGAAGAGGTGAGCCCTTTCGCTTCCCGAAAGTAAACTGGCTTGCTCCGAACCGACCCTAACCGCCGTCGACGCTGCTGCAATCCAAAGGGCCCCTCTCAAGACGGCAAAGCGCGAGATGTTGCAGCCTTTCTTGGTGCAAGTCAATTTTGCCTGAATTCCCTCAATATCCACTTGGGTGTCTCTGTTTGTTGTGCATTCCTTGCTTTGCTTTTACATTCGCTCCGACGGGTACGGACTTGGCCGTGGATAATTAGTTTTTGATCCCCTCTTGCAATCCCAGTTTTTGTTCTGCCTCGCTAAAAAGAGAAATGCATTTTTGTTGATGCGTTCTAAGCACAAAAAGTGGCACGAAACAAAAAGAGGAACGGTACGTCTCTGACGTAGACGCGGCAAGAAAAAGCAAACATGGTATACTGGCCCGAACCCGGGATTGAACCGGGGACCTCGCCCAAAGTAGATACATCCAGTGCGCCATTAAGGCGCAAAGATGCTCAATTCCCTAAGGGCGAATCATACCACTAGACCATCCGGGCAGTGGACGTTAACATGAATACCCGGACCCAACATGCATATATATCACCTTTTTTTGGGGGGTCCCCCACCCCCTCCGTAGGCCGAAACAGGGGGAACAGGAATTGGGGGCAATATGATGAACGTTTTCTACAAAAAAAAAAAAAACCCCCACATCACTTCACTCCACTTCACTTCACTTCACTTCACTTCACTTCACTTCACTTCACAATCGCCCTACTGCAGCCTTCGATACTCGAGTTAACAAGTGATACACCGACAAGATGTCTACCGGAGACCCTGGGTCCCCACTGCCGGCACCGCCACCACCGGTATCCGCCGCCAGCGTCCAGCCCCCCCGCGACCGGATCCCGATAAGCTCGAAGAAGACGCAAGTCACGGGCCCCGCCACCGCCGCACCCAACTATGCTGCCGCTGCGAGTCAGATGGCGGCTCAAACACCTGAACAACAGCAACAACAACAACAGCGTGCCAAGGCTCTGGGCAGCCTCCTACAAGCCATGGGTGCTGTACCCGGAAACCGCATGGATCGCTGGGTCCAGGCCATCTACTTCGCCGAACTCTACCCCGTCGCCACCGCCACATCGCTGAAATTTTCGGCCTTGAACGCGAACCGGTCCGTCGAGAACATCTTCGATTACGCCCTTGAAGTGACTCTGTCTCACCAGAGCGCCTCGCGAGCGACTCATGCCGACAAGATCGATCTCGTGGCCTGCGTCACGAGGCTGCTATCGCCCATCTCTCCTATCTGCTTTGAGCCTGGAGTTCCTCTGCCGGACCATCTTGCGGCTTATCAACCACAGATCTTAGGCGTACAACATTCATCAATCCTGCGTAATGGGGCGGCTCACCATCGCGTTACGGTTGGGTTCGTCACCGGCGAGGCACGTGACGCGGCGCTCACGACGCCCCCCGCTCTCACTTGGCGATCGGCGAAGGCCCGCTTCGCGAAGTCTCACAGGTTCCACCATAACATGGTCGAGCTTCGAATCAACGTCGGTGTTCAAGGAGTGCCCTCCATGGATGCCATCATCAAATCGTTCCAATCACTTGTGCAAGACCTGTCAGGCAAGGGACATTCATGCCAACTTGTGCAGGTTCTGCGCGTTATCAGCGTGGACAACGCCTCGGCCTTCGCCCACGTTGCCGGAGACTACTCGGCTTTCCTACACTTCGATGACGACTCCCTATTCCAACGCCCCAACACGACCTTGAAGGAGATTCTACCTTCGAGGATCGACCTTCCCACTCGAGGCATCCCGGTTACCGCCCTTCGCCATGACTATGAGAAGGAGGCGGCTTGCGGTAGGTGCCACTTTGTGGGTCACGTGGGAACCTGCGGACTGGATCAGGAGAGGAAGCGGAAGGAGGCTCACAACGGCATCATCAACAGCAACAAAAACACCATCACCCACAACACCAACATCGCGGAGGCCGAGGCCCCCATTCCTGCACTGGTTGTTAACAGGATCGCATCACAGAATCACTTCGCCGGGCTCGAGGTCGAGGAGGGACAGGAGGAAGAGGTAACTGGCCAGGGCGAACAGGGACCGGAGGAATCGGGGGAGGAAGACGCTGGTGATAAGGCGGATGACGAGGACTCGGAGGACTCGGAGATGGAATCGGAGGCGGCCGCGAAAACGGAGGTCATCAAAATTGAAAGCGAGGACGAGTCGGTCTTGGAGGACTGCAGCGGATCCGATGGAGAGGTGATTGATGAGAATGAGGTGATGGCGGATGAAAGAGGTGAAACGGGAGGAGAGGTGGCTACGGAGATGGAGGAAGAGGAGGTGGCGACGGAGGTGGGCGATGTGGACGAAGCGAGGGGATCGACGAAAGCGGAGAATGCGGAAGCGACGGACTTAGGGGAAACGAACAGGCTGGACAATGACGACGACAGCGACGCCACAGCAACCGCCGCCACCGCTTCCCGCGAATCGACGCCGCACGAACCAACCCCACCTCTGTCACCCGAAACTCTCGCCAAGTCGCTACGCGAGGGGGAGGAGTGGGACAGGATCAGAGCTAACTGGGTTGAGCAGGCACGACTTGAGCGGGACCAAAGCATCGAGAGGAGGCTCAACGCTGAAACCCCTTTGGTGCGTCACAACTTTGCCACGTGGGACGAGGACGGTGAGATACGCTCCATCAACATCAGGGGGACCGCTGCGAAGTTCAAGAAGCAGGTGATGAAGAGGTCGCAGACTGCGGCGGACCTCAGTGACCCAAGTGACGAACCGACCGACGCCAAGCGAGTCATCATCAAAGGGAAGGGCCGCGTCGTGGTGAAGGATGGAATAGAGGGGCGGAGGGTGACGAGGTCGATGTCGGCGGCAGCGGCGATGCAGGTCGAGGTGACGAAGGTGGACAGAGGGAAAGGAAGAGGGGTAGCTGAGGAAAAACGATGGTCCGACCACGAGCCCGAGGACGATGTCCTGCCCGCCCTTCCCCTCTTTGAGGACGTCACCACCGCCAAGAGCGCCTCGACCTCGACTACCCATTAATGATCAAGCACACCATCATCACCTGGAACGTAAGAAGGGGCATGGGGGTCCCGGAAAAACGACGTAATATCTACACCTACCTTTCCACATTCAAAGCTTCCGCGATTCTCTTACAAGAGCATTTCATCAGACCACAATTCTGGCAGCTCATCAAGGACGAGTACGAGGGCAAGCTCTTCATCAACCAGCACTGCCTGACCCTGATCCCGGCCGACTCGCCCCTGATCGACGCCGAGCTCTTGCGCACCCACTCGGCACTCGACGGCCGGCTCCTCGTCACCTCCTTTCGTCTGCGGGGCGACATCAAAATTCTAGAAATCAATAACCTCTACGCGCCCGTTGACCCAAAACAACGAGCAAAATTCTTCGACAAACTGATCCTCCACAAAACACAGAAATCCCACCTCCGACTCCTTGGCGGCGATCTCAACGACTGCCCGCGCCCAGAAGTCGATCGGCGGAACCAAAGTCGGCGCGGCCACCACTGGCCGATTCTGATGGGCAAGCTCGACTCGGCCTACACGGACTGCATCCGCTACAAGCACCCCATCACCCCATCTTTCACTCGACCTAATCCCAATCGCAAGCGACCCAACTCCTTCTCCCGGCTTGACTACTTTCTCCTACAAAGAGCTCACCAAAAAAGGCTCGACCAGGCCTCGACGATCTACGACTATCCCAAGGATCTTTCCGATCACCGACCGGTCTTGATCGTACTGGCTCTCTCAGACGATCTTGATGCGGCTCTCCCACAGCTCAGCCTACCTACCACATCCAACCAACTACATCGAATCAATACCACAACCTTCAAGACGGTGGAATTTCAGCGGATGATGGAAGGATGGTTGGAAGGGGCAAGCGGGGAGGATCCGGTGCGAGAGCTTGAGGAGGTTCTGGAGGCGTGCAGGGACAGGGGTGGGGAGATGGCGAGGAGGCTGCATCGGGAGCGGACGGAACGGATGGAGTATTTGGTGGGGAGGGTGCAGGATCTGGAGGCGTTACCGGTATGGGGGGAGGCGGAAACGGCAGAATGGACAAGGACGTCCGAGGAACTCAAGCGGGCGGTCGAGGAGCGCGCGCGCCTACTCCGGATCCGAGCCCACGTCCCCGAGATCGCTTCCGAGGAACGACTGTCGCGGCCGGTCCACGCCAAGCTCGCGGCGCGGAACTCGGACTCCAAGATCACAGCACTGCGCTTGGGCAACGGAGAGCTAACGCATGACATTGATGTCGCTCTTGACCACACGCAGGCGCATTTCCAGCGCCTCTACCACATCGAGCCTCGTGATCCAGAACGCGTCGACCGACTTCGGGACGAACTCCTCGTGCCGATCAGGGCGGCACGGACTTGCGACGACCCGCGCTCAGATCCGCTCTTTCTGCGCCGACTCTCGGAAGCGCAGATTGATCTCCTCCAGCAACCCATCACCGAGGACGAGGTCGTGGCCGCGATCGGGACGACGCACCCGGGGAGATCGCCGGGCCCGTCGGGCGTGCCTTACGAACTCTATCAGACCGCACCGGAGGCGTGGTCCAAGGTGCTGACCAAGGCCTACAACGCGATGATCGAGCGCGGTTCACTCTCTCCCAAGCAGGGCCAGGGACTCGTGCGCCTCATCTTCAAGCGCCACAAGAAGAATGCCGATCGCGCCGAACTCTCGTCGTATCGCCCCATCACCCTGCGCGAGTGCGATTACAAGATTTTTACCAAGGTCTACGTCGCCCGATTGAACCAAATTCTGCCCGATCTCCTCCCGCCGCAGCAGCACGGCTTCGTCAAGGACCGCCGATCGGCCGACGCTGCACTACACCTTCGTCTCCTGATCGAGGAACTTGGCGCGCGCAGGACCGAGTTCCCCGCGGCCGCGCTCTTGTCTCTTGACCAATCATCCGCCTACGACCTCGTCGAGCATGACTGGATCTTTGCCATCTTCGACGCTCTGGGCGCTCCTACCACCTTTCTTCGCGTGCTGAGGATGCTCTACTCGGGTGACTCGACCTCGGCGCGCTACATCATCAATGGGTTCCTGACGGCGCCGGTGCGACTGACGTGTGGGCTCGGCCAAGGGGACCCGGCGTCATCGTCGGTCTGGGACATCGTGTTTCAGCCGTTCCTGGATGCTCTACACCGTCGAAACATCGCGCTGAATCTCTCCATACCTGCACTTCATCCGTACCCACAGAGCCGCGCCATTACATCACTTGCATTTGCCGATGACGTTGTCGTCGCCGTCGCGGGCTTGGAGTCACTCAACTTGCTCGATGACCTGGCGCTCGACTGGAGGTATGCAACGAATGGCCGGCTCAACACGGACAAGACGGTCGTCCTACCGATTGGACGTCGCTGGGACCCTGGGGAACGGCCAATCGTCGTCAAGGCCGCAGGCGAGTCGCTCGAGTGGATCGGCCTCCCCTTCGACCCCAGCGGCGACACCGAACTCGCCTACGCGAATCTCATCGAACGGCTCGAGGCGATGCTGGAAGCGGTTCAGCATCGCTGGCTCACGCACCACACCCGTGCCTTTTACGTCAATCGGTACGCCATTCCCAAGATCTTGCATTTCCTTGCAGCCGACATCCCGCCGCCCGAAGTCGTCAAGAAGCTCGATGACATGCTCGTCGATTTCGTCCGTGGGGGCAAGGGCAGGACCAGCTACGGCAGAGACATTGTGTTCACCGCCAAGAACAAGGGGGGACTCGGGGTGATAAGGATGCGGGACATTGTGGACGCGGTTGCGGCACGGCTCTGGGACGTTCTTCTCGGCGGTTCCGGCGCGATTTGGCAAGGACTTGCGCGCGCAGCACTCCAGCGAGCTCAGCCCGACCTCGACCTGGCCACCGATCTCTGGCCACATCCATCCACTCCCATCCCCAACGACCTTCATCCCCGATGGCACGCCGCACTGGGCGTTCCGAAACTTCACGACGCGCAGGTCAACCCGAGGGCCTTGACCACCGCGAACCTGCTCGCGCTGCCCACCCTGCTCGGCAGCCTCCACACCCCCATCAGAGGGAGACAGACCATCGACGCGGTTCATGTACCTGACTACCTTCGTCTCCAGGGCTACCCGAAGGTGGCGGATCTCTATCGGCGCGAGTTGTATGCGGGTGGGGGGTTTCACCTCTGGACGCCGCCGGCGGATGTGCTCGGCGACAACAGCGAGTACGATCGACGCGGGCTCCCGCAGCGACTGGCAATCGCGGCCTGGTACCGGTTCACTGTCGATCGACACAAGAACACACCCTTGGCGGCGGCGGTGGCGGCGGGACGACTCAACGTGCCTCCCCGGATCGGCACCAGCGCACCGCTCGAGGCGATCATCCCCAAGCCCGTGGCCCGCTTCGCAATGGAGCAGCGCCTTCCGGACCCGGTGCTTCCACAACAGGCGAGCCAGTATACGCTGCTGAACATGGCTCGACCCTACACAATCCGTCGCATCCGCCGGGTCCTGAACGCGAAGGCTTTCACCAACACGCTCGGGCTCAAGGGACCACCGCAGCCAGACGATCTCAGGAGCTTCTGGAAGGCGGTCAACTCGAAGGCACTGACAGCGAGGGAGAGGGAAGTTTGGTTCAAGCTGATTCTCCGCTTCACCCCGACGCGCAAGCTCCAGCACGAGCAAAAGCATGTCACTTCTCCCGCGTGCCTCGTGTGCGAAGCGCCGGTGGACGACACCGATCACTACTTCTTCGGCTGCGTCGACTCGCGGAACGTCTGGACCGCGGCAAGGGGCGTGCTCTGCGACGCGCTCGGATGCGACACGATCGAGGACGCCGAGTACACGACACTACAACGACTCTTTGGCCTCCCCAAGCTCAAGGCCAAGCTCAGCGAACAGGAAGGCGCAGGCAGGACGATCGAGATCTTCACGGGGATGGTCTTGGAGATGATCAGCAGTGGGAGATGGAGGATGCAGAAGCACGGGACGAGGATGGAAAGCCTGGAGCGGAGGAGGGTGGTACTGGAGGAGAGGATGAAGTTGAGGGCGGGAGGAGCAAGAGGCAGGCGAGGGCAGTAGAGGCTAGGTTCGATTTCCCCCCACCCCATCCCACACTCACACACCCCACATCACACATCCTCTTACAAAAACTGTATACTAAATATATTTTCTTCATCTTTCTTTCTTTTATTACAGGTCTGCCTCCGTTGCTCATGGACCGGCTCGCGATTTGGGATTGACTCGACGGTGGCTCGCGCTCTTTGGCTTCGGGGTTCTGAGTCAAGGGAGGGATCAGCAGACACAGGCAGAAAGTCGGCTTTGAGGGGCCAGGGACTGCTGAGGTGGAGGTTTTGAGGGGCCTCCACCGCGTCTTGTTGTGACCGAGCATAGACTTGGGGACTTCGCGGGTCAGGGTAGCTGCGCAGTCGCTCTCCTGTCTTTGTCTCGACCGAGTTGGGAAGTGGGTGCGGGGTGGGCCTCTTGTCGTTAGTACGCCAGTTCTTTTTCATTTTCTCTCTCTCTCCTTCTCTCTCTCATTCGTCTCCTGGGGGGGAGCAACCGCTTGGCTGGGGCACTTGAATCCGAAGTATCGGATTGGTGGACTTGGCCCGTTTCTCGCATCTTGCGGGCGGTTTGTGTTATCATCGTCGACTTCCATCTAGTTTTTCCGTAGGCCAATCAGGGGGAACAGGAATTGGGGGCAATATGATGAACGGTTTCTACAAAAAAAAAAAAATGTCTACGTCAACCGATACGCCATTCCCAAGATTCTGCACATCCTCTCCGCCGACATCCCACCGCTCGAGGTCGTCAAGGAGCTTGATCGCATTCTCGCCGACTTTGTCCGCGGCGGCAAGAGGAGGTCGTGCTATGGCAAGGACGTCGTCTTCACACCGAGGTTCAAGGGGGGTCTTGGGGTCATGCGGATGCAGGACGTCGTCGACTCGGTTGCGGCACGCGTCTGGGACGTGCTTCTTGGCGGTTCGGATGCGATCTGGCAGGGACTTGCGCGCGCGGCGATTGTACGAGCCCATCCCGCCCCCGACTTTGACTTGGCAACCGATGCGTGGCCTTGCGACTACACTCCGATCCGAACCGATCTACACCCAAGATGGCAGGCCGTGCTGAAGGTACCATCGACGCACAATGCGCAGGTCAAGCCGAGGACGTTGACGCTCGCGAACCTTCTCGCTCTTCCGATCAAGTTGCACACCCTTCACTACCTACCGGGAGCACCAGCTGTGTCGCGACCACCCTACGACGCCGACTATGCTGCGTTTGCCATTTACGCCAAGGTAGCGGACCTGTTTCGACGCGAGCTGTACCCGGGCGGGGGCTTTCATCTCTGGACGCCGCCGACGGATGTGGTCGTCAGCAACAGCGAATACGATCAACGGGGCCGCCCACAACGAGAGCACATCGTGGCATGGTACCGACATGCGATCAATCGATTGAGGTTCACACCAATAGCTCAACCGGTGGCGGCAGTACGAATCAACGGGCCTCCCCGAGTCCGCCCCACCACGCCGCTCGAGTCGATCCTGCCCCATCCGATCGACCCGCCGCAGCGCCTTCCGAGACCGGCTCTCCCAGACCAATCAACACAATACAACTTGCTCAGCATGGATCGGCCATACACCATCCGTCGCGTCCGCCGAGTCTTGAATGCAAAGGCCTTCACCGACACGATCGGTTTCAGGGACTCGCTGCAGCCCGACGATCTCAAGGGATTCTGGAAGGGGGTCAACTCGAAGGCATTGACGGCGAGGGAACGCGAGGTGTGGTTCAAGCTCGTCAGGAACTTCACCCCGACTCGGAGTCTGCAGTTTCATCAAAAGCACGACGACTCGCCCGCGTGCCTCGTCTGTGGAGCGCCCAAGGACGATCGGGAGCACTACTTCTTCGACTGCGTTGACTCTAGGAACGTTTGGATCGCGGCAAGGGGCGTGCTCTGCGACGCACTGGGGCTCGACACGATCGACAACACGTATTACACGGCCGTTCAACGCATGTTCGGACTTCCGAAGCTCAAGGCCAGTCTGCGCGATCAGGAAGGAGCGGGGAGGACGATCGAAATATTGACCGGGCTGGTCTTGGAGATGATCAGCAGCGGGAGGTGGGGGATGCAGAAGTGGGGGACGAGGCTGGAGGGTGTTGGGAGGAGGAGGATCATCTTGGAGGAGAGGTTGAAGCTGAGGGCGGGAGGAGCTTGGGGGAGGAGAGGGCAGTAGAGGCTGGGTTCGACTTTCCCCCCACCACCACACACACACACACCAAATTCTCGTGACATCATTTTCTCCTACTGTACACTAAATAGCTCGCTTTCCTCTTTCTTTTGTTACAGGTTCACCGTTGCGGATCATGGACCATCTCGCGATTTGGCGTCGACTCGGTGTGGCTCGCGCTCTTCGGCTTCGGGGTTCTGAGTCAAGGGAGGGATCAGCGGACACAGGCAGAAAGTCGGCTTTGAGGGGCCAGGGACTGCCGAGGGGGAGGTTTTGAGGGACCTTCACCGCGTCTTGTTGTGACTGAGCAGAGACTTGGAGCGTCGAGGGTCGTGGTGGTTGCGCCGTCGTGCTCTTGTCTTCGTCTCGACCGAGTGGGAAGTGGCTGTGGGGTGGGCCTTCTGTCGTTAGTACATTTCTTTTCTTTCTCTTTCTCTTTCTCTTCATCTCTCTTTCTCTCTCTCATTCGTCTCCTGGGGGGGAGCAACCGCTTGGCTAGGGCATTTGAATCCGAATCTCGGATTGGTGGACTTGGCTCGTTTCTCGCACTTTTGCGGGCGGTTTGTGTTATCATCGTAGTCTTCCATCTAGTTTTTCCGTAGGCCGAAACAGGGGGAACAGGAACTGGGGGCAATATGATGAACGTTTTCTACAAAAAAAAAAAAAAACCCCGAACCGACCGACGCCAAGCGAGTCATCATCAAAGGGAAGAGCCGCGTCGTGGTGAAGGATGGAATAGAGGGGCGGAGGGTGACGAGGTCGATGTCGGCGGCAGCGGCGATGCAGGTCGAGGTGACGAAGGTGGACAGAGGGAAAGGAAGAGGGGTAGCTGAGGAAAAACGATGGTCCGACCACGAGCCCGAGGACGATGTCCTGCCCGCCCTTCCCCTCTTTGAGGACGTCACCACCGCCAAGAGCGCCTCGACCTCGACTACCCATTAATGATCAAGCACACCATCATCACCTGGAACGTAAGAAGGGGCATGGGGGTCCCGGAAAAACGACGTCATATCTACACCTACCTTTCCACATTCAAAGCTTCCGCGATTCTCTTACAAGAGCATTTCATCAGACCACAATTCTGGCAGTTCATCAAGGACGAGTACGAGGGCAAGCTCTTCATCAACCAGCACTGCCTGACCCTGATCCCGGCCGACTCGCCCCTGATCGACGCCGAGCTCTTGCGCACCCACTCGGCACTCGACGGCCGGCTCCTCGTCACCTCCTTTCGTCTGCGGGGTGACATCAAAATTCTAGAAATCAACAACCTTTACGCGCCCGTTGCCCCAAAACAACGAGCAAAATTCTTCGACAAACTGATTCTCCACAAAACACAGAAATCCCACCTCCGACTCCTTGGCGGCGATCTCAACGACTGCCCGCGCCCAGAAGTCGATCGGCGGAACCAAAGTCGGCGCGGCCACCACTGGCCGATTCTGATGGGCAAGCTTGACTCGGCCTACACGGACTGCATCCGCTACAAGCACCCCATCACCCCATCTTTCACTCGACCTAATCCCAATCGCAAGCGACCCAACTCCTTCTCCCGGCTTGACTACTTTCTCCTACAGAGAGCTCACCAAAAAAGGCTCGACCAGGCCTCGACGATCTACGACTATCCCAAGGATCTTTCTGATCACCGACCGGTCTTGATTGTGCTGGCTCTCTCAGACGATCTTGATGCGGCTCTCCCACAGCTCAGCCTACCTACCACATCCAACCAACTACATCGAATCAATACCACAACCTTCAAGACGGTGGAATTTCAGCGGATGATGGAAGGATGGTTGGAAGGGGCAAGCGGGGAGGATCCGGTGCGAGAGCTTGAGGAGGTTCTGGAGGCGTGCAGGGACAGGGGTGGGGAGATGGCGAGGAGGCTGCATCGGGAGCGGACGGAACGGATGGAGTATTTGGTGGGGAGGGTGCAGGATCTGGAGGCGTTACCGGTATGGGGGGAGGCGGAAACGGCAGAATGGACAAGGACGTCCGAGGAACTCAAGCGGGCGGTCGAGGAGCGCGCGCGCCTACTCCGGATCCGAGCCCACGTCCCCGAGATCGCTTCCGAGGAACGACTGTCGCGGCCGGTCCACGCCAAGCTCGCGGCGCGGAACTCGGACTCCAAGATCACAGCACTGCGCTTGGGCAACGGAGAGCTAACGCATGACATTGATGTCGCTCTTGACCACACGCAGGCGCATTTCCAGCGCCTCTACCACATCGAGCCTCGTGATCCAGAACGCGTCGACCGACTTCGGGACGAACTCCTCGTGCCGATCAGGGCGGCACGGACTTGCGACGACCCGCGCTCAGATCCGCTCTTTCTGCGCCGACTCTCGGAAGCGCAGATTGATCTCCTCCAGCAACCCATCACCGAGGACGAGGTCGTGGCCGCGATCGGGACGACGCACCCGGGGAGATCGCCGGGCCCGTCGGGCGTGCCTTACGAACTCTACCAGAACGCACCCGAGACGTGGTCCAAGGTGCTGACCAAGGCCTACAACGCGATGATCGAGCGCGGTTCACTCTCTCCCAAGCAGGGCCAGGGACTCGTGCGCCTCATCTTCAAGCGCCACAAGAAGAATGCCGATCGCGCCGAACTCTCGTCGTATCGCCCCATCACCCTGCGCGAGTGCGATTACAAGATTTTTACCAAGGTCTACGTCGCCCGATTGAACCAAATTCTGCCCGATCTCCTCCCGCCGCAGCAGCACGGCTTCGTCAAGGACCACCGATCGGCCGACGCTGCACTACACCTTCGTCTCCTGATCGAGGAACTTGGCGCGCGCAGGACCGAGTTCCCCGCGGCCGCGCTCTTGTCTCTTGACCAATCATCCGCCTACGACCTCGTCGAGCATGACTGGATCTTTGCCATCTTCGACGCTCTGGGCGCTCCTGCCACTTTTCTTCGCGTGCTGAGGATGCTCTACTCGGGTGACACGACCTCGGCGCGCTACATCATCAATGGGTTCCTGACGGCGCCGGTGCGACTGACGTGTGGGCTCGGCCAAGGGGACCCGGCGTCATCGTCGGTCTGGGACATCGTGTTTCAGCCGTTCCTGGATGCTCTACACCGTCGAAACATCGCGCTGAATCTCTCCATACCTGCACTTCATCCGTACCCACAGAGCCGCGCCATTACATCCCTTGCGTTTGCCGATGACGTCGTCGTCGCCGTCGCGGGCTCGGAGTCACTCAACTTGCTCGACGACCTGGCGCTCGACTGGAGGCTCGCAACCAATGGCCGGCTCAACACGGACAAGACGGTCGTCCTACCGATTGGACGTCGCTGGGACCCTGGGGAACGGTCAATCGTCGTCAAGGCCGCAGGCGAGTCGCTCGAGTGGATCGGCCTCCCCTTCGACCCCAGCGGCGACACCGAACTCGCCTACGCGAATCTCATCGAACGGCTCGAGGCGACGCTGGAAGCGGTTCAGCATCGCTGGCTCACGCACCACACCCGTGCCTTTTACGTCAATCGGTACGCCATTCCCAAGATCCTGCATTTCCTTGCAGCCGACATCCCGCCGCCCGAAGTCGTCAAGAAGCTCGATGACATGCTCGTCGATTTCGTCCGTGGGGGCAAGGGCAGGACCAGCTACGGCAGAGACATTGTGTTCACCGCCAAGAACAAGGGGGGACTCGGGGTGATAAGGATGCGGGACGTTGTGGACGCGGTTGCGGCACGGCTCTGGGACGTTCTTCTCGGCGGTTCCGGCGCGATTTGGCAAGGACTTGCGCGCGCATCACTCCAGCGAGCTCAGCCCGACCTCGACCTGGCCACCGATCTCTGGCCACATCCATCCACTCCCATCCCCAACGACCTTCATCCCCGATGGCACGCCGCACTGGGCGTTCCGAAACTTCACGACGCGCAGGTCAACCCGAGGGCCTTGACCACCGCGAACTTGCTCGCGCTGCCCACCCTGCTCGGCAGCCTCCACACCCCCATCAGAGGGAGACAGACCATCGACGCGGTTCATGTACCTGACTACCTTCGTCTCCAGGGCTACCCGAAGGTGGCGGATCTCTATCGACGCGAGTTGTATACGGGTGGGGGGTTTCACCTCTGGACGCCGCCGGCGGATGTGCTCGGCGACAACAGCGAGTACGATCGACGCGGGCTCCCGCAGCGACTGGCAATCGCGGCCTGGTACCGGTTCACTGTCGATCGACACAAGAACACCCCCTTGGCGGCGGCGGTGGCGGCGGGACGACTCAACGTGCCTCCCCGGATCGGCACCAGCGCACCGCTCGAGGCGATCATCCCCAAGCCCGTGGCCCGCTTCGCAATGGAGCAGCGCCTTCCGGACCCGGTGCTTCCACAACAGGCGAGCCAGTATACGCTGCTGAACATGGCTCGCCCCTACACAGTCCGTCGCATCCGCCGGGTCCTGAACGCGAAGGCATTTACCAACATGCTCGGGCTCAAGGGACCACCGCAGCCGGACGACCTCAGGAGCTTCTGGAAGGCAGTCAACTCGAAGGCACTGACGGCGAGGGAGAGGGAAGTTTGGTTCAAGCTGATCCTCCGCTTCACCCCGACGCGCAAACTCCAGCACGAGCAAAAGCACGACACTTCTCCCGCGTGCCTCGTCTGCGAAGCGCCGGTGGACGACACCGATCACTACTTCTTCGGCTGCTTCGACTCGCGAAACGTCTGGATCGCGGCGAGGGGCGTGCTCTGCGACGCGCTCGGATGCGACACGATCGAGGACGCCGAGTACACGACGCTTCAACGACTCTTTGGCCTCCCCAAGCTCAAGGCCAAGCTCAGCGCACAGGAAGGCGCGGGCAGGACGATCGAGATCTTCACGGGGATGGTCTTGGAGATGATCAGCAGTGGGAGATGGAGGATGCAGAAGCACGGGACGAGGATGGAAAGCGTGGAGAGGAGGAGGGTGGTACTGGAGGAGAGGATGAAGTTGAGGGCGGGAGGAGCAAGAGGCAGGCGAGGGCAGTAGAGGCTAGGTTCGATTTCCCCCCACCCCATCCCACACTCACACACCCCACATCACACATCCTCTTACAAAAACTGTATACTAAATATATTTTCTTCATCTTTCTTTCTTTTATTACAGGTCTGCCTCCGTTGCTCATGGACCGGCTCGCGATTTGGGATTGACTCGACGGTGGCTCGCGCTCTCTGGCTTCGGGGTTCTGAGTGTAAGGGAGGGATCAGCAGACACAGGCAGAAAGTCGGCTTTGAGGGGCCAGGGACTGCTGAGGTGGAGGTTTTGAGGGGCCTCCACCGCGTCTTGTTGTGACCGAGCATAGACTTGGGATTTCGCGGGTCAGGGTAGCTGCGCAGTCGCTCTCCTGTCTTTGTCTCGACCGAGTTGGGAAGTGGGTGCGGGGTGGGCCTCTTGTCGTTAGTACGCCAGTTCTTTTTCATTTTCTCTCTCTCTCCTTCTCTCTCTCATTCGTCTCCTGGGGGGGAGCAACCGCTTGGCTGGGGCACTTGAATCCGAAGTATCGGATTGGTGGACTTGGCCCGTTTCTCGCATCTTGCGGGCGGTTTGTGTTATCATCGTCGACTTCCATCTAGTTTTTCCGTAGGCCAATCAGGGGGAACAGGAATTGGGGGCAATATGATGAACGGTTTCTACAAAAAAAAAAAAAAACTTTCACTGGAGGAACCGCGAATCCTCCAGCTTGGTCGCCCGAGGCAACTCAGGTCCGGTTGGACCATGAGAAGCTGATGAAGAAGACCTTCCAAGTGCTCGGGATTGTTCCCTCCAGCAAGTCGACCCGCCGACTGATGGTCCTGATGCACGACGCCTCGACCCCGCCTTCGCAGGCGCCAGCGCTCGCACGAGCCGCCCAAAGAGCGGTGCGAAACGACGCAGCCCCGGCCTCCAATGTGATTCGAGTCATTATGGATGGTCCTGGATCACCCAGAGGTCCTGTACAGACCGCGCTGCGCAAGCACTTTGGATTGGCCGAGACGCCGTTCATGTTCGCGCGGCCCGAGGGCGTCGTGCTTGACCCCGAGGTCGAGAAGCTTTTCTCGAAATGCGTGAAGCTGAACCCGATTGTGACGAAAGCCACGAAGAGGTTCCCGATCGCTCGTCACATGTACGAGCTTGTATTCGAATCCGAGCAAGCTTGTCTTGAAGCCGCTTCAGCGGGCCCATTCCCCTACCACGGCAAGGAGATGGTTACCGAGCTCCCCAGCGCCTCTCCCCTTAACCACGTCGTGCAGGTGCGATTCACCTTGCCCTCCTCCTCCAGCGCGATCCCCGCTTCCGTGCTCCGAAAATCTCTCGATGATGCTATCACCCTTTCGTTCGGCCGCGCAGGTCGCACGCAAGGTTATACCCTGATGCAATTACAGCGGGGCCTCGCGGTCGATCCGAATGGCGATCCGATGGCCATGACCGAAGACGGGTTCCACTGCGCGTACCTTCGCTTACATGCTGATCTTTTCCAAGGCTCCATCGAGACGCAGAAGGCTGCGCTCAACGCCGCTTTGCCACAAGAGATCGAGATCCTGGGCGCCAAGTACGGCTTGCGACACGAATTCGAGACGCACTACTGCGCGGTGTGCGATCGCGCCGGACACCAGTGGGGCGCTTGCAGGAAGCCGGTTTCGACTCCGGCCACCGCCGCCCCTGTTCCGGGGGCCTCGACCTCGACTTCGACTTCGACCACCGGCTTCCGAGTTGCTGGAAAGAATGGGAAGCACGGTGGGCCTGCCGCATTGAACTCTCGTGTCTCTGGCGCGAACATGATCCAGCTGGGACCTCGTGCTAACCCCGCAGGTGCAGTAACCGCCAACAAGGACGACGCGAACGACGGCGACGACGAGTCGGTCGTTTCGACCGAACCGGAGGGCGGTGACACTGGGGAAGAGACGTCGACGCGTGCGATCCTGGGCTCAACAAAGGAGACGCAGACGACGACGGCGGCGCCCGTTTCGACCCCGACCTCTCCTTCGCCTTTGTCCGGTGGCACGTCGGGATCATCGGCAACCTCGACAACCTCGATAGCCTCGACGAGTCCTCGACGCCTTCGTTCGAGCTCGGCACCCGGCAACCGACGTGTCACCCGGGCGGGATCCGCCATGATCCTCGGTGCATCAGGGGGTGATGGCTCAGGGGGCAACAGTTCAGGGGGTCACAGGTCCGAGGTGACCGAATTCGAGGGGGGCGGCGCTGAACTGATTTAATCATGATTGAGTCACTCACCGTGTTGACGTTCAACGTCCGATCGATGAAGAACGCAGTCAACCAAGTCAAAATCATCCGTTATCTCAAAACCCTTCGGCCGGCCCTTGCGGCCATCCTCCTGCAAGAGCACCACCTCAGCTACAACGCGTCGCGCGAAGGCTTCGAGAGTGCTTGGCCGGGGGCTTGTATTCGTTTCACTCCTCATGTCCTTACCCTCATACCCGATGGCTCACCTTTGGCGGGCCATCTCCTTTCCTCTACCCCGGTCGTCTTTGCAGGAGCTCCTCGTTTCGACGGTCGGATTCTGCGCTCGGTGTTTCGTCTTGAGGAGCTCGATGTCGAGATCATCAACATGTACGCGCCGGTGCAGGAGGACGATCGTCGCGACTTTTTCGGGCTTCTGCACTTCAACGCCCCGAGACCCAAGACTCTTCGGATCTTGGCCGGCGATCTCAACGATTGTCCGGATGTATCGGTCGACCGAGTGTCCATCACCGATCGCGCTTGGACTCCTGTATCGCACTGGCAGACCTTGCTGTCAAAGATCGCGTTCAAGGCACTCGACACGGTCCGACATGTCCATTCTTGCACCCCTGCATTCACTCGTCCTCACTACCGTGGTAGAGGGGAAGAGCGAAAGATTTGCTCGTGGTCACGGATCGACTATATTCTTGTCCAATGCAGTTGGGCGAACCGGTTGTTGAGCGCTTCTACGCTCTTCGATGCGCCCTGTTCGGACCACAGACCTGTAGTTGCGACTTTCGCTTTGCCTACATCGAACGTTGATGCCGAACCCCCCCTTTCTCTTCCCTCCACGAGCGATTTCATTTCGAGGCTCAACCCAATGGTCTTTGACGATCAAGACTTTGTCGCATCGATTCCCGGGGTCGTCGACGAGGTCTATCGAAGGCTCGAGGGGACCGCTCCGCTCGGCGACGTCTATGACGCCGCTCTGCGGGCGGTTGCAGTCGCTGGCCATGCACGATACCGCTCGACTCGTGCCGACATGCGCCGACTGCGGGCCGAGAGCCAATCCGTCATGGAGGCTTTGGAGGCACGCGGTGAGCACATGAATGAGGCCGAGCGCGATGCGTATGCTCTTGCCAAGTCGCGGTTGGACCAGTTGGCGGTAAAGGAGGCTCAGTGGCTGCGCATTCGTGCGCATGTGCCGTCAGTCGACTCGAGGGAAGGTCAATCGGCAAGCATTCGCACGCGCCTCAACCGCCGGAGTCGCCAGACGAGCATCGTCTCGCTGGAGGATGTGGATGGCACCGAGACCGTTGACATGCAGGAGGCGCTGGGTATTGCTTCACGGCACGCGCAGTCGCTCTTCACGCCGGACCCAGCTCGTGGCGACCCGACGAACGCACGCCGGTCCCTGCTCGACCCTATTCGCGCAGCGAAATGCTACGATGACGACCGCTCGGACCCTACGTTCGGTCGTCGGCTGCCTCGTCAAGCGAGAGTGGCGCTTGACGAGCCCTTCACCCTCCTCGAGGTTGAAGCGGCGTTGAAGAAGACGGATTCGGGGCGATCACCGGGGCCCTCGGGCATTCCGTACGAGCTCTTCAAGGCGCTGCCAACCTACTTTGCTCCCAAGCTGTTGGACTTGTTCAACTCGATTTGGGAGGGCGGCAAAATGACGGCGTCCTTGGCAGAGGGGCTGGTGCGGCTCTTGCCCAAGAATAAACCGGGGGCCAATCTGAAATCACTGGGGGCATACCGACCGATCACATTGCGCGAGACGACCTACAAGGTCCTCAGCAAGGTCTTGGTGGCGCGACTCAATGGGGTGCTCGGCGAGCTTTTGCCGCCGGCGCAACACGGTTTCATGCCATCAAGACGTTCAGCGGACGCGGGAAGTCATCTCACTCTCCTTCTCGAAAAACTCAAGTCGCTAGGCACTGATATTTTCCCCGAGGGCGCCCTCTTGTCTTTGGATCAGCAGAGCGCGTACGATCGGGTCGATCACGCCTGGATCTTCGAGGTCTTTGAGGCCTTTGGGTTCGGTGAGCGTTTCATCTCGCTGCTGCGCGCTCTCTACGATCCCGAGACTCTGGGGGTGCGCTACCTTGTCAATGGGTTCCCCACGGACTTGGTGCGGTTGCTGTGTGGTCTCGGTCAGGGGGATCCCCTCTCGTGCCCGGTTTGGAACATCACGTACCAGCTCTTCCTCGACGCCCTCGTTCGGCGCGGGATCGCGCTCGACCTGCAGAAGGTGTGGCCAGGGGGGCCGCGTGCGCAGCTTACGCATCTGGCGTTTGCCGACGATGCTGTGGTGGTGGTGGAGTCACCGGCGGCATTGTCGAAGCTGCAAACGCTGTCGCAGACGTGGTACGAGGCTACCAACGGGAAGACCAACACGGACAAGACGCTGGTGCTACCACTCGGACCGAACTGGCTTCGGGACGAGACTGCGCAGGCGCTGCCAACGGTGCAGGAGGGGGAGAGCTTCAAGTGGTGCGGCTATGCCTTCTTTCGCCACGGTGACTCGAAACTGTTTTGGACCCATGTTCTTGACAGGATCAAGGCCAAGGCCCGCGCCGCTCGAGACCGGACACTTTCGCCGAGTGGGAAGGTTTTCTATGCCAACGCTCACATCATCTCGACGGTCCTCCACGTGCTGTCCTTCGACATACCGCCTCAATGGTTCATTAAGGCGGCGGAGACGGCACTTACGGACTTTGTCTGGGGAGGAGCAGGGCGAAATACCGTCGCTCGCGATTTCGTGTTCCAGGCTCGGGAGGACGGTGGCTTGGGTTTGATTTCGATTGGCGACATCGTTCATTCGGTGGCGCTTCGATTTTGGGATGCTGTGGCGGGCTCGGACGAGGCGATCTGGGCGCCCCTAGCTCGCGAGAGCTGGAGGTGCCTCGTCGCTGCGACCCGCGATTTCAGTCCGTGGGGGTTCTTCAGCAGCACGGCTCGGGTCGAGAAGCTGTATCGCGACTCGACACGCTGGGGGGCAGTCGTTGCAGCGGCCAGGGTCACAGTTCCAACCATCAAGTCCGAACTCCTTACGCTTCCCGAATTGCTCTCGCTTCCGCCTCGCCTCCCTTCACTCTATGCTGAAGGTGCCCAGCACGCATATGACGATGCGGACGCGGTGGCGAAGTTTGCGCAGATCGCGGACCTGTACTGGAGGGACGAAGGGAAGGGATGGGCTCTGGTTGGTCATCGACGCGGGTTCTGGCAGCACTCTAAGGAACCCGCCCTACAGCACGAGCACGTGTGGTCGCGCGTGGGTCAGTTGCTCAAGGCGAAAGCGTTGCTGCCCAAGACCGCGTTGCGACCTGCTCGGATACCTCTCAAGGAGGCTCCCCGTCCTCGGTGCTTCAACTTCTTTGGGCTCTCCCGACCTTTTACGATTCGCAAGCTTCGTCGGCTTGTGAACAAGGTGCGGTTCCCAGGGAGGGAGGACCGTGTCAAGCGTTTCCCTGATGGGACTTCTCAGAGCGATAGGAAGCGCTTCTGGAGATGGCTTCATGACCGGTTCGCGTCTGCTGTCGAGCAGGACACCCACTGGCGGCTCATGTACGACGTGACGCCGACGCGCAAGAGGCAGCATACTCAGGGTCATGCCTCTTCGCCGACGTGTCTGTTCTGTGGCAACGATGCAGCGGTCATCGAGACGGTGTCCCACTACTTTTTCGAGTGCGCGTACTCGACCAGCTTCTGGGGTGGGGTGCTACGCATTCTGCTTGACAAGCTCGGCATCGAGGATACCGACGTCGATCCGTCGACGTTCACTCCGGAGCAGCTGACTATGGGGCTCCCCCTTTTGCGGGGTCGTGGGAGAACGACCTCGAAATGGATGTGGGTTCGGCTGGCCTGCGCGATCGGCTTCCAGCGGCTGCACCTGCTCCGCTGGCGCGTTCATCAGCGGTTCGAGCTGGACAACGTCGTGGCCCCTCCCTCGCTTCCCAGTGCGCTCAGAGCGTTCGAGCGAGATTTTCTCTCTCGAGCGGGTTTTGTGCCTGGGGTTCGAGATTGGGAGGTGTGATGACCGAGTTAAGTCCTTCCTTCCCATTTTCCTCCCCTCCTTTCCTCCCTTCCTTTTCGGTCAGAAGCTGACTGTCTTGAAACTTGTTGCGCAGTGGAAGGCTGCGCACCTCTCCCTCTCTCTACTTTGTGCAGTAGCGGTTTTCGTTCTTGGATGGATCGGCAAGCCGGGTCGATCGTCGTTGCGTTGGAGGCTTTGTGAAGTTCTCCCCTCTCTTTCCCCTTTCTCCCTTCCCTTCCTCTTCTCGTTCCTGTTGCTCGGTTGTTGACTACGCTTCAGCCACTTCTCCTTTTATTCCTAAGCCGTGTGTTGGATTCCGTCGAATAGATCGTTCGTTCGCGTTGGTCAAGATCTACGGCATGGATCGGGAAGAAAGGTCGCTCGTTTTTTTGGTCAATATCCTCGCGTCAAGGCGAGGCTCGTTTCGTTGTATTGGATCGTTTTCGCTCGGCCCTGACGGCTCAACAGCCAGCACTCGAGACTCAGCCAAGGGAGGACATCAGGCGCTGTCGGGGTGACGAGTAGCTGGGGCTTGGCTGCGGCCTGTCAGTCCCTGGGGACCTCTAGCTCTGGCTTCGACCCCCTCCCTTGGCCCCTCGGGTGTGTTCCCCTCCTCCTCCCCTCCTCTCTGTCTTAGTATTCCTGGTTCTCCGTGTTTCCAGTCGTGAATTTTTGTTTATTCTCCCCTTTTCTTTCTCTAGGCGCTCTTGCCTGGTTTTCGAGTATCTTCGCTCCCGCTCTTGGGACGTGAAGCGGCAGCAGTACTCACCGCCCGTTGGAGTCCGCGTTAGGTGCTCGGCGGGTTTTGATCTGCGCAGCGCTCTTTGCGCGCAGGGGTTTGACTTTCACCCAATTGCTTGCCGTCGTTGCTTTATAACCTCTTTTAGCTCTTTTTCTAGCGGTCCCAGCCAACCCGAAGGATTGCAATTTATGAGCCCCAGTAAAATAAAATAAAAACGCCTAGAGAAAGAAAAGGGGAGAATATACAGAAAACCACGACTAGAAGCACGGAGAACCAGGAATACTATGACAGAGAGGAGGGGAGGAGGAGGGGAACACACCCGAGGGGCCAAGGGAGGGGGTCGAGGCCGCCTTTTTTTGGGGGTCGAGGCCGCCTTTTTTTTTGCCGCCCCCCTGCATATATTTTGTGAGTGTCCTGTATCTTAGATCTTGCGCAAGAAGCCAAGAAAAGCCCGGTTAGCTCAGTCGGTAGAGCACCTGACTCTTAATCAGGTTGTCGCGGGTTCGAGCCCCGCATTGGGCTTTGGATAACGTTTACTTTTTGCGGCGACGGCGACAGGGGCCTGATGCGACGCGTGCGGTGGGTAGCTGCTGGGTCGATAGGTACACAGTCGGTAGAGCACCCGACTCTTGATCAGGTTGTCGCGGGTTCGAGCCCCGCATTGGGCTTTGGATAAAGTGTCCTTTTTGCGGCCTGAGAAGCGGCCCGACGACGGCGACAGGGGCCTAATACGACGCGTGCGGTGGGTAGCTGCTGGGGTCGATATGTGGTTCACGTTCACTCTTTTTACAAAAAGTGTGATTGGAGCGAGTTCGGACAGATTCAAAGCCATGTCATGCTTGCTTCATGTCTCGTCAAAGGGCGACGCATTTGCTGGGGACATAGTTACTTCACGCTGCCTCTTGAACGTTCTCGACCTGGTTTTTGCATTGCGCGCAGATAAAAGTTGTCCCGCGAGCGCATCAAAACTGTGGAGCAGCGAATTCCCAGGTCTCATAGTCAGAGGGCTGGCTACGGGCACAAGATGATCATGGAATGGACACTGCACCGAGACGATCGGTAGCGAGCTGCCAGTGGCCCCGACTCCGGTGGCCGACGCTGGGATCTACGATGCAAGTCAAGATGCAGTCTACGGGAACGGAGATGAAATGGTGAACCTGATGGAGTTTTGCCACACGGGAATCGAAAATAGGGGACTACTATCGGACGCATTTCCTCACCAAGCTCGAGACCGCCAAAGTAGTAGACAGACGAAACACACTGATTGTCGATGGCAAGAGCGGTGTTTGTACACTAAAATTCAAAGGGAGCGCATCTAAAGGGAGGCTACATGGTGTGCAATGACCCCGTCCAAACTCGTTGCGGCCTGGTGCGCATCGCGGAACGAGTTGTACAGCGGGACGGGCGCGAGACGAATGACGCTAGGCTTCCTCTCGTCGCCGAGCACACCCGCGCTCCTCAGCCCGTCAAAGATGACGTCCATTGCTTCGGGCGGACCGAAAAGGAGCGAGAGCTGCGCACCCCGTTGCTCTGGGTCGCTTGGGGTGATGAGGGTGAACTTGACTTGCTGGCGATCCGTCAAATGAAGGCGCTCCATGCCGACGTAGTAAGGGCTCTGCTTCAGCAACGCCTCGAGGTAGCCCGTCAAAAGCAAGCTGCGGTGCCTCAGGGCGGCCATGAACGACGCCGATCCCGCAGACGCCGACGAGCCAAGGGACTGAAAGACTTGCAGCGAGCTGTAGAGCGAGATGACGTCGAGCACCGAAGGGTTTGACAACTGCCAGCCCGCGGCGCCGGGGTTCGGTGCAAAGACATTGGGCATCGCGAAGCGCGTCGAGGTATCGTGGCCCCACCATCCAGCAAGTCTGCACAGTCACAGTCACGAGGAGACACAACAAGTTCAGAGGGGCTGCTCTCCGGTCTAAGAGAAGGACGGCGGGCCGTAGGGCCGCTTACCGCTTCTTGTCGGCCCAGCGCTCGTGGACGTAGAGGCCAGCGATACCACCCGGTCCTGCGTTGAGATACTTGTACGAGCACCAGGCGGCAAAGTCGACGCCCCAGTCATGTAGACGGATGGGGACGTTGCCGACGGCGTGGGCGCAATCGAACGCGACGAGGCAGCCCTGAGGTGAGGAGATCGAGTTCAGTCTGCGCTACCGACGGTGCACATCACGACGGGGAACGGCGCAAGGTACTAACCTTGGCATGACCAGCCCTGGTGATCGTTTCCATGTCGAACCACTGGCCCGAGTAGTACTGCACGGCGCCAAAGCAGATGATGGCGATCGAGTCGCCTTGCTCTTCGATCGTGTGGAGAATGTCTTCGGTGCGGAGCGTGTACTCGCGGGGGCGCGGGTCCATCGGCAGCAGCGACGAAGGGGCGAGACCACGCATCTCGACTTGGGAGGCGAAAGCGTACTGCATGTAATAAGTCGACAGACAGGCAACGTGAGCTCGTGGGCGAGTCCATAGGCGGGGGTGCGCGGAAGGGGCCGGGACGTACCTGATCCGAGGGGAAAGCCTTACCTTCGTACAAGATCTTGTGGCGATCCGAGGTCGGACGGTAAAAGGTCGTGAAAAGAATGTGGATGTTGGAGGTGAGGGAACCCATGCAAGCGACCTCGGAGGGTTTGGCCCCTATCCCCAAAGATAGCAAGTAGCTTTCAGCCACCGTGGCCGAGCGAACTTCGGAGAAATCGAAAAAACCGGGGCAAGGACTGACCCACGATCTCGGCCAAAATCGGGGTGACGATCTCGTCAATTTTGACCCAAGGACGTTCGTAGGGATGCTCGACGTGGCCCAAAACACCCCTGTCGTACGCGGGACCGAATGAGAGCGCGGGAGGCGAGAGAAGACGAGGTGGGGTTGTGCAGGTGTGGGGGTGCGCACGGACGGACGGGGGCAACGGGGGGTGGGGCGGGTGTCGTCAGCAGCAGCAGCGGCCTCGGACACAGCGCACGATTCCAGACCAATCCGATGCGATGTGTACTCACTGTGACTTCCAGGCCTCGAGTTCCTCTTGTATCAACTTGGGTGTCGAGTTGGGCATGAGACCCAAGCTGTTGCCGGCGAGATAGACGCTTGGCTCCGAGTCTCGCGCCGAGCTCGAGACAGTGGCCCTGGCCACACCCGGCGGACGCACTGTCGCAACCGAGGGAAAACTGAATTGATCCGAACGCGAGACGGTCTCCTGCTGATCGAGGTAGGCGGCAAACTTGGGCGAAGTGAGCGAGGATTCTCCCGAGGCGGCGAGGGCCGCGGCGAGACGATGCTGGACATCATCGTCCGCGTGGGGCTGCAACGAGTCCATCATCGTCGATCACTTGGGAGCGTGGGGGCAAAGGCGACGAGCGTGAAGAGGGGAACGAGCTTTCAAAATCGGGGACCTGGGATGTGACAGGTGAGAGGTGAGATGTGGGGAGGGGGGACCTAGGAAGAAGTGGCAGAGGCACGGTACAACGGGTGGGGTGGGTCGCAAACAGATTCGGACGGGTCCGTTCGTCTCCGTTCGCCGCATGGCATCCTAGTCCTCTTCGGTCGAGTGATTATTAATCCTGCTAGCGCACCGCTTGCATCCGAGATTAGCATAATATCGCGATTGCGCCAGAGTACTAAGTTCCATCATCATTTTCGGGCTTTTTTCACCACACTCCCATCAGTACTAGACGAGTTTCGCTCACTCCACTCTCGGACAAGTTCACCTCAGAGCTAGCGGCGTCTGAAACATGTTCATGCAAAGTATCCATTGGATCGGCCCCACATGGCGGTGTAGCGATTTTCGATGAGCTGACGTACCGCTAATTGACTTTAGGGGTGCTCAGTAGTCCCTGTAATGGATCTGCTGCTGTATACGAGCCGGCGGCTTGGCTCATCTCCCGAGCCCGTTTCCAAACAAGTTCAAATGGGGACGATTTCGTATGCGTTTCAAATCGACGCAGGCACACGGTTTTGGGGTGGTCTTATTGCTATATAGCACACGTTTGCCAGCAAGTGAAAGCTCCGGTCCCGTCCCACTTCGGGGATGCAGTGAGGCTAAAGAGGTCACGTCTATGACGGGACGAGTGTCACGGTTACTAAGTATGCGTCGCCATCGGCTACGAAGGCGTCGAGCAAGGCTCTGCTTACACTGAGCTGTCACAAGCTTCCTACGGAATTGACCTTATTCACACATCTTGAGTGAAGAGATGTGCCGGAATGCGCCCACTGCACTATGTAAGAAATTGAGCATGCGGCATACGCGCGAGGCCGAGCAACAGAGATCACGTGACCGTCCACGACGTGCTACCGCCGAACCTGTCCTAACCTCCGATGAGATCGGCGCCGGGAGCCGTTCCAACTTCCTGAATCCTGGATTCCTGGGCGGTCATTCTAAGGGAAGCCTGCGTAAACGGCAAGGGTTCTCATAGAATCAGATCACCGGAGGATCGGATCAGATCCGTTTTTTTTTTGTTTTTTTTTTTTTTTTTTCCAATCTCGCGTTGATCGATCCTTTCTTGATCCTATCCAGGAGGATCAATTTGATCTGAGACATTGAGCTGCCTTATATGGCAACAGATGACCACATCTCACTAGTTGTCGCCATCGGTGTTGAGCGCATCATTATCACTACTACCACCACTACTGTTGTGCCCATCATAACTATCCTCCCCATCCTTGTCGGTACCATCATCATCATAATCATCATCGGAAATGATCACCTCACTGATTCGCCTTTTTTATGAGCTCCGGTTGCGCGCGTTGCCCTCGCCGGTTTAGGTGGGTTTCTTTACATAATGCGAACATGATTTTATAGTCAGTTCAAACTTATGTAACAAAGGTCATGTCGGATAGTGGTACATACCCTGTAGAACTCTCTTGTGAACGGCAGGTATCAATTCAATTAAAGGGCTCTCTACGAATTAACGACGCTACATTTCCCCCCACCCCACCCCCGCCCTACCCCCCTATGAGGCGCCCCCCCACCTTTTTTTTTTTTTTTTTTTTTTTTTTTTTTTTTTCTCCCGAGGCTTGATCTTCATATGATCTATCTTATGTTGATCCTGCCCAGCTAGGATCAGGATCGATCTGATCCTATGAGAATCCTTGATAAACGGATGGGCCGTATCTGTGGTCAAACACTATTCAAGAGCTTGCTGTCGGCCTCGCTATTTCAACCTGATCGGATAGTAGCGGTCCGTGGCGACTCGGAGACTCTGGTGAGATACTGGCATACTGCCATGTCATCGGGGGGGGATGGTGATATTCGTGCGCAAAAAGACGGGCCGACGGACAAAACCCGACAAGCGGGCGCGTTCGGCGCAACATACCCGCCTGGCGTCTGACGGCCGACTTGCCTTCGCAAGCGGCGCGCGCATCTGCGCGCATTAGTTGACCCAGGCGTGACTTCGCAACTCGACCTGTCGACTGGCGCTCATCGTCCGTCCATTCGCCAACGCGCGGCCACTCGATCACGATGTCGGCTCGACCCCAATCCGTGAACAACAAGCCCAAAAAGAATCCTCGCAAGCAGGCCGAAAGACAGGAACTGCAGCTGCTGCAGCAGCGCGTTGATGACTTTGTCGCACCGGACGAGCTGCAGCTCTTCGCCGAGTTGCCCCTGTCCTCTCCTACGCTGCAAGGCCTCAAGTGCGTCGCGACCACTACGCAAGCGAAGCGAAACCACACCGAAGCAAGTCAGTGTCGCTGACCCAGCTCTCGCGCTCGGATTCCCCCTGCACAGGTCGGCCTACTACAGCAAGATGACCGACATTCAGATCAAGGCGCTCCCGCTCGCACTCAAGGGGCTCGATGTCCTCGGAGCAGCACGGACGGGCAGTGGCAAGACGTTGGCGTTCCTCATCCCCGTCCTCGAGGTCCTGCTGAGAAAAAAGTGGGGTCCCAACGATGGCCTCGGCGCGCTCATCATCAGTCCGACCCGAGAACTGGTCAGTCTTATGAACTCCGCGATCGAGTCGCGACCCCTACTTGGGCGCGTTTAGTGTGTATGCTGACGGCTTCACTTCTTCTCCCTCCGTATCCACCCCAGGCGGTGCAGATTTTTGACGTGATGCGCAAGATCGGCCACAAACACTCATTCTCGGCCGGGCTCGTCATCGGCGGCAAGTCGCTCAAGGACGAGCAAGACAGGCTCTCGCGCATGAATATCCTCGTCGCGACTCCCGGTCGATTGCTTCAGCACATGGACCAGACGCTCGGCTTCGAGTGCGACCAACTTCAAATCCTTGTCCTCGACGAAGCCGACCGGATCCTCGACATGGGTTTCCAGGCCTCGCTCAACGCTATCGTAGCGAATTTGCCGAAGCAGCGCCAGACCTTACTCTTTTCGGCGACACACACCAAGAGCGTCAAAGACCTCGCGAGGCTTTCGCTCAAGGACCCGCAGTACGTCGCCGTTCGCGAAGGGATGGCGTCCGTCAAGGGTAAGGAAAAGGCCGAGGACGGGGCGGAGGACTTCAACTCTGCCCAGGCAACGCCCAAGAACCTCGAACAGCACTACATGGTCGTCGAACTGAACGAAAAGATGGACGTACTGTGGTCGTTCATAAAGACGCATCTCTTCACCAAGACGATCGTGTTTCTTTCTAGTGGCAAACAAGTGAGTCGAATTCTCCCACACCAGTCTCAGCCAAACTAGCCGACGAAGGTCTGAACATGCCCGAGCAGGTTCGCTTCGTCTACGAAAACTTTCGTCACTTGCGACCAGGTGTACCGCTGCTGCACATGCACGGCAAGCAGAAACAGATGCAACGCCTCGATATCTACCAGCGCTTCATCTCGGCCAAACATTCGATCTTGTTCGCGACCGACATCGCTGCGCGCGGTCTTGATTTCCCCTCGGTCGACTGGGTTGTGCAGGTCGACTGCCCCGAGGACGTCGAGACGTACATCCACCGCGTCGGTCGAACGGCGAGGTACGTGTCCAAAGGCAAGGCGCTCTTGTTTTTGTTACCGAGTGAAGAGGCGGGGATGGTGAAGCGGCTCGAAGCGAAAAAAGTCGACATTGGCAAGATCAAGGCCAACGCCGCGAAGCGACAGAGCGTGCAGAGCCAATTGCAAAACGCAGCGTTTCAGTTCCCCGAAATCAAATTTTTGGCACAACGAGTGAGCAGCGCCGCGGTGGGAGATGTCCCATGCACTATTGACATGGCGAAAGAATTCTTCCCCCAGGCTTTCATCTCCTACGCGCGGTCCATCTACCTGCAAAAGGACAAGACCATCTTCAATCTCGACGACCTGCCGCTCGAGGCGTTCGCGACCTCGCTCGGTCTCGCCGGTGCTCCCAGAATCAAATTCGTAAGCAAGCAAGCAGCCTCGGCCAAGAAGAACGCGGTGCGACAGTTCGAGGTTCTGAAGAAGGATGCGAGGGCGAAGGTCGCAGGATCGGACCACGAGGACGACAGCGAAGAGGAGAGTGAAGGATCAGTTTTCAGATCAGGCTCCCATTTTGGTTCTGGCTCGGATGAGGATGAGATAAGTGGTGGCGAAAAAAGCGAGGCTGGAGACGATGAGCGTACCACAGCGAATGCACCAGACGGAAAAGTGAGTCTCGTTGATCCGAGCGCATGGCTATCTACCTAGCTGAACATGCCCGTTGACGATCACGTGCAGGAAAAGAACGGCGGTGTCAAGACCAAGTACGATCGAATGTTTAGCCGCAAGAGTCAAACCATCCTGTCGGACCACTACTCCAAACTTGTCGATCGATCTTCGGACGAAGAGGACGGGGGTGCGGGTCGAACAGCCCTCACTGGCGACCTCGGTGCCGACGGCGGCGATGGCGATGACTTTATCACGCTCAAACGTCGCGACCACACCATCGAAGGGGACCAACTTCCCGAGTGGCACTTCATTTCGAAACGCAAGCTCAAGATGGGGCAGTCGAAAAAGGCCATGCTGAGCAAGCACGGCAACCCGACCAAACTCGTCTTCGACGACGATGGCGAGGCCCGGCAAATCTACGCGCTCAAGGACGAGGAACACTTCAAGGCCGAGGGCGACGCCGCCGAGCAGCGAGCCAAGTTCGTCGAGGAGGAACGACAACGGTTGGCCAAGGCCGATGTGGTGGACAAGGAGCGAGCTAAGGAGAAGCGACGAGAGAAGAAGAGGAAGCACAAGGACTACGATGGCGCGTACGAGGACGAGGGAGGCGTTGAGGTTGGCGACCTGTCCGACGCCGACGATGGCTACGTCTCGCCTGATTTCAACCTACCCGATCTCGGCACGAGCGAGGAAGCAGACGGTCCACTGTGGTATAAAGCCCAGGACCGCAAGACGGCAGAGACATCGGCGACGGCTGCACCAAGCGAGAAGAGGAATAAGCGTCAGCGCAGGACCGGACGCAGTGATGCTTCGGCAGCGGCGGAGCCGGCGGTGGATCTGGAAGCGCTTGCTCTGCAAGCTTTGGGCGGAAAGTAGTAGTATTCGCAATGGTCTATGCACCCATTTGGTAATCTGCCCGAGATACTTTTGGCCAATGTACGCGCTCACATTCCGCCTCTCCATGCCCCGCGAACATTGAGGCTAGACGTGTTCCGCTGGGCTCTATCTCGGCAGCCATTTTGGCACATGCGCCTGAAAGCACGACGAGTCATGTGTTACAGACTACTGAAAGTATTCTACTTCCAGCAATACAACGGCACTCGCGACCGTGCTCAAGACGGGCAAAAAGAGGCAGTTCCACGCGGCAAATTCGCGCGCTCTGACGTGGATCCCCTTTTGCTTCAGAATAGAGACCCACAACAGACCTGCCAAGCTGCTTGAAAAGGTCCAAGAAAAGGCTCCTAGGTTGGAAGCGAGAGCGGCCGAAAAGATGGCACCGGTGAGGATCTTGGGGCCCGCGACGATGTGAGGGGCATTTGAAAAGTTGGGGTCGCGCAGGATCTCGACGAGCAGGATCGTGGCGCCAATGTTGGTGCCGCACAGTGGGCATAGGACGAGCGCGATAAAGTAGCCGAGAAAAAAAATGGTCACAGCCGGGTTGACGGAGATCTTCGCCAGCCACGAGGCAAAGATCGACGTCCAGCCGAGCGAGGTCAGCGCGCGGGTGAGGACAAAAATCCCTCCCGCAAAGGGGAGCAGCGAAATGGGCAACCGCGAGATCGTTGTCGCCGTGGTCGGAAACTGCCGCCGGAAGGCTCGACCAAACGCAGGCAGCGAGTAGCGAGGTTCGTACCTGAAGGTAGATTCGATGACGCGGCCGAGGTTGATGCCCTCGGACTCTTGGGGCGTCGACAGCGGATGCGATCCCCGTTCGGTCCACACATCGCGCAGCAAGGCGATGATGCCTCCCGGCGCGGTCACCATCCAGACCTCGACGCTCTTAACAAAACTGGTTCCCACGAGGACGACCAACGTGACTAACATCAGGGCCGAGTGGAAAACTGCCCCCTTAGGGTCCAGCAATGCCGAGCGAGGATCGACGTCGGGTGGCGTCAGCTGGGCGGGAATGTACGCCGGTGCGCCGGAGGTTCCATCCTTTCGAGGTGGCTTCAACGTCTTGAAAGTGACCAGCAACAGAGGGTAGGCAACGACGGCTCTGTCGATAGAAACATATGACGTATTTAGGTTCGTGTATGCTACGCCGTACAAGTAGTATCGACTTGCGTGATGACGGAGGGAAGTAGCGTGTTCTTGGTATACCCCGTCAAGAAATTGAGTTTGAAAGCCTGCAAAATTTTTGGATGATCGTCAGGTTCCGTTTTTTTTCATATCTTTTTCTTTCTTTGGCCGTCTCGAAAAGCCTTGAACTCACCCCGGCGATCAACACGTTCGTCGGATTGGACGAAACGAGAGCTGCACTGGCAATGTTGGCGGCGATGAATTGAGAAAAGGTCCATGCTGTGGGGGTGGTGATGCCCGTGACCCGAGTCATGTAACCCAAAAAGGCGGTCTGGATCGTGTTGGTGAATCAGTGGGCTTGATCAGTGCCGTGGCCACCTGCGCGGAGGCAGTAGAGTTCAATTGCTCACCCCGGACAATACGATCGGGTCATTTCCAACGATAACACCCGCGACAAACCAGAACACGTATAACGTGGTATAGAGCTGTACCCCGCTCGCCGTCTTCTCGGCCGAAGGAGGGGACAATTGCGGCGTGCGGGCGGATTTCTGCGAGATGAAGAAAGCCAAAGCGCGCAACCCCCCGGTCGAATCGAGTGCTGTCGAAATGTAGGCCTTTGAATTTTGGAATCGGTCAAAATGTACGAGCAAGGTGAAGAACATTGAATATATTGATATAAGATATTTATTGAACTTAGTATTACAACTCACCAGCGAGATAAAGAGCACCAAGACGTCGTAAGGTCGGACGCCATCTTCTCCAACGATTCCCATGCGCAACACCGATCCGTCGATCGTAGTCGTGAGCAAAAGCAAGATGACACCTGCGACAGGGGCCGTTCTCAGATCGATGGGGATTGACCACCTCTGTCCCTCGCTACTCGGTTGCCCCGACCGTGACCCGTCGTGGTCAGCCGTCGAATCTGCATCTGCTGAATTTCGCACAGGGTTCGAAAAGTCCGCCTTTGCCGCCGATGCGTTGACCCCGATCTTGTACTCGCTCCTGTTTCTCGATGAGACGGATGAGCTGTCCACGGCTATAGGGTTCGCTGATCCGGACTGCGTGGGTGCGTCGTGGTCGCCATTCGCTGACGGCGCCGGACTCAAGCGCATCTCCGACTTGGATTCGGACTTGGACTTGGACTTGGACCGTGTCGACCAGTGCGAGTGGGGTTCGATCGGATCTCGAAGCCTCAGCAATATCGCAAGCTTGAGCAAAGGTCGGGATATGGCGAGAGATATCGGTACTCGAACCCCCTTGATCACAAAGCCCACTAGAGTACAAGATGATGGTGGAGGTAGCGTCGCGATCAGCCATTGCCCCGGAAACGTGCGAGATACCTCCACCGTGCAGGTGAATGCGCTTCCGCTCCGCTACTGTCTACTACTCACTGACGGTGAAGTAGACGACCAGGCCGAACCACCCGAATCCATTGATACTTGCGACCATGCTGAATGTCACTGGTTAGGCGAACGTCCAGATATGCGGGAACTCGAGGTGAGCACCGTCACCCGTCACGGGTCCTGTAGGTCCAGAGCACGTTTGACTTTCGTTCGCGCGCGCGTGCGTCATTTGGATCCCAGAAGCTCGAGCGCTCTTGTCGATCACTTCGCAGATCCCCGAATCGCAACGATTCGCAGTCGGTGGCGCCTAAAATGACCGAGTAGGTAACATAACATGTCTCCTAGGTAGCAGGCCAAACTATCAAAATGACGACATCATCAAGCTTCCAGTTTCAAACAAGTCGATCGCACGTCTTCTCCCCCGGGGCCACTGAGAACCCCTCTCAACAGCTCCACCTTGGGCCCCATGCTCTTATCGGTCCGTAGCTCGAGCAAAATCGCGTAATTGAAAATGATCGTTTCGGAAGCATATGCCGTCGATGTCTTGGTAGAGAACAAACGGGCGAGAAGATTGATCGCCTGCGCGAGGTTATCGGGTGGTCGTTTGTTATTCAGCCGAGTCTCTCCGGAAAAGGCTGCGGCGTCAAGTCGCCGAGGTCCCACTCACCTCGTTCAGTCTGGAAGCGAACAACAAGACGACGGCAAGGTTGTTAAGAGCCTGTAGTTCGAATGATGTTAGCGCTGATGGTCTCACTGCGCTGGTGCGGTCGCTTGGGCGTACCTCGGCGTCTCGGTCATCCTCCTGCACGAGTGCTCGCCAGTCGGCCTCTGCGGCGGCCCAATCCCCTCGAGCAACCTTGCCCAACGCCAACATCTTGCGCATTGTTCGATCGTGTTTGGACGGTGCATTCGAGGCGGCGACAGTCATTGATAGCCCCATGATGTGGCCCGTCGCGAATTGCAGTCGAGTTAGAGCCGGGAGCAAGGCCGAAGAGAGAGGCTTGGTACGCGAGCCCGCGGTCAGGACGTAGGTTGCTGAAGGATAGGCCTAGGTCACCACAGAAGACATCTCGTTGTCAGTAGAACGCAGACCAATATCGCACCACAGCATCTCGATAGTACCGACCTTGATCTCGACTAAAGCTGCAGCGATCATACCCGCGATCCTCTCTGCCCTCGTCTTCCACTCTTGCGCAAAATCGTGCTCGTCGCGCCACTCGCACACCCACATCTCGCAGCGAACGTTCTTGAGCAACACGCTCAAGTTATCAACTGAGCGTTCTGGATCGCTGCGGAGGGCGGGTAGGGTGGCGAGCATGACGTGGAGTTCGAAAGGGATCACGGGGATGAAACGTGGTGGAGTGATGCCCGTGGGTCGAGCAGGTGGGGGAGTGAGCGAGACGAGTGGCGGCAGGATTGCGATAAGCCCTAGGAGCTCTGTGGCAAAGTGCTCGACGAGATGCAGTCGCAACAGGCAGTGAAGTCGAAGAACCCAGTGCTAGAGGATGAAATTGGAAAATTGGAGGTCAGCACTCTTGGGGTCACGCAGGAAGAAACTCCAGGAGCGTAGACTGACGCCGAGAAGAAACGATGTCGCTTCTGGCGAGGAACTCATAATGACATCGTGACAGAGCTCGGCCAGTCCTCGCCATTTTCGTGCCGTCTGTTGGAGTGTGCTGGCAATGTTCACATCAGCGCCTGAGCTCGAGATACATGGTTTCACGTGGCGACTAACGATCAGCTCTTGCACGGTCTTACCCTTGCCGTCCGCGCCGCTCAGGTCACGTGGAGCCGAAGGACCAAGGTACCTCTCGACCAGAGGAGTGAGATTGTCGGTCTGCGGACAAAAGCCGAATAGAATCGGGTGAGCCTGTAATCACCTGTTCGACCATCCATTCGGTCCTAAGAGCCTGCTCACGTTAGGTAAGACAACAAAGAGGTGGGGTGACATGAGGCCCGGGATATAGTCTTCGTCCGGTGACGAACTGGCCGTCGCGAGATCGGGTGCATTCGAGGTGCTTGCGATCGGGAGTGATTGCTGAAGTTGATATTCGGTAGCCCTTGGTGTTGGCAGGAAGGCGGCCTCGCCACTCAGCTGTTGCAGCGAGCTCGCCAGTGAGGACGGGGCGGTGGAGGAAGAAGCAACGGGGGTCGATTCGGGGTTGGGGCTGTAGCCGTGGAGAGGGAGGGGAGGCAAGGGAGGCGACACGACTTGAGCTTGATGTGGGAGAGCATACGGCGAAGATAAAGAGGGCGGCGGCGGAGGTGGGTGAGTGACAGGGGCTGCGATCGAGGTCGGAGGGGGCGAAGGTGGGGCCGACCCGAGCGCGTACTGAGCATCGGCGGCAATCGGGCCGACCTTGAACCGCTCGTTTGCGTCGTAGGACTGCATCGTGACCCAAGTCGACGAACGTGCCGTGAAGAGGTGGAGGCCACGATCCAGCACAGTATGTGGAAGGCGTGCGGAGGGGGGAAAGAGGAGCACTGTGGACTATAGCCGCACCAGCGCGCCAGTAGCGAGCGCCTAATACTGGTAATGCTGTCTAATACTGCCTAGTAGCGCAGAGTAGCGCAGAGTGGCGCGCAGTGCCAGGCCGAAGCAAGGTCAACTTCGGACCGTCGCACCGTCGCACGCACCCCCGTACTTCAGATCTTCAGAAGCGACGGTCGCACATACCTGGTGTCAGCAGAGTCGTCTCCCAGCATTGGGCTTGCAGTGAGCTCGCTTGCGATCACTCGTCGACGACCGCCGGCCAAGGTCAATTTCACGCGTTGCATCCGTTCCGTCGCGCGACGCGTGACGACAAGTTCTGATTTCTCGCTCGCCCGTTTCGCAAGCGCCGCGTCGGACAAGTTCCCCTTTTAGCAGGGCCGGTGCTGATCACGCCTCGAACCACGCAGCCCAGGAGATGATACCAGCTCGACGGCGACGGCGTGAACATGCATAGTCATGCCCGCAACTACCGCACTGGCGCGGCGGCCCTTTCCGACTCGAAGAACGATCGCACCCCCGCCGCGTCGTTCAAACCACCCCGACCGGCGGTCACGGCCATCTCAGTACCGACCGCTTTCGGCGCCGATCCGCACACGGACAGGAATGGACATCGCACCGCAAACCATGACAGTCGCTTCTCGCCTCAGACGCGCTATGCGCCCGTCAGTCAGCCATCGCGAAGGCCGCTCACCTCGTTCCAAGCACGTGCCCCCGCCGCCTCGTCTTCGTCGTACCGCGCGACCCCACCTGCCGCTCCTCGGCTGTTCTCGGGCCGCACCGAACGTATCGTCTCCACCTACGCTATGGATGACTGTGCGCCCTACGTTGCTCGTGCAGAAGCGGCCAGGGAAGCGCAAGCACGATTGAACCCGTTTGTATCTGCGGGCGAGGCGCGCAACGGCGCGAGGCAAGCATTTCACACCGAGCGTCGACGCACTGACGGCTGCGATTCCGATTCCGAGTCAATCAGCTACAAGCCCTCACGATCCTACGGTGACAATAATCAGTACGTGTTCGATAACGATCGCCAGGTTCGGATCAAGCAGCAGCAAACCCGCGACAAGCAAAAGTCCGAACGAGCACTTCAAAAGGAGAAACAGCTCGCGCTCACCCCGGCTTACCAGGCCGACGAGAAGAAGCGAGCTGCCGACAAGCTCGAACGACTTCGCGCCGAGGGGCCGTCGATGGTCGGTAAACCACTCAAGAGACGCAATTCAGTTGACGAGAACGTCTCGACCGATAGCTCCGGTGCCACCTCGGTCAAACCAAGTCGTCGTCGCTCTCCAACGTCCCAGAAGGCTGAGGAGCTACTGGGTTTTCTCGGCCCGGAGAAATGCGCCGCGAGCTCTAGGACAAAACTTTCGCAAAAGGTTAACTCTGACGATGATGTGCTGTCCCCGTCGTCCTCGCCGGTCAAAGGGCCCACGTCCTCCTCGAGAAAGGTAAAGAAGAAAAACCGGAAGAAGCTCCGGCAGCACTCTGACGATGAGCTCTCTGAGTATGCGACGGCTCCGATGCGCATCTCATTGAGCCCGTCGCCCGCGCCCGCCGCCCCCGTACCGAAACCAAAAGTCGTCTACGACTTGGCTACTCTTTTGGCGGAGGAGAACGCGTCCGTCGAGGTCGAGGTCAAGTGGATGAAGCGCGCCCGGAAAATGAAGCGATCCGAGATCAAGGATGATGTCGACACGAGCGATTCGAACAGCGGGCAATCGGATGCAGACCGCCAACTTGTGCACCAGGAGATGCGGATCCGACGCGAGAACCAAGCCTCTCCGGACCCCTTGCTCGAAGGCGAAGGTCTGTTTGCCCATAATTCGCACAGAAACGCCTCGAGTCGCGACTGACGGTACATTCCCTTGATACAGACGAACTGCCGGATCCTTCGACGCTCTGTCCGTTCTGCAGCAGTGTTCTTCCCTCGGAGCCCTCGAAAGAGCTCTCATCATTGAAAAAGTACTTGCTTGGTCGACCGAATATCACTCCCAACCCCAGCAAGCGCAACCCCTTGGGCAAGCGATTGCCCGTCGTCGAGACGGCGTCGTTTTGTCGTCGACATCGATGGGAGACCTCCGTCATTCCCGAGGGCAAGGCTCGCGGTTGGCCCACTACAATCGACTGGGAGGCTTTGCCCAAGTGAGTCACACCGGTCTGGGTAGGGTTGATAGTGGCGATAAGGAAAGCTGACGCGAGCGTGCATGACTCGCAGGCGAGTGGGCGCTCGGGAGTTTTCGGACCATTTGTCCCAAATCATAATGCAGAGGAAGCCCAGCCGGTTCTTCGACATTGCCAAGAGGGAATGGGAAGCCAAAGGTAGCAAGATCAACAACATTCTGTCCGAATTCAAGTCGTCCGAGGTCGAGTTGCCCGGATAGTCAGTCTTCCCCCTCTGCCACGAGCTTTTCCTGTCCGCGCGCTGACTTCGACTCGACTTTTCGATACCAGCTACGGTTTGATTGGGCAAGAAAAGTTGATTCACCTACTGAATAAGCTCTTTGTCGTCGATGCACCACTCCTCACGACGTACAAAGCCTTGCCACTCGACGTCAGCGCCTACATCCGCCGCGTCCTTGTGCCTGAAACGGCAGTCGAACTGATTCGGCGGGACCTCAAACTTGATCTCGGCGACCCGGACACCCGCGGCGAGGCCGAGCGCGTGTGCCAGGAGTCACGCGAGTTCGGCCAGGCCATGTTCTCGACGACCCAAAAGGAAGAAAAGGAGATGAGGGCCAGCGTACTCGACGAACAACGCCAAAAGTCGCGGAAGAAGGAAGAGGAGAAGGAAAAAGAGCTGCAAAGACGCAAGGAGAAGGCCAAGAAGGCGACGCAGCGGAGGAAGAAATATATTCAGGCCCGAGCGCTGCGCAACGCACACCGGCTTCAGCGTGGAGGCTCGGTAGATCTCGGAGAAGACTTGTCGTTGGCTGTCGGGATGCCGAACGGTACGGGAAGGGACACGGAGACAACTAGGGCTGAGCGGAAACCTCGCGCTGCATTGCACCGGGAGCAGCAGCTGGCGAACAGCAATGGACGGACTACGGCGGCGCCAGCCCAAGCCGCCGGCCTTCCCGTGCGAAGCAGCATCGGGGACTCTGACGACACCGATTCTGATCGGAAATTGATGGTGCCTCTGTTTGAAACGAGCGAAAGGATCTCTCTCGGGACGACGTCCCCTCCGAAGCGCATACCAAGGAAGAAACTGGATCTCGGGTTGAGGGGAAAGAAGCGGAGGCTGGGGGAGGAAGAGGGGCCTGCGGTCGTAACCCTCGAAGAATCGTCGGATGATCTCAACACTGATTGAAGATGTGTGCAGTAACTCTAAAGAGAGGGGGAATATTGTACGTTCATGTTGTATCTGTTTCTATCGCTGCATTTTCAGCATACCGCATGCGCAAGCGCCATTGCTTGCCACCGAGTGAATTATTGGCCCGCGCGCAGATTGGAATCTGGAAAAATACCCATCCACAGTCAAAGCTCGAAGGCAGAACATATCTTCTACAGCACGTTCAACTGCATTCTTTATCGACCCAAAATGGGGTTGTTTTTTTTGGTTTTTTTTTTTTTTTTTGGTGGTAATAATCCTAATCCTAAAGGCACTCATATATGAGGCGCCGGGACTCGTAGACCTCCGCTTGTGTCGCCGCCCGCGCGCTAGCGCGGCTGTATGAGGCTGTCGCTTGAGGCGCTTGAGTGCGCTCACCACCAGCTTCCACCAGCGCGGTGCGCCTCGCTCACCACCACAGCGCGACGGGCATGCTGCTCGGCGGGGCACGCTTGCCTGTCTTTTTTCTTCCTTACCTTGGCCCGCCCGCTCCTCCCCATCGCCATCGCTGACTCGCTCCCCGGTAGGTTTTGAATTGCTTGCACCAAGGTACGTGAGATGTATCCCAAATCCGAGGATCCGTGCGCCCCCACATGTCGGCCTTCGCAGCCCCACCACTGACACTCTCTCCTCCACCTCCCGCACGCCCACCACCACCAGCCGTGGATCAAGTCACAAGCTCCGCCCCACCCCAACCGCGGCGCAAAACCCAACAGCCCCGCACGACCCACGACCCGCCACCCCACGATGCAATCGTCGCTACAGTCATTACGCGAATCGGTGCACGACAGCGATTGCATGCTCGAGCTCTCGGACCAGTTGCCGGACCGCTCACTTCCTTCTTCGCCCCGTCACGGCTCGACTTGTTCGGCCAGGCTCAGTGGCGCCACGAGGTCGTCACAAGAACCCGGCACTGCGACCCGTAATCTTATTGAGGAATCACAATCGCGCCGCCACGCGTCGTCACGCTCCGTCACCCGTCCCCGCTCCAACCCCTCTCGCCCGGACTCCGTCACATCCACCCGCCCCACTACGCCTGAGCTTCGTCACCCGTCGCGTGCACCATCGAAACAGTCATTACAGCACGAATGTTTTACCCCCAGCATTTCGACTAGTGATTCTTGGGATGAAGATGAAACTTCTTACAGTCAAGCTCGACAACGTCTCGATGCATATTCGCAATACTTCGACAGCCAATACGACGGCGAGGACGACAATCTGGCTCACGCTTGCTCCCAGCTCGGCCCAGCCTCGAGCGAATACGCGGCTTCGCACGACGACCGTCGCGTCAATACCGAATCCAAACCCTTCGATATCCACGTCGAATCGGATCTGTACGCAACCTCTGCGCGAGCCCGCGACTCGGAGCTGCCGAGCGTGTGGTCGAGCCGCGAGGTGCAAGCGCTGGCTGACGAGATGCCGCAACCCCCACATTTGCGCAAGTGGCTGAACGACCTTGCCGCGCTCAATGCGAGCCCACGAGATCGAGAGGTGCCCGTGTCGTCGTCCTCAGTGTGTGACCACCCAAGCTTTCTTGATGTGTTCTTTGGTACTGCTGCTTACGGTCTTCTGGGTCGACGCGAACAGATCCGTGGTTATGGCTCGCTCCTCTCGGACGCTGCATCCCTCATCTCGGAAGCGACAAACTCGAGAGCGGTAGACTCGCTCTTCCGAACAGCTCCAGAAGCAACGCCGCGTAGCGCCTGGTCTTTGGCGTCTTGTAGCTCCCGGGAGTTGGAGGATGATCCACTTTTACCCGGGGATTATTCGTTCGATACCGAAGAGCCCTCGGGGTACCTCGAGAGTGTCTCTGAAGCCACGGATGAGGCATTATCGAGGTAGGTCTCACGCGCTCGGTGGAGTACATGCCATGATTTCTGATATCACTGCCTACAATCAGCATCATTCATGCTAAGCAAGTGAACGCGTCCCAAAGCGAATCCACCCTGAGTGGGTCCTTGGTATCCCTCCCTGCCAAGGGAATCGGCGCGTGGCGTCTCGTCTCGCTCGCGCTCGCTGTTGGTTGGACGGCGACGATCGCTCGGCCATACTGGACTTCCGACCGGGCTGCTCTTCAAGAAGCCGCTCAAACTCTTTCAGCAATCCTGCTCGAAGAGGTTGCTGTGTCCATGATCAGCGCGCCCGTCGAAGAAGTCGTCGTTGCAGTCCTACCAGGCGATACCGAGTCACCTTCAACAATGCTCTTGATCACGCTCGTCTTCGGTGCCGTCATCATCCCGTTCATGACTGCGCACCACCGGCAACAACCCAAGGGCGGATCCAGCCCCCCCGAAAAAGGTTCTCCCGAGGCTGAAAATGCCGACTGCATGACCGAGGCCATCGAGGCGTACACTCGGGGGCACTTGCAAAAGGCAAAGGTATTGTTCGAGCGCGTGGCGACGGGCACACCGGAGCAAAATCGTGACGCTCTCGAGTACCAAGCCCGTACCTTGTACAGGATAGGTCGCGTACAGGATTCGGAAAAATGCTACAGCGAGGCGTGGGAGCTCTTCCACCGCGTCATCGAGACGGACAAGCTGTCTGGATGCGAATCGAGCAGCGCGACGGCCAAAGCTAGCATGGGTCGCACCATGTTCCGCCAGGGCAAAATCGACGGGGCGAGGATCATGCTCGAACAGGCGCTCAAACTCGACAGCAAACTTGCGTACGCGCATGAGTACCTCGCCAAGGTCATCGCTTCGATGCAACTCGGTGCGAAGGGGGAACTGACGGTCCTTGGTCACCTCAAAGAAGCGCTTCGGATCGATCCGGACCGATACACCGCGCGCGCTTTCCTCGGCGAATGGCTCCACCTCAACTGCAAGGGTCTGACGGGCAAAAAGACGTCGACACGTCTGCGACTAGCCGAAGAAGCACTCGAGCACGTCGTCACGACTCGTCCAGACCATGTGTCTGCGTATGCTCGACTTGCGCTGCTGGCCCGAACCCGGGGCGACCGCGAGGTCGAGCTCGCTCACTGGAAGCGAGTGCTTTCCATTCGCGAAGAGGGGTTCTACGATTTTGACCTTTCGAACGAAACGAACGACCACGCGCGCGGCGATACGCTCATCGTTTCGATCTGCCTGGGGCTCGATGTGGCTCGTGAAACCGAACGGCTTGAAAGGATCCGACTCCTAAGCGACGCACTCTCCAAGCCGTCGAGGGCTAATGCTCTTCTCAGGCTCCTCCAATCAATCGCAATTATCCACACGAGTCGAGACCTGTCCCCGAAAACCGTCAAGATCGTCTTTGGTGCCGAGAACGGCAAAGTCGCGGCTTCCGACTCGGAGGACAGCAAAACGATCAAGGGCTCTGAGAGCCCCGTCGCGGCCAACACCCGCAGTCGCAGTCGCAAGAGCTCTGCCAGTGCCGCCATGGCGGTCAAAGAGCCCCTTCAAACACTCGCAACGGCTAAGCAAATCTTGGAGAATGAAGAGGCATCGCTTCGAGGCCAGATCAGGCAAGGAACACCCAGGGACAAGGTCGAATTACACGGCTTGTTGGCGCTGGCACTTTACGGGCTCGGCAAGTCCGCCGAGGCCAAGGAGCACGTCAAGTGCTACCACTACTGGTCGCAGCTTAAAGCAATCGCGACCGACGAGACCGCGGCGACCCCGTCCGACCTAAATGCAACGCAGCGTGAGATGGCGTTGCGGTGTGAAATGATTGGACGCGCTTTGCTCGAGATGGCGGTGATGACTTAGGAGAATCGGAAATTTGCGGTCGTGGCTTATGTAGATCAATCCTGTCGGTTTCGAGTCTCTCTTCTTAGCACTCTGAAAGGACTTCTAAAATTATTGACTACTGCACAAGAGAGAATGCTCGGTCTCGCCTCCCATGCGTAGCAGACGAACAAGAAGTATAAAGGGGGAATATAGAAAAGACACCGAGCCACACGTTCTACGGAAGAGCGAAAGCAAGAAGGAAAGGCTTTTATGGGGGAGGGTGATCTAGTTGAGGACGAGCAACAAGAGCGCCATGCGGACGAACAAACCGTAGCGCATCTGTCGGAAGTAGGCCGCGCGGCGCTGGTCAAAGTCGACTTCGGGGTCGACCTCGGCGTTGCGGGGCAAGGGGTGCAGGACGATACAATTGGGCTTAGCCGATGCGAGGACCTCGTTGTTGATGATGTACGAGTCCTTGACGGCTTCGTACTCAACGACGCTGGCGAATCGCTCCTGCTGTGTCCGGGTGACGTAGAGCACGTCGGTGCTGCCAATCACGCTGGCGAGGCTCGTCGTCTCCATCACGGGTACGCCAGCTTTGATCGCCTCTTCCTTGACCGACTCAGGCATCGACAAGGATGCGGGCGAGACAAAGTTGAGCGAAACCGAGTACTGCGAGAGCAGGCGCACGAGCGAATGCACCGTGCGGCCGTTCTTGAGGTCTCCGACCATTGTGATCGTCAGGCCGTTGACCGTCCCGAGCTCTTCTCGGATGGTGTAGATATCCAAGAAGGCCTGCAGGAGGCAATGAAAATATGTCAGTCAATCGGCAATCATAGAACGTCGTTCGGTCTGATGCTTGCCTGAGTGGGATGCTCTCCGATACCATCGCCAGCGTTCAGAATCGGCACGGGCGAGAACTTGGCCGCCGTCTGCGCCGACCCAGCCGCGGGGTGGCGTAGGACGATGGCGTCGCCGTAGCAGCCGAGCGTTCGGACCGTATCGGCGAGCGATTCACCCTTCGTGACCGACGATGTCTCGGGTGTGATCGCGACGACCTGGCCGCCAAGTCGGCACATGGCCGCCTCGAACGAACTCGACGTCCGGGTCGAGGGCTCGTAGAAGAGCGTGCAGAGCACTCGGCCACGGAGCAGGTCAACGGGCAGCTGTCTCTCGACGAGCATGCGCAATTCGGAGGCCACACCGAACAAGGCGTGCAGGTCGTCTCGGTTGAAGGAGCGAACCGACAAGACGTGTCTCCGGGAGAACACCGAGGACGATTGCGACAAGAGCGTCGTCAGCGAAGAGGTCGGAGAGGCACCGCGCGTAGCCACCACTGCCGAGTTAGCGGCGTGCTGCAACGACAGACCCATGAAGCTGGGCTGGAGCCCACCGTCGTTGCCATCGAGTCGCGGTGACTTGCTACCCACGAGTTTCGGCGACTTGGTCAGGGCCTGGCTCGAGGCCGACGGAACGACGGGGAAAGAAGGGTTGACGTCGAACGGCTTGCTCGGGAAGCCCAGCGACTGGAGGGAGGGACGAGCCGACGACGACATGGAGAAGCGGGCCAACTTGCGGTCCGACTTGGGAGCACCAGCCAGGGCCGAGATGTTGCGGCCGCCGGCGGGTCGGGTGGGGAAGAAGGTGCCGTCGAGGAAGGCCGTGTCGCCACGGAGCACGACTCGGTGGATCGCACCGGCCACGGACTGGCCCTCGAGGGGCGACCAATACGAGCGGCGAGCGAACGTTGTAGCTCGGTCGATCTCGACCTCGACGTAGGTGTTGGCCACGGCCGCGGGCAAGTCAAAGATCGCACGAGGGTTGTCGGACAGACGAGCGGTGAGGTCTTCGATCGTCAAGCGGCCGTCTTGGACGGCCGAGAGCAACATGAGCGTCGACTCTTCCATACCCGAGCGGGGCGAGTAGGGCAAGCCGAGCTCGGTCGCCAAGCGGTAAGGGAGGGCGCCGACCGAAAGGGTATCGATGGTCGCCATGTTGCTCCAAAGCGCGGCTTGGTCGGCCGCCGACGGCAGGCAGGTCGCCTTGGGGTACGCCTCGGCGGACAGGAAGAGCGAGTAAACGGACACGTCGCAGGTGACCTTGAGCTCCTTCTCCTTGCTGAGCGCGATAAGCGCGATGTCGGCTTGCGACTGCACGTTGCTGACGTGGACACTGCGGCCGTGGAGACTCGCGACGAGAAGTACCGAGGCGAGGTCGACGGTCTTGGCGTCGGTCACGATCGGCTTGTTGAGGGGCCAAACCGAGAAGTGGGCCGAGATCTGCAATATTGAATTGAAGATGGGGTCAGCTCTGGATTCAAAGTACTGCCGGCCTCTGCAATCCCACTTACTGCCGAAACCTTGTTGGCCGCATCCGAAAGCTTGGTGAAGGGCAAAAAGAGACTACGCGCGGACTGGATGAGCTCGGCGTTCATCCTCGTCGAGTTGTCGACGGTGGCGGCGATGCTGAGAGCGTAGTCGCAGTGGGCGTGGCCCGCGGCGTTGGCCTCGGCAACATCGAGCGTCAAGGCGTCTTCGACACTCGACGAGGTACCGATCGGCAGGAGTTGCACAGTCGTGAAGCCGCCGGCGAGGGCGGCCTCGGTGGCTTGCTCAATCTCGGCCGATCCGGTAGATGCGACGGCGATGTTGGGAATGAAGGTGCGGGTGTTGATGAAACCAGGAAGCGTGATCGTGCGGTGCGACGTCTTAAAGTCGACGCTCGAAATCTCGAGACTGGGTCGGCGCGCCAAGGCCTCAATTAAGAGTTTGGCGCACTTGACGTTCGTGACGAGCGGGACGGCAAAGTCGACAGCCATACGACGCGAGCGATAACCCTTGGACATGTAGCTCGCGGGTCGGCGGTATCGGTTTTTGGACGGCAAGTTGATGTACAGGTCGATGAGGTTGTTGGCGATGTGCTGGTTGAGCGAGTACTCAGACTTTTGCGCGTCGTCAACCTCGAGCGCTTCAAGGTATTTCACGGGCACGCCGTGCTCCTGCAGGAAATCCGAGGTACCGGCGGTCGCAAAGATGTTGTAGCCAAGCGTGTGAAGCTTCTGCACCGAAGGGAGCATCTCGAGCTTTTCCTTGAAGGAACCGATCGAGAAAAGCACATTTTTCTTGGGCATGGTCATGCCCGTCGAGAGTAGCGCCTTGAGATAAGCCTCGTACTTGTCCTTGCCGAAGCAAGCGACCTCACCGGTCGACGCCATCTCGACACCGAGAATGGGGTCGGCGCCGGCAAGACGACCGAATGAGAACTGCGGCACCTTGATTCCAACGTAGTCGGCGGGCATCGTCGACTGTGGATATGGCTCTACGGGCAAGCCGAGCATGACGTCCGTGGCCAACTCGATGGCGTCGATACCCGTGACCTTGGAGACGAAGGGGTATGATCGAGCAGCGCGAACGTTGCACTCGATGACCTTGATCTCGTTGTTCTTGGCGATGAACCTGTTGGAAGGCTTACACTAGGTCAGTACGTGTCAACCGCACGCCAGAGCGGTGCAGGCCCGGAACTAACTGGATGTTGAAAGGTCCGCTGACGTTGAGCGAGGCGGCGATCTTGGCCGTAGCAACCTCGATGCGGCGCACGGTCTCGGGGTCGAGATCCTGAGGGGGCAAGATCAAGGTGGCATCTCCAGAGTGCACACCAGCGTTCTCAACGTGCTCGGAGATGTAGTGCATGACGAGCTTTCCGTCGCGCGCGACGGCGTCCATCTCGATCTCCTTGGCCTCTTCAATGTACTTGGTGACGACGACGGGGTACTCTCGCGAGACGGCCGAGGCGAGGCTGAGGTAGGCGTTGAGGTCGTCGCTCGAGTAGACGACGTTCATGGCGGCGCCAGAGAGCACGTACGAAGGTCGGACGAGGACGGGGTAGCCGACCTTGTCACAGAACTCGTGCGCGGCATCGATCGTCGACAACTCCTTCCACAGCGGTTGGTCGACGCCGATCTTGTCAAGCATGCGCGAGAACTTGTAGCGGTTCTCGGCCATGTCTATCATCTCGGGCGAGGTACCAAGGATCTTGACGCCTTGGCGGTGCAGAGGCAGAGCGATGTTGTTCGAGGTTTGACCTCCCATCGATACGACGACACCCGACGAGGCCTCGACCTCGTAAATGTCGAGGATCGTCTCGAGGCTGATGACCTCAAAGTACAGGCGATCAGCCTCGTCGTAATCGGTCGAGACGGTCTCGGGGTTGTAGTTGACCATGACAGTTTTGAAGCCACGGTCGCGGATCGTGCGGATCGCACGCACGGCGCACCAATCGAACTCGACAGAGGAACCGATACGGTACACACCCGAACCAAGAACCATGATACCCTTGTCCTCAAACTTAACGTCGTGCGCGGCGGCGTTGTATGTCGTGTAGAGGTAGTTGGTGAAGCAAGGGAACTCCGCGGCAACTGTATCGATCTGTTTGACGCGAGGCGTGATGCCAAAGTCAGTGCGCACGCGGCGCACGGCAAGCTCGTTCGAGCCGAGCAACTTGGCGAGCTGCGCATCGGCGAAACCCATCTGCTTGGCGTGGCGCAAGAGAGGCGCCGGGATCTGCGTTGCCGAGAACTTGGAGACGATACGTTCAATGTCAACGATGTGCTCGAGCTTGCGCAAGAACCACTTGTCGATCTTGGTCAGGTCGTGAATCTCCTCGACCGTGCGGCCCGAGTGCATCGCGTTGGCGATCGCGAACACGCGTTGATCGGAGGGGTTCTTCAACTCCTCGTCAATGTCCTGGCTGAATGAGTTCTTGCCGAAACCGGCGAAAGAAGGGTCGATCGCGCGGATAGCCTTCTGCATCGTCTCTTCGAACGTTTTGCCGATGGCCATGACTTCACCGACAGACTTCATCGACGAAGAAAGCGCGGTCGAGACGCGGGTAAACTTCTTGAGATCCCATCGAGGAATCTTGACGACGATGTAGTCGAGCGAAGGCTCGAAGCAGGCCGAGGTGTTCTTAGTGACCGAGTTACGGATCTCGTTGAGCGGAATGTTAAGACCGAGCTTGGCGGCGATGAACGCGAGCGGGTACCCGGTGGCCTTGGAAGCGAGTGCGGACGAGCGCGAGAGACGCGCGTTGACCTCGATGATGCAGTACTCTTGCGAGTGCGGGTTGAGCGCGTATTGGATGTTGCACTCTCCGACGACGCCAAGATGGCGGATGACGTTGACGGCCGTCGTGCGCAGCATGTTGTAGTCCGAGTCGGACAGGGTTTGCGACGGCGCAACGACGATCGAGTCACCGGTGTGGATACCGAGAGGGTCAAAGTTCTGCAAGAGGGGTGAGCGAAGAAATATGTCAGTCATTCGCTTGGCACCAAGCCCACCGCGCCGAGAAGACTCACCTCCATGTTGCACACGGTGATGCAATTGTCGCGGCAATCACGCACGACCTCATACTCGATTTCCTTCCAGCCCTTCATCGACTTCTCGACGAGCACCTGCGACGATGTGGCAAAAGCCTTGGTGCAGAGCTCGACGAGCTCGGACTCGTTGTAAGCGAAACCGGAACCGAGACCACCGAGGGCGAAAGCGGCGCGGACGATGACGGGGTACCCGATCACGGTCGCGGCCCTGACGGCTTCGTCGACAGTCACGGCCGAAGCGGACTGGGCGCATTTTTCGCCAATCTCCTCCATCGCGGAAGCGAAAAGCTCACGATCTTCGGTCGTGATGATCGTCTCGATCGGAGTACCGAGGACCTTGACGCCGAGACCGGCGAACTCGTCCTTGAGTTTAATACCGACCGAAAGGGCGGTTTGACCACCGAAGGTGCAGTAGATACCGTCGGGTCGCTCGTGCTCGATGACCTTGCGGACGGAGTCAGCCGTGACGGGCAAGAAGTAGACCTTGTCGGCGAGACCCTTGGATGTCTGAATCGTCGCGATGTTAGGGTTGATCAGGACCGTGTAGATCCCCTCTTCCTTCAAGGCCTTGATCGCCTGGCTACCCGAGTAGTCGAACTCTCCGGCTTGACCAATGGAAAGACCACCGGAACCGAGGACGAGGACCTTGCGGACGTCGACGCGGGGCGTCTTGGCCGCGTTCTCGGCCGCGTCGCCTCCGGGAAAGCTGACGGCGCCGACGAGTTGCTTGCCCGCCGACGCGAAGCTCTTCTGGATCGCACCAATGAAGGTGTCAAAGAGGAACTCGGTGTCGCGGGGACCGGGGGCGGACTCGGGGTGGAACTGGACCGAGAAGAAGGGGCGCTCGGTCGAGTAGATGCCTTCGTTGGAGCCGTCGTTGGCGTTGACGAAGAGCTCCTTCCAACCTTGCTTGAGCGTGGCCGTGTCGACAGCGTAACCGTGGTTCTGAGAGGTGATGTAGCATCGACCGCTGACGAGCGAGGTGCAAGGGATGTTGGCACCTCGGTTGCCGTACTTGAGCTTGAGGGTGCTCGCACCACTGGCTCGGGCGAGCAATTGGTGGCCGAGGCAGATACCAAAGATGGGGAAGTTGCCGAGCTCGATCGCCTTGGCGAGGACGGTCGTCGTCGCGGTCAAGGTGGCCGGGTCACCGGGGCCGTTTGACAGGAACAACCCATCAAAGGGCTCTTCAGTCGGGGTGAGATAGTTGTAGTCGTACGGGACGACCTTGAGCTCGACGCCTCGCTTGATGAAGCATCGAATCTGGTTGTACTTCATGCCGACGTCGACGCAAAGGACTCGCAGGGGCCGGCCCGAGGGGTGCAAGAGGGGCTCGACGGTGCCGTCGGGCTTATAGAGGGTCGCCTTGCGAGTCGACACGGCACCAACGAGGTTGTCGCCATTGGGGTCGTGGTACTCGATTTTTTCATACGCCTTGCGCCATTCGGCCCCGGACGAGAGTGCTTCGGCACCGGCGACGGGCGCAGAGAGACGACCGATGGTGCTGCCTCGTTCGCGCAACTTTTTGGTGAGGTCACGCGTGTCGACACCAAAGATGGCGGGAATGCCTTCCTCCTTGAGCCATTCGGCGAGCTCGGTTTTGGCGGCGTGGTTGGAGAAATCGTCACCTGCGCCCGAGTAGTTGCCGACAACCAAACCGGCGACGTGGATCTTGTAGGATTCAAACTCGCTCGGCAACTTGGCAGGGTCGACGACACCCTTGGGCGGTCGCGCGGGCACACCGTACGAGCCGATGAGCGGGTAGGTCAAAATGAGAATTTGGCCGGCGTACGAGGGGTCGGTCAAGGACTCGGGGTATCCAACCATGCCTGAGTGGGTGTTAGGTCGGACAGCGGAGGAAAGGCGCGACGCGAGCGAGGCCGGAGAAAGCAGATTCGAAGGAGAGGAGACGGGTCGTGTCAGCTTGGAATGAGCATAGCGTTCCAAATGACACCGTCTTCTCGTGGACTGACCGGTCTGGAACACACACTCTCCAGCAATGGACTTTTCGGCGCCGAAAGAGAAGCCCTCGTACGCGCTGCCGTCGGCAAGTTCGAGCAGCATCTTCTTGGTCGAGACATGGCTCGAGCTCGACTGCGAGGTAGGCGCGAACTGGTGCTTGAGCTCGGCCGTGGTCGGATAGGTCGTCGGGGGTACGGGTTGACCGAACGGCCTGGTCGCGTCGGGGGAGAGCGAACGTGCGGCGGAGGACGAGGTGACGGCCGCCGATGAGGCAGCACCGGCCAAGGGGGACGAGGTCGGGTTGGAGCTGGGCGAGGCCGTCGGTCGCAGGGGAGGCGAGCGAGCCAAAGCCGGGTCGAATTCGAACGAGGAGGCGCTCATCGTGCGGTCGAGCCTGGTGGCGACGGCGGTGGCGAGGGGAGGAGAGTTGCGGGAGACTTTTCGGTAAGGCGCGCCGGGCAGGTTGCGAAGGGGTGGAAAGCGGAAGGAGATGCGCGGCGTGAGCGATCAACGGAAACGCGGGCGCGAAAACGTCAGGAGAGTATACACACAAGCTGAAAGCGAAGACGACAAAGGAACAACCGATCCGAGGTCCCGCTCGTTCGTCCTCAGCTATCGCATGAGCGTGGAGCAGCAGAGCAGGAGGGGAGGACGGCAACCGAAGGCGCTTCAGCAGGGCCAACCGCACTGAAATGGCAGCGAGCCGACTGACTGCCGCCTGCGAGCCGTGCCTGCGAGATGGCATCGTTAGGCGCGAGCCAGGCGCGTGTTGAACGTTGAACGTTGAGCGCTGAGCTCGGACCCATGACGCAGCTTGCCGTTCCTGCATGCACTGCAGACCGCCTTCAAAGCTTTTGAGTCACTGCAGAGGATACCGAGGCCGCGACAACAAGTTTTATGCGCATTCATTCAGGAATGCCTCTTCCAACAACCAAGAACCCAAGAAGCCGGGAAGATGCGTCAAGATGCCATCGACGTGTCACGTCCCGACTGCCAATGCACGACGTCACGTAGCCAGCCAGGTCTCTGCTGCCCGACCGGTGCCCGACCGTGCCCGACGCGGCCCGACGCGGACTGGCGCACGCGTCGACTCGGGACCCGGGGGGGGGGGGGGGCTTGGTAATCTCTCCCTCTCTTCCCCAGCCAGCCCCCACCCATCTCCGAGCCCGAAGCCCCGACCAAGATGTCCGAGTCGGCTACTACGCCTCTTCGTTCTTCTCGTCCCTCGGCTCTCGATCCGGCGCAATCGACTCCGCCCCTGCCCACGAGCCCATCCTCACCCGTTGCAGCACTGACCGAGTCGGCCAAGAAAGCGGTCTCGTTCGCTGCTGCCCCAGTCACGTCGGAACCTTCATCGGCCTTGTCCTCGTCGTCATCGCCAATCTCGTCAGCCTCGAACGCGCTCTCGTCCTCGATTCTGAACGCGACCTCATCTTCTGCCTCTCCATCAACGTCCAAGCACGCGTCCTTGTCCGACACGCGTTCCAACCCCGCGAGTGTCACGCCCCAACCCAAGCGCCGTCGATCGTCCCTGAAAGCCGGCACCAAGATGCCCGTCCAACCACCGCCAGAACATTGGAAACACGCCGACCCGTTACTGCGTCGATTGCGTCTACGTGACCCCCTCAACAAGGGCCACTATGCGAACCTGCAGCACACCTTCCGCGATGCCAAGGTCGTGCTCTTTCTGTTTGGGTCAGTAGGGCTCGCATGCGCCCTCACTGCTCTTGAAACCCGGCTGATGTTGTGCCCTGATCGATGCATAGATCGACATGGCCTGGAATGAGTAGAGAACCGTACCAGGTAGGGCCCAATCCATACGGCGTCATCTCTCACGCTCGAACCCATCTCTGACGCGAACCCACTCGACACCGCCCGCCACATCCACATCCACACCCTCCCCTATCTCTTTGTCCCTCAGCTGGTCGAACGCTTCGCAAGGGAAAACCCACACCGGTGTAAAGTGGTCTACGTCTCGGTCGATACCTCGGAGGCGACCTTCAACTCTCAGATTCAGGGCAAACCATGGCTAGCGATGGAGTGAGTGCGGACCGTCGATTCTGCCGAGCTTGGGCATGATCCTGATCAGCTAGGCTCGACGTTCTGATCGTTCCAGATGGAACGACGGCTCGAACCTCTCCGAAGGCAGCGATTCAAGTGACCACGGGGTGCCTTCCGAACCTTTCCTCCTCGCAGGCGACACCGATCTCGAAGAAGACCTCCACCACAGCGACCCTCAAGGATCCCTCTACACCCGACCTTATTCGCGCGTCTTCTTGGCGGAGAAGCACGGCGTTTTAGGGGTGCCGAACTTGTTGGTCTACCATTTGGAGAAGAGGGAGGTGTTGACGACGCATGCGAGGTTCGATTTGTTGAAGCCGGAACGGTGGCAGGGGACGTGGGAGAAGTGGGAGAGGGGGGAAAAGATTAGCTTCAGTTTGGGCGGTGGGTAGTCGAAGTATTGGGTGCTCATGGTTCTTTATCGGTGGACTGACGCGCGCTCATTCATCCACAGACGTATTCGGAGCAATGAAGTGGACACTGGCTTTCGCCGCGGCGGGGACGGCTTACCTCGCTGCGGTGCATTTGGGTGGTGCACCGAATCTGATCCGTGGCTACACCGAAACCTTGTCACGAACGTTCTTGACGAGGGGCGCATGATACTGAGATGGGAGCGTAGGATGTGTGGGTGTGTTGAGGTGTCGTTTTCTTCGGGGTAACCCTTTCCTCCGTGTGCAAAATCAGCTGGCTTGGTTCCTTCTCTTCGACAATCCGACTATCCCAGAAGTGCAGTGATCTTGATCCGTATTGCAAGGAGGAACAGACGAGAGGGAGAGGGAATAAAGTGTCGTCGGACGAAGACGAGAAGAAGAAAGGGGGGGAGGGATCCCTTTGTATTACACCACAGACACACAGCCCAAATGATACCTTATCCTGTTTAGATGGATTCCATTTGTTGGACAACCTGTTGAGAACGAATCGTCAGTAAACCGGATCGAATGTCCAAGGTTGGAAACGCGTTTGGCGTACCTCGTCGAGTTCGCGCTTGGCCTGGTTGTACCTCTCCTGCGCCTCCTCGGCCTTCTTCTCCATGTGGTCTCGTTCCTGCTCGACCCGTGCGACCTGTCGTTCAAAGTGTTCGGCCTTGACGTCGACTTGGCGCAGTCTAGACGCCAAGGAGAACCTTTCGGTCAGTCTTCTGCATCATCGGCGAATCGCAAACTTGCGAAAAGGCACTCAACTTGTCAGTGGTCTCCTTCAACTGCTTCTCGGCATTATCCAACTCCCCCTCCAAAAGTGCGACCTTCCTCGACAGACTCTCGACCGAGGACTTGTGCTGTTCCGAATCCTCCGAGACGGACTTGTGTTCGCCGAGTTTGGTCTCGAGCTTGTCGAGGTCGGCTTCGAGGTTCTGGATCTTGTGCGTGAGGGACACGATCTCTTGGTCTTTGGTCATGAGTTCGTGGTCGAGTTGCTTGTTCTTGGCCTCGGCTCTGGTGGTGGAGCGTGATGCGGAGTAGAGTCAGCTGGAGGTCGTTGCCGTAGCTGACTATCGACTAGCGCTGGCTGTGGCTGCGGCTGCACTGCAGGCTCCACGTCATGGAACCCGACAGCGACGAACGGCTGATCCGATCCACCCAAGGACGGCTCTACACTCCTCCGTCGATCGACCGCATCCTCGCAGCCCGCAAGTGAGTAGCAAACCATTGCACCCGCACCGCCATGTCACTGTCCCCAAGGTCCACCGCTCGTCCACGCGAAACGCGTCATAACTCAACGCGCCCCTCGCGACGAGAGAATGCACTCACGCCTCTGCTCTCGCATGAGCGGCATCAGCCTCGGCTCGCAAAGACGCCAATTTCTAAGGGCGACGACGGGGTGTACAGGGTCAGCTGGTGTCGGGGAGGAGGTACGTGCGCGTCGGTTCGTTCGTTGGGGTCCGTGTAAGGGACGAGCGGTGGAGAGGAACGGACCTCCTTGATCTTGTCCTGCAGTGGGGGAGACGGGGTAGAGGTCTGGGTCAGTTTTTGAGGGGGCCAGAGTGAGAACTGGGTGTGAGGTGAGGCTGACCATTATCAGAGAAGAGCGTGCGTCTGTGTGTATGTGTGTGGAGGAGGGAGGGAGATGAGCTCGAGGCGTACGCGCCGAGGGTGCGGTGGCGCGTCGGTCGACCCCGCGAGACCCCGCGTCTATACTGCCCTATAGCTCTCTTTAGCCCGCTCTACTAGCCCGGGTTATAGCGCGACTAGCTGATCGGCGCTAATCCCGAATTGCGTGGCTAATGCACGCTGCCTCTGTTGCGCACAGACCTGCACAGACCCACCCACACACTCGTGCTGCGGGGTCGGTCAACCGTGCCACGCGCCTTTGCTTATCCCCGCTCCAGCTCGCTCAGGATGGATCAATCTGCATTCCGCGCCCTCCTCTCGTCGAGCAACAAACCGAGTGGGACGAGCAGTGGTAAAGCCGCGTCGACACCCAGGTTTGGCGCCCCGCCTCCCAAACGATCCGCTGCTGCAACCGCGCCTGCTCTCCACGAGTCAGTCGACCACACAGACTACAGCTCGACCGAAAAGCCACTTACACCGCTCTCCCGCTCTCCCGATCACAGCCCCACAGCGTCAACAAGCTCAACCGAGTTCAAGCCGCGCAACCAAAAAGACAAGTCCAAGTACAAGCACAAACAGGCCGAGGCCGACGAAGCCAAGTCCAGTTCGGCTTCGGCTTATAGGGATCGAGCCGCCGAACGCAGGACGGGAGCGAGGCATGATTTCGCCGATGCGGAGAAGTTGCTGGAGGTGGGTGGGCCATCGATCACCGCACGACGAGTGGGCAGGCAGCGCCGGCCGAGAGTTGACGCCGAGTTTCGACCTCCCAGGACTTTAAAGCGCGTGTAGGCGTCGATGACGGTCTCACAAAGGATGAATTGGAAGAACAGATGAAGTACCTCGTGCGTTTCACTGCGCTCTGCGGGGCACTCCCCCTTCAGAAGCTCACCCGATCCGGCCTGGATATGTGCAGGGAGGCGACGCCGAACACACCGTGCTCGTCAAAGGACTCGACATGGCCCTCTTGGAACGCATGAAAGCACAACAAGCCGCAGGTGCGGACCAATCCCTCGAAGACGTCGAAGACGAACTTGATCTCGTGCTGGCAGACAAAGCGAAGAAGGCAGAGGAGAAGAAGAAGCGCACGAGGGACGATTTGATCGCCGAGCTGAAGGCTTCGAAAGGGGGCAGTAAAAGTGATCGGCCTGCTGCAGGTGGGCAGAGCGTGAAGGATCCGAGATTCAAGCCTGTTGGGTTCAAGCCGATCGGGCACGATTCAGAGACCGAACCCAAGAAGAAGAAGAAAAAGAAGAAGGTCAAGGTCGCTGAACAGGTCGCGACGGCTGGCGACGCGGCGGCGTCGGCATCTGAAGTGTCGAAACCTCTGCCGATACCTCCACCGACCATCGATGTCGAAGCCGATGACGATCTAGACATATTTGGGGACGCTGGAGAATACAAGGGGCTCGACACCGATTCAGACGACAACGACAACCATGAGGCCACTGCAGCCAGGAAGGAGCCCACCTTCGAGCAGACAGCTGCACCTCCAGGGAACGCGACAGCCGCGGTCAAGAGGAGTTACTTTGATGACGAGGAGGAAGACGAGGACGTTGAACGCTCAACCGCACCCGACTCGGTAACAAATCTCGCCAGCTCGAAACAGCCGGCGGTGAAGATGACGGATTCGAATGCGATTATGGGAGAAGGAGAGGAAGAGGAAGAGCAGCGACCGATGCGGCTTCAGCCTTTATCGAAGTCGGCGATTCCGAATGTCAAGGAGCTGTTGGCGATGGATGCGGCTGCTGAGAAGGAAGAGAAGAGGAAGGAGGTAAGTCTTGATCGGTTGTCGTTTATCACTTGACGAAAGGGAATTGGGTGTCTGACCCTTCGCGATGTCTCTCATCTCAGCGCAAGCAACATTACCAAATGAAGGCCGCCGACAAGAAGGAAGCTACACTCAAAGCCATGACATCGCAACAGCGGGCCGAGCACGAACACCAGGTCATGATGACCTACCTGGAGAAGAAAGAGCGGAGGGCCAAAGGGGAGAGCACGAAGGAAGATGAGGAGGACGATGATGTCGCGAATGGAGGGTTTTGATGCGAGGCTTGTATCACGAAATCGATTTGTTGTACTTGTCCCAGATGGAATCTAGTGCTCGGCCGGGTGCGGACGTCGGAGGGCTTGTAGATCGACAAAGATGGGTCCGATGAACGAGTGCGTGGGTTCTGGTGTTGCGCGAGAGACGGAACGGTTGGCAGCATTAGATTCGAAAAAAGTACTCGCTGTGGTGAAGAGGTCGAAGGGGGAAGAGGAGGAGTTGAAGGCGAACGACTCGTCTTCACCGTGGAGAGTGACAGGGGTTCCGAAGACGTCGGCGGCGAATGGGCTCGGGGTACGATGCTGGCGATAGAGAGGGTCGCAGGCGTCAGATGAGGAGTAGAAAGGGGATTGTGTGATCAATGCGACGGGTGCTGGTCGAGGTGAAGAGATGCTGGGGCTCAAGCGAGTTGTGCAGGTTCGAGGAAGGTTCGAGGTAAGAACGTGGCTTTGGGTTTGAAGAGCTCGTCTGCACATCATCGTAATTCGAGATTATGTCAGAGAACAATCCCAGAAGTCCAAAACGGTCTATGTATTTGTACTCACTGGCTCGACCCCCGACGACTTTGCCGTAAGATCCTCGGCGAGCGTATGCCCGCGTGAGGCGCAGCAAAGAAGGCTTGCGTCGCTGCTGAGAGTCGAAGACTTGGCTTGTCGTCGAGGTCGTTGCTCGATCTTCTCTTGGGTGATCCTGATCCAAGGTCGCTCGAGTGGGAGAGCGACGGCGACGAGGCAAGTAGGCGAAGGAACGGGGAAGAGCGAGATGAGTTGGGGGAAGGAGTAGCCGAGCATCATGAGGAGAGTGGCCGAGACGATTTGAAGGGTGGAAACGAGCGGTGCGAGTAGTGCGGATAGGGTGGGTGGTTCGGACGGCTTGCAACGAAGTTGTGAAGGGTGAGAAAAAGAGCCTGACGTTCCACGGCTCGAGGTCATTCGGCCCGGACGTCGCAGGGTGCAGAATGATTCGCTGCTGCTGGTGCTGACATTCGGCTCCAAATGTTTGTCCCACTTCGTGACGCATTTTACGGCCGATGAGGCACCTCCCAACCGTGTCGGACCCACTCATCATCCATTCGCCATTATGCACCCTGCTGTATCATCTAGAACTGGCGACGGTACAGTACACCCATCTACTGTCCATCGAGCATGGGCGAGAGGCTACTTCAAGAGAGAAGAAAACGAACAAACAACAAGTCATCGAACGAATCCATGGGTGCTGCCTCGCGCCGAGAAATGTCGCCCAGAAATGAGTGCGGCTCCTAGAGCTTTTAGCTTCCGCGCGCGCGTCAGAGTCTCGGCGTCGTGCGCGAATCGCTGACTTGTGATGTGATGGGAGTCCTGAGATCCCTTGAATGATGTCGGGACATAGTGTCGATATTCTTGTCGGCACTTGTCGACACAAAAGCTTGGTCGTCGCATGACTTGCAGGAAGCCCCAGCCACCGCCAAGACCCGCGAGGCGGTCTCGACCCCACGTCCAGGACATCGCCCCGGCGCGGACGGCACTTGGAGTGCCCCTCCTATCACACCATCCGCTGCTGGAAGGACCGTTCATATTCCTCCATTTAAGCTGGAGGTAAGAACACAGCCCACAATACACTCGACACCTGACCCCAAATTAGAACGTAAAACCACCAAGCCCGACCCAGTCTCGTGCTCCCTCGAGCAAATTTTTTGGTCCCCGAAGCTGAGAGGAGGTCGGTGCGAATGAGTGACGCCGTAAACCAAAAAAGGACAGGGTTAAGGACGCAGAGACGAAGGATGATTTGGACGTGCGAGTAGAACAAGAAGAGCAAGACGTTGAAGGTGTGCAGGTGGACGATCGGGACCACGTCGAGGGGGGTATTGTGCAGGAATGACGAGGTCGGTGAGAGTGCTGGGTTTTGGGGTAGTATCCGAGCAGGTAAGAAAGGCAGGGTGGAACCAACGACTGCGTGTAGGTTGGTCCGATAGTAGCGATACGATGCAAGGATGGAATAGTACAGCACTGGTGCGGCGAACATGAAGTTGGGGATCTGCAAGGGACGCCAATAGTTGAACAGCCCATTGTTCCTGTAGGAGAGATCTGAAGATGAGTAACACGACCGATATAGTAGTCTCTACGTTGAGGAATGACTGCACCAATAGTGGGACTGCACGAAGCTGTAAGAGATTTTCAAGCCTGTTGAGCACCAGGGGCGTGGCTCGGCGCCGACGGGTAGAGCGAGGCAGAACTCGCGATGTACGTGTAGTTCAAAGAGGAAGAAAGGCGCGATGGAGATGGTCGATAAGAAGATGAAGCGAGGCAGTCCCGCAAGCAGAGTCTGTATCGCCCCCGAGAGCGAAGGGCGTCAGTCGTCGCACAGCAGCAAGCGATTTCGGGTCAAAGTAACTGACCGAGATCTCGTACTTGGCACTCCTCCGTCTCGGACCTCGGAGGATGCACTCCCACCCAAAAAAGCCAAGCCCAAGCACGATACTCTGAGCTCTGAAAGCGGTCCCTGATCCCCATGCGATCGCGGCAAGGAGGTATTGCTGTTTGAAGAAGAAGGCCATGCCGAGAAAGGACAGAGCGGCGCTGAAGGGCTCGTTGTAAGGCACGGCATGGAGAGTCGAGGGTGATGGAGCAAAGAGGTAGATGAGAGAGGTGATATGGGCGAATTGAAGATCAAAGAGGGTCGAGGTAAGGCTGTGCGACGGAGAAGGAGAGCTCAGGTGCTGGTATGTGGGCGTTTGCGAGGCGAGTTGGGTCGGTGGCGTGGGAGACGTACTAGTACAGGGAGAGTACAGCGGCGACACTGCCGACAGTGGCGAGCGCCATTCCACACAGTACAATGTTCTTGATCGTAGGTGCACTTGCTACCGTCCAGTCCAGCGAGAAATCGATCGTCTTGCCTTCGATCCCCTGCGCGCCCCACCTCATCATCATCGGCAACAAGGGCATGAACGCCGTCTCCTTCTCCTCCTTGTACCCCTCCACCGCGATCCTGACAAAGTGCTCGGTATCCCAGCGGTTCCATGCTTCGACCGCAGCGATGGTAGGGTCGTCGAAGGACTCGTGCAAGCTCGTTCGCTCCCACGAGGGCAAGAGTTGGAAGTAGATCCAGAGAAGTGCAGTCGTCCAGACGCGTAGTGCTAGGCAGAGCACAATCAACGACCAGATCGGTCGATCACGCGTCTTGGCCACCAGCTTGGCCAGGACATCCATCAACGAGTCGGGGAGCGGGGAACGGAAGGCAGTGAAGAGGCACGCGACGAGAGGGGCGAGAGCGCGACGGGAAGCGCGTCAAAGGAGGGCACGTAATAATCTGAGACCTTTTGCGACGATCTGGAAATACTCGGCCGAGCAAGGCCAAAACAAAATTGCCAGAGTAAATGAACAATTACGTTAGATCCGTTACACAACATGAAGAATCATGAAACAAGAGCTCCGACCGTAGCCCAACTTCCCAACACTCTCATCGATCCTCGTCTCAATTCACCGAAAAAGTCATCTCGGGCCCCTGCTCGTCCGCGACGGGGTAAGCCACCACAAACATGGTCCGATCATGCAGCAGCAACTCCTGGCCATCCATAGAGAACTTCAATCCATTTGCTTGGAAATCGACATTCCGAGCTGGGATACCGACTCCTTCGACGCAAGCTTTGGAGGAAGTTGATCGTGGATCGGGTCCACGCCAGGTCGTGAAGGATTTGGTCCCTGTTGCGATCGCAAGTTCTTCGGGGAGGTTGGGGGAGGCTGACCACTCGAAGGACGTGACGGCTGTGTCGTGGACGATCAGTGAGTGGAGGGTTGGTCGAATCGTGCGCGTCTCGGTCGAGTCGCCATCGGGCGAGGAGGCAGGCGCAGAAAAGGAGAAGATCCACAGAGCCGTCGGGTAGGTTTCTGGAAGCGAAAGGCTTGATAAATAATCAGCTGCGTACGAGCAGCCGCCAGCATTCTCCAACTCACGGTTGTGAGATGCGAGCCATTCTCCGGATTTGGACCAGGCGAGGTGCTTGACGCCCAGCTGAGGCATCGGTCGATCGAGGTCGGGTCGAACAGAAGGCGGGTTGAAGGGCGTCGAGGGAGTTTCGACTGGGAAGAGATATCACAAAGTAAGCCTCGGCTTCTCATACAAGAGAAGATGTCAGCATCTGACTTACAAGGAACGATGCCGTGACCCAAGGTTCGTGAGATCCAAGACGAAGGCTCTTCAAAGACGGCCTGTGAAGGTACTCGAGGTGTTTAGATCGCGTTCCGAAATGATTCAATCAGTGCCAATTCAGAAGAATCACCACGCTGGAGGGAACTTTGACGGGATGCAAGAGCTCAGCCATGGGTCTCCATCCGAGACGAGACAAGATTCGGATCTGTGCAACTTAGGGGGAAGATCAGCCCCGGTGTCCTGCATGCCTCAAAAAGGACATATGTTGAAACTCACCTTTCCATCCCAACCCCCAATCGCGAGGTATTCCCCACTCGGATGCCATCGGATGCTTCGGACGCCCATCCCGATCCAGCCCTCGGTCAATCGTTCCTGCCTCCGAAGCTCCTTTTCGAGCATTCGCTTCTTAGGCTCGTCAACCTCCTCGTCCTGGGTATTTCCACTAGCACCATGCTTTAATTCCACCCCAAGGTTCGTTGACGAATAGGGGGCGAACGTCTTGAGTAGCTGACCACTCTTGGAATAGATGTGCACAATCAGATCATTGACGGCGTGCTCCCAAACGGCGAGGTGGCGACCACAGGGGGAGAAGGCGAGGTCGGCGACATCCGAGGTGTGGGAGGGGAGTTGGAACGAATTTATCAGGGTCGTAGTTTGGGGTCGCGAATGGTAGATGGCGATCACGTCACGGGAGTTGTGGCGCTCGACGAGGGCAAAGATGGAAGGCTGGGTCGGGGAGTGGGAGATACCTGAGGGGGGTAGCACAGGGTGCTCAGCATGAGCAACACTATCACAGCAAAGAGAGTAAAGACTGACCTAGGGGAAAGATAAGTTTGGGGCTGAGGATATGAACGCTCTGCCTCGGTTCGGTCAGGTCATAGACCGTCAGGCGGATCTGTTTGGTTCGGGCCGGCGACAAAATCTTCACGTCAGCGTCGTCGTCGGCACCTCTCTACACAAGCGCGCTTTCGCGAAATAGATGTACTGACATGGTTCCCACTCCAAGCCAGCAATCGAGACCCATCCGGACTCCAAGCGATAGCCGCACACCCTTCGGCACCAATCTCGAGCCGAGCGATCGGTTCCCCCGACTCGATCGACAAGACCCAGGCCGTGGACAGCTTGGGGGCATATACGACGATATGGTGCGGCTCATTCGGCGAGATGGACAGATGGGTCAAGAGGGGAGCTTCGATCGCGGCTTTGTGGGTCGTCGGTGACGCTGGTCGGGCCACGGAGGACGAGTTGCGCTCGCGGAGAGGTTTGGCCGCCGTTGGGGTTGCGGTTGCCGTGGGGCGCTGTGCGGGCACGGGTAGGGTCCAGGTGCGTTGGATCTCGAGCGTATCAGATCTACGGAGAATGACTCGCTGCTGATGGGTCGAGACGACGAGGAGCGAGGCCGGGAAGAAGACCGTCGACGACGCATGCCTGTCTGTGTAGTCGAAGCAGTACTCGCTTAAGCGATTCCGCCGCCGACGTGGGCTATGAATCTGACTCACAGACGGGTGACAGTTCCCAAGAGCACGATGCGGGTGCATAGATCATGCTGGCCATGGCTCAAACACGCGCGGTGTGCGTCTGACGCGCAGGACGTGAACCGGTCACGTGAGCAGCAGCGGAGGATCGACGATCGACAGGTGCAGGAGCAAGTTGAGCGAGCCTCTTGACGCGTCTGGTTGAGGTGATGAGCGCCGCAGAAGATACTGGGGCGGAAAGAGTGCGCGTGGTTGTGTGCACGGTGATGGGATGAGGATGGTGAAAGAGCGTATGCTATACCGGTGCTGGGTTTCTACCGTGCCCAGGGCCAGGGTTTTTCAGGGTTTTTTGGGTTAAAATTGTTGAGTGAGCGGCGCGCGCGGATCCGCTGCTGCGCGCTCAGGCTTGCTCCTCCTCCTCTCACCGGCTCCTCATACAAGATGAGCAGCTTCACACGGCGTCCCACCCATGGGTCGACCAACTCGTCGACATCTGGCTCCTTGTTACGACGACCGGGCTCAGCGATGGGGATGCCTCGGCCGGCGAACCTGGTGCACACCTCGGCCGTTCCCTCGGGCTCGTCGTCGAATGGTGGTCTGAATGCCTCGACCACTTCCAGTCTCAACTCACCGACAACAGCGCACCTCACCAAGGCACTCAAACCCCCAGTGGGTGCAGAAGTCGAGAACAACATCAACGTCGTCGTACGCGTTCGGTAAGGATCAGATGCACACGTGATTTTTACCCCGCGTTATCTTGCGCATCTTCCGGCTGATCACAGAATGAACCAACTTCCTCAGTGGACGATCGTCGGCCGAAGTAGCAGCTAGAGAGCCTCTCGTCGCCGAAGTTGATGGCCTACGATCTCCAAACGTAACCCTGGTCAACCCCAATGCTTCGACCTCATCCTCGTCCTCCGCTGCTGCTTCAGCTTCGACGCTTCCCTCGACCAAAACATACGACTTTGGATTCCGACCCGCGCATGGCAAAGCCGAACCGGTCGGCAATGTCTTTGGCCCCGACGCCGATCAGGTCATGCTCTACAACGATGTGGCCAAGCCCATTCTCGATCAAGTCTTGCAGGGCTACAACTGCACCATGTTCGCTTATGGCCAAACGGGGACAGGCAAGACGTGAGTGCCGTCGTGAGAATCAGAGAGGCCGGGAGACTGACTAATCGGATCGGTCTTCTCTCGCAGGTACACCATGGAAGGCGATCTCTCCGTCACGAATGGCTACTCGATCTCGCCTCAAGCCGGCATCATCCCGCGCACGCTCTACTCGCTCTTCGCCAAACTGTCCGAGGACCAAGCCGAATTTGCCGTCAAGTGCTCCTTTCTCGAACTGTACAACGAAGAACTGCGCGATCTCAATGCGTTAGACTACACTGATCCTGAAACGACAACTCCAAGCACGACTACTGCCAAGACAGCTCCTGCACCGGCGGGATTGAAGATTCAGGAGGACGGTAAGACGGGCGTGGTCGTCCAAGGCTTGGAGGAGACGATGATCAAGACGGCCGAGGAAGGCATCAAGGTGCTCAAGAGGGGATCCGACAGGCGGCAGGTCGCTGCGACGAAATGCAACGACCGATCGAGGTGCGTCCAACGCGATCACGCAGTTTGATCCACGAAAACTGATATGAAGCCTTGATTCATTGCAGTCGCTCCCACTCCATCTTCACCATCACCATTCACGTGAAGGAAAACTCCACGCGGACAGGTGGCGAGGATCTGCTCAAAGTTGGCAAGTTGAATCTTGTCGATCTAGCGGGATCGGAAAATGTCGGGCGATCGGGAGCGACGAACGGTCGCGCGAGGGAGGCGGGCAACATCAACGCGAGTCTGTTGGCTTTGGGACGAGTCATCAACAAGCTCGTGGAGAAGGCCCCGGGGGCCAAGAGTGGTGAGAAGACTCACATCCCGTATCGGTAAGTGAATGTGCAACGCTCTTCACCTTATCAGAAACCTCACTGAGGCTTCGCCACGCCGATGCCCAGGGACTCCAAGCTCACCCGACTGCTTCAAGATTCTCTCGGTGGCCGGACTAAGACTACCATCATCGCCGCCATCTCGCCCGTCAATTTTGACGAAACCATCTCGACCCTCGACTATGCCTCGAAAGCGAAATCAATCCAGAACCGACCTGAAGTCAATCAACGCATGTCAAGGAACCTCCTACTGGGCCAATACGCCAGCGAGATCGAGCGGCTCAAGCAGGACCTCGTCGCTACCCGACAAAAGAATGGGATTTACTTCTCGGCCGAGTCGTGGGAGATCTTGTCGGCTGAACAAGAGGCGGCTAGGGTTGGATTATCAGAGTCGAGACGAGCGCTCGAGCTGTGCGAGGCGCGAGTTGATGCGGTCAAGGATCAGTATGAGATGAGCTTGAGGTTGGTTGGGATGAGGGAAAAGGAGTTGAAGCAGGCTGCCGTCCTTTTGGATGAGGTGAGGGACGAAGTGACGTCGCTGATGGGGCGCCTCGAAGAGCGGACGCGCGAGCTGGATGAGGCCACATTGCTGGGCGACGCTAGGGAGTGCTCGAGGCAGGGCTGGAGGGATACCGCTCGTGTTGCCGTCAGCCATGTGTCGCTACTTTACGACAAGGTCGACCGCAAGACCAAAGTCGAGCAGGACAACTTGGTCATCGTATCGACAGGGGAAAAGGCGCTGACGACGCGGACCAAGAGCCTCGCCAAGTCCCTGGCCTCGTTCGCTCACACCCATGACAGTACCGTGCTCCGTGGGAAGAAGCGTTTGGCCGACACGATCGAACGTGGTCAACAGGCAACTGCTTCGACGATTGCTTACGTCGAGCAACAGAGTGTGGCGATGAACGAAAGGGCACAATCTGCGCTCGACCTAATGGGCCGACTGGAAACGAGAGGCGAATACTTTGCGAGCGCCGTCGAGATTTCGCGGGAGGAGCTCGCTGCTGCGCTCGTGCAAGCGAGTGAAGCTCTGGTGGCGACGAACCGAGAAGCAACCGAGCTGCAGCGCCGGGTCGCTATGTTGCGAGCCGAAGTAAGTCGGCGTGTACTGCAAATCCTCATGGACCAAGTGACTGACCACTCCCCGGCTCGTAGCTCTTGACGGTGCAGGAGCTTGCCAACCCAGTTCGTGCGTTGCAGGCCGACCTGGTGCCGACTTTGAAGAAAGATGCAAACGCCTTGCGATCGGCGCAGGAGGTCGACCAAGCCTACTTTAAGTCGGTCTCGAATCGATCCGCTCACCTGCGACAAACCGAAGCCGCTTGCGCAGTCGAGGAGCGGGAGTCGTTCGCCCGGGAAACGAGCGAGATCGTAGATGATTTGACGCAACAACTTTCGGGCGTCTTGTCGAGCGCCTACGTCGAGCGCTTCATCACCCCTTTGCAGGATCGCTTGAGTGCGTGGTCAGACCGGCACTTCCTGACGCGAGAAGCGCAAAGCTCTCGGCTGAAAAAGGGATTGGAAGCACTCGACCTGGACACGGCCAAGGCGATGGAAGAACGAGCGGGGATTCTGGACGGGCTCGTGGAGAGCAATGGACTAGTGCCGAAGCAGGTGGAGCAATGTGCCCGAGCAGCTGAAGTGGCTGCGCAGAAGAGGCAGAAAGTCAGTCCTCCCTTTTCGCCACTGACCGAGTCGCGGTGCCGTACATTGACCCAATTATTGCTTCCTTCAAACTGCAGGAACTCGTCCAGCTTTCTGGCTCCGTCGAGCAGGCCCTTAAGTCGTGTTTGGCGGGCGTCCATGCCCAAGGCGAGGAACAGATTGGTACACTTCGTCTCACGAATGAGCGACTGGCAACCGCTTCCACCGAACGTGAGTGGCTCTCGTCCCCAACTGGCTTCAATTCTTGCAGTCAACGCCTGACTCACATCGACAAACTGATTACTAGATCAATCTGGCTCAGCGGATTGCCAAGCCAAGCTGGACAAGGAGATCACTGCGCTCGTGGAGGAAGCTGGCGATAGCTTGATCAAAGTCGCTCAGGCGCACGAGGTCACTCGGGATATGTACACGGAGGAGTTGATGACCGCACGTGAGGATGTGAGTTGCGGGGATCATCGGCATCCGCCAGCGCATCCCACTTGCTGACCACTCGACTCGTGATTACCCCGCACCCGCAGCTCAAAGCCTTGTCATCATCCGCCACGGAACTTGTCTCCTCTTCGTCTTCGAGCATCACTCAGATGCAGAAGGACGTCAAGACGTATCTCGCAAGCTCGTACAACCACGACGTTTCGACTGGCGCGACTCCCCTTCGTCGGCAGTGGGCTCAGGAGGCCGTTCCTCAACTCGACGGCACACCATCGCGGGTTATCGATCGATTGCGACGAGCTCAAGAAGAGGGGAGCTTAACAATCCGACCTACACCAGCATCACCCGTTCGACACCACGAGGTCGAATGCGGAGAAGAGGTCGAAAGAGAAGACATGATCGTTGAGGATAATTACCGCGCACCGACACCGCCCTCGGTGGAGGAGACGTCCGCCGTCCTCGAAGTGCCTCCGTTATCACCAATCAGCGTGATCCCTCGAAAACGGAACACGCTACTGGACGCCAAGATTCACATGCCCCTACAAGTGCTCGAGAGCACGAACCTCAACATGAGGACAAGCCGATCGCGGCGCCGAGGCTGAATATTAAACGCCGATCAGCGATGGCGCAGATGATCTGTTCGATATACCTACGACTCAGCATCCTAATCTGTACTTTTTGATTTATATCACGTTGCATTTGCACTTCTATTGATTTTTCTAATCGTTCCGGACTGGGCAACGGTGTCTATTCACTCGAGAAACGTGATCTCGCCCGCAAGCGTCTACAGAAGGACGTATTCAAGGCGGCTTTCGGGCTCGTCCTCGTGTCACACTCGCCTCGTCCTCGACTTTTGCAGCATCTTGCCGCCGGTCGTCGGTCAATCCTCCGACCGCCAACACGGCCTCGACTCGGGCACCAAGGGGAAGCAATGGGAAGGATCTCGTCGACTGTGCTGTACCCGGCGTGGGTGTTGGTGCTGATCGTGCTGCACGTCTGCTTCGCGTTGGGCCGACTGCGGAGGCTGCTCCGTCAACTGCCGGCCTTGCTGCGCTCCCAACTGCGGAGATCCAACGTTCTTCAACAGCTCGAGGACGAAAAGGGAGTCAATCTCAACCTCGAAGCGGAGAAGAGGAGATGGAAGAAGACACCCACACATCTCGCAGTGCTGTTCCATCCCGGGATGCCGGTCGAGTCCGTGTCGAGCTGGTTCTCGTGGTCGGGCAGCACAAGTCGGCAAGCTAGGAGGGCCGAAGTCGAGTTAGCGCAATTGAGTAGAATGACGGACGAGTTGAGGAAGCTGGTCAGGTGGTGTGATGGGTTGGGGATAGCTCAGTTGAGCGTCTATGACGAGCAAGGCGAGTCGACCAGGCCCCAGTACCGGTTCGGCCTCTCGAAGTGGCCTCGGCTAACCTCTCACCTCGTCGCGTGTTGAGCCTTCAGGTATTCTTGACCGATTTGCCCCAGCCGTCGAGGCTTCTTTGTCCTCCTCTTGCGTCATCATCCCCGAGTCGACCCCGAGCTCGGAGACCAGGCGGCACCCGCCGCTGCACGCTTTTCGCCTCGCCTTCTCGACCCCCATGGCGCTCAAATCGTCGACAGGGAAGAGGGTACGGTTCCAAACGTCTTCCAGTGATGGGACAGTCACACCGCCGGGGAGAGAGATCGATTCCGGCTACGGACTTTCGGACCTAGGTCAGTCGGAGCTCCGCCAAGGTCTGAGTCTGCTTGGCAGGAGATCATCCTGACCTCGTCTGAACTCTTGCAATTCCGTCACAGGCTCGGAGACTCCGATAGCTACATCCTCGGTCTTGTCTGTCAACCTCCTTTCCCGGAGATCGGGTCGACCCCACTTGGCCTCGATCGCCCGCCAACTCGCCGAAGGGCAGAATTTGGGTCACTCGATCGAAGAGGCGATCGAAGGTTAGTTCTAAGCAGCCGCTCTGTTATCCTCGTTTTCTCGACGACTGATCTTTACTCGCGACTCGGATTCTCCCTTCTTGCACAGCCGGATCCTTCTCCGAACCTGATCTTCTGCTCGTGCTCGGGGGACCCTATCTTCGACTTCGGGGTTTCCCACCGTGGCAACTTCGACTGACCGAGATGTAGTACGTGTAGAGGTTAAAGCTCATAATTCCACCTTAATGAGAAGACTAATCGGCTGTGCCTTGCAGTCATCACCCGTCGCCGGCCTGGCTGCCTCCACCCTCCCTCGATTGGCCCATCCTCCGACGCGCGTTGGATGTGTACGGAGGCGCAGAGATGAGGTTGGGTCGATAGAGGACGGCAGTAACTTGTACATCAGTTTTATTTTCATATGTGTGAAATTGCACCGTACTTGTTGGGATACGAAGTTCTTTCTAGTCATTCAAGCCGAGAGCGCTCACTCGGAGCGAGCCGGACCGCGGTTCCGGTACAAAGCGTTTCGATTAGTTAAGTCGTCGCGCCTATCGGAGATTGATTCGAGCTATTCACACGCGAATCGCCTATACGGGCGCGGGCGCGCGCTGGCGCGATCCGTGTTTCGTATGACTTGAGGCCTTGAGGGGCAAACTGCCCAGTGCCAGCTCGCTTCTCCCTCTCGCTCCTCACCCGTTCGTCGTCTGATCCGCTCGAACGATCGTCGCCCGTCGTCACTGCACGTCCGCCGACCTACTCAGATCCACGTCTTGCACTTTCACATCTGTGTGACCCTGCTCGCTCGTCGTTGTTGCGGGTGTCGTCGATCGCGCCCGTTTCGAACGGCTTACTCAGCTCGTGACTTGTGACTCGAGTCAAACGACGCAGCACGCCCACCCAGTAGCAGCCGCAGCCCGCAGCAGCCGCCGCACCCCTCCTTGTGTGACCCGTGACGCTTGACGCTCGTGACCCGTGTGATAGCCGTGACTCCGTGACCCGTGACCCGTGACCCCGTGTGACAGTCGACGTCATTCAGTTCTCACACCAGACCACGCTGTCGTCGCCACCGTCCCAGTCCACCGAGTCAGTTGCCGTGCCATCCCGCGAGCCGACGATGAAGCGCGATCATGCTGTGACACTGACAACAAGCCAAGCGCTCCCGCTCTCGCTGCCGCTGCCGCTGCTGCCTTCGCTCAGTCCACCCAAGTTCGCCACCGCGCATTCGGCTACATTGTCGCACCCGCAGGCCAGCTCGCACGCGCACCCCAATGGCCTTCGCCGCTCGTCCAACCATGGGTCATCGTCCGACCGCGGAGACACCCCCTCGCTCTCGCCGCCGAGCGAAACCGATGAGCGAACCGTGATCTTGAACCACGACGGCATGGATGCCATGACCATGCCCCAATTGACCTCATCGCTCAAGCACGACCTCAATATTGATCTTCATCATCAGCAACACCACAACTCACCCTATGGCATCGACCAACATCGAGCCTCACCCTTCGTGTCGACGTCCCCTTACCTCCACGACGACCTCGAAGCGCTTACTCAGCGCCTGGCCGCGCCCCGCGCCCCCGCGCTCGTCTCGGCCTCCACCTGCGGCAGTTCGGTGTTCGATTCAGGTCAGTTCGATTGCTATTGCGCACTCGCCGGTATCGCACTACCCAGCCTAGACAAGGACGCTGACTCTGCGCCGTCTCCCTTCGTGCTCTCAGCCCCCCCTTTTGACCTGTCCGACTACATCCACTCGGACTCCAAGGCAAGCCTCGAATTCGCGAGCATGCCACCTATGCACGATTTTGATCTCTTCCACAACATGAGCTCGGTACCGGTCTCGCAACCCAGCTCCCTGCAAGGCCAAGTCGGCGCGCACAATCACGCTCCCTCGCCGTTCGCCCGTCATGCCGAGCTAGACCAGTCGCTGCAGAGCCCGCTCGGCATGTCACCCCTCGACTCGCCCTCCGAGTACATGTCGCCCTACTTTGCCTCTCCGCACGATACCCATCCATTCGCCAGTCCTTCCATGCCGGCCGATGTGCTCTTCTCACCCATTATCGACCCTCGCGGCACCGCCCTCCCACCCGCCTCCCAGAGTCTCATCACCGCGATCGTTCCCGTTCCCGTGGAGCCAACGGCATCGCCTGCGGACGACGACTCGATTGCATTTTCGGTCAAGCACGAGAAGCGGGCAGCCAGTCGTCGCATCAAGATCGAGGCTAATGCGGATCTAGACGCGCTATTGGAGGACGAAGAGGACGAGTACGTGCCGACGATGCGATCCACAAGACGTGCGGTCAACCCGCGCAAGCGCAAGGCTTCGGGCACCGCCGTCATCGCCGCTTCTCCAAGTGCAGCCGCTTTGCCCGAGCCGACGGTACGCGAAGGCCGGCGGGCCAAAACGGATCTTCTTCGCCACGACGAGCCGATCCAGAAGCGCAACTATGTCGGCGCATCGCGAACGAGTCGCAAGGTCTTGCCCCGAGCAATTGCGCGCAGTCTACCCCGCAACCTCCTCAACGCCGTGCATCCCGACGCGAACGAACTGCCCGCCGACGTCGCAGATGCCGTGGACAAGCGTCGCGAACAAAACACCCGCGCCGCGAGGGAGTCGAGGATGAGGAAAGCCCAGGCCCAGGCCGCTCTGGAGCAAGAGCTCGTCGATCTGCGTCAGCGCGTCATTGATCTCGAGACTCGCCTCGCTCGCTACGAGGGCCCGACCAAGACGAAAAGGACCAAGCTTTGAACGTCTATCGGCTCTGATCGCTTCCCTTGCTCCGGATTCGGATCGACGTCACCGACCACCCCCACCGTTCGAATTTCACCATCTCACGCCGGCGCGTCGCAGCACCCATGGGACGGCCGCTCGATTGATATTACCACCTGACTTCACACAACGTAACAACTTCAAACTGGCAAGGACTTCATCAATCGAAAGTGCATTTCTGACACCCAACACCACGATATGTCCTTCGCTCCCGCTCTTCATTCGTGTATTGTACACCACGCTTCAAAAAAAAACGTGAGGAGCGGGACGGAGATCACAGCGGCGGTGCTGCGGAAGCCCCGAGTCGTGTTCCGACTTCGAATTTCGACGGCCCGGTCCTTACATCACAACAAAAAAGAAGGAAAGGACTCGAGCAACCATGTGGTTCTTACAGAAGTCGTCCATGTAGATTTTCTTTATGTCTGTGCGCTTCTCTTGAGGGTATGTCGATGTGTATAGGGCGCTTTTCGTTGTGAACCAGAAAACCCGAGAAGAAACGATGGGGCCTCGTAGCGCGTAGTTTTTCCTCTTTGATTTTCTTTTTGGAACAAATAGAAGACCTGGTTTGGTTTATGTTCTCAAATGGCTTCAGCTTGTCATCGTGAGAGAGATTGAGAGAAAGAAATCGTCTTGCTCTCGGATCAAGGCCACAGCCCGCGCGATGGGAGAAGTGCTGCATTACACATCGAAAATACAACAACCAAGTGCGCTATTGTCAATTAGGTCCTACGAAATTTACTCCTCTTTCTCGAAGCCCACTTATCACCCCATCTCAACGCCGGTTCGTTCGCCCCATGTGGATTGCGATCCCTCGCGAAACCACCCAAACTCGATCCCGTTCCTGCTCCTCGCCAGCCTAGACCGACCCTCCTCATGCGTCGCAGGGTCTTGAGGCCTAGGTAGGTGACGCCGACGGCAAGGATCATGGCGCCTACGGTGACGACGGGGAATGCGTAGGCGTGTTCTTCGAGACGGGATTGTAACTGGTTGTGAAGGAGGGAAAGGGACGGTGTCAGTGACGGGGTCATCACCAGCTAACCCCTGACAAGGCTCGTTCGACTCACGTTCATGCCGAACAGACCGGCGACGAGAGCACCCGACGTGAGACCAAGGGTGGCGATGGAGACTCGAAGGTCCAGGCCGAGTAGAGAGTTGCGGTTCGAGTCGAGGATAAGTTCGATGATGTCTTCGGTACTCCGTACGTTGGCCTAATCAAAGCATGTGGCAGACATATTAGGCGTGATTCTTGCGTGAAACGGAATCATTGAAGTGGGAACATACAGAAAGTATCTCGACCTCGGATACGATTTCTTCGCATTGCTTGCTGAAACTCTCGAGCAAAAGCTCCACCTCTTCGTGGTCGTTCGAGAGGCGGGAGTTGTCGCGCAGCTTCTCCGTCAAGTACATGGCGGCGAGATCATCATCTGAATTGCGGACAAAGAGACTTCAGTTAGCTGTTTTTCCAAATGTACGTGTAGTAAGAAGTCCGGCGGACCATTTTCGAGCACCTCGTCCAAACATTGCATGACCAAAGTCGCCCTCTTCTCAAAGTCGGCTAATTTCCGGGAGTATTGCAAGAGTAATCTTAGATTATCACGATCTTAGATTATGCGGATTGTGCAATCATCAGCTTTCGTCCACCTATAGTCTCGATCCAGTATCCAGTATGATGCCTCACCGATATGCTCCTCAAGGGCCTGCAATAGCTCTTGAACCAGCGCTCGGATATTATCGAGCTCGGTATCGAGCGCGGTCGTGACAGAGATGAGGCACGTCTCGAGAGCACGAAATTCGTAAGGCAGGGTAGAATGATGACCCGTCCCTGGCCCTGCTTTGGATGGGTTCTTCAATGCGTATTCCAGGTCCCAGACGAAGACGGATTTGAGATGGCTGTCCTCGCTGAGAGGCTCAAAGGAACGACCCGGCTCAGTTCCGTGCAATCGGGATAGGATGAAGAGTGTCAAAGAGTGCTCACGTTCCGACCGAGTCGAACAGGGTGACCTCCTTGGCTGTGATCACGACACGTAGGTGAAGAATCGTCAAGAGGATGGCTGATCTCCTGACGAGGATGGTCGGCACCACCGTCGGCACTGGTACGAAAGCGTACAAACCAATCAGACCGAGGCTCTCACGTGACCTGTCGAATAAGTGAGTGCTCACCACCCGAGTCGAGTTTCCTCAGATCGCGAGGTGGGATCCCGTATCTTGAGCATAGCTGTAATTTATCGTATTCTCCCGCGGTTGTCGTGACCACGCCTGCACGATCGATCCGCTCTCAAAGTCAGCATCTTCTCTTCGTCGAGCTTGGAACGATCTCCTCATTTCCGGACTGACCATTTTCGTCCAAGGTTGTACACCTCACATCCAAGGATGTCGTACCTCCCCCTGAAAAACTCTTTCCCGACTCCCTCCTCATCCTCCTCCTCAACAGTATCTTCTCCATCTCGCGTTCCTTCAGCGCGCCGACCGGATCCTCGTCGGAGGGGTGATGGGGAGGGGCAGTAGATGATGGACCTCGACCCCATGAGAAGAGCGACGACTTGGCGGCTTGCTTTTCTAGTGTCTTGACTTCGTAGGCTGGGGTCGAGTGCGGTTGGGGGGGCGGCCGATGAGGATAAGAGGGCACGGTGGACGACGATCGAGTCCAGGAACGGGGTACGGGTGGATCATAGTAATCACGAGGCGAAGGTCCAGTCATGACTCCGCTGGTGGGGCTTCTTCTTGCGTTGTCCCGTAAGAAGATCGAGGAAAAGTAATTCTTCGAGGCGGGCGCAACCATGGATGTCGATGTCGTGGTCGTTGCACTGAAACCGCACGTGCATGATCGCTGCGAAACGCTAGCCAGCAGACCCCGGCTCGCCGACATCCATCGAGCTTGCATCCTGGACGGCCGAATGCGATTCACGAACAGCTCCTTCCGATCTCGAGCTACCTTGAGGTTCGTTCGTCGTAGTTTTTACAGCCCAAGGGATGTGCGCGAGTCTGTGGGGGCCTTATTGAGACAGGCGCGAAGCTTGACAGCGAGCAGAACGACGGCGCTTTCTCCGCCGGAGCGACAGGCATCGACGTCACGTTCCGGCGCTTCTCCTCCCGTCGTCCCGTTCGATCGGCTTGGCTTGCGAATCCCGAGACCGTCCTTGCACAGACCTCGGATTATTCGAATTGACGACACGGGGTCTTTTTCTTCTCTTCGTCTTTTGAAGTTTTACCAGAAACGTATAGGATGAACTGTCAAAATGTAATCAAGAGCCCAGGCTCGGATACATGTGCTCGAAATACTTCTGAATCACCGAAAACCCCTAAAACTGACTACAACTTATATGTATGGGGAATTTACATCTTTCCGAACTGACTATGCGTGTTCGCGAGAGCTGGTATACCTTATCCAATCGACCTTTATATCGATTCGATCAACCTCAAAACGAGTGGTACATGTACCAGCCCTCGAGACCCCTCGATTCTCGATCATGGACCGCTGTTCAAGCACGCCGCGGTGACGCACGCGCTGCCTTGCTTATTGAGGACGAATGTACTCGCGCAGTTGGCGACTTGGCAAGTGCCGTTGACGGGACTTCCGTACGAGCTGTTTGATTGGGCAGCGGGTCGGCATTAGCGTCGGCGGTGTCAGGAAAAAGGGATTGCCTTCAAGTTCGTGTCCAAGAGCCAGGGGCAAAACTCACCAGGATGTGGGCTTGGTCCACGAGCAAGTCGTTGCATTGGCGAAGAGGTCGGTGCAATTCTTGCATCCGTCGTAGGTCGGTTGCTTTAGTACCTGGTTGTCCCCGCATGTAGGGAAGGGAAGGCACGTGAAGCCTGTTACCAAGCAGAGGGTAAACGATACGGAGGGAGGTTAGGGCTGAGCTTATGGGGCAGGAAGTCGGATGAACGACGATAGAACACGCACTGGTCGTGTTTTGGTAGTATCCGGTGGGACAGTAAGCCGAGCAACGACCTTGGTAAAGGTAAAGGGGCGCGCTACGTAAAGCAGAATAGATCGATCAGCTTCAGCATTGGTCCGCTGGTCCGGAGCCGTCCGAGCCCAACTCCTGACTCACCAATGCGTGGCGGCCGTGGCGTTGCAACTGGCCGCATTGGCATCGACACTCTTACAGCTCTTGCAGACGTTGTCTAAGAAGGGCAAGGTCCACGATTCAACCCCGTCAGTTTCCGGCCACACTTCTTCCTTCCGCCATCGAGGCCGACGCTCGGAAACTTACACCTGTTGCGGAATTGCGAAGCCTTGCACCTCGGGAGGCAAGACGACGAGTTGGACGCTCCGACCGTGCGGGTGTTGTTGAGCCATTTGCCATTTCCGTTCTTGTAGAAAGCGAAAACCTGGGGCTCGAAGCGAAGGGAGTCGACATCCGTCAGTTAGTGAAGTTTTGCCTTCGCAGGCGCCAGGCTAGATTGTGCTTGTCACAAACCACGCACCTCGAAGGAAGCACCTTCCTGAACCATCAGATCGAATTTGATTGACTCTCCATCATCCCTTGACGTGAACGACTGATATGGACTAAGTTTGCTGATCTCGGCCAATTTAACGGTGCGCGTGCGGAGCTTGGACGAAACCAGGGTCGGATCGACGAGAAGGACGGTCAGAGCTGGGGCCTTCTTCTTCGATTTGTGGAGACGAAACTTGAGTTTGAGGGGGCTACATTGGCTGACGTTCTGAGGGACTGGAAGGGGTTTCGTGTGTTATTGACGGCGCGTCCGCGCATTTCCGTCGCTTGCAGGAGAAGGGTTTTCCTATCCCATTCCGGGTAATTGGCAACGTAGGTCGGAAACGTAGCTAAAGAAAACAAAGCGTACTCACGAGTCGTGACAATCTTGAAAGAAACCGACGAGACGGGTGCCCGCTTGACAAGTCGATGTCCACTCCTCTGGAATATCGATTCCTCGACGTCATGCGCCGAGACTTGGACGGCGAGTACGAGCAAGACGGCGGCGGAGAGCAGACACCCCTGTCGAACGAGTTGGGAAAATGTGCGAGCGGAAGGCATACTTGGTGATTCGCACTAAGCGTTTTAGGTAGAAAAGGGAAGGAGGAAGAGGAGGGCCTGGATTGAAGTGCAGCAAGTCGGATCAGATGCTTGGTATCGCACCCGCCGGGCCCACCGTCCAGACCGTTGAGGATGGGTGGGCTCGGAGAATGGGGGTAAATTGCTCTCCGACGACGCCGAGACGCGTCAAGGTGACGCGCGTCGACGCGTCGACGCCAAGTGACCGTCGCGATCTTCAGTCCCGACACTGTAGGCACGGTCTTAGGGTAACAACACTTGTATTTGTATTGCATTGAATGACGTTTTGGGTGATCTAAAAGCCTTTAGGGGGTAAGCGTGCATCAACAGCCCTTGCTTACAAATGGCGCCGCACAATCTTCGAAATTGCAACTCGGCGCCCGACACGGAAGGAGTCGCGTGCGCGTTTCAGACAACGGGCACAGGGGCCGCATGGTCTGGCGAAGTGACTTCACCGTCTTCCCCTTCTTCTTTGACCTTGGCTGAGCGGATGTTGGCCCAGTCGGCTCGGGTACCGTCTTTGCGGGACGAGACGAACCAGCGCTCATCGACAAGCTTTTCTTTGTGCGGAAGCAGTAACCTGCTTTAACTCCGTTGCACGATCAGCATTCGTGAATGCGCCATCGTGGTCAACCAGATCGACCGACCTATAACCCATGCGAATGGTCGAGTCCTGCACTCCTGCGACGGCGGATATCTTTGCAGCTGGTTCGGGGATACCCCACAACGTCGTTGCGAACAAGATGCAGGCCGAGGCGATCGTGATCGGACTTCGACCGGCCAACAAGCCTTCCTCTCCGACGCGGGTCCCGACAAAGACAGCCGCACGCTGCACGGGCACGGACAGGCCGAGGTGGTTGCAGTAACGTGTGATGAGCGAGTCGGTCGCCGAAGCACTCGAAGGGGGTGCTTGGTTGGCGTGCACGGTCTCGAACAATTGGGTCAAGAGCTTGAAGCAGGTCGCGATGTCCTTCTTGGACACGTTGGTGAGGGCGACGATTTCTTTGAACGTCCTCGGCACGCGGGCCTGCCTACACGCGATGAAGATGGTTGCGGCGATGATGGCGTCCTGGCTCTTGCCTTTGAGCAGCTTCTCGTCGTCGATGCGCTTGAAGAGTTGCTTGCTCGTGTCGACGATCGTCTTGGGCAGCGAGATGGCTTCGCACATGATCTGGATCTGGTCAAAGGCGACATGCAGGTCGCGACCTCCGCCCGAGTCCTTGAGCACTCGCGTATTGGCAATCTGCAAGCCACGGGATATGCCCGTGTTGTTATCCTTGAAGGAGATAATGGTCGAGAGCTGGTTGACGGGATCGAGCAGTGGGTCGGTTGGTCCACCGACACGAGACGGGTCGTCTCCTTCTGAATCGGCGAATGAACGCCCTGTTGATATTCGAGAAAGGGGGAGGCACACAAGTGATGAACATGTTCAACAAGAGTGTCTCACTCGTATGGCACACCACAGCGATCCCAGGCGAGCACGTGGTCCTTCGGACCAGCTCGGCCTGGAGGGGATCAAGTCAAGCGACTGTTTGCCCGACCCCCCCCCCCCCCTCCCCCCCCGGCGGACGCTGCGACAGGTGACTGAGTACACCAACGCACATTCTGACCTGGTATCGACGATGCGATCACCCAAGACGTGCCCTGCCAAGGAAAACAGAGGTATTGGTCAGCACACGCAGGAGCCAGGGTAGCGCTGCACGCGCACGGGGCTGGACTGACCACACTCGCCACAGACCAAGTCACCCGAACTCATCTCTTCGATGAGGTTGACGTTCTCGTCCTGGCAGTCGGGGCAGATGAGGCGCACGTTGAGGTCCTGTCGAAAGTCCTGCTGGGCGGCGGGACCATTGGGATCGGCGCGCAACGCGAAGGCCTGCATCGACATGGCCGGTGGTAGAAACCTATTCAAAGGCTCTGTGGTGAGTGGTGGGCGTGCGTGGCGAGTGGTATGGATTACGAGCACGGGCACAGGTGAGCACAAGCGATGGGGCTAGGGAAGAGAAGAGCCGGGGACGAACGCACGGCGGGAAGGTGAGGGCCGACACAACCAGGGGAACCCACCCGAGTCACGCGCAGCCGCTCGGACCTCTTCGGACCCTCTTGGACCGCTTTTGTGCCGTCTGGCGTATAGTCTGGCGCGCGACTGTCTGGCGCGCGACTGTCTGGCGCGCTGACGCAGGCGAACGGCGGCGCGTCCTGGCTCGTCTTGGAGCGGCCAGTGAGCGGCCTGGCTCGGCAGTAGGGCGGGCTTGGCTCGTCGCTTGCGCTGTGGCCCAGTTGTGGCCCGCTCGTCACGCGTCATTGCTCGCTGCTAGTCGCTGCTCCGCCTGACCGACCGCCTGCCGACCGCCACACCACTGTGCGACGATGGACGCTGAACTGGCCGTGCTCTTGTTCGGCATCACCTTGGCCGTCGAGGTCGTAGGATGGGTCGGCGCAGACTCGATCGCCGCCTTTGTCAGTCCACCCTGTACCATCTCGCTCTGACGTCGGCGTCAGCTGCCCCTCCCCCCCGTCTACCTTACCCGCATTCCCGTCCTCCGCATCCGTCGCATACGCACGCTGAGCACTACCCTCTCACAGTTCTACGCCCCCGTCTCGCGCTTCTCATCCAACCCGACGCTCAAGTCGCAGAAGGCGTTGCGAGCCGACATCATCAAGCTCCGAGCCGAACTCGCCGCGACCTCGTCCGTCGATGAGTTCTCGAAATGGGCCAAACTCAGGAGGAGGGTCGACAAGGCCGTGTCTGAGCTCGAGGCACTCAGTACGTGCCCATCTTGATCCTTGAGATCACAGCGAGGGCAGATCCCACAGCGCGGAGAGCCAGGACTGGAAACTGAGCCTCGCTCTCTTTCCTCCTCTCTCAGATGCCACCTCGTCCCAATCGCGCCAGTCGTTCCAGAGCCTTTTCAAGCGCATTCTTTGGATCTTTACCACCATCCTCCCCTTCGTCGTCACCTCGTGGCACCGCAAGGCCGCCGTCTTCTACCTCCCGCCGAGCTGGTTCGGACCCGCGACCTGGTGGTTAGGTTTGCCATCCGCTCCCACAGGCTCGTCTCCTCCTTGGGGTATCGCTTCGGAGTCATACGATCACAGTACTGACACATCCCTTCGTCGAATACGCACAGGTGCCGTCGCCTGCGGTGTCTGGACCATGGCGTGCAAGCGAACGATCGGAGCTTGCAAGGACGCCATCGTCGACTTGACCCAGAAGGAAGCCCGCGTGGCGCAACCTGTGCCTGTAGCTGTGCCCGCCCAACCCGTTTCGAGTGAGAAGGCAGAAAGTAAAGAGGGGAGCGGTGTCGAGGGGAAGAAGGAACTGTAATGTATCAAACAAAGTTTGCCGCCGCATGCTCACTCGCTGTCCCCAGCCAGGATGCAACCTCGCGTGATGAGGGAGGAGGCCGTATGACAAACAAGCACTACGTTACAGATGATAGCTTCAACTACTAGCCGGGGCATGGAAACCAAGAGATACACGCAGAGGCGATCGGGTCAGCTCGAGCACACCACTGCGAAATCTTACCGAGTCGACTTCGTTTCCACTGAACATCCCGCGGCCACTGCCTGTCGCAGTCCTTCCCGAATCGCCTCCATTGCCGCCGGAACCCCGTCGGATGTATACCCCGACGTCGACTTGACCGGATATGACTCCGTGATTGCTACCCATGCCTCGCCTAACTCGAGAGCCTCACCATGAATCATGTTGAGAAGATGTTGCCTCTGCTGCGGGTCCATCCTGAAGCCGTCGCTGTCTCAGATATCCGCTCGGCGGTCCCTCACTTGCGGCCTGTAAAGCCTAGAGCTGGCAGAGTTCCATCGAAAAACAAAATAGTCGCCGCCGGGCCCTGCCGGAATGATGCGGGAGGGTAGGACTTGGAACAGGCAATGGACGGCCGATTCGAGCGCGTGCAGTGCGCTAGCCGGGACTCGGGTGCGGGCTGGTGCGGGTCCGTTGAGACTCGCCAGAAAATAGAAGAAAAAAAAAAGGAATACTTCACTACGACCCAGTCCACTCGCGTTACACCCGAGCGCCTGCTGAGATGCGCTTCTCTCCGTCACGTGAAGGCGGCCCTCCGCTTGCGTTGCGATGGAACCGATTGCCCGGGCTTGGTAGCCACGCCGCCTTCCCAGTCAATGAGCACAAGGTGGCCGCCATGGTAAAGAACGCTCCAAGCGAACGATTGCGATGGTCAAACCAAGGTCGTGGAGGGTAGTCAGCACCGTCAGCAGTTGATCAAAAACCCGGAAGCGAGTACCTAGTGTGCCTTGGGCCTTGTTGCACTTCTTCTCTCTGTCCACCGGCATCGAGGCCGACAACAGCTAGTCTCTACCAGTCCCTGATCAATGCGAGTCGGATGAGAAGGACGCCGATAATTCGAGCCCCGCAAGGTGTTTTCAGGCGCCCGTGGGCAGAGCATCCTCGTCGCAGGCGCCTTTGATCTTGCGCAGTACCTTTGACTCGGCGCGTACGAAGCACGGACTGACAAGCTGCATCTTGAACACAAACGAAGGCGGCAAAGTCGAGGATTCGGTACCGGTGGGTAACGAGCTCAAGCTGGGTCGGGTCATCTGAAAAACGTCGTGCACCGTCCGGAGAAAATGCGGTGAGGGCTCGTCGAACTCGACGATTGTGGGCGTGGAGCATGGCATCAAGTGTGGGGAGCAAATCAGCGGCGGTTTGCTTCGCCTCGGTCCCCTTGAGGTTGACACGGGAATCAATACGCTTGCTTGAGTCCACGGGTAAGATCTGGGCAAAAATGGGCGCAGTTTCGCTGGCTGAGCCAGAGTTAAGGCGCCAGTGCGATGGAAGACGGTGCCGCTTAAGTGAAAAGAGGGCGGCCCGCACGCGGTGACGATGCCATGATCACCGTTCGTGCCAGAGGAGGCCTTCGCAAAGGTCTGGATGTATTCAAGGATGCCATCACGGATAACCTTGTGAGCGTCCGAGTCGGAGAAAATCAATTGTCAAGCGCGCAGGACTATAAAGATCAAGGAAAGAACTGACCTTGGCCAGCGAGGGTCAAAAGCGAGAGGAGCTCCTCAGGCAGCGCCTCAAAGCGGGGGAGACGAACTTTGCCGCGTGAACAACAGCTCGAGTAAGGCGTAGAGTTGATGCCAGGCCCTCAGTGCTGCTCAAACAACCCAATACAATGCCTCGCGGACTGGCCCCGATCACCTCTACGGCCCCGGCGTCCTCGCACCGCACCACGACCTCGAGCACGACCACTTTGTGGCACTTCCCCGCTAACGTCTAAAGGCAGCGGCTGAGCAGGCTGAATGGGCGGTTTATCATCGAGGTGCCGATGAACGGGGCGGATGAAGGGGCCGTCCGAAGGCGACGGACTGCGGCGTCGACGCTGACGACGTTGGGTGGCGGAGTGGGGCAGCGGAAGTCATCGTCGGGACGACGGGGCGGATACGATAGGATGAGAAGAATCCATCAGTCGGAGAGGGATTGGACTGCGGGTACCGTGAAGTGGAGGCATGAGAAAGGCTTCCCGGTGGTTGCCAAGGCGTCAAGGTCAGTACCGGTGGGCGCCGTGAGGCAGCTCGTGAGGGCAGGACCGCTCGCCGCTCGGTCGGTCGGTCCTGGCAAAGCTCAGGGGCCTGTTCAGACCAAAGTGCGTCTCGGAAACCCCAGTTTACTATGGGCCGATCGTACACCGAATACCCCTATCCAGGGGTGTATGTATCCCAGTGTGAAAAGAAAACATCGAGCTCTACTAAATAAGTCCCTCTACCATAGAATCACCACGTATAGCCTGTTACAAGGCACATATGCGCCAGAGATGTACAAATCCCCGAGAGCCGCCTTGGGCTGAGCTTTCCCGGGTCCTATGAGCGCTTTTGCTCGAAAAATCCGTGTCGGACCGAAGAAGTGTTTGCCTGTCGAGGCGCACCACCAATTCCTTACGAGTGATTTGCAGCTAATCAGCTTGCCTTACGAAGCCCTATCGCCCCAGGGGCTTTAGCCTGGCCTCAGCGGCCCTGGCCCTGGCCTCCCTCTCAACCCTCATCCTCTGTACCTCACTCAGATCGGCCCCAGGAGGCGCTTGCTTCCCTCCTCCCACACCTCCCAGCCTCTGAGGCCCTTTATTGGCCGCCGGCGTAATCCCCCTCCTCTCCGCCTCCTTCCTAGCTTTCTCCTTGGCCTCCTCCAGCACCCGATCTTCCTCGTCCTTCTTCCTCTTCTCGATCAGCCCTTTGGCCGCATCACGCTCCTTCTGTTTCTCCCTCAGCTTGTCCCTCCTCTCCCTAGCTTTCTGATCCTTCTCCGACTCCTTCTGCTCGTCCAAAGCCGAAGGAACACGGGCACCTCCCACAGACGTCCCCGCCCAGTCCCACCATTCAGGATGCTCGGCCATCACTCCTCGGAAAACGTTGCGAGTCGTGCGCGAAGGAGCGTGCTCGTAAGGCGTTTGCAGGCGCTTCGTCGTCGTCGATGCCGCCGTTGTATCTTCCGTTTCGTCTTCACCTTCGGATACGACGGGTGGGCGCTGATTCGTCGAAGGTCGGAGAGTTGGATCGGCACGCTTCTCCACCAACAGCCATCTGACCATCTCCGCTTGATCGCTCGCGCTAGCGATGTGCAAGAGCGTCGGCAGTGACCTGGACTCGGCCATCCATTCCGGCAACGAGCCCCAAACGTTCTGACCACCACCCGAACTCGACTCGAGTTCGGGGCCATACTTGTCCAAGAAGACAGAAAGGGCTTCGATCTTGCCCCTCTTGACCATGTCGATGCATCGTTCCCATCGGTCGCGTTCGAGCTCTTCCTCCTTGGTCAATTTCGAAGGTCCTAGTAGCTTCTGCTTGGAGTCGGTTAGGGAAAGTTTAGGTTTCGATACGACTGGGGTCGGGCGTGGGGTGATGGATGCGAGATAGTCGGCATCGAGTTGGGCCAACGCGTCCGAGGTGAGGTGCGAGACCTTGACCCGCGTGAGCTCGGTGAAGGCGCGAACGAGCTCGTTGATTGTCGGTCGGCGAGTCGGGAATGAGAACCCTCGGATTCGAGGATCACCTGCGATGATAGTGCGAACAAAGAGTAAATGACATCGTCAATCTGGAATAAGCAAAGTCACAACATGGCTTACCTCTCTGTATTGGCGCTTCGTCGTGATCGAAAAAGGTTTTGTAGTTCGCTTTGCTACATCGCAGGAAGACGAGTTCACTCCCCTCGATGTGCTCCCTCCATCCGCTCAGTAACTCGCGCACTTCCTGTCAAAGTGCAAGACGAAAAGACGAAAGCCGTCGTTAGCCGATGAACCGGGGGTTTTTTTTGGCAACATCCCAATCTCACCTCTGTCAAAGCTGTCTCGTTGTGTCGCCGAATCTGCGCACCGGCGGATTTGGCTTTGCCGCTGCCACCATCATGCGCAGACTGCGAACCACCTTGCTTTCGGCGAGCTGCGAGATGGAGAAATCGGTTAAGCACAAAGCCTGAGTTTTCGACGCAACAGATCCACACTCACTCGTGTAGCGATGGAACGTCTTCTTCTCGAGCACGACGACCTCCTTCTCCTTCTCCTTGCCTTTACCCTTGCTGACCAACCTCGGCACGACACTGACGACCATACCAGCGAAGTGCCCTCCCCCAAACATCAACAAGGTCCATCTCCTGTCCTTGCCGTCCTTGGTCGAGTAGATGCCTTTGCTCCCGACGGGTTCGACAAGTTGCGAAAATTTGAGCTCGTCCAATCCGTCGAGGCCGTCTTGGTGCTTCTTCTGTCCACCTGCGGAGGGAAGGGCCGCTCGATAGATACCGTACTGGGTTCCAGGCGATGCGTTGGGTGCCTCGAACCAGATGAGGGCTGAACGAGGTCCATTGAGGTGACGAGGGTCGTCGAGCGGGTCGAGGGCTTCGCCGTTCGCAGGCGATTCGAGGCGCTGCTTGCGAACGAGTCGCGAGACGGCATTGGACGATGAGAAGGAGGAGGCATCGTCGTCATCATCCGAGGTTGATTCGGACTCTGATCCCGAAATGGAAGCGGAAAGGGCTGTCGGGATGAAACGCGAACGTCAGCGGTCTCCGTCCACGCTCGTCGATGACGACATTTCTCGGTATTCTCGGTGAAAGGTGCGCTCACCTTCGACGAGCTGGGCAAAGTCATGTTCGCTGACCGGGGTCGGTTTGCCCTGCAGCTTGAGCTTGACGTTGTACCTGTACCAGTCGGTCTTGTAGTGGTCCTTGAGCCCCTGAAGGTCGTTGAAGCTCGCGCCGGTCAGAGCACAGGTGAAGTTGCCGGCCGTGATGGAGAGTTGGTCCGCTCGAGGTGGGCGATTCGGTGTAGGTGTAGACGAAGGCGTCGACTTGACCAAGGCCTGGGAGGGGTGCAGTGGGTGCGATTCGGGGATGACGAGCTTGCGCACGCGCAGGTCGTTGACGAGCTCGGAGGGGAGCGCGAACGCGTACAGCGGTTGGTGCGAGGCCTTGGACGTCGAAGAGGACGCCATGGTAGAGGATGATGCAACCGACGAGTGTCTCAAGCGGGCTGAGGCGGAGGAAGGAGCGCGAGCTGGCGCGAGCTAGCGCGAGTTGTTGAGCGCGAGACTTGCAGTTTGCCCGACTCCCTCTAACAAACCTCTAAGAACCTCTAATAGCCTCTAAGAACTGCCTGACTCGACCACGCGATCGGCCGGCAGCTTGCGCCTGCTTGCGCTTTCACGACGCTTCGCAGTCGCGCGCGGCCGTCGGTCACCGGTCACGCGGTCACGGCCCATAGGTCACAATAGGTCACCGGCTCACCCCCACATCGCCCCTCATCGCCCCATCCGCCGCGACATGGCCACCCGCGTCGCAGCCCCTGTCCGACAGCTGCGCACGTCAGTCAGGCTCCCCTCCTGTACATGCAACTGCTCCTCGGTTTGGACAGCACAACATACCCGATCTCGCTCCATCTCGTCCCCTGCGTCGTCATTCGCAACCCCCAGCCAGGGCGAGGGCAAGGGCAAGGGCAAAGCCTCGGTCGCACAAGAGCAACGCTGGGCAGGATGGCAGCCAGGTCAGTTGCCAACACACACTTCCAGAGCTGCATACCATATAGCTGATCCAGTATTCACTTGTCCCCCCACAGTGATCGGCCTCGAACTTCACGTCCAACTCAAGGGCAACCCCAAGCTCTTCTCCTCGGCTTCCGCCCGGTACGACGCCGAGCCCAACACCCAGATACAACCCTTTGATGCCGCGCTGCCCGGATCGTTGCCCGTGGGTTCTCATCTCATCACGTTCCGATCCTCGAGCCGCTCACACCCACCTAAATACCCTCGTAGACCCTCTCCCCGGAACCGGTCCGACTTGCTCTCCTCGCCTGTCTGGCACTGGACAGCTCCGTCAACCCAGCCTCAACGTTCGACAGGAAGCACTACTTTTACCCTGATCTACCGGCCGGCTTTCAGCTCACACAGAAATATGGTCCGTGCCCCGCAAGGAAGGAAGAGCGGCCCGCTTCCCCCCCGAAGGCTGACCTTCCCCTGTTGGCGTCTCGTGACAGCTCCTTTGGCGAAAGGTGGAATCCTCAAGATCAGAAAGGACCCAGCAGTAGGTGTCACGAGGGATCTGGAAGTAAGAATCGACCAGATTCAATTGGAGCAGGTCAGTGGGCAAAACTCGCTCTCCTGTTTATCCCGAGACCGCCTGCCCTGACTAATGGTGCCATCATCAACTCAGGACACGGCCAAGTCGTTCCACGATCCATCGGAGCACATGACACTCGTGGATCTGAATCGGGCGGGTGCGGCTCTCATTGAGATCGTGACCCAGCCGGATATGAGGTGACGACTTTGCTGACAAACTCCGAGCCAGATCCCTTTGAGCCGCTAATCCATTTCTTGTCCGGCGTCGTCAGGTCACCGGAAGAAGCCGCATCCTTCGTTCGAAGTTTACAGTCTATTCTCAGGCACGTTGGAGCGAGTGATGCGAACATGGACAGGGTGCGACACAGCTTCGGACCTCGCGAGTTCTCGGTTGAGACGGGAGACTGATGGCCACGTTTGGAACTCGGCTCAGGGAGAGCTACGATGCGATGTCAACGTTTCGGTTGGGCCTGTGAAGGGCCCTCATGGGACTAGGTGCGAAATCAAGAATCTGAATGGAGTTCGCTTCTTGGTCGGCGCCATCGGTACGGTCGTCATCTCTTTTCGGAGAGGAGCGAACCCCTGAGTTCGAGTCAGTTCATCGCTTGACCTTGCTCTCGGCCCCGATGCAGAATCCGAAATCTCAAGGCAGATCAACTCCATCAACGCCGGGGTCCCGATCGTCCAAAGCACGATGGGTTACGACGCAGTCGACAACCGAACCTTTGTCCTGAGGTCCAAAGAAGACGCCCCTGATTATCGCTACATGCCTGATCCGGAACTTGGCCCTATAATGGTGACTAAGGTGAGCTTAGCTAGACAATTTCAGGTTTCACTCATTAGGCCTGATGAGAGGTCTTCGATAATCTTCTAGACTACTTTGGATCATCTCCGTTCGACACTCCCCGAACTCCCGAACAAAGCCTTCGAACGCCTCCAAACTCAATACGGTCTATCCCCTCGCGACGCGGGAATTCTCGTCGCGGTAGGCGAATCGCTCGTTGTAGATTTATCTTCAACGATGAGCTCCGCCCCAGAGTGGTTGGGAGGTTCCGAAGTGGGCACGGCTTCGATCGGGACGAGGTACTTCGAGACGTTGGCTTTTGGAAGACAGGCGCAGGTGTGTGCGAATTGGTATGTGGAGAATCCATCTGTACCTCACGTGTACCTCACGATTAGACTAATCAAGATTTTTTCTGCCCGTCCTGAGATAGGATCATTCATGATCTCCTCTCAGCACTAGGTTCGACGAGCCCACCTTTGAACCTCTTGACCTCCCCTATCGGACCCCACGAACTAGGAAAACTGATCGACGCTCTGAGTAAGGGGAAACTCACTTCGACGAACGCCAAAAGCCTTCTCAAGGAATTTATCATCAACCAGACGAGCAACTCCACCCAGGGCTCATGGAACGAAGTTTTGGACCAAGCGGTCCAATCCCATCAATCATCGACGAGTTCCATCTCCCTCGAAGAGATCTGCCACTCCGTCATTCAGGACCTCGTTCAAGAGAGCGATAAAGTACGAAAAGGAAATACCAAAGTCTTGATGAGGTTGGTCGGGCAAGTGATGAAGGAGAGTAAGGGCGTGGTCGATGCTCAAGAGGCGAAGAAAATGTTGGAACGGATGCTATTACCTGGGCGGACGGTGTGATTGTGGTCTAAGCACGTCGCTTTGTGTTACGCAGAGTTGTTGAAGCTGTAGTATGTACTGAACGAAGAAAAGGATAGACATGGTATATAGTACACAAAGGAGAGCACTGAACAAGGCTTGGAACAACGTCGAATACAAGGCCGAAAAACACCGGAACCCGAGAAGAAAAAAGAACCCCACAAGCCAAGCGCTCAGCACAGATCCCCGAGAAGACAGCACCGACACTTCACCGAGTACCTTCGTCGCAACACCTTCGCCGCAACACCTTTCTCTCAATCACTCTTGAACCTCCCCTGAGCCATATCTTCCGCCTTTCCAATCATCAACTCGAGGGCCCACAACCCCGTCGTCAAAAACACGTTGGTCCACCTCCACAACGTCGCGTGGTGTTGTGCCGATGTCGACGACGACGAGATGAGGAGGTGGGTGTAGACGGCAATGAGGACGAGGCGCGAGTAGGTGACCACGATCGTCATGAAGCGAGGGAACTGGATTGAAATTCAAGCGCAGGCGTGAGCGACGGGGATTGGGTTGGGGGAGTACGGGGTGTGTGCTCACGGGGTCCTCTTCAGACAGTTTCCTCGTGTCCTCGTAGCCTTCGTTCTTGCGCTTCAAGGCGAGGATGATCCTCGAAGCCGCGTACAGCACAGTTACACGGTAGAAAAGCCCTACCAGGACAGGTAACGGCAGAGCAGAAGATCTGTGATGTCGGGAGGAGGGACTTTAGCCGAGAAGCAAGGCGTTCGTCATCGGCAATGCACTCACGCTGCAATGATGAACTCGACACCTGCTCCGAAAGTCTGTGTCGCCAGTGTCGAAATTCGATCCAGCCTGGGTCGTGGGAGCAGACACATCCGTCAGTTATCGAGGCATCGCGAACTCGAATAGGAGAAAGAGACCTACGACTTGAGAACGACGGGTGGCAGCGGCGGATGGCCGTTGGATCCTGGGGTTTGCAGCACATCGCGCAGCAGGCCGCCCGAGTACATCGCTGGCCGATTGGCCAGATGGAAGATCTGAAACACGGCGTATCTGTACGAGTATGAGTTGTGTTTCAGATCCGAACTTTTTAGCTGAAGCTTAGGAGATCATACGCACGCCATGACCAAAGAAGTCTCGATGACGGTCCCCTTCTGCAGCGCGAAGCCGATGCCAGACAGGAACAGAATCGAAGTGATCTCGACACCAATCAAGGTGGCGTTGAAGCGATCGACGACCGAGGCATACGACTGTGAAACAAAGTCCAGGTCTCAGCTGCTGTAAATGGGCAGATGAAGACTTGCCGATGACTCACATGCCACAGGAAATAGGCGGCGATGACGTAGACTAGGGCGGCGAGGACGAGGATAAAGAGTTGAAGAACATCTGGGGTCTACACAAGGGGTGCAGGGGGATGTGAGTTTGCAAGTGACATCATTTTCGCGATGAGTGGCTAGGAGAAGGACTTACCCTCGAGGCAGCTATCCGTCGCAGGGAGAACCTCGAGACGGCTTGAATGCACAGCAATGTGGCGATGCCTTCCATGACGGTAAAGATGGGCGAGCTCGCACCCAGTAGCTTCTCCCACCACGACGGTGTGAGTCGCAGTATGGACCACAACGGTTCGAGGATGTTGTTCTTGGGCAAGGTTGGACGGTCGCTCGAGTACAGATTGAGGGAGAGGAGCAGGAGCGCGGGGATCAAGAGGGGTACGACGATGGCCGAGAGTAAGGTCGAGAGCGGCCTGAAACTCGTATTGCGAACGATGAGGTATATTGTCGCGTTCCTGGTGGGGAAGAGGAGACTGATTAGCGCGATGCTCGTCTTGCTCGGGGGATTCTCGGGAATGCCGATTTGACATTGGCGAGCGTACCAGGTGAAGAGGGAGCAGAGCATCAAGGAGAGTGCAAGCAGACATTCCTTGCCGGCGATGTCTTGAGCGAGCGGGAGGTAGAGCAGGACCTGGTCGAGAGAGAAAGCAGCCACGAGGGACGGGTCGAGTCAGGTCACGTGGTGGATAGGGGGGGAACGAGATAGTCGCTCGCCTGTTCCCGCGACGGGTGACTGACCTGAGAGAAGCACACGAACGAGGAGGCTATCCGGAACACATTGCCGAGAAGGTTGGACCTGTTCAGGTGGAGGTGCTGGGGTGAGCTCCCGGTTCGTGGTGGGTGTTGTCGAGTGCAGCCGAGTGCAGCCGAGCGCTTCCGAGCCCAGCGGTGGGGAGCTAGCAGACCGGCACTTATCGTGTCGTGCCCGGGCGAGGGGGCGACGTTGAGCACAGGCGATACTCCGCTACGACGACTCACATGGTGACTACGGTGACCACAATGACTCTGTTACTCTGCTCTGGGCCTCTGTGGCCAAAGCAAGCTGGGAGCGCTTCCTACGCCACCGGTTGCACCGGTTGCACCGACCACACACAACACGGCGGCCTCGACCCGAACGGTGTGGGTGCGAAGCAAGTCGCCCCGGGACACTCGGGCGAGGATGGGAGGCGCGTTGGCGTGCTCGGGTTGGCGTGACGAGCTCGGGGTGCTGAAGGAGTGGTAGGTGTGAGAATGAGTCGGATGCGCGTGGCGACAACTCGGCGCACGACGAGCACCAGCACAAGAGCAACTAATAAGAGCAAGGTAGAGCACGATCGAGCCGATAACGACTGTGCCGGCCGTGATCGAGCGAGCGCAGGACCCCCGAAAGCCCGGCCTGAGGCGCGTAGGGCCCGACTGGACAAATTTTGGGCCTCAGATGGGCCAAAATCGCCAAGGCGCGTAGTCAGGGGTGGACAAATCAGGGTGCGCCGGTGTGGGTGGGGTGCTAGGCCCGTAGGTGTCAGTGGACAAATCGTGACCCATTTTGGCCCCATTCGGCTTGGAAGGCCAAAGTTTGCCGACCCTCAAGAACGTGCGGGAGCGCGCGCGAATCAGGTACCGAATTCACAACAACGGCTCTAATTGATGTATTTGCACTTATAACCTCTTGGCTGGTTGAACGAAGCGTTTGAGTGCGCGCGTCTCTTGCCTTCCCCGCCGCGTCGCGTCGACGTCGTCTGTGCCATCATCGCCAATATCCTACATTCTCGGCACGACTTGCTTCGATGAAACGTATCTTGAGATCCGGATATCGATCTCCTTGACGATATTCTTGAGCGAATGGCACCCCTCATGGACGTGAGGGTGTTTGAGCCTCTCGCCTCCAGCTTAAGACAAACCAGACACCCGGATACAGCTTTCATGGTCGACAGACGAGTGATACTCTTGCTTGGCCGCTCGATGCTTGGAGGGACAAGTTGAAGGATCGTGGAGCAATCATTGCGGCACGTAGGCAAGGCCACCAATCTATCACTATCGGCTGCCTTTCGATGTCGAATCTGGCGGCATATAGATCACGCCGAGCGCATGCGTTCGGTTGTTATCAGTAGCCAAGAGCTGGTGAATTCATCTGCGTGTCGACATCGAAGATCAACGTCTCATCGTTAGAGCTCCGGAGGTGATGCCTTCACTGCTCGTTGAGGAGCAATTACCCCCTCAATGATCCTCGGGGTTCGTGGATCTCACGGTAGCTAGCTTACTGCTTCCCAGAGTGACTGCAATCGATCTTACCTCTCGTAGTACGTTACATGTATACCAAGGCCACGTTAAATCTAGTCAAAATGGCAGGTAGCAAGTGCAGGTGAGGAGCCCTTGGCGAAGCAGATCCAAAACGGCTGACGCGCGCGCGGGCTCCGCCGATTCGGTCCGGGCGAAAGATGTCCGGACGGCGTTTTCGCGATTTTTGAAGATGTTTTGGAGCATTTGAAGCAATTCTAGAGCTATTTTTGGATGCGCGTAGATGGACTGGACATTTTGGGGACTTTTTTGGGCGAAAAATCCAAAAAATGGTGGACAAAAGAGGTCCAAAATCGGGGATTTTGCCGGATTTTACCTACGCGCCTCAGGCCGGACTTTCATGGGTCCTGCGAGCGCGTGTCCTCGCGTGTCCAAAAAATCGATCGTCGTCATTTCGAAAACAGCCTGAGCGTGCCACGACCGTAAGATCGCTGGCACTCGTTTCTCTTCATCGCCTACCGAGGCATCGCCCGCCAGCACCTGCTCCACCATGATCCGAATCTCCCCTCACCTCCTAGCTCCCGTCAAAGCGCGTACCACTCGACTACGGTCATCGAGCTCCTCCCCACTTCTCCCTCTCGACTATGTTGGTCGACATTTGCAGCTCATCCATCCTCTCCCCAACGTCCCAGCTCTCTAACCACCCATCGGATCCCACTCACAGTTCGTCAACCATGCCAAGTCACTCTCGCTGTACAGATCCTTCATCCGTGCGACCCGCAACCTCGGCACCCTCGAAGCGAGGTGGCACACCATAAAGTGGATCCGCACCGATTTCGAGCGCTACAAGGGGCTCGTCGATTCGGTCAGTTTTCGGTCGAGTATAACTCACTGTTGGGAACCCATACTGAATCTGCTCGCTCGCGATTCTCAGCAAAAAGCGAAAACGTTGCTTTCGTTGGGAGCCAGGCAATTGAAGCAGCTCAACTCGACGGCTAGTCTCATCGGGACCGACGGATCAAAATTTAGGGGCACCAAGAGCGCGTGAGCTCACCGGGGGGTTCAGTTGTCGAACAACGGGACATGTCTGCACCCTCCCCGCCACCTCGAGCACGCCACATCCGTTCGAGCCCGGACAACTCTGCGCGTGCGATCCCCACTGTTGAGCGATCAGCTTCGCCTCAAACTTCGGGGCAGAAAACTTCAGTTCAGACGTTTGCCCTCGTCCCTTGACCTCGCTACTTCAGACGCTCTGACCGGCGATGTGAGGCAATCAACGAACTTTTCAAGCGACGCGACGGTCTGGCGATCAAATACGATCGATCCCTCTACCCTCAGCAACGAGAACTGCTCAACAACTCGACGGTCCTGACAACAATTTGTTGCAATGAAGTCATATACATTCACCGAACAACTAAAAAGCCACGTTGTAACACGACACGCCCTCTCGCACATCGTCACACACCTGCCTTCAGCTCGGGCCGTCCCAAGTTTAAGGGTTGGTGACCCTCGGCTCTTTTCCGGGATGAAGGCCGGTTCATAGAAACGATTGTCCATCCTTCGCGTATTTCCCTCGACACCTGTAACCGCTCCTCCTTCTTCGTCACCCGAAGAACGCCAGCAGATATGGAAGGACGATCATAACGAGTCCCTAGTAAGCCACCCCCGATAGCGCCGATTGGCGCTTTGGCTTTGTCACCTGTTCCCTGAGCCGGTTGAATCGCTCCTGGTCTTTCCGCTCGGGATAGCATAACCGCAACTCGAAGGAGTCGAACCACCTTTCGACGTATTCGGGAACCCTTCTTCATTTCCTCCCGTCGCCAACCCCGAGCCAGACGACGACCCACCCGTCCCGACCCCTCCAATTCTTCACAATCGTCGGCATTCCTAGTTCGTGTCCGCAATGTAACGCACGAGTTCTTCCAATCCGTTACGCAAGAATTTGTTGCTATGCCAAGCAGGACCATTTCTCGCGTACAGGAAAGAAAATGCAAGTGATGGCATTACTCGGGAAAATTACAAAACAACGAATGGCGGCGCACCCGGCCCCGACCACAGCGGCCGGGGTGCTAGAAAGGCCTTCCTCATCCAATTCAGCGCTCGTTACAGGTTCGTACTTCTCTAGATGATGATCTTTTCGAAATCTTTCAATACTTGGACAGTTTGTTCGTCCAAAACACTAGATACGAGCACAGAGACAAATGGTCGCAAAATTCAGTGTCAGCTTTAAGCGATTTGCATTGCTCGAAAGTCAAAACATGAGGACTAACGGTAATTTTGCTTGATGTCCTCAGCCTCCTTGACACGTTTGCTGCGCCGCGAGGTGGGGTCAGGAACCTTGTGCAGCGGAACCGTCGTTTCCTAATGCAATCGAAATGGGCATGAGCTTCAGACGGAACAACGACAGAGAGAGACGGAAATACGGCTTGAAGACCAAACAAACTCACGGCGATGCGCTTGCGTGCGCCGGCCAGGATGTACGCGCCCCACTTTTGCAGATTATTCTTGAGCGCGAGCTCGCGTGTACCCTTAGCGTTGAGCCAATTCTGAAGGTTCTCGATCTGTAGAGGCGTCCCGCAAGGGTCCGTGAGCACGAAGCACTCTGTACAATTTTACCGGCAAACCCACCTGCTGCTCGTCATCGTAGAAGCCCCACTCGTTCGTGCCCAGAATACCCGGCGCGTAAACCTCCTCCTTCACTCGTCTCGCCGCAATGTCGTTGTTGTCCGCAGGGGCCTTCGATGCCATCCATGCATAGTCGGCTTCACTCGGGCCTTGCACAAACAACCTGCCCGTCCCGTAAAGCACACCCTCTCCTCGCTTGCCCAGCAACTCCATTGACCCAATGCCATCGAACCACCAGTATCGGCAGTGGAACCGGTCTTTGCCCAACGGCTTGCTGCGAGAAACCGAGTGGTACTTCCTAAACTCGCGTTCGACAAGGTCGTCCCGCTTGGCGTTCTTCTTCAGCTGGTCATCGATGTCGTGGAGCGCGCGATCCTTCTCTCGGGCGGTCCCTGTCTCGGCAATACGTCGGATGCGAGCCATCTGCTCCTCTTGCGCGCCTAGCAGCGCCTGTTTCTCGAGCAGCTTGCGGTTGCGGTAGGCCGCGTGTCCATCGAGGGCGGGGGTGCCCGTACCCGACTCGGCATTCGACGCGACCGAGGGCGAGCGCACACCTCTAAGTGCGCTTTGTGGTCGCTGAGGAAGAGGCTCGTTCAGGTCTTCGTCATCGGCAAGCTGATCCTCCTCCTCGTCTCCATCACCGCCAGCGACCGAATCGTCGATGGCCATGGGGGAACCTGCTGCCGCAGGCGTGGCGTCGGCGTCGGAAGCATGCTTGCCGTTCGTCGAGGAGGGTGCGGTGTCGAGTTCAGGTTTCGGAGACGGCGCGGGCGAAGTTTTGGTCGATGTGGGGACTGACGCAGCGTGGTTCCCGTTCGCGGCATTGGGGACAGGTGAGGACGCGTCCCCGTTGGTAGCCTCTCCATTTTCGGCCTTGCTGCCCGACTCAGGGGGAGGAGCGAGAGCGTTGACGGCGTTCTCGACCGGCTTGCCCGTCTTGGGCTCGAGAACGAGGACGCCTCGTTGCTCGAGCAAATTCTTGCGCTCCTTGTTCACGTCGGCGCGCGCCTTGCGGTACTCGGTCAGTTGCAACTCGGCTTCTTCGAGGAAGGTTCGCACGGGCTTGGAGCCCATGGCCAAAGTCGCGAGGAAGGCGACGATGTCGACCTTGTCCTGGATCGGAAGCGACAAATACGCCCCCTCGGGGTCAGAGGTATCGACAAACTTGCCTTTGGAAGCTGCGCCGTTGGAAGTCGCAAAGTTCGCCACTTGCTCCGCCGCGGGGGTCGATTGCGCCGAGTCAGCCGCCGCGCCAAAGAGCTTGGCGGGGGTCAGGTCGGCTCCTTCAAAGATGTGCTTGAGGATGGCATGCAGATTTGGCATTGCTCGAACGGCCCCGCGCGAGCAGAGCGCGCCGATCATGTGTCGCTCCCAACCCTCTCGTCCGTCGGCGCTCTTCAGCTTGGCCGTGCGATCCCAGCGCTTCGAGTAGCTGATCCCCTTGCGAAGGAGCAAATCGAGCTCGCTGTCGATGCGATTGGGATCCGCATTCTCCACATCGCCTTCGTCGTCGTCCCCATCCGCGAGCTCATCGATCTCTTCCTCGCCCTCTTCTTCGCCATCCTGGCCTGCTTCGTTCGCTGAGTCCGCCACGGGGACGAACTGCACGGTGACTGACCCGTAGACACGCAACGTGTCGGTACCGATGATGTTGGTCAAGGAGGCGTGGATTTCGGCGAGGAGGTCGCATCGAATGCCCGGATTCGAGTGGTTCATCGCACCGTAAAAATCATCGAGCGAGAAGGGTGACAGATTCAGGGGCTTGCCGAAGACGTTGAGAATGTTCCAGGTGGATATGAAGGTGTCGAACATGTGCGGCGGTACAAGGAGGTGTCGGTTGGCACTCGGTTTGGACGGCAAAGGAGGAATCTCGGCATTGACGCGTCGGAGGAGGCGACCGTCGTGAATGGAGAGAGGGTCGAGGTCGAGATCCTCGATCGGATACTTAATCGCTCGCTTGTATTCGGCCGGCGGCTTGGGCACCTTGGGGGGCCTCTCGGCTTTGACCTTGCGCGGGGCATCCGGGTCAGTCTCGGCTTTGCTCTTGCGCGGCTTCTTCGGAGGCGGTGCGCCGTCGCCGTCGGTAGGACCCTTTAATATGCATCAGATCCAAAGGAGGACGAGTCAGCGGAAATGAATGCCAACGAGGGGAAACACTCCTTCTTCACGCACCCTGCGCTTCGCAAGCTTGGCCTCACGGATCTCCTCGTTGCGCTGTTGATCCTCCTGGCTCTGCTCCATCGGCAAGTTATATCGCCTGGCGATCGAAGGCTTGACGATCCACGGCGCAGCGATGGTCGATTCTCGATGAACGCATTCGCGCACGTATCTTTTGAGAATCGATTTTGAGAACGAGAGACGGTCTCGACTACAAAGGAAAGCCATAGCGGATGTCAGCCAATAGCCCGACTGGCTTCGAGCGCCTGCATGGTGAACTGACCTTAGTTGTTTGGCCTTGACTTCCATGAAGCTACCTTCGAACCTGTGCTCCTCGTCCATGAGCTGTACGGTGTAGAGGTACTCGTCCGGGTCGTCGCGTGTCAGAGCCTCTTCGGTCGAAACGTGCAGGTCGGTGCCAATTGTGTGCGAATAGGACGTGAAGTCCTCGAGCGCGTCCGCGGCGGGTATCGATGATGATCGAACGGACTCGGCGACCTCTTCGTCTTCATCGGCCTTGCCTTTGTCTTTGCTCTCGATAGCGGCGAGGCTCGCTTCTTCGCGCGCCAAGTTGCGGATCGCGACGGGCGGGAAAACGGAAGAGATGCGAGCGTAGTATCTGAGCGAGGGTCGACTGGCATCAGCAATGATCATGTTTTTCCTTATCGGACGCTTCGAAAGACTCACTTGTCGCCTCCGAGGTCAACGAAAACCTTTTCCCCGGCGAAGAAGCGATCCTTGAAGCGCTCAAAGATCTGATCGATCAAGTTGTCGAGCCGACCCATGACCTCTGTGTGGTGCCAAGCCCGGATCACACGTCGCGTCAGTCGCGAGGATTCTTCAGAGAGCCTTGCTACCGGCTTACGGAATTGAATCGACTTGAGCACTTTGCCCTTGAGCTCGGCGGGGAACCTCTCTCTGACGATCCTGGACTCGTTCCTCTCCGAGTCGAGCGCCTGGAAGTAGTCGAGTCCACTCTTGCCCGAGTATTCGCATGTGAAGATCCTTGAGAGCAAGTACGTCATGCGTGCCGAGTAGGCTCTGCGTGCAATGTATGGCACGGGCCACAAGGTCTGTGTCAGCCGAGAAGAAGCGGAATGACCTCATGTCTGCCATGCCAACGAGGGCAGGCGGAGACGCGATACTGACTCGTAGGTGAGAAAGACTTCTCCGGTCGCCTTGAGGAGGAAGACGGGGGCATTGGGGTCGTCGGGGAGTTGAGGTAGTGGAAGCAATGGAACGGGTCGGCGCGCGGTCTGAGGCATGATGAAAGGAGGAGGAGGAGGAGGAGGAGGTGGTGGTGGTGGTGGTGGTGGTGATGAACCGAGGCGATGGCGATGGCGGAAGCGAGCTCGGGCACGAGCCGGATGTAAGCGCGGGGAGGAAGCGAGAAGCGAGGTGGGGGTCCGGCCGAGTTGACCGAGGTCGATGAGCAGAGAAAGTGTGTAGGATAACGGAGTGCGAGGCGTCTACTCGAGTCGGTGCGAGCGTGGCCGCGTCACGTCGCGGGATGTAAGCCGAGGGCTGGGCGAGGGGGAGGAGAGGGGGCGGCGGTCGTTGTCCCGGAAGCAAGCGGCTCTGGCCCGGCGCAGACGACGCGTGCGAAGTCGGACCACGGGCGTAGCCGACAGGGGCTCTGATGGGTCGGGGAAAGATGGGTAATGGCACGAGAGGGGGTGGAATCGAGTGAGGGCGTGGATCGGTCGACGTTGCTCGCGCGGACGATCGAGGACGGGCGCCAGTCGAGCGAGAGCGAGAGCTAGCGTGAGCAGGGAGCGGGAAGTCGAATCGACGGGGAGGGTTCGAGGCGACCACGACACGACGCGGCGACGAAGGCTACTTCAACGTGCAGCTGAGCACCCCGGAGAGCAAGTCGAGCACAACACAGGGAGAGCAGTCGACCAACGGGCTGTCGAGCTCGATCGACGCGCGGGAGAGGTGCGGTCACAGAGGATGGGCAAAGAGGAAGGAAGGGGCGGCGGGAGGTGTAGGGAACCCAGGCGGACGCGAACAACGCGGCGCAATTCTGTCGAGTCGAGGAGGAAGTCGTCCAGGCCGATCGCTGGCCGGACTTTGGACGGCGGCTTCATCCTGCACCTTTTGCCGAAAAAAAAGGGGGACCGAAAAAAGGAAACCGGTTTATAGGTTTTTGTCATCAAGAAAGGTGCGTCGCTCCAAAGCCTGAATTAGGAGAAGATTCCTGGCCGGTCCCGGGTCCTGTTTAGTAAAAAGGGTGTGTCAAGTCGTGCGGCGCGCGATCAATTCGACGAGGAAAGGACCATAGTAGCACCACTGGGCTTGGAAGTCGTCACTGGTCGTCACTTTGTGTCGCCCACTGCAGCGTCTTGAGCGCACGCCGTTCGACAAGCGGCATCCTCCACACAAACCGCTTGTTCCTAATTTCGGCTTCGTACTGAGCCACTTGCCCGTTCTCAAAAGTGGCAGACTCTCAGCCGCGTGTTCGCTCGGCGCCGACGACCGAGCGAGCGGCAGCCGCATCAGCACCACCCGTTCCGGTTGTCTCCCCACCACCACCACCACCGTCACGACGATCCTCGCCGCGAGCGACAGGTCGTCTCTTCCTCCTCTCCCTCGGCGTTCGCTTCCTCAATGCATTCGCTACGCGCGGCTTCTTCCAGCCGGATGAGTATTGGCAGTCGCTCGAGGTAGCACACCGCATCGTCTTTGGCTACGGCTACAAAAGCTGGGAATGGCGAACGGCGACGACGATCAACGACGGCGCGACAGCCCACCAACTATGGGCGACACTGACCAGAGGCGGCCAGGGCGGGATCAGAAGTCCTCTCTATCCTATGCTCTTTGTTCCGCTGTACTGGATACTGGCCCAGCTGGGGCTTGATGACGGACCCATGCTCGTTAGTCTCTCGGCTCGCTTGCTCGGGAGAGGCCTTCTCTCCATAACACCCGCTGACCACACGCTCGCTTGTGCCCCATGGAACCTGCAGGTACTCGCACCTCGACTCGTGCAAGCCGTTTTCGCCGCCGCAACAGATATCGCAGTGATGCGTATTGCCGATCGAGTCCTGGGCGAGCAGTACGGACTAGCGGCTGTCAGTCTTTGCTCCGTAGTGCCTTCAAGGTTTTCGCGAGCTCCGGTGCTGACCCAACCACACATTCCTCGAACGGTGCAGCTATTCTGCTCCCTGGGTTCCTTCTTCAACTTTCACACCTCTACGAGGACGTTTTCGAATTCAATGGAGGCCGCTCTTACAACATTGGCGATTGCCTTGTGGCCCTGGCCCGGTCGAGCCAAGTCCGATGAGCAAGCACTGTCAGCACCCCAGTAGGTCCACATGCGGTGGGATCGTGCGCTCGGCAGGGCGATTGTTGAGCTTGAGAATGTCTACTTCGCAGATACTTTTCTTCTCTAGCCTTCTCGCTTGGCTTGGCTGCAATTGCCTGCGTCATGCGTCCCTCGAATGCCATCATATGGCTCACTCTCGGTGGACATCTGCTCGCGACGCATGCGCCCAACCCCGAAGGCGTCTACATCTTGTCACTTGCCACCTTCATTGGGTAAGCTGAAGTGCTTCCTTTCGACAAAGGATCATCGCACAGTTCCTGATACCACTCCGTACCCATTCGGAACAGCGTTTTTGCCTCCCTCCTTTGCTTCCTCGTCGACACGGCTTTCTATTCGACTCCGACCTTTACGCCCTTAAGGTTCCTCCATGAGAACGTGTCCCACTCCATCTCGCTCTTCTACGGGTCCAACTCGTCCCATTTCTACTTGACCCAAGGAATCCCGATCATGACCATGACGCAGCTGCCCTTCCTGCTCCATGGGCTGTGGCTCGTCTTTATCAGGAGCGACGCGCGAGGACGAGGATTGGCCCCGTTGGGTATCGTCGTGTCGACCACCGTCATCCTCTTTTCCCTACTGGGTCACAAGGAATGGAGATTCCTACACCCTATCCTTCCCATCCTGCACCTCTTTGTTGCTTTTTCCCTCGTCACCTTGCACACCTCCCACCTCGGCCTCGCCAAGTCGACCACCGCCACAAAGCTGTCGACGGTCCTGCACGTCCAAACGAGTCATCTCGCTTTGATCTTGGCCTCGCTTATCCCTGGGTTGTACTTCACCTGCTTCCATTCGATCGCCCAAGTCACAATTCTCGATCACCTGCGCTACCTACCCGCATTCGAGGTCAGGTCGGTTGGGTTCTTGATGCCGTGCCACTCGACACCCTGGCAGAGTCATCTCCACCGCAGGGATTTGGAATTGGGTGGTTTGAGGAGTGGGGAAGGGGGTTTGCTGTGGTTCATCACGTGTGAACCACCGATCGGGTCAGTCGACTCCATTCATCAAGCTGATTTGATGATAGGGTGTATTGATACAACATGATTATTACACGAGGCAGGCTCGATACGACCTCGACAGCCTACCGAGATCAATCCGACTATTTCTACGCATCCCCCTCAAACTATCTCACTCAGCGATTCCCTTCCAAAGTCGACCCGACCTTCCCTCCTGCCCCTTTCCAAACCAAAGACTGGCAGCATACATGGCCATCGCATCTCGTCTTTTTCGAGGCGTTGTTGGACCAGGACCCTGAAGTGGCGAAGATTTTGAAAGGGGTAGGGTACGAGGAAGAGGAGAGGAGGTGGAACTCATTGTGGCATGATGATGAAAGAAGAAGAGGGGATGTGGTGGTTTGGAAGTGGAGGAGGAGGACGAGATCAGTCGAGGAGTAGATTCGCTGAGAGTGTTGTAGAGCTTTGTGTCATTGGCTTGAGTCATGCTTCCGGCGCCTCGGTGGTAGGGTCAGGTCTTGAGAAGCGCAAAATGTGCAGATGTTCTCCCCCAGCTCGTCGTTTCAATACGACCTATAAGACGCAATCATCACGAACCGATCACTAAGTAGCTGGATGTAGGCTCAGTATGGAAAGGCGCTGCTCACCTCGCCCCGCAATCCTTTCTTCTCGAGCCCTTCGATGATTTGCTGTGGTTTGTTCTGGACGATCGTGACGAGGTAGAACAAGCCTCTGTTGGAGAGTAACAGCTATCGTAAGGAACAGCACCACATTCCATTTTGTCAGCTTCGTTGGACCTCTGGAATTGCCCCCCTCCCATCCTACTCTCACCTCAACCACGTCCAACAATCGATCCGTAACCTGCATCCCATCCGCTCCTCCCGCCCAAGCCCTCTCCAACAACCCCTCCATCCTCGCCAACTCCAATTCGTCCTCATAAGTGGGCACATAAGGTGGATTGAAAACGATGACATCGCACGCGTGTTGGAGCCGAGGGAATAGGCACGTGCAGAGGTCCGTTTGGACAATTTCGAAAGGGGTTCGGAGGGAGTTTAGACGAGGGGTTTCATGAGTTGCGAGACAAGCGGGTAGGGATAGGTCGGTTGTGAGGAGAACTGAGTGAAATGAGTGTTGGGCTGGTGTGTTAGTCTGAACGTTAATCTGATAGACAGAGGCCTTCACGACTATGAAAACCCAACGAACGCGCAGAGTTTGGATCGAGCAAAGTGCCGAGGAAAGTTGAGACGACGCCAGAGCCGGAGCTGTGCAGAAGTTCGTGGATCCACGAGCCGGGTATATTATCAGCCAGACATTGGAATGCTGTCTTTGGGAATGTCCGACTCGTCCGTACCCGATCTCCAGACATAGTTGTGAGCCCTGTAGACGAGCTCGGTCGGCTTCGAGCGCATCCAGGAGCGCGAACGTGTCCTCTACAGAACGGAGATGTTCAGCGTCAGCTCGGGTATTCTGAACTCAAGATAGCACTGCAGTGGAAACGAGGCCAACATACCGGCTGGTTCGTAGACGGATTCAAAGTCGAGCTTGGAGAGGTGGGACGTCGACGGGGTGGGGATCTATAAGGATGATGAGAGAAGGGTCAGGTTGACCGTGATCAGGTTCAGTAAGCTCAGGTACTTACCATGACTAACTGTTCCTCGGGACCCCTGGAATTATCCGGATCTTGACGATACCGTAAGAGAATGAAAGTGGCTCCGCAACTTGGCGTGCGAAGCCGGCGCAGGTCCCTACCACTTTCTGAGCCAGGTCACGTGCCTTGACGAGCTGAGTGAGTCACCTTCTCCGAGCGAGTCACACTCCAAGAGGACTACTGCCATTTTACTGTTGGGAAAACGATGAATATGTATTCAAAAAAATACATTTTCTTTGATGCTCCATATTCACGATGGCCGCAGCGATGACATGGACCACTGTCGCTGACTAAGCACTGGGTACTGGCAGGCCGGCAGGATCGCCCCCGCCTGTCCCCGCGCTCGACACTTGATCGCGCTTCGCTGCGACTTTCTCTGTTCCTCCCTTCCCACTAGCTCTCATCGCACCACCTCACGCCATCGCCGCTGCCACGCCCATCCACGACTCGAGATGGCTTCGAGCTCGATCGACTTCCGCCCCGACTTCCGACACACTGAATTTTCGATCGAGCCGTACCTCAAACAGCACCTGCGCCTCAAGCTCGACTCGGACTCGACGCTCTGTCAGCCCTTCGCGACGACCGGTACATGTCCTCTCGGAGCATCCTGTCCATTGCGACATGTCAGTGCCGCACCTACCAACTTCCAGCCCCCGCCACCAGTGCCTCAGAATGCGCATGGGAGGACGGTGTGCAAGCATTGGCTCAGGGGCTTGTGCAAGAAGGGCGATCGTTGCGATTTCCTGCACGAGTACCACCTCCGCAAGATGCCCGAGTGCTGGTTCTTTGCCAAGTATGGCTTCTGCTCCAATGGTGACGAGGTCAGTTTTGTGTTGCGCTAGCTCTTGATGGCCTGAGTCGCCTCTAGTCAACCGTGGTCGTGCGATTCCTCGATGCTGACACTGGCTTCTCCACCTTCCACAGTGCATGTATCTCCATGTGACCGACGACATGCGGATACGCGAATGTCCAAACTACCGTAAGGGCTTCTGCAAGCTAGGTGAGCAACTGTTGCTTTCCGCATACCTCGCTCAATTCGCTCGTGCTGACCCTCTCTTTCACTTGCTGTCATCTCTTCCGCACCATTCCTGGATATGAAACTCGAAGGCCCCGAGTGTCCTTTGAAGCACATCCGAAAAGTCGCTTGCCCCGACTACATCGCAGGCTTTTGCAGCAAAGGACCTGATTGTCGCCTCGGACAGTGAGTCGTGACGCTGCTCCTCTTGGCTCGCGTGAATTCGGTATGCTGACTTTCCTGCCGTCGCTTACCTACTTTGAAACCTCACCTTCAGTCCCAAATTTGAGCCCGAGCCTGAACCACCGTCGTCGTCAACACGTATCCCCGACGTTTCGGGAGCTCGTTTCTTACCTGAAGCGACATTCCGTCTGCACCGTAAAGACTGGCTCGACTTTGCCGCCGACCCGAATCACAAGACCAATTTCGGAGGTGGCGGAGGAGGTTATACCAACTACAATCAGCAGGGAGGTGGTGCGGCTGGTGGTGGTGCGGGAGGAAGAACTTTCAGGGACCTTAGGTGAGTGCGCCGTGATTCAAAGTGCTGTGAAGGGGTATAGGTGCTGACTCGATCTGTTTCGGCATTGCATAGCACCGTTGAATGCTTCAAGTGTGGAGAGTTTGGTCATTTCGCCAATCTGTGTCCTAATCCAGCCGTACCGGGCGACCGAGGTGGATTGAGGAAGAGGCACCAGGATCAGAATTGATTGGACGAGTGTGAAACTCTCGAAGATGGGTGAGGCTTGATGTCTTGTAGTATGATTCAATCGTGTTGTAATCCGATACTGTGTAGTAAACTAGGGCATTGTAGGGGCAGAGTGTCCGACGGCAATTAGGCCCTTCGAATGTTCATTAGGCTGTGTGGATTTCGGCCTTACACCACGCTTGAAATTGCGAAGCCACGCGCGAGTCGCACGCTGGGCCGCTCGCCCGCTGCTCTCAGCTTTGTACCCACCCGCACAGTCACACCCACCCGCCGACGACCAATCATGACACTCGAAGTCGTTCCCCCTTCCCGGCCTTCGCACATTGCGACCCTCATCAACGGTGTCGATCGATACAACCCCTCGAGTGAGTATCCGACCACGAGCACGATGAGGACATGAGGACGACGACGCACTCGGGCTCGCAACCTCTCCTCTCCTTCAGCATCCCCGAAAGTGCGATCGTTTTCTGACCCCATGAAGCTCCTCATCACAGACTGCCACTTGTTGGAGGAATACGTGCAGCAACAACTGTCCAACTCGTCGTACGACCTCCTGTCGAACCTCGCGCTGTTGAAGCTGTACCAGTTCAACCCTTCTTTGCTCTCCCCCTCCGCGACGCTCTCGATCCTGTTCCTCTGCCTCGTGCACCGACCGTTCGACCCCGACTTCTCCCTCGCATGGTCCCTCTTGGGTGACTCGTTCGTCGTCGGAGCTTCGCTGCCCCCCGCGCCTTTGGACTCGGATGACGAAGAGGACGAACTGCCCAAGGCCGCAGCGCCTCAAGGCGAGAGGGAAGCCGCGTACAGGTTCAAGCTGTTGAGCCAATACCTCCAAGCGAGGAGGTTCAGACTGTTCTGGTCGAGCATCAGGGGAGCCTCGACCGAGGGGGACAAGGCGACCGAGGTGAACAAGATTTTGGGCGAGATGAAGGAGGCGGCCGAAGGGTGGGAGCGCGTGACGAGGGAACAGATCGCGATCGAGTTGGAGCAAAGCTTCAGGGGGCTGGACCAGAAGACGACCCAGGTGTTTTTGGGATTGCAAGGTCAGTCTCGTAGCCGTCGTGATGGTGGGACTGAAGGCCTTGATGCTTCGAGCTCGCCAATTTCTGTTACCCTCGCTGACTCGTGATCATTTTCTACGGCCTCTTGTCAACTCAGATGGATCGGACGAGTTGAAGGCCATCAAGGAGCAGAGAGGATGGACCGATCAGGGCAAGGAACTGAAGTTCCCTAAAAACGACGGCAACTCGCCGACATCGACCGTTACCAACGAAAAGATCACCATTGACCGTGAGTCGAGGGCAGAATCGCCATGATGCTGTCTCCGAGTCGAGAGTCTCCTTCCATGTGAACTCGTGCTGACCAGTCTGCTTGCCTCGAACAGAACTCTCGCGTCTCTTGGGGCGAACACAAGCCTAGACGAAGTCGGATGGTGCGACCGGCTATAAGAGGGAAGATTCTTCATTGACGTGTTCGTGTTGGCCATAGATATCTGTGAGGTGGTGGAATATTACAGTGTCTTGTCGAAAGCCATTTGATGCGCAGCCCTATGCACTCGTGTGCTATTAGAACCCAACAGAGTCCCGAGAGGAGAGTGCATGGCCTAACCTCCTTATTCGCTCTGAGAAGTGTTTCTTGGGCGTGACACGCTCCGGGCCTTGTAAGGCCTGAGTAAACCTCGCGCCGCCAGCTCCCCAGCTCGCGCCGAGGGCTGCCGAGGGCCCCGCCGGGCGCCGCTCGAGGTTACCTTTGATTGCTTGCGCTTCGTGTGCTGCTGCGTGTCGATCGCGACTCGAAAAAACGTTAGGGTCATCCTCTGCGGGTGTTGACCACTACACGACACGAGATGGACTCGCTTCGGACGCGTAAAGGAGCCGCCGTTGCTGCTGCTGCAGCCACCGGCGACACGCAGCACTCGGCGCACCAGCACTCGGCGCACCAGCACCCGCCGTCTCAGCACCAGCGGCACCATCACCAGGCCTCCGCCGCAGCATCCTCGACCGGCGCGCCGTCACAAGCCTTGCATGGCAACGGCGGATCGTCAGCTTACTATTCTGCACCGGCGGCGGGTCCGTCATTGATCCCAAAGGTCGATTTTTCAGCCACGAGCTCGAAGCCTCTATCGTTGACCAAGAGAGAATCGAGATCGAGTTCACCCAAAGGCTCGCTCAAGGATGGGAAACGCCCGTCGCCGAGGAACACCGTCTGGGATCGGATGGGAGGGGGCTTCAATCTCGGGCCGGGGGAAGGAAGACTTCTGTTGGGTTTGTTTTTGTTGGGCTCGGTTGTGAGGCTGTACAAGATTGGGAGACCTAGCTCCGTCGTGTGAGTGCTGGCACCCGTTTCGAGGTCGTATCGGAACGCGTGGAGTCCGAAGCCTGACACGTTCAATCAATCATTCGTGGCTCGCAGATTCGACGAGGTTCATTTCGGAGGGTAAGCCCGGCGTTGGTCAATAAACGTGGCTAATTTCAGGTCAATGCTAATCTTTCCACTCCATTGTGCTCTACAGATTCGCCAACAAGTGAGCTCATCATTGCAGTTCGCGGGCGGCGGTGGGTATTGCCGGGGAAGCTCACACATGGCCGTTCGCAATCGCAGATACATCCAATCGCGATTCTTCATGGACGTGCATCCACCGCTGGCCAAACTTCTCATCGCGTTGATGGCATACATAGGCGGCTTCCAGGGCGGATCCTTCGATTTCAAGGAAATCGGTCAGTCATCCACCCCCCCTGGAAACGACCCAGCGGTGCTCCAACTCCATTGGGAACGCTGACCACGAGCGGACACACACAATCCAGGTCGCGAATACGGACCCGAACACGTTCCTTATGTCCTGATGCGGCTACTCCCGGCTGTACTTGGCCTTTTCGTCATTCCCATCGCTTACCTCACGCTGCGTGGACTGCAGACGCGACCTACGACCGCTCTCCTCGGCGCTCTCTTCATCACCTTCGAGAACGGTCTCATCACCCAATCTCGCTTCATCCTCCTCGATTCACCCCTCATCTTCTTTACCGCACTTTCGACGCTGTTTTGGGTCGGCTTTTCGAACGAGAATGAGGTGCCTAGGGATCGAGCAGGCCGAGTGGGACCGTTCAGTCGACGATGGTGGATTTGGCTCACCTTGACCGGTCTCGCCTTGGGCGCGGTACTCAGTTGCAAATGGGTCGGTCTCTTCACCATCGCCACTATCGGTATTTTGACGATTCTGCAGCTGTGGACCTTATTGGGCGATCTTCGAGTGCCGATCCCTTTGCTGGTACGCCATTTTGTCGCCCGAGCACTGTGCTTAATCGCGATCCCGATCGTGTTCTACATGGCCATGTTCAAGATCCATTTCGCCATCTTGTCCAACTCGGGTGAAGGCGACGGCTTTATGTCGAGCGAGTTTCAACATACTTTGCGTGGCCACAGAATGGAAGATACATTTGCAGGTACGTCCACGTCTCGGCACCCAGCCTATTGTCAACGCACTGAGCTGACATTCGGCCGTTGAGTAGATGTCATGATTGGATCCACCGTCACGCTACGCCATTTACGCACTCAAGGCGGCTATTTGCATTCGCATCCGTCCAACTACCCTGGAGGCAGCAAGCGTGAGTCGAGATTTCACCGGTTGTCAAGCATCAAACACCAACTGAGATTGCCATCTATATTCACATTATATAGAGCAACAAATCACGCTTTACCCCCATCGCGACGAGAACAACAACTGGCTTGTGCTCAACTCAACGGCCGATCCTGAACGACCGGATCCGCAAAACGATTCGCCTCCCCGTCCTCTCCAAGATCGCGACATCATCGTCTTGCACCATGTTTCGACGAACAAGAAGCTGCATTCCCACGACATCCGACCTCCCATCAGCGAGGTCGACTACCAGAACGAAGTGTCGGCCTATGGCTTTGAGGGCTTTGACGGCGACGCGAACGACCACTTCAGCGTCGAGATCGACCAAACGGAGACGGATACAAAGCACGGCGGTCGGGACGCAAAGAAGCGCGTGCAAACGCTGCGAACCAGGTTCCGCCTGCGTCATCTCTTGACCGGATGCTATCTCTTCTCGCACAAGGTCAAGCTGCCCGAATGGGGTTTTGAGCAACAGGAAGTGACGTGCAACAAGAATCCGTCGCATGACAATGCCTTGTGGTACATCGAGACGAACGAACATGCCGCGTGTTAGTTATTATGCGCCGATTCGCGCATCACTTGGCCCCCTGCTGACCGAGTCCATTCGTTTCGACAGTGCCCTCGACCTCGCCCAAGGTCAACTATCGTCTACCAGGTTTCTTCAGCAAGTTCTTCGAGCTGCAAAAGGTTATGTGGCTCACCAACGCTGGGTTGACCGATCGGCACGCGTACGACTCAAGGCCCCATTCGTGGCCACTACTTCGTCGTGGTATCAACTTGTAGGTTTCCGAGCATCCGAGCTTTGCAATGTCCGAAGTTCGACGCTTATGCCGGGTGGGTTGAACACTGCAGCTGGGTCAAGGATCACCGCCAGATCTACCTCATCGGAAACCCTTTCGTATGGTATCTCGCCACGTTTTCAGTGCTGGCGTATTTTGGCATCCGCGGCATGCTCATCTTGCGATGGCAGCGCGGCTACAAGGATTTTGCCCACTGTAAGTCCCAGGAATGTCGTGCTCCACCCATTATGCTTGCAACTGACGACATTTTCTCTTGTCAATGATGCAGCTCAAGTCGTCTTCTACGATGGAGTTTGCGGATTCCTGACGCTCGGCTGGTTCCTGCACTTCGTCCCTTTCTTCTTGATGTCGCGCCAACTGTTCCTGCACCACTACTTCCCTGCGCTCTACTTCTCTGTACGCAAACAAGCATACGCTCGCTCCGAACCTGTGTTGAGGCTGACCTGTATCCCTAAACCATCCAACACAGATTCTTCTTTCGGCATCCGTCTTTGACCTGGCCACCTCGTTCCTCAAGCCCAAGTTCCGCCTCCAAGCGCTCGTAATTTTCGCCCTCGGAGCCATGGCGACGTATTGGTACTTCTCTCCTCTAACCTATGCTGGTGTATGGACGCGCGAGCAGTGCATGCGGGCTCAGTGGCGCTCCCATTGGGACTTCTCGTGCGACGACTTCCTCAGCAACGAAGCACTCAAGAAGCAGGCGCACGTCGAAGGGGATGTTGCGGTCACAACGGGGATAAGCACGACCGCTGTTGTGAACGAGCTCTTGCCGGGGAGGAATGCTTTCGGGGAGGATATGATTAAAGGTGAGAGCAGGCTGTAGATAACCAAGTTGGGACAGCGGACTGACCCCGGCCTATTCGCCCACTCGCCTCCCAGCCCCGGTCTCGTCCATCATCCCGAACGATCCTCTTGCCACCCCGGCGGCGGCGGTGCCGGGCCCTGACGACCCTTCGACGACTATCATTCCTGAAGATCGACCCGAGGCAATGGTTCTTCCTCCCGCGGCACAGCAAGAGACGGACCTCGTACCACCTCCTGCCCGAGCGGCGGCAGGCGAGAACGCGGCTCCCGTTGGCCCCAAGGATGAGGCGGGGGAGAAGCTCGAGGCCGTAAAGGAGATGGCTAGAAATGCTGAGGAACGGTTTGAAGACGAACAAAAAGCGAGACAGGTGAGGCAGGCTGAGGCTCGGGAAGAGGAAATCGAGGAATATCGGAAGGAGGCGAAAAATGAGCCTCTGAAGATTCGGGAACGAGTTGAGCCCAAGCCGAAGCCGAAGCCGGTCCCTGTTAAGGCGCCAGCAAAGAAAATCGTCATTGACGCGGATGACGATGGCGAAGAAGAAGAGGCCGAGGTGGACGCATATGTCAGGAAACTTCGTGCGCAACGAAAGTACACCGAGGACGACGAGGAGGACGATGATGACGAGGAGGACGATGATGACGACGAGGACGACTTTAACATCAAGAACGTCGGGAAGCCGAAGCTGGATGAGGATCTGCCAGAACTGGGTTGAAAGAGGTTATTTGAGCCCCTGACTCTCTATCGCTTTGTTTGTAGCTTGCTCTGACGCATCATCATGTGAAGTATATCTTCGTCTCACGTATAAAACATGGTGCGTTATAGCATGAACTCTGTGATACTCTCACTCATGCTTACTCTAGCACATTCGTCATTCTCGGGTCCGGGGTTCGGGTATTCGATACATGGCACTCGGGAAATTTGAGCATGCGTCTATTTCCATTTTCGGGTCGGTGCAGCAAAGTAGTTAAAGGGACACTCGTCTTTGACAAACTCTTTTTTTTTTATCTGGCTAGGTACCAAAAGGTCAGCCTGGTGTGACTTGTGTCCCATGGCACCAATGGAATGCATTCCGACTCGTTCGGAATTCCGAGAGGGTCCGGGCGCGGCGGCGGACGGGCTCGACAAAAATAGAAGACGTGCCGGCCCGCCTTGCGTGCATGTTCTTCGGCATCACCTCGCTTCTATCAGCAGTGAATCCATGTCATTCTTCGTTCTGCTCCATACCCGTCGACGGCTCGGCGACAATGACACCTACAGCCAACGCGCTTCCACCTGTGCTACTACCACCCGGGATCGAGGACCGACCTGACCTCATCTCTGATGTCGATCGAGCCGCCCACGAACACACTGCTCCCGATGTTGCGGACTCGGGCACCGCGGTATCCGTCGCTCGCCAGTCCGAATCATCCTCGTCGCTGAGTGGGGACGCAGCAGGGGAGAAGAGCTCCTACGTCAACGAAGCGGTTGAGAAGGAGCGTCGAACTGTTGAAGCTGTCAATGACCGGGGGGTCGCACGACGGGAGGAACTGAGTAGTCAGGGGGCTGACGACGATGTCATCCCAGCTTTGAGCCAAGTCAAATCGCGCTGGTAAGTGGAGGCGCCTCCATCGCCGTGTGGTGGCCTCGACTGCGCGACTCTTTCGGTATCGCGCGAAGGGAAGAGGTATCCAGTGCATCTGAATCGTTTCGAAAAATGGTGTTGACTTTCCAGGACCATATTTGATCCTTTCAACCGTCGCCCTGTACAACCTCCGCCAAAAACGATGGACGATGCGACGACATTGGCGCTGGCAAACGCCAATTGGCTTTCGGTCATGACTTTTGGTGAGCACGAACGAAGGAGTTTCGGCGTAAAGGGTTGAACAGGCAAAACTTCTAACATGATATCTCTTTGGTTCGACAGCTTGGATACAACCTCTGCTTGTACTTGGGTACAAAAGAGAACTGGCGGTGACCGATTTGCCGAAAATGGACGAGACCCGTGAAGCCGCCTTGCTCGCCGATCGCTTCCTTGAACACTTCGAGCGACGCAAAAATAAGGTTGAGGCTTGGAATTCTGCATTGGAGGATGGGTCGTATACGCCGGGCCGATTGCAGAATATGCGGTGGCGCCTCTGGCATCGCATGTCGGGGTTCGGGTCGCCCGACGGGAAGCAAAAGATTGGGCTCGCCTGGGCACTCAGCGACGTCTTTTTCTGGGAGTTCTGGTCCGCCGGTTTGTTCAAAGTCGTTGGAGATCTCGCACAAGTGACATCACCGCTGGTGACGAAACAGATCATCCACTATGTCACACAAGCCCATCAGGCCGCCGCCGGCGTCCAAGGCGTCGAGATGCCTAGCATCGGCCGTGGAGTTGGGCTCGCGATTGGGCTCTTCTTCATGCAGCTCGTCTACTCGGTGTGCACGGCCCAGACGTTCTCGCGTGGTGGTCAAGTTGGTGTCCTGGCTCGTGGAGCCCTGATCGCTGCAACCTATCGTCGGTCGATCGTGCTGTCCGGCCGGGCAAGACAGGATCTCAACAACTCCAAGCTCGTCTCGCTCATCTCGGCCGATATCTCCCGCATCGACTTTGCATCGAGTTTCTTCCACTTCAGTTGGACCTGCATCTTCCAGCTCATCGAGGTCATTGTAATTCTCTTAGTTACTATTGGGGTGTCTTCATTGGCGGGATTTGCCTTGGTGGCTGCGGCAATGCCTCTCCAGACGTTCGCAGTTCGACAGCTGTTCAAGGGCCGACAGGAGTCAATGAAGTTCACCGACGCTCGCATCAAGTCTATTTCCGAACTGCTGATCGGCATCAAAATCGTCAAGCTGTTCAACTGGGAGCGCCCCACGGTCGACCGCGTCCATGAGATCCGAAGGAAGGAACTCGGGGGGATTCGAAAACTCCTCACGATCCGCGCCGCGAACCTTGCGATCGCCATGTCGATCCCGACACTCGCGTCCATCATCGTCTTCGCCGTCTACGCCGCGACAGGTCATTCGCAAAACCCGGCTGAAATTTGGACAAGTTTGAGTCTGTTGAATCTGTTGAGAATGCCGATGATGCTGTTACCAAACTCGCTCAGCACGATCGCGGACGCCAACTCGGCTCTCAAGCGGGTAAGTCTACTTGTTAGTACAGAGGAACGGACGAAGGCGGCTGATATGCTTTGTTCCCCTTTCTCAGCTCACACCCGTCTTCACGGCTGAGACGTTGCCCGAGGCATACACGGTGTCCGAGGAGTCAAAGACAGCGTTGACGGTGAAGGACGCTGACTTTGAGTGGGAATCCGCGACACCCCCATCCAAGAACGACGACAAAAAGAAAAAAGAAAAGGAACAGGCGTCGCCTTCGCCGACCGTGAGCCCGAAGCCGGCCGATACCGAGAAGCTTGACCCGATTGTCGAGGAAGCCTCGGCCCCTCCGAGTCGCGTGCATGACATTTCGTTTGACGTGCCGCGGGGTCAATTTCTCTGCGTCGTTGGGCCTGTCGGCTCTGGCAAGAGCTCGCTCTTGCAAGGTCTTCTCGGCGAAATGCGAAAGACTCGCGGTCAGGTCGCGTGGGGTGGTTCGGTCAGCTACTGCGCTCAAACGGCATGGGCCCAAAATCAAACTCTGCGCGAGAACATCCTCTTTGGGCGCCCGTTCGACGAGACACGATACTGGGAATGCGTCCGAGCTGCTTGTCTACTGGCCGATTTCGACATGCTTCCGTCGGGCGATCTGACCGAAATCGGCGAGAAAGGTGTCTCGCTCTCCGGAGGCCAGCGTCAGCGCGTTTCCATCGCCCGCACTCTCTACTTCGACGCAGACATAGTCTTGCTGGACGATCCCTTATCGGCAGTGGATGCTCACGTCGGCGCATGGCTCTTTGAACAAGTCATCAACGGGGTGTTGAAAAGCAAGACGCGGATCCTTGTGACACATGCGCTGCATGTCTTGCCCCATGCCGATCAAATCCTCGTGATGGAGCAAGGCTCGATCGCCGAGAAGGGCACCTACACCGAGCTGTTAGCCGCCGACGGAGCCTTTGCCCGACTTGTGCGCGATTTTGGAAGCACCGAGGGCAACAGCCTCGATCAAGATGACGCCACCTTGGATGAGAAGAGTGACGCGGACTCGGATCGGAGCAACAACGCCAATGGGAAGGGGGCTGGTGCGGCGGCAAAACCAACTACGGGCAAGGCCATGATGCAGATCGAAGAGAGGATGTCGGGTGGCATCTCAAAGTCAACCTATCGCGAATTCCTCCGAGCATCCAACGGAGCTATCACCGCCCCACTGCTGGTCATCTCCCTTTTTTTGATGAGCGCGATGACCGTTTTGACCAATCTGTCATTGACATGGTGGCAGGAGGAAAAGTTTGGCCAGCGATCTCAAGCGTTTTACTCGGGCCTCTACGCCCTGCTCGGAGTCTTGTCGGCCATCGCAACCTTCGCGATGGGTGTTGCATCGGTCGTGCTCGGAACTGAAGCGTCGATCTCGTTACATCGCTCAGCTCTCAACCGTGTTGTTCGTGCTCCCATGTCGTTCTACGACACGACACCTCTCGGCCGAATCCTCAACCGTCTTGGAAAGGACATCGACTCGGTCGACAATCGTCTCAACGACGCGCTGCGCATGACGCTCGCGACGTTTGCTCAGATTGGGGCCTCGGTCATCATGATTGCTATCGTCTTCCCCTACTTCCTGCTCCCCGTCGCTGTTGTTCTTGCCGCATATGTATATCTCTCGCACTTCTATCGCCAGTCCGCTCGGGAAATCAAGCGTCACGACAACATCTTGCGCTCTAGTCTGTACTCGTGGTTCTCCGAATCACTTGCGGGCATGAGCACCATCCGAGCATTTGGCGAGGGCGAGCGTTTCGTCCACGGACTGGAGAAGCTCATTGACCTAGAGAACCGAGCCTATTACCTTACGGTCGTCAATCAGCGCTGGCTCGCTATCCGCCTCGACTTTCTGGGTGCGATCCTTACGATCGTCGTTTCGATTGTGGCGGTGGCGAGGCGTACGTCCATCTCTCCTGCCAGCATCGGTCTTGCACTCTCCGTTGTCTTGGCCGTCCAGCAAGCGCTTTCGATGGTCATCCGCCAGTCTGCCGAGGTCGAGAATAACATGGCGAGTGTGGAGCGACTGGTCCACTACCAGAACTCGTTGGAGCAAGAAGCCGCAGCCGACATCCCCGAAACGGCCCCCGATAAGTCATGGCCCCAGCAAGGTCAGATCGAATTCAAGCAGGTTGAAATGGCGTATCGACCCGAACTTCCACCCGTTCTGCACGGCGTCTCATTCATCATCCGGCCGGGTGAAAAGGTGGGAATCGTGGGGCGAACAGGGTCGGGTAAGAGTTCGATCGTGATGAGCTTGTTCCGGATGGTGGAACTGAGTTCGGGCCAGATCATCGTCGATGGCGAGGACATTTCGAAACTCGGACTCGACCAACTTAGATCCAAACTCGCCATCATTCCCCAAGAAGCAGTCTTGTTCAACGGCACGCTTCGGTCGAACTTGGACCCATTCGGAATTTATGAGGATCAGGCGTTGTGGGATGCGCTAAGACGCGCTTGGCTGGTCGATCAAGGCAATATTTTAAGTGAGAGCCGCCAAACGAGCCGGTTTACACTGGATACTGTCGTAGAGGACGAGGGTTTAAATATGTCCGTCGGAGAGCGGAGTCTCGTAGCGCTTGCACGCGCTCTGATCCGGGACTCTCGCATCGTGGTGCTTGACGAGGCGACTTCATCCGTTGATATCGAGACGGACCAAAAGGTCCAATCTACGATCATGAAGGAGTTTGTGGACAAGACAGTGAGTTTTCGTCCCTGACCTATTGTCGTCGGGGCAGTTACTGACAATAAGCTTTTCTGTTGGGCCGCAGTTGATCGTTATCGCGCACCGCATCAACACCATCATCTCGTATGATCGAGTCCTAGTGCTCGACAAAGGCACTGTCGTCGCATTCGATACCCCAGCGGCTCTCTTCGAAGCGGGAGGCATATTCAATGTAAGAGCAGGCATAGTCAGCACGACTGCTACCCATTCGCACGGTGGCTGACCAAAATGGTTCAAGTTGGTTACTTGCAGGGGCTTTGTGTACAGTCGAGGATCACATTGGAGGACATTCGAACCGCTAGATTGTCAAGATAAAACTCCTGTTGTATGTTAACTCCTGTTGTACGTTGCATATTGCACGCTTCATTTGAAACACCAGCGCGTCGAAGGCACCGCGTGGCATGAAGCCCCTGTCTTTGGAGGACAAAGGGCGATGCCAGGGTATCGTCATAGCAGCGACCGAGCATAGCAAAAAGAACGTGGCATCGGCACCGATCGGGGCAGCAGAGCGCAAACCGTTCCTCAGGCTGTGCTGCCATACTGCGCCTTTTGCTTGTACATCAAGTCAAACGCGTACCCCAGACCGCGATCACGCGCGTGCGAGCCCGGCGGAGATGATCGATGATGGCCTCCGGTGCGCGCTCGCCGCGCGCCTGTGCAGCAGACGAACAAGCCTTCGCAAGTTCGCAGCACAGGCGATCTGCGGAGCTGAGCGTGGCAGTGGCTTGAGCTTTCGCCGTTCCGCAGATCTTACCCTCGTCGTCGTCGTCGCGACTCTTTAGACATGGCAGATGTGAGTAAGGATGTTACCGAACACCGAATCCAGCCACTGACCCCCGTGATTATTCCTTGCGCAGACGGCGTTCACCCAGTCGCTGCATGCGACGCTCGAGCAATCCGTCGCGCCTGACACGGCCGTCATCAAAGCCGTCAGTCGTTGCAGTTCGGCTCAGCTAAGCTCATCCCAGCCCATCCCAGCTCAGCCTAGCCCGGCTCTACGCGTCCCCCGAGGCCGAGCTCACACAGAATAACTGTTCTTGAACAGGCTACTGTCACACTCAACAAGCAGTTCTACACCAACGCGGCGTGCGTGCCCGCGCTATTCGAGATCGCCAGCTCCAGTCCCAACTCGGCGGTGAGTGGTGTGCTGCCCGTCGATGCGCCCGCTCCTGCTTCTCCGGAACACCTTCGGCCACGTTCCAGCACCTAGGTTGATCGCAATACTGCGGTCTGGGTCGGACTGGAGAAAGGGGAATCATCCCGGGCGATGGTTCGCGCTGGGACCCGTGCTGCCCTCGCTGGCTCTCGCAAGCAGTCTCCGACCTCGTGGCATCCTTCGCTTCCCCAAAAATAGCTCCTGTTCACGTGTACCTTATGCGCCCGACTAGCTCGATCCACGACATTCATCGATGAGATCTGACTTCCTATGTACAGCTGGCTCACTCGTTCCCTGGACGCTCTCCTACAGATCCGACAATTGGCTTTGGTCGAACTTCGCAAGAGGATCATCTTCAAGAAGTCGAAGCAGTACCTCGCGCACCCTCAACAATTGCGCACGGCTCTCAAGGCGCGACTATTGGAACTCGTCCTAAGTGACATCACGTGCGTTCACCCATCCATTCAACCACGGCCGGCACGTTCGGCGCTAGGTGGCTGCCGAGGTCGAAATGTGCGCAAATTGACCCGAACGCGCTATAATACCACAGTGGTCAAACACGAGCGGCCGCTATCCGTGTCATCGCCGCTATCGCTTCGGTTGAGATCGACAAGAACACCTGGCCCGAACTTCTTCCTTGGTTATGGCAAGGCGCATCCGATGCCGACAAGACTTGCCGAGAGGTGTCGAGCCAGTCGATCAACGTTCTGCTCGACCACATCGCAGTCGCCAAGACGAGCAGCAGTCCTTCGGGCAACTACATTCCGCTCTTGATGGAGTTGTTCAGCAAAACTTTGGTCGACTCGGAAAGTCTGACGGTCCGCGTCTGGACCGTTCGATCGCTCGGGCGACTTGCCGAGTACATCGAGAAATCCGATGAGGTCGAAACTGCTGCCTTTCAATCGCTCGTTCCTGGCATCGTCGGTGTCTTGTCGCAGACGCTCGAGGCTGGCGATGAGACGGCGGTGAAGGAAGGGTTCGAGGTTGTCGAAGGGCTCATGCTTGCCGAGGCTCCTCTCGTCACACCGCATTTGGCCGCCTTAGTGCAATTCCTCCTTTCCGCGTCGGCGAACCGAGCCTACGACGATGAGCTGCGCATCATGGCCCTCAACGCCCTCATGTGGACCATCAAGCTCAAGAAGGCCAAAATTCAGTCGCTCAACCTCGCCGGCGCGATCGTCACCGCCCTTCTTCCCGTCGGTGCCGAGCCCGAGCCGACCGATGCCGATGATGACAGCCCGGCCCGCGTCGCCTTCCGAGTCATCGACACCCTCGCCACCTCACTTCCCCCGACCCAGGTCTTCCCTCCCCTGTTTGAGTCTGTCCGCCACTTTGCCGCCTCGCCCGACCCCTTATTTCGCAAATCCGCCATCACCGCCTTCGGAGTCGTCGTCGAGGGCTGCTCGCTCTTCATCCAGCCTCACTTGGAGCAACTCTGGCCCCTCATCTTTTCCGGTCTGGCCGACTCGGAGGTCATCGTTCGCAAGGCTTCGTGTAACGCTCTCGGGTGCCTGTGCGAGATGCTGGACGAGGAGTGCGCGCAACAGCACGCCGTTTTGTTGCCGATGATTGCCAAGCTTATGTCGGATCCCGAGACCCAGCGTTCGGCCTGCACGGCGCTTGACTGCTTGCTCGAGGTGCTCGGCCCCGATATCGAGCCCTACATCCCCAGTCTCATGGATTCGCTGATCAACCTGCTCGATACGGCCTCGCTCGAACTCAAGGGCACGGTTGTTGGTGCGATCGGATCGGCCGCGCATGCTTCCAAGGCCAAGTTCGCGCCTTACTTTAGCGCGGCGATGCAGAGGATTGTCACGTTCTTGTCGTTGACGGAGGAGGGCGAGGAGCTGCAGCTCCGCGGTGTCGCTCAGGACACGGTCGGTACGCTCGCCGAATCGGTCGGTAAAGAGCTCTTCCGACCTTACTACGCTCCCTTGATGCAAATATCGATCGAGGCCATGGCCGTCCCGAACGCACCCACACTGAAGGAGTGCTCGTACATCTTCTGGGCCGTTCTGTCACGCGTCTACGGCGAAGAGTTCCAGACGTACCTCCCGACGATCATGCCCCTGTTGCTCGGTGCCGTTGGGCAGGCGGAGGTCGATGAGCAAACCCTCCTCGGCATGGGGCTCGGCTCGAACGACTTTGGAACGGGTGCTGATGGTGACGACGACGATGGTGATGACGGGTTCGAGGACATCGACGAGGATATCAACTCGGACGACGATGAAGCTCTTTTCAGCGCCACGACGGCGATCGCTTTGGAGAAGGAGATCGCGGCCGACTCGATCACCGAGCTCTTCAGCAACATCAAAACACCCTTCCTGCCCTACGTCGAGAAGACGGTCGAGGCCTTGATGCCCGGCCTCCAGCACGAATGGCACGAAGGCATCCGAAAGAGCAGCGCTTCGGCCTTGCTCGGCTTTATTGTGACCTTCCATGCGATGACGGGCGGACCGAAGTGGCAAAAGGGGACAGCTGGCGCTACACTCGGAGCCAACGTTTCGCAGCTCGCCAATGCCGTTCTGCCCCCGATCTTTGAGATGTGGGAAGAAGAAGAGGAGAGGGACGTCGTCAACGAGCTATGCAACGCCGTCTCAGCCGCACTTTTGGCCGTCGGCCCTGCGTTGATCTACCCGCAGTACGTCGAGACGCTGGCGCAACATCTTGACCTGATCCTCAAGCGGCAGGCACCGTGTCAGATCTCAGATGAGGATGACGAGCATGGGGTTGCGGCGGGCGAGCAATCGGAGTACGATGCTCAGCTCATTGGCTCGGCCAGCGATCTCGTCGGCACACTCGCTTCGGTTCTCGGTCACGACTTTGCCCAACTCTTCAATACCTTCTTGCCCAGTATGGCGCAATACTACGACCTCGAGCGAGCAACGGGCGATAGGTCGACGACAATTGGCTCGTTGGCTGAGATCGTTAACGGCATGGACTCGTCGGTCACACCATGGACCGAGACTCTCTTCCAGCTCTTTGTCCGTGCCCTGTCCGACCCCGAAGCCGAGGTTCAGAGCAACGCCGCATTCGCTCTTGGTTCGCTCCTGTACCAAACGCAGCAAGACATGTCGGCACAGTACCTCACCGTTCTCGGCGCGTTGCAGCCCCTCTTTGCGCCGACGAGTGATGCGGTCAAGATGGAATCGGCTCGGGATAACGCCATGGGCGCCGTCGCACGCATGATCCTGAAGAACCAGGCCGCCGTGCCGCTCGACCAGGTCTTGCCGATCTTCTTGCAAAACTTGCCGCTCAAGCGCGACTTTGCCGAGTCGGAAATGACTGTGAGCACCTTCATCTCAAGGTATCCCGGTGCAATGCTTGTACTAATGCACACTCTTTGATCTTCTTCCGCCTAGTTCAACGCCATCTTCGCGCTCATGCAGTCCCAGAACCCGCTCGTCTTGCAGAACATCGACCACTTGCTCACGGTCTTCCAGCAAGCCCTTGCATCGTGCGCCGAGGGCTACCGACCGACGAACGACGATGCTCAGTTAGATGAGCCGACATATCAACGAACCATCGAGATCGCCAAGGCAGTCAACGTCAGCTATCCCGAAAAGATTGCCGCCGCTGGTTAGTCGACAGCCCGGAGACCGATGCTACCTAACAAAGTGCTGATTCCGCTTTCCTTTGCACTCTTATTCGATAGGTCTCACGTCTTATGTCGCGTAATGAGGTGTCTCTTCTCTTTGGTGCGCAGCCTTCCATTTAGATAACGTGTTCAACTTGGGCACTACGACCTCAACCGGCCCACGTTTTGGAAACTCTTTCTGTTCCATACCCCCCACCCCTTTTCAGAGTTGCGGCATGGCTACTTTCTCTCACGTTCATTTTTTCTCGTTGATTTTTACTCGTAATCAATTGTTTTTGCACCTAGTCCTTTTAGTCCAGAATGATTTGAGGTGGAAGTGTCGCTGATGTCCGGCCTACCTACCTACTTGTTACGTGTCACCTGGCCTCATTTAGGGTCGGAAGCCGTCCGCGTCACACATCCCCAAATTACCTGCGCCGCCGTGCGGGTCGGCGATCGGAGACATCGACCATGGGCGCGGTCGATGACGTATGCGGCGCTAGGGGGGAACGCCTTTGCTCGACCACTGCGGCACCTTTTTTTTTCTTCCTTCCCCCCACTGACCATTTGATCCCAACTCAAAAGCAACCCCCCAGCCCCAATCACCCACTTTCAACTTACTCAATCATGTCGTCCATCTCTCACGCCGAAGCTCACCAGGAAGGTTCCGAGAACCAGCCCACGCGATTCGAGGAAGGCAAGGAAGGCGCCCACGACTTGCTCGACAAGACCGATGAGCGATCCATCGCCAACAAGGTTCGTCCTTGATCTATCTCTCTCATCCTGACGTCACGCGAGGGGACCCGTCTTACTCGACGGAGTTTCTCTTTTCCTCAGCTCGCCGCTGCCGCCCAGAAGGAAAAGGAAGAGAAGGACGCCGACGCCGACAAGCCCATGCCCACTGAGATTGCCAGGTACGTTGAAAGTTTCATTCAAATCCTTTTTCACCCGAGACCAAAGAGATTCATCATTTTTTTTCAATACCTCTTGATAATCAGGTCCCACGGCAACGAGCCCTCGCGAGGAGCGTAAGTTGACGGATGACAGTTAAAGTTGGGGCTGCCATATAGCCCACACCGCTTAGCGCTGAGCATTATTTTGATTCCTTTCCATATATGCAGTAAGATCGACGAGCAAATTATACTTGAAGAGCAGGCCGAGCTCGAGCGGTCAGTCTTTTCTAGTTTCGTTCAAGTCGATTTAACGACTGAATAAAAGAAACCCTTTGTCCTCGCGCTTGCAGAAAGGGCAAGGCATGAATGGTGTCGTCACATACCACGCGCGGATTGCGAGCAATCTTTGCCCGTAACAATCCATGTGAATGAAATTCAGCTATACTTGTAATCGCTCTCGCTCGTCCACTGCCTCCTCGGGCGTGGGATCGTATCAAGCCGATTTTGCTGTCATCGCTACGGCTAATTGCCCGGATCCATCAGCCGACGGTGACCCCGCGCGAGAGGAGCCACACCTGTTCGCTGCCGGGTTTGGCAAAATGACGGTCGCGAATTGCCGCTTTGTGTCGTAACATCAAGCCAGGGCGAAAGCACATAACGAAGCTCAACAGGAAGATATAGTACACCTTACGCGCTTTAAACCGGACCACCAGTGGTGGTTCAAACCCAAACTTGAGGTGCCTACGTCTGGGGGCGATATCACGTCACGTCGGGAAGCGTCTGACGTCTGTGGGGCCGCCTGATTCAGCCTGCCCCCTAACTTCTCCGGACATCACTTTCTCCTGTGTCCATTCCGGCGGTCGGGCGAGCAGCGGAACTTCGTCTTATTACAAGAAAGTGACACTTTTTTGGTCTGAAAGTGGACATCGGATGGTGATGACCCTCAGGTAGTACCTGTTGCAGCGTTCGGCAGCTACGTCGAGTCTTGGCTCTCGCTCTGCCCCTGCTTCCTTGCACCCGCCGCAGCTTGTGCTCAAGCCCTTCACGAGTTTGACACTATCTTTTCCATTCAACTTGCATCTCGATGATGTGGGCTCGCTTTTCCGCCAGCTTGGTGACGGTGACATGTGCGGCTCTTGCAAGCGCAGCCGACCCATTCTCAAGGTCGACCATCAGGCATTCCCGCAGCCATTCTCACCTGCCGGACACGTACATCCTGGAAGCAGAATGTCCCAATGCCTCAATCCTCCCGGAAGGCTCACCCCGAGTAAGTTACGCTCTAGCTACACGCTCGTGCGAGCCCGAAACGGTTCTGGCTGCTTTAAGCCAAAGCCGAGCGCCTCTTTCAGAACTGAACCGAAGCATTCATAGACTTCCGGGGCAAACATGGACAATCTGGTCACAGAAGTATTGGCTGTCTTTCCGGATGCTCGCCCACGGCATGTATACGATAGCGATCTCTTTTGCGGTCTGAGCGTGGAACTTGGCGCCGACAGTCTTCACACTCAACTACTTAAGATTCACAGAGTGAAGGTGAATACGTTCGCACAGATTATTTAGACCTCTCCCAGGATCTCACTCATTCTCTAAATGTATATAGAGTGTCTTTCCTGTCCGATCGATCCAGCTGGGATTCAGAACAGCGGGCAGCGCGGACACTCCTTTCCAGGCGGAAGCGGGTCTCAACGTCGTGCCACGGACTGAGACGCGCGGTGAAAGCGATTATTTCTCGTCCCACGGTATGTTGGAAGTAGACAAGATGCACGAAATGGGCCTATTCGGTAGTCGCGAAACTTTGGCCTGCGTCATCGACAGCGGTCAGTCAGCGACGACGATTTTTCAGCAGACGGCCGGGAAGCACTGAGCCACAATCTCCTCTAGGAATCGACCTCATGCATCCACTGTTGGGGAATGGATGCTTCGGCTCCAACTGCAAAGTGGTGACCGGTTACGACTTCGTTGGGGACGACGGTCACTCTCCCAAGCGATCGCCTCAAACGTCTTGTAGCGATCACGGTACACACATTGCCGGTATCCTCGCGGCCGACAAATCCAAGGCATTCGGTTTCTCTGGAGTGGCACCAAACGCTTCCCTCGGTGTCTACCGAGTGTTCTCGTGCAAAGGCGCAGCTTCCTCGGACACGTTTCTCAAGGCTATGCTCACGGCGGCAGACGATGGCTGTCGAGTACTTTCTCTCTCCTTTGGCAGGGCTTTGGGATGGGATCAGGACGACGAGGACGATCCGTTCCGAAAGGTGGTTTCGAGGCTCGCAAATCGAGGAGTGTTCATTGCCGCTGCTTCCGGAAATGACGGAAGTCAAGGTCTCATGTTTGCTCAAGCACCTGCCGATCTTGCCGGCGTCCTTGCTGTCGGTTCCGTCGAGCCCGTTGCGGCCCCTCGGGGATTCAAGCTTTCATTCGAACAGAATCGCTACCCCAGCATGACGTATCTGGCACTCCGGCCGGTCAACCACTCCCAAACCTTCCAAATCCACTTCCACTCAATTCGTCGAGCTAAAGACACGTCGTGCGATCCTTTGCTTCCCCGTTCCTCGAATTTCACAAACTCTGTCGTTGTCCTTCAGAAAGGCGCGTGCGGGACGAAGTTAATTCATTTCTTCGTGCGCCACGGGGCACGCGTCGTGATCGCCCACGACAATGGTGATCCGGAGCAGGCGCAAAATTGGAGACGAACGGCGTACGCGGTACATTCCCAGGAAGGTCTCGAGTGGTTTTTGAAATGGCCCACTTCAGCGGTTCACACTGTAAGCGATTCAAGCCGGGGCGTTCGCCGGTCCTTACAAGATTCGCAACCTTGGAGCTGACCTGATCTCGTCCCACTGTTAGCTACTCGATCACTATCTCGACTCATTAGGTGACCTTCAAGTCAACTTCCGGTCCAAGGACCCCGTTTCACAGGACGAGCTTATCGATCGAGTGGCGGGTGGTTTGGTCTCCGAATACACTGAATTTGGCCCCGCTGCTACGCTCGACACCTTAGCCGCGCACGTCAGTGTGCCTGGTAGTTCGATTCTGTCTACATTTCCGCTTAGTAAAGGAGGTAAGTAGTGGAAGCGATCAAGATTACGTTTCGAAGATGGAGGCTCATGGCCTGCCATTCGCTCCAGGTTACGGTGTAGCGAGCGGCACTTCGATGGCGACTCCTATGGCGGCGGGCGTGGTGACTTTGCTCATTTCCCACCGCAAGGACGATCATCTCACACCGGCTCAAATGCGCTCATTGATGATTACGACTGCAGGGCCTGTTTCTACCAAGCTTAACTCGGTCCACCCACTAACGACGGTGATGCAACAAGGAGGAGGTCAGTGCCCAACAGGCGACAGTCCCATCTCGAATCACGAAGCCTCGCTGATGTTTGGAGGTAACGTGCAGGACTGGTCTCCGCACATCGGGCTTACCATGCCAAGACATTGATCTGGCCCTATGCGTTGGCGCTCTACGACACCCCGCGACATGTGAAGGACCATGTCGTCACCCTTACCAATACGCACAAGTCGGTTGTCACCTACTCCTTCAACTCGATGCCCAGTCAAACGCTGGCCATGTATAACAAGGTATAAGTGCCGGTAGAAGTGCTTGTTTTGAATGCCACTGAGCACAAACGTTCAATGTAGAGCGCCGCCACTGAGTTTAATCCTTCCCGAGCATCTCCTATCATTCAAGGCTCGGCGACGGTGTCATTCAAACCTCGTCAACTCACGATTGCTGCTGGCCAGAAGGCGAGTTTCAAAGTGTCGATCGAGCAACCTGCTTTCTCGCCGGGTGACTTGGCTCGGTATCCTGTCTATGGAGGCTGGGTCGTCATCCACGCGCAGGGCGATCTAGTCGGTACCTATCGCATCCCTTACTTTGGTATTGTCGGAGTGCTCCAGCAAGTGCCGATCCTCGATAGGAGCGACTATATGACGAGAGGACGGGAGAAGTATGCAGGGTTGAGGTACCCGTTCTTGGTGGTGGGCAACAACACTGGCTCTGGCGGAACAAAGCACCTATCGTCGCCTCTTGATTACAAGAAGAGCGGCGTGGTTTCGGTCTCTCGTGCACGCGGCCTCGACATCATTTACCGACTTGCGAGTAGGTCTTGCAGGAATACGATCTTTAAGAGCATCAGAGCTGATGAGATCCCTTTGTGTACAGTGCCGACGGATAGGATCTACTTTGACGTGATCCATGCCGAGCCCTCGACCGCAAGTTCGCACAACGCTTCGACTGCGCGTCCTCATCGGGCTTACCCGATCCGTTCTTCGGAACCCGAGCCTTGGACCACCGTCGGACTAAGGGAGACATCACTAGGCTCCCGGTTTATCGGCAATTGGATCTGGTTTTCAGGCTTACCGCGCAACACCGACGAATTCGCCCAAGAGCCAGCGATCGATAGCAATATGGGCACGTTTCATGGTCAACTGAGTTCTTCGTATGGGGCATCCGCCCCATACGACATCATGCTGGGCTCGAATGTCCCGGTTCGGTTCTTGGTAAGGTCAGTACAGATGTATTCTCTTCGCACGTTATTTTAAAAATTGCTGAGTTCGGTTCCGGTAACGTGCAGAGCGCTGAGACTGGGTGCGACCGATAACCCCGAGGACTACGAGAATCAGGGGGTGTACGATACATGGACGAGCGACCCCTTCGAGTTCATCGATTGAAGCCTGGTGCTTCCTCGGGGACCTCACCAACCGAACCCATTTCATACACTTTGAGTCGTTTGTACATGTTTCGTATGCACCCTGCACTTTTGGGCTCCTCCAGCCCCGAAATGAAGCCTCCTCTCATTCGTTCGGTAAATTCCCGGCTGATTCCTGGCAGTCGCCGTGCCCCGCTCGACTCGGAGACGATGTTCCATGACTATCACTGTCAGTCACTGTCTGTTACGGTGGCGGGTGCGCGCGCGCCGACCGATCCGCCTCGTCTCTCTTTTCTTTTCCCGCCTGCTCGTCACTCGGCTAACCTGCCCAACTCACCATGACTGTCTCGCCCGTCTTTGAACTCGTACGTCTCCGTCTCTGACCCTGCTGGGATGTCAAACCTCCCCCGATGAGGCGGTGAACGCGTCCGCGGAGATCCCAATCTATCGACGCGCCGCAACGTGTCCGAGCAGTTTGAGCTGAGCCAACTCATGTCCCGTCCCTTGTGGATTCGTGCAGGTCTGCGGCGCCCAGAGTTACGACTGGGGCAAGCTTGGTAAAGTGAGTCAACCCCGGCGTCCAGAGCAGTGCATATATGAAATGCAGTCTGATCCTGGCGCGCCGATGGTCATCTGCAGGACGGCTCCAAGGTCTCGCAGTTCGCTCAGGGCTTGCCCGACTTCAAGTACGACGAGGACAAGCCTTATGCCGAGGTTCGTCACGGAACGAGTATAAATGAACATGCATAAACAGTTCGGAAGCTGATGATGTACCGATGCTCCGTCAGCTCTGGATGGGCACCCACCCGTCGTGCCCCTCGACCCTGCTCGAGACTAAGGAGAACCTCAAGCAATACCTCAAGCAACACCCCGAACTGCTCGGTGAGAATGTCGTCAAGCATTTTGGTGACGACTTGCCCTTCCTCTTCAAGGTGCGTTTTGCCGTTTGATGTGGCAGATACCCCAGGAACGGATGTCTGGCCCCACGCTGACCTCGGTGTTCGATCGTCTCATGCTCAGGTGTTGGCGATCCGAAAGGCGCTCAGTATTCAGGCCCACCCCGACAAGAAGCTTGCCAAGAAGCTTCACGATGAGCGGTCCGACATCTACAAGGGTCAGTCCCGAGGCAGGCGTATCGCTGCTCGAATCACTGCAAATTGCTGACTCGCGACTTGGCTTTTCTCGATCCAGACCCCAACCACAAGGTGAGTCAGTTCAAACACACGATATGGTAATCTTTTCAGACTAGCACCTAATCCTTTGATTATGCGTACTCAGCCCGAGATGGCCGTTGCTCTGACTCCCTTCTCTGGCTTCTGCGGGTTCCGACGGCCCTCCGAGATCGCATCGTTTCTCTCCAGCGTCCCCGAGTTTGCTTCGGTTGTCGGGGACAAGGTTGCGGAATCGTTCCGATCCAAGTTCGGTGACAACGCGTCCCCTTCCGAGGAGGACAAGAAATCCGGTCTCAAGGATCTCTTCTCGGCCTTGATGAAAGCCGACGAGGCCAACGTGAAGACCCAGGTCGAAAAGCTGGTCGAGCGTCTCGCCAAGGAGAAGAACCAGACGGAGGAGACTCGTTTGGTCGCCACCCTCAATAAAGACTTCCCCGGAGATGTCGGCATCTTCTGCACCTTCTGCCTCAACATTGTTCGCCTCAAACCGGGAGAAGCTGTCTTCCTCAAGGCGAATGAACCCCATGCCTACCTCGACGGAGGTGTGTGGACAGCTCCCGTTGCAGCGCCAGGTTTTGTTTGCTGACAATCGCGCGTCATACTGATCCAGACATCATGGAGTGCATGGCCACCTCCGACAACGTCGTCCGAGCCGGTTTGACCCCCAAGCTCCGAGATGTCCCCACCTTGACGACGATGTTGACCTATACCTCTTCGCCGCCGTCCGAGCAAATCCTCCCCCCCGTCAAGTTCCGCTCGACGCAACACACGACCTTGTACGACCCCCCGATCGAGGAGTTCTCTGTTTTGTTGACCGTGCTTGAGCAAGGTCAAACAGAGAAGTTCGAGCCGATCGATGGCCCGAGCATCTTGATCTTCACTGAATTGCAAGGTGATGCATCGGCTGAGTTGAAGGTCGGCCAAGAGAAGGGAAGCGACGTAACGAGGACGGGTCAAGTGTTCTTTATTGGTGCGGGCGTGGAAGCTGAGATTGAGGCGACGGGTGGTAAGGTCGTGGCTTACAGGGCTTTCGTCGAGGCGCCTTGACTGCATGGTAGTACCAATACACAGAGTAGGCTTTGAAGCCGGCGGATGGACAACTTTGTATGCAGGCTTGGAATGACGGACAATTGCGATATGATCCATTATGCAATTCTTGCGCTATCATGTACAACAAGGCAGGGAAGACCAAAACAAACAAACAAACAAAATGTCATGTATGATCACACATCACCGCTCGTCTCGATCCTCTCGTACCGACTTTGGCCCCTCCTACCCGACTGCTCTTCATCGTGGGTTGCCATTCCTCCTCGACCAGGATCCTCGAATAGGGCCTTGATCTCGTGCAAAGCGAGTCCTTTCGTCTCAGGCAAGAGCCAGTACGCGAATAGGAAGCCTGCCAATGAGATCACGGCGAAGAGCAAGAACGCGCCTCCGGGAGTGATGAGTTGGGCCAAGTGTAGATACGTCGAAGCGACGATGAGGTTCGCAGACCACTGCGCTCATCAAAGGGTGGGATCATAGGTCAGCGCTGGATAACTCAATGGTCTACATCCGTACCACACCCTTGGGACTCACATTTGTAGCTAACAAACGATCCCGAGTGCGCTTCCGGTGGTTAGGGCATGAAATCCTGGACGTGCGGCCACTCGTCGAAAACTCACCAGTAGCTAAACTTGTTCCAATCCCTCTCAGCTCATGCGAAAACACCTGACGAAAGACGAAGCTTGTTCAGCATCCACGATCGTGTCACGACATGCATTCTATCGAACTGACCTCGCTCTGCACGACCCAAGCAACGTTTCCCACCCCCAGAGCGTAATTGCTCGTAAAGATTGCCATACCAACTAGCGCAAACCAGGCAGCCACACCAGGCCGCTCGCCAACAATACGTGTTGACGCGGTTGTCGTACTCTTGGGGATGAAGAAGAAGGATACTCCCAGCACGAGCATGCCGGCGCCCATTCCTAAAAGTGTCCGGAGCAAGAGGGGTCGACGGCCAAGACGATCGATGAGGCGCAATGCTATGATGGTGCATACACTGTGGAATGCCACCGCATTCAGCTTGAAATTGAAGGACACTCCATGGGTCCTATAAGACTCACAAATTCGTCATGGCGACGATCATGGCGAAGGAGGCGGGGTTGGAGAAATGCGCAGCTTGTAGAATCTTGCCCGAACTACGTTGAAAAACAAGTTCGGTCAGTTGGCACGACAGTTGGCACGACAGTTTGGACACCACGGAACACTACGTCACGAGAACTGACTAGTACATCAGACAATTGAACCCCGTCGCCTGTTGAATGGCTTGAAGCCCAATCGCAAGAACCAAAGCCCTTCGGTTCGCTCGGTCCCGCCAGATCAGTTCGATGAACTCGTTCTTCGCTTCGATCAACCCCCTTGGATTCCAGCTTCGGGCCTTCGCCAGCTCATCGTCGCCTCCACGATTCGGGTTCGAGACTTCACGTTCGATGCGCTCGATCCTTCGCTGAATGGACGCTTCGCTTGATCGAGGATAGATCGATTTGAGCGTCTTCCTGGCCACCGGAATCCGCCCTTTACTGATCAGGTGAGTGGGACTTTCGACGAGATCGAAGGCGAGGATCAGTTGCACGATGGCCGGGACACTCCCGAGTCCAAACATGAATCGCCAGCCTTTTTCGACCCGGAAGAACACTGCATCGACGGAGTAGGCCAAGACTTGACCAGCAGTGATGAGTACGACCAAGCTTGCCACGATTCGACCACGAAACTTGGCCGGTGAACACTCGCTGAGATAGATGGGGAGTATGGCGCTGCTGATGCCGACGGCGATACCGACGATGATCCTGCCGAGAATGACCTCCTTGTAGACCTGGGCCGCAGCTTGTTCGAATGCGCCTAGAACGAAGAGGATCGACGAGAAGACCAACAAAGGTTTTCGACCGAATCGATCGACGGATTGGCCCGCTGCGATGGAACCGACAAGTGCACCGAGCAGCGCTGAGGAGACGAGCCATTCCTGCTGGAAGGTCGTCAGAGCAACCCCACCGAGCGAGGTGCCGAGCACGAGCAGGGCGCCCGAAACTACCCCAGTATCAAAGCCACTGAACGAAGAGAGCGTAACACGAACACCGTCAGCATCCAGCTTCTTCAGAGACCGTTGCGGTAGAGTTCGGCCATCGATAGCCCGAGCGACCACCCTGAGCGGCGAGAATACGAACAAGAGAAGCCCTGCCAGTCCCGAGGTTACTGACGTTAGCTCAGTTGACTAGAGTGGTATGCACCCATTTGTTGGCTCACCTCCCAATCCCGCCACGACCGACAGTCGAATCAAGGCCGGTGTGACGGTGACTTCCTCCTCGACCGCGCGATCCTCCTCCCTTGCCTCCCAGTCCGATTCATCGTCATCATCGGCATCACCACCGTCTCCGGCACTCGCAGGATCTAGTGAGCTCGCGGATGTTGCTGTTGACTCCGTTGCTGCGGGGCGAGATGGTCCTCCCCCTGTCGCGGAGGTCACCGTCGGCGATCCCATTCTGCCGCCAGCATTTGAAGTGGGGGGAAGCGAGACCAGAGACGGTTCGGCCACTGGCAGCTGAGCGCTGAGCCACGGGCCAATCGTTGACTGAGCACTGCAGTGATATTTCGCTCGGGCGACCGGTTCACGCTTGGCCATCAAGAGCGGATCAAAGCTCGGCTTTAAGGGTCAACATACGGAGGTCCAATAAAATGAACCAAAGTGCAGTCTTTGTGGCCCGGAGAAATTACGGCCGTCGCCGCCGCGGTCGAGAATCATAATGTCTGACGATCACGAGGCTGAAGTGCCTGCAAACCCCAAGATGAGGAATATATCGCCAGAAATCACACAGCAACGTAGAGAATTGCCTCTGGCTCGACGGAAAGTACCATTCACTTTTTGCTGACCGCTCTGGCCGCCTGAAGCCGACCGTCTTCCGTCGGACACGATCCAAAGGTGCTACAATCTCAGCGCAACTCGGGGCCCTGTACTTCGGCAAGCCGTCGGGCCATCGCAACGTAATTATGCTTATCATCAGATGACTATTATCTCCTCGGCCCGGTAACTCGACCGGATTCCTCCTCGTAATCGAGTACATCTGATCAGGTGCACTGGTCCGGAGAAAGCTTTAGGCCCTTAGGGCTTCCGTCAGGGGTCACTCGGAGTTAAGACACGATCGCCCCCAGATCTGTCGCGGCCAGAGCTTTCACCCCTGAAGCGATCCTCCCGGATTCCAGAGTGGTTGTAGGATGACCTGCTCTCGTCAGTGTTCTCTACAAGCCCAATCGTGGTGAGAGGCCTCCCCACTGGCACTAGGTCGCAAGCTTTCCTTTCGCTCTCAACCGTCCACCACGCCCTTCGATTCTAGTTTCGAGTGTGATTGCGATTTCATCTCTTCAACCGCTCAAAAGATGTCTCCTGCTCCACCATCAAAATCAAAACGACGACGACGGCAACCATCTCTCAGTACTCCATCGTCGAGGCTTTCCATGCGTTGCGTGGGGGGTGGGTCGGGGGGGAAAAACTACATGCGATGATTGGGTGCGGACGAAAGGAGAAGGTGGTTTCCGTCGTTGACCCGTCGCGTTTTTTTGAAGAGGTGCTTTAGATGTTGGAGGGGTAAAGCATGACGCGAACAGAGTGGCCGAAAGACTTGGCGGGAAGGTTTTCTGTAGATGGCCATCGGGGAAGGGGAAGAGATCAGCTTATTTGGTTTGCTGCCTCTTCTTGCGAGCGCCGCGACTACTTACGACGGAATTGAGCGCGAACCATGCCCGAGTTGCCGTGCGAGCGGGTGACCTTGCCCCAGATGATGCGGATCTTGGATCCGTTAATTGGTCGGGTAGCGGTGTAGACGTATGCGACGCGCTGTGTTGGGGAAACGAAAGCGCAAAGGGCGTCAGTGGTCGTGTTCGGTATCACTGCATGGATATGTGCTGTCTTCAATCTCGTTTCGCCCCCTCTCCTCCATCCCCAGCTACAGTGTGTACACCTCCGCATCTCGTCGCCTCTAGCCTCGCAAACGCTAGTCGTTTCCACCAACCTGACGCCCCCATGCCCGGTGGCCTCTCTACCCCATCGACCCCCCCCCCCCTCCTCTCGGCATCAACAACAGCAATGAGCAATGAAAATCATGTACTGACCTTGCCCAAGTAGAACTGCGCCTCCTCCTTGTTGGCGACGCCCTCGATCTGGACGAGCGAGGTGCTGACTCGCACGTTGCGCTTGCCTCGCTGGTTACCGGTCACACGTCCCTTGGCGTACAATCCTGTTGACGGTGAAGGGAAAATTGCGGAACATGGCGTGGTGATCGGGTAGGGATAGTGCGCGTGCGTAGATGGCGGTAGCGATCGGAGGATCACGAGTGAGTGAGCCGGCCGAGTCGAAAATGGCCCAGGCAGGCGCGGCGCAAGGACGCAACGAACGCAGCCAATCGAGTGCACGAGGGTCCGATCGGAACGACAGCCGAATGCGAGGACGATGATCGGGGTCGTCAAGCCATTCGGTGATGGATGAAGGATCGTCCAATGCGTGCGGTGGGTTCGCAACAGCGCGGTGACGAAGGGTTTGACGACGGGGCGATGGGCGATGGGCGACGACGGCGGGCGGGCCAGGGCGAGAGTCCAGCGTCGAGCGTCGGATTGGCAGAGCGCGCGCGCGAAACGACGACGACGGAACAGCCAGCGAGCGGATGACAGACAGGTCGGGGACGAGGACGAGGACGAGGACGAGGACGAGGCAGAGAGCGAGAAGGGCACAAGGAGGGGAAAGGAAGAGGATGTCAGCAGTGGCTACAGCTCACCGGCCATTCGACGAGCACGGCTTACGGGTGGAAGGCATTCTTGATGATGGGTGCTTGACGAGGGAGGAAGGGCAGGAGATATCGACGCAAAAGAGCTCGAGGCCACACGCCTGCCTTTGGCGCGAAAAAAGTACCCGCGCCAGCCCGCGCCAGCCCGCGCCAGCCAGCGTCAGTTTGCTCAAGCCTGGGCTTTCCACACGCTTCCTCTTCCCCCCGCCAGCCATGGACGAAACTCAGAAGCTTGGGCCAGCTTCCACCAACAGGGCCATTTCGAACCAATAAAAGCCACCGGCGTCGAGCACTTTTAGCCACTCCCTCTTCATTGGAGCTGTGTGAGTTTGCCTCGTACACAGCTTGTCACTCTTCTTTCAAATTGGATGTGAAATCTAATGTTGAAGTGAACTTATCGCGCTGCTGAAACTAATCCGAGGTCGATATTGCATTTTTTTTCAGTCGAAAGTTGAGCCTCGACGTCGGCACTCGCACAGTCGGGACCGCTTTGCTGCCGCTTTGAGGCCGCTTGCTGCCGCTTGCGAAAGGCGGACGAAGCACTTCGCGCGCGGTGAGACCCGCGCTTCTTGCTCTCTTCTCCAACTGATGTGCGATGTGAGTCCCTTCCCGCAAACCTCTACAGCCACCACCACCCACCCTCTGCGCACTCTTATCACTCCAAGAAACTGACCCACACGTTCCACTCCCCTTCCCGATCCTGCAGGCAAGGCATCGCACGGCCATTTCTGCCTTGCTCCTCGCCAACCTTCTCCAGGAGGAACTTGTTCTAAATTTTGGTCAAGATCGAATCACCAGACGCACCTCATCAAGGAAGGGGCTTCTGAAAGGGCTTCTTTCTTGGATTGCGATACCCTACTCCCCAACAGGGTGGAGCGGTTTGGGGGGCGGTATATATTCTTCTGTCTTCTTTCTCTTTCTCCTTTTGTCACATTCCCGGGACGACGGACTACGTCTTTTGCTCCTTTCTTTGATCATGTCGCCTCTCCTGTGGGCGCATGCACCTACAAACATCCTTACCAAGCCTCGTATTTTGTCGACCTACGTCTGGGGAAGGCGTCCTCGATCTCTTCGTGGGAAAGAAGCCAGCCTGCCCAGTATGGAGGCTCGATATACGGAACGGGGCGAGATCTCTTCACCTTGTTTGCAATACATTCTTTCCAGTCATGACCCCAGTGCCTTGATCTCGTATGTGGGTGTGGGTGTGTGCCCAATCGTGCGACGCGGGTGCGATGCGCCTGCCACGTCCAGAGCGGTTGAGATGGAGCAGAATACATTGAAACCACTTGCGAAGGGGGAAACAATTACATGAAAACAAACAGTCGACACGGTCTTCTACTCGTTCTCGGACGGGAAGATGTTGGGGTATTGGGCCTGTAGCCATGCCAGTGAGCACGAAGGGCAGTTCGGTGAGCCTCCTTCTACATTCAGAACGGATGAAAGCATCTTCGGCTCAGATCGGTACTTACCCAGAGTTCAGTGACCTTCTCCAGCAAAGGCATGTCTGGGATAGATGACGCGATAGATCGATGCAGGAAGGCAAAACAATTAGTCTACGCACTCGACGCGTTGCGACGCGCTCTGGTCCACGCAACGATCCGACCAGACGCACCGATACTGGCCCCCATGTTGCAACTATGCCATGTAATACAAGCAAAAAGGGTCAGTGAACTCGTCATGACGCGCATGGAGCCTGTACGGACTGCAACCAACCTGCTCAATTCACTCATCGACCCTTCGCCATCAATCTTGCCAATCACCTCGACGTAAGTGTCCGCCAAGTTCGCCGACTGTTGAATCGGTCCCCAGGTTATGGCATCCAGTCAGCGAGATCTGAATCTGGAATGACTTCTTTTGCATTGGACCGCGGTGGTAGAGGGACAAACTGACTCGACTGAGCTTGACTCGGACTTGGCCACCGTCACTCAGTTCGAGCACCGCGTAGTCGCCGTCCAACTGGATGGGAGTCGGGTGAGGGCCATGTCCATCAGCAACCCAAAGTCGGCGATCCGCTTTCAATCAGAAGCTCACGCTGATGACCTTGCCAACCACTCGCACGACCTTGCCAGCTCCTGTGTCCGGACGAACGATGGCACAGTGAGCGAGGTGTCAGCTCCGAAATGCGCCTGTGCGACCCACAACATCGTTCACGATCATGCGGTTCAGCCCATGCACTGACCCATCTGACTCAATCCGACACTGTTGACGCGGGGTGTTGGTCGTTCCATAGTGCTTCGAGGAGTGGGCGGTAAGGTTCAGCGGAGGCGGGTCGAGTCGGCAGTCGGATGTCAAAAAGCGCGACGACGACGCGGCGACCGCAATCCACGGATGCGAATGTTGCATCTGGTTTCACTCACTGCAGTCAGCCATGACAGGCGAGGAATGCGTGCGTGCGTAATACTACATTGCGCTGAAATGAAAGGAATTCTTTATAGACTACGATAAACTGCATGCGATACGGAGGGAAAACTACACTGTTTCTATGACTTCAAGAGTATATCGACTAAAAACCGAAAACGGAAGCGGCACGCCAGCTGGGTACTAAGGCATGTTGGTGGGTATTAAGCAGTAAGGTGGTAGCGGACGAGAGATCAATACGAGCCCTGGGTGCCCATACTGGGGTGACGACGCCGCTTCTTGTGCGCCTTCTTGGACGACTTGAAGATGTGGTAGATGAGCGACCACAGCGCCACACTCGAGCCGAGCATGATCCCGATCACTCCGCCGAACCAACCAAAGCCAGCTGGTAATCCATCGGAGCCAAGGTGGGTGTACCGGTCACCATTGTGGGGGACGGGGACGTTGAGGGAGAACATGCCCGTGATGATCGTAACAAAAAGGAACGTGAGCGAGACCGTGTAGAGCTTGGCTAGTCCGTGGTCGGTGCCACCTTTGGCCGAGGCGAGCGCGAGGCGTAGGAGGCCGATGTAGGCTGGGTGGTCGTGCGACAGGATGGCGTCGTAAAAGATCAACGACTGCTGCATCGCCGCGATATGATCTGAGGTGCGCATGGCTCAGTGTCAGCTGCCAAGGACACACCACGATCGGGGATTGACCACCGCCGAGACTCACCAAACAAGTCCCCAAAGTAAATAGCAATATCATGCTTGCCCTCCGCACCCCTGAACATGGCCAAGTTCTCCTCCTTGGTCCTCTTCCTCAACCCTTTAATGACCTCAAGCTTAGGCGCCAACAGTCGACTCAAGCCCGTGACGAGTTTGCGCGAATCGGCCAACCGCTTGAGCATAATCGTGCGATCAAATTTGGTCTCGCCAATTTTGACGCCCTGACTGACCCCGTCCGCACCGGTGTGTCGACGAGCGACCCTCGTGGACGCTTGTGCGACGAGCTGTTCAATCGTATGGACTGGCTGGGGTTCCTTCTTTGCCAAGGAAGCGAGGTGGAAGCCTTTGGCATCGACGAGCATGATCGAGTCGGTCGGCGTATCCGTCGTCGACACCCATCGAGAGGGCAAGATGCGCACGAGCGGCGAAGGCACCCAGAGCGAGGGGAAATGGCTCAAAACGGTCCTCGGGGTCTTGCGACGGATCGTCGCCTTCTTCATCGGTACACCGGACTCGCCCGTTCCACTGATCGAGGGAGAAGATCCCTTGAGCTTCTCTTCGTCGACCGCGGGCTCAACGATGATACCGACAACTTGATCATCATAGACGGTCTGGCCGTCGACACTCCCGAGGCCCGAAGGGATAGGCTTGTGCGAGTGGCTGATTGCAGACCGGTAGGGGTTGAGTGGATCCGCGAGGAAGGTGTCGACTTCGTTCGATTCACCCTCGATGAAGTCGATGAGCGGGAAGAAGGCGTCGACGATGGAATCCATAAGACCATAAGCGATCCAGTCTGTGACTCGGTCGAGAAAGCCGGAGTGAGTGATGGTTGTCCGATCGAGAGATATATTGCTTTACTCACGAGATGAAAAGTTTCGCGAGCGGCCAAACTGCTGAAGCTTGCCCTGCACTCTTTCGAGATGTTTGGTAATGTCTTCAAAGTGGAACTGCGAGGTTCAGACCGGTCAGCACCTCATGTCAGTTCAACGAACCAGCAAATCGAGTAACGCCCAGCACTCACCGTGAGGATGCCATCCGGAAAGACGATGAGGTACATGTTGATGGCGCCGACACTGACGCCTTCGACACCTTCCTTGCCACCTACACCCTCGACGATCTCGACCCTACCCCTCCCACCGGGGCTCGATCCAGGCAACTGACTGCCGTGTCGTTCTCGATCGCTGGCCCCGTCCGCCTCAGACCAGGTCGGCGCCGTCGCTTGTGGTGAGCCCGTAGCGTCAAGCGCAGGGTCGGGCGAATGGTAGCGGAAGTAAGACTCGTCGAGGGCACGAAACACGATGAGGTAATAGTCAAGCGCGGCAAAGTTCTCGACCTTCTCCCTAGTATCCTGGTGAAGAATATCCTCCATCGTCAAGGGATGCAAGGGGAGCACTTTCCTCAGTTCGCGCATGTCGGCCACGGTCGGGCACATGACGTCGAGCCACCAGGCCGGTCCTTCTTCACCTTTGCCGGCTTTGCCCAGTCGACGTTCTGTCGCAAGCGCCCCGCGACGCCCATTCTTGCCACCGGTCGCAATCCCAGGCGTGGCAGTGGGAGTTACAGCAGGTGTCGATGCACTGCTTGCACCAAGGGTATTGGCCCGTGGCGGCGGGGACAGTCGAGGCTCATTAACGTCAGGAAAGTAGGATTCTTCGTCTTTGGTGCCCAGCGTGGACAAAGCCCCGACACCAAGATCGCCTGAAGCCATGTCCTCCTGTTGTCGCTCGGCCCAGAACTGTCGCAGCCTCCCAAGTACAGGAGCCAAAGTCGAGGTTGTGAGAAGGTCAAAGCCAGGCGCATGAGGTGCGGTGGGAGCCGAAGGGGTTGCGGGTGTGGAAGCCGAAGCGTTGACAGCGTTGGGCATGAGATGCGAAGGATATGCGAGAGGTTCCGAGTGGCTTAAGCATGGCGTCAACAAAGTGAAGTGGGGAGTGGGAGGCTCCCACTCCGAGTCAGAGTCAGAGTCGGAAGAGGACGACGAGCCGGATGACGAGTTGCGCCAGAAGCGCCAACCGCCCCACGTCGAAGAGGAGCGAGACGAGGAACCGCTACCCGTCGATGAGTTGGTCGAACCGGACGACGCTGTAGACGAAGAAGACGAAGAAGAGGATGAAGATGAAGACGAAGACGAACCACCGCCACGAGATCGGCTCCTACGACGGCGACCTCCCTTTCTTCGGACCGTCCTCCAAGCCGACTTGACCCTCGACCTCGCCGACCGGCCTGAACGACTCGACCTTCCCGTTCGATTCGACGCGACACTCTTTGACCCTCGTCGCCTCCTCCTCCTTCTTGCTGGTGCGGGTGTGTACAGAGGGTGAGGGGTTCGGCCGTCGGCGGGTGGATCGCCTCGGGCATGTTCGGGATGAGGCTCATCGTCGTCGCGGGGAGCAAAGCCAAACATGGGCGATTGGGGAGGCAGCCTCTCGCCCTCATTCAACCGGTAATCGTCATCGTGGGTGAAGATGGAGTCGGTGATGTCGGCCTCTCGGCCTGGTGATCGCGGTGCGGTCGTTTTGCTTGCTAATATCGGTCGCAGTGGGATCGCGGACCCCATGGGTACCGGGGCCGAGGGGGAAGCAGATAGTTCGAAGCGAGTGCGGGGCGACGCGAGCGTGGAGATAATGGGGGTCAAGTTGGTATTGTGTTTGGCCATCGCCCTGCGGTCTATGGTCGAGATGGCCCTCGGTCGTTCACGAGTGTGGGCGGGAAGCGGTGTCGTCAACGCCGGCCCGGGCAGCTCGAGGTCGGGCAGAGGAGGGAGATCGAACTGCAGGGACATCTTCCGCTGCGTCGAAGACGGCGGCGAGGAGAGTGACCGTTTCGCCGTAGATCTGGCTGGTGAGTGTTGCATGGTCTTCGAGGGCGACGTAGCTTGGTCGCGTGCTGTTTCCTCTCCTCGTCGTCGGGGCAGTGGATCGTCGCCCCTTCGCACCGAGTCGTCGGTGGGCGAGTCGCGTTGGATTGCGCTGCCCTGCATCTTGAAATGGAGTGTTCTAACCCATCAACGTGCTCCTCTGTCTTATCGCCAGAGTGATAGTACGCGCTGCTGTTGCTGGTGGTGTGGAATCGTCCGCACTGCTCTGTCCGGCTGCCAGTTGTCCGCTTGATGGGTGCCCGCCTAACCACGGTCGTGACGATCACCCCTACGCACGTGTGCTGATCGCTCGTCGGCCGAAGTTCCGCCAGTTCCGTCAGTTTCGCAAACGGGTCGCGGCGAGCGACGTGATCCAGTGGTATGGCGGCTCGCGTCTATGACGAAAGCGGAGAAAGTGAATCTCAGTACGTGACGCAGAGAGCTGGTAGCTGTCTTCTGGCGACCCGGGACTCGGGAACGGAGTGTGCCCGGAGTGTGCCAGTGCCCTCGTTGGCGAAGACCGGACCCAGCCCCTGCTCGCGTGACACGGACCAAGCACGGGGGCCAGGGACATCCAGGATCTCAAAAGTGGCCTGATAAAGCAGGCCGAGACGTACCCTGGGCCGCAGTGGAAGATTGCAGTGCGAAAAGAGACTGGCCAGGTAGAGCGGCAGCCAGCGAAAGTGCTCGCAGACGGGTAGAACGGGTTTACCGGTTCACGGGTTTACCGGTTCAGGGTTAGGGTCGTCGTTGCAGGTCGCTGCGCCAGTCTGCGCCAGTCCCCGCCTGTGTCGCCGCTCGGGAGCGCGTGAGAGCGCGTGAGCACTGGGCGTATGAACTGTCGTGGTTTGCCGTCGATTTGGGGATCTGCGAATTTTCCTCCCCGAGCTGAGGTGTTTTCTGTCTGTTTCATCCTGCCCACGCAAGCAGCAGATTATGGCCAGGAAAACAAGGGTAGGGTGATGTTTCCGTTTTCGGAGGCTGGAGAAATTGCCTCATCGCTCAGCGCTACCGGACCAGCCCGCTGCCGCGCTGCCTTCGCGACGAAGAGACGATCGCGAGGGAAAGGAAAAAATGAAAGCGTTCCAGAAGTATAACACAGACAGAAGTCGATGAAGAGCATCGGAAAAGCGAATTCGAGACGAGGGGCGCAGACAAAACTACACTGCAGCCTATAGGGACACATCAGGGGTTCACAACGCTCAGTCCGAGCCGTTGAAGTCACTCGCGTCATCACCGTCGCCGCCATCGTCCTCGTCACTAAGCTCCATGTAAGCGGCCTTGGCCTTGGCTTTGGTCGATGCTGCTCGAGCCGCACGAGCCTTGGGTGCGACCTTGGCAGCGGACTCGATGTGGATCGACGAACCAGCGTCCGAGTCGTCATCCGAGAGCGTGAGCTGCTTCGACTTGACCGCCGCCTTGGGCTTGGGCTTGGCCTGCATGGTCATCATGCGGGTCAGTTCTAGTTCTTCTAGGCGACAACGAGAAAAACAAGATACTCACAGCAGCCTTTGGCGATGCTTTGGGCTTCATCTTGGCGACGACGGCCTTCTTCTTGATGATCGGCGTATCGTCGTCATCGTCACTGTCGTCGTGCCTGGCTGCAGCTTTCTTCTATGTACATCATAGGGCCCCCAGAGCTTTGTCGCTCAGTACGCAGTCTCCCGGAAGAAAAATTAAGAACCCTTGACCTACCGCGACAGGAGCTTTGACAGGCTTGGCGAAAGAGGCATCATTATCGTCGTCGTCGTCACTCAAAGCGGCTTGCTTCTTTGGCTTGGGTGCGGGTTTGGCCTTCTTCTTGGGCGTGTCGTCGGCCTCACTCGACGCATCAACGACACGCTTCTTGGCTCCCGTCTTAGAAACCGCCGCGGCTGGTTTGGGCTTGGCCGCAAGATCGTCAACGTCCATCGCAACGAGGGCGGGCGTGGCGGACTGGGCGCCAGAGGCGGAGTGGGTCAGCATCCGTCTGTGCAAAAGAAAGCTACGGCTTTCCTCGCTCACCTTCTTGACAATGACCTCTTTGGCCTCGACGACGAAATCGTCCTTGCCATCATCCGAAGGCAAAGCTTTCGGCTGTGAGCCGGAGGGTCGCTTTCTCATTCAGCCTTCTTAAATCTAGAAGTCGATGTGACAGTCAAAACCCCGCTCACCTTCTTGACCACCGGGGCCCGTTTCGTCGGCTTGGGCTTGTATACAAAGTCTTCCTCGTCGCCATACACATCCTCTTCATCCTCCGAGTAAGCCGCAGCCTTCTTGCCCTTCTTGGTCCCTTTACCCTTGGCCTTGGCCGCGCGCGACGCTTTCTGGTGCGCGACAGAATCGCGTTCGAGCAACTGCTCCCATTGGGCGGCAAAGGTCTCGAGGTCGTTGGACCACAAGTCCTTAGGCGAAAGCGCGAGCAAGGTGTTGAGGTCGTCATGCTTGGTCTTACATTCCGCCTCGAGGCGTTGGATCTTCTCTCTGGTCAAGCTGCGCAAGGCCATGCTGAGCAAGTAGTCGTAATCGCTGTCCATGCCCGCGTCGGCATCGGCGTCCTCTTCGGCGTCGGCCTCGACACCGGCGACAGCGGCTTTCTGAACCTTGGGGAACGGTCGGAACCCCTTGGCGCGCAACTCTTGAACGATATCGGCCGTCGATCGATTGTCGAGCGTCAACTGCTTGGGCTTGCTGATCATCATTGAGATGAAGCGCGCCTGGTTCGACAACTTGTCGTGGATGTTGGTCAACTCGTCGACGAGGAAGGCCTTGCGCTTGTGGTAGTACTCCAGGCGCACGTCGTAGAAATCGTCGAGGACCTCTTCCGGGGTCGCGTACTTTTTGATCTTGCCCTGGGAGTCGAACATGACCATGTTGGAGATGCTGATCTTGTTCTGCATCTTAAAGCACTTCTCGAGGCCTTCCTTGCTTATCGCGTCCTTCCCCTTTTCCGTGAGGGTGATGATGAAGTGCACCGTCGTATCGGTGTGGTACTCTTTGTAGTCCTGCGAGAAAAAGGGACAGAACAGCTTCAGTCGACTGCGCGTATCAAGCTCTGAGCTCGAATCCCCTTGCTCACCTTGATCAAAGCAGGGGACTTTTCTGTCCCGACGACCCAGCTCTCGAGCATTTCCTTGTACGTCTGCGTCCAAGTGCGGATCGGCAACTCGGTAATTTCGACCGTCGCATCATCGAGGCGTTCAATATGACCGGTCGAGACGTAACCGTCCTTTTCGGTCTTCTCGATCGTGCCCTATGGACGCCAATCGTTGATGTGTAGGTCAGTCGAGATAGGATGAACTCTCGCACAGCCGATTTGCATTACTCACCTTGAATCCACGGTACCAAGGGTGCATCGGTTCCATCTCCTCGCCCCTCATCTTGCGCCTTAAGTTGGCCACAATATCCGTGGGGTTGTAATTGGGCACCGACGAACTCCATCCCGTTCCAATACCCTCCGAGCCATTGACCAAAGCCATGGGGATGATGGGGATGTACCAAGACGGCTCGATGCTCTGACCATCATCGTTGAGGTATTCGAGCACGCTGTCATCAGCGGGATGGAAGACGCTACGCGTGATGGATGATACATTCGTGAAGATGTAACGAGCGGAAGCCGCGTCTTTACCACCTTGCAGACGAGTACCAAATTGACCGTTCGGGTCGAGAATGTTGAGGTTGTTGGACCCGACGAACTGTTGCGCCAGGCCGATGATGGTGCCTTGCAAACTCATTTCACCGTGATGGTACGCCGAGTGCTCGGCGACGTAACCGCCCAATTGTCCGACCTTGATCTCCTGCGTCAACTTGCGCTTGAAGCAACCGAACAAGACCTTGCGTTGACCCGGTTTGAACCCATCAATGACAGAGGGGATAGAGCGCACGTTGTCGGCCATCGAGAAGAGGATCAACTCCTTGTTGATAAAATCCTCGATCGGGACTTCGGCGATGCTGTGGTCGAGGTACGTGCCGGGGACGAAGCCTCGGAGCCATTCCTTGCGGTTGTCGGCCTTCTTCTTGTTGAAGGCCATGTCAATCAACTCGCGCTCTTCCTGCGTCGAAGGGCGGAACGGCAAGCGATGCTTGTCCATGTTGCCAAAGTACTTGACCGCGTCCCTGGCGTCACTCGTACCCAATCCCTTGAAGTACTTGATGCGCCATCCACGACCATCATCGGTCTCTTCCTTCCATTGCTCGTACTGAGGAATTGTGAAAAATGACAACTCCTTGTTCCCCTTGGTCGCCTTGACGATGGGGGTGATGAACTCGAGCAAGAAGCCCTTCAGTTTGAGCAAGGAAGGGAACCAGTAATCGAGGAAGTTGATGATCAGACCCTTGATGTGCGATCCATCGTGATCCTGATCGGCCATGATCATGAGCTTGCCGTAACGGAGCGAGTCGACGTCGGTGTAGACTTTGCCCTGCTGCAAGCCCAAGATCTGCTTGATCGCTTGAATCTCGACATTATCGAGGAGGGCTTTGCCCGCCGCTTCACGCACGTTGAGCAACTTTCCTCGCAAAGGGAAGACACCATAGTTGTCTCGACCGACGACGGCCAGACCCGACACGGCGAGCGCCTTGGCGGAATCTCCTTCGGTCAAGATGAGCGTGCACTTGGATCCGTTCCTCGTTCCAGCGTTGTTTGCATCCTCGAGCTTGACGAGACCCGTGATACGCGATCGCTTGTGTCCGTCCGTCTTCTTGAGCATCTGGTCCTGCTTGAACTTGGCCCAGTTCAAGACATTGTCGATCACGCCGGACCTCGCGACCTTTTTGAGGAAGTCGTCGTCGAGGACGCACTTGAATTTGGCGCCAAACTTGCTCACGCTTAAGGTCATGTTTTCCTTGGTCTGCGAGTCGAACGAAGGGTTCGGGATCTTGCAGTTGATAAAGACGGAGAGGTGGTTCTTGATCTGGAACGCCTTGACCGGTGCGGCCTTGTTCTTCTTCTTGATCAAATCGACCAAGCCCGAAACGATCTGATCGGCGATATAGTTGACATGCGTTCCACCTTTGGTCGTCGCGATCGAGTTGCAGTATGACACCTGCGTGAACTGTCCATCCGACAACGCGAACGCGATCTCCCACTGCCCGAATTGGCCATAGATGACGCTGTTTTTCTTGCCCGCGGCCAAAGGATCGACACCGACGAGGTCGAGGTTCTCGACCATGTCCTCGTTCTCGCCCGACTTCTTGGTGCTCGGCTTGGAAGCGGCCTCGATGGCGGCCGTGTACATCTCGACGTACTGCTTAAAGTTCTTGAGCGAGAGCTTCTTTCCGTTAAGGTATACGTTGACGCCCTTGATGATGCCGGCCATATCGTAAACACGCTTCGTCAACAAAGCGACAGTGTCGTCGTCGAACTCGGTCATGCCGAATCGAGCCAGGTCCGGATAAAATGTGATCTGTTCAGCACCGTGGGCGTCTTAGCAACATTCGGATGGGTTGATGACGCGGCACCCAATCATGCTAACCCTAGTGTAGTCCTGTGCCTTGGTGATATCCTTCACGATCGGCTTCCCCTTGGTCCCCATATTGTTCTTGAACGTCTGCTTGTACGTCTTCATATCATTGGACGTCGCCGTTTCGACCACAAACTCGGTCGAGTAGATGTTGGCCAACTTGGCTCCGTAACCGTTCCTACCACCGGTGACCTTCTCCTCCTCGTCGTCATAGTTGGAAGAGGTGAGCAGAGTGCCAAAGATCATTTCCGGGATCCAAACTTTCTCCGTCTTGTGCTCTTCGATCGGGATACCCGGCCCATCGTTCTCAACAACGATCTTCTTGTCCTCTCGATTGATCGTCACTTTGATGTAGGACATCTCCGCATTCTTGGCCTGAAGGAGTTGCGCAATGCAGATATTCGGGTCAGATCGCTCGAGGGCTGGGATCGAATAGCGCGAAGGGCGTCGCTCTCACCTTGTTATCGGCAGCGTTGACCAAGATCTCATCAAAGATCTTGTACAATCCAGGAACGAACGTCGTTTGTCTAACGAAAATTTGCAGACGATTAGGCGAGTCAGCACCCCAAACCCGCTGCTGGTCCGACTGATCCGCCGAAGAACACAAGGAGCTCACCGGTTGACCAAGGTGCCGCCCGTTCCACCCGTCGTATCGGGGTCAAACACCCACATCTGCTGCGTGACAGCCTCGATCGAGCCAATGTAGGTATCGGGGCGTTTGAGCACATGTTCGAGTTGCGAGAGCTATGGTAAGATGAAACCCAGGCATCAGCTACGGGGGTTCTGATCTTGAAAACACGTGACGCGAGAGGATCCTGGCGAGTCCAGAGACGACGGAGGACAACGTACCTTGACATAGGTCTCGCTCGCGGATTTGGCCTTGGTCTTCTTGGTTGCCGAAGGAATCCTCATCTCCGGGACGTGATCATCGTCCTACCACCGAGAATGAAGGATTTGATCAGCCTACGGACTCAAATTGCCCAACGACCCAATTGCCCAATTGCCCATGCCCAACAACCGAGACGCATCGAAACTGACCTCCATCCCATACGCCTCGTCTGCCGAAGAAGCACCGTTCGTATCGTGTTCCTGCAGAACCTTCTTCTTCTTGCTTGCTGCAGCGGCACCGGCCGTCGCGGTCTTGGGTTTAGCCGCTGCTTTGGGTTTCGGTGCCGCTTTGGGAGCGGCGGTCTGATGGAAGGGAGAATGCAAGGGGAGTCGACGGGTTGGGTGTTGTGGGATTAGGCAGGTGCGTAGGAGGAACGGTAAAGGGGGTATCAGTCTAAAGCTCATGATTGAGCCATGGTATGCTCCCGTCCAGTCCGGGGTAGTGTTCGAGTCGTCGAGCGAGTCGAGCGAAACAAAGCAAGAACCGAGTCCACTGGCGCCGCTGGCCGGGCTGGCTCCGGTTGAGCGAAACGCGTTAGAACGCGTTCGTCGCGCCAGCCTCCCTAAAGATCGCCGATTCGCCGAGCCAACACACTCCACACACACGATAAACAAATCCCCAATCCAGACCCAAAGAGCCTACCTTCTTAGTCTTGGAAGCACCCCCCGCTACGTACGCGTCAGAGAAGTCCGAACCATCATCGACCATCTGCAAGGGGCATCGGAATCAGTCAACGCGAACCGAGTCGGAACCAGGACGCGCAGTCCTCGTGCAGTAGACTTGGAGTGAACAAGGTGGGGAGGACTTGCAAAATCACTTTCATCCGAACTCATGTTGGAGCCAGTGGATGACGCGTTCGACGAGGTGCTGGCAGTCGAGCAGCCGTCCCAAACACACACACACACGAAAAAACAAGCCAGAAAGTCAACACGCGCGTCGGCGGCTTGGGCGCGCGACACGGGCTTTCAGATTCGGTAAATTAGCGCGCCTCTGCTATTGTCTACTCCACATGACATCGCTCGAAAGAGACTTCAACGTTAAATACATCACAAGTCCTTTATTGCATTCCACCGCAATCTAAAACAAACACCACTTCGTGTACTCCCCATCCTCACACCCACCTCTTTCCCTCCCCCCTGACAGGTCGGTCGTCTACCTTCTTCTCCTCCTTCGCCTTCACCGTCTCTTTCGAATCCCCCTTCTTCTGCTGCGTCGCCCCGATCGGATCCAAAAGCACCTTGATCGCCTCTTCATCCAACAAAGCCTGCGCCGGTACGGCCAGTTTCGAATCATCGATGGTCGATGCTTTGTTCGCAAAGATCTGAGCCATCACGGATTGCGGTGCCTTCTCCTCGGACGAGGTTGAGGTCGATGTGGACTCGGAGGAGGGTTTGGTGGATGCTTTAGGGGCAGAAGTCGATTTGGCGTTGGAAGCAAACGATTCCGCTACAGGTGCCGGTACAGCCGATCCTTGAACCCCACTCGGATCCCTCTTGGCCTCAGCCATTTCCGACCCGACCACTTCGATCGGCGGAATCGCATCCGCCTTTCCCATCGTCGGACTAGTTTTGTTCTCCGCCTTCGCCGACGTCGGTGTCGATCCGAACGACGCTAACTCCTTCAACAACGCATCCAAATCGGCCTTCGCTTCCTTCAACGAATCCGCAAAATCCTTCTCCCCCACCGGTTTCGTCCCCTCCTTCTCAGACTTTCCAGGAACGAACTTCTCAACGACCTTCTTCTCCTCCACCTCCTTCTTGACCCGCCTCCCAGAGCCAACCAATTGACTCCAACTCTTGCCCTCCTCCTGAAGAATGACCATCAGCTCGTCCTTGATTTTCCTCGGCAGGCCGACCCCATGGTAAATGACGCCCGTATAAACTTGTACGAGCGAAGCACCGGCCTTGGCGAAATCAACGGCGTCTTGACCCGATGAAATCCCACCACACCCGACCAGAGGGATCTGGCCATCCGTCAAGTCGTACAAAGTCGAAATCGCTTTCAAGGCCAAAGGCTTGACCGGGGGTCCGGACAATCCTCCCGTCTCGGCCAAGACGGAGATCGTTTCAGTCGAAGCCGAGGAATTCGAAAGGTCAGGTCTGGAAATGGTCGTATTGGAAACGATGATACCGTCGACTTTGGAACTCTTGACCGCTTCGGCAATGTCCTCCAATTGCTTCGCGTCGACGTCAGGAGCGATCTTGACCAAGATAGGGGGCTTCTTCTCCCCCTTCAAGTCGTTCCTCGCTTGCACGACTCCGTTCAAAAGTTCAGTCATCATCCCCTTCCTCTGTAGATCCCTCAAACCAGGTGTATTGGGGGATGAAACGTTGATGACCAACACGTCGGCATAGGGACCGAGACTGGTGACGCCCTTGACGAAATCCTCGATCGAATCAGGGTCCGAGGTCTTGTTCTTGCCCAAATTGATACCGAGCACTCGACCGGGTTTCAAAGAGCGAGGTAGGCCCAATCGATCGGCGACCAGGGCTTCTTTTCCTCCTTCAGAAGTCAACAAGCCTTCAACGACATCGCGCTCCGCACCGATCTGAATCGAGTCCGTCGCTGCAGGAGGTGTAGGCAAGAAGTGCGCAGGCAAGTGCGCCTTCATCAGATGGACCCATTTCTCGAGCCGTTGTCGTAGTCGGCTCTGAACGATTTGGTGTCCTTCCGAGTTGAAACCGTAGCGGTTGACGACGGCGTCCATCTCGGGGACACGGAAGAGGCGAGGTTTCGGGTTCCCCGGTTGGGGCTCGGGCGTAACGGAGCCGACTTCGACGTACGAGAAGCCTAGATTGAACAGACCGTCGATGGCGACGGCGTGCTTGTCCCACCCTGCGGCCATACCGATGGGCGAAGAAAAGGTTTGGCCCCAGACCTGTTGGAGGTCGAGAAAGGTGGAGAGATCAGTCTTGGCGCGGATTCCTCTTTTTGGACCAGCACAGAGGACCCACCTCGGTACTCAACAAGGCCGGATCATCCTCGCCACAATCGACGGGTGCCAAGCCAGAGGAAAGGAACTGGACGGCCCACTCGTGGGCTTGCTCCGGGTCGTTCTTGGTCAAGGCCATGACGGCGGGCAGGACGACCCATCTGTATGTTCAGACAGCGCTATGGTCAGCTTCACTGTGATTGTCTGGTGAGCACGGAGGAGGGAATACCTATGAACACCCGCTCTTGAATCATACGCATAGACCAAGAACGCCCCCGTGCCCAACAACAACAAAGTCGACTTGATGAAAGAGACGACCTTGCTCGCCGTATCAGCGACGACCTGACCCGTCTTGTTCGCGGCCTGCCCCGCCTTGTCGGCGACGACCTTGGCGGCCTCAGCTGCGTCGTCTGCCTTTTCGGAAGCGATTCGTTTGGCTTGTCCTGCAGCTTGGGCGAGCTCGTCGGATGCGGTCTCGAGTGCTTCGGCGGAAGCGAGTCGACCGGACTTGTCGACGACTTGGTCGGCCTTGTCCGCGACGACTTGGGCTGCGTCGTGGGCTCGATCCTTGGCTTGGGAAGCGAGGTGGTGGGCCCGGTCGGATGCTTCTGATGCCTGTGAGGAGAGCTGAGAGGCGAGGTGCTGCTTCTTGTCGTTGACGGCGTTCAAGGTGTGATTGACGGCGCTGGAAGCGACATCTCGATCGATCGGTTGAGAGGTGCTGGTGGTGGTGGTGGTGGTGGTGGTGGGCTGAGCGACATGAACGTGGGTGGGGCCAGTAGTGCCGACGGGCAAGACGTTGCTGTGAGTCAACTGCTCCACTTCGGCTGCTGCTGTTGTGGGTGATGTGTGGTGTACAGGCTGGGCAGGCGGGGACGGAGCCGAGGTCGAGGAGGACTTGGCGGTCGACGGGGCCGACGGGGTCGGTGGCTGGGTCGGAGCGGTCGGGAGCGTCGCCAACGAGTGTCGGGTGAAGTAGGTCGGCGAGAGCACCGCCTGACGAGCTCGGGAAGCGGTGAGCGATCGTCGACCGAGGCGGAACATGCTCGATGAGAGGCGGGGTGGCGCAGACCGAACAGCGTAGAAGTTGACGCCGCTGGCCAACAGCCGAGCAGATCGCAGGCGGAGGCAGGCGCAGGCAGGCGGTCAATCTCGGCGAGCATAGCCAGGACTATAAGAGCCCATTAGAGCCGATTACTAGAGCAGACTGCCAGTAGACTGCCTGGGACGGCCCCGGGCTGCTCCGGGCTGCGACCTCGCGCGGCACGTCCTCCCTCCCGCCAGCTCCTGCCCGCGTCTCGCTTTCTCCTCTGCTCTACACAACCTCGACGGCACCACCCACCATGGCCACTCCAACACGACTCGCCAAGTCGGTCCTACGGCGGAACCCCTTACTCTCCTTCCTCTCGCGCGAATCCCCGTCCTCGATCAACTCGATCGCGGCCGTCGCAGGACCGTCCACCTCCACCTCGACGGCTTCCTTCCTCCCCTACACCTCGTCCAACCCCTCCGTGCCCTCCCCCTTCTCCCCGACCAAGAAATCCGGCGATTCCAGACAGTGGAACGCGCCCAAATACTCGCTCCGACGCCAAAAGAAGCTCTTCGTCTCCGCCGTCCAACAAGGCTACGACCCTGCCTCCCTCCTCCCGCCGCCGCACAAGAACCATCAACCCAAACCGACCAGACCTCTCCTCAAGTTCAAGAGCTCGCCCTTCATTCCCGAGACGAGCGTGTTGGATCAGGTCGGCTTGACCAAGATGGGGCCGTACAAGGGCAGGAAAGCGTTGGCGTTCAAGGGCAAGATTTGGGAGAGGAACAAGCAACAACGCCTGAATCAGCTCGAGACCTTGTTGCAAGCTTCGCCCGTGAAGGAACGCACTTGGAGAGATGTAAGTTCTGTCCATGTAAAGCTTGTCTCCTAGCAGGCCGCTGACCGCTGACGCCATTTCTTTCTCTGGGTGCGCGTGCGCCCACCAGGGGTTGAAGTCCGAAAAGAAAAAGGGCAAGGCTGCTTTGTAGGGGGGGGACTGGAATTTTATACGCCTGCATCTCCTGTATTGGATCCACGTCCACCCGTCGCGAAGAAGAGAGTGCGCAACGACATTGGGTCGATCGCATCTGCAGCGGAACAAACAGTATGATGGAGCTCAGGGTTCGCAATCAGGCTTGAGAGTGACCACCGCCAGAGAAAGGAATGGGACCTCGCCTGGAAACAAGCAATCATCAGTCAGGTGGGGTCATGGACTCAGGAGACCCGGCGCTACTATACTACAAACACCCAAACTTTAATGTCTCATTTCTTTCACATTTTTTTTATATTTTTTTTACTCGTCGAGAAGAAGGGTGAGACTGCTTCTCAGGGGAGTGAAGTGTAGCCATTTTATAAACCGAATCCGCCGGTGAAGAAGAGAGAAACGTGAATCACAAACTCAACCTCCTCAAGGTATTGTGCCAAGATATCCCACTAGGTACGATTACAACAACCAAGGCTAATTCCAAGACGATGCACTATTCACAAGGTATCGTACCCATTAGACCCATAAGCAACCCTTAATCATGTTCACCTCCTCGTCCGATCCGAATCAATCTCATCCTCAGCGTCACGCTCCGATTCGTGCTCATCCTCCTCAATCGCCATGAACGTCACCTGCGTCGTCGCCGACCCTTGTCTTCAATCTCGATCATACCCACTTTCAAAAATGGAGAGATCTTCGAGATCCATCTCTGATGGTGCCGGTGCCGGTGGCGTCGTGTTGGGTGTGGTACCATGGCTTATGCTGGTGGGTGAGGGGATTTTGGTCCCTCCGCTTGGATGGGTATGGAAGAGCGTTGCGCCTGAACTGCCGTGTTGGGATTCCAGGACGGCTTCTGTTTCAGATGGGGAAGAGATGAGAATATATTAGCATTCAGCTTGATGCGAACACCGACTCAACCTACGGAGCACACCCAAAAGAACGCAAGAGAACGCACCCAAAGAATCATTCCGAGACCCCCCATCGAGATCTTGGTAGCCTCATTCATCGACCTCGCCCCGACTCCGACTCCACCACCACCACTCAATTCCCCAAAATTTTCTCCGCGATGCGACCCCGACGAAGACGTCCCCATCAGATTCACCGACCGACCCCCTCTCTCCCCCGAGCCAAGTAAACTCCCACTGACGCTCCCACTCGTCTCACTAAGCAGCGAAGCCTGAAAATCGGCCATACTTGGCCTTCGAAACGAAATCGTCGGTCCTAAGCCTTCCATCCCTCCTTGGGGAAACTGAACCATCCCTGCACCAGTCACTGCGGACCCTTTCCTTCGTAGGGACGAGAAGGACACGATATTCCTCGTCGAGGCGTAGACGAGACAATTGATCATCCCGCTCAGGGTGAACACACACCCTCCTGCTAGGGCGTAGTGGATCGGTGGTGTCTTGCCTGAGAGGAGGGCGAAACGGTAGACCGAGATGGGGAGAATCGTGAGGAGGTACACTAAAGGGTAGATGAGCATGATCGCTGCGATGCAATTCGATCCTCCGAGATTCGCTCCTGCCTTCGTTGGTGCAACGGTAGTACCGAATTTGTTGGATGAGGAAAGGGCTCGTCGCCTTCGTCGGACGATTTGGAGAGCGATGAAGGAGTAGGCGATCAGGTTAATGCCGGCGACGAGGAAGACCCAAAAATAGTGTAACCACAGGCGCCAAATCTGGTGCGACTGCGCGATCCAACACCATCCACCGGCGATGCCGTAGAAGGGACTTTCTCGCGATCCAAGTCGTGCAGGTCCGATCCCGGCCATGATTCCTGTAACAGTCCAGACCGAAGCGATGTAACCGTAGACGACTGGGGTCGACGGTGTGTACGACAGCACAAAGATGGCTGAGTGAGATGGAAAGTAGACGTCGAGCATCAGCACGCTTTCATCAAGGCTCGGGTCCTCCTCGAACTTCGGCAACGAGGAGGCGACAAGGTTCGGGCTCACAAAAGATGAACAGCGCGATGGATAAAGATGAGAACGCCGATGCAAGATCCCCGATTTGAATAAAGACCGCTGTAATAACGTGCGACGGTTCCAAAGACAAATTTAGCAACCATGCCCACTGGGATTCGCTGGGAACGAGCTCGAACGAGACCGACCTTGTGTTGTGCACGTCTCGTTCACGGGGCTTGGCAACCCTCCCCGTGCGATCCACGTCCAGTTCATGCTGAAGCCGATGGCTTGGAACAGATCTCCCGCAATTAGGGATAAAAAGAAGATGCCATGATTCGACGTGAGGAACACGATCCCTCGCGAGGTCGATGCTCGTTCGCTCGCCGAGCGCCTGAAGTGGTGACAAACGAGCCAAGCGCTGTACAGCACCAATAGCAGGATCGACAGGAGCGACAGCTGTGGAGAAGGGGTTATAGAGGTGCTTGGTCGTGTCAGCAAGTCGTACTTCCATGTGCCGAGACGCCATCGAGCGGGCGGCGTCAATTGTCGAGTGACAATCCTCCCCTCCCCGGCCTCCCGCGGAGACCGAATCGACGACTCACCGTTGCACAAGTGGCCACCGCGATCACGCCGGCGTGCTTGTCGCCGAGCGGGAGGTACCGAGTCGGCATTCGTTGACTTCTGGTGGCAGGGCCAGATGACACCCCGAGTCGTCCCCCTTTTTTCAAGAACGGGGAAATGTAGATTGGCGGGATGCGAAGCTCAGGTGTTGGCGACAATAGGACTCGACGAATTCGACGAATGAGGATCGACGCGGCGTGAATTTAGCTCGATTGGATCCAGCGTCATGGCGCGTGATCGCGCTCGTTCGCGCAACGCGTCGCGCTACATTCTCCTAATACATAATTACTAAAGGCTCTCTCGCGCCTCTTGCGCCTCTCGCAGCCTCTCGCCCTCTGCTGGGGCCGCCATGAAGGTCGAGTCCCCTCGCGTCGTGTTCTTCTCCAGGGCTAAGGTAAGCCCTTATCGGATTCCTCTGTCCTCTCTCTACTCGAATCCATCGCTGACGGGCCAACCTTTCATACGTGCCCACAGGCGTTTTCGCCGACGCCCCCAGTTCCCTCGCTTTCACCGTCGTCCTCGCCGCCTCTCTTGCACTGCAGTCGAGGCTTCGCGCATCAGCATGCGATTCGACACGTGACAGAATCGCCGATATGTTGGCAACGGCGTCGCTAGAAGGATTGGATCAAGATTTCATCGACCAACGGATCTTGCCTCGGGTCCTCGTGTGCGAACCAGCCGCCTTGGTCTACCAAGTTTTCGGCATGGAGCCGGACCGTTTCGGCCGACAAGTACAAAACGCACAGAACCACAGCAAAAAGGTGAAGATTATCCGCGCTTCGTACGACACCGACTGTGGGCGCCAGAGTTGCTTGCAGACCGTAGATTGGGCGTCGCAGGCGGCACACCTGGTGAGTGTCGTGTGGAGCTGGACAGAAGACATCGCGACACGCCCGGCTGCTTTGCGCTCACCACTTTGCTCTCCCGGCCCAGGGCCAGGCGACGGGTAATCAAGCGCACAATCTGTTCATCGCGGAGGTGCAGCGGCCTCCCCGTACGGCCAACTTAGGTGGACGTGGACGTGGGCTCACGGCATCCGAGCACTCACTTACTCACACTCAAGAGTCGAAGTATTTCCTGTCGTGCCATCAGTCAAAGCTGTCGACGGCGGACCCAGGCCTCGGGAGCCGTATGCTGGTCCCTATCGCATTCACTGGCCCCGATTTCGAGGAGCAATATGCGACTTCCCACTTTCCTGTCCACCCGCTCGTCGACGTCGTGATGGACCTTGCACAGCATGCGCTCACGCAACCGACGCGGCTCTTCGCACCGGGTCTGGCCGTCGTGGACGGGGATGCTTACCTTGTCGTCCTCGATCACGAACTGTGTCGAGTGGCTGAGATTGCGGACTGTTGGGGAGCAGGCTTCGGAGTGTTTGCTGCGGTGCTGTCGACCTTGTTCGGACTGGACATCTACTCGAGCGGGGTTTCTCCCTTGTTCCGATACGAGTGCTGCCGCGAGACCGGTCTCACACCCGTGTCGTTCTACACTCGATTTCTCTGCGAAGGCGAGGACGAGGGCGCGAGCGGGGTCAAGGGTCGCACTACCGAGTTCGAGAAGGACAAGCCGATTAGACTGTTGGTGTCCCACGTTGCCCAAGGTGGCAAGTCGTCCATTTTTGGCCGCTGCACGTTGATCTTCCACCTGACTCGCCCAGGCTTGGTTCAGCAATCGTTGTCGGGTCCGACGCCAATGTCCTCGTTCGTACTCAAGATCCAGCTCGTTCCCAGCGACTACAGAGGCAATGAGGCGCATGTGCTTGAATCAATTCGTTTGCACCACGCAAGGGGGGACCTCGCCACCGAAACGGTTGGTCACCTTGCGCTGCCCGAGCTGACCCAGTCGTTGCCGCCGCATTGCTCACAAACGCCCGACGATGAGCTTCCGCAACTGATGCACCCGGAATATCCCGATGTGCCTCTGAAGGATTCTCTTCGACGCACGCTCGATCTGCTCCTCCTACGCAATCCGACCGCTGAACTGCCCAGACCCGTCTCCGAGCCCGTGTCCGGCTTGCGCAAGGTCTATCGGGTTTTTATCAGCTGCTGGCTGTTTTGTCGGATCTCCACGCGTCGGGCATCCACCATCGTGATCTCTCACTGGGCAACATCCTGCATCACGACGGTCATCTCGTTCTGATCGACTGGGACGTCGGCGCGGTCGGTGCCAGCGTACCCGTAGCAGCTCTCGAAGGCGGTCTTTTGAGTATGAGCCTTGCGACCGCACCCCTCGGCGCGATCATGTGGCACTGTAGCGGGGGCGGAAGCCGATCGACCGGGCTTTATGGACTGCATCACGCACTTGGGTCGAGTATGTACTGGTTTGTCACCGTCTTGAGGTATCATGTCGCCACGTCGGATTCGGTCGAGGTGTGGGACGACATGTGGTTCCCTCCACCGCAGCCGATCATGTTTTCCATGGAAATGCGTGTGGACATGTCGCTGTGAGACTCGCGACCTGATGTGACGGAGAGAAAAGCGCTGCTCGAGGTGTTGGGGCGGCACGACCCTCGATTGCGTGAACTTGTCGATGTCGCGACCGATGCTCCCCCCTTTGTCCGCTCTACAGGACCTGGTCCGGCGCTGGAGGTGACGACGAAGGGCATCGCATCGATACGGGAGCTTTTGCGCGACATGGTATGACGTGAGTTGCGAAAGCGTGTTTTTTCGTTCGAGATGCGGGACCACGGATGTGCATCATCTTCCAAGGTCTGTCTTGATCAATCAGTACCAGTGCAGTGGATCGAAGTTCCTGCGGCGAATCATTCTGGCCGATCCGGAGCAGCACCCGCACGGGAGCCTGAGGGTCTTTTCGGCTTTTGCTGCACGGATTTCATGCCTACGTACTGCAATTTCACTCGTCCCCGCTACTTGGTCCGCACCGCGCTTTCTACGAAGGAGTCGAAAACTTTCCGGAAGCGAGTGCAGAGGACTTGCAAGTTGCGAGATCACGAGAAAGCGTGTCTAGGCTAGATTTTGTCTTCTTTAATGTCCGCTCTCTGATCCGCACTCCATGTCCTGATAGGATATGATGAAATTCGCAACCGGAGGAACGGCGTACTGGAACAAGCCGGAATGGGTGAGCGCCTGTGAGCATGTGAGCGCACTGTGAGCGAGTGTGAGCCTGTGTGAGCCTGTGTGAGAGGGTGTGAGCGCAGCCGTGGCGAGGATTGACGTCAGGACCGCCCGGTGCGCGCCGCTTCCCTTCCGATCCCCACCTCCACAAAAGCTCCTATCATCCCACCTCTAGGCCATGTCGTCCTTCAAGCAATCCGCACACAAGCTCTTGTTGATCCCCGGCCCCGTCGAGTGCCACGATGATGGTCAGTCCTACCTACTTGCCTCGCTGGTGTCCACGGCATCTCTACTCGGCTCGCCCTGGCTCGCCCCGGTTGATCGACCCGGACCCGGCGAGCTGAGAGAGGGGCGGTCCCTTCCCACCTGCCTGAGAGATGTTCGCGCTCGTCCAGCTGTACGGCACTGACCACACACTTGCACCCGCAGTGCTCTTGGCGAATGCGCACCCTTCCATGTCGCACGTCTCGCCCGCGTTCGCGCCCTCATTCGCCTACTGCATCAAGGCGCTTCGAAAGGTGCTGTACGCCCCGACGGCCCAGCCCTTCATCATTGCCGGCTCGGGAACGCTCGGATGGTAAGATGTGCATCTGAGACCGCTAGAACCACGCACCGTCCTGCCGCGCCTTACACGATCGCCGGAGGAACTGACCGTCCACTTGGTCCCGTTCGCTGACTGCGCTTACTCCGCGCTTGCCGTCCTCCGTTCTCGCGGTGGTGGGGCGACAGGGATCTCGTCGCGGCCAACCTGATCGAGGCCGGCCAGAACGCCCTCGTGCTCAACTCGGGCTACTTTGGCGACTCGTACGTTCAAGAGGATCCCCCCCTTTCTGGAGCAATGACTCACTCTTCCCTCGTTCATGCGCAGATTTGCCGACTGCCTCGAGACCTATGGCGCCAAGGTAACACAGGTCAAGGCGCCCGTTGGAGGTCGCCCGTCGCTCGAGGACGTCGAGGCTGCGCTCAAGAAGGACAAGTACGCTCTCATGACCTTCACCCACGTACGTTCGACGAAAGCAGCTAGCGAGGTCTGATGTGGGGCCGCTCCGTATCTCCGACTGAAAGCGTCTTCTCCGCGCTTCATCTTACACAGGTCGATACTTGTGCGTCATGTCAAGACCTATAGGTTTGTTCCCAAGAACCGACACTGACGCGAGATCTGTTATTTGCTTTGCACAGCGACGGGCGTGCTCTCCGATGCCAAGGCGCTCGGTGAACTCGTCAAGCGAGTCTCGCCCGAGACGCTCGTCATCCTCGACGGTGTCTGCGCCGTCGCCTCCGAAGAGATCCACCAAGACGACTGGAACATCGACGTCGTCGTCGGCGCATCCCAAAAAGGTCTCTCGACTCCCCCAGGTGTCTCGATCACGACCGTGTCAACCAAGGCGTTGAAAGTGCTCGAGAACCGCAAGACGCCCGTCGCGTCCTACTTTGCCAACTACAAGCGTTGGTTGCCCATCATGCAATCGTACGAAAACCTCACCCCGGCTTACTTCGCGACGCCTCCCGTCAACCTCATCTATGCGCTCGAGGCGTCGTTGAAGCAAATTACGGAAGGGTCGCCTTCCCTCGAGGAGAGGTTCCAGATCCATCGCGAGGCGTCCAAGAAGTTCAAGAAAGCCGCGGAGGAGCTGGGCTTCAAGCAGGTTGCGACCGAACCGGAGACAGCGGCGAATGGGATGACCGCCGTCTATGTACCTGAAGGGATTGCTCCCCCGGCTTTGGTTGGGGCGCTCGGTAGCCGGGGTATCGTCATTGCGGGTGGTTTGCACAAGGATATTAAGACCAAAGTGAGCAGGACATCTAACGCAGGAAAGCTGAGGCGTACAGGCTGATTGTGATGTCGATCATCTGGTGCACAGTACGTTCGCTTCGGCCACATGGGTGTTAGCGTCCACCCGTCTCGCAACGACGTCGACGTCATGATCAAGGGCCTGCAAGATGCCGTCGCCGAGGTCAAGCAACAGAGCGCATGAAGGTTCAAGCTGTGATGCTGAAGAAACGAAGAAAAACAACAAGACGGAACCAAATCCGACCACAGCTCCAGCTATCCTTTTTTCAGTCACCCCTCTCTCTGTCCTAAGTGGATACGCGCTCACGTTCCGCTAGATTGAAGTTGTTTGCACTCTTTTGCGCCTTCTTTTCGTCATTTGGTTTCGCAGCTTGGAATACATGAAGGGGCATGTCAGTCTTCTCTATCGACATGAGTTTCATCGGATCCTCATCCACGAACACCCGCAGTACAAACAAGCCTTACACTCCCTCAGCATAGTCTCAACTACTCCTCCCCCTTCCCCTTCACCCGCCCCTTCCTGCCCCTCCGTCTCCGCCGGAAGCACCGCCTTCTTCTCCTTCTTCGAACCCAACCCCAACAAAGCCTTTCTCTCACACCCCACACAGGTCCTCACCACCACCGTATCCACCACCTTCAACGTAATCGAACACCTCTCCCAAACATGACCCCTTTCACACCTCGCTGCACGAACGCCTTCCAAGGCGATGGGGGAGGAACAGGCGGGACAATGTTCGGAACCGCCGAATGTGTGTTGTAGGGTGTCCGGGTCGGGCAGGGTGGAGGAGACGTCGGATGGGTCTTCGATCTTGAGTGGGGCGTTGGTGAAGGAAGCCGAGGCGAGGAGGATGCGGCCGGAGATGGGAAGTTCGGTAGCTGTGAGACGAGAAGAACTTCGATCAGACCTCGTTGACCGAAACCTGGCCGTGTGCGAGGTGCACGAACGAGAAAACTCACGCATCAAATGTTCCTGAGCACTGCTCATCATCTCTCCCAATCTCGTCACAACCTGATGCACAACTCTCCTCGCCAATGCACGATGAACCTCTCCTGTCCTCCTCTTCAACCCCTTCGGCAGAGACGTATGTCGGGCCAAGAATCGAGTGACGAGTTCTCGGTACCGCAGAGCGTTGAGCGCGGCGTCAAGGTAGAGGTGATCGTAGATGGCTTGGGCTGTGGTTGGACGGTCTATAAGGGAGTTGATGATGGGGGTTTCGAGAGGTATCGATTCGGCTTCAAGTAGGGTGAGGATGGAGGACGTCCAAGCAAAGTTGGAAATGGTTTCATCGGCGTAGCGTAGGAAGGAGCGCAGGACAGCGAGTGGTGAGGATTCGAGAGCTGTACCATGACATAACGTCAGCCTCCAATGGCCAAGCTTTCCACAACGACCTCGGACTCACGATTCCTCGGCTCGCCCAAAAGTCTCTGCAACCTCTCCCTCTGCTTCTCCCCTTTCACATCCCCCAAAATTGGTAACACTACAAACTGCGTCCTCGTATGCCCAATGGCCTTATAATTCATCGCATCGGGCACGACGTTCTCATACAACCAACCCAATTGACCATCTTCCCCGAAAGCGGTCAGGCCGAAGATCCGAGCACCTTTCTTCCATGTGCCTCCGGCGGCTTGAGTTTCTTGTCTTCTGGCACGGGTAGTGTAGGTTTGGCCAAAGGTGCGGAGGAAGACTTGGCGTGCTATTCGGGTCACTTGGGCACTCGTCGTGGTGATTGGGGATCCATCCTCGACGGATTCGGAAGAGTCGATAAAGTGCCATTGACCCTCCGTTTTGGAGAGGATGTAGAAAGCCGATGATTCCAGGGAGAGGATGAGGGTTTTGGACGAGGCGTACCATTCGATCCCGTTGCATGGAGCGAAGGGTGTCGTACCCATCCAATCCCCTTGTGTGCTCAATTCGAGCTCAAAAGAGCTTTCAAGTTGGTAGGTCGACGTAGGGTCCTCAGAGGTGTTAGGCTCCAAGTCGATGAAGGTGATCGTACCGAGCTTGGTCAATGCGAGAGTGGGCTGGGGGGGGATGAAACACATCAGCCCATGTAAGCCAGACTCAAGCTAGAGACGTGAGAATTAGACTCGCCAATGTCTCCTCATTCGGTATCCACTTGAACTGACTAACGGGTCTCTGATCGGTCTCACAAATGACAATAGGTTCCGTCGCCCAAACATCCTCCGTCTTTTCAGACGGTGCAGCCTCTTGATCAGACAACAACGGCCGACCCGCGCTGACATACTGCGAGACTTCCACGACCCATGTCTGACCTGTCGAGTCGGTGGCGGCTAGTAGGCCTGTTGTTGTTGTGCCGTCGTGGGACGGTATCCAATTGGACCAGGAGAGGAGGGTAATCCAGCTCGCTTGGGGGTCGAGCCGATACCGATGCAGTATCGATAGGTCGCCGTTGTGAGCTCGTCTGAGAGAAAGTGGTGGTCAATGGTACTGAGGGCTATTGGATGCGCAGGTTCACACTACTCACCTCCACAGCGAAACATGCCCACTCCTGTGACCGATGGCGAGAATCGAAAAGTCTCCATAAGCACCAGTCACCGCAGACGACCAAGCGACGGCTGTATGTGGCATTCTGGTGGTTCAGTCTTATATTCCCTACAGTGACGAGGAGTAATGAGCGTGGAGGTACACGGACCTGTGCTCTGACATTCCCAAATTTTGGTGGCGAGCTGGCGTCGATCCTCTTGCGTCTCGATCGGTTTATCACTCGCGGGCGTCGTCGGATCTGGGAGGCTCGGCTCTCGAGGAAATGATCAGCGTTCGGAATCATCCGACGTTTCTTCTGCCTGAATCCTCACCTTCATCGCGCAAAAGTAACCTGATCAAATGCGACGAAATGTCAAAGGCCTGTCGCAAAGTCCAGGCCCGGGATCAGAGTTTCGTCCAAATCTGACGTTGTGCGCGGCGATGCGACTGACAGTGACCCATTGTGACTTGTGTGCGTTCTTTTGGGGTTCATATACGATGGCTTCGTTGTTGTTGGACAAAGCCACGAGGGCACACCTGGATCGAGAGCGGATGGGGTTCCGAAAGATGAGCGACCGAAGACTTGTCGGAAGACCTCCGAGCGTATTTGCATGATCGCACTGACCCTCCTATGGAGCCCAAACCCAATGGTGACCAAGCTGCATCCCTCCAGAAGTGTTCCAGTGAACCCGACGCGGCCGTCCCGACATGGATCTCTGTCGACACAGAGGGTCGGAATTCTCATCAGCCTCGAAAGGGACTCGCTCGCTCGCTCGCTGGAAGCCCAGCCCACATTAGACCACTGACCATTCGCCCATCCACCCCAGTCGATAAGATCCTTTTTCTCTATGGGGATAGTCGTCCGAAAGGCAGGTAAAGGCGTGGGATCGTCTGCATTGGCCCTCTCCTTGCCCTTTGAGGTGTTCGCATTGGCGGTGAGGTTGGCGAGTGCGCCGGACTGTACGATCGGTTGATCGGTCTGGTAGCCCGTTGCTGGGGTCTGCGAGGATGCAATGAGCGACTGAGTTGACCGCTTCGAGCAAGGTTGAGCTTGTGCAGCGCACTGCTGCACCGTACCAGAATGTTGATTTGCCCTCGCGTCAGGAGCAGGATCTGGCCGGCATGGTTGAGCGACAATGGACTTGGGGAGGAGACCAAGGGCGTGAAATCGTAGGTGCTGATGTTGTATCGGGGTAGTTCAAAGTTTGACGTCGAAGGGAGGGAGGGTAGTTCGGGTTCGTCAAAGTTGTTGGGGTCGGGAGCAGGGTCATCGCGCATTGACGCGTCTTGCATGGACGCGACCATCATAGTTGGAGTGGATCAGAGTTGTGGTGACAGATTTTGGTCGATCGTGCTTACGATGCTACACTAGTGGTGGGCATTGGACGCGTCCAAGCCCCGTAAGCTGCACACACGCCCAGTCGGCCGGCGCGACTCACGTGACCAACCTCTTCTTTCCGCGCTCAACCCGGGCCTGCCGCCTTCACGCGCTATAGCACGCGAGAGCACGCGCGAGCCCGCCTTCGGGAGGCACGCCCTCACTTCCTCACTCGGCCCTAACGGCCTAACCCCCGCCAGCGCGCGGCTGACCCGCCGCCGGTCGCTACTTGGCGAGTTCAACAGCGTTCAACCGAGGACCGAGCTTTGTCCTTTCTTTCTTCTTCGCAGTGCCCTCCTTCTCCTCACCACCACATCGAAATATTCGTCAACATGTCTTCCCCACCGATCAAAGTCGCCGTGCTTGGCTTTGGCATGTCTGCCCAAGGTCAGTCCCACCGCCGGTCTCGCGATCGATCAAGTTCTCGGTCAACTTCGGCATCCCATCATCGATTAGGCGCCAGACGGGCTGAGGTGGCAGACGAAGCCACGACTCGCCTGCCACTGCTCCAACTAACCCGTCGCACATCCAACCCCACACAGTCTTCCATATCCCCTTCATCCAATCCCTCTCGCAGCACTCCCACCTCACCACCATCCTCGAACGCTCCGCCACAGCCGACAGCTCCAAAGCCCGTGATGCGTTCCCCGAGGTCAAGGTCGTCACCCACTTGCAACACGTGCTGGACGATGACGAGCTCGAACTGGTCTTTGTTTCGACAATTAACGATACCCATTATGAGTATACAAAGGTGAGCACGGCCAGAATCTGATCTTGATCCACCCCACCAAAGGGCCCACACCGTCGCCGGAGTCCGCAGGAGCGCGGGAGCGCGACAGAGTGCTCACGACCCCTTTTTCACAGGCCATCTTGAACGCCGGCAAACACGTCGTGTGCGAGAAAGCGCTAACCCCCACCTCGGCCGAGGCATACGAGTTGGCCGAATTGGCAAGCAAGAAGAACCTTGTCCTGGCTGTGTACCAGGTAGGTCACTGCAAGAACTCAAGGAGTACCATGATCTTGAGAAATCAGCTGATAGCTCGTCGTGATGCTACCCGCCCCAGAACCGCCGATGGGATTCCGATTTCTTGACCTTGAAGCAAGTGCTCGCCGAGAATCGCCTCGGTGAATTAAGCGAGTTTACGTCCCATTTTGATCGCTACAAGAACGAGGCCGCGACGACAAAGTTGTGGAAGGAGAAGGTGGGTCGCAAATACCCTTCCCGTGTCCACCTTCGAGAGTGCAAACCGCTGAGTTCACTTTTTTGGATTCGGCAGGACTTGCCTGGAAGTGGAGCGGCATACGATCTCGGATCCCATCTGGTGAGTCTCTGACTACAACGACCCAGGTGTAGTATCTAACTTCTTGGACCATGCCTAAACGAATCCCATGTCTTCCAGGTCGACCAAATCCTCGCCCTCTTCGGCAAGCCCCAAGCCGTGACGGGTTTCGTGCGCAACTCTCGCTCGATCGGTAATCCCGACGTACCCGACTCGTTCCTCATTCATCGTATGTCATCTCCTCTGCTAAGTCCGTGCCACAAATCTTTTCTCAAAGCGGTTCATTTTCTCCTCACATACAGTGCATTACCCCTCAACCTCGGAAGCAGGTCGTCGGCTGCCCCTGATCGCGACCGCACGAGGAAGTGTCCTCTCCCTCGTCTCACCTCAAATGAGGTTCACAGTAAAAGGTACCGTACCCCACCCGAAGGCTTTCCACCCCATCGAATCCTTCCAACTAAAAACCCCCATCAACACTTCCCCTCCCACAAGGCACCAAAGGAGCTTTCATCGAACACGGCTTGGACGTGCAAGAGGACCAACTCAAGAAAGGGGCCAAGAGCGCGGTTGACCAAGCTGATTTTGGAGTTGAACCCAAGGAGTTGCAAGGGACGTTATACGAGGTTGAGGGGGGCCATAAGTGAGTTTAAATCATAGACTTTGGTTTAGTTCCGCGGGGGGGGGATTTATACTGACGCTTCTGGAGTTCGTGTGAAAAGGATCGAAACCGAGACGGGGAACTACAAGGCTTGGTTCGAGAATGTCGCCGAGGTGAGTATTATTTTCCCTATCTTTGCCCCATGTCATGAACTAACGAAAGACTCCGATACTCCTTCAACTCAGGCCATCCGATCAAAAGACCGAAGCAAGCTCATCGTCACGCCCGAAGCAGCGGCGTTGACGATCGAGATCATTGAAAAAGCCACTCAGAGCTCAAAGGAGGGTCGTACGATACAATTGTAGAACAACCCTACCCCACCTGGAAGTGCGAAGCAGTTCTTGTTCCTCTCCAAGAAGGGCCTAGGCAATTAGAAAAAGTAAGAGAGCGAATTGATCTTAATTTCCTGCGCTAGAACCGCTTGCCACCTTTGTCTTCTACGACACGGTAAAAAAAACTTCAACCCCGTGGTTCTAATGTAGACACGTATGCCCTCATCCAACTCAGTCAACCCTCTCCTCATCATTGAGTTTCACCTCCACCACCTGATCCTCCCCTCCGACCCCACTCCAACCCCCATCCTCCCCATTCAAAGGGTTCCAATCCTCCTCCCCGTCCCTCGGTTCCACCAACCCTCCCAAAACATCCCTGGGCGACCCCGGTTCAGCAACATCCGAATCCGAACTCGAACTCGAACTATCCTGCATTGCCGACGCCAAAGTCCCCTTGAAGAAATTCGGTCGAGCTCGCACAGTACTTGACAGCGTCGTATCACCCGCTCCATTGCCGATGAGGTCGTCTTCTTCATCATCGTCAATCATCGTCGTTTGGCGAATCGAGGTGTAAGGGGAATGTAGCAACGCGTTCGAATGCATGTTCGAGGGAAGATTCTCCGTCGATCCGAACGGAGTGTTCTCGAGTGAGTTCGGTCCGGAGGGAATACCGGCATCCGAGTTGGCTGCCGAGGCGTTGCGAGATTGGATGGCCGAATCAATCAGTTCGCGTGATTTGGCGCCAATGGGGCGTGTCGTCCGGCGGCGGTAGAAGCATAGGTACGCGGCTTTGGTCTTGACGGCTTCGGGGTTGTTGATCTCCGAGACGCGGGACTGCGGAAGAGAATAGAGGGAGCACATGTCAGCGTTGAGCGAGGGGAATGGGCTGATTCGCAAAGTCCCACCAGGAGTCAACTCACGTCATCAAAGTCGTACCATTTGCCATTCTCATGGTTCTTCGCATACGCCGTATAATGCCCCCCGCCCATCCCACCATAATGGTTATCAACAGCATAAAGATCATAAATGAGCGACTCGGGTTCCTCCGCGCCCGTCTCGCCAGCCAACCTTCGTTCGACCTTTACACCCTCAACAAAAGGCTCGATATCAAAGTCCTCGAGAGGGAAGTCCACAAGATCATCAAGCTTGTCCCTTGAGTACCGATTTGCACTGAAGCGCTTGAACGCAAAGACGAGCACGTCGGGGACCTTCCACAACTCGACCTTTTTCGTCGCTTGTTGATGCTTCTTGCATACGGGGCAATACCACGTATCGTCCTCCCCCAATCGTTCCTCCTTGGTGAACTCGTTCAAACAATCTTGGATCGTGATGGCTTTCTTCATCGTTCCCCTCGGGCGGTTGCGTCGTTCAGCGAGGACAGGGTCAACGAGGGATTTGACTTGGAGCCACGTCGCTTGGTCCCCGTCCGAACCATTACCGCCAAAGTAATGCGCCAACGCAGCGGGCTCCCATTCGACGTGGAAAAAGTCACCGTTCTTCACAAGAGGCTTGAACGCAGGTGGAGGAGGCGTCGATTCAGCCGTAGACGCAGCGGCCTCCGACTGTGGTCCCAGCTCGACTGGTGCAGGTGACAATGCGTCAGTCGACATCGCCGATGAACTCTCCTCTTCAACGGTGGGGAAAGCGCCAGGAACATGACCCGGAGCGGGAGCAGGTGCCGTCTTGAACATGTCCGTCTCGGGCGACGGCGCACGAGGCAAGCGTGACTCGAGGGGTAGGACGGGTGTGTTCTCACAGTCCCTTTGGCCGAGAGGTAGGCCGTGTTTGGTGACGGGGTGCTTGGAGACGTATATTTGAAACGGGCCCTTGGATCGGGGCGTCTTGGATGTCGAAGGCACGGAAGAAGCTGTGGTCGAAGCCGCAGTCGAGAGAGAAATCTCACCATCCACCTCCATCGAGGCTTCGGGCGGAGGCGTAGGAGGTAAGTTTTTGCTGGAGCCAACCGTCGGGGCACTGTGAACTTGCGGCAATGTAGCAGCAACACCACTGTCCTGTTCGAGCTCGACGAACTCGAGCAGTTCCTCTCCCCTCTTGGTGACGCGAGCGTATTGTGTCGCCAAAGCTAGTTCGATCGCTTCGACACTCGAAGCTTGTTCGCACGTGAGCGTAAGCAGGAAAGGGGAACCGAACGCATCGCCATGGTTCGAAGCGCCGTAAGATCTGTGAGAGCTGCCGCTGAACTTGCTCCTCGCCTTGTGCATTACGGGGATGACGATTGGCGCATCGAGATCCATGCGAAGAGGTTTCGTCCTTCCGTGTTCCCTAGGTTTAGGCTGAGGAAACGGTCCACTCGTTTCCCAGAAGACGAGGCAATCCCTCTCGGTATTGAGTTCCGAAATCATGTCGTCGTCGTACCACGCTTTGAAAGGCTTGCCCTTCCACTCTTCGATCGTGACGAGGTGTTTGGGATCGCAGTCGACGAGCTTGGCGACTAAGGCTTTGGCGGTTTTGATCGTGCCATTCTTGGGCACCTCGAGATCGACGACGTAGCGAGCTCGTTTCGGATCCAAGGGAACAAAGTAGATCCTCCCTTCCCACTTTTTTGACACGGGCAGATTCATCGTCACGTACATGAACGGGTCGAATGTGATCGAGACCTGTACCGTCGTGCACATCAGAATCAGCGGATTGCGCGAGGGACGACCCATGCGAGATAACTGACCTTGTCACAATCAGGACAAACGACCGTACTTCTGTACTGCCCCTGGAACAAATCGACAATGACCGAATCATTGCGACTCCTATACTGTTCCCAACACGTCCTCGCCAACTCAAACATCTCCTTATCCCCACCCCCCTCCCAATCCGGTGCGCTCGTAGGCGGTTTCTTCTTGATCCGATTCAAATCCTCATGCACACCGTCCAAGAGGAACGCGAGTAGTTCTTGGGTGTCTTGTTGTCCGTACCCGGAGAATTGAGGGGCGAAACGTGAGAGGGCTTGTTTGAACTCACGCGGGGCGTAGGCGCCGCTTGAGGTGGACCAGAGGCGTTCGATAAGTTGGCCGAAACTCTCGGCGACTTGACCTCGCATGCCCAAAGGGTTCGTTCGGTTGATCTCGCTCTTGTAGACACCAGCTGGTGGGGCCACAAGTTCCGCATTAGCACGTGAACGGACGCTCAAGTTGACGTTGTGTCACGTACAGGAAAAGTACTCTTGCAGCTCCTTGGTGTTGCTCATGCATTGCAAGGCGGAATTCATGAAGCACGTGCTGCAGAGGGAGGTGCGCAACAGGATCAGCACGGCATTACCAAAGTCTTGTGAACGACATGATGATCCACTCACTTTCCAAGGTTGGTCAATCCCGTCAATCCTCGCTGCCCCGAACGCGAATTGGATTTGCTCCGCGTCAACGCTCCGCCAAGACTCGCAAACAACCCCGCCCCGCCACCCCCACTTCCCAAAGTCGAACCCGAATGATTCGACGCTGCAGGCCTCTCGACTCCAGTCTTGTTCCTCGGAATCACGGCGAAGCGATCAAAGAATTGCGTGCCGAACAGCTTCTTCTTGTCGTCCGCTGCTGCGGAGGAATGATGCGAGCTTGAAGCGGATGCGGAGGTCGAGGCTTGGATGGAAGTTTCGTCGACGAGCCATTTGCCGTCCTCGTTCTGCTCCTCGATGGCGAGGCGCGTCATCTCGTCCGTGAGCATCGCATCGTTGAGTGAGGTCGTCCCAGAAATCTCGCCACGTTCGACCAATTCGACGCTGTGGCCGGCCTGGGCGACGCGACTGAGTTTCTCGGCAAAGATGTGACCAGGCCCATCGAGTAAAGGCGCGGCCAACCCGACCTCTTCATCGGCGGGCAGTCGCCAAAGCCGACTCTCGCGACCGCTGCTGAGGCCGTACTGGATCGCACACAGCTCCTTCAGTTCTTGGACGGTTGAGCCAGAGGACAGGGAGATGGTCGGCGTAGATTCGACGATGGGTATCGAAACGTTGACGGCCAAGGACTCGCTCGGCAGAACTTTGACGGGGCCGAATGTTGGTGGGTAGAATTCGACGCGTTCGCTCCCGAAGCCGCCCGTCGAGACGACCTGACGCTCGATGGGAAGGGACGAGCGACCGTACCTATCAGACGTGAGGATTCAGATTAGCATTTGTCCGGCATAACCCCCTCACCGAGTGTACTCACCACTTGACCAAGAAATCCCATGCCTGCGGCGACAAGAGCACGACATCACGTCCTTCCTGGACGGGCCTCTTGAGCGCGCCGCTCTGATCCAAAATATCGGCATTGCTGACCGGTCCCAAATTCTCAACCGACAAGTCGGCATCATCGTTGTCATCGCTCTTCTCGTCGCGTACGCCCGAGCAGGCAGTCTGCCATCGTCTGTACCAGGTCCGGGAGACGAGGTACCAACTGTCGCCTGGGGCCATTTCGTTCTGCGCGTCGCGGAGCCAGTCCTGGATCAGAGCGAGTTGGTTCGCGCCGTCCGGTGGGGGTTCGGTGCGCTCGAGGCTGACGGGGACGGCGTTTTCGTCCCCCTCGTCATCGTCGTCCATGGTCGTAGAGGAGGGGGTGACGGCGGTTGAAGCGAGGGTTGAAGAAGTATAGCTGGGTAGTTGCTCTTCGTCTTCGGTATGAGACCCAGCGGCGGCGACGGCAGCAGCTGCAGCGGCCGAGGAGCGAGTCGTCGGTCGAACTACACTAGCAGCGAAAGCAGAAGCGTCGTCCATGGCCACATCACCCGACTGGCTGTCGATTTCGTCGTCGTCGTCGTCACCACGTTCAGAAGACCCTTCAAGATCCAACCTCGAAGCGCCGAGCGAATCAATGTCACTCGGCGAATCTGCCGTGCCGGTGGGGTCGACCGAGAGGTGACGTTTGACCACGGACGACTCTGAGCTCTGGGAAGCGTCCGACAACGCGCGTTTGCGGGCCGACAATGTAGGCGAAGGAGGCGCAGCAGCAGTCGCAGCGCTGTGTGGATTCGAAGTCAAGTTTAAAGTGGAGGCAGGCGATGATGAAGCCAGTGATGACGAGGACGACAGCGCGAGCGCGAGCGCCAGCGGCGTGCGTGGTCGATGCGGATGCGGATGCGGATGCGGATGCGGGTGCGGATGTGGGTGTGGGTGCGGGTGCGGATGAGCTGCTGCAGCGGCTGCGTCCGGGTCAGTCTGACTCTCTCGCCCGCGGTCTGAGCGCATACGACCGGCCGACCAAAGCTCGAAGCAAGGTGGGAAGAGAGCTGGGAGGTCTCAGAGTCGGAGCCTCGGCTGGACCGATGCAAGGACGACAGCAGGCGCAAAGAGAGACAGGAGCGGAGTACCGTCTTTTACGCGGCTGAGCCTGGCTGAGCCCAATTGGGCGGAGTGAATTGAGTGGGGTAATCGCTTTTCGGCTTTTGCTGCAAGAGTTTGACGCTAAGGACTTCAGCGCGCGCGACCTCAACAACCCCCGCTGTAACTCGCTCTAGGCTAAGCCGTGCCCGCATGCATTCCTCCCGCTGTAAGCCGTGCCGGGTTTCATGCCTGATACTGCAACTCGACTGGTCCCCGCTACCTGGTCGTGACCGCGCTTCTACGAAAGAGTGGAAAGACGGCGCGGCCGCGAGCCCAGCAGCAGGCCGCAGTCTCATCAGGACCGAGCACGCGTTAGGTGGCAACCTGTCGTATGTGGCAGGCTCGAGAGTGGCTCGACGACTTCCAAGAAGCGAGGATGGGCTTCATCATGTGGGTGCATGGAGCAGGTCATTACTGCTAATGCAGGGCGAAACGGTCCTCTGCTTTCCCAGTGCCCACGACTAAATGTGTCTGATTGCGGGCATTCATATACGAAACGACACTGCCCCGAGGCCCCCACCCAACCCAATAATTGGCTTGCTTATTTCAGCACTGCCCTATCTCGACAACAGAGCCGCAACAGCCGAAACACAAATACCCACAGCCACACCGACACCTCCAAAAGCGAGCATTCTTAAATCTGGCTCTTGCAAAGCGTACTCTCGATACCATGACCAGGTGCCAGAAATCGTAGGTGATGTTTGCTCGGGGTCAGAGTTCTCGAAGGGGCTTCCGTCGGGGGAGGAGAGGACGGCTTCTTCGTAGTTGGGCAGTTCGGAGTCGTCGAGAGTAGGCGAAGGTGGGGAGAGGGCTGAAGGAATTGCTGTAGGTGCATTAGGGTGCGAAGGAGCAGACGTCGTCGAAGTGACGAGTCGATCGAGTTTTTCTTGAGCATCCGTCAAAAGCGATTGAAGAGACACGAGCGAGGCCATCGTCGCTTCTTGGCCCTCGCTTGCGTTCTCTCTCAACCTTGTGAGCGCAAGGCACAGTCAACACACTGATCGATCGCAGACTCGACCAAACTCGCTGCACTCACCGGGCTTCGACGCCTTCGACCAACCGCCGCCGCTTCCACGGTTCGACCAAGAGGATCGTGACGATGAACAGCAGTACGTTGAGCGATGTGATCCCAAGAGACCCATAGGTCGACAAAGATCGGATCTGTGACGAGAAGCGGCTGAAATGAGACTTGCTCCTGGGTGTCAAGCACCCTGCGGAGGAACCCACCTTGTCGGACCAAACCTGCTCCTCGTGGTACCTCTCCAGGATCGCCTGCATCAGCTCTGGTGCCATCGATACGGACTGCTGTTAATGAGGTGCTTGAAACATAAATAATCCTCGATCGACGCACCGGAAAATCCCGATTCGACCTCTTGCTCGGTCTTCTCTGCTGCGACCCTTGCTTTGGCTTCGGCTTGTTCGTTCTCGTGATCTTGCTGAATCAGCTCGGTGAACCTGCGGTGCAGATGATAGCATGAGTGATGTGGACCACAAATCTATTGCAGTGAAGCAAGCTGAGCCACCTCATGACGTCGGCCGAAGTCCATGAATGCTTTCTCTGCAGGAGATCGTTGACCTCCTTCTGACTCGCTGCCCGGACGGCGACAGCGGCTGCGAACGCCTGTTTACTCAATCCAGCGACCTCTCGAGCTGCATTGAGAGCTTTCTCTGTGCCCATCAAAGAACAACGGTGAGGTAAAAAGGTGTCAGCCGGTCGCTCCGCGCCAAAAGTGGGGCTTTAACCTCAGCTTGACCGACCTCTTTCGACGACCCCCTTCCTAAGCAGATCGATCTCCACGTACCCCGTCGCAGCATTGATCTTGCCCCCCACGTCCCGCAACCTTCTCTCGAGTTCCCAGGCTCGGATCGTTTCCTTGACTGAAGCGGATTGCTTGCGAGCCAAGTTGTCCAAGGTCGCCAAGAGGGAATTGAGTTGACGTTGAGCGGTTTGGGAGGCATTCGGATGTCGGGGAGTGGAGGGCGAGGTGGTGGTGGACGACGAAGAGGGTAATGTAGATGCGGGCGGGGTCGTAGTATCGGACGAGGGCGCCGTACTCGAAGTCGAATAAGAATGCAGTCTGGTCCAGTCCCCGGTCGAGGTGGGCGTGACGAAGCGCGTAACTCGTCGCGTCGAACCCGGTGCAGTCCGTGTCAGTCGCCGATAACACGCCGAACATGTCGTCGAGCTGACTGATTTCAGTGCTGTGGAGGCCATCGGCTCCCTTGCGATCGAGCTTGGTGTTGAACTCGGCCAGACCAGTATGCGGAAGGAGGCTCGTCGATCGTTTTCTCGCCGGGAAGTTGATCGGAAGCGCGTTCGATTGCTGTCGATTGGAAATTCGAGACAGCTGTGGGCACAGGTGGGCACTGGGCTGGCAGGCTGGACATGCATACACGCGACTCGAGCGCGCCCCTTTTGTGTGCATAGTATACTATCTACCTCATTGCCTTGCTACCCACGCCATGAGCTAGACAGCACACCCACCCATGTCGACCGTACTCCAACCTACCACACCTCTGAAACCTTCCCAGCTTTCCAACACGCTTGCCCCCGCACGCGGACCGGCGAGTGGCAGCATGTTGGCCAAATCGCACGCGCCGCCGCGAGCGGGAGCGGCATCAACCAACTCGCACCCGTCCTCCTGCTCGTCGTCGCCGTCGTCTGAGTCTCCGAAGACCAGTGCGCTCTCGCGCTCCCTGCAATCGACCGCCGCTTCCCCTTCGTCGTCGGGGATCTATGCCGCGAACGCTCAATCGGAACGCGTGAGGATCGATCTGCAACGCCTCGAAGAAGCGAAAAGGGTCGAGAGTCTTAGAGCGAGGTCAGTACGCACGGGGGTCGGTGGGCGTGCGCGATCGCTCTGAGCTGCTCTGAGCCAGTTCTGAGCCTCTGACGATGATGACTGTGGCCGTTGCTGACATGAGCTCCTCTCGGCGTGTTTCTGTGTTTCTTTGTGTGTGTCGTTCGCCGCACGCAACTTTTCCTGTTTGCCCTCTTGCCCCTGTCACTGTCACCATCACCATCACCAGTTTTTTGAGCCCTCCCTCCTCGACACACCACACACCCACCTCGAAACCCAACATCCTCGTTTCTACTATTAGCGGTAGCCCCCGCACCGGCGGCTCACCTGCTGATCGTGACCGCGACCGCGACAGCGGCGACGGCAGCGACGGCAGCGACGGCAGCGACGGCAGCGACGGCAGCGGCGGTGGCAGCGGCGGCGCCCCCACTTGCAGGTCCTCGTCACGTGGAGCCGGCGAGGGCGATCAGTACCGTCACAGTCTCAGCCCAGTCACTGCCTCAGGTGGTGTAGGGAGCACTCCAATTTCCCCTCCTCCACCTTCATCGCAACAGCCCTCGCCAGACTCGGTACTGGCTTCGGTCCTGGCCAACATGTCCCTCAACGCCGCCGATTCGCCCTCGAACTCGGCCCTCTCGTCGACCCCTGCTGTGCCCGAGACGTCGTCGCCAACAGCACCTGCAAAATCACCCAAGAGGAGAAGTTTCCTCAGCAAGCTCGCGGGCGCCATGGATGGCGTAGCACATTCGAATTCCACATCGACAAGTTCCCGGGCAAATCACCCCGTCAAGGAAGAAGTGGTTGCTCAGACTCGTGTGGACGCTTCACCGACTCGTACTAATCCACCTCCCAAAGCGCCGCGACGAGCGACCAGTAAAGAGTGAGTCAGCTATGATCGATCAACCTCGCAGCCTGGCCATGTATTGATGCTACAAGATGATCTTCTCCAGCGACTTGACGCTCTTGATCATCAACTCGGGCATCACCGAATTGGGCATGTCGATCCAGGAGGTCAACACCATTCTTTTCGAGATCCAAGTCAGTCAAGCTTGTAACCCCTGTGCACAACAGGATCTGAGCAACGATCGGAATCTGAACAACATCACTCTCTTTCAAACCTCACCAGGAACTCCGCCATACCACCTCGACAATCAACCCCTCCACATCCCCACACGGCTCCTCCCCTTCCTCATCAACCGGAACCTTCCATCCCGAGCGCAGCCTCTCGAATTCCTTGACCTCCGCTGGGGCCGGCCCGATCGACAACGACGAGATTTATTCGCATGAAGCAGCATCCCTTACGACTTCGATCTCGGAATTGGATCTGGATGGCTCTCGAACGTTGGCGAAACTGGGGGCAACAAGGACGGAGGCTAGTACGTTGAGTGAGGTCGATTCGGCGCTGATGCGCTTGCAGGAGAGGTTGGAAGCGCTGGCCAAGGTCAGTCAGCTCACGCGGTTGAGCGAAGAAGGTATGACGGTACTTACTTTCGAACTTGCGAGCCCTCCACAGGAGTATTCCGAGCTCGAGGCACAGATCTCGCCTTTCCTCGACGAATCCGGCCAACCGAGCGGCCCCGCAGCCTTCTTGGCTTCGAAGTGGAGCACGACCATACTCCAGTACGAAGCCGTACAAAAGGACGCCGAGATGCTGAGCGAAGAGCTGAAGGAGGACAAGTGGCTCGTCGTCTTTCGCACCGTATCTTCCCAAGCTGAGGATATGATGAGGTCTTTGGAAAAGGTCTTGACGCAATCGCATCAGTTCGTATGGGATATTGAGAGACGACGACCCTCTGCGGCAGGGACGTCCTCTGTCTCGGGATCAGGCGCAGGTGCGACAAGTAGTACGATCCTTTTGTCGAGTTCAACTTCGACTCCTTCACGAAGCGTCATGTCGACGTTCTTGTCCAAATCACTCCCAACCGCGACGAGTTCAACGGTGCCCAAGGCGTATTTTGGTGATCCGGAAACGATGCAACCCTTGTTGACCTCGTTCATCGCCTTGCACCGCTCGCTACATTCCAAAGTCAAAGTGGGTATAGGTTTCGGGCACCAGGAACGTTTGTGTCGATAGGACATTGATCTCTGGCTTTCTCTGTGACCACCCAGTATTATGCACCCGCTTGCGATCGAGTGCTCAAGATTCTTGGGAAAGGGATTGCGGATCGAAGTACAAAGAATGGAGAGGTATTGCGTCGGTTCAACGAGATGAAGACGCGTTGGAGGAACCTCGTTGAACGGATCGCCAGGATAGAAGCCGAGATGCAAGGTGTGGAAGAGATGCTAAGGGACGCGGCAGAGCCTTCTTCTGCAGCGGCGAGCCCGACCTCCTCCGTCAGCATATCTCGTCGACCGGTCAGTAGTGATAAGCGGGACTCGCCTTTGAGGAAGTGGGCCAATAAAGTTACGGGCGCTGGAGGATCAGCGCGACACCAGACTTCGACGCCGCCTTCTAGGCCACCCGTCTCGCTGCGCAATTCCACCAATGCCAGCCTTGCCGGCGCGTCTGTTTCGAGCTCGCGCACGCCTACGACAACCTCGCGGGCCTCGACATCTCCAATCACGATTCCTTCCCCCGTTGCATCCTCGGCCAAGCCGTCCGTTCAGACTAGGCGTCTCTCCCACTCCCACTCCCCTAACGCTCCCGCGCTCCCTCCCGCCTCGACGCCTCCGAGGCCACCTTCGTCCGCCTTCAAGTCTTCCCGCCCGGAGAGTTTGCTGACACCACCTCTCCGCGTCTTGAATCTCGAGCAACCGGTCGCGCCTTCCGAGCACCGCCGTGTTTCTTCTTCGTCGCATTTCGGCCTCGAGCCGCCGCAACCGCGTTTCGCATCGCGCCGAACACATTCACCTTCGATGAGCGTCGATGATTACCCCGAGAAGCCGCGCTGGAACTCATCGACGAAGCCAGCGGACTTGAGTGGTCGTACCCGGCCACAATCACGCAATGGTATGGCACCTCGCGCATCGTCTTCAATGGGCATCCGACCACCTTCGCGCTTGGATTCGTTCGCTCGACCGACGTCGCCGACCTTTTCGGAAGCCTCTTCTGCCTTTACGGGTGCGAGGCCAGGCACGCCGAGTCGGATCCCCATTTCCAAATCAAGACGAAGCTCGATCAACCCCGCTTCGTTCCCTCGCCCCGACCTACCCGACGACCACACGTCATGCATGCAACGCGTCATGTCGCCCGCACCCAGTGATGCGTCGACTCGTGCTTTCTTATCGCGCTCAACTCCGGCTGGACGTCGACTACCGAGTTCGTCGAACCTCTCGCCTCCACCTCGGGTCTCGTCACCGACAGGGTCGAACTATTCTTCCACATCGGCGATGGCGCGTCGGGCGTTCTTGCAGACGCCTGAACCTCATTTGCTGGCCCAAGCATCCCGCCTAGCCTACGTACGGGCACCTCGTCCTCCACCCGTACCTGTCGTCCCGCAAAGTGTACGCCGACCCTCTGAAAGCGGCCACGACGCTTGTGCCTCCCCCGCGCGATCAAGTTCCCGTGCGGGCCCTACCCGCCCCGGAAGTTCCCTAGGTCGAAGCGTGATGTCGTACGAGGCGTCCGTCATTTCCTCCGACGAAGACCTCGAAGAAGATGCCGCTGCCCTGGCTGCAGTGCGGTACACTGCTAACCCTCTCGACACCCTCGACGTCACCATCTCAAATACCATAAACTCCCTCCCCATCCAGCTACAAGTCACCCGCATAGACCCACCGTTAACGCGAGCCCAACTCGCTCAAATGGAGATCCTTCAAGCCAAGTATCTTTTCGCTCTGACCAAGAGTCAGAGGGAAGCGAGGAGGAGGAAGGCGGTGGTGTGTAAGTTGGTCGATCGGCTGGGGCCTAGGGTTGGGAGGGGGGAGAAGAAGGTCGTTGTTAGGGCTGGGACGGGGTGGATGGATTTGGATGCGTATGCGATGGGGGTCTTGGCGCAGGCAGTGTAGGAGTGGGCAGCTGCGGGTGGGTCAGAACCTTTTTGTGTACCGGAGATACCGTTGACAAGCACGCTAGAGAGATAGAGAGTAGCAGCGGCATTACTTGCGGGTTTGCTTCCAGGCTCTACAAGTGCGCATGTCAACACAAAGAAAGTAGATCTCCAACTCAAGCAAATTGCACCCCGCTGGAAAGCGTTCGAGGTCCGATCCGCTGACCCGCTCAAATTGAATGCACAAGCGATTCACAGTGCACTCCGCTGTCGTCTCGTTTCGCGCAGTGCAGGTCCGGCCGGGCTTGCATCTCGGTTATCGTTCGGTGAGGGCACTCGGCGCCAGGGTTCCTCATTAGATGTCTAGATATCTATCTTAGCATACTAGGTTCAGCGGCGCGCACCTCACACCGTAACCGTTGACCCGCTGAAATGTGATGTACCTTGCTGCATCAGCTGCGGTACTGTTCAGTAACGGATCCCTAGTGGTTCAACTCGGGAGAGGACCGCGGGACGACGATCAAATGTAAAGAGCCTTCATTTCATCATTGAACTACTTTTTTGTTCTCCGGGAGCCCGATGATGGGCTCGGACCGTCGTCGAGACCCGGTTCGAGTGTGGACGTTTTCACGGGTGCCTCCCAAGATCGACATCGACGCTGAACGTCATAGCCGTTGCCAGCCGAATCGGAAACTGCGTCCGATGCAGAGTGAACGGAAGCTCAGCTGATGACCGGTCGAACACCATGTCGTTGATCTGATCCACCTGCGAATTTTTGGGCGCCAGAATGGCTCGATCTCGGAAGTATTCGACTTGTTCGCCTATTGACATATTGTCCAGTTCGAGCACGGGGCCGGGATATAAACGTGTCTGATTAACCCGGATCTGTTCCTCGTGGTCGCCGGTAGGAGAAGCTCACGTGGGAGCGCGATAGAGTCTTCTGTTTCGTTCGCCGACCCGTCTCCAACTCCTAAGAGCCAATCCGCAAACGGCGTTTCACAAATTCCACAGCCGCGATACCTTTGCCTCCGTGATCGCAACCTACGAGACGCCCCTCAACATGTCGGGTGTGTCCGGCTACCCTAGGATGCGAATCTCGGAAATGCTCTTTGGGATCACAACTCGGCCAACAACTTTTCTTTGAATGTCGGAATCAGTCTCCTTCTGCTCCGCACTATCCAAGACATCATACTCGAGATGGAACGTCGCTGCATGCCAACTCGGAGGACTGTCCAAGCGTTCTCCAGCGGCGTATTGCCCGCCCCCCCCCACCCATTTTTTGTGCCTTTGGTGCGAAGGATCCTGACTCATCTGGGGCCGTTCCCTCGATCAACGACTGGCGATTCGCTCCTATCCGAGGATTCCCCAAGTCTCCCAGCCGCAGCCCTCTCGTCTGCTTGCCAGACTGACTTGCTCTCGCCTGGAACCATATCGAACCCACAACGTTAACTCACGTTTTCACATATCTGGGTCCCACCCCTTTTTTGGTTTCAGGTCGTGGATTATTTTCTCGTCTGGTGCGATCATCCACTCGCACGATCTTCGTTCAGGTGCTTGGCCGTCGTCGGCATGATGTTTGAATTCTGGGGTTTTCGTTTCACACACCAATCATTACTTTCTCCAGGAAGCAACTGTCACACTATTGGGGCAACGATCAGCTGACGCCGGCACGGAGCCTTGCCTAAAACTGCAAGCACTCTACCGTTCTGCTTTCCGTTGACTTTTCCGACTACTTCGATAACCCCACCGGTATCTTGCAAAAAGTCAACCCGTTAGTTGGATGTCACCAGTGAACGGGAAGACATATGATTTTTGCTTCGTCCGCGCGAGCTCATCATGCAGGCCTGTCCGCCGAGACTCCTAAATAAGTAGAGCAAACCCTGTGCCATCTTCAAGCCAGCATAAAGGCCATGTAACACTGTCTTTAGCTTCACTGAGTAATATCCGAGTAATCACGAGAGAATGGGCGAAAGTTTCGGGCCTTAGCGGCGGAAATGTTGCCGATGGGGCCGACCCTCGACGCTCGAATGAATTTTCATCATCTGAAAACCCGTCGCTAATCTGCAAATTGAAAATGTCCCCTCTGCGGAACTAGAATATGCTACTCAAGACGCTTGCTAACACCTACGACCGGCGCTTGACGTGTTGTACCTAGTAGATTGGTCTATCGCTTTACTAATCCACCAGGTTCAAACCCCGGCCCACCCCGGGTTGCTCCGTCCCAGAGACGAATCAAAGCTAGATCGGAGATAATAACCACAACAACCGGTCGAGAAGCGATTAGTGGTGGTACACGTAATGTGCAAGTGAGCGTCCCAACGCGTCGCGTCACGTGCCACGTGGGCGGAGAGGGGTCAGTGCTGATTGCACATCCGGCATGCGCAGCGGCATGGCACGGCATGGCATGGCACGAGACACTGATACCTGACTCCTGAGTACTGAGACGCCCATTCAGGATCGGGGGCCACTGCGGCACTCGCTCGAGATGGCCTCCGCTAACTCGCTCGATGCCTTGGAGCTACGCCGATGCGGGACCGTTGCACAGGGCTCAGTTCCAGGAGCGAAAATGTGCAGCCGAGGGCAACACAGACGTGGTACTTCGGTTTTGAGAGGGCGGTATCAACGAGGAAGCTCACAGAGAGAATCGCCATGGTGGTATAATCAAGCCTCTCGGTGTTTCTTTCCAGAAGTTTGACGGATTTGGCAAACATTTAGGATAAGAAGGTGCCGGCATGGCTGGCCCCCTGTGAGCCCCTGTGCATCCTGTGCCCCGCCAGCGATCGCACGCCAAGCCTGGCCACCGTTCGCTCTCATACGCACACACTTGACACAGTCTCAGCTTCTACTTGTTCTGTGCCACTGCCTGTTCCTTCTCCATCTTTCTCCTGGAGACCGTTGGCGCCCATCATTGGGGTGATACATCTAGCGTCACCATCTCAATCTCTGGGCCCCAAGGTCCAGCGCTCGCGTGGCTTCTTGGCTTTTCCTCCTACGGATCCCTCAGGGCACCATGAAGCCTGAAGCAGCACCCAAACGATCCCTCAGACCCCGCGATGCCTCGAGCAAGGCGCCACCGAATCCGAAGCTTTGCCGATGGCTAAACAACCTGAAGGCTGTTTATCAGGAGCACCCAACCAGGGTCTACGTCCCAGGATTCTCGATCAACGACGACTGTGCGTACGTCGCCCTGTTGCACCATGAGTCGACGCACGTCGTCGAGCTAAAAGATTGCTGGACCTCCACCAACTTTCCTGAAATGGTTGCGCTCCTCGGTATCGTCGTTGATCGAGGATCCTGGGACGTAGACCCTGGTTGGGTGCTCCTGATAAACAGCCTTCAGGTTGTTTAGCCATCGGCAAAGCTTCGGATTCGGTGGCTTGCCATCCGCTTGCGACAGCGCGAGCGCCAAAAGCTGTTTTTGATTTGAGTATTCGTACCAGGCCGCAAGATCGGCGAACGAGGGGTGACCATCTTGCTCTGCGGCCACCGAGCACCCGTCGGGCTTTCGGTGGCGAGGATTTAGCTTTGTCTTGCGGAGCGGGCGCGAGAAGGTTTTGACGTAGTAGCGAAATTCGCCTGGTGGGAGACCCGTCTAGATACCCCAAGAGCGAGGAAATGTCAACGATGGGCGTCTCCGATACGTGTCGAGTAAGGGGAAAGACCTACGAGCGATGCGAGCCTCTCCGCCCAGTGTTCGGCCTCCTCCTCGTCCGACCCCTTCTTATTCGCCTCATCCTTGAACTCCTGCTCAACTTGTTCCTTCCATTCTGTCATCACGACCTCCGGCATGCGCTCCAATGCCTCCCTCACGCGACGTAGCACGTCTCTGTATTGCGGCGAGTTGCCCGTCATTCTGCCGAGCAAAAAATTGCCCATCACCTCCGGTTCATGCCGATGAATGTACTCGGAAGACCAATCGGCTCGGGAAGTTCCGATCTCCATCTCTCGTGTAATCGGTTTTGCACCAACTTGAGTCGATTTGAATGCCCGTCTCGGCGTAGTGTGGGTAATGATGACGGCCGGTGAGCGTGAGCCCCCCTCCTTCGGAGGCTGGGGAAGATCCACCTGTTTTTGGTGTGAGAGAAGCAACACCGAGAAGAAAGAAGGTATCAGTCAGGGATAAGGTCCCTCTTAGATCGATTCCTATGAACAGTTGATATAGTCACCTTGGCTGGAGCCTCGGCCTGCGACAAAATCGCAACTTTCGCGCCGGCTGAGGGGCCCTGCGTCTCCAGCTTCCGCAGGCTCGAAGCCGAAGTCGAAGCCAAAGGTGACGCATTGACGATGATGGGGGTGGCTGTGGCCGTGGATGAGCCGGGCGTGGCGGTGGTCATGGATGTACAGCCGAAGGTGGAGGTAGCGTTGGTGGACGTCGAGGCTGATCCTGAGTCCGAGATGGCGAGGTCCTGCATCATCGCAGAGGGTGCGGTGCCACTGCGGTCGATGCGGAGGCGTCGGACGTGAGGAGAACGACCTCCGGATCGGACCGAGCGGTGGATCGCGCGACAGAACGGTGTGAGGTGTCCGCCTTGCTCGAGGCATCGCGGGGTCTGAGGGATCGTTTGGGTGCTGCTTCAGGCTTCATGGTGCCCTGAGGGATCCGTAGGAGGAAAAGCCAAGAAGCCACGCGAGCGCTGGACCTTGGGGCCCGTGCGCGGAGTGCGAGTGCACACTTAGTAACTGGCTGATGTGGAGGTGCGAGTGCGCACTCCGGCGCTTTCGCTCATTCGGCCTGACTGCCCGCTGTTCAACCTTGAACTTGAACAGCAAAACATGCTTGAAAAGGACGGCACAGGAAACAGCAGGGGGGCGGTTACACTACAGGTGTCCGGCATGAGGGACTCGGCGTTTGCAACAAACTTGGACCCTAAGACTGGTAAGAAGCCACTGTCGAGGACCCCTGCCAAGGATATCTGATTGATCCTTGCCAATGGTTTCGGGAAGCCTGGAAAGAGGGATTTTTCCGACGCGAACTGTACTTGATGTACATCGCAGCATCCTTGCTCCCTTGCAGTAGGCCTTCAGCTTCAATTTGGAGCAACGAGGAAGTCCTTTAGGAGGACTTAGATTGGAATGCATTAAAACTCGAACGTCGGCACCTCGCCCCGACTCATCATCCTGGCCAAATCCTGCGCCGCACGCGTCGTCGCTTCCGCTGCTTCTCCGCGCCCAGTACAAGTGTTCCAAGTGCCCGCAAAGACGAAGGTCGGTAAAGAGGTTCGAGAAGCTTCGAGAGCTTGCTTTTGAGCGTCCGAGGAGTCCACCAAGGTAATCGATGACCCGTTCGAGACGACATGTTTGGGCGCCGCAGCCTTGGGAGTTTCGACAGGGGCGGCGGAGATCGCACCAAAGGAAAACGAGACAGCAGGCTTCGGTGTGGGAGCAGGTTCCCCAGTAGGAGGCTGCTTGCTCGGCACCAAAGATGTCTGACCGAACATGTTGGACGAAGGTGTACCGAACATGGGTGCAACTGAGGCCGGCTGGTCGACGGGCTTGCTCATAGGCGCGGAAGGAGCAGGTGCCGACGTTTTCGGTGCGGGTGCTTTGGGTATGAAGACGGTCTTGGGCTTGGGTGTGGGTGTGGGCTTCTTGACGACCTCTTCAATGATCACAATGTCGTCGTCCGAATCCTCCTCCTCGTCCTCCTCGTCCTCTTCGTCCTCTTCGTCATCTTCTTCTTCGTCGTCATCCTCTTCGTCCTCCTCTCGGGACCCGTCTTCATCCTCCTCATCGTCTTCAGCCTCGTCCGTTTCCGAAGCAAGTGCCGCAAAGGGATTCGCAGGTGCCGCTTTCTTGGTCGATGGCTTCGTCGCTACTACGGGTATGGAAGGCGGAGCAAACGTCGGAGCTGGCGCAGCCTCCTTCTGCGGCGTAGGAGCAGGAGAAGCCGAGGCGACCGACGAAGCCATTTTCGATCGGTTCCCATCCTCACGACGGTACTCTGCCGGCATAGATCTCTCAAGCTGTTCCAATGGCGAGACCTTCTTGGGACTTGGAGCAGCCGAAGCAGCCTTCTGAGCCGCAACACGAGCCGACGCCGGTCTCGAAGGTGTCGGAGGACGAACCGGCCGACTGCGTGGGATTCGCGCTAAAGGGTTGTGGTCCGTGCTTTCGTAAGGGTTGATAAAAGCTTCGCGACCTGTCGTCGGAGAAGTTTTGTCCGGTCTTGCAGCATCCTCTTGGCGGATGATGTCCATCATCATATCGCCCGCTCGAGTTGTCGATCGAGGCGTCGCTGAGGCGACCTTCTTTGGTGGAGAAGGTGACGGGGTCTCGGCTTTGCTGACTTGCCACAGAGGTGACGGTCGGACGGGGGTCGAGACGGCGTTCGCTGTGACCTTGGCACGAGAAAAGATCGAAGTTTTGGAACTGCCCGTCATCGCTGCTGCAGGCGAGGGAGAGGCCGAAGCCGACGGTCCCGGCGAGGCTGCGTAGGATAGGTTCGAGGTCGATGGGGCGGGTGGTACATCCTCCACTTCGACACGTCGACGTTTGCCCTCGGCAGTCGAACTGTTCGCCCCAAGGGAGTTGAGCAATCCGCCCTCGCTCTGACTCCGCGTCAAGTTCGATCCGTTCGAGGCGCTGTGAGACCCAGGTGTTCGATTGCGACGTGCGCTTCGGCTCGAGTAGCCCGCTCCAACGTAGATAGGTCTTCGTCTTCGGTATGGTGTATGACCTGCGGTAGATTCGGCATTGAGCGTCGAGGGGGAAGCACCGACACCGCCAAAGGTCGAGTTGTTGGACGCCGCCGAGGGTGAGATGGGAACGACCGAGTCCTGACGAGCATAAAAGGGCTGCACCGAAAGGGTGGGAGAGGCGGACCCGAAGTTGGGGGTGAAGGCAGTGGGTAGATTCTCGGCTTTGGCCTGTTGCATGAGGTGAAGCACCCCGGCTTGCTCGATCGCGGTCAATGGCTCATCGCCCCGATCGGCCTTGTCGCGGAAGAACCTCGCGAGTTCCTCGTTTGCTCGCCCAGGTGGGGATCGTTCCGAGCCAAACACGGACTCGGCCTGACCCCAGCTGGCTGCCGATGCCGAGAACGGCGCCAAGTCGGCGCGTGTCGCAGATCGCGGCAGAGCGGAGGTGAAGCCGCCACGAGGTCGGGGGGTCGCGTTCGAGGCCAGCGTCGAAGCGAGCTGAGGCATCGACTTGGAAGCGGTGATGGACGATCCGAGGTTGGGGTAAATATTTTGGTACGGTGTAGGTGAGGGTGGTGCGTTGGCGTGCATCTGCATCAGTTCAGAGGTCAGTGCAGCGTCAGCGACGATCGAGATCCCCGGGTGCCCCTGTCGGTGATGGGCCTACGTCGTGGTCCTCGATAAAGTCGCCATGCAGTTCAAACGCAGGAGCATGGGCATGTTGTGCGTCATCGTGACTGCCATCACTGTGCTGTGGTTCTTCGTGGTCGTGGTCGTTGTTGTGGTCTTGCTCATCGTCCGACGCGGGCTGGGGCGCAGGGGATCGCTCCTCCTGCTTGCCACGGCGGAACGGGCTCAAGTACGACAACAGTCCACTCAGGCGAGACTACAGGTCATAACATGGTAGCATCAGTATAGTGGGTCCAGCCGCAATGATCAGGTCAAACGCACAGGAGTTCCGCTCGCACTCGCACCCGCGTTCGCACTCGCCGGGGAAGCCTTGGGACGCGCATAAGGCGATGCAGCCTCTTTGCGTGCCTGTCGGCCAAGCTGGAGTAATGCTCTTCGATCTTGGCCGTCCATGATGGACGTTGTCCGAGTGTTGAGGGGCAGAGGGCGGGCGAGGCAGTCGTTGGGCACGTGGGCGTGCAGAGTGGACCCGTCGGCGCGAGTTTCGGACGATCGTCATCACGTCCCAAATCGCCATGCCATTCCAAAGCATCCCAACTTGTTTTGGCCAGTGCCTGCCATGAGCACACTCGATAAACCCATTTTAAACTTGCCTCCTTGATTATAGAACATTATGATAAGAGACGAGATACATATTCGCCTAGTACTTGATGCATCAACTTGATTTACGACCGCTTCGGCGACAAAAAGTCGTGTCAGGCGAGAACACAGGCCTGGCGGCTCCAAGCGCGGAACCTATACACACATCATTCAACCATCCACTGCATTACCACTCAGAGCTTTGCCGCAGTCTTATCATCGAACTTGTCCGAACCCACGACCTCAGTCACCTCGGATCCATCACGACCTTCCATCCTTGCTCGGACCAACTCGAACACGACGTTCAGATCCTTGGGACCCGTATAGGTCCTACGAGCCGAGATGAAGTAGTGCGCCGTGGCGATGATGAGCACGACGGCGAAGACGACGATGGCGTCTGTGAGATGTCATCGGGCCTATTAGCGAATATTGATCTTCACCGCGTAAAGCACTGAGCAGACATCCAACCCACAATTCATGTTGGAGCCCGTGACGGGAAGCTCGGGAGGGAAGAGGAAGAACACGGTCGTGAAGAGGATAAAGATAAGCGCCGTGATGTTGGCGACCGGTCCCCAGAATCGACCGAGTGTCAGGGTAGGCTCGGGGAAGCCCTCTGGTCGAAGCAAGTGGCGACCTCGGACCACGAGCAAGATGATCGGGGCAGAGTAGGAGATGTTGAGGAACACGACACTCGACGAAAGAATGGCGTTGAGAGCCGACGATGAACCTGCACGTGCGGGCAACCGGATGAGATATCCAGTCAGCCTACGACCTATGCGAACCGGACTCATAAAGGTGCGGGTATTCACCAAGGTAGACCAGCCCAAAAATGATGACGAGCACCGTGTTGAGGATCAAGGTGTTGACCGGGATCCCCTCCTTGTTGGCACGTCCAAAAAACTTCGAGAACGGTAGACCTCCATCACGGGCAAAAGCGTAGCACATACGCGACGAACTCGTCAAGAGCCCCTGTGCGGCAAAGAACATGGAGACGACGGGGAAGACTTGCAAGCACAGCGATCCGGCAACCGAGCCAGTTGCTTGGTAGATGGCCGCGAGGAGAACCCCTGCACTCGACTCGATGGCCTGGTTAACGTTGCTGGTGGTGAAGAGGAGGCAGACGAGGAAGATGAAGGACGAGACGGCACCGATGAGGACCGCAGCGCACATGGCGATCGGGGCGTTGATGTGGGGCCGCGGAATCTCTTCGACCATGTGTGTTACACCATCAAAACCCGTCAATCCAAAGCATGCCTGTTCAGAAATAGGTGGGATGAGTGAGTACCAGTGCTCGCGTTTGACCGAACGAGGTCAATCGAAAGGCACTGACCTGTAGCAGGCCAAGGATCCATGACACGCCATTATTCCACCCCGTCTCGTTGATGAAAGTAGCAAAGACGAATTTGCCTGACGTATAGTGACCTGATTTGCAGGCGAGGCAAACGATCGCGATCGTAGCTGCGCCGGCAAGCGACCACGATAGGGCCGCTTGATTGATGATGGGCAGAATTTTGTGACCCCACAAGTTGGATGCGAAGGCCAACAAGGCGTAGGCAACGTCTGCGGTGCTCGAGTGGATTCGATCGATCGGCAGAAGTCAGCTTTGCGGTTGCCTGTAGATAGATCGCCACCCGACGAGGGGACACGGACTGACAAACGATGAAAATCTGATACCGCTGAACGACTACGTCCTGATGCGCCAAAGCCACCATGCCCGTCACAAGCTGACCCGCAAGTGAACTAGCCGTAGCAACAAGTGCGACCCATCCTGCACAAGCAATCCATCCTTCGATGAAAGCGAAAAGGGGGGCCCGCCCTGGTGGCGAGAGAAGAGCGACCCAGTGATACTGCCCGCCCGAGCTTGGGTAGACGTGACAAATTTCGGCGAGAGAGACCGCTGTGGCGAAACTGCCGAGGAAAGAAATGGGAATTCCCCACAGCACGACCGAGGGTCCACCCGATGGTAAGGCAACAGAGATGGATGCAGCCTATACATCGTCGCGCGGACAAGCGGGTGCGGAGCGACCAAAAGTCAGAGAGACCGATCCAACGCCGAGCGTGAGATTAGCGAAAGAGAGCGAGATGGGTTGTATCAGCTACACTGTCTGCAAAGGTCGCCACCAATGTGCAATCAATTAAGCACGCACCATAGCAGTCCAAGAATTGAGGATGGCATAAGCGAGCCCACTGCCAGATTCAATGTATCGTTGACATCAGCTCACGCGACCTGACGCGAACGCCGAACCGAGTGCGGAATCTCGGAGTAGCCGCGTCAAACGGGTGGGAGGAAAACTCGGGGCTGCAGGTGACCAGGTGACCGAAGGCCCGTCCGACGACGACGAATTCAACGACCCCGTCGCGGTGACGAGCGGCAAAGCTGCCTGGACATGGGACTGAACTTACATGAGTGCAAGGCGACTGAAGCTCTTGGTGAGTGGCAAGACGTGGGTTTCGCCATCTTGATGATAGGCCTTCGCGGAGTGCGCTCCAGGCTCGCCGCTGTTGCTGCTGCCCGTGGCTGATGCCACAGCTTGAACGTTGTCGCTCATCGTGGGAGTCGAGGCTACGTTCAATCCGTACTTTCGTGTCGTTCACAGAAGATACGGGAGTGAAAACGCGATTGCGGGGTGGATAGATGACCTGTGCAGTCCGCGGAGAGGAAGCGACTGGTCGAAGAAACGCAGCCGGAAGCCGAGCGACTTGATCGACCTGGTTCCTATCGTGGGGCGTGCTTCGCAGATTCCGCGGTTGGCTCGCTTCGGTATTTTTAGCTCCAAGCCCGCTGTCGTTCGTTCCGCAGCTCCGCCTAGTAATTCGTATAGCTGACTCGAGTTCATGCTCGGATGCAGTGAAGGCTGATAATCCTGCAGAAGGGTTTCAGTCGGCATTTCGACCAAAATCCACTTCAGTCCAAGCTGTAGAGATCCTGCTCGAACTTTCCGCTTCAGTGTGGCGAAGGAGGTGTCAAGACCGTCGTGCTTGCCCCGGCCGGGAGAGTGGGGTCCCACTTTACCGTCTTCCCGAGACGTTCGCGGGCGACCTCACAGAAACCTTCATTTACTGTAGCCACAGCCTGCTGAGATCGATTTCAGCAGATGAACTTTGCGTTCTCATAACTATCAATCATAGGGTTGGACCCATCTCCAACGGTCGTCATCTCCGTCTCCCCCCACCGTTCCAAGAACTCGCCGTGATCAACGACGCTCAACCCTCTCACAGTCCCCGGTCCTCCACTCGCGTTCAACGTCAAGGGTCGTCGAGGGGAGAAATAGGATCCAGAGGCCAAGGTTGAATCAGAGTTCCGTGAGGGGGAGGAGAAGTGCGCGGGTGACATGACGAGTGAGTATAGGTCGCGCAAGAGATGAAAATCGGTCGGGAAGAAGATGTCGAAGAAGCCCGGTTGGACGAGGTAGGTTGTACAGGCCACCGTCTGTCATGCGGGAGTGAAAGGATCAGTAAGATTTGGATCGAAATGTCTCCCAATACTGGCAAAGAATGAACGCACCTCCCCCTCGTACCGCGTCTGCACGACGGGTGCGTTGTGGCCCGGAATCGCATCGGGCAAGCTCGAAAAGTCCGACATGAGCAGCCGGTGCGCCGGGAACATGTTCCTCAGCACGTCGAGCAACATGAGCTGCTTGGTCGGCAAAAACTCGGGCTTTGTCAAGTTGGGCACAAAAGGAAGGATCGAATAGAGCTTGCGCAACACTGGCGACGCGGACATGAGGCGATTGAGGGAGGGTGAGGCACGCTGGTGCGAAGGGAGCCGAGATCGTAGAGTGAGGTATCGTCGGATGAGCGGGTCCGTGGCGGGCTCGTACAGTTCGGTGTAGTCGCCTGCCGAGTCGATCGAGACGATGCATTGGTACGGCTCGTGATCCTTTGTCGAGTATCGCACAACGTCGTGGGCGAAATTGTCCTACGCGCGAGACCGGAGGAAAACGGTCAGGCCTGATCGTTCTCCTGCTTGCAAATTCCGAATGCGCAGACTTACCAGCACTTCCATCGCCAGGAAGAAGCAAGGTTCGGGGACGACACGCTCAAAATCAAAGATGCTCCCACCCAAAACCTCGACCTTGTCCTCGTGCCCCTTGCGCCTCGCCGGCCCCCCTTGAGCGGCTTTGGCATCACCTCCCGATGCCCTCCCCTTTTGTAGACCCTGTAACCTCTCGCTGATTTCGACGATACGGTATCGTGTGCGCTCATAGACTTCGGGTTCCTCCATGGCGATGTAGTCGAGGATGTCGCCCATCAGGGTTCCGTTGCCAGCACCAATCTCGTAAATGATCAGATCCTCGTACGGGTACAGGTTGAGCTTGTACTCGGCGACGATGAAGCGTGCGATTGCTCTTCCGTACCATGGCTACAAAGAGGATGACAACAGTCAGCGTCTTGATCAAATCTCTCACACTGCGCGAGATCAAGAGCTCACCTTGAACAGCTCGGTCGGGGTATGCCACACCTGTCTACCGGGCCCTCTCCCGACCACACCCGTGACACCCGTGTTGAGCCCTTCGAACTCGCCATACCGTCTCGCGATCTCATCCTCGAACTGAGCCGTCGTCTTCAACGAACCAAAGTCGAATCCCTCTGCTCTGGCACTAGCCTCATTGACGGCCTGTTTCCCTTTTCCATTCGGCGACGCTGCCTCAGAACCGACTCCTCCCCCTCCTCCTCCTTCCGCCCCAATCCGATCCGGATCAAAGATGACCGCCTGAGTCGAGAAATACCCATAATGAGGGTTATAAAGGCAATCATCGATGAAATGCCTCGCGAGCATGCGCACCCTCCTCGGTGGGGTCCGGCGCGAAGCCAACTCTTTGGCCGTGACGAGACGGTATTGACTTGCGTCCGGGTCCGGGGTGTCGTCGAAGGGATTCGAGACGTAGTTGTAGCGCGGTTCTCGGGACGATCGGGCTCGGAGATCGGGGCGTTGGCTTGATGCGGTCGTCGTCGAGGGGGATGTCTTCAAGGTTGAGTCGGATCGACGCTCCCGAGAGGACGGCGACGTCGTGGAGATGGACCGTTTGGACGACGAAGCACAGGTCGAAGTTGAACTCAGGAAGCGCGTACATGATTGTACCGCCTGGCAAGACTTTCTTCGCAGCGATGCCATGATGATCGCGGGTGCTTGACCGGTCCGAGCACCGACTTGGATGCGGAAGGCAGTCAGCAACACCGAGCGCGTTGGACCACGTCGGCTTGCAGCGACGCTTTTCAGCTATAACTTCAGCGCAAGTCAAATGCAAATGGAGGCCTCGTAACCCCTCGTTTGACGCAGTTGCACATCAGTGAAACCCCGAAAGATGCGAAGCCTGCACTACACGGTCGGAAACACACCATGGCCAAACCCAAATCAAGGAGAAAACCGAGCAGGCGAAAGAGAATGCTTGTTGGCAACCCCTAGCAGGTTCCCCAAGTCCCACCCCAGTGTAAATGCACGGACCGCTGAGGACTCGGAGACCGCGGACGTCCAGAATGAGGGAGCGCGCGTTCTGCCCGGATCGACCGTCGCGCGCTCGCTTTCTGCCCGACCGTCGATCCCGACGGGACCGCTCGGGGAAGAAAGATCGGGGAGCCTGTTCGCTGTCCAGGGGGGGTTACTAAAAGACTGCCAAAGGTACGACGGGAACTGGGACCTCGGGTCGGTGGGTTAGGATCGTTTTGTTTCCTGACTTTCATCTATTGATGTCCATCCACACTTCAGAGAGATGGACTGATGGGGTCATCTCCGGCTCTCAGGCCCTAAAATTGAGATTGCAGAGATAGCCGTTGTGCTCTGGCTGACACCACCTAACCGTTACCACTAGCGATTCGCGAAGCCTCATCCAGGGCGTGCAGACTCGGGAAGTTGTACCCACGCCACCTTTGCGGTGCGAGGTTGAGCTTAATTATTAACCTTGATCGGGGCCGACTTGAGAGCTTCTCTGCCGAGCGCGAAGCCGGAGAGCGCCCGTGAGCTGAGTTGAGGGCTTTATCGTGTTGGTTCGAGCCTCTGGGAAGGTCTCGAAATACCTCATGGTGTACTGCGGATCTGCGGTGATTTGCTACAACTTACGCGACGATGGCGGTGGAATGGCAAAAGTGTCCTTTTCTGTCGGGGATGGGATTCACACAACGGGCAAGCCTACTACTACAGAACAGGATTACAAAAAACTCGGCGAGCAAGCGGGCAAGTCGCCGAAGCGGGGGGCGGCCTACTCTTCGTCCATGGTCCGGAGGATCGAAATCAACTCGTGGCATTCGTGTTCGAGCGCGAAGAGGGCAGCTTGACCATCGACGCATTCACCATCCCGGTTTTTAAACTGACCATCGGATTTGAGCCCTTCGACCTGGGCGAGACTCATTTGGAAAGGGTACAGGTCGCGGGCGGAATACGGGCCAGGGTACTTCATCAGTTCGAGCAGACATCGCTTAACGGTTTCGAGCTTGTTCGCGATCGGCATCAACTCCTCAGAGATCGGTTCCGACGAAGACACGAGTCGGTACAACAACCCATAGCAACGTCGTAGGATGAAAAGGATCGCGATCTGCCCTCGGGGGATGTTGCCTTCCGAGTCGTGGAACTTGCCGTCCTTGCCGCGCATGCGGTCGACGTCTTGCAATGCGATCTGGTAGCTGTACAGGTCCGTCTCCCTCAGCGTCCAGCGATGCGTCAACACCAACCGCTCGAGCTGCGCCCTCATCTCGCTCAGTCGATCGTATATGGGTTGCAATGGCCCCCTCGCCACGTCCTCGCTGCCTTCGCTCGCGGCAATGTCCTGGCAGATGTCGAAGTTGTCCTCCAACAGACCCGCGACGAGCTGCTGCCCCTTGGGCGGCTCGTACGTCTCGATCGTCTCCCCATCCGAAGCTAACCGTTCGACGATGAATTTGCCGTTCACACGCTTGTCCTCGATCGCTCTCAGTTCGGTCAGGATGTTGGCGACGTCGCCGGCAGTCGGTCGAGGCCGGGCGGCGATGGAAGCGAGCAAGCGTCGTAGTGTGATGAGTCGTTGATGTACGGGTGCGAGTTCTGGGGATAGTTGAGACAAGGAAGCAACGAGAGACTGAAGCATTCGATCTGTGTTGTTGGGAGGTGATGTGGAAAGAGGCATGAGTTTTCCGGCACATCGACTGACAGCATTGGCTAGGTGTGAAGTATGCTCGACTTACCGCAATCATTCCACTTGTTCATCAACAACCGTGTGAGCCCCTCTTCACGCTTCCCTTCCTCCGGTGATGCGTCCGAGTCACAGCCCGTGACAATGATCTCTTTGAGCTCGAGCAAACGCTTCTGGAACGGCTTGAGATCGGCTTCAGTAAAGACGCCACTCTCGGTCACTGTGGGCAGAGCAAGTATAGTTCATGGTCAACGCCCAAGATTGAGCACGTCCGACATGATTATTAATGGCCTTACGATGTGAAAGCAATCGCTTCATGGTCGCCAATTGACTGTACGTCGCCGGTGACTCGCGGGATTTGCCGATGGTGAGGAAGAACAAGGACAAGAGCTGTGGTCATCATTGAATGGGTCAGCTGTGCCCTTTGATACGCGATGTGGCTTTGAAAACCTACCTGAAAGACATCGTTGAGGGTTGTGCTGTGTACACGTGTAGAAGTAGAGATTCAAATCAAGACAAGCCCCTGTGATTAGCTAGCCAGATTACTCGGAGTCGAGCGACGTGAGAAGCGACGACAGAAGGACTGACTCGACCCTGTTCTCCTGCGTCCACTCTGCAGGTGTCGGTTCCTCGGCGGACGAAGATGTCGAAGCCTCTCCTTCCGAAGTACTGGCTTTGGACGGTGGTGCTCGGATGTCGTTGAGGTTGTTGACTTGGGTCACTGCGAGCGGAGTTGGGATTCGAAGCCAAAATTAGCCCCGGCGCGCCGAGTCACGCCGTCGAGCGTGACGATGTTTGGGCCCATTGCAAACACAACGGCCTGAGCGATGAGCTTGGCGAGTACGCACTGAGTGAACTGTAGATGTCGAGCACATCCTTGGCGCGGATATATTCGGTGCGGTCCTTTTTGAGCGCGGTCAGTCGGTTGCGGATGCTATGGAAGGTATGAGAAGTGTTGTCGGTCAGCACCGGGGCTCGCGCGCAGAGCCAGGATGTACAGACATCAGGTGGACTGCGGCGGCGTGGGAGAAGGATCGTTGTCGTTGCCGTTGCGAGTCAATGTTCCTTGTCAGCACACACCGCCAGCCGGTCTCGCCCTCACGGAGTCCAAGAGCCCCGATCTGACTTGGTCATCATTGACCGCGCCATTCCGTCGTCCCAAGTCAGGTTCCATTGGCCCCGCACCACTAGAATTATGTGCTGTACGCCAAGGCCCGTCGACTGTTCTGAGACTCGAGCTTGTGAGGTAGGAACACCCGAGAAGATGACCTTGGCTGCCGCTGTCGTCGAGCTGGGCTCTGGGGCGCCGGCCCGTGCGACGAATGAACGGCCGAAACGAGCTCGACTGTACTGCATACACCGAGCCTTCCGGACCCGGTCGAAGGTGCTTTCAACGTTGGAGTTGGGTATGAACTCACTTGATGAGTGCCTCGAGCACAGGGAGCTCTTGGTTAGGTACGACCATGCTGCGAGGTGCTAGTGGTGGTAGCGGATATAGCCCGCGCACGAGAGGCACGATCGATTTGGCCAGGCTGGGGCAGGCTGGGCCGGCTGGGGCTTAGCTCGGGCTCGCTGCTCGGCATCCGGCATCCGGCGTCGACGAGAGACATGGGTATCAAGCTCTGGCCTGATGCAACTTGATTTTGCAGTATTATATTCATAATTATATTCCCACGTTTTCCGGGTGATTTTGGATGCTGCTCAAATTTGCTTCAGTTCTGAACCCTCAGAGCTCAGATGGCCTTTGAACATCTTTTTGGGCTCTCGAGAGTACGAAGTTCAACGTTGTGTGAAGCACTGCTCACCCTAGGCCAAGGCCAAGTATGAACAAAACAAGCCAACGAGCGAGTGCTCAAGAAGATTCTACTCTGATGGCAATGCCTTTGGTTTGACATCGCTCCTAGGCAGGGTCCGTGCGCGCTGACCGGCCCGGCGGGATTGATTTGAGGCCGGCCCGAATTGCTTGAGATTGCTTGCGTGCGACGGGTGGCCTGCCAGGTGGTGGCTCGCTGTGGGCTGCTGTGGCCTGTGGGTCAATGGGTCATGCTGCCTGCCCCACACGTTGTGGCACCCACATGGTTCTCGCTCTGACCTGGCGACTAGCAACACCCACCGCCCGGCGCTCGACATTCTTTCCTCCTTGCGTTCCTGGTCTTCACCACGTGATCACCACTTCACCACGCTTCCGCTCCCACACCATGGCTCCTCCTGCTGCTGTTCGTTTGTCGTCGTCCAAATCCGCCGGCGGTGCGATGCAGATGCAGATTGACGACCTGATCGAGATGCCCCGACCTGGCATAGCGCTTCCCAACCCTTCGGGATCGTATGCGCTGTGGCCATCGTCGACCTTTTCCTTCAAGCACGGTGGGCAAACCAACAAGGCCATCTATGCCGTGGATCTCCAACAAAAAGGATCGGCCACCACCACGTCGACGGGAGCGAGCGCGTCGTCGCCTCGATTGGTGCTCGACCACCTCGCCGACACCCAACTGGCGTGGATCGACGATCGCGTATTCATCTTTGTCCGAGCCGCACTCCCCGAGGGTGAAAGCCCCAGCCTCAACTCGCAAGGTCAACGAGTCGATCATCCCGTGGATCTGAATGACAAGGAGCGCTCCAAACGAAGGGCCGCCCTCGCAGACAAAGTTGAGGGGTCCGAGCTGTGGGCCAAACACGTCATCACCGGCGAAGAGTACAAGGTCGCAGACCTCCCCGTCAGGTCAGTCGTAGCATCCTATGGCATGAGGCATGTAGACACATGTCAAAGTTGACCTTCGTCATTTCGAATGCTGCACCAAATCCACACACGCTGCTCTCAGCGTGTCCGATCTCCAAGCGCTCAACACCTCGGACGACAAGACCGAGTCCGCCCTCTTGTCCTTCACCGCCAAAGTATTCCCCGACGGTGACTTGTTCTCGGTCGCAAAGCACAAGAAGCAGCAGGCTCAGGACGCTCGTGGTTCCGACGTGCGAGGTGAGCTACTTTTCTAACCCTTGGCACAGAGCCCCAGCTCGCTCTGACCGCGTTCTTCCTCGATAGTTTACGACTCGCTTTGGGTCCGTCACTGGGACGAGTGGTCCACCACGGTCGGTGAAAAGACGCAGATTTTTGTCCTCCGCCTGACGAAGAACCCCGAATCGCTCGACAACGAGCAAGCCGACGAACCCGAGGGCTTTACCCAAGTCGTTTCACCCGACAGCAAGTGGAGGGTCCTTCATAGTCGAGGAACGGCGTTGACTGCTGCTCCGACCAAGGGAGGCAGTTCCATGACGGTCTTGTCCCCTTTGGCCAAGACTCAGCTGGAGGCTACCGATTACTCAATCTCCAAGACGCGCATCGTGTTCCAGGCCAAGGATCCGCTCGTCAACAAGGCAAGTATAAGCAGCGACATCCCAACGAACCTCCTTAGGGGTCTCTTAGAGCAACCGTCTGATTCAACGTTCTCGTGAGCTGTAGGCATGGCACACTCGCACTCAGGTCTACCTCGTTCCTCTCGATCCCAAGAATGAGAAAGATGCCGAACCTCGACAGATCACCCTTGGCACCCAAGGAGCGGCCTCGTCTCCCGCTTTCTCCACCGATGGCCAACGCGTCGCATGGCTCGAGATGCGCGAGGATGGCTACGAAGCCGATCGTAACCGCGTCATGATTTACGAGGTCGAAGCAAACAAGCGATGGGGAGCGACCGAGGAGCAATGGGACTGCTCGCCTTCCAAAGTCATTTGGTGCCCCTGTGGCGAAAAGATTTACCTCATTGCTGAGGATGCAGGCTACGGCAAATTGTTTCAACTTGGAATACCCAGGCCGTCCAAGCACGACGCAAGTTCCTTGAAGAATCCCTCGCTGCCCGAACCTCACAAGCTTACGCATCGTCATACCGTCGCTGCCGCGATCCCGTTGTCCACGAGCTTGCTGCTGCTGACGACGAACTCTTTCGTCGGTCCCAACGTCGTCTCGACCTTGACCATCTCGGCGCCCAAGAAAGACTTGACCGATGCAGTCAAGGTCGAAACAGAGGACGACCCGAACCCGGATCGACCACCAACCACGCACCTGCAACGCATCGCCTCCTTGACCGATGACCTCGCCTCAACTCGCGGTTTAGACGAAGGTGAATCCTTCTGGTTCGCCGGGTCCGAAGGGATCCAAGTTCACGGGTGGATCTTGTTCCCTCCTGAACTACAAGGAGGTGCCGAAGCAAGAAAGGCTTTGTTGGAAGATGGGAAGGCGAAGAAGAAGTTCCCTTTGGCTTTCTTGGTGCATGGGGGACCTCAGGGAGCATGGACGGATTCTTGGTCGACGAGGTGGAACCCCAATGCATTTGCGAGTCATGGTTATATTACCGTCGCAATCAAGTAAGTTCATCTCAGACTGGCAATTCTGTCGCCCACCTGCTCACCCACTGAGCTCATATTCCTCTGGCGATCTCGAAATAGCCCGACCGGTTCGACGGGCTACGGCCAAGAATTTTGCGACCGCATCAAGAATCAGTGGGGTGGTCGCCCATATCAAGACCTCGTCGCCGGTCTTGACTTCGTCAAGCAAGCTTACCCCGAGATCGATGATCAGCGCATGTCGATGCTCGGAGCATCTTACGGAGGGTTCATGGTACGTCGATCCGTGTCACTAGTCTATGCTTATCGCTTGCTGACCAGCAAGGTCTCTGAGAACGGGCGTACAGGCGAATTGGATCCAAGGCCACAACTCCACCCTTGGCTTCAAGTGCATCGTCTGCCATGATGGCGTCTTCAGTACACCCGGGGTATGGTACACTACCGAGGAGTTGTACTTCCCCGAACACGAGTTTGGCGGAACGCCGTGGGAGGTGCCGGAGAATTATAGTCGGTGGAACCCGCAGAACCATATCTCGAAGTGGAAGACGCCTCAATTGATTATTCGTGAGGCATCTGGGCCATGAACCCATGTCATTGTGATGGTGATGGATCGACTGACACTGTTATCCCGAATGCGTCACAGACGGCGGCAAGGATTACCGCCTCGTCGAAGGTGAAGGTCTAGCGGTCTTCAACACCTTACAACGTCTCGGCGTACCTTCGCGTCTCGTCTATTTCGAGAGTGAGAACCACTGGGTCATGGCGCCTCATAATAGTCGCCGTTGGCATGAGGAAGTCTTTAAGTGGCTTGCTCACTGGACTTCCGACGAATAAGACTTGGCTTTGTGCAATTCGTTCTTGCCCTCTTGTATTATGCAGCACATGTCTTCCGCCATTCAGATCATTCTTTATCGTACAACACAATAGATCGATCCGGCTACAGGCACTACACACAACAGGAAATGAGAACAAAGGGTATAATAGGCTGTTTTACTCGCCTTCGTGCTCGGGTTCGAGCCCGCGCAGACCATTAGGTAATTCAACGCCTACGTCTCGCAGCTTTTCCTCAATGCCGTCCATCGCTTTTTGGAGGTAGTTGCGCACGGCATCCTTCATGAATTGACCGATGACGAGGGAGGCAGCAGCGGCGATTTGGGTCTATGGGAGGGGAGGTATTTGATCAGCTTCTGTCGCAACCTTGTACAACGCTTCGTCACCCTCGAGCTGACCTTGAGCGATTCAGTGATAAAATTCATCACCTCAACCCCCAACTGCAACTTGGAATCCTCCAAAACAGTCTTGGGAACGATCGTCGTAAAAGGACTTATCGATGTCGCCTTCAACTCGTACGGTGCGCCCTGTCGCGATCGATTGCCCAACAACTCGAACCGAATTTGTAACGTCCTCGCCGTGACCGTCGTGGTTGAACGTCCTTTTTGGCCAATCTTTTTCAACCCTGTCGTCCATTGGAGTATTTGGGCCGTTTCGGCGAAAATCTTGAATTTGGATTCGAGGATGACGGTCAGGTCGTGGACGGTGACGACTAGATCACCTTCGATCCCCGCTTCGACTGAGGGCTGCTTCTGCTTGTGCTTCTTCTTGCCCGAAGCGTCTGGACTTCGAGGAGGATCGAAAGCGAGTGAAGCGCGGTCGAACGCCAGTGTGGTCAGTCCCGATTCGGACAATTGCAATTGAATCTCCGAAGTGAGTTTATTGAACGACTGTAACGTCGCACGAGTTCCCCCGGGTCGGTACAAGGGTGGGCTGTAATCGGGAAGAAAGAAGTTGTGCAACCGCGTCGGACCGATGAGGTGCGAGTGCATGCGGAAGTTCGTCGTTGTCGGAAGTGATTCTGGCACGGTCGCGGTAATCTCGCCGCCTGCTTCGGAGCTGGTGGGAGTCGGCGAGTTCGTCTCGACACTTGCGGCGGAAGAGGGCGGTAGGGGAGACTCTGTCGACCCCGACGTCGCAGATGGTGGAGCCAGACTCGAGGCATCGAGGGGTGTCGAGACTTCCTTTTCGCGCTCATCGTCAACCATGGCGTCGTAGGTTTGCACATCGACGTGCTTGTTGACGAATTTGAAGAGGCCTTCGGCAATGTCGTCGACGGCTGGCCCCTCTGCCATGTCTCGGATCAAAAAGTCGGAAATGAGCTTGACGGGCCATCGAATGAGGATCGTCCCTTTGACAAAGGGTGTCACCTTGGTCACGAGTCCACCCCAAGGTCCAAATCCTTTGATGACGAGCATGTTGATCGCGCCTTCGTCGACATTGGTCGAAAGCACCTCAATTTTCGGCACCGAATCCGCAGTCGTGCCACGAACGAGTTGCACGCCCAGCGCGATTGCAGCATCGTCAATGTCGGCCTCAACTCGACCCGATCCTGTCCATTTCCATGGTCTGAGCGTACTCTCGTCGTTGAGGTTCATTCCTTGCGGAAGGAAGCGGGCGGTCGCGGTGACGGAGAAGCTCCCCGAAAGGATGGTCGAAACTTGGTCGACCTTGACGTCGATAGGGGAGCGACCGGCATCGATGCATCTTGTTGCGACTTGACCGATCCTCAGTCGAGTGAAGACGAGTTCGGATGCAGTCGACTTGATGACGATGCGTAACCGCTTGGTCGTCAGTGGCACCTTGAGCGTGAGCTTGACCGGCGGCATCTTGACACTACAATGGCGGTAGGTGTGGTTCAGGGTGAATACGAATAGCATTTTATTTCTTTCCTGATCTTGAGCATGTGACGTACACGGGTATGATGGTGAGTCCGTCGAGTTCGAGCTTGCGGATGATCGAGGCGAGCACGGGTCCGGCTCGATTGAGAGGGGTGTTGCGTAGCTTGGGAGGGCCGAGGCTGGTCGGTGGCGTCGGTAAGAGGTAGAGAATGGATGCGAGTGCAACCGCAAACGCCAGCAAAGATCCGACCAGGCCCATTGCGATTCACAAACTGGGCTCAGACGAGTCGGTTGCGCCCCACTTGGGGTAGCTTGGGGTAGCGCTCTTGGGCGCTGAGGCGCTGAGGCCTGAGGCGCGGCGCCGAGGGGCGAATGTGTGGCCGGGAGCAGCTGTTTGAGTCAATGTAGGGACACGAACGAGCCGATCACGTCGTGGGTGTCTCGATGGCGTTGCGTTGGGCTGAATTGGGCCGAGTCGAGTAGCTGGAGAGCGAAAGCCATGTGAAGCCACCACCTCACGGGTTGTCCTCGTTTGCGACCCAAATGACGAGCGTGACGCGGTGACGTATAGCTCAGCCCAGCGCGCCGGTCAGCTCGCCGGTCCGCCCGTCAAAAGCCGTTGGCTCAGCCGAGAGCGATCGCCCTTGATTCCTATCCTCGATCGTTGAGTCGATCACTTTGCGAGTGCGACTGCGGTCGGTCGAAGTCGAACCAATTGAGGCCTCGCATCGCTTTCAGGTACCTGTTTCACCCACCGTACCTAGAAACCAGGATTAGAAGGCCAGGTAGTACCATTCGAGGATCAAGCAAAGGTCCAGACCGACGTAGGAAATAGTGCGAGCTTCTGAACTTCAACTACGTCTGATAGCCGCCATTCCGATCTCGATAAAACTTGACCGTGAAATGAGTGCAAATCGAAACCGCTCGGGCGCGTCTCAGCCTTCGGACTCCGTTCGCTTTCTCGGTGTCTCGATCCATTCCATCACACCTAGCCGAAAGGTCAGTCTACGCCGCGAGGTTTCTGTAAACCTACACACCTTTCTTACCACTCCCTCTCTCATTGCGATCGTCATTACGCAAGTTGCTAGAAGGCGGCGACTTGTCCCGGCTCCCGTGATTGAAGCGACGGCGTTACAAGTTCGCGTCAGGCACCGACCGGGCTCAGCCGCACAATTCCGCTGCGACTAGTAGTTCTAGTCGAACGTGGCGCTGAAGGCGATAGGCGACGTGAAACGATTACTGATACCACGTCCCGCTTCCGACTATTGGTGCGACACCATCTCCCACCACAAGTTGCCATCGGCACACTGCTCCGAGTCGTCAAATAGCCGCGTGTTCTCGAGTCACAGCCCCGAGCGGCCCTGGCTCAGCACGGCGAGTTCGGCGCCCCGTGCGCGCTCACTCCTGATCATGTCGAGGACCTCGCGTCCAGCGCTCCTGTTCCACCCAGACGCCAGTGGCTCAGACACCACTTTGTCTCTAGGCGATCTCTTCCCCGAATGTGGCCAACACCCGCACGTGCAAGCTTTGGAGCAACAACTGCCCCTGACATCACCACTTGCCCTTCACGATCGTAGGGATCATTGCTTGGCCGATAAAGTCGACGAGACCGACTCGGACGTCGTCATGCACAATTCGACGGACGAGCACCGCGTAGACGCAACGTGGGACAGTAGCCGCCTCGCCTTGGATACGCTGGGTCTGGGACTGGGGCCACTCGACAAACGAGGTCACCATAAACCCTTCGACCTTGCCTCCAGTGATCACGAACCTACCCCGCTCCCAACACATCTCGAGGACATTCACTTTTCGGGCATCGCTCGACCGAACGTGGCCTCATCTCTGAACTTCTTCCACCGATCTTGCGCTGCTCCGCAGATGCCCCCCTCACCTCCGTCCCCGCGTCGCAACTTGAGCAAGAGCATCACCAGAAACATCCCGGCCGGATGCAAGGAAGTCCCCTGGGTCGAGGAGGAGGATGATCTTTCGTTCTGGTCTCCCCCAACTTGCTGCCCATCGGACCACCCCCTCGGCACGAGTTCCATCTCCACCCACGCCGGCGAGCAGCAGTCCCACGGCGACGCGAGCGCACCTCCTCTTTGTCCACTCACCACGACTGCGCCTCCTCTTTGTCCACTCGCGAGTCCGCCTCCTTCGCCTCATCGAAAAGCCTTGACATTGCCCGTTGCCCCTCCTGCGCCTCCCGCGACCCTGGCCCGGGAACCCTCGAGCGCACTCAAGCTCAAGTCGACCGCATCCTCATCGAGTGGTCGTCGTTCCTCTCGCGCACGACCCGAACGCCGTTCAACAGGCGATAGTCGAGGCCGAGGTAGAGAACCTGGATCCTCGCTCGACCGAAGAAGGGTAACGAGTCGATCGCCTCCTCGCCGAACCTCGATGGGCGGCTCACTCAAGATCAGCAAGTCGATGCTGTCTGCGACGTGTTCCTTGGGTCGAAGGGAAGAAACACTTTGGCCTAGGCCCTTTGACGAAGCAAGTCCGGAGGATCCTCGATCATCATCCCCTGTGGTCTCCGACGAAGAGGACGACGATGATTCAGATGAATACGACGCTCGATTCGTCGACCTCGCGGTCATTCGTCGATCCCTCCCTCGCCAAGGGAGCCAAAGTCCTCACAAACCGACGAGCTCTCTTCAAACCCATCCGATGATAGATGGCTTATCAAACGATCCTCACGCCTCGGCCTCCCCACCTCGTCGGCGACACCGCCGATTGGAAAAACTGCACTCGGAGCAATGGTTCCTCTTCGCCGTTGCGGGGGCGAAGGAGCAGCGGACCGGTTTGGGCTATTGGTCCCATTTCGACTTCGACCTCTCCTAGTGACTCTCCGTAGAGACTACACACTTCTTCACTATCTGTGCCCCGCATGTCGTTCGCCTTATTCAGTATCCATGTTGTGACCCTACCGTGCTCCTTCTCTTGCCTTTGTTGCTTCATTTTGCTGGTTTTTGTTTGGTGTACTGTAGACTATCGCTCTGATGACTGGATCCATTTTCGCCGAAATATTACAACGTTTCTAATTATTCACTGTTCATGCGATAGTACGACACGACCCGGTCCTCAAAACTCCAACTTCCTGGCAACCTTCTTCCTCGCCGCATCCAACCCATCAAAGCGCTCCCCATGTCTCTTTCCATTCTTCTTCTTTCTTACCCCCTCCGCATCCCCCTCCCCAATTGCTTCCATCGCTTCCTCCACCACCTTCTTCTTCTCCACCTTGCTAGGTTTTGGTAACTTCCCCGGTGGTGTAGGGAAGGGATGTTTGGAGAAGTAGGTATGCAACAAGGCGTTCTTGGTCGAGATGCGTTTTCGGGGGTCGTAGAGGAGTAGTCGGGTGAGGAGGTCTATGGCCTCGTTGGAAGCGGCGGAGAAGAGGAGACGGAGGTCTTGGCGCGGTTTGTGCGGTTCGAGGGATATGTAGTCCGGGAGGGATTTGTGGCCCTGCGCAGAGACGAGACGAAGAATTGGAGCCATGAGCGAACAGTTCGACCTTGAGCATGAAGCAATCAAGCAAGCACTCACAGGCCAGTCCTTCTCCGTCGGTGTCCCCAGGGCCGAGAAGATGACGTTCAACTGCTCGACATCACTCTCCGCGGCCATATAAGGCACCCTCAACATCAACTCTGCAAAAATACACCCAGCGGCCCAATTGTCCACAGCGGTCGAGTAGGACCGCGCACCGAACAAGAGTTCGGGGGCGCGGTACCAGCGCGTGACGACTTGGGAGGTCATGCGGGCTGTTGAGGACGGGTCGGCGTATTCTCGTGCGAGACCGAAATCGGCGATTTTGAGTACGCCGTTCGAGGCGATCAACAAATTGTTGGGTTTCATATCCTGGTGGGTAGTGTATCAGCTTCAAGCGTTTGTGGGTTCTGATTCTACTCCGCTCAACTCGCACTGACTCGATGCAATATCCAATTGCGATGGCAGAACTCAAGCCCCTTGAAAGTCATGAGCATCCACGACTTGATGTCGGCGGCTTGGAAGACGAGCGACCTGTCCTTGATGACGGCTTCCAGGTCGGCTTCGAGGAATTCGAGTACGAGGTTGAGGTTGGACTTGTTGGAAAAGACGTCGAGGAGCTGCGACAGGCAAGGATCGGAGTCAGCAGATTTGCGCGTGCGGGGGTGGAATGCGAGGGATACGAACCTCGATGACGTTGGGGTGCTTGAGCTCGCGTAGGAACTTGACTTCTCTCACGGCGGACATGTCCAGCCCATCTTTGAATTGACCAACTTTGATCTACGTCGAGATGGGGTGGCACGATTCAGCTCGGGGAGCGAACGGACACGGACGAGGAGGATTGGACTGAACCTTTTTGATAGCGACCGGTCTGCCCGTCTTGAGTTCCCTTCCGGCGTAAACGACGGCATAGGTACCTTCTCCGACTTTGTTGTCCTTGCTGTAGAGCGATTGGATCTTGTTGTTGGCCGCTTCGGCGGCTTCCATCCCGTCGACGACGACGGGGTCGGTTGCTGCTCCAGTCGACGTGTCGGACTCTGGAAGGTCTGCACGCCCGGCTGTTTCACAGCGAGAGCAGTAGCTTAGGTGCTGGAGGATGGAGTAGCCTTGGGACTTGGTCTGGTTGGTCCGGTACCAGCGATGAGCGTGTCCAGCACGCGGATCGAGGGCAGAAACCGAGAGCTGGCTGCACTCCCGGCGTTTCCATGTTCGGCCCACATTTTGTTGCTTGTATATGCTCAAACTGGCATGCCCGAATCACGGAAATATCAAAATGAAATGTTGCAGACTATGTCCGAGTACGAGTTTTTATTATCACCCGCGCGGCCCGGCCCGGTACTCGCGGGTACGTCACCACCCCCCGGCCACGCGGCGCCACTGCGGCGCCAGTCGTCGAGTCACTTCGTTCCCAACTTCCCCCCCACCTGACACCTCCTGACACGCTCGCACCTTTTGGCTCCTTTTCAGTCCGCCCGACTGACCCCCACCCTACTTCTGACACTTACCTATCCAAGCGAATGAGACTTGCGTCGACCGCCTTGACTGTCCTCCTCGCGCTCTTGCTCTTGCAGTGCTCGCACCTCGCCACCGCCACCACATCCCACGACGACTCCTCGTATCCTCCTTTCACACCCGAATCGGACCAGGACCGTCTCTCAGCGCAGTTGGCGTTCAGCATGCAGACCTCCGACGCCAATTCGCTCGCGGCAAACTCGTACATTGTCGAGATTGAGACACCCACCGTCGCTGGATCATCCGGTTCGGTCGAGAAGGTAGGCGCTGCACTGCACATGCACTGACCCCTGATACGCTGACCCCTGAGAGGCCGACCGAGCTGACCCCCTTCCTCTCCCGTTCAAGGCCATCTCGGACGCGGTCGACAAGCTGATCGAGAACGTCAAACAAGCGCACCCTGAAGCCGAGGTCAAGCACGTCTACAAGAGCGATCTCTTCACCGGTGCGAGTTTCAGGGTCGGCGACGAGACCACAAAGTCGCATTTGCAGAGGATCCAGGATGTCAAGGTGAGTACTAGGAGCGCTGTCTGAAGCGAGGGACTGATCTTGGATCTGTGCGAATGTAGAACGTCTCACCCGTGCGATTGATGCATCATCAAGGCGGCGCAAGCGCAGGAGCGAAAACGACGACTTTTTGAACGGCAAATCATAACCCAGAGTCGGTGCAGCAGGACCGATCAGCCGCTTTGATCTGTTCTCTGAGACGAATATCGAATGTAGATACCATGTGCATCTCTACTGTTTATGCCTCGGAATGACTTGGCCGTACACACTTTTGGTACGGCTCGTGCGACTCACTCGGCAATCGTTCGAGCCGATGAAATTCCTTCCCCTCTGCTGTTTTCCGTTTCCCACTCGCAGTTGATAGTTTTTTTCCGAGTAGATGTAATACTTTGATTCTGATCTTTCATCGATGCCCGAATTTTCGAGCTGTCAAACTCCGGTCTTCGGGCCCATCCCTGGCCGGTTGGTGACCGGTTCTTTGGTTGGGCGCGGCGCGACCTGGCGCCCCAAAGTGATCGTCATCGGCATTTCACGCTCCGCTTTCTTGTTCGCTCCCACACCACACCACACCACACGCACAGTCCAACTCGCTCGACCCCAACTATGGAGTTGACGATCCAAACGCGTGGTGGGCGCCCTTCCAAGCGGTTCCCTCTCACCGTCTCGCTCAGTTCGAAGCAGCCGACCGTCGGCGAGCTGAAGCGACAGATCGAGAAGCAGACCAAGGTCGGTCTTGCACCTCCTATTCCCCCCCCCCCCCCCCCCCCACCCCAAAAGCTTCAGCGTGTTTGCTGACCAACTTGCTCGTTGCAACAGCTCGGCTTCCATCGTCAAAGGATCACCACGCTCGACAAGAAGCTCCCGCTGGATGACGAGGACAAGAAAGTCGTCGACTTTGGCGTCAACGATGGCGACAAGCTCGAGATCAAGGACTTGGGGCCCCAAATGTGTGGGTTCGCAATCCGCAAAATGTTCTTGTACAAGTCGGTTGCACTGCTGACTGTACTAGGTGCGCCTACTCACAGCTTGGTCGGCGGTCGTGCGTCGCTCGGAGCTTCCGCGCTGGGCTTCAGTTCGGTCATCGGCGTGCTCGGAGTGTGTCAGCTGACGAGGCCTTGTACTTGACCCGGATGGCCAACAGTTCATGTCGGAATACGTGCGGCTGCCTTCAGAATTGTCTTCGTCAGACCTCAGCCAGAGTACTGACTGATTCGACCCCCCGTCCCCTTTCGCTTCCCCCCACATGAACACAGGCCGGCCCTCTCGTCATCCACCCCATCTTCTACTTTGGCTCAAAGTTGATCTACCGACAGGACTTTGTTCATTCGAGGATGCAAAAGTAGGCCATCGGTCATCTCATACGCTCTCCAAGCCCTGTGGACTGACACCGGGTCACCCTCTTCTCTCCTCTCGGACAGGATCGCTCTCGCGCTCGTAGTTGCACATTATGCCAAGCGTGAACTCGAGACCATCTTGTGAGCGTTCAAAGCGGTCCCTAATCGATCTTTACCGAATATCTGAATACGCTCCTTGGGACGGTCGCCAGTGTCCACCGTTTCTCATCAGCGACAATGCCCCTCTTCAACCTCTTCAAAAAGTTGGTCCCTTTCGCTTTCCCTCCAATTCCTCTGCTTCGCGCACAAGCACTGACCCCGAAAGAACGCGCTTTCTTCAGCTGCGGCCATTACTGGGGTCTCTCGGGCCTCTTGCTCGCACCTCCCTTGTACGGTCCATGGAACGGCGCCCAAGCGCTCAAGGGAACGATCAGGGACACGGACAAGTGGATCTACGCCTGGGTCGCTCTTTGGGCTGTGAGTACCCCCACCACTCCCCAAACTCGAACCAGCAACAACAATCACTGACTATCCCTCTCTCTCATCACTCGCGAAGTTTGGTGAACTCTCGAACCTGTCGACGCACATCACCCTACGCAACCTCCGCCCCGCCGGCACCAAGACCCGAGCGATCCCCCGTGGTTACGGTTTCGGTCTGGTGTCGTGCCCGAATTACTTTTTCGAAACGATCGCTTGGGTCGCCTTTACGGGTTTGACGTTGGACTATGCTGGTGAGTGATACATAGTGGGCCTGGGGGAAGAGTTGATGCTGAAAAAACTGACCCTTGGCTCCATCTTTACCAGCGGCCTTCTTCTCCGTCGTCGCGGTCGTACAGATGTACGTCTGGGCCGTCAAGAAGCATCGCAGGTACCGCAAGGAGTTTGGCAAGGACTACCCAAGGGGAAGGAAGGCCATGTTCCCCTTTTTGGCATGAAAGAAGCGATGGCACGGCGCGTTGTTTTGCGGAGGACCGGAAGAGTGGCAGAGGGCTGTGCGGATCGACTGCAGGTCTAATCATAGTGAAGAATCGATTGAACCTGCCTTACGAGTTTTTGCGTTAGGATCTGTGAGGTTAGCTCCTCAATGGCTTCCAAAGTAGCGGGTTGTCCGCTTCTCGACATCCGCATAGCCTCGATGTCGTAGACACAAGGGAGGGAGGGAGAGAGAAGAAAACAAATTGCAGATCGGCCAAAACACCCAAAAGTTCGAAATCAAACCACAGACCGCTGCCCGCCTACTTCGACGACATGGCGACGCCTGCACTCGTGCTGGACCCCGCACCGGACTAAATCCAAATTACATCTCTAGCGCTCTTGCACAGATATCCGCTGCCAGGCTCTACTCGTCCTTGCTTGTCTCGTATTTAGACACGTCGACGCCGTGGTGCGGGTGTCGGACAAAGTTGAACCTGATCGGGGTGGATGACACGAGAGTCAGTTCGTACTGTCTGCCAACACGGATCTCGAAGGGTTTGGCCTCACCAAGGCATGACACCGAACTTGAGCTGTGGTCGCAAGATCGACGCGAAAAAGTTCATCAGCGCGCCTCGTTTCTCAGTCGATCTAGCGACTGGACTGACCTGGGACCAGATCGAATTCCTATGCGCGACGCCCTGGATGTAAGGCGGCAAAGTCTGTTCGCCGTACAGGGGTTTTCCTGCCTTGGCCAAAGCGGTCATCTCCTGCTCGATCGCCTTCTCCTCGGCGAGGTTATCTTTCCAGCCCCAGAGACGGACTGGGATCGAGAGGACGGAACGAATTGTAATACAAGGATGAGAGAGGGGAGACGGTCGCGTCAGTTCTTGGAGTGCGCAAGCTGGACGGCGGGAAGGTTGAGAGACTGCAAGGTTCGGATACTGACGGGACGAAGTCTGGTACGCGAGGAGGAAGCCGCCGGTGAAGCCGAGGAACGCGGTCAGTCGCAGGGCCGGGCGCAGGCCTGCTCGGGTCATCTTGCTCGGGTCCGCCAGTTCTACGATGGGTTGGAGGTGATGATCAGTTCTGCCCTGTTCGTCTGTGTGCGGTCCTGCAGTGTTCCTTCGCCCGCGCGGATGCTGCTCCCCCCTTCGCCCCTCGCGGTCCTCCGGCGGTGTCGCTGCCGAGTCCAACTCACCCAACCCATAGAACGCCAAAGGAGCGGCTGCGGTCATGCCAGCCCAAACGGCGTAATCGGCCGGTCGCATGTACTTGATCACCCGCGTGGCGTGCGGGTCCGTATCGAGCACCGTGTACGGCGTCTTGAGTTGGTTGTCGCGCGCGATCGGGGCCATGGTGGGAAGGGGTGCAGGGGGCAGGGGGGGGGGGGGGGGGGTGCAGCGGAAGAAGGGGTGAGAAGATGGTGCGTGCGAAAAGAGGGATGATGTGGGGAGAGGGGTTAGAGTGAAGACGGGAGCAGTGGAGCAGAATGGACTAGGCGAGCGAGTGTGAGACGACTGGCAGCTACTGGCAGCGACTGGCCTACCACTGGCCTGAGCTAACGAGAGCTAACGTCAGTCTAACGTCTGCTAACGAGCGCTAACGTTGAGCAGTCTCGAGCAGTCTTGAGCAGCCTTGAGCTACCTTGAGACCTGGCTTGAGACTGGCTTGAGTCTGCGCGCGAGTCTGCGCGCGAGTCTCTATGCGCCAGCCTGCAGTGCTCGCCACCCTCGTGCCGCTTTGACCTCTTTGCTCTTGGCTCATCCTCGGCTCGGGTTGGTCGCAGCGACGGCCGCCGACTCCCTCCCGCACCCTACACGATGCCCGCCTCGGAGTTCGAATCGACCAAGGCCAAACCTCTAGCTGCAGTCGACCTCGCCACGGTCGCCACCTCCAGCAACCACCCATCATCCACCACTGGGACTGCAACTGCAACTGCAACTGCAACTGCAAATGCAACTGTGCCGTCGACATGGAGTGTGGATCCCTCCTTCCAGGACATTGACTCGGACACCGATTCAGAGGTCGAACCACATGATGACGACGATTGGCAAGCCATCATGGATGCAGGTACGTCATCCCGTGCCGTTCGACAACAAGTATCCTGAGCGCAAACTCGGTTCGTTGCAGCCGAAGCAGCCTTTTCAGATGATCAAGTCGACGAGATGATTTCTTACCTCAAGGAGAACGGCCTTTTCAACTTTGTGAACCGTTATGTCGATCAAGAGCACATCCCGATACCCAAGCTTTTGCTCGTTTTTGGGATCCTCATCGTCAGCGCGGAATCGAATTCCCATCTGCCGGGTCCGCGAACCGAGTCGCTGATCCCCTGCCATGTTCATACCGCGTGAACTACAGCCCCCCCACGTCGATCGGATACATGATCAATTGAGGCTACTCAAGATCGCAGCTTCGAGGGTGTAAGCATCAAAATCACTTCCCAAGACGGGCAGAGTGTGAAATGAAACTTATCCCTTCCCCACAGACTGCGCAACAGAGATCGACTCGAGCAATACAGCACCGTCGACGACGTCGTCGAACTGATCCGAAAATCCAAGAACATCATGGTACTCACCGGAGCAGGCGTATCTGTGCGTCTTCTCTCGTGCCTCCCGTCTGTCGAAGGAGGATTCTCGACTCACCTCACTGCCTCCCCTCTACCAATCGCAGACGTCGTGCGGCATCCCTGATTTTCGATCACCGACAGGGTTATATGCAAGACTAAAGGAGGAGCACTGGGAATTGGACGATCCTCAACAGGTGCGTGTTCATACCCTCTGCTTGGCCTAAGGGGCACTCGAGCGGCTCCGTCGTTTCAAGGTCAGCACAGACGCTGAGGCGCTCCTTCGTCGTTCGCCGTGTCTTGGTTGGCAGATGTTCGATCTGGACTACTTCAAGGAAAAGCCCAACGTGTTTTACTCGTTTGCCAAAGTGCTTCAACGACTGGCTGCCCCTTGGGTCCTTGTAGCAGATCTCTGAACCTATTTCATCGACTGCCTTTCAGGAAATCTACCCGTCCAACTTCACCCCTTCCCCCTGCCACCGCTTCGTCAAAGTCCTCGAAGACAACGACAAGCTTCTACGCAACTACACGCAAAATATCGATGGTCTTTTCGAACGCACGGGCGTGCGCAAAATGTTGAATTGTCATGGTGCGTGGCGTGCGAGAATCTCTCACACCCAGGACTCGGTGTTTCTTCCGAGGGGCTGATCTCTTGGGGCTTCTTGTTCGGTACGTACCGACAGGTTCTTTCGCCACCGCTTCTTGTTTGCGTTGTCGAACCCAGTTTCCCGGATCGGCGATCGAAGCCGACGTATTCGCCTCTCGAGTTCCATTATGTCCTCATTGTACCGCCTCGGACGAACAAGCAGCGCAAGCAGCTGCAACAGCAGCAGCGCAACTCACCACCCTATCCAAGAATGCAAAGAAGAAGAAAACCAAATCCTCAAACGCATGGCAATCCGACGCTTCCGACGGCTCCCAAGACGACGATGACGGTCTAGACCGTTCCGAATGGTTCAACAAACCGCTCATCAAACCGGATATCGTGTTCTTCGGCGAACCCCTCCCCTCGACGTTTGACAGGTCCTTACTCCTAGATCGAGAACAGGTCGACCTCCTCATCGTCATCGGCACCTCGTTGAGGGTTTCGCCTGTAGCGACGATCGTATCGCATTTACCGCATTCGGTTCCGCAGGTGTTGATCAATAGGGATCCGATCACACATGCGAACTTTGATGTCGTTCTGTTGGGCGATGGGGATACGATCGTCAGGCATTTGTGTGAGAGATTGGGCAAGGCGTTTGAATTAGGCGGTGGGGTTGGGATTGGGGGAGGGGGAGGTGGCGTTCAGGATGAAGGGGAGGGTATGGAAGGTCCCGAGAGGGTTGCGGAGAGTCATGTGTGGTTATTCAAGGGGAGTGATAGGGAGAGTCGGTTCGTCAAGATGGTCAGGCAGGCCTATGAGGACGACGGGGACGATGAGGAGGAGGATGGGCAAGGGGAAGGGGAAGGGGAAGGGGAAGAGGAGAGACGGAGTTCGGAAGGACAAGATCGATCAGAAACACGAGAGGAAGGTCGTGAGGAGGAACAATCGACCTTGGTCACAGCCGGTGACTTGGTCCGATCGAAGAACCTCGATTCGTTCGACGACGAAGTGTTAGAGAATGCTACACCGGATGTGATGCAAGATCCGAACGGGAAGCCCCAACCAAGGCGGAGCCGTAGTCCTCCATCCGATCCGGCAGAAGAAGCAGCGTCGAAACGGGTCAAAGTAGGTTAGGACATCGTCGCCGTCTCAACCAGCCTGTTCCATCCCAAGCACGCCCAATCTCCACGTGTAGACTCCAGTCTTCTCATGTTGTAATTTCCCCCTTCTTTTTTGGTATTGGCTTGGCTTCCGACATCCCGAAACATTCTCACAATCCCCCTAAGTTCGGGCAGCTGTCTTGAGTTCTGCTTCATTTATTCTGTTTGCAAGCATCAAGGAGCATGGGGCAGTTTAGGATAAATGGTATGTAAGGCACAAACAAACAGTTCGGTAGATCAAGGAGAGAAAAAGAGTTTTTTTGGCATCAAAGACGGAAAGAGAAAAAAAAACGAAAAGAAGACTGATGGGTTCGTAAAGTTGAACAGTAGTGAGGTGGCGGGTCTGAGGGTTGGGGTCGGAAGTGGTTTTGGTAGAGGACCAACAAGCATGAATGTCAAATGGAGTAGCAGAGAGACCCCAAGTGTCGACACAACCGAACCCCTCAAAAGGCAAGAGGGTTAAAACACAACAAGTCGTGGAAATTTTCGAGTTGGATCAGATTCGCCTGGCACTTTTGTGTGCCGATGTCGGAGTACCTCTCGTGACGGAGGAAGCCGCCGCGAGGGCCGAATTGGTCGAGGTACCGAGCTTGAGTGAGCCTTTTGGAGGAGCGGCGGCGAACGAAAAGGACGATTCTGGAGGAGGTGCTGGTCTGGGGGCTGATGTCGATACAGGTGTAGGCGCAGGGCTAGCGGCGGGCACGGAGGCCGGTGTTGCAACTTCAGCAGGCGCCGCTGGAATCGGGGTCGATATGTCCGAGTTACCACCGGTTGAGGCCGCCAGCTTCGAGGTAGCCGTACGAGCGGGCGTATGTTCGCCAGCAGCGAGCTGTGTGCTATGCTTTGCCGTCGGGGTCGTCTTCTTGGTCGCCCTCTTGCTGGCCGCCAAGATCTGATGAGGCGCTGCGAATTTCGAGGTCGACGCGGCGGGGATGTTCTTGATGACCGAAGCGATCTTGGCCGCGGCAGGAGCCATGGGTTTCCCATTCGTACCCGATGTATGCAGCGGTTGAGTCTTGCCACCACTGGCCGAAGCCTTGCGTTTCGAGGGGACGATGACACTGACAGCTGCATTCCCGTTGACGGCCGGTTTGGCGGCGGCGGCGACCTTGCTCTCATCGGGCGTCGGGGTACTGGAAGCGGAGGAGGCGAGGGCAGAGCTGAGAATGAAGGGGGTATACACAGGAAGAGGGATCAAGGTTGGGGATCCGGGCGGGGTCGTAGAGGCCGGAACGCCAACCGGGGCAGACGAGCCGGCGGCAGCTTTGGCCGCCGAGGATTTACGTTTTCTCGGGGCCTTGACCTCGGAGACCGCTCTTGTAAGGTTGAACTTGCGGGGTGCAGCGATGCCAATGTCGCGAGAGTTCTCGGGGTTGATGCGAGCGTAGATGAGACGATGCGGCGAGTCGGGCTGTTCCCCGTTCCACCATTCGTCGAGCACCCCACCCTTCTTGAACGTCTCATGGTACCCAAAGCCGAAGCCGATGCCCAGACGCCCGATAGCGGTGAGCAGACTGTCGGTGTCCGTGTTGGGCTCCTTGTCGACCTTGTCGAGCACGTCGCGCATTTTTTCGCAGAACCGTTGGGCGCGGATGACGCGAGCTTTGCTCGAAGCGGGGATGTTGTAATTGATGCGACGGGTCGCGATGACGCTCGGCCAGGGCCAATGAGCCGGCGGCGAGCCAGGTGGAGTCGTCGACCGTTTGATGCGGGGAATCCAGCCTGCGGGAGGCCATGGTGGAGGTGTACCTTCCGGTGTCGTCGAGCGAACCGGTGCGCTCGGGACTTGGATCGGAGGCGGGGCGACGCGCCGCTTCTTGGCGGCCGAAGGTCGGTCGGCGTTGACGATGAGACCCATTTTGCGAGGGTCGTAGGGAGGAGGCGAGCCCTCGGGGGTCGTCGACCTCTTGATACCGTTGCCATTCGTACTACGTTTGAAGCCTTGGGGACCGACGTCTCGATCCTTTGCCTTGGCCACTGATGCGACAGCAGGCTTGGTCGAGGTCGAGGTCGAGGTCGAGGCGGTTAAATGGGGCGTCGTCGCAGTCAAGGTGGGGGTCGCCGCTCGTTTGACGGGGGTGCTATGGACCGCAGGCGTGTTCGAACCGTTTTTCGCAGCGTCGTGGTCACCCTGTTTCCTTGCATAGCGAGGGAACTGGTTGAACTCGTCCTTGGCTCGTTCGCGCTCGGCCGGGGGTAGCTTGTCGAGAATGTCCTTCACGAGCTTGTGGGGGTTCTCGGCGACGCGCAGGTAGTCGAGCTCGGAAGTGAACCACTGGTCGGCGTCGTTCGCATCTGTTGGCAGCAATGAAGGCAGAGAAATATATGTCAGCCTCGTTCGGCTGGAACAAAGAGAGCGGTCTGCATGGGCGGCGCGCGGCGCGCGCGAAAGGAGGCCCGGGCGTGTCTTTTGAGAGCGCGCGCGCACGCCGAGGATTTAGAGGTCGAGCTCGATGCCGCCCGCCCGCAGTGGGAGCGAGGGGGAATCAGGATATGGGGAACAGGGAACGCGGGCGCGCTCGAGGCCGGCAAAGCACAAGAATGGGAACACCAAGGGCACAAGCGAGTCATGGCACGAAGCATACTCACGTGGGCGACGGCCATAACAATCGGCACACCGACGCTTGGCGAACTTGCACTCGAGGCAGACGACCCCGCCGCGGATCTGCCAGCACACGTCGATGTCGTTGTCGCGACAGTAGACGCAGCGCTCCTCATCCGCTCGCGGCGTGACTTCGCTCGCGAGCAGGTTCGTCTTCTCCGGAGTGGACCAGTACGTGGTCCAGAACGACCCCTGGTGCGGAAACGGTCGTGGTGCCTGCAACTCGACCTCGTCCTGCATCGTAGTGAGCGTGGGTGGTGGGTCGACCGGGGGAGGGGGTGGTGGGTGGGTGGTGTGGGCGTAAGCGCTACGGGCGATCGCGCGCTGAGCGTGAGCAAGGTGCGGCGACGGCGGCAGGCGACGGCGGCGAGAACGGCCGGGAGTTCAATAGGGTTCAGTTGGTCGTGGTAGGACGACGAGGGCAGCGGGCGATACGACACAATCCCGACGGTCGAAGGGGTGCAGCGACACTTGCAGTTTCGCGTCGTGTCGAGTTAGTGCACACTCGACAGGCTCGATCGATGAGAGAGAAGAACCGCGGCAGAGTCGCCACCAACGAGGAGGACAGAGGCTGAGCAACGGGGCGCTGCTGAAGCGCTGAAGCGCTGAAGCGAGCAGAGCCTGAGGCTTCGACTGAGCGATTTGGGCAAGGAGCTCAGAATCGGCTCACAACGCCGCGCCTTCACGAGGCCACGCGCGCCTCGGGCCCGACTGCGAGCTGGAGCATACTCTGCAGTCCAGGGCCGAAGCCGAGCAATCGAAGTCGGAACAACCGACACTTTTGTGAACAACACCCACAGTAGTGGCGCAGCGTGATCATCCTTGCCTGAAAAAAAAAGGAAATTTAGGAGTTTTGGTCGTCGCTGCCGACGTGACTAAAAGAAGTTGGAACCCCTCGCCGATCGAGACTGCGGCCCTAGTAGTAAAAGTGAGACTTGGGTGGGTTGCGTTTTGCCCAATGCCCGACCCTCACAGGCCTCACGGCCTCACCTGCCCGAAGGCGCGAGTGCCAGCTAGTGCTCTCTAGTGCTGGTGCCCGGGCTGGTGCTCCGCTCACACGCGCGATCGTCATTCGGCTTGCGCTTCCGTCCTCTCATCGACCATCCTGATTGCTGGAGCCGGTGAAGATGGACAAACTACAGCCTATCACACGGAACCTGCCCGGATTCATTCGGGATCCGATCGTCTCGGTCATCGGTGAGGTCAGTGCATCACGTGCTGTGTACGAGCTACTCTCTACGGGCTCGACTCCCCACCACTTGCCAATTTCCATCTCGAACCCGTGGTGCGAATGGCTTGCCTTTCGGTGCGACCATTCCACTGCTTCCAGGCACGATGCATGGTGTGCCTGAGACCTTTGCCACGTCTGCTTTCTATGATGTCCACCTCCCCCCGAACGTTCAGGTGGAGGGGATTCAGAGGGACTCGTCTCGTGGAGCAAACAGCTGTGGTCGACCCGGACTGAATGACGTCGAGCTAATCACTACTTCGCGTGCCAATACCTCCCTACCCCACATGCGATCCAATTCGGCACAGGACTGCTTCACGACCCTGATCTACAATACGGATCTGGGTGACCGCCGTTGCATCCAGTACTCCATCTCAAAGGCGCTCGGCTTCGCGATCGTCCTCGGCGGCAGCATCGTCAAATTGCCTCAGATCATCAAGATCATTAACGCTCGCTCAGCGAGGGGCCTTTCCCTCGCGAGCTACTTGCTCGATACATCGTCGACCGCCATCGTCGTCGTCAGTCCATTCCCCGCTCGGAATTTGCTGTCCAGACCTCGAACGCGCGCGCGTGTGTACTGACCTTTGAGGACCCCCTCTTAGGCCTACAACGTCCGCAATTCGTTCCCTTGGTCAACGTACGGCGAAAACTTCTTCCTCTTGGCGCAAAACGTCGTCATCATGGGCCTGATCGTGCTCTACTCGACCGAAGCGACCGCTCCTTTGCTCCTCCTTCTCTCGGCCCTCGGCCTCATGCTTGCCTACGTTCTTTCGTCCCGTGACCTCCTCCCCTTAGCTCACCTCTCCCTCCTCCTCTCCGCTTCGATCCCCTTGACGCTCTCGTCCAAGGTTCCCCAAATCCTCGAGATCCAGAAGAATCGTTCGACGGGACAGCTCTCGGGCTTCTTGGTCGCTTCCCAAGTACTAGGCTGCCTCGCACGGGTCTTCACGACCTTGACCGAGACGGGCGATCGGGTCCTCTGGTGGGGGTTTGTCCTGACGACTTTGATGAACGCCATGATCGCCGTGCAAATGTGGGTCTACTGGGACAACAGCAAGACCGACTCGGTCGACCTTGGCAAGGGAGCGCACAAGCATAAGGTCTCGGGCGAGCTAAAACCCAAGGTCAACAGCTCGCCAAAACCCGCGCCGTTCGCTTCGAGCAGTGGCGACTCGATGGATGCGTCGCCCCGAAAAGCATTCGGGTCAAGTCCGTCAAGTGTTCGAAAGTACGTTCGCAAGCTTGACTGATAGTTCGGCGCAGAACAGATCGCGTTTGATGACCGCGGGTCGTGAAATATTATGTTGATCCAATCTCTCGTTGTCGTTTCAAAACGTATGGTTTCTTGAACTTTCTTTGCATATGTAAAAGACAGCGCTGCTAATGTTTGGAATACTACATCCATGTTTTCAGGACGACTGACGCTCGAAGCACGAGCTCAGATATCGGTCGCGGTAAAGACCACACCAGCCCCAACGGGGTCATGGTCCGCAATACCAAATCTCGAATGGACAATGGGGTTTGGTTACAAGCAAACAGGGGTGGGGTAGACTATAGTAACGTCAAAGACCGAAGCAAATTAAGGGGCGTGCATGCAAAATATATCGCATGAAGACAGAAGGGGGTCAGGAAGAAAAGCAAGCATAGTGCGAACTGGTGGTGACATACAGATCATACAAGGGACTGAAAGTAACAAAGCAGTACACCATAGACAGGCGATCACAGCCATTTTCGTGGGGAGGGGATTGGGGGCCGGAAAAGGGGGGGGGGAACCCAAACGATAGTGGTGTTACTAGACAGGTGAGGTGAAGGGGTGAGATTCGTGTGCATCGGTCGCCTGTTCAAGCGGCGGAGATGCTCCATGAACCAGAGGGTAAGTCTCCGCTCCATGAGAACGTAGAAGGTACGTCATTGAGCAAGGTATCATAGTCGAAGGCGCCGATGGCCTTAGCGCTCGACGTGCCGAGGGAGCCTGGCTTGACGATATAAGGCGCGGCAGGATCAGCCTTGGGTTGAGCCGCGGCGAGCATGGCAGAATACGTCCCATTGTCTCTCATCGAAGGGGTGTCGGGGTTCTCGTCGTCCGAAGGTGGGGAAGGCTTGTTCTTGTTGGCCGTTCGAGGCGTTGGGGCGCCAGCAGACAGCTCCGGGGTTTGAGCGGGGAAGCCGTCCTCCTCGTCGTCGAGGTCGAAACCAGCCGCGGTGGTATCAATGTAGGAGCCGAAGTCGAACGCTTCAGCGATGGGGGCAATCATGGACATCGTGGACCCGGGGCCTGCTCGGGGTAGCATCGTCGAGAAGGGACCTGCCCCGACGGTGGTCGAGGACGTGGAAGGTATGGAGAACGAGCCGACCGAGTTCGTAAAGAATAAGCGGCCTGCGGCCCCGACGGACTGAGTGGCAGGGAGCACAGGGTTGAAATCGAACGGCAGGTGGCTCGTTACATCCCTAGCGAGACTCTGCATCGTCGCCGACGAGGCACCCACGAGCGTCGAGGTGGGAACGACGTTGCTTCCAGAGGGTGTCGAAGGCACGGCCGCAGCTCCACCCATACTCGACAGATCACCTCGCAAGATCCGTTGGATGAAGGCATCGGGATCGTTGTCGATTTCATCGGTCTCACGCTTGCGTTTGAGCGCCAGGGTATCTTCCTCGACGACGACGGGCAAGGTCGAAATTCCTGCACTCGGTGTGGCGACGGTCGTGTGCACCGCTAGAGGGCTCGGCGAGTCGACGGCCAGGCCTCGCCCAGGGCTGGATGCAGTCGTGTTACCCGAGTCTTTGCGAGCTCGACCGCGTTTCCCTCGAGCTCCTCGAACGGTCGCAGCGTCCTTGGGCGGCGAGTCGGCCTCCGTCATCGGGGTCTTGGGCGAGGCTGTGTCGAGGCGGCCAGGTGTCGCGGAGGTTTGGGGCGATGCGGCATTGCCTCCACCGGAGGCTTTCCGGCTACGCTTCAGTGGTGGCGGTTTGAGATCCTCCACACGTAATGCAGCATTCTTTTGCGCCATGGCCGAAAACTGGTCTTTCTCAGGTGCGGTGGCGGCGGCAGCAGCAGCGGCGCTCGAGGTGGGAGCAGAGGCGGACGTGGGTACCGGCGCCATTGCAGGTGCAGTTGCATTCGAGGGTGGCGCTGCGGACGTCGATGCGATCGGAGCGGATGCAGAGGCTTCTCGGGCCGGGAGAGGTAGGGAAGTAGGAGGACGAGCACGATGGTTCTGCTTGACATACGTGCCGACTCGGGTGAACAAGTCACGGATCTGCTCGAGCGCACGCATGTCGAGGGCGAATTGCGACATCTGGAGATACTTAATGTGCTCTCCGAACACCATTGTGGATGAGATCACCTTTTTGACGACCTCTTGCTGACCTGACATGGCGAGGAACAAGGGCAAGACTTCATAGATCTGCTTGACCAAGGGCACGAGGGCATGGGAGGCCTGGGCGACTCGGAGGCGTTCCTCGGCGACGATATCAATCGTTCTAGTGGCTTGCCGTTGAGCAGCCTGGTACATGGCTCGAGCCTGTTGAACTGCCGACCGTGCCGCACCGACCTGGTCCGGCGTCGGGTCGGTGTTGATGGTCGGCTTGTTGGGATTGCCAGACCCCAAGTTTGAACTCGATCGATTCGCCGCTGACGGTGGCCCCATGCTCGTCGGTAAAGTGGGAGCGGCTGCGCTCGGGCCTGCGTTTGAGGGTGTCGATGAAGAGGCCGCACTTGCGTTCTGCACGATCACCATCGCTGCAGCGGCAGCTTGCGCCTGTTGCTGTTGCTGCTGCTCCTGCGCACGCACGTATTCGAGGTGAGCCGGGCCGAGGCCGAAGGCCATTAGTTGCTGCTGCGAGAGGCCTGCAAGAGAGTTGGCTGGAGGCATAATTCCAGGTTGACTGTTGAGCATACCCGGCCATGACGTTTGTTGGGCCTGTTGCTGAGCGCGCATGGCCGCTGCAGCAGCCGCGAGCTGCACGTTGGCCTGTGTCGATGCCTCCTCGTTTTTCCCCCCCGCGGCGGTTTCCCCGGGCTTGGCGTTGTTCTGACTGCTGAGCAGTCGTTGTTTGAGTATGCTTTGCGTCCATAGCTGCCACAAAGAAGCAGTAGATATTTGAAGGTCGAGTCAGTTCTACGGTTCCTGGCTGAGCTTGATTTGTTCCCCGGACTACGCATGTACTCACCTCCTCGAAGGGCGTCAATAATTGATGATACGTCTTGGCGAGTGCAAGCGACGTTCTCGCAACGTCCGCCGGCTGATCAATAGGTTGGCTCGCATCAACTTCAAACCCGAGCTGCTTCGCAATCAAATGCCATGCAGAGGCCACGTTGACGTTTTGTCCGCCGCCCTGCATCGCGACGGCTTGGTAGAGCGCGTACAAGTCGATCTCGCGGCCTTCAACGAAGGGTGTTCCCGCGATCGGTTGGCCACGTTGCCGGTGAATGTCGAACAGAGTGCGCATGAAAGTCCCGGCATCCAAAGTCATCGAGAGCGCCGAGGGCCCTGTCGAGGCGGGCCTTGGTTGAGCCTGCGCGGCGAAAGCGGCCGCTGCTGCCGGGGTCGGGGTGGCTCCTGTCATGGGGAGTTGACCATAGTTGGTGAAAGGGGACGAGCTCGGCAGAGTCGATGTAGCGGCTGAGTTCACGCCCCCTCGAGACGCATTCTGCATCATTTGCGCTTGCAGTGCTGCAGCAGCAGCTGGGTTCGGAGGATTGAATGTTAAAGTGCCGGGGTTGGCTTGGGCACCAGTGGCGGCGGGTTGTTGCTGTATCTGCTGTTGCTGCTGTTGCTGTTGCTCGCGTTGCTTTTGCGCGTTTTGAAGATGCTGAAGGGCAACGATCTGATTCTTTTGCGCCTGCGCTTGCATCTGAGCCCGTTGTGCCGCCGCTCTTTGTTGCGTCTGCTCCGCGATGTGGGACTGATGACGTCGGGAGCCGAAATGTCAGCTGTCTCGCCTACGACGCGCAAAGACGTACAGAGCAGATATTGGACCACAAAAGCTTACCTGCCAGTCGTTCTGGATACGATGAACGGTGTGCTGGTTCTGGAACGCGATGATTCGCTCGGACATGATTTGGAAAGAGCGCCTGCGAAGCGGGACAATTTACCTGGAGTTTAGTCCCTCGTGCCTCATAGTTTGAAGCAAAAATATGCCCACGAGATGGACTCGGATTACGAGCTCACCGATTCTCGTTCAGTTCCTTCTCGACCTTGACCCTGTCCTCCGCAGAGATGGCCTTTTGGTTCGCCCCATCGCCGCCCGTGGTGATGTAGCCGGTCGACAGTGCGTTCGTGAGTAGCTGCACCTTGTTCTGCATCGCCCTCGCCGCATTGACTTGCACAAAGTACGGTTGCAGCACGGTAAATGGGATTCGCCCTTGTGCATCAACAGAGACGGAAGGATGCGTCGCGCCTGGCCCCGTAGTCGTCGTGGAGGTCGACGCAGCCGGGGCTGTGCTCACGGGCGGGTTCGACTGGCCAAACAGCTGGCCGTTTGGCATCTGGCTCGCGCCGATGTTGTTGTTGTTGTTGCCGAGAAGACCGGTCGGCGGGGCTGCGACGCTTGGCTGTGGAGGCAGCTGCCGCATCTGGCCCGGAATACCCCCGAGGTTGGGAGAGGTCGAGCCGCGAGCTTGATGATTTGCCTGGAACGCTTGAATCTGTGTCGCCAGTGACTGGAACTGCTCAGCCGTCTGCAGGAATGGCAGCCAAGGAACGAGTCAGCAACCGCGAATGCCAGAACAAGGTGATGTCCAGAGATGGTCAGGGGTCGCTCCGGCTGAGCCCGGGATGGTGCCTCGGGGCCGTTAACAGGAGACACCGCGGATTCGGCGTCGGCAGCTAGCGGCGTGCCGAGAACCAGGGGGACCGGTGGGGGCGGGCATGATGCCGAGGTGACAGTGGAAAAACGGAAGAAGGCGGGAAAGACTCGACTGACCAATTGGTTGGTTCGCAACATTTCGGAAATCGAGTTGGAGTTGAAACCACCAGCCGCACCGAGAGCGGCGTGCTGTTGAGCTTGAGCGACCTGCTGTGCCTGAGCCTGAGCCTGGGCTTGCGCCTGAGCCTGAGCCTGAGCCTGCGCCTGCGCCTGAGCTTGTTGCGACGCGGCGAGGAAGTGCTGCTGTTGCTGCTGCTGGATCGACTGCAGCTGCTGGGCGTTCTGCAAATTGCGCAACATGGCCTGAATCTGGGGCGTATTGTTAGGGTGGTTGTTGCTGATGGCGTTGTTGGGGTTGCCAGCTGCCGATTGAGCGTTCGCATGTGCACTCGTCGGCTGCTGGCTCAGTTGCGCCATGTGCGCCGCGCGGTACTGCTGCAATTGTGCCGCCGTGAGAGCGCCACCAGCTGCGGGGTTGCCAGTCGCGGCGCCGACCGTGCCCTGTGACGGGGCGCCGAGCTGGTTGAGGAACGCGAACGGGGAAGACTGGGCGGCAGTCCCATTGCCCGCGGTATTGTTGGGGTCGTACGACATGGATCCGCCGCCGCCGACGACGAGTGTTGCAACCGACGTCCTTCTTCTGCCCTGCGCGCTGCTGGCTCGCTCGTTGCCTACCTACCCCCGGTCGCGGGTCGTCCCAGGGAGGAGAGGGGCACGTAAGCGTGGGGTTACTGTGCTGTGCTTGGATGCACCGACGAATCGCACGGTGGAGGTGTTGGCAACCTCGTGCGTAGGGTGGGGCAACCTAGATCCGTGACCGAATACCGTTTGCTCTGGGAAGGCCCTGCTGCAGTGCGGCTGACTCGGTGGACTGGGTGGTGGTGGTCACGGGGTTGGCGCGGGGCGACAGGCGACTGTTACGGACGACGATCAAACGACTCGAGGCGTTTATGTCGGTCTGCTACAGGACGAGGTTGCGTCCTCTTTGCAAACCCTGGTACGGTGAAAGCCGAGGGCGAGAGAGAGAGCGGAGAGGGGTCGACGTCGACCGACACGAAACTGCGAAAGTGTTGCCAGGTAAGAGACAGGTGCGACAAGACGGTTCGCGTCCACCAGAAGATCCCTGCCGCCGCCAGCGAGCCTGTCCGCCGCCGGGCGAGAAAAGCCCCCTGAAGTCCCCCTGAGGCCCTCGGCGGGCGACGGGCGCGGTCTGAGTCAGGCACTGGGGAAATTTGGCAGTCGCGACTCGAGTCCCATCGTTCGGGCCCCGGGGTGCCATTGCGGAGTCCTGTGGCTGACAGCTGGAACACCACACTTTGTTGCAGTATAATTATGCAGCCTCCAAGCCGTTACGCATCCCGTTGAGTGGGCTAAACCCACTCGAAAGTCGAAACCTGGCGACTCGTTGCCTCGATGTATGCGAAGCAAGCCCCACAACAGCGCGGAGCGCCCCACCGGCCCGGGCGCTCTCATTCCGAGACACCGCAAGGTTCGGAAAAGGTTCGGCCTTTACCACCTGCTTGGTACTTGCTAGAGTTCAGATCAAGTCTGGCAGAGAGTACCTCTGGTCCGTGATGTCTGCAGCTCTTCCATACGCTTTCTGTCACCACTGCGTATAAATCAGCGAAAAATTTGCCCGACCGCCGGCGGCCGCTCTTTCTTGATCGAGCGACCGTCATCGCTCGCTTGACGTCTGCGCCCATCGCCGGCGAGACCAGTCACGCCTCGATCAGCCATGAACGACGTGCAAAAGGACGAATTGTTGGCTTTAGAGGTGGGTCATATACCGTGTCGAATCTCGCTTCTGGTTCTTCGCTTTCTCAAGCTCGCACCATGAACACCGGGCTCAGAGCTGACTCATCGTCCTTCACGATGCGATCTCTATTCTGTCTTCGACGGGCGAGCCCTGGTGCAGTCCATCTTACCGGACTGCATGACCTGGACAAGGGAGGCGGATAAAGTGCATGTCGCCATCAAAGTTCACGTCGACCTGGGGCAGGACCGCCAGGTGCACGTATGGGACCTTGCGCAACACCCAGCAGAGGCCATCCCCGAATCGACGATGACCTTGTCGGCAGCTCCACCTCGAGCTGTTCCGACGATTCTTCCTGCCGCTTTGTCGTCTGAACCGACATATGTGGCTCACAGCGAAGGTACAAAACCCAAACAGCGAGATCGGGGCCTGCGCGGCAAGATACCACCCACTCACCTTAAATCATCGTCTCGAGATACCCCCGTACCTTCGGCCACGAACGCCCAACGTCCAGAGCCTGTCATCATGTCACTCAGAAAGAATGAAAATGGAACGACACTATGCACGGCTCCCGTTGTCACGCGTCGTGCCCAGATCGAGCCTGAAACAGTCCCCTCTGAGCCATTGCTAGAAGCGAGACCCGCTCATGCCGCCGAACGGAGCCCGGATGAACCCCGCATTCTCGAGCTCAGATATCTTCCCCCGATCGAGATGTTGGTCATCTTATCTGGAATGTATCCCCGTGAACGCGGCCCCGACTCGATCAAGATTATCGACCGTGCACAATGGCTTCCCGAGGACTGCTTGAATACCCTGACAGCCAAGCTCAACGATGGTGAGTGCATTCAGGATTCATCGCAGTTTGGCCCCAGCTCCGCCTATTTCTTCGTCTTCTGGCTTGATTTTTCTAGTCTGGTCCGGCGACGAGTGCTTATGGGCGATGCTCGACCTTATTCAGAACGACTCACTAGTTGAAATTCTCCCACTCCAATTTCCAGTTGTGCTCAAGCAACGACCTCGGCCTTCCTTTTCCGACATCGAGCCGTTTTCAACTATACTCTCCGCTCATGATCTGGCACAACGAACCTCCACCTTCTCATTGACGACGTACACCTGCTCGCTCTGCTTGACTTCGTTCAAGGGTACGCGATGCGTGCGGCTCGCCGCCTGTTCGGATGTCTTTTGTCTGCAGTGCCTCAAGGACTTTTTTACGCTTATGATTACGGAAGGAATGGTCCGCTCGGTCTATTGCCCCGGGGCAGAATGTATCACTGCAAGGGTCAAGTGGGAGCGAGAGCATCGGGACGAGGAGGAAGGTCGACCGGGCAAGATTGGCAAGGAGGAGCTCAGGGCGATCGTGGGCGACGCATTAGTTGGAAGGTACGAGTGGCTACTCCAGAAACAGACTCTGGAAAGTGGTGAGTCGGGGCGCGTGGCCAGCAATTGAAGGTTGTCGGAATCCGGATCAAATCTGAATTATCTTCCCGAATACAGATCATTCCGTGTCGTACTGCCCTCGATGTGAAGCAGGGGTGCTCAAAACCGACGACGATGAGAAACTGCGCATTTGCAAGTCTTTCCACACGTCCGTCACGAGACCCTTACTCGAGTATCCGACTTAACATTTATTCCGCTCACATCCAGGCTCCTCATGCGAATACCCTTATTGTGTATTTTGCCGTCGAGTGTGGCACGGTACACGCAATCCTTGTGCACTGCCCCAAAGCTCCGCCATCGTCACCCAATTCCTCTCAGGCTCGCCTTCGACTCAGGCGGCACTGGAACACCGCTACGGTAAAGCCAACATCCGCCGCCTAGTCGCCGTCTTTGAGGAAGAACGCCTTAATCGCGAATGGATGGACAGGATGACGATGAAGTGCCCCGGGTGCGACGTAGGGGTCGAAAAATCCCAAGGGTGCAACCACATGCAATGCTCGCGGTGCTCGTCGCACTTTTGCTTTCGCTGCGGCAAATCACTTTCAGCGATCGATCCGTGTGTACCCGGATTCGATCTCCTTTCTTCCACCGTAAGCTCATTCTCAACTCTTTTGTGAACACTCAGATACAAGCACTTCTCGACGCCAGGGTCGTCGTGCTACCAGAAGCCGTTCGATTTCGTGGCTGGACCTGTGAACGGGATGCTCATGATCGACCAGGCAGAAAGAGATGAGAATGTGGCCGTCGCGTTGCAGCAGGAAAGTTGGTACGAACAAGGGTGGAACCCGTTTGAGTAGAGCCCGATTGTGCATTGGGAGAGCTTAACGATCCGATGGAAGTTGTAGATGGGGATAGAACACGGTTGCATCGGACAGGAGCGGCAATTGTAAACCAGCTAGAGAATGTGCGCAGATGACATTGCATAGCACCCTGGCCCAGAAGCAAGAGAAAGAAGGAAAGTGATAACATAAACAATGACAAGGTGATCGAACAGGTAGGGGTACTAGCACGGGAGCGCAACTTTTGACGCCTGCAGCGAGATTGCTTATTTCTTCAAGGTGCCGATGATGGTGTTTTTCGCGTACTTGGAGATAACTGAAGCCTCGTGGACCATCAAGAACTCCTCGGTCGCATCTGATAGACGTCAATCAGACAGGAAGGGTCAATTGGTGGTTCTCTGAAGGGTAAGTGTAAGCAAGGATGAGAAACCAACCTTTGCCAGCGTAGAGAAGAATGGCCTTGGGTCCTCCAGGATGATCAGCCAAGAAGTCGGTCGTGTTGAGCACCTGCCCGTTAACGACAACCCAGCAGTCATCCTTGGTGGTGTGCTTGGCGACTTCCTCGAGCGTGTACTCCTGTTGAGCGGGCGCCTCTTCCTTGGCAGGGGCGGGAGCGGGCGTGGCGGCCTTGGCCTCACCAACCGGGCCACCGGTCTCGACACCGGCACCCGAGGAAGACGAAGACGAAGCACCTTGGTCGTCCCATGAGAACTCGAGATGAACTTTCTTCGACGAAGGGTCGATACGCACAGTCGTAGCCATGCCGAGGTGGCCACCGACTTGGTTGAGACGCGAGTTGGCCTTGCCGGAGGTCGAGATCGACTTGAGCAAGTACGAGGCAGCCGAAGCACCGGCGACACGGCCGAAGACGACGCAGCCGAGCAAAGAAGATCCACCGAGTCGGTTCGCACCGTGGACACCACCGGCGATCTCGCCCGATGCGAAAAGGCCGGGGATCGGCTTGCCAGCCGTATCGAGAACTCGCGAAGCGGGGTCGATCTCGACACCTCCCATCGTATAGTGGAGAACGGGAGTCATCAAAGCGACATGGAAGGGACCCGACGTAAGACTCCAGTCGGTATTGTGGAAGAACTTCTTGCCAAAGGGGTCCTTCTTGGGGTCCTTGGTGACGGCCACGTAATCGGCAAAGACCTGGGCGAGCTTATCCTTGGGCAGACCCATCTCCTTGGCCACCTCCTCTCCGGTCTCGAATCGCTTCATCAAACCGCGACCGCAGTAGTGCTTGCAGTGCCACTCGATCTCCTTGGACGCCTCACCGTTAAGAATTAATCGAACGGGAAACTTGTTGTTGTCCCACATGCGACCGGTGACATAGTCACGGTGGCCGAGCTCGTCAGCGAAGCGGTTGCCCTCGGCGTCGAGCAGCAGACCTCCGACACCTCGCAGTGCCTCGGCGGCCAAGAACTTGACCTTGGCGTCGGGCTCTTTGGGGTCAACCAAACCCGTGGGGTGGACCTGGACCTTCTCGAGATCAATACCGTTACCGCCGATGTCGATGACCATCTTTTGGCCGTCGCCGGTGCAATGGTCGCCGTTGGTGGTCGGGAGATGCATCAAGTCGGGGCGGTACTTTTGCAAGAGACCGCTCTTGGAAAAATCAGCGGCGTAACCACCGGTCGCGAGGACAACGGGGCCATAGGCCTTGTGTGTGCTACCTTGGTACTCGTACTCGACACCGACAACTTCGTCGCCCTCCTTGATGAGCTTGGTGACGGCGGCCTTCTTGAGAATCTTGACTCGCTCGGGGTCGGCTTGGGCCAAGTCCTCAAGCGCCTCCATTTGCGCGAACTGTTGCAGGCTCACGCAGGCGCAAGCTAGACAGTCAGGATATTGCTATGCAATGGACCGACAAGAGTGCCACAACAGGCACGCGATGGCTCTATCCCGTCTGAGACACTCCGGCTATGGAGGAGCGAAGAAAACTCACGGTGATGGTCATACCAGGAAATTGAGCACCACCACGGTGGGTCCGCTCGTACGAGTGGCCACCGAGACGAGAGACCTTGGAGAGGTCGAGGCTGCAGAGACCAATGAGGAAAAGGCAAGGCGCGGCCGCAAAAAATCAAAGCTGGAAGTCAGCACCGATGTTGAGGAGCCAAGCGCCTGGCGCGCGCGCAGACGTCTCGAGCGCCCCAGAGTAAGCACGAGGTAGCAATGCGAGTGCACTCACCCGAACTTGTCCATGAGCCAGTTGACGGCGTCACCAGATTGGCCGGTGAGGACCTCAATGAGATCATCGCGGGCGAGGTCACGAGCCTAACAAGAATACATCAAGGATGAAGCAGGAGAGGAGGGACGAATCAGCATCGCGCGAGCTAGCGCGCCGGGGTCCCCGCCCGGGACGCGGATGTCGAACGGGGAGGAAAAAGTCCGGGGAACGCCTCCAAGGCACGCTAGGCGGCTCACGGCACGGCGGCGCCACATTGAACGCCGGTGCCCGACGGGGCCGCCACGCTGTAACATAGCCACGACAGAGTCGTGCAAAATGCAGAATAGTCAACTCACCGACTTCTTGGTATCGTCAAAGAACGTCTTGGCTGAGTCGGCAATGTTGAGGTTCGCCTGGGCTTTGGTGCCGGCGCCGTTGATGCCGGACGTGGCTTTGGTCGAGTTGCCACCAAAGAAGGGGTTCTGCAGTAACGAAGCGCAGTGGATGCCAAGGGGTCGAGGTCAGTTTCAGGGAGCTCAAAAATGCGGTCGTGTAGTGTGGGAGATGATGGGGAAATGGGCAGGGTGTGGGGCCGTGCACAGCGTGCAATGCCGCCGACGCGATTGGTCGGAACCGGCACATGGACACGAATCACGCTTCATTCAAGCGGGCGGACGGGAGAGCACCTGGAAGAGGCCGAACACCGACCTTGTCAAGGACGAGCGTCGAGGCTCCGCGCTCATAGAGGGTGTGAGCCGCGCTGAGACCACTGAGACCACCTCCGACGACGATGACTTGGTTCTGCATGATGATGGACGAGACGCGAGTGTTAAGATGAGGAGGGAAGAGAGGTTCGAAAGAGCAGATGGGGCTCGGCGCGCGCGGTCTTGAGATGCCTTCGATTTGGAACGGGGCGGGGCAGGGCGGGGCCTGACGGTCTGCCCCCCTAGACCTCCCCTCCGGACCCAAAGACGGGATCCTCTCAATTTGGTCAGCGCAAGCCCGATGACACTCATGAACATTTTTCCGACTAGTCCCGCCATTGCCCTTGCATGTATAAATCTTTTGGATCTACGATCAGATTCTGGGCTCTGCAGCCACACAGCTGATCGCTATACCTACCTCTCGCCCATTAGTCTCGCCTGCCGCTGCTCAAAGTCGGACCGGGACCAGGGTGGCAGGCCTAGCCGGCCAAAAGTAGGGCCGAACTTACCTGCGGCAGGGGCTCAGGCGATCGTATTCCCGCGCCCGTATATCCGTCTCAACGATGATGATGGTGTGAGGCGACATTTGATGTGTTCACGTCCAAGCTACGCACATCCCGCCTGAGTTCCAAGGCGAAGTTGCTTCAAGAGAATTTGATCTGAGAGCGCTTTCGAGTCTCTGGCGCTGCCCATCTAGCATGTGAAAAAGCGCCTGTAATCACTAGTTCCTGCTTTTGACCAAGACTTGGGCCGTAGACGCAACGGGACCAGAACCGGCAGCGAGCGAACCCGGAGTCGGGAGCGGGGGTAATATTCTATTCCACAACATGTCAAGAAAATAGGACGAAGAATAAAGAGCGTATTTTACCGTTCATTACTTGGGGGATTGTTCCAATGCGGTTCATGGGGACGGGCAATACAAGTCGTCGGTCATATAGTACAAGCGGTGGCGTTCGATGGGCGATGCGGATGGGTGCGAATAGGAAGTAGCGACTTGTCCGACTTTCACTGAGGACACAGCGATGAGAGATTTCAGTCGCTGCAGCCGTGAGCAGTTCTAAAAAAGGCATAGCAACGAAAATGTGACTCACAACAGAGAAAGCTTGGTAGGCGTAAAGCCCCTCCTCGCGCCCCATCATTCCATCGCCACGAATCACTTCCATCTTCCTCGCATGCCATCCCGTCTCGGTCGCAACGGAGCCATTCTGCTCATAGAGGCGCAGTAGGGCTTGACGATGAGGGTCATTTTGTGGAAGATGGACGAGTTTGCGAGGGCCTCTGGCCTTAGGTGACCGGTCGAGCACCGACGAAGTGGCGACATCGACATACCTGCGCAAGCGAAGGAGTGAGACTTAGGGTCAGTCGTCTCGTCTCAAATCCGAACCTTTTTGAAACGTCATGCAAGTGTGACATACCAGCCTCTTCGGCCCTTGCCCCATATTGGCTTCCAGTTGCCTGCCCCACCTTGCACGGCGTCCAGAGCCTTCTCGTCCAATTCGACCACCCTCAAGTTCGTCTCGCGCAAAGCCAACAGGATCTGACAGTTCTCATCCGTCTCACCAAGATTCGCCGACACGCTGGCAACCGTTTGCAACAGCACGGTATGTAGCTCGAAGATGCTCAACATTGGGGTCGAAAGAGTTGCGCGACGTTGAGCGGATGAAGGGGCGACAATTTGTGCCCCCGGTACCGCATTCGAAAGGTCAAGAACCTCGACCCCGGGTGCCTTCTCGATCAAAAACTGCGCTACGCCGCGCATCGTAATGGCGCGACATCCCGCAAGACCGAGTTCGATCAAGTGGGGTTGAGGCGGGAAGTGTTCGAGTAGCAGTGCGTCCGTGAGCGGGGTGGACGAGAGGTCGAGCATTCTCAATCGGCCCGAGGTGAAAGCGGGCGAGATCGTCAACACGAGCCGTAATTCCGGATGAGACAAAGGGGAAGTGTGAGCCGCATCTCCATACAGCGAACAATCGACGAGACCCGAGACGACTTCGCCGGAGCCCCACGCCTCATTAGCGTCCATGCCTGCGTGCGACGTGAACGGCGGACAGTCACCGCAAAACAAGCCCAAAACCGCGGAGCCTGTGACGAGACGGCATCGGGCTAAGTTGAGCGCTTTGAGCCGCATCTTCCGTCCACCCGGACCGGCCTGCCCAGCTAGCGCGAGCCCCTGAAGCAATTCTGGAGAAGCGAGCGTGCCAGCCAGATCGAGATGCGTCAGGTAAGGGAACGACAGGACGAATGAGGTCAACAGATGCGTCGGCAGCAGCGAAGATGCCAGACCCAATCGTCGAAAGTGAGGGAAATAAATGCGACGAAGTTTGCGGTGCTTCCTGTCGACGCTGTGTCCGTGGCGGTGGCTGTGCGCGGTCGGAAGCGACGAGGTCGATAGATGGCTGCTGGAAACATCGGCTTGCCAATCGCTGTCATCCGAGTCGTCATTCTCATCGATGGCCGTGATGGAAGACGTGGCCGAAGGCAGCAGAGACGGCGGGCCAAGCCGGTACGTGCCGATGCACTCCTCGATGGCCCGGACGAACACGGTGCTGATGCAGCCACACAGGTCGAGCGCACGGATCGCCTTCACTTGTTTACTTCCTTCGAGGATCTGCACGACCTTGACTTGTCCTCGCCCGCGGCGACCCGAGGCCGAAGCGGGCACCGAGCTCGAGCGCTCGGTATCGAGCGAGGTGCCGCGGACCCGGGAGGAAAAGGGTAAGTGCGTGGCACCTCGTTCGTGGAAGGGTGCAGGCACCGAAGACGAGCGCGACGCAAATGCGGACGGCGGGACAAGGGATCGGTTGAAGCGTGATCGACCTCGTCCCGACAGAGTGGCGGATCGGCCGGTACGCTCGCGGCCACGCTCTTCGATCTCGTCAGTGCCCGGCTCTACGACGAGGGAATGATCATACGCCGCGCCGGAGGAACGGCGCTGGAACGGGAGTCGCTGAGGCAGCGATCGCCCTCGGACCTCGGGTGAATGATCGAGTCGCCGAGTGGGTCGGCCTTCCCCAAGCTGGGAAACAGCTTCTTCCTCGTCGCTGTCGTCGTCTTCCATCGCTACATCTTGGTAGTCGGACTCGCTGATGACGGTCGAGCTGAGTGAAGACCTTCGTGCCCCGATGGGTGACCGCGATTGCGATGACTGCAAGTGCCGCGCTTGGAACGGCTCGCGGATTGAGGGGGCAGCAACTGCTTCAACGAAAGGCGAGGGGAACGGGGACAAGAGAGGCGGGCCGGCATCACTGGATGCCGGCTCAAGGTGGTCGAAGTACCCTTCGTGGTGGGAGTGCGAATCTTCTGATTCCTCATATTCGGCCAGATAGCCTCCCCGGAAAAGCAACTCGTCGAGCACGGCCTTGGTGAGGGCGCTATCCATGAACTCGGTGAAGGCGACGCCCTCGAGCCGGCCCGTTTGCTTAACTTTGCCTACGGGACCACCGAACTCGTCGAGATCGTCAGCGTTCATCTTACGTTCGTCTCCATAGTTCGAACCGCTGGTCATGCTATCTTCTTCGTCGTCACCGGCGCCAGGGAAGTCGAGGGGGCCCTTTCCCAAACGAGTTCCTCGCAGTAGCTTGAGAAGGCGATGGGGCGTAACGAAACGCTCGTGGGAGCCCTGCCTCAGCGAGCGACTCATCCCAGCAGTTCTAAATCTCGAGAATGAGATGGTCTTGGTGTAGAGTAAAGGCGAGTCGGCCGCGTTTAGCGAGATGGGGGCTTCGTTCTCGTCGCCACCTAGCAAGAGGAAGTGGTTTTCAAAGCCACGAGGGTGTGAGTGGTGCAAAAGACACAATTGCGAGCGGAGGGGGGGATTTGAAGAGCTCACCAGTCGTCGTATCGAACGAGTGAGAGGAATCATCTCTCCCATGCTTGCTCATGGTGTCCGCCAGGGGCCCGGCAGATTTGGCCCACTTGGTGTCATTCGTCCAGTTCGGCACAACAGAGCGTCCACGGTCCTCGTTGGAGGTGCTAACTTCAAGTCCTGCGATCGAGTTGAGGCTCCAACCTGAGCCCAGCGGATCATCCTTCTTGCGTCGGTCCATACGTTGACCGTGCTCGTACTCGTCCACGACTCGCAGAACGCCTTCCCAGCTCTTGGGGAAGCCGAACGATATCTTGCGCCAGAGCGCCCTCGTTGCCTCGTCGCCCCATGTTTTGTCCACAAGCGCAAGGTTGCGGAACGTTTCGCGCAGCTGCTCAGCACGAGGTGGGGCGAGGCGAGGCGGCATCCACAGGCTTTCTCGCGGCAAGAGATGGAGGTACGGGTCGGGCGATGGGAACGGCTCGGGCGGCGGCAGGATCTTGTAGTAGAGATGCTGGATGATGAGGTAGACGATCTCTGGAGGAAAATGTCCCGGTTCGAGTTCGGGATTGAGCGACAAAGCGTCCATGGCCGGTGACGAAGCGTGATTGCCGGACACAGGCCTGGTAGTGGGGGACCACCTCGATTGCGTAGGCGTGTCGGCAGGTGAACCCCCACGCGGGGTCCCCTGTGCACCGATCGAGTCCGCGTTAGGCCACCTGTGCAGCATGAGATGCGCAGGGCAGAATATCGCTGCTTGGGACTCACCTCGTGGCTTTGGGTGAGGTTGAACCGCACCATGGTCCTCGGAGCCTTCTGGCGAGCAAGCAATGGAGTAATCGAAGGGTGACGATGGCTCCGGCGGTGGCTTGGGTGGGGAAGGCACAGGCGATGTGTCTCGGCAGCGCAGCTCGCGCGAGCTCTCGCAACCGGCAGAAGCCGGCAGAAGCCGGCGCGCCCATACACGCCCGCATGGGAAGGACTGGCGAAAAGGCTGCGCCAAATTCGCTTATATAGGATGTGTAATGGCCACTTCGGAGGTCTCCCAGTCTCCCGAAAGTCGTACCGCTGGTGGCTGGACATGGCGTGGTCTCGAGTCATCGACCCGAAGGATCATCGCATGAAGCCCAACATTCAGTCTCTACAGCTTCGAGGGTTTGAATCCATTGGATGGGGGTGGCCACTCTCCCTTTGCGTCAAGCAGATGCTTCATTCTCGAGCTTCCAGTACGGTTAATCCTCGGACTCTGTTCTACCCAAACAATGAGAAAACAAAGAAGAGGACCATCGTCGGAGTCGCTGTGCAACGCGGCCTGATACGTGCACGTGAGAAAAAGCGAAAAGAGCAAACACAGCGAACGCCCACACATCCCCACTTCCTCTCCATCATCCCCGTCCTCGAGTCTGACCTGTCCCGCCGCATTGCCAGTTGAAGCAGCTGTTGGCGGCGGGTGACCATGCATGTTAGCAGCAGCTCGCAACTTGACGTTCGAGCAGACGGAACTACTAGTATGCAGTGATACCTGGTGTGCATAAAACTCACTTTTTGTGGACAAAGTTGTTGATTCATCATTGATACCGGTCATGACGTCTTGCACTGCCGATTGGCGGACAAGGAAACCCCCTGTAACGCCAAATCCCGAGGTGGAGGCAAAGGTGGAGGTGGATGACGTAAGCAAGAGGTTGACGGTGCGGTGAAGGGGAGGTTGACGATCAAGATCAAGGTCAAAAACGAGCAGCATGAAATGCGGTTAAGTCAAAGGTGGAGGTACAATGGGGAGGTACAATGGGGAGGTACAATGGGGAGGTACAATGGGGAGAAACAGACGTAGAGGTGAAGGCAAAGGATGAAGGTGGAGGTGATTCGAGGTGGAAGCGAATGTGATGGTGATGGGGAAGGGTGAAGGGTGAAGGTGAAGACGAGAATCGATGTAGAGGTGAAGATGGTGTGATGTGAAGGTAGATGAAGATGAACGGGCATGCAAAGGTGAAGGTCAGAGCAAGGTCAGCCCAAGTCTGTCGTACGAGGTCGTGTCCGGCCGATGATGGCAGCTGCGGTGGCGGTGGGGGTGCATGCTCGGAGGCGGCCACAAGCGGGACTGACCCGATACAATGATAATCAACAACTTCTCCCAAACTTTTTACCTCGCAAGACGACCAGGACTGCCGTGGGCCCCTCTTCGATCGAGAGCGAGATCGGAGGCTGATGACGATCCGAGTCAAGATGAGGAGGGCAGTGCCCAAGTCAGCGACGGTGGTACATACTTGCAACGAGTGGGGGGGGGGGGGGAGGGAACTCACGGTGGCTGATGGTACACTACTGCCGACTTCCACCACCTACCGCCTCGGTGCTGCGTCGATGCGCTAGTCGGTTTCGGCCCAGTGGTGGAGGAGCCATGTGAGAGGTACTCATCAACGAAGAAGAAGGAAGGAGAGAGAGAGAGGTGAGAGGGGGGTGGCGCTTTTATACTCGCCCCGAGGCCAGGCTTGGCGCTTATCAAGCGACTCGAGGTCAAGTTCTTGCTTCATCCGTGCCAATGACGCTAGCCCGCGCCGCCGCCGCTCGGCATCGCAGCTCCCTCGGCGCTGCGATCTCCCGAAAACGGAGACCCCTCGGTCACCCGAGGTCACCAAGTCGACCTGATTTGTAGCAGCACCAATGAAAAAAGCAGTGTTTTTGATGGTTGTAACATGAGGCTCATATTTTCACGCATCTGCTCGTACTACTCTGAGTCCGAACGACCCATTACTCGTGTTGCCCTTCCATGGTTCGGAGTCATTTTGAGGGATCAGAAGATCGAGCTCATGAGCCAGGAGCGCGCCGGTCCCCGTCAAGCGCCTTCGCCTCGCACCACGTCGCACCATCATCAGTTTCACCCGCGAAGATGGCGACCCCAGTGCCACGAACGGAGCATGCCGCCATGGTAGACGCTCCGTTTGCCGGCTCCGATCGAAAGCCGAGCCTGCACACGCTGCAGCCGCTCGTGCGCCTCCTTGTGATCTCGCACAGGGAGATCGAGTCCATTCTCGGCGAGGCCCTAGGGCATACCCTGACCAAGCTCACCGATGATCAGTGGAGATTCCTAGGCGACAACAAGAACGCGTGGCGGACCTTGCTCTTTGCCCTCCTCTACCTCTTGCGAGAAGACGGCGGCAAGGCCACGCCCGGCAAGACCTTGACGAAATTCGAGGATCGGCTCACCTCGGATGCGCCCGAGGGGTCGCAACGACGTGCTCAAGAATACGAGCATTTTCGTCGCGTATCAGGGGGGCAAGACTCGATCGGATTTTCCGGTGTAAGTGACGTATGGTTCGAGACACCAGCGACGAAACGAGCACGGGGCTGACGGCTCGTTGGTGGCACGCTGGTACGGGTTCCCTGAATCGGTCCTCGCACAGGCGTGGGTTACCTTGATCTACGCCGTTGAGGCAACCAAACGCAATCGCCCTCCGATCCCCCTGATCCCCTACACCCCCAACTGGTGGGACGACCGTGCGATGAGGATCGTCGAGGCGCTTTTTGGATGGAAAGACCGAGTCTACCAAATCGTCGCGGCCTTTGTCGACAGTCGCTTCGTCTTCACCTCGAATACACCCCCCCAGGACGACGATGCGGACGACGCAAAGTACTCGCCACCCGCGAAAAAGGGCAAGGATATGGGCTCGTCACTCAAGTCCAGCGTCAAGAAGGCCGTTGTTGAGGCTGTCTACGAAGCCAGACTCGCCGACTCGCCCGACGACCAGGACGTTCGACTCCTTTCCGACCTGACCACAAAGATCGCGAGTCTACACGACAAGACCTCGAATCAGGCACAAAAGGCGGTAAACCTGTATGATCTAGCGTCGGTGGCAACGTCTACGTTGCAAGTTACGGTGCAAATCATCCGCGACAACTCGCCGCGGATGCTCACACCGGACGAGCGCTCCCGTCTTGCCGAGCAGACGATCTGCGACTGGATCCGAGGGGTATCACACCGCCCTCATTGTCTCTTCCCGGCCCTCCACGCGCTCAAGGTTGCGAGCGGGCACACCCGAGGCCTTGGATTGGTGAGTGGTGGCACCGCCGGCTCTCACCGCGTTTCAACGAGTCGACCCGGCCGTCAGCGGGCCGACGCGCTCCAATGCGAGTGCAGTTGCACTGATCCGATTGTTCAACCATCCGACCTCTTTGCACAGAATTTGGGGGGCGAGTTCATTACCATGACCCCACGACGCACGTCTATACTCATCTACAAAGGTGAAGACGTGGCCAAGACCCTTGCTCGAATGGCTTCGATGCGTGTGGGTGCCTTGGCGATCGCACGTCTCGAGCAACCCCGTGGACCACGTCGCAACCGTGCTACTCGCGCAGATCGAGCCCCCTCTCTCCTCCGCTTACTCCTTTGTCGAGACCTCGACGAACTCGTGGGCGTCAAAGCGAGAATGGATCGAGCGCTGGGAGGTGCTGCGCCGTCACCTCAATCAGCAGCTCGGGGAAGCGACCCCTCGTGCCACCACCGCCCCGGCCAACGTGGCACCGGCTCTCGCTACCGCCTCATCATCCACGGCCAATCTCGAAGAGCCCTCACCCGAAACGACGCTCGATCCTCCCCCTTCCAAGCGCGCCAAGAAGGCGGCCCCCCCCCAGCCGTCGGCCTGACTCGGGTCGGATCGACACCCGATTCTGTTAAGTTGGGACCGTGGGGTCGCTGGAGATTCGTGTAACGGCACGAGCCGGATCGTTTCGGAGGAGTTGCGACGCAGGACGGCGTGGCAAGTGCTCCCCGGTCGAGAAGTCGCGAGGCGGTGAGGACGCGGCCTGGAGGGACGGACGCGGCGCAGCCGAGCGATCTGTTCTCTATGGAAACTCAGCAATCTGGATAGGCGATAGGCGAGTGAAACGATAGAGAAGAGGGAGAAAGGCGCTGGAGCGCGCAAGTCGGGCGAGGTTCTAGCAAGGGGGCGCGCAGGCTATCTAAGGCAACTGGACGGGCACAATGCAAACTAGAACTCTAAAGAGGGGCTGTGTTGGACAGCGAACACGAGGGGATACTCATCTACCATGGTCGAGTGTTGGCGAGCGGGGCAGTCCTGGGCGACAGGTCCAAAGGTTGCGAACGGGCGTCATGCATGGGCGATGCTCTGGATGGCCGATGAAACATGAGGGCGGTGATGGCAAGCTGACGGTGTCTAGGCGGAGGCAACGGCTCGGTGAGGACAGGAGAGGTAGATTGACAAAGTTCCGGCGTGTGAGGCGGCGGCGCGCGAGCGTGAGTTGAACAGGCTGGCGCGGGGGCGGCGAACAGGGGCAGCAGCTTGGCTGCGAAGGCGAAAAGCGGCGAAGCGGCACAGGCGTGGTCTGACACGACGGACGCGGTGCAGGCTGGACGGACCATGATGTGGACGGGTTGACTAACGGTGCACATGGGTCGAGGGGGCGAGACTGGTCGTGTGTAACAGGCCACGAGGCTCGGAGGGACAGGGGGCGCGGCGAAGGCTCGCTGAGGCGAAGGCGCGCGGAGGTTCGGCGCTGAGGCGAAGGCGCGTGGAGGCTCGGCGCTGGGGCGGAGGCGCGAGGCGAAAGGCGGACAAGCCCGTCAAACGGCGGCCCGATGTCGAGGTGTTCGAAGGCTTGTAAGAATGCAATTCAACAGATTCGACCATCTCGGACCCCTCGTGGCAAATGTTCTTTTCAACGTCGAGTGCTTTGGAGCGAATGGCTTTGTGCCTCACGGAGAATGGCGATCGGATGGACAAACGGTCCGGCTTCTAGGGTACAACGTCGCCAAGGCGACCCCTAACAAGTTGTCCCTGCTCCTCCCACTTTGCGCCGACACCCCTGCCCCGGCAGCCACGCGTGACCCGCAGTCGATCGCGGAGACGTTCGAGCACGTGACCAGTAGCGGAACCGTGGCGTTCGACCCGACCTACGATTGTATCGCACGGTCGTCGCTCCTCGCCACTCCCAACGAGCTCGTCAAGTGGGTTTCCGCCTCGACTCTGGTCCCATTACCGACAGTACGAGGCGGTATGCCGCGCCTCGAGAGGGTCGAGAATGCCGGCGAGAAGGTCCTCAAACTTCTCTACAGCCACGGCAAGGGTGAGGTGCGTATTCGCTGCGCGGGCGCGGGGGCCGCCCGTCTCCGGGCCGGGGGGAATGGATCCAGTATCATCCAGCTGACGAACCGTGTTCGCCTTCACTTCCATCGCCGGAGCAGGACTGGGCTGGTCCAGATCGCATCGGAACCCGCTACACGACCGATGAGGCACTCCGACAAATCGTCCAGGACGGTGCCAACGACTCCATCATTATTGGCATCGACCTGGGCACGAAATGTCCTATGGCCGTTTCGGCTACCCTCTTTGACCGAAATGAGGTTCAGATTCAAGACGACGTCGTCGTCTACGCGGATGCGCTGGACAAGCCGTTGAGGAAGGTGCAGAGCCACGTTCGGAAGCTCTCGGCTGAACTGGCCGGCAGCCTCCGATTCGGTCACGCCAAACCTCCCGGCCACGCAGCAACCCCTCTTGAGGGACAACGCCCTGCCACCTCGGCCGCCACCCTCGACGGTCCTGCTTCAGCCCCCTCTGACTCGAATACGACCGAGCGCGACGACGCCGACGCACGCACTCGCGCCGAGCTCGCTCGTGGATCCTCCTCTCGTCTCCTTCTCGGCGAGCCGGATCGACAGGCCTGGGCGGCCAAGACCAATCTCTTATCCAAGGCTTCGAGAAGGCGCTTCGTCGAGCAGGTGATGGAGGTTTCAGGTTTGAGAACGATAGGTTCGTCCTCCGTTTCACGCCGCAGGGAGTCTTCTCGAACAAGTTCAAGCCGGATACTGATTGTCGTATGGAACCTCGTGCTTCAACCTTGTTGTAGAGAGGGCCCGCGATGACACGTTAAAGCAAGCGGACTTGAGCAAGTTCAAGACCGCAGAGGTCCTCCAACGAAAGGACATCCTGTCGCCGCGCCAACGTCCGGTGCTGGTCTTCGTTGGCGAGAGAGGCTCGAGTCGTGGAACACAGAAGGCGACGTATAGGACGAATGTCCTTTGCCGAGACCTCGTTCAAGAGTTCAACAGATTGAAAGAGCGAGGATTCGTCGTGGAGATCGTCTCGGTCGACGAATACAATACCTCCTCGGTCTGCAGCGACCCCACCTGCCGCAACGAGGTGACAGGGGAGCGATCCCGGTAGGTTCCTTCAGGACATTCTAGCAGTCGTGAACGAGTTCCAAGGCGTTGCCGGATTATGCTAACGACGGGACTATGTCCTGCTGGTGTCACATCGCACCGGTCACGGCGCGCCGGTCGCACAGACTTCTCAAGAATGGCCGAGCCCACGGGGCCGAGCATAATAATCTGCGGGTCATGCTGTGCGAGAAAGAATGCCGTCCGCCCATCCACCGCGACATTGTCGCGGCACGCAACATGCCGACTGTGGGCTTACAAGTCGCCGCGTTCCAACAACACCCCTTCAGGTACCCCAAGGCCGGGAAGGACGAGGACAAGCAGGACGAGAAGGGGCAGCAAGGCAGCAAGGCCACGGCCAAGGCCAAAGGGAGCAAGCCCGGAGGAAAGGGCAGGGACAAGGAGCGCGAAGAGGAAGCGAGGGAAGGGGGAGTTGGAGAAGCCTGAAAGCCGAGTCTCCTGGGCAGTGACAGGGTGCTTGCCATCGTGCCAGTCGAAAAGCAGAGGATCGGGTCGGTGCTAAGAACGATGGGTGATGTGGTCAATATGTACAGCCTGCTATCCAATTCGTTCAGTCAACTTCAGAAACAACGGTCGGAGCAGGTCGACGCTATCCCCGAAAACCATTTCGAGCGTCGACTGGGCAGAGTAGATTGGGTTGCATCACCTTGTTTTCGTCTGCAGTGCCAATCCTGCTCAAATCGAACAATCTTTCTTTCTCACCGAGCGCGATGCATTCAACTCCTCCCGCCGAGCCGATCCCAGTTTGCGCCCTTTCGCACTCTCGACTGAGCGACTCGTCACACCAAACCATTCACATTAAACGCACGGTTACCGCCTTGTCGTCCCGCCCTTTCAGGACGAGCCGTTTTGGCGAATCCGACCTCGTCTCCCCAAAATCATACTGCCTGTGACTGGACATGGCGAGGTCACCGAGATGATCGAGTCATCGACCCAAAGGATCATCAAATGACAGCATCTTGTGTAACTACCAGGCACATTTTCAATCCTATGAACCCATTCGATGGTTCCCCACCCTCCCCCGCTGCATTCAGCAAGCACTGCACGCCAACGCTTCACTCTTGATGCGGTGAGGGACATGTGCCATGGGGAGGAGCGACCGCCGAACGCAGGAAGCACGCTCGAGTCCGAGCAACCTGAGAACACCGTGGCTTGACCCGAGTCGGCTGGGCCAGGACAAAAAAAGCCCATGTCAGACGCCCAAGTGGAATAAGGCCCCTTTCCGACTTTTTGTCTAGATTTTACACCCTCTTTTGGCCCCAAAATGTCAAATTTTCACATGTACCTCGAAACATTATCAAAAGTCACTCGAAAGTCATTGAAGGCGCGGCCAGTAGTGTCGCGTATGTCCAGGCATCAAATCCCAAATCCCATGTATTGACCCCTTGAAATCTCGCGAGCGTATAACCGGCAACCGTCGTTTTCCTCCCGCCACGCAGAGTTCATCTACTATGCCTCGAACGATGAAGCTTTTCGTAGTAAACTGAAAGGGCCCTCCGTATTCCGCCCCCGCCCCTCTTTTGTGCTCCTCCGGTATCCGCTCAAAACCTCGGTCTCAATATGGAGGCAGCCTAGTGACTGAACTGATTACTGCCTCGAGAGGATCGCATGGCACCGTCACGTGCAGATCGCGTTAAGTTCAGTCTCTCGCAGGCGTCGCGGCTGTCGGTCACTCGTCGACTCGACCTCTCGGTCATAACGCAACGCTCTCGCTCTTGTTGTGTCGGGACAAGCGAACCACCCGGACCCACTTGCACTGCAGTGCCAAGTAGCTACTAGGGAACGGGTGGGTTTTCACCGATTTATTTATCGGCTACCGAGCCGTCGAATCACCGCGCGGCCCGTAATTTCGGTGCCGGCGAGTCCTCCGTCCCAGCGCATCTGAGACACCCTGCAGCTCGTTCCTCCGAGTGGCGGGATCCAAAGGCTCCAAAAATCACTCCCGGGCAAGGAATGAGGTGCAGGAGGGTGAACGTCCTCCGGTCCCGACAGAATGTCTTCTCATTCCTTCCTTCCTATACCATCTCCATCGTTCGGAGAGTTCTTAGCCCCCTCAATTTTACACCGGGGCACTCGCCTCGCTCGTATGATTGATTTGGGACGCTATGTATCTCGCACTGAGTGACACTTCAGTCAGAACCGTTGCGAGAGCGAACGGAGAAGAGACTAAGAAGTAAAGTGTGACCCAGGCGCACTAAACATACTAACAAGCTAATTACTTGTAAGGCCTGGGCAAGATTTATAAAGCAAGAATATCTTCCGTTTAGCATATCAGAAATAGAATCAGGAGTTCAAGCCTAATCAGAATAGAAACTCTTCAGACTTTCGTCGGATCCTTTGGAACCGATCACCGAAACGGAATTCGAGGAGCTTCGAGCGTCTATCCAGGAGTCCAAGGGTCGCCTTGTGTCTTGTAAGCCACCTAAGGGGGTTTTAGTAGGTATGGTTGATCCTGATGAAGGGTCAATGAGTCCTACACTACTGGCTTCCGCCAGTGTGCGTAAAGGCATTCCCTCCGACTTTTCCGAAGGTTTCTAGGTATTAATACAATTATACTGTTACTGAAATCTACCAAATAAAAAATATAAAAACCACTAACTGTGACATCTCGGGCCTCCCCCCAAACGATCCTGGCCAAGTCAAAATGGTCCTCGCTCGCTCCGGCCTCCTCGCCGCGACCTTGCTCGTCCTCCAATCGACCCTCTCGATCGCCGCTCCCGTCTTGGACAAGGCTATCCATGCGCTCGAGAAGCGCATCGCTTGCCACACCAACGAGATCGCCATCAGTGGGTAGGATCGCTCTTCTTCGGAATTCTCGCGTCGTCCCCGGCAGGCTGACCTCGAACGCTCTCTGCCCCTGGGCATGGCATTCCTGCCTCGTGCTTTGAGCCCGATCTTCCTCATTCAGCTTCAGGCTGCTTCTTTCCGCATTTCATGAAGAATTCTACTCTGGGTGTTGATCAAGGAGAGTGCCCGTGCCATCGCATGCTCATCGCTTGAATCTCGGCATCCTTGTTCATCGTAGAGAACGCTTGCGTGTTGTGTGCTTCCGCTCTACACGAACGCGACGAAGTGCAGTCGATCAGAGCATCTGACGTGCTCATACGGTGTGCCCAACTCGAAACGCAAGTGAGTAGTGCATGCCGCTCGCGCTCAGCCTTGGTACTGGGGCTAATGCAGGCGAATGGGCTGACTTTGTGTCAAGGTTGAGGTTGCTGGGCCGTAGGCAGCAGGTGATAGCGAGGACGACGGGACAAGTGCGGGATTGATGTAGTTGTTCTTGTAAGACTACTAGAACAGAGGCCGAGGGGGCTGGAGGTTACTGGGGGAGTTGACTATGAGCTCAAGATTGCAGAAGGAAGACAAGAGCGATTTCTACACAGAAGCCCTATTTATAGTCGCAGGAAAGCCCAGGGAAAGCGACAGAAACTCATGGAAGCAAGTTGAAGCCAAAGGAAGTGATCGAGGCGCAAGATCATAGAGATAACTGGAAGCTCCTAGAAAGTTCCCAGCGCTGAGTAAGCTGCGCGGTGGCGCTGCGCTCAGACCTCGGACTGCTGATTCGTGACACTTTGAGCCCCTATCTATGACCCCTCCTGAGCAGGTGCGCAGCCGTGGACTGCAGCAAGACTCCGGGTACTTGCCTCAGCCCGGATGGTGAGGCATTGCGATTCATCGTTCTACCACGCAATCTTGTCACATAGTTTCAATGGCTGATCTCGATTATATCGTCCGCTCCGGCGCTCTCCAGCCAAACAATGCCTGCCTTGCACCGATCCGAATGTCGTGACCTGCAACAGCACCACGACCTTGACCTGCTTGCCAGGCTACACATTGTACAACACCTGCTTTCACCCTATCGGTCAAGAACGACAGATTGTATTTTATGCACATCAGAGGTGCATACCTTACACGTAACGCGTTAAGGCAGCTTTCGGAATTTTGGCCCAGGAAACCGTTGGTACAGAATGGTATACCATCCCTCCCCACCGCCCGCGCATAGCCAGGTAGTGCACTTGCTACTCGCCTAAGCTAATCGGCCCTTGGCCTCGGCACACATTGGCCAGTGGCACCCCCACTTTCAAGCTTCAACTATCCTCCACCGCAATGCACCCATCGGCCTCGTTTCAAGCATGGACTCCCTGCGACACGCACTGCCACTACCACAAGCAAATCCTGATTCCCTAGATGGGAAAGACAAGAAAGACAGACCAAGACCAAACGTAAGAAATTCACGAGGAGGAGGAGGAAGAAGGCGGCCGACACGATCATCGAGAACGGGGCGACCACGGGACCAAAGGAGGGGCGAAGAAGAAGAAGAAGAAGAAGAAGAAAAGGATGAGGTCCTGGCCCGTATGAGAACGAGAAAAGGAGCCGCTCTAGGCTTGTCCCCGAAGGGCGAGGCTTTTGTAAAATTCTCCGGCTACGCTGCTGGCATTAGCAATCAAAGATGTTATCAATCAAAGATGTTATCAATCAAAGATGTTATCAATCAAAGATGGTGTGATAACATGAGGGCTAGGGTATGACTAAGAGCTTTTAAGACACCCGACTTGCGAGAGACACGAGAGAGACAGAGTTCGAGAACGAAACGCTGAGGTCGGAGACTGGAGACGATGCCGAACGAGACGTGAAACACGCAAAAAGTGAGAGACAAGTAGAAACAAAAAAATGATCCTGAAAGTAGTCTACCTGAAATCAAGAAGCAAACTCCTTTCAAACGTCCCGGTCGTTCAAACCGCTGCTCTCTCTTCATTCCCCTTCACCGCTTCATCCGCACATCGGGCCCGGTCTTCCTTCCAAATCCTGCCCTACTGATCCCACCATTGCTCGTCGTTTTCCGAGTCTTTGCGGCGCAAAAGTGAAGGCCCGTACAACACCACCTCCTCTTCATCTCCCTCCCGTAAGCCGTCTTTAGTCTCCCTCCTCTCCGAGTCGTGGCCGCCGGAAATGATCGCTGTCGAGGCGACCAAGTCCAGAACTTGCTGCTGCTACGACTTCTATTGGCCTTGACAAGTCAATTGGCGGATGCGACCGGATCCCACAATGTCCACGGCATCCTGACGAGGCGGCGTCCAAAACGCCGACCGAACCCTCCTCCATCGCCATCGATCCCGAGCCTTGATTACTTGTGGCGGTGCACCCGGGACACGGGCGAACAACAGATAGAGGGGTGCGTGGAGCTTCGACTTTGGTGTACCGACGACGCTAAACTTTTTCAGCGAACGACAGCGGGTGACCTGCGGGATTTGGCTTCGTTTGCCGGCAGCGCCGGCCCTGGTGACACGCTTGATGAGACTGACGACAACACGAACGAAGAAGTTGACTTTGACATGAGGGATCATTCAAGCGACAATTTGAGTCATCACTCTATCGACGCGACAGACAACGGTGCATTTAGGCTTAAGGAGTGGGACTTCAATGCGGAAGACGATGGCATTGATGACGAAACTTGGTGCCGTGACCCGTGGGTGCGTGGAGCGGTAGCCAGGCCGCGAGCCTCAGGTATCACCTACCTGTTCCTGTGGCTATGGCGCACGGCCAGAAATTCGATAGGTACCGAGACATGATTCGTCAACATCGTATGCAGTGCCCAACTAGCAGAACAGTCCTATCGCAGAAATGTTCTCAAGTGGAATCTGATGATGACCACGACTCAGTCCAATGAACGGGGACGAGAACAGAGTGGCCAGAGACTAAGAGACAGACTCGCGGAAGGCTAGAAAGTGAAGCGTAATGCTAATAGGGAAGAGGGATTATATACTAGTAAAGCAGGGAAAATGAGTGACTAGAGATTTCATGAAGCGTCGCTAGGCTCAATCCCAAGCACCACAATAGGAACCATAATCAGGTGAAGGACGATACAACCATATATCTCTAACAAGTCCCGCAGTACCCGACTAGCAGAACATTCCCCGAGGAAAAGCCGCTTGGAAAGGTCAGGTGACCGGGTTTTGGGATCGGATGTGAGCGTTGCGGGGCCATGTATCGGTTGAGGGGGAGTTTGATGGTATGTTGATGGGTGTTTATATGTACCGTACATGGTTCGCGGGGGTTCATCGTATTCTTTGCTTACGGGGAAGCATCAAGGCGACGGTTCTCATGGCTAGCAGTCCGGTTTTGGTCTCTTTCTCTCTCTCTCTCCTCTTCTTCACCCTGCTCTTGTATCGAGGCAGTGTAAACCATCGTCTTAAGAGCTCAAGCTCGTAAGATAGTTCTCACTTTGACTCGAAAGAAGTAGTGCCCTGCGATCGCAGATCCAAACCCCTTTAACCCTCTTCCCCGGCCACAGACTCCGCGTCCCCCCCCCTCTTTTTCACTCCTCTTTGCCCCGCTCCCCGCCTACTCGCTCCTCCCACCTGCTGAGGGGTGCGCTATAGTCTCGAGGCAATAGCCACACAATATGATGATGTGATGATCTGTGTTCTGAATAGCACCCTATAACTCGTACAAAGCGTACGTGAAAAAGACGAAGAAAATGTGCCTAGGGATCGAATCATGAGGCGACGAGGCTATCAACCAGAAAAGAACTTCGATGTGCGATTAGAGTGTCATGAGGGGGGAGGATCGGAACGAGGAAGCAAGCGAGAATGAGCGCCAGGAGTAAGCCACGAGCAAGACAGGTCGTCGAGCTCAACCGATCGACATGGCGTCGCTGGCCGTCTCGGGCGAGTGCGACGTTCCCGAGCTCGTCGACGGATTTGTCGCCTTCCGACCCTGTTTGTGCCGGCGCCTCGTTTGTTTGGCCTTTCGCCGCCGCTTCTTGGAATCTTCCACAGGGCCAGGGCCTCCACCGTCCACCTCCCTCACGAGATCTTCCAGTGCACCCGACATCGTGAACATCCTGTACACCTGGGCCAGAGCCCCGGCGCCCTTTGAGCTGTCCGAGTCGCCGGTAGACGTAGTAGCAGATTGGCCCGAGGCGATCGCGTGTGCCCGCCGCCCCTGTTTCGCAGACATTGCCTTGACCCTGGGCGGGGCTGGGGTCGTGATCTTCTTCTTCGCCTTATTGGAGCATTCCGATACGGACTCGACGATCGGGCGCTCGGGGGTCAAAAGGTGAAAGCCATCCGCCCTGACGGCGCCCTTGGTCGCAATCTTCCGGGTCGACGCACATCTCCCGGGCTGCACGGCCTCGAGTCGCCGAACGGCCGCGGCCTCGTGTCGTGTCCTTTGATCGCGAATCACTGCGAGAGGCTGGAGGGGACCCTTCTCTGATCCGTGGCCTTGGCGCCCTTGCAAGAGCGGGGTTGCACGGAACGGCCGCAGCGCGGGCGCGGACTGGCGACGCAGGTGTTCGTCCGAGCCCCCATCGAACGAAGTGTCGGGGAAGAGGACCCGGGGGGAATGTTCGATGGCTCGCGGGGCGCTCGGTGGCTTCGAGACCAAGTCGCACCGATAGAAGTCGTACAGTGTTCGGATGGGAGTGATTGCATCGCATACGGCGCGAACGTCAAATTTGGCGCCGACTCGATGCAAGACCGCCGTGGCGTGTTCGTAACCTTGGGTCCAAGTCGCGAGTTGAAAGACTGACCGATCCAACTTTTCGAGCTTGGCCGGACCGTAACCTTCGATACCGGTTGGAAGGTAGTCGCATCCCATCATCAACCCCGCAACGAACCTTCCTTCCGCACCCGGGAACTTTCCCTGACCCTCCAGGATTTCGAGGTCGATGACTCTAACCACGCGATGCTTTACCGATGGAATGATCCGGTATCTCGCACGCTCACTTGGGATCATCATGAAGTAGTCCGAATCTCTGCTGGCGAGGGCGGCACGTTCGCCTTGAACACGTACGCCGCCGATGACGCCGACTCGGGTGCTTGCCGCAATCAGGGGGTCCGCTTCGTGCGCCGAGATGATGACGGTGACCTCCGAGGACATGTCGAAGACGTGTCCCGCTAAGGTCGGCTCGCCTTGACCGCCGAAATTGGTGAGCCATTCGGTCATGGGGTCGGTGTGCCGGTCGGGGCTTCTCCTTTGGAAATTGTCGGGAGAGACTTGGGGCGAGCACCGGACGCCGTTCCCGTTGTCTCTCGACATGGGGGTCTGACGGGCCTTCAAGGCCGGACGAGCCGAAGCGTGGTCAAAGACGATCACGAGGTGGATTCGTCCGGCCGTCGCCGCGACGATGCAATCCGCCTCTGCACGAACCGAGCCGACGAAACGTTGCGTTTGTTTTCGTTCCGAGGTGCCGCTCCGAGCGGCCGAGAACCACTCGGAGGAGAACAGCGTCGAGCCGTCGAGAATCACGACTAGTAGACAGCCGGGTGTGTGTGGGGGGGGGGGGGGGTATTATCCAAAAATAAATAGGATACAATATATATCCATTCTTCTATGGTAAAGCTAAGTTATACCCATTCACTAACTTTATTTAGGATATAGCCGAACTTTGCACAGAAAAAAGGAAAAGATGAGAAAGGTAAATAAAATAAGAGTCGTTAAATAAAGGATCCTCTCCCTTCCCTTTTTCTGATTCCCTCTGCCTTTCTTTTTGTTTATAGAGCGACAGCAGTTCATCCTCAAGCTCGCTCGTGCGTTCATGATGTTTGGTGCGCCTTCGCATCGCCTCGAGGCGCAGTTACAGGCGACAGCGCGGGTGCTCGAGATCAATTGCCAAGTCATCTACATCCCAGCCGTCATGCTCGTGTCCTTTGGCGATTCAGCGACCCACACCTCCGAAGTGAGGTTCGTGCGGCAGTCCTCGGGTCTCGACCTCGGCAAACTCAAGACGGCGTACATGATCTACTATGACACAATCTACGACAAAATCTCGGTCACGGACGCGTCGAAGCAACTCGACGACCTCATGCTCGCCGGACCGGTGAGCGGGGGAAGAAAACTTGAGATGGTCGCGTTTGGCTGAGGGTTGTAGGGAGGAGGAAGAAGAAAGCGTGCTGGGTCTCGAGAGAGGTGAGAGAGCATTGAACGGCGTGCGTCGGGGAACCGAGTGATTTGCCCATTCATTTGCTCGAGTGGTGTGTACCGAACCAGCGACTCCCACGGTTTGCTCTCGCTTCCGAGTTCACGTCCGCGTGGACGGGCCGGGACCCTATCTCGAGGTATGTGCTTCGTCATTGCTGCCGCTCCCTGGTTGGAGGCAGGCTGGGGGGCAGTATTGGAAGGGAAATTTAGGCGATGAGGTCATGCCTTCGATCGCAGAGAACGAGAGGAAGGCTTTGAGGCATCATGCGGGCAAGAGGATTGATGGGGAGGGGGATGCGAGGAGGGCAAGGTGGTTGAAGACGATTGAGATGAGGAGTAGGATGGGCGGGCTCTATGGCACGCTTAGTATCGAGGTGAGTTGGCAGGTGGGCTTGTGGTCTGGGGCCTTGCTGACCAGTCATCGTATGAGTCTTGAGAATCATCTAGATCCCCTAAAACCACCTCGAGCGCTTCTTCCTGAGTACCAGAGGCAACCCCGAACCTACATCCTCCTTCCCATGGTGATCCGAGCCATGGCGGACGAAAGAGGAGAGTATACGGAGTGGTGCTCAATCTACTCTTTACGACCTAAGCGTGAAGAGTGATTGGCGTGAGACTAAACAGAGGGGGAGGGAAGCCGACATCCTACCTAACCACGAGGTAGGGAGGCAGGTGAGAGAGAGGTCACGCGCATTCGAGCCGAGGAGGATGGAGAAGAGTGGCGAGCAGCGATCAAAGGAGGGGAAGAATGAGAGGAGGGAGAAGAAGGGAAGGGATAGAGCCGAGCGAGATGGTTCTTCACCCGGTCGCTCGGAGACCCATACCCAATCGCAAGGCCTGCGTCAACTGGAAGTCAACCGTATCCTCCGACATCTCCCACATCAATGTTCCCTGAATACCCTTTTGACGAGCGAGGACACCCTTGAGCGCCCCGCATGCCTCCACCGTTACCACCGCCGCCCCCGCCGGGTCCAAGTCGATCCCCGCGGCCTCCGCCCCCGACCGCACGACCAAAAAACGTGGGGGGTGGGAGGTGGGAGGGGGGAGGGGGAGAGAGAGGGTGTTCATCGGTGGGTGGAGCATTGCACCAGCAGCGACGGTGGCTTCGGACTCACCATCGACGGCGCCTACCAGCGAAACCAACGCCTGTCGCACATCTTGATGCTGACCCAAAAGGGCTTCCGGAACGGTGAGGAGTTCCTGGTCGAGCAGTTTGTGTGCGTGTGCAATCGTCATGGTCGGTGAGAGATCGAAAGATGAGGGATGAGGGAGTGCGAGGGTAGTACCCGAGGCGTCAGACGTGAACAGGTTGCGCGTGAGCGCGCCCCTGGCTCATCAGCTCGATCTTCTGACCCCTCAAAATGACTCCGAGCCATGGAAGGGCAACACGAGTAATGGGTCGTTCGGACTCAGAGTAGTACGAGCAGATGCGTTAAAATACGAGTGTCATTTTGCAACCATCAAGAATACTGCTTTGCTCATTGTTGCTGCTGCAAATCAGGTCGACTTGGTGACCTCGGGTGACCGAGGGGTCTCCTTTTTCGGAGCATCGCAGCGCCGAGGGAGCTGCGATGCCGAGCGGCGGCGGCGCGGGCTAGCGTCATTGGTAAGCGTGGGACCCCCGGGTCGGTCGTACTGACTTCGCACTTTAGAACACTCCGGATTCTCAGCTTGCTCCGAAGAGTTACGTAGCATAATCAAGATCGATAATCTGTACCAAATAAGAAGGTCCATGGCATCGTCAGAGAGAGGTTTGGGTTTTATAAATCGGAAGCGCATAGGCTCCGATACTCAAGACCTCGCTTCCGGCTGGGGCGATCCGAGCTAGGCACCCCTCACTCACCAATAGTGATTGAGATATACTCATGCGAAAAGTCGCACGTCCAGTACGTTGCGCTTTCATCCCCGAGCCCAAGATCGACTTGGATCGCCAGATCCTCGCACCTTCGCCTTTTTCCTCAACTCGTCGACAAGTGAGCGGTTCCTTTAGATTGAAAAATGGTCGCCGGTCGTCCTGGCCGCGATGATCATCTACGTCGCTTTCTACGCTACGGTAAGTTTCAATCAAGTGTACTTGTGAGTCACAGCCGGTTAACAGGGTTTTTCTTCCCACACGCCCCCAGGGTATCGGAAACATCCCTTGGCAACAACAAGAGTTGTTCCACGTGAGCGTTCGTGGGATTGGGACCTCGATCAGTACTGCGTGCAACTGGGCGGGCAATCTGATCATCTCGTTGACGTTCTTGAGTTTGATCAACGCCATCACCCCCTCGGGAGCATTCGGTCAGTCTTCCGTGCTCTCAGATTTTCAAAATTGACGGACTGTGCTAACCGGAAAGATGTCTTTCCTCGATCAGGTCTTTACGCGGGCATTTGTTTCCTCGGCGCTTTGTTCTGCATCTTCCTCTACCCCCATCAGGGCGCTATACCTTCACTACGGATCGTTGAGCTTATGCGCAAGAGTGCGCTGCGTGCGAGTGAGGAGAGCTGACACCATTTGGTCGGAATCAATTTCACCCAGTACTGGCTTGTGGACGACCGCTTCGACACCGATCAACCTCGTCTCGCTCGGGGACTTCCTGGACTTGTGGGCCGGTGCGCAGGGGCTCGGCAATCGCCAGTCGGGAGTGTGGAGGGCTGTCGGCCCCCGTTTTCTTTTTGGCGCGCAGGTTTACCTCCTGGCATGGGGTCAGTCCTAACTGATTCTCCAGCAACGAGCTTTGCGGCTTCTCACCAACCGCATGGCCAGATGACAAAGGCGAACCCCTTAACCGCACGCACCGCCAATATTACCTTCCTCTTGTTCCCCTTGTGGTTTGCGTGCCCAGTATAATTGGGAACTCGCGATCTACTCGGAGTGGGGCTACAGCCCACTAGTACTGCACACTTGGGTCACGAACGATATCGTGTTCACCAGTTTGAATTTGCATTCGGCAAGGCGCCCGATGGACTCGGGAACGGACAAATGACAGAAGGATTGGGATCGTCGATCGGCTGGACGGGCCAGCGAAATACGGGGGCAGGCGATTCCACTGAAGAGGCTTTTCCGCCGGTCAACTCCAAAGTCCAGTGGCCGCTGCTTGAACGTGCGCACCTGTCAACCGAACGCATGCCGACCATCTCGGCGATCGACAACGCATGTGTGCCTTCAAGGGGATGGAATGCCGCACCGGAGAAGAAGTGAAAAGATGCGGAGAGAATTGCAGGACTTCTGACCGCCAGAATCCCCAGCGCGGCAAAGTGACTCAACTTGCACAGTCGTAATATTTAGCTCGTGTTGTTGTACAACTAATCGATTGCACACGAAGCAAGTCTATGAGCCCCCCCTCACGCGAGAGAACACCCGTGCCGCCTGGGTCTGAGCCGACCCGGCCCGCCCTTGTATTCCGCTGTTGGTATCCCGCTATTTACTTCGAACAGTTCCTCTTCCTGGTCTCATCGGCACTTCTTTTCATCAGACTAACATCGTGTGTTAAACAACAGGAGCGGTAGCAGGGGTGAGCTTCTTCATTCTCTCCCGTGACCTTGGCTCGTAGGCTGTCGGCAGATTAAGCTTTGACCCGCGCCCGTCGAGCGTTGAATGTTGAGCGCTAGAGTGGACCGCACCGATGACGGCGGCGGTGACAATGTCTGGCTTCCATTCTTACTACGTATACTGGGAGGTGAGGTCAGTGTGTAATGGGTCAGGAAGCCCAGTACTCACGCTGAATTATATTGACGGATGTACGTGGTACTTACCCATACGATCCCTTTCATTTATGACTTGTTCCAACCCGCCTACTCGTATAAAGTTCGACGCGCTCAGACGCGTAATCTTGGGACGCGCGGCGCCCGCGTCGCCACGCGTTACCCGGTTGCACAGCCTGCTGTAAGCTCGCGCCGTGAGGAGCGCGCCGCGCGTCTTGCGCTCGAGCTGTTTTTTTTCTTTCCCTTTCTCTGCTTTAGTCCCATTGATCCCAACCGCCGCCAATCTCTTGGTTCGCTTCCTCGTACCTCACATCGCCTTCTGTCCCGTCACCCCTGTGCTACGTATTCTCAACTTCGTGATTATCTACCCAAGGTTTCCAAACTAGACCTGTAGTGCATCCGCATCTCGATTCTCGACCTTAATCTTCCCGACCTCTCGCTCGCGATCGGTGAACCGTCTCGCCTCGCGTCTTCGACTTCGGTTTCCACTCCCACGCTTTCACCTCGTGCACGGCTCCTTCCTGTCCTCACCCTCGAATTTCGAAAAATATGCGCTCATTCACTATTTTGACCGCCCTCGCTGCGCTGGCAACGTCTACTCTCGCTTCCATTGACTCCAACGGCCACACCGCTCGACCTCACGGAAGACGATCGCAACGGTCGACGATGCGTCGACTGCGCCGGGCTGAACCTGTAGAAGGTGAGGTGTGCTGCTGTACCTATGACTGCGCCACGTGGCTTGGGATTCCCAAATCCCGAGGACCACGGAACGTAGCCCACCTCTACGCCGCGCGGATGATGTTTCTTCGGAATCCGGTCGAATGTGGCTCAACTTGCCGAAATTCGCGCAGCAGAACCACGTGCGCGAGGCGCTAGCGCGCCAAGTCGCGTGGAAGAGGTCCCGACATGAGATGACGCCAAATCGGTACTTTACGCCGCAGCACCGACTAATCCCTACTTTTTCTACTCCTGGATCTACCTACCTATTCACAGTCCTGAAGCTCGCCGTTGTGGTTTCGCCTACTGCTCCATCGGCGGGGGCCGATGATTTGTCTGCCACATCCGTTGCTGCCTCTTCAAGCGAGGTAGCCAAGACCAGCAAGCGGGCGGCGACCTCGACCACGCGCGCGCAGACCTCGACTACGTCCACGGCTTCCAAGTCCAGTCCTACCCCGATCAAGATTTCAACACCGTCTTACAACTCGACCGCCATCTGGTATGCCACCACGGGCTTTGTAACATCGTGCAAGGTTACCATCTCGTGAGTCGCGAGCGTTTCCGCCTCCTCTCGCGTTATGCTGCCCTCGGAGCGCTGACTCGATCTGAATGGGCAACGACAACAAGGAACGACGACGACATCATCGCTCTTCCGGAAGCCTTGTACTCCAATGGACACCAGGTGTCAGACTTCTGTGGTCAATCGGTCCTTGCGACGAACCCCACGACGGGGGCGCAGGTCGTTCTCAAGGTCGCATCGGCCTCGTGGCGCAGCGAATACACAATCGTCACTCGGAATACCTTCATCGCGCTTGGCGGTGTGCCCGTTGAAGGCGAGTTGCCGATAAGTTTCCAGTTCCTTCGAGCCTCGGTAGCCAAGGAAGCCGTGCATGAGGTCAAGCTCTACGCCGTCTCTTCGTCGGCGGCCGCGGCGGCGTCAGCTTCGAGCGCCGACGCCGCTGCTTCCGAGTCTGCATCTCTCTCCAAAGCCGCCGCGTCCAAATCTGTATCCCTTGCAGCCTCTGCTTCGGCTGCGTCTTCCCGAAGCGCCGCCGCCACCGCCAAGGCCGACGCCAAGGCCAAGGCCGATGCCAAAGCTAAAGCTCAAGCCCAAGCGGATGCCGATGAAGCCGAGGCGCACTCCTCTTCTGTGGCTGCTTCCGCAGCAGCAGCATCCAAGGCCGCCGCCGAGCGAACAACAACCACCGAGCCCAAGAAGACGACTGCCCCCATTCTTGCCAAGGAGGAGACGACGGAGAAAGCCAAGCCTACGCCTGTAAAGGCCGTTGTCGTTGCGACGACTCCCGCCACGGCAACCACGACCAGCGCCGCGAGCAGCGGCAGCAGCAGTGGCGGTAACAGCAGTGGCGGTAGCAGCAGTGGCGGTAGCAGCAGTGGCGGTAGCAGCGGTAGTGGAGGATCCGGTGACGCGCACACTGGCGGATACGCAACCTTCTACACGCAAAATGGTGTCGCCGGGAACTGCGGTACCGTTGCTCAAGACTCTGACTACGTGATCGCGCTCCCTACGGCGATGTACGCCAACGGTGCTCACTGCGGCAAAAAGATCGTCGTCACTCGAGTCTCCGATGGGGCCAAAGTCACTGCCACCGTTCGGGATTCGTGCCCGGTAAGTTCCAATCGTTGCGTGGATGCTGTGTCTCTGCTAGATCATTCGCTGAAGATCATTCGCTGACCTGCCGTCGTGACGCCTTGCGCAGTCTTGCGTCAACAACGAGTGCCTCGACCTCTCGGTTGCTGCGTTCACTGCGATCGCCACTGAGGAAGAAGGCATGGTCTCTATTACTTGGCAATGGGTTGCTTAACCGCCCGTGAGATTCCTTGCGTCTTATCTCTGTTGGCCTTCTGACGGTGCTGACGAGCTTCTATGCTTATGCGCGCAGTCGCCCCCATCCCCCGAACCACGAGCTCGCGCCCACGTCGCTTGGCACCGACTTGGCACCCTTCTCACACAGACATTCTCGCACATATTCATAGCGTTGGCTGCATTCCTTCTTATCGTTCTTTCACATTTCCATTCTCGAGCATTCGGCCTCGACCACATGTCTCTTTTTTCGCCTCTGAAGACCCTTGCCCCACCCTGGACCTTCGTCTCGTCCTGGCCTTCGTGTCTGCACCTAAGAAGCAACGTTTCGTTTGACATTGGTATGCGCACAACTTGCGTATACTTGCCGATCTCTGGCTTGGCTTTGGACCACTTGATGTGCAACTCAAAGCGACTGTATCCTCTCTTCTCCCCAGCTCTGCGTGCTAGCCAATCCCTAAGAGAGAGAGCTTTCCTACAGGATTTGGATAGTTACTCTCTTCAACAATGCACACCTTTCCTTGGTGACTCCGCAACGGCACCATGCTACAATCCTGACCTTCTCCCCATCTTTGTGGGTGAGGCCTTGGCCTCCTACTCGGCGAAGCGTTTGGTGACTGCCATCGTCGTGCGAACAGAACGCGAGGCGGGGATGCCTTCACAATTTTTCGCTTGCAGGGTTTCCTAGGTTCGATACCACGGTCTTGATTTCAAATCTGCTCTACTTGGGCCTGCGGATTCGCTTTCGGTAATATCCACCCCTGTGGCATGTGCTCGTACTTTCGCCGAGGCCGGGTTCTGGTCTGATCAGCTGACAACCGCCCGGTGGGTTCGCGCAGGTACCCCTTTCCAAGAGTTTCGACGCTCGAAGCCCCAAGCTCCAAGCACGCGCCAACTTGCGCCGCCCGCGTGGCCGGCGCGTTACGTTGAAGCTCTGTCGGCCGCTCGCATCTCAACTCTCGACCTTTTAGTGCGGAGGGACCGGAGGGTTCTTGCCATCGATGAAGGACCTGGCTACACCGTGCGAACCACCCTCGAATGACATGGACACAACATCGAGTGCGCAGACGACGGCTGGGGCACCACCTGCCAACGGCTTGCTCGATGACGAACACGACGGCCGCGACCGCGACACTACTGTGCATGGGCCCCCTACTACGCCCACCTCACCAGCTGCCACGACATCGCCAGAAACGTGGCTAGGCCCAGAGCCTCCCGCTTTCGATTCGACTCAAGAGCGTGTAGTGGACTTTGAAAGCCGACACGACTCAGCTGACGAATCGAAGGACGATGAAGAACTGTCCCCGGACGAGCACGGCCATCGAATGCTTACAGGGCCTTCAACTCGACGCTTCTCTTTGTTGCCTCCGACCGCACCTCAACTAGGCACGCTCTCGTTGCCGTCACCCATCTTCGGTAGATCTTTTGTGGATCTATTGGCTTGCTCGTCATCTCCTTCGCACTCGAAGGAGGGAGAGGCGGTCTTGCCGGGAACTTCGACCGGAACCAACTGGCACGTTACCGTCCAGCACGGCAGCGACGTGCGCTCGGCTTCGCCGACGCCTTCGATCAGCGGCAACCGACCTCGTCGCTCGAGCACGCTCGGTAGTCGATCTTCACGAAGCAACCTTCGATCTTCCGCCCTCAGGAACGTGACTGTCCCCACCCCCCCCTTCCGTCCCGAATTGGCGTCCGTCTTCACCCGCCCCCGACCGCTCAAGGACGACAGAATTCGACTTGGCGACCAAAGGGGGGCCATGGCCGCGGCGCAGGACGACGATCACGTTTTCACCGCGGTGTTCCCAGAACAAGGTCTTGATCTCGAAGGAGAGCTTGAGAGTTGGGATGAGCAGGCATGGAGTCGGATTGGGGCCTTTCTCTGGGAGCGCGGTTATACCGTGTCCTCAAGCGATTGGGTACGTCCACTTGATGCAATGTTCTCACGGTCGTCGCACTGATCTTGAAGTTCGGGTGTAGTCTCAAGCAGTCCGAACCTCCGACAACCTCGAGTTGTCCCTGTCCATCATTCCGACCGACAGCGATGAACTCGACATCATCGAGCTTCTTTCGACGCCAGGGGCGAGGTCGAATGCAACTGCGCAAAAGGTGATCCCACTCGTGCCAGTCGTCGGGATCGTGCCGTTCAACGAGGAGTGGACCGCGATCCTGTTCGAACGCTGGGATCCGCTCCCGTCCATAGTCGGGTCAGAACAAGCGAAGAACTTTGTTCTGGGAATTGTCGGGGTGAGTCCTTCATTACGATCCGAACTGTGTACACTGCCTACATGGTGGGAGTACTCACTCAGGGTTGCGTGACAGGCGGTCGCCCATCTTCATGCCTCGCACTACATCACGCACCTCAACTTGCGCGAGAGAGGATCGATTCTCGTGGATCCCAAAGCATTTGATCGTTATGGCCTGTCCAATTTTGCGTATGCGTTTCAAGCGGACCCCGTCCTAGCCGCCAAGAACAAGGGGGTCAATCGCATCTGCTCGGGCGACCTTCCACTGACGTCAACGTGTGGCGAAGAGGCACCCGAAAAGGGCAGTATCGACCCCTGCCTGGTCGATATGTGGGACCTGGGCCAGGTGATCAAGAGCGTCGTCGCGGAAGCGCACGAGGCCGGAATCGAAGATTTACTTGCAGGCCTGACGCGGAAGGAGGTCGAACACCGCTGGAACGCCCGAGTGGCCCGAGAGTGGGCCCAGACCAACATGGCATGATCGCCTTTCCAATGCTCCCCATCTCTTCTTCTCATTTTCTCTTCTATCTTCCAATCTGAATAGATTCACCTAATCTCGTTTGTCTTCCTCACCACCAAGTTCCTCCTTGGTTGGTTCTATGATCAGCATCGGTTATTGCGTATCACGTTCTCTCGTACAATCTTCAGTTACATTCCAATGGTATTCTACGAGTTCAAGCTCCAACTTGAGGCTTCTGTCGGGCCTTGTCTTCAAAGCTTCTTGACCTTGCCGCCCGAGGACCCGATACCAAAGACATCCTTCTCAACCTTGGACTTCTTGCCGAGCGCGATTAGGCCGAGTCCTTTGAGTGTCGTCAAAGGGGGCCAGAACATGGAAACTCGGCGCTGGTACTGCTTGTAAAGCCTAGTATAATTCAAAGGGAGGCGCCCTCTCGCCAGGGTGAGCTGATCGGAAGTTTAGGTAGGACAAGCAGCAAAGATGGGACTGACGGGTACTTTTCAGCCGAAATCGCCTCGGTCAGAAGTGTCGAGTTGAAAAAGAGCAAGCTCATCAACAGAGGGGACCAGATCGCATAGTTCCAGTATATTCCTTCGAGACCGTAGACGGTCTTGTAGCGTCGCCTGGCCTCGTCAAGCACGTTCGTCACGCGCAGCTTTTCGACGTGCGATAAAAGATGGTCCTTAAAATAGGGGATATGCGACGCGAGCTTGGAGCCGTAATTCTTGAGCTCGGTCAAGTTGGAAGAGGCGAGGATCGAACTGTAGCTCGAAGCCGACACGAATGGCAGGATCGTGAAAGCGTACAAGACATACCACGTCGCTTGCTCGCACGCAAAATTCTGTGCGAAATACAGATTCGGGTTCTGAAAATGAGCCAGCCCCTCCCACAGACAAAACGAGAAGCGGGCGCAGATTTCATCTGAGGACGTACAGGATGACGAGAGTAGCTCCACAAGCCTCCTGTGACGAATCCACGCTCGATCGCGGCGGCTTCTTTCTGGGTACGCTGACTAACGTCCTTGCCCTTGGCTCGAGCCTTGAGCGCCTGGTACCTCTGCTGCTCGTTGTCGGCCAACATCTCGATCGCCAGAATCGCCACAAAGACCGCCGAAAGGGCGTAGTCGACGAGACCAAGGGCCGGCGTCTTGTTGCCCGACAGATGCAGGGTCAGGAGTAAGTACTGGGGCAACTCGGCGGCAAGCAGCAACCAATTTTGCATGAACGCAATGAAGGTCAAGTTGAGGATCTTGAACGCCCAGTTGGGGATCTTGGCTCGGACGACTTCCCAGCGATAGTCCTCGCTCTTCCTGCGAAAACGAAAGCGAGTAGGGGAACAATACCAGACTGTCTTGTGTCAGCTCAAGAATCCCTGTGGGTTTGGATAACCTTTGGCGGCTGTGATGCGGCACTGACGGGTTGAAAAATCCTCGACGGTAGGTGTTGGTCGTGAGGCGAGCGGACCAAACGAGCTGCAAGATGAGCACCAAAAGCATGCGGTCCGAAATTACGCCTCCGGCAGCACCGGTAAAGTAGGGCCACAAGGTGAAATGGGCCGAGTAAATAACGGGAAGGAACGTCCAGAGCCTGCAAACGGTGAAGAGTACAGGTAAGCCAGTAAAGGTGAGCAACCTGCCGGTGAGGCACTGTCGATCCAGGAGGACACCGGTCCAAGCACGTACCGATCGACCTGCGAGACATTGCCTGAAAGGAACGAAGGAAGGAATAGTCCGCGTGTCAGCACACCTTGTCCTGAGCAGCCGCGGAACTTCAAATTGACCGTGAAAATCGGGCATGTCGGTCCAGAAGCTTTCACGGGCGTGCCAGCAATCGATACAGGATTGAACTGGCTCGGCAGATCTAGATCCCCCGAACGATAAAATAGTTTTGATCGAGTCACATGTTGAAGGTCACAAGTGCTGTCTCCTATGCAAGAGATCCGCCGCTTCGGTGACCCTGGCCCAGAGGTGACGTGAGGTGCTCCCCCTTGCAGATCGGAGCAACGGGATCCTGGCCACTGGCCGCATGCCGGCTACAGAGCCGACGAGGAAGACGTGAACTGACCAGTGACTTCACCAAGGATCCACACGATCAAGCTCGTGGCGGTGCAGAACCACAGCGCCGGGTGCATCGGATCGGTCGACGAGGACAAGTACCAGGCCTTCAGCACGGACGGACTAAGCGTGCGCGGCACCGCAGAGGCGAAGGAGGTCAGCGAAGGCGTGAGCGCATACGATGCGTGGAACGGGCTGGCCAATGTCGATGACCACATGTTGAGGAATAAGGTAGAATCGAGGTCGGTGAGGCGATGGATGGAGGCAGGAGTGCGAGCAAGCTTCACTCGGCGTCACGGGTAACGGACTTGCCTCCCTGTCAGTCCCTGTCTAGCCCACCTCAGGCAGACTAAAAAGTAACCAGTCTTAGTAGCGCCGCCGCGCGGCCAGAAAAACCTATGCAAATAGGCGACCTGGGCCCGGTAGCAACACTGCTACCGACGGTAGCAACTCGGCGCGGGAACAAGCTCGCAATGGTTTAAAGTCATTACAATTGATCCGGAAATGATTTTCCGCCTTGACCCTATGACGTAATTCATTGGCGGGAGAAGCTTGTAGAGCTTATAGAAAAGCTTGTTGAAGTCCAAGTATATCCATTAACGCCTCAGCACTGCTGAAGCCGTGGTATGTCTGACCCAATGCAACACGTGATCTGACGCGGGTTGCGCGAGGTTGCGCGCGCAGGCGCGCGTCCGAACCGGTCCGAACCTGACGGAATCGACGCGTGTTGTGCGTTGTTGATACGTAGACAGCTCTTGTCCTTAGGCCCGCTTTCGCCCGTACATTCAACACAAGACCCATTGGTCTCGCCGCGAATATCCTCGTCCTCGATCGCTGAACCGCATACACGTCACACGTCACACGTCACGTCCCTCGTTGACCTCCGTTGATCTTGTGATCCTTTCACATCGCCAACTCATACCAACTTTCCACGCTTCGGCGCTCGACAAGCCCCACGTGTATGTCCGGCGATCGTTTTCCGGGCTTTTACCAGAGAACGAGCTTCTGAGGGCCTGCTGACATCCACGTCTTGACTATAGATTCATCGCGTCGCCTCGGAACATTGCGGGCTCCTTCCCTCCTGGATAACCATTCACAAACAAGGCTCTGGGTGCGTGGTGGAAGTGCGGCTGCGCGGTCGTCGACGCGCTGTTTGATTGGTTTGATGCAGCACCGTGTCGTTCTGACCTTCCCCTGTTCGCCTTCCAGCCTCTGCCTGCACGATGTTCTCTTCCAATGCCATTTCGTCTAGCGAGCAATATGATGCGTACCATCCAAGTCCTGCGCCGCCCAGCCGACCGCTTGACGCTCCCGCGTTCGCAAACATCGATTATCCAACCTATTCGCTCGAGTCGGGTAGCCACGCGTCCGCCTTCCCAGACGACCTCCCTGTCCTAGGCAGCACAGCTAGCACAGGGCACCCATCAAGTCGACCCTCCTGTCCCGCCAATCGCCTGCTGCCTGACCCCCTTCAATTGCCAATGGAGGAAGCCAATACATCGTCGGGCGTCCTGCAGCCCTCGCCGAGTTTCTCATCAGTAGATGGAAGCACCCCGACAATGCATCCATCACCATTTTCCGCCGCGGATCAACAGTTCGCCCGCGTCGAAGTCCCTGTCGCCACCGTACCGATCCGAGTTTCGCCTTTGACGCCAGCGAAGAGGCCGATGGGCCCTAGCCTCCACGAACAGAGCAAGGCTATCCCTAAGCGCAACTGTCGCAAATCCGAACGACTTATGCACGAGCAATGGGCCCAGAAAAGACACGACGAAGAGCTCGAGTATTGTATCCGACACAATATTCGACTCGATTATTTGAGGAGCATTGTTGCGCCCGTGACTCGCCTTGGCTCTCCCACTTCCTGGAATGACTTTGTGCAGAGCAAGTACTTCGAATCGCTGGCAGTTCAAGATGGATTGGAAGGTAGGCACAGCTCTTGACTACCTGACTACCTCGTGCTAAATTCTAGCATAGCATTGCACTACGCTGTTGTTGAACTAACGGGCTGGGTTGGTCCGCTTTCGTGCCGACCAATTTGGTGGAGAGGGTTAAGCTCGCAAAGCCATATTGGAACGACATAAAGGATGACGCAGAGGCGATGACGAGGTTTGACGCGGCGCTTGCCTTGGAGCGTGAGGAAGCGACGCAAGCAACGCAAGCGACCGAAGGTTCATCCTCCATCAAGACCGCCAGAAACAAGCCGATGAGTCACGAAGCCATCAAGAAAGCGCGCCGATGCATGCAAACCGCGTTGGAAACCATGGTGAGTCCAAGCTCAATTTGATACTGCTCACAGTAAAGTAACTGAAAGGATCATAACACCCTCAAAACCAACCCAGAGCACTTCATATGCGCAAAAATATGGACTCCAATTGTTTGCTGTGGTCTCTTCTGATCTTCCTGAACTCAATAAGGAGCGTTTCATGGTCGCGAGCCCCGGTGGTTTGGCCTTTGCCTATCGACAAGACTGGGGCGATAGTTTGGGTTCAAGACAGCTGCTCTCCGACTTCGCGGATTGCGTTACCGGTAGAGCGTTCTTGGAGGACAAAAAGGCCGAATTGGAAGCAGCTGGTCAGTAGGTGCACGCGCCAACAGACTATTGTCACTTGCTGATTGACGTCCGTTACGCTGTCACGCAGTTTGGGAGGCGCCACTGAAGGAAGTGAATCTTGAAACAAAAGCCTCGTGGTACAGCACGATTGTGAAAAAACTTTTCAGTGTGGACTATGTTCTAACCGAGATTTCAGTTGCTGCTCACTTGTTGACTTCTAACGATGAGTCTTCTTCTCGGTGCAGATGATGCCGTGATGCGACGTACCAAGAACCAAGGGCACGAAAACAAGAGCAAACCGCCCAGGTTGGTGTACGACCCAACCGCGCTCATGCAACAGGCCAGTATCGTAGTTGAATGTGGCCCGAGCCTCAACTTGGAGACGGACTTCGCCAGCCCCATGGGCAAGCAAAAAATGTCGGGGGCCGACTTGGATCGTATCATTCCCCTGCTGCGTGCAGGAGAGTTGAGATTCAGGCTAACGGAAGAGGTACTAGCGGATGAAGAAGATGAAGATGGTGCAGCTATCCCTGCCAACGGCCAAGATGGCAGCGCGGTGAGCCGCCCCGATTCCGACGAGCACTCTTAGAGCTTAGGGCAGCAGCTCTCGACGCCGAGATGAGCCGGCGCGCTGGGACGGACATGAAGTGTAGGGCTGAATTGGAAGATACAACGAGTGGATGCCGCTGGACGAAGCAAGAAGACTACTGGACTTAGTACACCAAGGATCATGTCTGTAGTGCACCAAAGCCGCGAGCGTATGCTGCATGATGTTCGCCGTAATGATACCTCTGCTGCTTCCGCAGAACAAGAATACTGAAATGCTCCGTTTTCTGAGAATTTCGGATTGTAACATGCTCTGCGTCCTCCGAAATAGACTGCTCTGGATCCGCAATTCTCTAAGTGCGCTCTGACATACGCAGTTCCGGATTTCTGAGTATTCGAGGTGTTCGAGGTGTTTCGAGATCATTTTACACTGGCGCACGGCCCAAAAAGTCTTATCCGATCTCTCATTATGACGACTAGCGACCGAGTATGACGGTCCATGCTCAAGTGCTTGCCCCGAGTTGAACCCGCCAGCATGTCGTGCCTCGTCCGAAAGTGTGTTTCACGCGGTGTGGGCATCAGGTATTTGCCACGGGGGTCCCGACGTTTCGGTCCATCTGATCTGTCCAATCAACTCAGTCTGAAGGCGAGCCGGTCTTCTCAACTCCAAAGTACCAGGCGACTCTTCGTGCTAAAGTTGAAATCATTATTACTAGGGTTTGAAGTGTGAGGAACACTGTCAGGGAATCTCGCCGTTCCTAGCATCCGATCCAAGTGGCGCTGCTCCCGCTCGGTACGTAGCAATTCGCACGTCTCGTATTGGCCGCCTATTACAAATATTACACCCCACCTTGCCGGGAATCCAGTGAGTGGGCCCGGGACTCCGACGGGTAACTCACAGTCGCCGCTCCTTCGCCCTTGCAGGCTGACATGTGGATGCCTGTCCATGCCAAAAGAGAATTGGTTTGTCGCATTCACATTACTTTTTGAGCATTGTGAAGGAGTAGCTTGGCGGATCCCGGCTGGTGTGGGACTGCGGCGACGCCACTAAAATTGAAGCTCCTCAAAAGCGACTCAAACTCCGGTTGAAAGTCGATGAAAGGGTTCAGATTTTGTCACAAAGCGATCTCGGTGTGTTGAAAACAAAATTTAGACGTTCACAACGAATTGGAAACATCCGAAGTTGCCACCGGCCGCCGGCGCCACCAGATGTCAAGCGACGCCAGAATACTACTTTTTTTATATTATTGAATAGATCTCATTAACAGCACAATTATTTTAGTACCAAGAAATCTTCGGACAAGTCGGAGGAAATGCTTTAAGCACACTGGCTAACGGCCACAGGTATTAGCTTGGCCGCCTTATTTTGCTTTGTAAGAGTAGATATTGCGCACATTTCGCTCCTTCAGCTCCTCTCAACGTCCTGTCCGCTGCTGAGAGCGCGTAGTGAGGCTCGGAGTCACCGACGCAGTGCGCCGGCCCAATAGCAGGCAGTGAATTTACTCACTGATGACGCGTGGGCTCTTCGGTACCCATGACCAGTCAGAACCCAATTCGAATCGCAAGGGTTTCCCCGGAGTGTATCACATCGGACTCAATCGGAGTGATCCCACAGTGGCCTCTCCAAGGCGGCAACTTGAGCTAAGCCTTGAAATTTCAGCTTCAACCTCCCGGATGATGGCAGCACAAGTCGAGACGCATAGAGCATGCGACAGTGCCCACAAGCAGCGATGCTTCTAGCAAAATCGTACTCAATTCCGAGGAAGGGGTGGCAACAGGCGCCTTCAGGTGCAGTGCTCACGGGAACATGGCTCGGGCAAGGGGAACCTCCGACCCGTGTTCCGGTAGGAGGACGCTCGTGCGTACATCCAAGTATTGCGATTGAACCCCATTTGACAACAGGAGGTATGTTGGTCATGCTGAAGGGACCTGCTCACCCATTTTGACAAGGTTCGTGCTTCAGTTACTCGAGTAACAACTGGCGCTTCGAGTGAAAAGTCACTCGGCTCGGGCAAGGGGAACCTCCGACCCTTGTTCCCGTAGGAGGACGCTCGTGCGTACATCCAAGTATTGCGATTGAACCCCATTTGACAACAGGAGGTATGTTGGTCATGCTGAAGG